GGCCCGTTTGAACAATTTAGTCTGAGACAGGGCCAAGCCGACCCGAAGGGAGGCCAAGCCCGATTGAACAATCCAGTCTCGGACAGGGCCAAGCCGACCCGAAGGGAGGCCAGGCCCGTTTGAACAATTCAGTCTGAGACGGGGCCAAGCTGACCCGAAGGGAGGCCAGGCTCGTTTGTACATTAAGTCTGAGACGGGGCCAAGCCGACCCGAAGGGAGACCAGGCCCGGTTGTACAATTCAGTCTGAGACGGGGCCAAGCCGACCCAAAGGGGAGGCCAGGCTCGTTCGTTTATTTAGTCTGAGACGGGGCCAAGCCGACCCGAAGGGAGGCCAGGCCCGAGTGTACAATTCAGTCTTAGTCGGGGCAAAGCCGACCCGAAGGGGAGGCTAAGCCCGTTTGTACAATTAAGTCTGAGTCGGGGCTAAGAGGATCCGAAGGGGAGGCTTTTCCTATTTTTGTCTTAGTTCTTTGTTGAATTGTTGTTTTTAAGGAGATAATGTTAGAAAATTTGAATTTGTTCCCGATTTACAGAGATAATTATCGATAACGGTGCAAGGAAAACATCATTTTCGGGTCGCCTTGGTCCTTACTCTGACTGAATTGATAAACGGGACTGGCCTCCCTTTCGGGTCGGCTTGGCCCTGTCTCAGACTAAAATGTACATACGGGCCTGGCCCATCCTTCGGGTCGGCTTGGCCCCGTCTCAGATTAAATTGTAAAAACGGGCCTGGCCTCCCCTTCGGGTCGGCTTGGCCCCGTCTCAGACTTAAATGTACAAACGGGCCTGGCCTCCCTTCGGGTCGGCTTGGCCCCGTCTTAGAGTAAAATGTACATACGGGCCTGGCCCATCCTTCGGGTCGGCTTGGCCCCGTCTCAGATTAAATTGTAAAACGGGCCTGGCCTCCTCTTCGGGTCGGCTTGGGCCTGTCTCAGACTGGATTGTACAATCGGGCGTGGCCTCCCCTTCGGGTCGGCTTGGCCCCGTCTCAGACTAAAATGTACATACGGGCCTGGCCCATCCTTCGGGTCGGCTTGGCCCCGTCTCAGAATAAATTGTAAAAACGGGCCTGGCCTCCCTTTCGGGTCGGCTTGGCCCCGTCTCAGTTTGGATTGTACAATCGGGCCTGGCCTCCCCTTCGGGTCGGCTTGGCCCTGTCTCAGACTAAATTGTTCAAACGGGCCTGGCTTCCCCTTCGGGTCGGCTTAGCCCCGTCTCAGACTAAAATGCACAAACAGGCCTGGCCTCCTCTTCGGGTCGGCTTGGGCCTGTCTCAGACTGGATTGTACAATCGGGCCTGACCTCCCCTTCGGGTCGGGTGGGCCCCGTCTCAGACTGAATTGTACAACCGGGCCTGGCCTCCCCTTCGGGTCGGCTTGGCCCCGTCTCAGACTTAATTGTTCAAACGGGCCTCGTCTCTTCCTCGGGTCGGCTTGGCCCTGTCTCAGACTGGATTGTACAATCGGGTCTGGCCTCCCCTTCAGGTCGGCTTTGCCCTGTCTCAGACTAAATTGTTCAAACGGGCCTGGCCTCCCCTTCGGGTCGGCTTTGCCCCGTCTCAGACTTGATTGTACAACCGGGCCTGGCCTCCCCTTCGGGTCGGCTTGGCCCTGTCTCAGACTCAATTGTTCAAATGGGCCTGGCCTCCCCTTCGGGTCGGCTTGGCCCCGTCTCAGACTTCATTGTACATTCGGGCCTGGCCTCGCCTTCGGGTCGGCTTGGCCCTGTCTCAGACTCAATTGTTCAAACGGGCCTGGCCTCTCCTTCGGGTCGGCTTGGCCCTGTCTCAGACTAAATTGTTCAAACGGGCCTTGCCTCCCCTTCGGGTCGGCTTTGCCCCGTCTCAGACTTGATTGTACAACCGGGCCTGGCCTCCCCTTCGGGTCGGCTTGGCCCTGTCTCAGACTCAATTGTTCAAATGGGCCTGGCCTCCCCTTCGGGTCGGCTTGGCCCTGTCTCAGACTCAATTGTTCAAACAGGCCTGGCCTCTCCTTCGGGTCGGCTTTGCCCCGTCTCAGACTTAATTGTTCAAACTTGCCTCGTCTCTTCCTCGGGTCGGCTTGGCCCTGTCTCAGACTGGATTGTACAATCGGGCCTGGCCTCCCCTTCAGGTCGGCTTTGCCCTGTCTCAGACTAAATTGTTCAAACGGGCCTGGCCTCCCCTTCGGGTCGGCTTTGCCCCGTCTCAGACTTGATTGTATAACATGGCCTGGCCTCCCCTTCGGGTCGGCTTGGCCCTGTCTCAGACTCAATTGTTCAAATGGTCCTGGCCTCCCCTTCGGGTCGGCTTGGCCCCGTCTCAGACTTCATTGTACAAACGTACAATTTCTTATGAGTAAAGAAGCATTTTGATTTATTTTTTTCAGCAATTTGTGAGTATTATGAGCTAGAACTGCCCTGAACCGCTGTGAACCGGGCGGTCAACCAAGCGGTCTGGTTCGAAAACCTGTTTTAATGATTTTTCATAAGTAGAGAAGCATTTTGATGTACATATTTCAGCATTTTGCAATTTAAAAGAGCTTGAACCGCCTCGAACCGCTGTGAATCGGGCGGTCAACCGAGCGGTTTGGTATGAAAACCTGTTGAATTAATTCCTTTTGACTAGACAAGCATTTTGATATATATATTTCAATATTTTGTGAACATTCAGTTCTTGAACCGCTTTGAACCGCTGTGAACCGGGCGGTTAGCTGTCCGGTTTAGTTCAAAAATCTGTTCAAAAGACTCCTTTTGATTAGACAAGCATTTTGATATACATATTTTAATATTTTGTGAATATTCAGACCTTGAACCGTTTTGAACCGCTGTGAACCGGGCGGTTAGCCAAGTGGTTCGGTTCGAAAATCTGTCCAAAAGACTCCTTTTGACTAGACAAGCATTTTGATATACATATTTCAATATTTTGTGAACATTCAGACCTTGAACCGCTTTGAACCGCTGTGAACCGGGCGGTTAGCCAAGTGGTTCGGTTCGAAAATGTGTTGAAACGACTCGTCGTCAAAAAATATGCATTTTGATATACATATTTCCGGATCCCGGCTCTTTTAAATGCTTGAACCGCGACGAACCGCCAGAATGACCAGCTGGTTCAGAAAAAACACCTTACTGAATTCAGTGGTTCATAAGCTCCAAGATGAGCTATAAATCGTCACCGTAGAATGCGTAGATCAAAAGTTGCAAATTTTGAAATTTCATATCTGGCAGACTTTGTCGACTTTGAAGCTCTAGAAAGTACCGAAATCGAGGTCTGCAGAATTCGTCCAGTGGTCCAAAGAATCAGCGAACCCTCTTCTACAACATATCCAAAAATGATAATAATCGGTATGTGGGAACACCCTTAAATTTTGGAACAATTCATCTATATACATTTTTCTCATCAAAAATCGCCAAAAAAGGCACAAAAATGAGCCGTTTCGAAAAATCGGCTAGTGCAGTTTTGTAAGGCGTGTCATGGTGCATATATTCTGTAAGTTTGGTGTGTCTCTGCAAAAGAACCTGGAAAATGAAAACAGCCGCGGGAAGCCTACACATGCTCGATTTCGAAGGCGGATTTTCCTGGACAAAAAACGATTTCTCAAAAGACGAGTGACGCGGGGAAGGCGATAAAACGACACTTTCGTTTCCCAGCGAATAAATTGCTAACAGGCAAAAACACGCCAATGTCCATTTATCATCATAAACGTGTTTACAATAATATCGCCGTAAAAAGAGTATTCGCGATTCTGCGTCGGAATGGATCTATGGGAAACGTCCTGTTCGGATTGGGTCAATTTTATCCTTTATTGCTCGTCTTTCTTAGCGTTGTCAAAAGTACCGCTAAATTAGTTCGCTAAAAAATCATCAATATTATTTATTTTGTTGAGAATTTTTTCCCAAAAAAGTATAAGAGACAATGTACGGCTTTATTAAAAGGGTCCACTGTGCGGTCTATTTTACAAAACGTATTAAATCAAACCCTCTTTAAAGTTTTAGCTGACAGCTTGAAATTAATCGTAAAATGTTACTCGAATTTATCGCTTTCGGATTTCTTTCAACTCAATTAACTACCACACTAAAAAAGCATTTCGTAAATCTCATATTTTTAACTTTAAATCTGCAAAATGAGCAGCAAAGACTCTTACATCAGAGAAGCGCTTATGCGAAAATCACTTCATGGAAAGCAGATCAAGAGCTTCCAGATTCGGCATTCTAGGAGCACTTGCTACTTCCAAGCGATGAATTTCATCTTTGAAAAGGGTTTCAAAGTCTCTCGATCATTGATTCTGTCGATCTAAAGGGGTAGTTAAAACCTGATACAGATATTCTTGAGCGGCCGAATTTCAAGACTTCAAAGATTGCTGCATGTTATCATATGACAGTGTGAGTACTCAAACCATTTTACCTAAATGTGTGTCAGATTCTGAATACCGTGTATGTAAGTGTCAGGGAGTTGAGTGAAGGGTGTGACGAGGTGAGTCGAGGCCTGCTCGTTGCAAGCTCACTTCCCCAACTTCCCCAGCTGCTGCGTTAATGAGCCACAATCCGCAAAGAGAGGTGCCTCTTTTCATCCCTTTTCGCTTTTTTTCGCTATATTTTTTGTGAAACTGAGTTATGGAAGACACACGGCACGCGCAACAGGCGCTAGAATACAAACAGCGATACAGAGTTGGGTTGAATATTCATTTTCACTCGTTAGGGTGATTTAATGGCTGACAAGTACTGACAAGAAAATGCCATAACTCTTAAAGTTTGGTTATCTTGGTTCATTCTAAAATGGGGTTTTAGATTTTTCCTGCGCTAATATTGTCGGGAATGCTCAAGAAGTTCACGGACTGACGCCGATAAGGCTCCTAAAATTGTCAAAACTAGCATTTTATTGGGCCGTTCGCGCCCTAATATAAAAGCAGGTGCAGCAGGCGAAAGCTGCACCCTTCTTCTTCCGCAATATCAGCCCCTTTGATGCCACCACTAAGGTAGCCATATAAAAGCTTGGAAAAAATAATCAAGCCATCTTGTCAAAATGGAAAATTTGAGTTCTTCAACCAACGAAAGATTCGCTGTAACGCCTGCTTTACAAGTGACCGACGATTCTGGACTGACATGCTCAGTCACTGGTTCGAGCGATACCGTGGATGAGATTTCTAACCCGTTCTGGCAATCGCACAGTACCACGCATAGTGGGGCTCCTATTTTCAGGCGTAATGCCGAGCCAAAGCTAAGATACGGTTCTGGAAGCTACGGTCAGAGAGCCAGCCTTCCGGGGCTTGATAGAAATGTCCTGAACCGAGACGGAACAGTCGGCGGAATAAGAGATACTCAGTATCATGAGCAAAAACTCAAACGCTTGCAACGGGGAAGCGGGAAGGGAAGATCTCGGATGCGCTCTTTCGGCTCCAACTCCAATTATTCGGGCACCAGATATTCCTTCTTTTATCACTACCTCCAGCCAAATCTCTATAATATCCTCGAACGCCCGGTGCTTAACAGGCACCACATCAGTACTTATTATCACATTTATACGTAAACAACACACTTTGGGCTTAGTTCTTGTAAACAAAAGATTAAGGTTTCTCCTTGTTTTTGCATGTCTCATCCTCACAATGTTCATCACTGGAGATGTATACGACGACAACGAAGACCGAATCTCCTCGACTTCGGAATACGTGCTGAACATTCTGGAAAAGATCATAATGGTGCAATTCACATTCGAATACATCCTTCGTCTCTGGTCGGCTGGCTGTAGATCAAGGTGAGCATTGGGGAAACCAGATGTTTCCATGTATCTTGTCACGTTTTTTCTCTTCATTTCCATAACCGAGACTCCCAGGTATCAAGGTCTACTCGGGCGCCTTCACTTCGCGCGACGGCCTTTTTGCATCATCGACTTGATGGTTGTTATTGCTTCCTGGATTCTGATCTTTGGAAACCTAACGATCGAGAAGGGTCTCTTCGCCGCTTCCGCTCTCAGAGCACTGCGTTTCCTCCAGATTATACGAATGGTGAGAGTCGATAGAAGAGGCGGAACATGGAAACTACTGGGATCCGTTGTCTATGCTCACTCCAAGGAAAGGGTTGTGGATTTTTTTTTATTTATTTTCTCGCAAATTATTTTTGACGTACTTTTGATCGCGAATGAAATTAGACGATAAATGCTCAGGACAGCCATTGCGAGAATATTACAAAATTGACGCACTGATCTTGTCAAAATCCGTTGAAAAATTTACATAGATCGCCATGTTTTTACGAACAAACGAAAATAATTTTTCTTTCACAGCCTTACTCAAGGAACTTTTGACGGCAATCTATATTGCTTTTCTTGTCTTGATCTTCGTCAGCTACATCATCTGGCAAGTTGAGTTTACGACCGATGAATGCAAAATGGCCGCCAATAGAACAATCTTTGAGGATGGAAGTGCTCCGACTTGCCATTTTTTGACATTTGGGGACTCCCTCTGGTGGGGTTTTATAACCCTAACGACGATTGGTTATGGAGACAAAGTTCCAGCAACAACAACTGGTCAAGCGATTGCGTCGTTTTTCGCCGTTGTTGGAATGGCATTCTTTGCGTTGCCAGCGGGAATCCTCGGTACTGGATTCGCCTTGAAAGTTCAGGAGCAGCATCGCCAGAAGCACTTTGCGAGACGACGAAACCCAGCTGCGTTGTTGATACAGGCGGTTTGGAGAAACTACGCAGCCGATGAAGAGTCAAGCTCAATAGCTACTTGGAATCAAGCTAGAACTGCTCTGTAAGTGAAACCCGTTTTTGAACATGTTTTGATCGACTTTAGCTGCAAGAAATCGATCGAGAAGTCGAAAGATGAGACCAAAAATAACATCAAGAATCTGTTTTCATTTTCTCCACAGCTCGCGAGTGAAGACTTGTTTCCTGTTCGCCGCGTTTCTGCTACGAAACATCATCAACTCAACTCACCCGGATTGAAATCAGGTAACTTGTCGAGATAAAATCACCGACTTCAATGTTTTAGACGTAAACCAAAATGGCATCACAGAAATCGACGACGACGAATATTTAGCGGCAGACAATCAGCTGACCGAGAAGCAAAAGATTGCATTACGATTCATTCGAATGATGAAATTCTGCGTTGCGAAGAGGAAATTCAAGGAAGCACTGCGGCCTTATGATGTCAAAGACGTCATCGAACAATACTCTGCTGGCCATGTTGACATGCTCGCTCGCGTGAAACTCTTGCAAAACAGGTTAGAATCATCGCAGCAACGAAATCTAATTTGGGTCGCTAGAATGGAAAACATCCTCGGCGTGGCGTCAACAGTTGAACTTGATCGAAAAAACGGATCTTCTGCTGGTTACATTTCAAGAAGTTCAATGAATGGGAGGCTGATAACTCTCGAAAAGAAGGTTTCCGACATCGGTAAGTAATAGAGCGCTTTTCTCAATTAATTTTTTTGCAGATGATAAACTGGACAAGATCCTTGGCGCACTAAGTTCTCTAAAAGAAGCCCCGAGCGACACTCAAAATGTCCTTACGATTCCACCTTCCCCTGTCAGCGAGCGGAGGCCAGTCTTTCAAAATCGCGTTGCTCCTGAAGTGGCGGTAATGCTCCCCTCTTCTGAAGATCCTCAAAACTAATCACTTGCCTACAAGACTAGATAATCGACGAAAACTGCCTCAAATGTTTCCAAGTGATTTTTGGATAATATTTCCAAGTTAATTCAATTCATCTTTGTAAATACGAAATTCTGTTTTTAATTTTTAATTAATGTAAAGTCTGCCTATAGCAATCTTTATCTCTTTCAATCGCTCTAAACCTGTCGACACCTGTTTGTAAAAGTTCAAGTATCGGAAAAAAATACAAAACAGCATTAAATGACTGAACACAATTCAAAATAGTTAAGATTTATTATTTTTTGTTCTGGAAGGATGCAAAAAGGCGAAAGGTACAATAAGAAAACATCCGGTCTGGACGATCCAGCAGGACTTTTTGTTTCTTGTCGGAAAAATGGATTTACATGAGGGAGCACTTCTCCGTCTGTTCTTGGAGAATGACCATCAAGGGCTTTTCGTGATCGTCTTCGGTGACCTTAAAACGTTGATTAGGAATGCGAAGTGACGTAAAGGGCGGAGCCTTTTTTTTAGAAATTCCGTCTTCTAAAAGAGCATAATTCCAAATGATTGGTAGCGCCTTTCCGTTTTATGGCACTATGAACACGAACGGAGGGTAATTATGGCGAGATAATCTCGTTCTCCGACGGTTAATAAGATCAGACTCTTCATGCATCGTCGCTTTCTTACCTCTCTATCAAGGAAACGAGTACCGACACGTCGTTTTTCCATCGAAGCAAGAGCTTGGGCAATGATCATGTGCTCTTCTTTCGTATGAGAAGAACTAGAAAAAAAACGTAAAATGAATAATCAGAGGTTTCATTTACCTGGTAGGCTGGTTCATCTGTTTTCTTCTTCGATCCTGGATCACTCGATATTGGTTGTACGGAGTAGTTTTTCTCCAGAAATCCAATGTGGCGGATCGGGGGTTTGTGTGATGAGGACTGACTGCGACTCGCATCCGGAAATCCCTTGAAAATAAATTACAGACACGTCCGAATCTTATTTGTTTCAGCAATTATCAAGTTATAATTTTATGAATGGCAAAAATACTTACTCTTCAGTCATCTGGAATGTATGCCAGAAATTTTCATCGACGACAGCTTTCGACATTTTCTCGTTTTATTCAAAAGTTTCTCTTTATGAATAAAAACACGCTCGTATTCTGGTGGATTACTTTCAGAATGGGATGACAGTTTTCTGCATGGAGGAAGGTTTTTTTCGCGAAAAGCGCGCTCCCTAGCGCCGATGCAATTTAACTGTCTCGCGTCAAGACGTGTTAGAAGGGCTCATTTGGGGCTTTTATTAGTGCTTTTTCCGCCATTTCCGGTGGCGAAAGGAATAATTAATTATTTGCCGGACGATAAAGAATGCTTGCTTAGTCTTTTTTATGTTAAAAAGGCTCTGTAACGCACTGAAATCATGTTAAATTTTAGATCTAAATGTCGGCTCATTTCGAAATCATAGAAGACCTCATTTTTAAATGACAAAGCGAATTATTTATTTACATTTTTCAATTATAACTGGCCAGATCCGCACCAACAAATTGAAGAGCAAGTACGCCAGGGAGTTAAAATTCTAGCGCTGAATGGTATAAGCTCCGTTATCGCCGCGGGAGGTTTTGGTGTACTTTGACCAATGGTGCTCGCCACGGTGCACCACCAAACTAATGCGTGACATGTTCCAATGAAAAAATTTTGGAGTTATCGGCTAACCACAACGATACTGGATTATTTATTATCAAGCCTGATTTGATTACTCGATCAGTGTTTCCTAAATTGAGCGATCTAAAATCACTTTTTGGAGTGAAAGATCAATTCGAATATAGAACACACTATCTAACGAATCAAAAATTCAAGGAAAATTAGTATTGTCAATACTTTTGGGAAAAATCATGTTGCAAAAAATATCGAAATTGAAATATATTTTTATTACAATTTTTGATACGATTTTTACTTCAACGCTCAATTACATAAGCAAAAGTTCATCAACAATATCAGGTCATGTGACCTAAAAACAGCTGATCGCCATGTGTGCTCGAGGAATGTCCCTCGAAGCGCAAAATGAGGAGCAGAAAATTGCGCTGGGGCGCTGAAGCTCTGGCTTTCCAGGAGCCAATCGCGCGCTTCGTCAAAATTGAATAAAACTCGAAAATGTGACTCAACTTGATAAATTTATCTATTCTCGCTTTTTGAGCCCCTATGTTGATCCTCCCTGTCTGAAAGAGCACTCAAAAGAAGAAGAAAGAAATGAAGAAAATAAAACACTTTTGCCAGAGGCAAATCGACTTATTTTTTTTTCGTTTTTTCGACGTAGAGAACTGTCATAAACTCAAATTAGTCGAAATTGACTTATAAAATGAATTTACTTATAACCTACTTCCCAGATCAGTCTTGAAAAGACCTTGACTTTTTTAATTTTATAAAATGAAAACTATTTGATAACTGTCAATTATAGACTTCCCGTGATATCAATTTGTTACTCATAATTTATGACTTTAAAATGAACTCTTATGAATGATAAGTATCTATGAAACTTTTACCATGATACATGGTACTTTGATCTGTCAAAAAATTGTTGAAGTTTTTATATTTTGATAAAATGAAGCGCATAATCTACTACCTTTGTCAGTTTTAAAGATTGTAAGTCTGATTTATCAATATATGATATGATATATATAAACGTAAAATGAACTCTTATGTATGAAAAGCATCTACAAGTCCTTTAGAATGATCATACCTTTTTTATTGCTCTTATTTTTAAAATTCTATTAACATGTGACTATAATACTATTTTTAAAATGAATCGAAAGACCGCGCACACGGGTGAAAATTCATATTTTGTTCCTTCTCAAAATTAAAAATTTTAAATGATGAAAACTTGCAAAACGCTTTTGTATAATGAATCAAGTATATCTGCAAAACCTTTATCATAGGGTTCCCTAATAATGAAGAAATTGAAAATGACTTTATAAAATGCATCAACAACATTCTTAAATCGTGTAAACTGATCCCTAACACTGAAATGCTTACACTTTCAATCTACATAAATTGTTCCTGCTGCCTTTAAATTACTCTATTCCATCCCCAATAAAGAAAAAATCCATCACTAGTGACTATTCAAACATTTACTTGATGACGTCTATTGATTCTCATCACGCTGAAAATCAATGCTAGTCACCTCGAAATTTCCCTTTTCTGCCTCTGTCTCCACAATAAAATAAGATCATATTTTCCAGCGAAAAAATAACGGACAAGACTCTTTTCAATTCAAAACTGTTATTTTGTCATATCGTGAATCGCGTGGCCAGTCTCAGCCTGATACCGTGTCTCAGCGTATTATTTTTTTCAGACGGTCGTTTCAGCACCGAAGAGTTATGATCTTGCTCTTTTGAGAAGAGGAGAGAAAAAAGAAGGAAGAAGAAGACGAGTTTATGTATTTTGTGTTTGAAGCGTCGACAGGGACCCTTCGTGCGCTGGGAGCAGAATCTGGTACTGTCGACGGGCTCAAAAACTCCCTCTTCAATCACACAAATGTTCCTCCGGAAAGACAGATTCTCCTTGATGAACAAGGTATATTTCAGCTTCTTTAGTCTTATTATAGCAAACCAAATCAGCAGTATCAATTCGAGTTTTTATAAGTATACGGAATCTCCAGAACTGGGCTTAGCAGCCTGTATTTAAACCTGAGTGAGGGTAAAATAACCATCTCAATCTTTATTTACATTTTTTAGCGAAGCCGCTTCGCGGCTGGTTTTCAAGACAGCCGCTGTACGGCTTTTCATTCAATTTCTTTTAGGACCCTGACTCAGGTTTCTACACAGCAATCCTGTAGCAGGATGCTGAGCCGAGCGCCGAGAGCTACAGTCATGTTTAACTCTGAATTGTTTGTGGCTAAAAGTTATGACTCTCGAGGGAGTCACAAGAAGTACTCATAAAACCACAAGTCACGAGGCAACACAATCTTGTGTTCGCCCTGCTGCTTCTGATTGCGCAACGATCAAATTTCTAAATTGCTGATTTAGGATGTGCCCTTGAAAATGGAATAAGAATCAGCGGCTTTCAAAACTCCGATAGCAGGCCATTATGTTTATTCGATATTCGCCTCCCGGAAGTGTCCTACGCCGAGTTAGGTCCCTTGCCAGATGTGGAGGATGAATTCTACGAGGTAAATATTTTCATTTGAGAAGAAAAACAAGGTTAGAAAAATATTTTTAGTTTATCAATTTGGACCCATCGCAGTTTTCGGCCGATCAATTCGCCAAAGTGGCCGAGTCCATCCTCAAATATGACCGAGAGGTAATTCTTTACTCTTACATCTTTTGCTGTGATTAAAATTGTTCTTTTCAGTGGTTTTCAAAAGCAAAAACAACAATCCAAAGCTACCGCCTCATTCTGTACGCTCTCGACGTCGCGCTCAAGAATCTGGACTCTGTCCAGGCCAAGTACCGCGCCCATTTGGTTGCCAACGAAGATTTATTCCCCGAGTTCGAGCGCAACTTCGCCAACATCTCATCCCTCATTGCCACAGCTCGTCAACGCATGGAAAGGCTGAAGACTGATTACGTCCCTGAATGCATGTCGCCCAGTAAAATCAAGATGATTGACTTCATCGAACTCGACACGACAAACTCGTACCAGAAAATTCTTGAAAGGTAATAGTCTCCTTTCGTAAATCGTATACCGTTCTTCACCGATTTTCTTTAGTTTGGAAGCTACAATTTCAAAGGTATCATTGAAAATCATCATCGACTCCAAAAATCGTCTTGGTAATTTACTCAACACACCTATCAGGTAAAAAAGAAACACACATTCCCATTAAATCATGTTGCAGAAACTTGACGAATGCAGAAAAAACGATCGCATCGCTGGAAGAAAACTACGAAGCCGTAACGGAGAATTTCAAGCAGCAAGAGCAGATTTATCATTCGATGGAGCGTTCCATGTAATTTTTGTCAAAGAAAACATTATTTTGAGTATGTTTTCAGGGGGCAAGGAGCATCGGGGACGAACAATCTTCGGATAATGCTCCACAATCATATGGAAGTAAAACGATTCACAGAAAGTTGCTTCGAGTACAAAAAGAAGCTCCTTCTTTCGACCCGTCGGATAATCGGGGAGGTCTTTCAGCGCCAAAACGATTTGTATCAGGCGGACGTTGGCTTCATTCAAAATCGCCGGCGCGTCCAAAGAATCATGAAGCTCAGTGGAGTGCTCAAGGAAATCCCGAGAGCGGATGACTTCGGCCATGTGATTGAGGAGATCCACTCGAGGAAGCATTTTGGAGAAAAGTACAGCAAGTGGCATGAGAGACAACGAGTTTTCGCTGAACGAGTATGCTCAAAAGAGAGGGAACGAAGAGATGAACTAGATATTGAATGTCCAGCGCTTGTAAAATTTCTGCCCAGGAGCCCTCTTCCGAACCAAAGGAAATTGTTGACCAAATAAGTCTTATAGAATCAGGCAGAACCTTTCATTTTCAACAATCCAAAGCTCAAACATTGAACGTCTAACCCCCGAACTGTCAAGTCACGAATTACCTCATCCCGCTTCGCCCTCATTTTTACCTCCCCCGCTGCCTTGGTTCCAGGACAGTGCCTTCCAAACTGATCCCGAGCCCGAGAAAGAGGACGAGTTCTTTGACGCGCCAGAGTTCGAAAACGCCTGCTTGCAGACTTCCACGGTGGGATCCGCCGAGGCAGCAGTCGAGACTGTCCTGACGAAGACGGAAAGTAAAGCTCTTCAAATCTCGTCCTCTGAATTTTCTGTACCTAAAACTTCGAGCTCTATATCTTCACAAACACCTTCAAAAGAAGTTGATGACTTTTCTGGGCAGGCCATTCCTCTGAGGTAAGATAGCGTCCGTGCATCCTTCTCAAGGAATTCTAGTGCTTCTTTTGGTCTTCAATTCGACTCACCGAAATCACCTGTCTCGGATCTAGAAGTCCAAACAGAGTCCTCATCACTTCGATCCATTGAAATACAAACTTCTCGACCTCGACGTACCGAATCCTTTTCGCAAACAGACGATGTCGAAAGTGAAGTTGAAATCCTCTTGGCTAAGAAAGTCGTCGATGCTGAGCAACTGGCGAAAGAAAACTCGGAGCATTTGGCCATGCTTGTCAAGCTCTTCGAAATTCTTGAAGCAAAATACCACGCGCACGAAGATCGCACGTTATCAAAGGAAAAGGAGCTTGAAGAGAGTATAGAAGAAGTGTCGACAGAGCGAGATCAGTTCAAATGTGAACTTGATGAAGGTATGTCAAAGTTTTACATCGATTTATTTAAAATTTGCAATAGTGAAATCAGAGATGTTCCAGCGCGATCAGAAAATCACCTCACTCGAGCTTGAGCTTTCAAACCAGCGCTCCTCCGTCCATGAGCTCGAGCGCACGAACATGGATCTCGAAGAACAGCTTCTCGAGCTCCGTCAAAAGCTCGAACTCAATGAAGCAGCTAAAACGCGGCAAAACGAGCTTGAGCGTTCTTATGAAAGAATAAAGATCGACATCGCTCGTGTTACCGACGAGCGCGACGAGTACAGATCACTTGCGGAAAGTCTTAAAGCGCATCAGCCCAATGTTGGCTTGATGGAGCAAAGCATCGCGATTGGCCCAATTTGGCCGAGCTCGCCCTCTCCTATTCCGATAAAAAGCCACGGCGGAAGCGGATCGAACTTAATGACGCAATCGTGTCACCCAGGCCTATCCAGTGACTCCCCCGCCAATCAATCCCCAGTTCCAGAAGGTTCAAAAGACGCCGATGAGCGCGATCACTTTCAAGTTGGCGACTCTGTTTTGGTCATTTTCAACAAAGACAAGAAGCAGTACGTTTTGCACACGACCGGATTAAGGTTCTATTTTGTCCACGAAGGATGCTTTGATTCCCTTGGATTGGAGAAGCCTGATAAATGCACTGATACTGAAATTTGTCTTGAGGTAAATTTGTATCTTTGAAATCATGGAAGACTCATTAAAATGCCTAGTGTGAAATCGCAGAGAAACCCGTTCTATGTGTAACTCGACGGAGCAAAAACCGCTACAATCTTCCGTCGCACACGAAATTCTACAGAGTCAAGGTCAAACTTGCCGACGATTAGCCTCGCCGATAAGAGCTGTGTTCAAAAAATCTGTCCTGAAAAATTCCCGTGGTGAAAACAAATGATAGTCTATCAAAATAATGGATAACCAAAATACAAACCTAGAATATTCGAATAGAGTTACTGAAATAAATTTACTGCTACGCTAGAATCTTTGTTCTTTTCTACATATTTTTTCTACTTTATTATTTTCTTGCCATTTTATTTTATTTTCCAGCAAATTTTTCTATGTCTCTAGAAGGCGTTTTTTGTCGGTTTCAATTTGACTTGCGTGAGTTCAGTTTTACGTTTCTGTTTCTTACAGAAAACTTGTTCTTTAAAGTTGTTTTCTACAACAAAAGTTCGTTTCAAAAACAATTTCCAAACAAGTCAACAATTTAGCATGCGCTGTTCGAAAATACTGTCTGTGCGAAGAGAGATAAGGAGGGCTGAGAAATTGAAAAATGCAGTTCGTTCCATATCAATGAGGTCAAAGTGACGTTTTGTTAGGATTTGCGTTCACAGGCGATCACCCAGCGCGTACCGTATAAAACCGCGGCTGGATAAGATTGGCCTCATTCTAAAAAAAAGAGAAAGTGTAATTTCTTTTTTAGACCCTCAAGTAGCTGTAACACTGTAGGTATCAACGATTATCTAGCAAGGTAAAACTATTCAAGCGAAATTTTGAACCCTCGTTCAAAGTGCACTATTTTGCCTGAACAGACACTAATATTTGCTCTCGCATAAAACAATTTAAACAGCCTGTTAAATTCTCCTCAAGCACATGATATTATGTAACTATAATTGCAGCTGCTAAATTATTGTCCTTTTGCAACTGAATACTTTTTACGACTGTAATTTCAGTAAGAGAGACTGAAGGGCGTTTATTTTCAGAGTGAAGGAGAACGTGGCAAGCACACAATTAGTGTAAGTCGAGTGATATTTCAGCTGATTTCGCGATCGAGCGGTAATCTCGCCCGTATGACCGTTACCAGCAGGTATTTGACTTATAACTTCTTGTAGCAGTAAAGACCAAGCATGGAGAACCTGATGGATGCACCGATCATTGCAAACACTCAAACAGACCGCAAAATAGACCAAAATAATCAAGCAAGGCTTTTATAATTTCACGCAGCAGATAGGATATTCTCTCACGCTCGGGGGCAAAGCAAAAACGACCAGGGGACGTTTATTTCTAGAATCTTTTAATGCATGTTATCCTGCTTCAGTTATCAAGCTCAGTTTTAAAACTCAATTATTTCATTCGCATTTATTCATTTATCTTTATGTCGGCTCCTGTTTCAAAAGGTTTGAAATCCATCTCCAGGGGCATTTTCATTCGACTTTTGAGTACAGTTGAGCGGTTGCAGCGCGAACGGAACGCACGCATTCTTCAAGGGGAAATATCCAATCATAACTACCTTTATGAGTATGTACTAAGCCATTCTCAGACTTGCCATACACGCACCGCAGTAGTAAAAAGCGTAAACTAGAAATTCATAATCCCGCACCATTTCTACCGCGCCGGAACTTCCGTTTCCAAAGCCGAAAGATAACGCGTTCCATTAGCATGCCAAGCGCACAGATTCAACGACCGAACGGAACCAAGCCAAAACCGTACATCATCGGCGTCGTTGGGGGCACAAACTCGGGGAAGTCCAGCGTCTGTAAGAAGATCATTACAGAGGTAAGTAAGATCGACTCCGAGGTACAGTATCTCAGCTAACTGTTTTTCTCTTTCGCGTTTTTAAAAGTGATCATATAAGTTTATAATCACTGGCTTTTAGTTGGTTATCATTTTTTTCGTTAAAGTTGAGATCTTTAGAATATAATCCCAGTTCACTCAAAAATATTTTCAGCTGAATACATTGGGCGCCATGTCTGTGGTCTCCATCTCGCAAGACAGCTTCTACCGCGATCTTGAACCGGATGATCTGGAGCTGGCGCACAAATCCGAATACAACTTCGATCATCCAAAGTCTATCGACGACGCTGCCATCTACGAACTGCTGATCGATCTGTGCGAAGGTCGACCTGGGAAGATCCCCATTTACGACTTCAAAGTATACTTTTTGCAACCGAAAGTATACTGTAACTCGTTTTACTAGACTCACAGGAGCACTGGCGAGTTTGAGCCCGTTCAGCCCGCTGAAGTCATTCTTCTGGAGGGAATTATGCTCTTCTACTACAGAAAGATTAGAGAGATTTGCGACATGAAGCTATTTATCGACTGCGACGCCGATACGAGATTGGCAAGAAGAGTTAGACGAGATACGGCCGAAAGAGGGAGAACGATCGACTCAATCATCAAGCAGTATACTTCGTAAGATTATTCAGTTTAGTTCCTTCTTCGTAAGAATCATTCAGCTTTGTGAAACCGTCATACGATGAGTTCTGCGCGCCTACGAAGAAGTATGCTGATGTCATCGTGCCCCGTGGTGTTGAAAATGAAGTCGCTATTAATTTGATCATTTGCCATATCCAGGTACTCTCCCTATTCCTTCTATCTTTCCTTCACCCGCCTTTAGGATATCCTGAAACAATCAGGCGAGATGTTCGAGACGCAAAACGGAGCTGCCTGCACGAACGGAGACGCTGATCAAAAGAGACCTCACTAATGGCGCTGAATTCGTGGCACTCATCTTTACCGTTTCATCAAACAATTCTATTTCTGTCAAAACTAAATCTTTAAACCAATCTTTTTTTCTCCTTCACTGGAGGCTCTTTTTGTTATGTCCATCTTTGAATAGAAGATCAAATCTACTAAAAGAATAGCCAAATCACCCCTTAAATCGTGGCGGAGCTTCTCTCATCATGAGAGTCTCATGTTTCTAGCATATCTCCTTGAAAAAGTAATCGTTTGTCGAACAATCTTTTAACGCTGCACTAAACCCGACAAATTGTTTATTCTTGCGTTGATTTCTTAGGTCGCTTGTTTTCAGTTTTCGAAAGTTTTTGAGTTTCCTTTGCCAATATTTGCCTGCGCGGTTTGAAATATAGTACTTTCAAATAGCGCTTGCTGCATTTTGGTAAAATTTATGTTGGCAACGAATGGTTATTTTACTTCGCGAATGACTTGGATCGTTTTTATTCCTTATTTCCTTTTCAACTTCTGCCCCTTACAAATTTGAAGTGCTATCCTGCGTTTATATCTGCGGTGACTGATATAGTGAGTAGTCGACTAGCTAACAACACTATCTACGTGTTCTATCTTCAATACAATACGAAATGGCTCAAACAAGAGAGTTGTTGTGATCTTATTCCAAGGAATTGAAGATCACTAAATTCCCGCGTTCTTAGACCAGCAATTTAGACGAAGTAGCAATTGACCTTACGATTTTTACGTCAATAGAAAACACCATTCACGGCTTACCCACGAGCACGACTCGTGAGTCTCCCGACTTGCAAGTTGTTAGCTAACTTAGCAATCAAGCGACGTCAAAAAGTCGTTTATTAGGCGCATTTATGTCACCTCATGGCGCCGTAGCTGATATTTTTATGTCTTGAATTTACAGCTATATATTCGAGTGGCATTTTCAGAGGAGATAGTAGAGGTTTATTGTCGTACAGCAGTTTATAGGGGCATTTAACGTAAATTGGCAGTGAAGGTGAGAAATAATCAGCAGGTTGAGCACAACATCTAGTTTTGTTTGCATCTTGATATGATTAAAATAAGGACAAACGCGTTGATGCAAATAATCCCGATTGAAATAAGAGCGATGTTTCTGTTGTTCAATTGGAAATTATTCTCCGGGATATTCCTGATTTCTGTTGGAAAGCGATGCTCATCATCAACAGAATTATCGGGTGAAATTTTGAGGGTTATTTCCGGCTTGAATTCTTCCCCACTAGATTCTACATTATTTTCGTGATAATATACATCGAGGGGGACGAAACGGTTCTTATTATCAAGAACTTCTATGTCTGGGAGGGAAATGATATCATCGCTAATATGAATTATCTTGGGAGAGGGGGCGCTGCCGTGCTCAAGAAATTTTATACGGATGGTTTTCGAAACTTCATGTCGAGGGATCAAGGACTCATCAAAGGTAGTAGATCTTCGCTTTCTACCATTACTGAAAAACGGTTTGCAATTTTGTAAAGAGTTAATACGTTTACCTTTTAAATGCATCGTAGCGATCGCAATTATCAATGCAATGTTTATTTCCAGCTAGAACATCCGCCATCGTGCAGACAGACATGTGGCATGTCACGGAGAATTCATACTCTCCGTACCCGTGTGGCTTCCACAGATGAAGACGGAAATAATCGCTGTTGTATGCGTCCATAAGAACTCGATCGTATTCTGAATGCTTTTCATTAAAAAGAAGATGATAATCGTTTCTTACGGAGAACATTTCTATCTGCAAAGGCATTGTCTTCTTTGCACCCCTTGAATAGTAATCGCTGTGTCTGCAGCGACTGTCCAGAAGTATCAATGAGCTCTGCGTTACATCTTTTTATATGCAGAAAATGATCAGTTTCGTCGTCTGGGAATTCATTCTTGATAAAAGCGGACGCTTTGAAGTAAGCATACGGAATTTCTTCCACCATTGGATCAATGTTTTTCGTCGTGAAGGGAGTTTTAAAGTCATTTGCGCCGAAAACTTCAAGATCGAAGTCGATTTTTTCGGTGTCATCCATTAGGTCCAGCAGTCTATCACCGCTAGCGGAGACCTCGACTGAGTTAGCTCCGAGCCCATCGAGAGAGCAGCTAAAATACAACAAGTTGAATTCTTTTGCTATAGCAGCATATGCTTTCTAGCTAACTACTTATAAGCTATTATCATATTACATAATCTTAACCTTGAAGTTCAAGGCATGAAAAAACCCGCCAGAATGTTTCATCCGGCCAATATCCGCCGGATATTGCTAGTGTCAAACTAACCTAAGATCCCATTGACGACCGTATTTAATAACCGGAAATGTGCCGTCTTTCAAGGGATTTGTATCGTCGACTAAATCATCGTATCCCACGGTGAACTTGTACTCATGCATTCCATTGTCAAAATCGGATTTGTCAAATCGACAGTTTTCGTTTTGCGAGACGTTAAAATGGACGAAACCATTACTAGCGATTCCGATGCAGGCATTCTGATCAGTAGCGCCGATGCTTTCAAATACAGTTGTTGGCTTCTTAGGATCCTGAGAGCGAGTTGACTTACTGAAATTCTTGAGAGAACGGAATGCAGAAGTATTTTTGTCAACTGTTCCTGTTTGTCCGCTACAGACTTTGGAATAAGAGTAATCTTGCGCGTGTCCCAGTCGTACAATCTGACGACATCCGGAACGGTGACACTGACTATCAAGCCCTCATTACTTAAAAGAACATCAATAGAACACGATTAAATCAAGCTCTTCCCTACCTCATTGAGCACTTATAATGCTCGAGGTCCTTTCTCCGGTCTTCAAAGGCAGAGCTTTGACAAACTTCCCCAAGAACGGAGGTCTCCTGGCGCCCGGGTAAATCTTCATCAGTGGGAGCATTTCCTATTAAGATCACCGAAGGGCAATTTTCTTCGCATGTGTAGTCGCAGGAGTCCGCTTAATTGATTGATTGATTCGAAAAGAGGACAAAGCAGTAAATAATTCACGGTTATTTTCGGTTACAAGTACACGTACCTTGAATATTGCAAGTAAAACCATTCGAACACCACCTTTCCTCTCCACATTCAAGTCCTGAAAGTGGCCCTTGGAGTTTTCCGCAATCTGTATCTGCCAGTACATCACTGGCTGCTATGAACGTAGAAATTAACGCACAACGCATAATTATACAAATTCTCTGTTATTACCAACTTATCGTTGTTCAATTAAGCTATTTCCGCAACGGGATGAATTTATATCACCAAAGATGTCCGACATGTGACGTTAGAGATAAGAACCGCGAGCTTATCGAAGAAGGTTTTGACGAGTCTTCGGAGAAAGCGGGTGATTCTTTCTCAATAAATTCCAGTTCTTATGCGATTCTTCCGTTATTGCGCTGCGCAAGGCTCACCGATTTTCGAGTATTTTCGAGGAGACGCTATAAATTCCTGAAACTTGAAAATATTTACCTCTCCAGAAGACAAGAAGATTTACTTCTTCTTTACAATTTTGAAGTCGCGTGAGGTCACACGAATGATAATCATGATATAATGATTATATGTATCGTGTCTTATAACAAAAGATCAGCATTCCTTTGACGTAAATAAAAATAGTTATTAGGAGTTGCCTGGCGCCAAATAAATGGTGAAGTGCAGCATCTTTGACTACCTAATTACGCCACCTCGCCGATTGAAATTATCGAAAGCGCCACTGTTACGACTACTGACCTTTTGGCGCGGGTATAAAACCAATTTTCTTCTTCAGAAGACTCATTATTTAAATTAACCAACCTTCCCTTTATTTAAAAGATATTTAAACAAAATGAACATCTTGCTCATTTTGACTCTCGCGCTCACAGCTCAAGCCTATCCGCACAGAAGCAGAAGCAAAAAAGAAAGTAAGTAAAGAGATTGAAAGAAGAAGACAAGAGATTTGATAAAGGATATGAACAAAATACTTATTTTATATTTAGTTCGCAAAACAAACGATTGCGTCGATCCCGAATCACTCTCAATTCGACAATTGAAGGTAATAATTTAAAAAATTTTTCGAAGCTAATCTTATAACACTACAAACAAGCATTAACATTATTTCTTCAGAAATTGCTCAAGAAAAAGCGCCGAGATGCCCGCCGCCTCCGAACCCCAGCTGTACAATATTGGCCTGATCAGAGCATTGACCCGTACTTCGAACCCAGTTTGGACAATGAATTTGAATTCCTCCACGACTACCCCAATGATCAGCCCGTCCGATTCGACTTCACTGGCGACATTGTCGGCTAAGCCAGATTTCCAAAATGTCAAACAAATTATGCCCTGTAAATCACAGTCTTAATTTCAAACCTTATTTAAACTAAACAACCTATCCGTACTGTCTCTGATCCCAATACACAGCCAAGCCACTTCCTCAAATTTGCCTTTTATTGACTCTAATTAATTGTTGTAAAAACAGTTCAATGTCCATGTCGAACGATGCAGTCTTTCTTGCCAGAAATCTTGTCCGAGGAATATTCGAGCATGTCCGCATTTTTGAGAAGGTAGCAAATACGATCATCAGTGTCGTAGGTCCAGAATTCACAGTCCATCACATTTCTGCAGATTCGGTGGCAATCATCGTCCTTAAATTAGTATTTCTACATCATCATAATATAGACACTTACGCTTCGGACACCTTCAACACCACCATTTGGTGCTCGAGTTACAACGTCAAAGTTAGACCACATGCTATCGGTGAGCTCAGAATTCTAAAAATACCGTTCATAAAACCGCTATTGCCTTGACATATCAATTTTACCATCATGACGCAGTAAGAATTGCTGCATCCACTTTCGGCGCTATCAAAATCGGGATTGGATTCTTGGTAGCGGCGGGCTTCGGGTGATTTAAGGTAGCAAAACTTGCGCGACTTGTCAAAGGTCACATATTCGCACTCATCAGCGTATTCACAAATTTCCGCGCATTCAAAAACGCTCTAGAATCTCTTAGGAGCCGTTCCACACTTTCTGTGTTACCTGGACAGTCTCGATTCTTTGATAGCCAACGAGGCTGTTACGTCCATGTCGTTGGTAAAAATCGAAACCTTCCAAGTGGCAACCAAGGCAACCATCTCGTGGGCCAGTGAACTTAACGTCGCTGTCGACATCATGTTCAATCTCCTCGATATCCTTGTACAAAGTGCATTCGTTTGAGTCGCGCTCCCAGACGAACCACTCGCAGCCGGCGTTGACGAATTCTTTGCAGGATTGCTGGCAAGCAGCAGCGGAATAAACTCGAGTAGCATCGGCAACAACGTTGCTTCTCCAGATGTTTCCGTCAATGTCAACATCTCGCATGAAGCATTTTTCGGGGATATGTGGACCGACGACTTCCTGAAGATGGCTACCCATACCTTGACCCCATCTGTTTTGAGAACCTAAACGGATATATCACGGAAAAATTTAGAAAATGAATATACGACAAGTCTAACTAGTATTATCTCGTACCTTGCTGTTGTTGTTGAACTACTCCTATTGATCCTGTATTCGTACCTTGGTATTGGTTTCCCCACTGATTAGTTGGGTAGTACTGAGCTGAAACAGCGGCGAAAACTCCTCCGAAAACTTTCATTCTTCTGTAGAATCAATCCCGAGTCTCGAGTTTATTCTGTAGTGCCGAAGATCAAGCAGAACACTTTAAGGCCCGCGAGTGTTTATTTACTTACCTTGAGTAAACGCATATTTACTGAACTTGATGTCTTTTTCAGAAAATTCTGACTACTCATTAAATTTGAACATGAACATTGTGCAATTCTTTGACCGAAAATTTCGAAAATATAAAAATATTTTGTTATAAAATACCTGGAGGGAGTGCGGATTTAGGGCAGATTTGAGCAGCAATAATTTCCGGGTAATTCGCTGCGTTACCTGTGTAGCTCAGTTGAGCAATAGATACCGGTTCAAAGGAAGGTGCAGTGTATCCATGAAATTGCCACCAGAAAAACAATCGATGAGCGAAGTCCCCAAGATCTTCAACTTTATTGAGGCTTTCCTTCAGTGGATTCCATACCCTCTCAAATGTTACGCCTTTAGAGAAAAGGATCTCGATATAGTCGTTCGGTTCGTAGTTTCTTGTGAGAGCATCGCTAGACATGCGAATGTTCATCCATCCACGTTGGACCCAAGATGAATCTACCCAGACCTCGAGGGAATCGCAGAGAGAAGCATCTGTCATTCCTGGGGGATTCGTTGGTGGTTCATTCGTAGTCGTTGAGCCAACAGTTGTTGAAGTAGAAGAATCATCACCAAAACAAAGTTTTGCGGAAAGAACGGAGGGAAGATTTTCTGGGGTTGCTTCACCAGCGAAGCTCATCAGTCCAAAGTAAGTATCTGGAACTTCACCAGTCCAGCCGGGGAAATCAGTAGAGTCGAAGTGAGCTCTGATTTTGGAGTCGGATAGGTAGCTGTAAAGTCCAGCTGGATCGGATTCTTCGAAAGGATGAGACAAATCCTCAACGGTTACTGCCTTGCTGAACTCAATTTCAAGATAGCCATCACTAGGAATAGCATGTTCCAAAACCCGAGACTGGATGTAAAACTGCGCCTGGCCGATGCCTGCATCTGTCCAGAAGTTTTGGGCGGCAACAAGAACGTCTTGGCAGACAAGATCTGGAGATGGCGTTGTTGATTCATCTGTCGTTGAAGTCGTTGTTGGTGTGGTCGTCGTAGTTGTTGGCGTGGTTGTCGTGGTTGTTGGAGTCGTTGTCGTGGTTGTTGGAGTCGTAGTTGTTGTTTTAGTAGTAGTTGAGGTGGTTGTGGTAGTAGTGGTAGTAGTTGTTGTCGTCGGAGTTGTGGTTGTTGTAGTAGGTGTAGTAGTTGTTGGATCAGTACCAGTACAGATAGAAGCGCTGACAGCAGTAGGGAAATTACCAGCCGCGCCTGAGAAAGTCGCTTGGCCCATGGGATCCATGCCTGCAAAGGCGCCTGACCATCCTTGGAACCATTCGTTACTATCCATGAAGAAGCGATATTTGTTGTTTCCGAGATCCTCCATATTATTTGCATTGAAGGGATCATAAACCGAAGTGAATGTTAGTGGGCCAGAGAACTGAATATCAAGATAGCCATCTTTTGTGATAGGTGGATCAGCGACAAAAGGCTCGATATTGAATTCGCCAGTAGAAGATCTCCAGGATGATTCGAGCGTAACTGTTACTTCTTGGCATCCAGTGGGTGGGCCCGTGGGTTCAACAGTTGTCGTTGTGCTACCATCAACTCCATTTTTGTCGCAGATCTGCGTCCAGAGAACGTCAGGGTAATGCTCTGCCGATCCAACAAAACTAAATTGTCCGAAAACATGATCGACTTTTGATCCCGTCCAGTTGGTTACTCCGTTAACAATGAAAAATCGATAGATATTGTTTCCCATATCCTCAAACTGGTCTTGAGACCATGGATAGTAGACCTGTTGGACTCCAATAGGTCCATCAAAACCAACTTCAATGTAATCACCAGTGACATAGGTCTCTTGGACATTGTGATTAAGATAGAGATCCATGAAACCGCGAGCAGTCCACGCTTGTTTCATAGAAAGCGTTGCATCCTCACAGAAAGAACTATCAGTAAGGGGAGATGTAATCGGTGGCCCTTCAGTTGGACTGCTCTCGTGGCAAATTTCCAATGAGTTCAGAGTCAAAGATTCAGAAATTTGGCTGGAAAATCGAAGCTGAAACTCAAGGTTGGCGACATTTGTTCCTGAAACATAATCGACCACAGAAAAGTCGATGGAATTTCCACTGATGGTACCAGTTTCGAATGGCCAGTATGCTTGAAGATCTGTTCCGTCGGGAATATTGTCAAAAGTCACTTTCAAGTAGCTCTCATCTCGAATTCCAGAGTTGGCATGAACATCATCATCAAACTCAGCTGAGATTTTGAACTGTTCTCCCTCGAGCCACTTTTCGACCTGCGTGTAACTGAACCCAGGAACTGGGAAGCATCCAACTGGACTTGGCGCACCTGTAGTAGTTGTCTGACCAGCTTCAGTAGTCGTTGTTGTCGACGCAACAGTTGTTGATGTTGTTGTCTCAACGCATTCACCGCAAACGAAGACTTCAATTACTTGAGAAGCAAGTCCATCCAAATTGATGTTGAATGACATCGGATTGTCTTGGTCGGCGAGGAAGTTGATCTCAAACTTGTTACCACCTAGATTTGAAACGAAGTCGATTGGATAAGGAAGAACGGATGGAAATTCGACCAGATCATCAAACTGAACAGTGATTTTCTTTCCAGCAGATGAATCTGTGTTTGTACTGGTCAAAGTCATACACTGATTATTGCAAGACTGGGATGCCCAAGTGTTGGAGATGGTGATATCATCGGTGTGGTCAACACAGCACTCTTCTGGGGGAGCATCACAACCCTCTGTTCGAATATCAGCGAGATTAGGAAGGTTGCAAAATGGAGTGTCCGGTCCATAAGAAGCGCAATCAACTCGGTTATTCTCAGAGTCGAAGCAAGAGCTGACGATGAAATCGTTCGAAACACTTTCATAGCATCGATATTTTCCGGTCTCGATATTAAACCTAGCGTATTCAAAGTTGGGACAAGCAGCTTTATTTGTTTGGGCACATTTTGCGTCCATTTTCTCCTGAATACAAGAATCGATGGTCAGTGGTGGATCTGTTGGTTCCACGGTACTCTGGCAGTATTCCATTGTTGATGGAACTAGTTGCTCCTGGGGTCGAGGAAGAACGTAGTTTGCAGTAAAGCTAGACGCGAGGATGAAGCTTCCTACGGCAGCATCCGCTAGCTCGAAATTGAGAGAGTTTCCGTCCTCTGTGACGCTATCAATAGGGTATCCAAAGGAATAAGAATCGATAGCTGGAAGGGATGGAAATGTGAGGCGAAGAACACCATCTGCTCCGAGATAAGATGGGTCCTTAGTCAATAAATATAAAATTAACGTGGATGAAATTCACCTGAGGATCAGTGCTGAACACATTCAAAATCTGGATAGTGACTGATGAGTCGTCTTCATGAATGAAACGGTAGTTATTATCTACTTCGACAGTATATCCAACGCAAGAAGATACATCGACGTTTACTGCGCTGACCGAGGCCAAAAAGGATAAAGTTCCTGCCTTCGCCAACATGGCTCTCTGTGCGAAAAATCAAAAGCGGGCTCTCACATGGGATAAGATTCATTCGTTGACCTTTCTGTGACCTGCATTATTCTGACAAACTAGGGGAGAAATCCTGCGCATTTTATGTCTATTTTTGCGAAAATATATCAAAGATAATAACCGAATTCGAGAAAATTCAAACTCAAGTTTTGTGATTTGTTTTTTATTAATTTATTTTACAGCCCCTTCGCACTCGAAGTTCTTTTCAGTCAGGAGTTTTTATAATACAGTAGCCATAGTTATCGGCCTACATTCTAAGGGGCATCTACCATCACGGCGTCGAACATTTGATCCAGCTCAACAGCAGTGCGTTCTTGATCTCTTTCATCGAGGAGTACATATCGACCTCCAACGCGGAGAGTTTCATTCGAGAGAGGTTCAGCCTCGAAATCAGGTCTGGAACTCGGCCCTGGCAAACAAGCAAGCGGTGTATAGTGATTCATTGGAATGGGTAAGTTTCCGGAAAAGTTGGAATAATTCTCGTATGTGGGGTCGGGTTGTTCAGAAGCCATTCGAGGCTCAGCATATTCGTTGCCACCGCTCTGCATGGCTGAGTTTAGCTCGGCCTCTAGTGTTTCAGGATCACCTTCCATCATCGTTACTTCTGGAGCCGCTGTTCGCAAGGCAACAGAGGCCGAAAGTGTCATTTTTAGAATTGCCTTTAGTTGATTTCGTCGTCTTCAGTGGATAATAAAAGTTTTTTACTTTAAAACAATCTTGAAATTTCTGTTATCCTTTCCTTCTCTCGACACTAGGTCGGTTACTTAAAAATTGCGCTCTTGTTTCAATCTTCTTTCTCTCCACCGAATCAAAGAGCATCTCAGTGAGTTTCATCGGTACAGCAGAGGGGGGAATCCAGACGTTTGGGTCCTTGCATTTGTCAGCAGTTCGTAAAAGTTTCCCAAAATGCTGTCCTTTCCAGTTCTTGAATTTGAGATTTCCGATGATGTGTTTGAAGAAAAGCCCGTTTTCTGCCGCTTTGCCCTTGTTACGCATTCGAGAGATGACATCCTGGAAGCGTTTGAATGTATCTGGCTGGTAGCCCTTGTCATCCAGCTTCTTGGGTACCAGCGCTGTGCACGAATTGTCAGTATTCTCAGGTGCCAGAAGCGCAGGTAGAGGGTTCTTTTCTCTTCCATAAAGGTCTGGATACATGTTGAACATCGCATCTTTGTTCTGCTCCACAAGTGCTAAAAATAATAATTACGAGAGAAAAAGTGTGATAACTTACTAGCAGGATCTTTATGATAAATGTCCCTGTTCAAGATGACAAGATTTGGATCACGAGCGACTTGCTTGTGGCAGGCTTTTTCGTGAGCTTCCAGTGCGATCGCTTTCTTGAGCGTGCGAATCTTCTCAACTTTACATGCTTTTGTCGATTTTATGTACGGGATGGGCTTTTTCCTCGCAATATGATCTTCTCTTAGATGCCATCGTTTCAGGCACTGACCATCGTTACGCGTTTGTACATGCAAAGCAACCATCGTCCACTAAAAATGAATAAAAAAGAGAAACAACATCTCGAAATACCTGATTTCCATAAATTTTATGGCCTTCTTCAAGAAGTTTATCTTCCTCTTGCGTCCAAGGTCCTCGAATATGCCCATGGCTCAGAGCGTTGTGATAACGATCACGCATCTGCATGTCAGTTCTGAAGCTCCCATCCGCATCTTCGAGCACTTTTGAGTCTCGGATCCGCGCCCACTCTTCTCCCATTTCTTGAACAGCGCGGAGGAGTTTCACGTCCTCCCTAATGTCCCAGCCGCCTCGCTTGATCTTTGGATCGACAGACTTCTTCCAGCGGTGTGTACATTGCTAGAAATATTGTTAGTTTAGTTATCGTCAGTGTAATTATACCTGCGGTGTTCTTCCGTTGATTTGAGCAGCTACCGTGTTCCAGCTAACTCCCAAATGACCGTCTTCATGAAGTTGACTTTCTTCAACTGCTTTGAGCAGAATTCTATCTTCTTCTTTCGTCCACGGTCTTCCCTTTTCTTCGTCCTGCTGCATTTTAGTCCACTGGACGCAACACTGAATGGCAGTTCTGCTGACCATCTTTTCGGAGATTTTCCTCCAACATCCAGTTTCGCCGAATTTCTTAACCCACTTTCGCAGGTTCTTTTTCTCATCGCTTGACCAGTGCGATCGCTTGATATCTAAATGTGCCGCGTTTGACCATCTTAATCGACACTCGTCAGGAGTTCTCAGACTCTTTAGATGGGTAATCGAAGTGACTTCCCAATCGTATTCCTGATGTCTTCCACCGATCAGATCTCTTTCGGATTGTTTGCTGAGCTTGTGGAGATCTGTGTTGAGTTTTTTGAGCTTCGAGTCCATCGATTCTTTCTGAGCCTTTTTCATTGACTGCCTTACTGTTCTCAGGACGGGTCTTGAAGCTGCCTCGATAACACCCTTCTTCAAGGCTCTGTCTTCTTCCGGCGACCATTTTCTTGGAGGATCTTGGTTGACCGACTCGAAGGGCTCACATATCTTCTGTTTCTCCAAGTCGTTATCGCTTACGCCCGGTGGGACGCGCCAACCGGTATCCGACTGACAAAAGTAGCCATTGCTGAACATCGGCAAATTCATGCTCTTCCTCCCCCGATTTCTGTCCGAAACACCGTTAATCATCCCAAAGACGACCATGTGACGCTCTTTGACCGCCGATAGTCGAATGCCAAGTCTCTTGATGACATCTTTTATTCTCTGTTGGCTCGCCATATTAAGCTTCAGAGAGCCGATCATTTGTTCTCTGAAGTTTTCGGTGCGGTGGACGTTTTCGATGACATCCTGGAGCTGAAAGACATGGAATTTACTGTCATTGAGTTCCTCTGCTGTCTTTTGAATTTCCATATTATCGGGAATAGAAATCACTTGTCTTTTTTTGACGTCAAAAACAAGAAGCTAAGGTCATCTGAAGATAAATTTTTATATGAATATTTTTGACGCTTTCCTATCATCAACTGGAGCAAGTTCGTAACTCTGGACATCATCGATTTGCTCTGTATGTGTTTTGACATCAAAGACGTTGTTTTCATCGTCGTAAACGACGAAATTCCCGTTCGCTGATGGGATAGAGGATGCAACTGAGGGAACAGAAGGAACTGAAGCTTGCTGAGGTTCTAGGGATAGGATTGGTTTCTGGTCGTATTGGATGCTCTGGGAGTCGCTTCCGGTAGAATTCTCAACTGAAAGCTCATCTGAAGCGGAAGGAGCGGAATTGCCTTCTGAGTCTTCAGTTTTCTGGAGCATGAACATATCCTCTGCATTTTGGGTGTTTTGACTGGTGTCCACCTAAGTAGATTAATAAAAGAATACCGGATGGAATGCAGACCTTGCTTTCATAAACAACTTGGTTCTCATTTTCTTCGTCTTCCTCTTCGAACTCGGGTGCATAGCCAGCTAGCGGGTTGTTGCTCAAATTGAGCTCCTGGAGTACTTCAAGAGTACCAGGATGGTGATTGTCTAGGGTGTTGAGGTCCATGGCTTGAAGCCTGGGGTGAACTTTGCGGAAATTTTACGGTAAATAGGATCGATAAATGAAGTTAAATGTTTCTCTAAAATGAAAATCGAAATGATGAGATTTTGGAATGGAAAATGGATTCTCGAGAAGAACCGTAGAAAATTTGAAAGTTGGCGGCCATTTTTGGGCCAAAAGTTTCTAGATATCGATCTGGTTATCGACGTTCTAGAGAAATTTTGTTTTAGCTAAACTTTAGCTGCTAAAGAGGTTCATTTTCAAAAACCACTGTAGGAATGTGAAATCACGTGTTTGTTTGCAATTTTTCTCGCGAAAATGAAAGACCATAAAACATCCGAATTTTTTCTGAAATTTGGAAGAAAATATCTCTCTAAACAGGGATTTCTCTTACAAACCGCGGCGCATTCGATCCCATGCCTAACTGGAAGCCATAAGACCTCTGAGGAGCTAACTGGCTATTTTGAGCAGCAAAAAACTGCGGAATTTATCCCACGCGACGCTCAGTGGAGTGCGCCCAAACGGCCAATCAAAGTCCACTCCACATTTTTGCCAGTCACTCAAGAAAACCACAAAATTGAAAAATTAGAGAAAATTTGCATATCGTGATTTCGACTTAAATACCATTAATAAAAAAAAATCATGATAGTTCAAGTTACCAATTAGTCGAATTCAAGTCAAGAATTTTCTTTATTACGACATTAAGTTGTTGGCAGCAACAATTAAAAATGAGCTTTTACTTTCAGTAAATTTCTACTCTTTTAAGAGTCTCATACTTGGTCTCCTCACGCGTATTCTTTTTAATGGTCAATTTTGAGTCATATTCTGTAGCTTACAGAATTTAGTGAACGCTTCTTTGGCTTCTGATTTTGGGTCAGTTCTCCAAGGTTGATCACCAGCAAGGTCTGAATGTGAACAGCAGAACCAATTATCCTCATTCCCATTTCAGTGGAATCCAAAATTTGACACCATTTTTCCTGATAATTCACTGTTTTATGATTTCTAGTTTTTAGATCATCAGGTCGTCGTAATCTTTCGATCGTCAATGGGATGGGTGATGTGGCGTCGTCGCTCGTCTCTGCGTCGACTGAAGAACTCTTGCGCCAGGCAGCAGCTCAAGAAGTAAAAGCGCTCACGAATGAATACAGACTTGCTCTGGCCCAAGCCCTCTTTCTCTCCGTACTCGAAGAAAAGGAAGCCACTAAGGTCAGTGTTGAATTCAACGCGTGTCATTAAATCCTTCTAGGAACCAGACATAGCTTGGAAACTAAAACGACGCACCTGGAAGTCTTTTAATCGAGCGCTTCACGAATCGTGGTGTTGGATAAAAGCGCCAACGCTCGGCAAGAAATGGAAGAAACTCTATTGTGTCGCCAGGCCGGACTATTCCTTCGAAGCTTACGAAACGAAGGAGCATTATTCTAGCGCCGCCAAGCCCAAGTACAGTTTGCGCCCGTCCGGCTACTGCATTCTCCACGCTGCGGAGCAATGGCGGCAACTGTGGACCAAGCGGACGGCGTATTTGTTGCAAACAGATACGCCGAAAGAAATTTCCGAGAAAATAAAAGAAAAACCGTCACCAGCAGATTATACGATCTGCTTGTCGCATCCTATCATGGAACCGCTCTTTATCGGCGTAGAAACACCCGCGGAAAAGGAAGTGTGGAACCTCATTCTAGGTGATTTTATCCGGCGAACTTCAGAGTTGAAAGCAGTAGACGATATTCAAAAGCACGCATTGGGTGCAGCAGTAGAACGCACGCGCAAGCTCCATCAGTGGCGCGATCCAGATCTTGTGGCGGCGGGAAATGAAATCGACGTTGTCTATCACGTCGTAGCCGAACGATTACTCGGCGAATTGGGAATTTTAGCGAGGGAGAGTCAAAAACTAAAATTTGAAAAGTTCACGGATAAGCAACGCGCTATAGAAGCTGGATTTGAACTAGTCAAAGCCATCTCCAAGGACGTAGTTATGAATGGCACGGGCGATGCTTCTTATCAAAAATCAAAGTCGGACGTGGAAGTCGAAGTACGTTCCCTCCGCCCTCTTCTGGTCAAGGAACTCAAAAGATTGATCAATCACAAATTGAACAAAGAGCACGAAAAAGGAAACATTTCTGAGGCCTTTGGCGCGATGGGAGTAGCCTTGGGTACTTTGAGTCCTTCGATCGACCTCGGATTCAACGCAGTGCAGTCGCTCTTCCAAGACGCCGTGAAAGAACTGAAGGGGATGATCCAGCGAAAGCCAGTTTATGTAAACCACGTGGATATCTGGTTCCTTCGCTCGATGGACCCGCTCTCGAGAGATCCTCTCAAGCTCCGCCCATTGTTGAAATCACTGGTGCGTCTTCCCCGGCCAGCAGCGGCCTCGGCCTATATTCACTGCCAAGAACTTCTTGACTCGCTTGTTTGGACTTTTGAAAATCTCGTCTCAGAAGGATCAATGAGAAACAACGGCCGACTCGTTCCGGACGAAGTCACGAAGATCGAAGAAAAGGTGCTGGAAAAATTCGAGTTTGATAAGGAAGAACTAAAAAGGATGCTTCTTGCAAAATGGCTTCTCAATGAGGGCCGACAGAGACTACCTCCAGTTGAGCCAGTACCAGCAGGAATGAGTTCAAAAGAAGAAAATAACAGCTAGATTCTATTTCGTGGGAATTAAAATCTCCTTCAACCAAAATTGGCCGACTTCGGTTTTGACCCCTGCGGCCTTTAATTAATCCTATTATTCAATTCATTCTGACAAATTCGCGCCTTTCTCCATCAAAGCCAAGCTTAATCCCTTCGTTTTCGAGATAAATTGGAGCTGAAAATATATTTTGATAACCATGTTTAAATTTTTAAAACCTCCTGGCACGCCAAGGCCGCCAAGGTCAAGTAGACAGTTGGGATTAGAGACTGATCTGGACTCTAGGAAAGGCTTCAAAGAACACGACAGGAGAGATATTTTCATGCGGCCGCAGCTGATTCAAGAACGAGTATTGCTCAATAAGTTGCGGAAATATGCGGATGAATTGGTAACGCCAAAACCGCCGATTGAAGAAGATTCGTCAAAACTCAGCGCGTTTTCCTCTTTGGAAGGTTTCAAAGTCTAATTTGATTAGTAGCTTCTCAAATTATTCTTTTAAGATGACCAAGCAGAAAAACTCAACTACGTCAAGTCTGAGCCTCCATCTCCGATTCCAGAGGTCAAGCGTAACGATTCCATTTCGTTTTTAAAAGAGGTCGTCGAAGGTTAGACGAATCACGTTCCTTCTTCTCGAATTTGCAACTTTTCAGGAACGAAAGGCCTCACAATTGATTTTGAATCGAGTAACTTCACGAGTTCATTCGCCAAGCCAGCAGCTGAAAAGTCCTCCATACTCGAGCCTAAGCCACAGTCAGAAGTGACTGTCACGAGATCGCACACTGTCACTGAAAGCGCTTGGAAAAGCCCCATTCATAGGCCAAAGCCGCGTGAGCCAGTTGTGAGCCCGACGCTGACGACAAACTTAGAAGCGCTAAACAACTTCAATCAAAATAATCAGTCGACAATAAGCATTTCATCGAGTGAAAAATCCTCCGTGCCTTCGAACACCCTCAATCCAGCGCAACTACAGGTGATTACTGGAATAACCGTTAGGCGATACATCTCTTAAAATCTAGATTTGCTTCCATACTATGTTAGTATGTTGTTTGTAACTTTTTTTATCGAATATATTTTGTCGAAAATATATATTTTTGAATGAAATCTTTTCATAGCAAATCCGTGCCTTGACGGGCATCAAGCCAAAAGAGATCAAACCTAAGAAAAAATCCACTTCCAGCTCATCAGCAATCAAATCATCCTCTGCCAGTAAAGTGCTTGAAAACGGCACGCAAAAGCCTATTTCGAAAAGAGTCGATGTTAATTATCGCGATGTTGATAATCGTCTCAAGGTAGACCTCAGTCTTTCATTCTTTTATCTCATGCCGATTTTAGCCTATCGATCCCGCAGACCCAGAACTTCCACCAGGAACAACGCAAATATCAAACGAAATCGCTGACAAACTTTTAAGCAAGCCAGAAGGAACTACCGAAGGGAAAAAGCCAGTCGTCATCACAGCCAAAGTCACGAGTCCTCATGTTCAGGTAACTCAGCCGAATCAAGAACCAAACAAGAACCTCTGAAAGCAAATTAATTATTTAAAAGACGCGTTGAAACTCCCCAACTGAAATTTTGAATAATTCAGGCGCTGAATGAGCGCTACGCCACGCAAGAAGCTGAGCTCCAGAAAGCCGATCGGGAGCGCGAGAAAAAAGACTTGTTAGAAAAAGGCAACTCTTCGGCGCACTCTGACTCGTCGATGAAATCAGCCTCCTTTGGTGGGGGACTGTTGAGCGGCATCAAAAGCCGCGGAGCAAAGAGGCAGCCAAGTCCGAAGCCGAGAACAGAAGAATGGGTCCAGCAACATATGAATCAGCAGCCTGAAGCGCCAGATGAACAATCTGACGAGCAAAAACTCAACGATGATTATGAAAAGCGAAAACATCTATATGAGTAAGCAATAATTCATTCCTTGCGTTTTCTATTTATTGCATGTAGAAATCTGCCAAGGTCAAGTCCAACTCCGCAAGGTCTTTCGTCTTCTCAACCTCATCTCAATTTACTCGCTGGACGTGACAATGATTTACGATCGAAAAGCGCCGCTCAAGGTAAATAACGATGTTTTCAAAACGAGTTTTTCCGAAGATGTTTAAAATTAATCTGATTTACAATATTCAATATTCAAAACACGCGGTTTATATTCCTAAGTACCCCTCTGCCGTAACAAATTTGATTTGTTATGGCAATATACTAGCTTAGATGTGGTAATGCTTCCAAAATTCTAAAAATATAAAGCTCGCTATTTTTAGCGACAATCATTAGCGACATGAAGCTTGGCTCCGAACCTGACATCCAACATCAATCTGTAGAATCGATTCCGACCAAAACTGCTACGAGAAAGAAGAGAGTCAAGGACGCCCGTGCCAGAGCCATTCCAGATGACAGTAGCGACGATAATTTACCACGTGAAGCAGCGGAAATGACGGTAAAATCGAAATCGGCGATTCTGAACGAGTCGGCTATTGCGGGAACTATCAAGAGGAAGAAAAAGAAGAAAAAACCTGCCAAAGGTAAAAACATCCCATTATCTTTTATCTAATATTTGTTTTCTAGTTGAGGAAGCATCAGTCGATAACAACAACAACAAAATACCAAGAGTGGAGCCAGAAAAGATCTCCAAACCGCCGAAGTCCGAGCCAGAGAAGTCAAAGGAAATAGTCCCGAAAACTGCAAAAACAGCTGTCCCAGAATCCAAAAAGAAAACAGAAGAAAAGAAAAAGTCCTCCACTTCCTCCTCGTCCGCTAAACCGCGAAAATCAACCACGAAAAGCGAGGGGAAAACAACACCTGATCCTCCCAAAGCCGCCCAGAGTGACACGAAAATTAAGGGTTACCGAGATTTCAATGAGCTCCAGCGAGAGATGCGAGAGCGTCAAAAAGAGCTCAAGAAGAAACTCAAGCAACAGAAAAAGGCAGAGAAAGAGACTCTCAAAAAGAAAGCTGACGATGGCGGAGACGCTAGAATTTCCGACAACTCTGAGGACTCTGACTTGCCGGAAAAGTATATCGAGGAAAATGTGACCGAGAGGCAGTTTGTCGATCAAAATGGAAAGGTGCAAAAGGAAATTGTCAAAACTGAAGTGCTAAAGACCCGCTCGAGGAGTAGATCCAAAGTAAGCCCTTCTAGCTCTCTAGAATCATTTTCATCATATTCAATTCAGTCCCGTTCGAAGATCTCTGCGGACGGCATTACCCACACTGAACATATCGACCTGTCTACTGGCCACCAAGACTCCGTTATCAAGGCTGGTTATATAGTGAACTCAACCCCTAAACACATTTATAAAACAACAGTCATTGTTCATATGCCAAACTACAAATTCTAACTCTACAGTAGCTAACTAGTTATTAGTCCAGCGGCCTTAATCAGCACGTATTCATGAGTGTGGCCTTAGGCGGCGCTTGGCTTTTGAGATATGCGGAAGCTTCTAATATGGGCTAGCTGATTCCGGGCGTCAAGTCGGAGGCCGACTATACTTTCTAGAGAAATTTAGAACAATTACTAAAACACCTCAAGAACATTTGTGAACGGATAACAAATGTAGATAAGCAAAAAACTAACTGCTACTGACATGCATGTATATAACAACTGAAAAGCGAACCTTGAAAGAGAAGATTCGTGAGAAGGAGAAAAAAGCCCGCGAAAAATCCAGCTTCTAACGTCCTTACCTTCCTAGTTAACTAATTAATTATTATTATATTTAACAAAAAAACTTCCAACCACTTTACCTAACACAGAGCAAGCTCTCATTTCTCGAGTTCTTGCTCGAGTACCACCATGATAGCCTAACGTAGCCTATTTCATCAATTACTGAAAATTACAGAAAATCCGTTGCTTTCTTCCAAGTTCAATTTATTTTATGATTGATCTTATCCCTTTTTTAACTAACTTACCCATCCAATTTCTTGTTGAATAGGAAATTTATCTCCTTACCTCTAAATTTCGTATTCAACAATATTTTTGGGCATTCATTTTTGTTGACAAAAATGGATATACAGTAACCCCGCTTACTCCCAAAAACCGTTCGTACTCCACTCGGATGCCACTTATTTTTACCTCACTTTTAATCCGAGTGTTTCTTTTTTTTTCCTCGTAATTCATCAGCAGCATGCTAAAACACGGTGAAGTCACGGATTTCTCATCCCATTTTTTCTATTTATGTAAACTAGGGTCGGAAATTTCCGGGCCATGATCACGGTAGGTGCCGATATTTTTTTGGGTGAACCAATGGGATGTACTCTTCCAGAAAATACACATGGCCCTCCCTTAACCCAACATCGACAAGCAAAATTTAACCTGTTTTTGAAAATAGCTTTTTTCATTAAAATTATCTATTAAGATTATTTTTAAAAGTATTTTATGCGTGTAAAATCAAATAAATAAAATCAAAAATAATAATTAACCTATTTTCGACAGGGGAAAATTAACGGATTTTCGAAAAAAAAATTTTTTCTTTAAAAAAATGATATATTTATAATAAAAAATGCATTATTATCCATAACAAATCAATATAAGAAATAAACGCCCTTTCACAGGCAAAAATATCAGTAATATTTATTCTAATTTCAATAAAATTGACCCCGCGAGTTCATGGGAATATAAATCAAAGAATTGAAAGAAACTCTCGAAAAAATAAATCCTGAAATCAGAACCATAATAAAGCTAAAAGCTAGCATAAATTAAATTTTTATAATGATGGATGTGGGTGGGGCTGGGGACAAAACTGAGATTGATCAACTCAGAAATCCAAGCCTTTGTCAAGCCCCTTAAATTCAAAAATCAAGGAACGGGGCTGAGACGGCCCGAAGGGCCGTCAAGCCCCTTAAATTCAAAAATCAAGGAACGGGGCTGAGACGGCCCGAAGGGCCGTCAAGCCCCTTAAATTCAAAAATCAAGGAACGGGGCTGAGACGGCCCGAAGGGCCGTCAAGCCCCTAAATTCAAAAATCAAGGAACGGGGCTGAGACGGCCCGAAGGGCCGTCAAGCCCCTTAAATTCAAAAATCAAGGAACGGGGCTGAGACGGCCCGAAGGGCCGTCAAGCCCTAAATTCAAAAATCAAGGAACGGGGCTGAGACGGCCCGAAGGGCCGTCAAGCCCTTAAATTCAAAAATCAAGGAACGGGGCTGAGACGGCCCGAAGGGCCGTCAAGCCCCTTAAATTCAAAAATCAAGGAACGGGGCTGAGACGGCCCGCATAAATTATAAGTTTTAACAATAAAAACATGATTTTCGCGAATTATAACAATTTTTCCAAAAATAGGTTTAATTTTTACCGCCGATTATGGGTTAAAAATATATTTTTGAAAAAAATTTCTGATTTTTTACGCTTAAAAAAGGGGAATTAATAGTAAAAATACATAAATTTTGTGTAAAAAGGCCATTTTCAAAAACAGGTTAAATTTTGCTTGTCGATGTTGGGTTAAGCGAGGGCCATGTGCATTTTCTGGAAGAGTACCTCCCATAGGTTCACCCAAAAAAATATCGGCGCCTACCGTGATCATGGCCCTGAAATTTCCGACCCTAATGTAAACTAAATCAATATGCATAATTTCTTACCGCAAAGAACTCTGTCTACTATCTCCGCTTTTGTGCTATCTTCTGTCGCAAAATTTCTGTATCAAGTGCAATTTATCATTTTCTTTCCTAACGTACTTCTGTAGCAAAGCAAATCTGACCCAACATTTCATTCAAAATCATCAATAAATTCTTATAATTCAGATGGATCTCGATTGGTTCGTAAAAGAAGTGACCGAGTTATCCGAAAGACTTCAAATCGCCGTCGATAAATTGCCACAAAAAGACGAAAAGTCGAAAGACAGAAAGTTCGTCCCAGTCTTACATCGAGGCCAAGAAGAGAAACCTGCGCTAGAATCAGAAACTTACTCGCTTGAAGAGCATCAAAGCATCCTTTATAAATCCCTGAATGGAAGTGCTGAAGTAACTCCTGATAAAGAAAGTTTGAAAAGTACAAGGGCGAAATGGACACAATCAAGTTCGCCGGTTATCATCGCCAAGGATACGCAAGATGTCAAACAACCTAATACAGCTTTTGAAATTCCAGTAAGCAGCAGTAGTTTTAAAGGGACTCATCCATTCGTAGATAACACCACCAGCAAAAACGAAGCCAAAGCCAAATCTGCGCGCGACTTCTGCTCGTCAAAAACGCGACCGCATACGATCCATGTTGACGGAACAGGAGATTCGACTAATCTTTCGAGCATAACAAACAGAAGTCCAAGTTCCGATGGAATCGAGCAAGACGAAAACAGGCCTCCGGTAGTTCCTCCTCGATAAACAATAACGGTCTTATCCTTCTTTCTTTAGGATCAGCTAAAAGGCGCAGCTTTTGAAATACCCCTTTCGCCGACTAAAGACAAGAAGACACTATCGTCGAAGCAACGAGATACCTTTGCGATGAAGCAGCTTGAGCGAGAGCAAGAAATCCGCAAGAAGCGATTTCAGCGAGAAGAACAGAAACGACTTGAAGTGCGAAGACGAGCCGCAGAGGTTAGTAAAATGAAAATCGAAGCGATCCGCAAAAAGTCGGAAGAAAAAAGCGCCAAAACAGCTGTTACTAAAACTCCACCAAAAAAGGCGAGAGCTTCATCGGTAACCAGAAGGTCGCCGGTTCAGGCGAAAATTATTAAATATCCAACTACCTGTAGTAAGAGGTCTCTCAAAAAGGTTAATATTATTACGCGGAGACTTGTATGCGGTGATAAGTGTATTCTAATACTGAAATCTTTGGTGAAACGCGCTAGAGTTTGTTCTAAAACATCGTTCAGGATGAGCTGAAAAACGAATCCAAGCAGCATGAAAGCGAGCGAAGAAAAATTATTCTTGAAAATCACAAGGCGAAAAAAGGAATTCCAAGTCCTACATCAAAATCTCCATCGATCAATAAAGTAAGTTTGGGGAAAGTGATTTTCTTAATTGGTATTTTTAGAGCTTTACCAAGAAAGATTTTGAATCAGAAATATTGAGAAAGGTTGTCACTTATCCCCCATTAACGTCTTTGCTCATTTATCAGCTCGATTTTGCGCAGTCGATTGTATTGAAAATAACGTCCTTTCTAGCGTTACGGTAGCGCCGTAAACTTGAGCGAATCGCCATCGAGAATGTCTCGAAGCAAAAGCACAACGCTTTATGATGGTCGATCTACGACAAACTGGGATACGATGAGGTAGAATTAACTTCTTATCTTTTACTCCTAGTTCTGTACTCTTAGTTCTTGTAGCGGCTGGAGTAGCCTTCACTCCCAGGCCTTATCATCAGATAATATGTACGTGTTAAGTGTATCTTGTCGTACTAACGTGCTTATCATCGTAGTAAAATTGGCGACCCTTATAAAGATAACCCATAAAACACACGTTGTGCAAGCCTAACAGTCGAAAACCCTGGAATATCTTATGAAATTCAACATTTTTTCATAAAACAAACGATTAACCGCATGTTTATCTGTCGAAACTAAAACTTACTAATCGAACCAAAAACGCAATCGACTTCGGTAGATAATCATTTAATTCTAGCTGCGTCTCGCAGATTACTACCACACGAGTTTTCAAGGAGCCAACAACCAAATCAAACAAACAACTGATGGAAATGGCGCTCAAGTTTCACGCGCTTCCTGGACCGGTAGGGCTTAATTATATCTCGATTAGCTCAACATAAATCCAGGTGAATAAAAACGAGCGCCTGAAAGCACTGGACTCAATGAATAACTCTGGCGCAAATCACTACATGGCGCTTTACAAAGAAAAAGCCTACCGCGGTCTTTACGAAGTCCACCAAGTCGACGAGCTTATGAGGATATCGAAAATTCATGGCACAGGTCCCAAAGGTTCGTTTCAACAAAATGAGTAGAAAATAATGAGTTTGCTTTAGAAGTGACAGAAACGATGATCTCCGAGCTTCTAAAATTCAACAGCGGTGCGAAAAATTTCCAACTCGTGGATGGCAAGACGTTGAGCCCGGCAATTGACGGTTTTCGTCTCAATCCGAATTGCTGGCTTAGCAAACGACCACGTACGGTGCCTTCTAAGCTTCACTAGAGCTTTTGTTCCTCTTATCAGACGATATCGAAATAATAAGCTTCACCGTTCCGGTTTAATTTTTACTCACTTTTTACAGATACACGAAAAGTAACCGTACATTTTGAATTACCTTTTGTACCTACCATATTTAGCTTCTTGTTTTTTCACACATTCCATCTTAAAAAATGAAACGATAAAGTACGAAATCGATACATTTGAAAACTTACAGTTTCAATTTTTTTCTATCGAAACAACTCACAAAGTTATGTTCACGATCCCCTGACGAAGGCTTCACTAAGTTCACTCACCACCAAAAACGTTCGCTAAAACCAATACTAAATCATTACAACTTGAGAACTGGTGTTAAACCCTGGAGCCTCTTCACAGTTGCTTCATTACTCTTCTCAGTTTTAGTTTCACTGCCGAGTGTGTTTTTTATTTTCCCTTTTTTACGTTTTAGCTTCACATATTTTTATTCTACAAGTCGGCGTGGTTTTTATTTTTATTTCTGTACATGTTATAAACAATAAACAAAGTCAACTAAGTACGGCGTTTTTGATTGTCAAATGATGATCAAATGAAAGCACAACAAGTCGTATAGCAATACGATTAGCAGGTCTCATACCATGAGATTTATTCTAAAGGGAGATCGGGTAGTTATGACAGGAGATATATTCTGGATACGCAAGGCAGTCACTAGAATTCAGCAAAGTTTGACACTTTTTGGCTGCGAGATTTGTCGATGGTTCACAATTTTTCGCATCGTCTGGTTTCTTATCAGGTGTTTCATATTTTTCAACACCTGTTTAGGAAACGCAAATGATTAAAAACAATTGCAGAGGTAGAGTTACTATTCAAATGTCTGAAAGACAGTCGATGAAACATGGTGTTGTGCAAACGGGGAAGGAATATTTTATCTCCTCCGTGCACGTTTATCCGGCTGGAGTTCCAGGGCACTTTTCTGGATTGACAACTTCACTTGACTTTACGCGTTTTTATCTTTTGCGCATTTCTATCTCCGGATTTAGTGATCTCTCTACCACGGACTGAGGATTTTACCGTACTGACTACTTCGTGTCCCAGGAACTGCTCCGAAGCTGCTGCTTCGAGAACAGTGGCATCAACAATTTGGTCTAGAGATCTTTTGGTGCAACAGCCAGCGACTGACAGACTCTGATAACATCCATCTAGAGACTTTTTTAATGCAAAAATTGGCTGTCAACGAATCACCTTCCAGTAAAGATTTTCCTGCACACGTGGACCGACTGCTCACCAGCTTCATTCGTTCAATTGCCCGAATCGAGGCAACACCCTTTCTAATTTTTCAGACATAAGTACCCAAAGCGAGAGAAGAGACTTTCCCCCAGAATAGATCTTTGCTGCACCCTTCATACATTTATCCTCAACAGTAAGCCTTTTTGTTTCAGATTGCTTCCAGTAACACCGTCAATCGGCTGGAGCCTTCCCCGTGGCGTCGATCTCGGACAACTCTTCTCGGACTTGATATCTTTAGGAAAGGCACACGACAGTTTTTATGTAACATATTTCCTCATAAACACTTTTTGCGCCTTTTTAGCACCTTTTATAGGAAGATTTCAATGCTCCTAGGCCTTCCATCGACACGAGTCCGCTGGTTCTCCAGTGGTCGATGAGAAGTTTGATTCTTACATCGTTATATTGAACAAAGAAATACATGTATTTATTGCTATTTATCTTAGTAAGGTGATGTTGAATTTATTTCTTAGGAATAGTCAACAAAATCAGACTATTATAAAATGTGAGGCAGAAAATATTTTTAGCTGTTTACCTTTATCTTGTTGTGAAAATTCATGTGAGTGCCCGCAGTTTTTGTCATTCAATTTTGAGTATAAAGACTTGTAGATAGAAGAAACATCTTTTACATTTCAACGTTTAAGAATGATTCCGACGTGTACGTAAATCTTTCGGATGCCTGATCGTCGATGAAGATGGGGACCTTCGAGATCGTAAAATGCTTATTGCGAACTTGGTTTATCCTATCCCCTTGCTAACAGTGCCTGTACGATTAATGTGAAACGGTAAAATTTATTCTTCTTTTAATTGCTAACTGTTCTTCTAGGTCGAGGCGGATGAAGGGACAATTCTCTTACAAGGCCTCCCATCAAAAGATTAAACACAAATGGATGAAGTACGGTTTCTTGTTACTGCGTGCTTTAGGGACCCCTTCCCCGTATTTCATCCATCGAGTCCGAAGATCGACTCCCAAAACGCTATGATTGTTGATTATTTGTCTAGATAGCCTTTGCAAAGTAGGGAATCCTGTCTGTGTTAGGTACCATCTCCTTTTTTTAATCTTACCCGCAAGATAACTGTGTTTTTTCCGTGAAAATGTGATAATTAAAATATGATATTTGTGAAAAATAGTGAATAAAATGCAATAGTCGATTGGACATTCTAACGATTTCGATTCTGAGATATCAGTTTTGTAATCAGCGTTTATTATCTTCTTGCAGGTTATAAATGCTCATAAGTCGATGTCAAAATCGTGCGAACTGGCAAAGCGCTTGAATACATCGGCAGGGATCCTTGTGAGTTTCATGGGCTCCAATCGAGATTTGTTAGAAATGTACGTCTAAATCGTGGCTATGAACGCCGTCAACGTGTCTCTTGAATCAGAACAATCTGTGACGAGAAATATACAGTTGATCTTGAATATCAAAGCCCCATCCTTGAGAGCGTCGTGTCTTTGAATTACTTCCCAGTGAGTCAAGTTGATCATCTCCATCCAAGGCCAAATAAGGACGTCATCTGAAAATATTCTGCATCTAAAAAAATGCATACTTTGCTTACCAAATTCTAGCGTCTTGCACTTAGATAACACTCCGAAACTTTCCAGCGCCGCGAAATTTTTAAGAGCCTCTTCGAACGTGCCGATAACAGATAGATCTTGATAAAGAAAGCGTAAGTGTTTTTAAATAAATATTTGAGCATGCCTTTGTAATAGCAGATCTTGTACCAGAGGGAGACAATTTGTTCCATAAATCCGTTGAATTCTCCCTGACTCAGTATTTTCGACAATTCAAATTTGTTATCTTTCGCCAGAAGGTTGATGATATCTACCGAGTCTGGAGTAAAGGAGCCATTGTTTTCGTAGACGGGTACTTTAGCGAGAGGACTCACTTCGCGAAACCATTTTGGCTTAGAGTTCAGATCGATGTTGACCGTTTCGTGGTCGATTTTCAAATGAGCGAGGAAAATCTTTCATAAAAACTCAGAGAGAAGTACTAACTTACTTTCACACGCTTAGCATAAGGGCAAAATCGGTTTGAAAACAGTCTTGGTATTTCAACAGCAGGCTCAGGCTTTGGAGAATCTTCTTTCAAGCACTAAAATTGTAATTTTCAACTTGAAATAGCGTTTATAAAGACTTTTGTGTTGCCCATAAAATCGTTCATTCTCGCTCTCTGTTCTCGATCTACTCAGTTTCAATCTGAGTTTTCTTTGAGAGCATCTGAAGTGCACCCAAGCTTCACCACCAAGTTCGCTAATCACGCGACTTTAATTATAGCTAATAATCAATCAGGCTCATCCATAATTATTCCAACTTTCTTCTTTCTCAAGGGCGAACGATCTGCCTTATCTAAATCAGCAAATTACAGTTCAAACTCGTCTACCTTATGCGATGAAAAAGGATACCTTTGGCGGTTTTTAGACTAGCGAGCCCTCATGGCGACTGAAGTAGGTGGCGCGACATGCATGTTCTAAATGAAAAAAGCGCTCAATATAAAAAGGGTTCTGGAAGACTGCGCATCTGCTTATTTGATTTTCTAGCATTATATTTGAATTTTCCTTATTTGAAATCATCAAAAACTTTCAAGACTTACTCGAAAAGACAAAAAACTAAAAGAGAAAAAAGAGAAGAAAAAAGAAAATGAGCTCTGTGGCTTGCGATACGCAAGGAATAACCCAGGAAAGATTCACATTCATTAATTTTTATGTATAAAAATGTGTTTGAAAAACAAATTTTGAGTCTTGTCTTTAGCCAGTTACGACCACATGCAGTCCTTCTCTCTTTGGGGTAAGTATTCATAAATGCGTTTTTGAGGAGCTGCGAATGGACCCCACGACGGCCTTTCTTTCCGGCCCTGGTAGCATAGTCGACACTCCCTCATCAACTGCAAGTAATAACTGCACGGGAGAGATGGTGGATGATCTGTGGAATTTTCAAGTTGGAGGGGATGTCCGAGACTGCGACACAGCGATTGACATTAATGATACAACGATTCTATTTTCAAACAGCGTTTCTGGTACAATTGTTTGAATTGTCCAGCAAAAATAAAATAATAATTCAGGAACTGCTGGAATTTCGACGGCCAAAATCACCCGAGAACGCTCTCTCCAAATTGACTTTTCTTGTGACTTCGAAAAACTCATTCGAGTTTCGACCGCCAACCCCGCTCGCACATCCCTTTACGAAATCAACGTCGACCTTGGTGGCGAGCTGGCTGAGTTTGACATCGGAATGGCACTTTACAAAGACAGCTCTTTCACCGAGTTTGTGCCCTCTGATGCTGTCCTGTACGTCCCCAACCCACTCTTTGTCGGAGTAACGATGCTCGAAGCTCATCAGAATCTGGTCATTCAACTGGAACATTGCTGGGCGACTCCCACGTAAGTTTATCAATGATTATCATCAGGCTGCCGAGGTGATTTTCTGAGGCGAAAAATCTCTATTTTTAGTTTTGTTAATCATCCAAAGATAAAATAATATTGAACGGGATTACTATAAATATCTACTATTTTAGTGACGATCCAGACTCAGAGCCAAGCTACCATTTCATCAACGACTACTGCGGAGATGAGATAGAAATGAGCACCTACCACACACTCACAATGTTTCAAAATGGTCAGAGCAACTTTGCAGCCTTTAGCTTGGCCTCTTTCACATTTGCAATTGATCAAACATCAGATGTATTCTTCCATTGTGATGTTCGCGTTTGCGACAGCAGGTAGGATCAAAAGACTTATGGCATTTATTACTTCGGACTTGTAGCACTGGTACGTGTGAGCCTGACTGTAGTGAAAACAGCCGTCGAAGAAGAAGCACGGGATCTTCTACCGAGGGTATTTCGCAACTCACAATCGGCCCTGTATCATTTAATAACAACCCTTACAGTTGGTGATTCTATCCTGCAAATTCTTTGTATAAAATTTTCTCTGCTTTCTGTGTTTCTAATAAAACTTCTAAGAATGAAAAATTACGGCCAGACAGCAATTCAGTCCTTCATCTTGCACGTAATTTAGTTCGTCCTGAAATGCATCAATCAGTGTCCACTTGAAATTATGAACATTCAACCCCTAACCAAATGTGACGTAAACTCTCTCAAGTCTCCGCTAAGTTTCCTTGGGTAAGGTTTCACCGAAGAGGCAATTAATTGAATTTCCTTGACACTAACCGTAGACGCTCATTTCAGACGACATTTGATATTCCGAACTTGAAAATAAGATCCTCCTTTTCCATATTTTTATATAGAAAAAACTCCGTTTCAATATGAATTTTATTAGGAAATTGTGTTAGTAAATAGATATTTAAATAGTTTCTCGCATGGAACTTCCATAGGAAGACATAGAAGAATATTAAGTTATCTCTTCGAAATAAAAAAAGATTGATTAGTGTAAAAGGGCGAATATTCAGAAATAGCAAAGAAGAAAATATATTAGGATAGTGTATTAGAGTGTAGGCTAAAAGCAAAAAATGAAGGCCGAGAAATGTAGTTTTTCAACTTTTGCGTGCAGAAAGAAAATATATAATCTGAGTTTCATAACGAGTTTTGATTCTTTTTTGAAGTTGGTGAGGTTCTTATTGGCTTGGGTACGGTTTAATTGGGATTAGGCTTCACCTTTTAGTATTCAGATTGGAAGTCATTTTTCTTCGCTTTTGATGGACAGTCCTCAGGAGGTCCTCCCAGTTTTTGATGCCGTGTTTTGAAGTGACGCTTCAGTGTATCTAAGCGATTTGTTCGGTAATCGCATCTTTTGCAGGAGTACTTTTTCTCGTCTGTGTGGATCAGAATGTGCGACTTCAGATGGTCTTTGCGCTTGAACTCATGGTTGCAAGTTGGGCACACATAAGGGCGTTCATTCGTATGTGTCCTGGATCAAAATTGAAGAACGCTTTGATTCGATTAAATTTACCTTTTATGTCTCAGAAGTTCAGCCGGACGAACAAACGACCTCTCGCAACCTGGATAGGCGCATTTGTGTTTTTTATTCTCTGACGGTGTCTTGTCTGTGATCATCTCTGATGAGCCACTCGGCCGGTTTATACTTTGAGAAATTCTTCTTTGTGGCTCTTTACCGATTGAGGACTTTCCGTCAAGTTTGAGCAGGACGTAGTCATTTTGTTCGTCCTCTTTCTCCAGCGGAGGGGGTAGCGGTTTCTGTGGGTTGACCGAAAAGTCTGTTGTGATGTCATGAAAGGTCAGCTGGGGCACCACGTCACATCTTGAGCCCTCGCCTTGTGGTGGTGGAGGAGGCTGGGGAACCTAAAACGTCATGAGCATTGTTAAACAGAACTAGTTGATGGCAAAACAGCTCAAATGTCTTAGACGAACGAAGTATTTGGAGCGCTTGCAAAAACGATATTTTAGCTGCTTACCGTTGGCTGGTATTCTTCAATTTTGACTGTTTCTAACTTCATTGGCACCGTGACGGGAAGGTTGATACTGCTTGAAGTCGATTGGGGATTGCTCGTGTTGGAAAGAATTGAAGATTTTCTGTCAGATTCTAGCTGGAGAACAGTCTCAATAATGTCCGATTCAGAGTCATCTGGAGGCCCAAGGGCAGCACGAACCAAAGTTATGCTTTCATCTTCGCGGGCCAACTCCATTTTGATATCTAAAACTTCACTTAGACTTTTGAAATTCATAAAATAATAAGAATAAGGGTCCGAAAAATGTATATTTTTTGACAAACCTTCGCAATAAAACATCGCAATTTTCATGAAATTCTCTACGAAACAGTTTCGAAAAATCTCGGTGCAGAAAATTTCTCAAAAGCTCCTGTTTCTTTCATGGCCAGTGAAATCTGGCACTTTAATTGACCGGTGGGTGCCAGTGTTCAATTATAGAGTTTATGCATGGTTGGTCTTGGTAAAATAAACTTGGCCCCGGGACCTCCCTTTGGATGATCCCTTTGCTTTATTTTTTGTTTTTGTATTTACCGTCATATGGGTATGATCCCGGTAGAGACTCCATCATATCCTGGAGTGTGAAAAGGATCATAAACTGCGGATTTTTTCTTGTTTAACTGCTCTTTCCTCGTTGCGGCCTTCTGGCGGTCTCTAGAAATTTTCCAAGCGTAGATTTTTATTTAAGGAATTTTAATTATCAGCCTGATCTGTGTTTAGATCAGATCTCGTTGAGCTTTTTATAAAAATGTAAGAAAATCCAGCTCTGGTGGTGACGTCCTGAGCTCTGGGCGAACGTCATTTTCACGTCAGAGACGCAGCACCGCCGCCGGCTGCTCTTGGTGGAGGCGATAGCATTGCACCACCATGACGTTTAGTCCTGACGTCACGTATTCGCCTACCTTTCCGAGGAATCTACACCCACTCTTGATGACGTCGCAGCACCAACCGCGTGCTCGCAAAACGTGATACATAATTTGAAGCCTAAAAGCGGGAAATAATGGCTTTAGTTTCTAAATTATGAGCCACAGTCAATGGAAATGTCACAGAGAAACAAGATTGACGAGAAAATTATTATATTGGATATTATTCGCGTGGGAATAAGCTCAACGGAAATTCAGAGTCCAGGTTGGGTGAGCTCATGGAATGAGGCTTCGATTTCGCTTTGAGATCATATGATGGCGAGCCCACTGAATTAAATGGCGGATGAAGGGCTTGAAATTGGAGTTCGAGATCGTCAGCACGAGTTCTTCGTTTAGGTTAGTTGTCAGCAACAAAACAGATGAAATTTTATCGGATAATTTCTTTCTCGGCAAAGAGGGATAAATTATTTCGGATAAATCAATTCGGTCTGGTGACGTCAGTCCGTTGGAATAGTTTTATCCCTAATTGCGCCAGGATCATTGATATGCCTAAGCGCCTGTGGAAAAGGGATCGTATTTTAGGATCATCTATCGGCAAATGGGTTGAATTTCCGAAATAACTATCTCCTGGCATTAGAGTTTGAATTTGTACGTTCCGTTGAGAATCTCTAGAACTTAAAAAACAACATAATGAGAGTCTGGCAAACTCATTTTCTGCATCAAAGAGAAATTTTATAACGAGAAACTTTAAAAATAACCGCGAAAAAAAGCTCTGGCACTGGTTATGGTTGAAATAAGATTCTTTTTGTTACCTAGCAACTATTAAATTTCCCCTCAGTTTTTCAATTTTAGTACTAGTTCTGCAAAAAGGCACTGAATCGTTTTTAAATTTCTTTCCGCATTTTCGATGATCATCTTCGAATAATGAAAACTACTGGAATTTACTGTTCAAGCTTTTCATAACAAAGGAGCACATCGTGTTTGCTCAAAAAAAGCCACCCGCGCGATTTTTCTAGCGTCAGTTCTTTTCAGACTGTTTTGGAAAAATTAAAAGTGACAAAAGAAAACGAGAAAGAACACAATGTCGGATGTTGAAGAAAATCACGAGGGAGATATTCAGCCTGGAGAAGGCGAAGAAAATGCTGTCGAAGAAAAGGGAGTGCCCTTGACAAAAGGTACGTCGTAGAAAATAAAACAAGAGCGAATGAAAAACACTTAAGAAACAATCACCAAATGCTTGTCTCGGTTAGAACGAACTGGTGATGGATCAGCGTATGCATACGTCAAGCTAGACGCGTCAAAGGTGAAATATGAAAATGTTCTTATTTATAATCGTGTTAAAGAGTGACTTAAACGACATTGCAGTATTGAGCGATTACTCCCACATTCGGTACGCTACACTTTCCTCGAACAAGCTTGACGATCTGAGCGCACTATCACAAATGAAATTCTTACTCTCCCTCGATTGCAACAGAAATAATTTATCGACTTTGAACTTGCCAAGGTAAGAATCCTGGATTCTCTCCTCCCAATATTTTTTAGCTTTTCGTATCTTCAATTACTGGATCTATCTTTCAACAAATTGATCGATTTAACGAATTGTAACTTTCCAATGCTCAAAAGTAAGGCAAATCATATAAAGAGTATCTTTCGATTTTCAGCTTTGAATTTAAACACGAACAACACGAAGCTTTCAACTCTTCCTTCGATGGAAAACTTGGAGAGTCTCTCGCTAAGAGACAACAATTTGGAGAGTTTTGAGGTGACAGAATCTTCGTTACCTTTTTTTAAGCAAATTTTCAGGGATTACACTCGTTCCCGAAGTTGAAAAAGCTATACGCGGCGAAGAATCGACTCAAAACCGTCGAATTACCTGAATTGCCGGCGCTAGAAACACTGCACGTGCGGGAGAATCAACTCAGCAGCCTCAATTTCTTATCAAAAATAAGCAATCTCGTCAATTTGAACGTCCGAGCAAATGAAATACCGGCATTGACGGAGCTCGATTACCTTGACTCGTGTAAAAGGTACGATTTTCTTTTTTAATTATATTTATAAATGGAACTTTTACAGGATTTATTTTTTTTTAATTATTCGATTGAACTGATTTTACGTGGGCTTTCGTTCGGCGGAAACAGCCGAATAGTTTTTCACAAAATCTTAATCGAAATTTAGTTGAAATTCAGAATTATCCACCTTACGTTTGCTTTATTGGAGCTTCTTCAATATCCTCCAGGAGATTTTCGGATAATTCAGTATCAGGGGGAATCAGAACGGCATCCTTTTTGTCACTTAATATTTTAAAATATCTCGGTCCTTTTTTCGATATAATGTGTTCTTGTACCTAATGTTCTTGAGCATCTCATCGTCTAGTTCTTTAATTATTCTGTTGATATTGTTTTCGAGGTCAACTCGAGGAATATGAGTGAGTTCCAATTCAGTAGATTCTTCAGACTCTTCCTCCTTTTTAAAAGAAGTATTCTTTTCTTCTGATTCTTGAATTTAAAACTTAAATTGAGTAATGATGATTTATGAGCCACCTGTACGTGATGGCTCTTCTTGAATTGATTTATCTGGTCCTTGAGAGTTGCCTTCATGGCCCTTTTGGTTACTACCGACCACGGGATGATTTTCGTCATTTGCGTTTGTGCCTTCGCTCGTCTCTGTTCCACCATTGCTTTGTTCCTCCAAAAGAGATGTGTCATCAGCCTTCGCAGAGACTTTTTCGCCGTGAGATTCACTGCTCTCCTTTTCTACCGGTTCAGAAACAGTATTTTCTTGTAGAGAGGATGTGACTTCAACTTTTGTCTTCTCACTTATTGAAGGTTCTTGAGCGGGCGCTTCAGTCATTTCTTTCTCGTCATGGTCCTCTAAAGCTTCTTCTTTGGTGATATCGACCGAAAGAAGCGACTTTTCGGGAGATTCTTTCTCCGAAGATTCTGTTGAACCAGTTTCTTTTTCCTCTGCAACTTGCCACTTGATGTCATCATCTGTTGGAGGGGACTCAGAATGAACTTCTGGTATTTTTGCGGGAGAGTTCTCCTCCAAAGATTCCGCCAAAACAGTTGCTGAATCCTCTGCAGGTTCATCCTTGATATCATCATCTGAAGGAAGAGGTTTAGGAAGAACCTCTGCTGATTTTTCAGAGCAACTCGTTTCCAAAGATTCTTTTGAAACAGCTTTCACCTCTACAGTTTCAGCATTGATATTATTGGCTGAAGGGGAAACTTCAAGTGCTATTTCTGTAGAAATTTTCTCTGAAGATTCTGCCAAAACACTCGCCTCCACAGCTTCCTTTTTAATCTCTTCAGTCGATGCAGAGGTCTTAGGGAAAATTTCTTGTGTCTTTTCAGAAGAATTTTGCTCGAAAGATTCTGCTGAGAAATTAGTTTCCTCTTCTACAGCTTCATCCTTGATATTATCAGCTGATGGATAGGAATTAAGAGGCAATTCTGGTGTTTTTGGTGGAGGAGTCTCCTCCGACGAGTCTTCTGAAATAGTTGCTTTGTCCTCAACAGTTTCCTCTAGAATCTGGTCACACAAAGGAGGGGACTTGAGAGGAACATCTGTTGATTTCTCGAGAGAGTTATTCTCAGAGGATTCTACCGAATCAGTTGTTTTCTCGTCTGTAGCTTCACCCTTTATATCATCAACTGATGGTAGAGACTTAGAGGAAACCTCTTTTGTATTTGCGGGAGAGTTATTCTCCTTGGAATCTGTCGAAGCAGTGGCCTGATCTTCTACCGCATTCTCTTTGATATCGTCAGCTGTTAGAAGAGTCTTAGGAGGAACCTCTTGTGTTTCTGTATGCGAATTTTCCTCAAAAGATTCTCCTGAAGTCATCGATCTATTTTCCACAGCCTCCTCTTTAATATCTTCTCCCGATGAGAGTGACTTGAGAGGAACCTTCGCTGAATTTTCGGCAGAATTTTCCTCCAGAGATTCCGCCGAAAGTGCTACTTTTTCCTCTGCAGCTTCAGCGTTGAAATCAACACCAGATGAGAGGAACTTAGCAGAAACCTCTTTTATTTTTTCGGGAAAGTTGTTCTCCGAAGATTCTTTCGAAACAGATGCCCGATCCTCGACGGCTTCCTCTTTTACATCATCAGCGGATGGAAGAGATTTAATAGGACCTTCTTCTTTTGGGGGAGAATTCTCAACGGAAGATACCGTTGAATCAGTTGGTTTTTCCTCCACCGCTTCTCCCTTGATATTGTCAGCTGACGGCAGTGACGTAGGAGAAAGTTCTTCTGTTTCTGAAGAATTCTCCTCGAAAGATTCTACCGGCTGAGTGGATCGATCCTCCAAAGCTTCGTCTTTGATATTCTTAGCCGATGGCAGCGCTTCGGGAGGAACTTCTTGTATTTTTGACGGAGCGTCCTCCTCCAAAAATTCTGCTGAAACAGTCACTTGGTCTTCCACAGCTTCCTCCTTGATGTCGTCGGTCGATACAAGTGACTTTGAAGGAACTTCTGGAGTTTTTTCCGGAGAGGACTCCTCGGAGGATTCTATTGAAATAATCGTTCGGTTCCCCACAGCTTCTTCTTTAATATCATCTGCTGATGGAATAGGCAGATCTTGTTTATCTAGAGATTTATTTTCAGAAGATTCTCCCAAAATATCCTCGTCAACGTTTTCTTTTTGATGTTCCTCTGGTAGATTTTCCTCTCGATCTTGTGGGTCTGCAAGAATTTCAGACTCTACTGAAATCTTGTCTATTTGTGTCTTCGATTTTTTCTTCTTCTTTCTACTTTTTGATTTTGTCTTCGCTTCAGGAGCCACTTTCTGTTGCTCCTCAGATTTTTGAAGAGGGTTTGTAGCATGTGGGTCAAGTAATTTAGGTTCTTCTTCACTTTGACTATCAATTGTAGAAATATTTGAAGAAAAATTCTCAGAAGTGTTGTTTTTCTCTTCTGAAACAGTCTCTATTTTTAATTCTTGCTTTTCTTGACTTTCTTCAGTAGACACAACATCTTCTTCAGTACTCCTTTCAATTTTAGGTTGGCCCTTATCGCTCTCAATCGAATCGGAAACACCTTTTTCTGGTTGAGTTAGTGGCACATCAATTTTTGTTTCCTCACTTGCTGAAGATTCTTCGGTGGAAATTTCAGCTTTTTCCTTCTCACCTGATTCGCTCTTTTCCAACTTCTCAAGATGAACAGATACGTCATCTTTGTCATTTATTTTCTCGATTGAAGGCGCCTCTGAATCAGCTTCTGGTACTTCATCTTGTTTCTTTGCCTCGACTACGTTTTCAAGCGAAGCTTCAGACGCAACGGGCTCATTTTGATTTTCCTCTTCTTTGCTTTCTTCTTGAGCAGGTTGCCCTACAGGACTTTCAGTTTTTACCTTTTCGGATGGTATTTTGTCCATTTTCTCTTCTTCTTCTGCCGTAGAGATCTTTTTGTTAGCTTCTGTCGAAATACTTTCTTCAGCGGGCTGATTTTTCTCAGAACTGCTTTCTTCTGTATTCGGTTCGTCAACAAAAATTTCAGACTTTACTTCCGTAAGCGGCTTTGATTTTTTCTTTTTCTTCCTGCTTTTTGATTTTGCCTTTTCTGAAGGAGTCGCTTCTTGTTCAGTTGTAGAATTTTCTGCACTTTTCGTCGTTAATGCTTCAAGTAATTTGGGTCCTTCATTCTGATTGACAGCTTCTTTCTTTTCTGGAACAATGTCAGGTTTTTCTCTCGGCTCTTGTTTGGTGTTGACTTTGACATCAAAATCATCAGCTTTTAGAGCAACGGTGTTTGAAATGTTCAGTTTGGGATCATTGTCTTGGAGGTCAGGTTGATCTGGAATTATTTCGGCAGGCGTTTCATTTTGCACGTTTATATCGACAATAGCGTTCACCCTTTTCTTTTTCTTACGGCTTTTGCTTCTTTCCAATGGCTCCGCTTCCGGTGGAAATAATTTGTCATCTTCATCATTTATAATTTCATCTTGTTTTTCTCCAGTATTTGCATATTCACCGCTTTTATTGTTGATGGGTGCAGAAACAGAATTATCTAGTGGAGTTAGTAGAGCCTCATTTTTTGTCTCCCCGCTTATTTTAGATTCTTCAGCTGTTTGTTCTACCCCAGTATTCGATTTTGCTTCTGTCGCTCGTTTTTTCTTCTTTCGGCTTTTGCTTTTTTTCTTAGTATCCGAGACTACATCTGGCGAGACTTCAGCAGGCATTGTAAGTTCAATGTCAAGGCTAGTGTCAAGTGCATCCTGAGCTGGGACCAACTCTAGTAATTTATAAAACTTGTTGATAAAATGAATTTTTTTCCTAACCTTTAGTTGTTTTCTTCTTTTTCTTGCTCCTGGTCTTTTTCTCCGGCTGCTTATCATCCATGCTCTCAAGTGATATTCGTCGCAAAACGTAATATAATGCAATGAAATTCAATATTTATGTTAATCTTGAAGCGGAAACGGTTGCGTTTCATGAGCCTACTATTGATGAGATTTTATTTTTTAGACTGGAAAAGCTTTCTGCAAAAGAAAATCCCTTCGCCGAAGAGGACGATTTCCGAATACAAGCACTACACAAATGCGAGACTCTCGCTAGGATTAACAAAGAAGACGTCAATGAGGGTGAGCGTGCCGAAGCTCGACAAATGTCGGAGGAACAAGAAGATTAGATTAATGCATTTTTATAACTGCACTGCGTCCTGAATATATTTTTATATGCTGTTCTAAATTTTCATATTTACTCAAAATAAAAGCAATTTTTTTAATTAAAACATCCAGTCACTGGCTTTTAATGATTTAAAGTAGGGTCAGGCGATATCACGTGACGACCGCGGAACACGCTCAAACATTTTTGGGTAATAGCCTGGGGCGTACTGATCACAAAAAACATAGCGGCCCTCACTTAACCCATCAACGCCTTTACCATTTTAACCCGTTTACTGATTTTCCCGTTTTTGACCATTTTCGATAAAAAACGCTTTTTTCTCGATTTTATACGTATAAAACAAATGAAATATTATTTAGAAATCAAGGAACGGGGCTGAGACGGCCCGAAGGGCCGTCAAGCCCCTTAAATTAAGAAATCAAGGAACGGGGCTGAGACAGCCCGAAGGGCCGTCAAGCCCCTTAAATTAAGAAATCAAGGAACGGGGCTGAGACGGCCACTACTCGCCAGTTTAATCTCTTTACTGAGTTGAGCGTTAAAATTGTAGAAAATTCTTAAAATATTTTTATATAGTTTTTATTATTAGACTTATAAAAAGTCATTAACATAAAAATTCCTTCGTTTTATACGTTTTATCAAGAAAAAATGCGGTTTTTCCTTGAAAATGGTCAAAAACGAGAAGATCAGAAAACTGGTTAAGATGTTCAAGGTGTTGATGGGTTAAGCGAGGGCCGCTATCATTTTTGTGATCAGTACCCCCAGGCTACTACCCAAAAAAGTTTGAGCGTGTTCCGCGGTCGTCACGTGATATCGCCTGACCCTAATTTTAAAGATTTTTAAAATTTTTAATCATTTAATAAAAATATACCGCCGGTAAACAGCGTTTTTTTTTTAAGTAAAAACCCAAAAATTGGCCGGTTTTAAGACACAAATCTTCGAAAAAAGCGGTCAAATTTTGGGTTTTTTTCCCGGGTAGCCAGGTTCTTCCTTCAAAAAGCGAAGTTTTGAAATTTTCGAAAATCGGCCTGATTTTCACATTTTTGATGAATTTTATTCAAATTTTTGCTTGTTTGAAGACATTCTTATTTGATTTTAGTCATTTTTAATAATTAAGATACTTTAAAAAAGCTAATTATGAAAAATCAGAATGCTAAATCGAGAATAGCATCATTAGAGCCTTATTCTGATGGAAAATATTTTTATTTTTTAAAAAGCGGCCAAATTTTGGGTTTTCACTGTATTTCATAAAATGCTTTTAAAGTTGACAAGCTTGAAAATTGAAAAATAGGAGCAGTAAAAAGCAAGTTGAAAAATGAACAAATAGAAAAGGCAGAATTTTGATTGAATCAACTCAGAAAAGTACTTTTCGGGACTCAAAAATACCCGAGAAGATTTCTTCTTGGTTTCGTGAAGGCATCATTAATCGGAAGAATTCGAAAGTTTTTCATGCTTTTCCATGGTAACAACATGGTTGTCGCCAAAGGTTGCACGAGTATTCACCCAAGCTGTAAGGACATCGAGGCTCTTTCTGAGTAACTCGTATTTTTTGGTTGATTTCTGAAGGACGACCTTAACTCCCTCTTTCAATTAAAATTAATAAAGAAATGAATTACCAAAGGCGGGGTACCACCTTGACTCCACTCGTCAGGCTGAGAATTCTTGAGTAATCGCATACGATAAGTTTCCTCAGACGCAAGTCTACGTTCCCAAAAATCATATGCGTAACATGCAAGCCCATGTTTTCCACATTCATTGCACAGTTTGTGGTGATCACTGTACGTTTCCTGATCTAGCTTGTAGTTGTACAGCGTAACTGAGACAGATAAGAGGGGCCATTTGAGGAACTGACGGGAGGCAAAGTACAAGTCAGATACCGGAACCTGAAAAAATGAAATCATTGAAATTATTTGATCTATGAAAGCTACCGTATCAGGATGCCCGTAATCAAGATAGTACACTTTAACACTTTTGCATGCAGAAAACTCATCTCTTTCTCTACTCCTTCTTGCTGTTCTGCAACGCTTCTCTTGCAGAGATGATGGTGAATGCCGAGCAAAGTAGGAGCGATCTTGATTCAGGACATTATTCTTGTCATCTTCACCGACAGTTATCACCATGCAGCGCTCCCTATACGATCCATTGTAGATAAGAAGCTGTCCTGGTTTCAAAAGGTGCTCTCGGCCTTCGACAAGATAAGGAAACAGTCCAGCTGCTTTGAAGCCATCTTGTCCTTTTGCAACTTTGAAATCATTTTCCTCGACAAACGCTTTGATTTCCTGCTCTAAATCGTTTTTCATCGCTGAAACTTCTTCATCTACGACTTCTACGGTAGCTCCGACACACGATTGTAAGTTCTTTAGTTTCACATCATTGAAGTAGCGAAATTCTTCCCCGTCGTCGGCCGTCATTGTTTGGATACTGTCCTTGAATATCCCAAAGGCAAATTCTTTGTACCAATCGGCGAAATCATTCGGCGAGACCAGCTGTTCATTTTCTTTTAGTCGCATGATTTGAAGTAGATTGTTGTCTCGCAGCTCTATTGATCCACCAGAACGCTTGAAGTAATCGGCGTACATTGATGAGGCTTCTTCGGTAGAGCAAAAATCTAGTGAAGCCTCTCTGGCGATGATCCTCCATAGAGTGCTTCCATCATTTTTTAATTGAAAATAGTTGATCGTATTCAGGCAATGAATATTGAAAGCCGATCTCTTGTTTTGAAGAACGGAGAATTCAGGATATTCATTAAGATTTTCTTGGAGACGGAGATGGTAGAAGTACTCCAGATAGTCATGTAGAAAACTGAAAATATTCTCAAAGATGAACTAGCTTGGATAGACCAACCTGATTATTGACACCGCGTAATCGTCAGCATTCAAATGATCAGTAAACTCTCCGACCCTGAATGATTTCTGACGGTAGTTCTCCTTGAAAACAGCGACCATTCTTATCGCGTACTCCTCGATAGCCATTGAAATTTTGTCATTAGCATTGAAGGGAGCATCTGCTGCGGCACTGTCGTTAATCAATTTTGCTTCGAAGTCATCTTCTCCTTGGAGTTTCGAGAACCTAACATGAAAGAGGCCTCCTTCAGTAATATGGACGTAACTAAGCATGGAAATTATCGAAAATTCAATACAGTAAAACTTACTCTTTGTTTGTTTTCAGGGTTTCTAAGAGGCCAGTATCTTTTACGAGGTCGCCAAGAGAGTTTATTGCCGTAAGGAGTTTAGGGAGAATTCTTCGTTATAATGATTTGGCTGTGCCAGAAGGTTCTGAAGATCACCAAGAAGAATTCCGTATGGAAAATATCTTTGAATCTGACACAAGATTGTATCAACTAACTGTTCAACTGGCTGATTAAAACGTTCTTCAAGAACTGTCGATTGAACAACAGGAGATTCACTGACAGGCGGCTCAATAAAACTTGGTTCATCTGTGGATGATTCAATCAATTTCCGTCGCTGGTCTCGTCGAGCTTCGTATATAGCTGAAGCGGAATCACTTGTGCGCGGATGATCATTCAATCTCAGTCTTTCGATGCGGCTTTGGAAGTCGTTTTGATCGACAACTGGACAGGTCTCATCAATCGGAAAGTGACTCAACTCAGATGCGGTACAAATAGATAAGTCGGCTTCGACGGTTCTCTGTTTTGAGTGGTACCCAGATTCGAAGTTCTGATTCTTGTCCATTCTCACTGAATTCTTCACTGCATTTGCTCGCCATTGCATCACAGCATCTTCCAGCGATAAATGCGAGGAGACATAAGAATAAAGAATGTTCGCACACACATGCAAAAGGAAAAGTGCTCGCTCGACAGAAGTCTTCTCCCCAATAATGATTGCATCTCTATGAGTTGCAAGCCTGTGTCGCTCTCTTGCCTTGTCGATTTCGATCTTCGTCTCGGTCAAGTTCATGATTCGATGCAAACGCTGCGCTCCGTGGCCGTGAATGGCACCACCCTTATTAATGTTTGTAAGAATAAAAAAAAAGCTGATTACGTATTTGTTCTCAAAAACAACTTTCATTGAGGAACGCGTTACCCATCTTCTGTCCAACTGAACTTGAAAGTCTTCAAGGGAAGTATCTTCAAAAAGATATTCCATATCCTCGTGACCATTATTTTCTGCCATCGCTATTACAGTCCGAATTCGATTGCCCTTATTTGAATCTGAAATTCAAAGGTCTGACCAAATATCAATAAAAAGTCTCAATAATGTCGCCAAATAATCTATTCAAGGAAAGAACCGACAAGTGAGTGCCTGAATTTTACATTTTTAATAAATGATTTATTAAAATTAGTGCACTAAAATCAAGATATGAAGGAAGTCTTGATAGGAAATTGAATAAAGAAGAGAAAGGGGGTTAGATGATACAATTTGTCATAAGAACGTGCAAATTTGAAGAGAAAATGGAATTTTCGAACAGAAATAATTTTCAATAATTTTGTTTATTGCGAGCTTTCGAAGGGAATGAGGCTAGTTCAAAAGGTCAGAGAAGCTACAGTATCATAGGACTCACCGTGACTGGCGAAAATCGCGAGTGATCGGTAAGTGTGGAAATTTGGTAAGAAAAGAGAAAGTTTAGAAAAGAAGAGAAAGTGGAAGTCTAGAACAGAGATAAATTGCGTATCTGGAGCCTTAGATCGAATTCACCTTAGATAGAGAGTTTTCGTAAATTGAATTAGATGAGTCCTATGTTACTGTAGCTTCTCTAACCTACTGTACTAGCCGGATGAAAAAGAGCATTCTCTTCGAAAGCTCGCAATCAACAGAAACATTGAAAATTCTTCAACGTCAACACAAGAGATAGAAGAAAATTTATTTGAAGTATTCGTTGACGAATTTGTGGTAGTCGAGTGTGTTTTCATTCATAGGAGCATCAGCGCCTTTGTAAAGCGGCATAATACGAAGACAGTACTTTGCTTGCTCGGAAGTAAGGTTAGATCGAAGTTCCTTTTCGGTGATGTAAGGCTTCTCAGGATCAGCAATCGCCTTGAAAGCAACGAAGATGTCCTCTTTCCCGCGAACCTGGGTTGTCTCACGAGTGATCATGTATGAGATAAATTCGTCCTTGGAAACTGCAGATTCACAGCTAAACAAAGTTATCAGAAATATGTAATTTATTGGGATCTTACCTGAGATTCATCTGCGCGAGTATTTCAAGGAAATCATCAGACTCTTGGTCTCCATCCTTGAGCGCCAAATCAATACCCAATGAGCGGAAGAGCGATTTCATTCCAATAAAGTCGAGAAGACCAGTGTTATCGACGTCGAAATGCTCGAAACACTCACGCCATTCCTGAATTCGCTCTTCAGAGATTCCAGTCTTTGATCGAGCTTCAATCTGCTGCTTGAGCGAGCGCTGCATCCGCTGGCACATCTGAATGACTCCGTCCCAGCTTTGCGAGAGTCCAAGAGCCGAGTGTTTAGTGTACTCGTTGTCGAAGATCAGTTCTTGCTCCATTGTGGCGTTGAGCTTTTCAATCAGGTCTAGGTCCCGTTTGCCAGCTCTGATTGCGTTTTCTTGATCAATAACATTGTGAAGCTGCTCCTCGAGAGTTTCATGAGCGTTACTGTGGAGTTTATTGCGAATGGAATTGATGAACTCAGCGAATCTATTTGCGAAGTCGGCGAACTGTTTTCGCATCTCGTCGAATCGAACTTGCCGGGTTTTTTCATCTTCCAAATCTTTCATGCGCTCGGTCAATCTCGTTCCCGTCATGTCCCAAATGCTCTCAAGCTCGCCCATCTGATACCAAGTGTATGGGTTATCCTCGATCTTTGCCTCTGTTCGGATTTTTTCGTCAAGAAGTCGAAGCTTGACAAGTGAGGCTTCCTCGCTTTTGACTTCGCGGACATCCTTGTCGTGATCGAGGAATCGTTTTTCGACTTCCTATGAAGATAATGATAAAATCAAAACTCAAAATTTTCTATTTACCTGGACGCTTCCTGATGTGATTGGATCAGTCAAATTTTCTTCGACATTTTCGAACCAAGAGTTGAAGGCCCCAGCACGCTTCGCAAATTCGATGCACAGCTCATCAAAGGCTCTGAGCATCGATTTCTGCTGTTCAAGTGTGTCTCTTCTATTTCTGGTAAGCCTCTTGAGCTCCTCCCAGTCAAGCTTTAGCTCTTCCCATTTGAGCTCAGCGTGCTCAAGATCTGGATGGTTGGACTCCTCGAGTTTAACAAAAGAACACCAGTGGCGTTGATTCCCTCGGATTCAAAAGATTTCAGTGAGTCTTCGAGGTTATCTTGCTTGATCAAAAGAGCGTTGAGAAGAGACATGTCAGTCGCATTGATGTTTTCAGCAGCAAGTCGTCGCTGACGGTCGCTTATCCAATCAGAGCAGTACTGACACTTTCTTGTAAATGCCAAAAATGCCTCGCGATCCTGCAGTTTTTGTAAAGTCTCCGTATAGGTTGTCACCAGCTCGACAAAAGCGATGGTAAGTTTCATAAGATGAGGATCATTTTCTTTTCCGTCCCTGAGCTTTTTCGCGTTCGCTTCGTGAGCTTCAACGTCAATTTTGAGGTTTTGAACTTTACCGAGTTTATTTCGGATTCCCTCGAGGTTTTGCGTTTCTGGATCAATTGTTGACAACATTCTAGCTTTGTTATTCGCCCAGGAGATTTCCTCATTCACATTTGAATGGAAAAGAAGATCTTTAAGAACGTCATCGAGTTCTTTCCCCTTGACTTTGAGAGCCTCTGCGAGTGTTCTTTGAGCTTCCTTCAATTCCTGAGCCTTGTCAGCGGCGTCATCACCGAGCTCATCGCCCGTGGCGAGGATCTTGTCAATCTTAGCTGATCTTGTTTCGTATTCGTATTCCAAATGCTTATGCTTCAGACTTGTAGCGCGAGATTGGGTAAGATCACTTGAAGGAGCTTCGTGCTCGACGACGACGAGTTTCTCTTTGCACCAATCAACTTCTTCATCAGCGTCCGTGATAAATCTGAAGAGTTTCAATGCGTTGTCGAGTTCATCTCGCTTGGCTTCAACTTGAAGCTGCACGGAGTCAAAGTCTTCAATTAGCTTATTCTTCGTAGCAGTCGCTTTCTCGTTGATTTGCAGCTTTTCGAACTCATCAAGAAGAGAGTCTCGCGTCTCTCGTTTGTTTGCGATATCAACTTGGATTTGAGAGATCTTCTTGATGTTTCTCAAAGCGGAAGAGAGGTCTTTTGCTTCGGCAGTGTCAAGTCTGGTCTTTGTCTCAACGATCCAAAACTCAAGAGCATTGCAAGCAGCGATAAATTGGCGAATTTTGACAGCTTCATTGTATGCTTTTGACTTGTCATCAGATAGCTTGTGAAGCTTTTCTGACTTAACTTTCAATTCTTCTGATCGCTTTTCGATGATTTCCGCTTGTTCTTTGTTCTTATCAGCAATGGCTTCACCAGTGGTAAGGATTGACTGAAGTCTATCCATGTTAGCCTCGATTTCAGCTTTGAAAGCGTTGTGCTTTTGCAGACCTTCGTTCAGATTCGTATCATTGATTGGCTGCTCAGCAATAATGATCTTCTCGTCGAGCCACTCAGAGAATTCGTCAGCGTTCTTCCAGAATTCTTGCAGCGTTTCAACTTCAGCAATTTCTTTATGTCGCTCTGTAAGCTTCGCTTTGAGTCCTTCCCATCGATCAAGAAGCTTGTCTTTGTTGCTTTGAATCTTTTCAGCCTGTGAGTGCCCTTCTTCCGTAAGTTTTTCGCAATTCTCGATGATATTATTGATCTTCGCTTCTTGCTGCTTAATTCCGCGATGAAAATCATCAGTTTTCTTTGCAAGAATCTCGACATTTTGATCCTCATCATCAGATGAAAGGGCATTTTCTCTAATTTCCATCCAGTTTTCAAATCGTTGGCAATCACGCTGGAATCGAGCGAGCTTCGCGGCTTCTTCAAGAACCTTTCGGACTTTTTCCCAGAGATCATCAAGCTCTTTCGTTTTCTCTCGAAGCTCGTTCGATTTTTCTCCGACCTTTTCTTTTGAGTCGGTAACTTCACTGCCACGAATGATGATTTTCTCACAATCTTCGCTCTTTTCGCCGATAATTTTCTTGTGCTCAGAATGTTGCATAATTTGAGCTTCTATTATCGCGAGATCATCGGAAATTTTGAGTTTTTCAAGCTGATTACTCATATTTCCAAGCCAGTTTTCGTGTGCTTTTGCCTTGCTCATGAAGTCCAAGAATTTTTGCCGCTCAGTAAGAGCATCTCTGTGCGCGCTTTGCTTAGATTTAAGTGATTCCCATTCGATTTTAATGGAATCCATGGTTCGCTCGATTTCGTCACGGGATTCAGGCAGCTCTTCGGTGAGCTTCGGGACTTGGTCGGTCAGAAGATCAACGCGATCTTGGATGGCATTCATATCAGCTTCAAGAGCATCGTGGCGGCGAATCATTGCATTCGTCCTTGCGAGAGTATCTGGAACTTCGCTTGGAACATTTTTACGTTGAATCCAAGCCGCGATTTGACCAGCTTCACCCAAGAACTGCTTGAGTCGATTAGCACCGCCAATTTGACTTTCGGTGTCATCAGCAAGAGCTTCCAAATCTTTCCATTTTTCATTCATTGCGTCGAGAGAGGGCGATTCCTTGATGCCAATAGTTTCGGCTTTGTCTTTGAGACCGTGGAGAGCCTTTTCGGCTTGTTTCTGATTCTTTTGGAATTGCTCAAATTTCTGCCGGAGGGCTTCTGGATCCTCTCCATCTTCTTGAGCTTGTTTAAGCGCTTGCTCCTGTTCAGCAATCCAGAGTCGTAGATCCTCAGCTTCGCGGTCGAGTTCGAATTTCTTATTCTGTTTTTCAAGTGCATCTTTTCGTTCATCCGCCTTTTCATTGAGCTTTTGGAAGCTGGCCTCGAGATTTTCCTGCTGCTCGGTCAGGTCAATAAACTCCTTTGATTTGCCATCTTCGTCGATGTAGACAAGGCATTCGCTGGGAATGTAGCCGCTTGAGGAGCCCTTTGAAACTTTTACCCATTCACCGCCTGGATTCGAGAGGATCTTAACGATGTCTCCCTCTTCTACTGTAAGCTCTCGTGGGATTTGAGCTTTGAAAGATTTGATTACTTTCATTTCCTGGCGATCAGGCTCAAGGTCGATCTGTTGAGCAGGACAAGCATCTTTAGCTTCTTTTAGAGCGCCGATTTTCTTTTCAAAGGCTCGGATATCATCACAAAGAGTCGTGTGTTTTTTCAACATTGCATCGGCCTCATCTTCATCCGCTCCGATTTGATCAGCTTTTGCAGCAAGCATTTTTTCTTTAATCCAGTCGTCAGCTTCTGCAGCATCAGAAAGGTATGTAAACGCTTGAAGAGCGTTTTTGAGCTCTTCATCCTTGGCATCAATCGCATTTTTGAGAGATTCTCGTTCAGCTTTGAGTTTTTCTGCTTCGCTTTTGATATCGTCGTTCTCAGACTTTTCTGCCTCCACGGATAGTTCTTCGATTTTCTGATCAGCAGAAGCGACGTCGGATTTTTGGTTGCGAGTTTTGCTCAAGGCAGCTTCAGCGGAAATAATGTCCTTTGGTTTAAAATCAGAGCCGAGGAGCGTTTTCTGCTCGGCGGCAATATCTCGTTGTTCGTTGATGTTTCTAAGCAATTCAAAGTCCTGTAGCGCTTTTTTCAGTCGCTCATCTCCTTTGGCTACATGTGGTGCGAGCTCGTCGTATCGCTTTCGAGTTGTTTCGATGAGATGTTCGAGCTCTTCTGCCTTGAAGTTGTCCTTATCTTTGAGCTGTTGGACCTGTGCCTCCAGGGCCTTGATCTTATCGTCTCGAGAGGCGAAATCATCAGCCAGGGCTTTTTGCGTATCGAGAAGCTCTTTTGATGACTAAAAATAGATATAAACAGCCACTAGATTAGGAAATGAGCCTTTTTAGTTTATCAAATTACCTCAATGTCTTTCCCAGTCTCAGTAGACATAATCTTGGGCTCGTTATTATCGATCCAACTCTCGATCTCATCACAGGATCGTTTAAATGCAGCCGCTTGTTCTGCTTCTTGTTGCACAAGATGAAGTCGGTTGACCTCAGCTTGCAGCTTGTCCCAATGTTCGACGACTTCCTCAAGCTTGGATTCGACTTGAGCATAAGCGGGTAACTCTTCTGTATCGCTTTGAAGATCTTTGAGCCGCTTTTGGTTGGCAGCAATGTCATTTCTCACTGCAGTTAGTTTCTGCTCCTTAGCTGGTAAATATTGAAGATCAGCAGCATTGCACTCAGCCAAAGTCGCATACTTCTGGTCGATAAACTCGTCCAACTCGTCCGCATCAGCGTTGAACTTGTGGAGCTTGAGCGATTGTTCGATTTTTTCTTGTTGCTGACCTTGAATAGTTGCCAGGTCTTCCAATTCGGTAGTCAGTTGAGCCTTATTTTCAGGATATAAGTAAAACGCGGATCTGTGAATTCAAAAGCTTGATTTAAATGTGCACTTGTCAATTAGGACAAGGTGTTTATAAAAATAGGGTGTCCCTTCCTGGTAAAAATCCCGTCCTGGTAAAATTCTTTTCCTGGTAAAAATCCCTTCCTGGTAAAAAAAAAGTATAACCAGGAAGGTTATTTTACCAGGAAGGGATTATTACGAGGAAAGAAAAATCGAAATGTCAAATAAATCAAAACATAAAGTGAGCTTATTGGATACATGAAAATGAGTTTTTCGGAACAAAATTCTACCCCCCATGTTTCTTGTGCTCATCTGAAAGAGCGACTCCTGAGGAGTCGATTCATATAGTTTTGAGGGTCTGAGTCATCATAAATGACGTCATAGGCTCCCCTAAAGAAAAAATCCTTTGACGCCCTCTATCTCCGAAAATTTTCGAAAAAATTATGGAGATTATGGTATCATTCGAAAGCCCAGCTCAAACTGTGGTTGCGCACTCGTTTTGCAGCCGAAAATTCGAAGCAAAAGAATATATTTTTAAGCGTGCATTTTTTAGTAAAAATTTTTTTTCGTCGTTTTCTCTTGCGCACCAACTGCGCAACCAGAATTTTGGCTGGGCTTTCGAATGATACCCATATCTCCATACTTTTTCCGAAGATTTTTGGAGATACAGGGCGTCAAAACTTGTCATTTTCAGGTTCTTGAAGCGCTAGAATCGGATATTTTTCAAAGCTTTGGACCATAAAAATCGTACCATTCGACTCCTCAGAACCTGCGCTACAAGATGAGCACAAAAAATATTGAGGTCCCGAGTTTGCTCCGCAAAAGTCATTTTCATCTATCATTGACTTATAAAACTATTTACTCGACCCCCCTCTTAGCATATTTTTATCGACTGTAATATTGTCAATTATTATTAATTATTATTATTATTAATTTATTAATTATAAATTTTGCTAGCACGCTGTCGTTAGCAGGCTTAATTATATTATATAATTAAAAATTCTAAAAATCTATAAAATTACGCTCAGAGGGGGGGTCGAGTAAATAATTTTATAAGCCAATAAGCTCACTTTATGTTTTGATTTACAGTCCTTACGCACAATTCCAGAACGCACAATTCCGGAGATTTCGGAGTGATCCGAAAAAGTTTCGAATCGCACAATTCCGGAGATTTCCGAAAAAAAAATCGAGACCGATGACCAGGATCGTGAGGACTAGGTTCGTTGGACTAGGTTCGTGGGTGCCATGTTGGAAAAAATGGTTCGTGTGACTAGGTTCGTGGGACTAGGTTCGTGAAGACTTGGTTCGTGAAGACTTGGTTCGTGAAGACTAGGTTCGTGAGACTAGGTTCGTGAAATTTGGATTTTTACATGTGTTTTTTGTATCTTCACCATTTTCGGTCAGTAAAGGAAATGGGTTGATGACTAGGTTCGTGCGACTAGGTTCGTGAAGACTAGGCTCATTTGGGATATAAAATCCTACATTTTGCTTGTTCAAAAACTCAGAGAACCTCGTCCCACGAACCCTTTCCTTGTTAAATCTTTACTTTATAAAAACTCACGAACCTAGTTCCACGAACCTAGTCATCAACCCATTTCCCTTACTGCCCTAAAATATAGCCCGATTTCAATTCTCTGGCAGAACTCATCACGAACCTAGTCCCACGAACCTAGTCATCACGAACTTGGTTAGGGTCTCATTCCCAAAAAATCGAACTTCGGGCATTTTTTAGAGAAATTTTGGAAATCTCAGAACTAGAATTTGACCTTTTTAATAAATAATCACGTGATCGTATTATTCGAATAACAAAAGGTTCAAAGAAGTCAGTGCTGTCTATCAAAAAAGGCCAAGGGATTTTTACCAGGAAGGGAAACTTTGATAAAAATAGGTCTGTGAAAAATCTTGATACAAACGATATGTGCCGATATAAACCTGCTCCTTTAGATTATCAGCCTTTTCTTCTTCGAATTTTATTTTCAAAGCCAAAAGCTGCTTTACTCGTGGCTCACGAGCCTCCAGTTCAGAAGTGAGGACTAAACTATTGATAATCAATTGAATAAAGAGATGTTTTATTACGTTTTTGCTCAGCTAGTGCCTTTTCCGCTTCGGCAATCGAGTCAAGTTTCTGGGAAGAAAGAGTTTGCCATTGCTCTTTAGCTTTATTGATCCACACGAGTTCGCCCTCGCCGTCATTTGTGAATTTGAAGTAATCCCTTGCATCAGAATAGAGCTCCTTTTTCTCCGCAATAACGCCAACTAATTCAGCGTTGAGTTCTTTTAGCTCTTGCTCTTTCGACTCATCGCCAATTTCTGCTGCTTCGGCAATCAAAAACTCGTACAGCGCTCGTCGCGACTCAGCATCTTCCTTTTGCGATTCAAAAATTTCCAAGATGCTGTCGAGCTCATTTTCGTCCTTAGGGTGATTGACAGATTTGACAGATTCGATCGTCTCGGTTGCCCATTTCGAGTAGCTTCGGACTTGATCCTCGAACTTGAGATTTCGAAGCTCTTTTCGGAGCATTTTGGCTTGTCGCTCGAGGGATTCAAGAAGATCCTGCCATTTTTTCTCAACGGCATCGAATGATTCTTTGCACTCGTCAGAGTCGATCGATTCTAGCTGCGATTGGAGAGCATCAATTCTGATTTGATTCGCCTTAACTTCCTGGGAAGCTCGATTGTTATTCCGCAAAAACTGCTCGCACTCTGTAATAGACGTAGAAATCTCCACGGAGTCGACTTGATCCCGTCGAATGACGATGAACTTTGTCAGATGCTCGCATTCTTCCAAAAACTTATGCTTTGCGAGAGATTTAAGCAGTTTCTCGCGTCGTTCAGAAAGTTTTTCGCGGAGAGTGCTCCACTCGCTTCGGATTTCTTGAAACTCGGCTTCGATTTCCAGCTCCTTGGATTCTTCGTGCAGTTTGGTAAGAATTGATTCGGAGGCTAAAATTACAATTAAGAATAAGGAATGTGACAATTAAAAAGATAAGTGGGGGTAATTAACTCTTTCTGCCTCACGCAGTGAGTTGACCTTTGAGAAACTTACCATTAACTTCATTATCGAGCCGGACGAGCGAGGCCTGCAGCGCAACGACTTCCTCCAGCGTCGAGCCATAGTTATCGCTCTCCGCGGCGGGTAGCTTTTCTGCAATCCAAACCGACATATTTCTAAGTTGACTTCGGAACTCATCGATACGCTGCTGCAATTCTAACTTCATTCGCTTCTCGACAAGCGCCTGTTCAAGTCGAGTCATGAGATCGAGAAGGCCATCAATCGTTCGTTGAATTTCGCTTTTCGCAAAATGATCTTCTTCGATCATTCCCTTGCCAGATTCAATGAGTCGATCAAGACCGGCCTTATTCGCTTTTTTGTCCGTTTCCAAGTCGCCCAGCGCAGCGAAACCAGCCGCTGTTTGGCCAACATGCTCGGCCCTTGCCAATGCGAGATGATCCTCGAGCAGCTTTTTCAATTCAGCGGCGTCTTTTTGCCAGTATCCGAATTTGAGAGCTTGTTGCAAGTGCGAGCGGCGTTTTTTGAGAGCGTCCATAAAACCGTCATACTAAAGCAAATGTTGATAGACCCAATTTGACTTTGAAACAAAGCGACTCAGAAATAAGAATCAGCGGGATCTGGGAAGTAATGACGGGGTACGCAAAGAAAGAAGTATTTTTAATACTCCCGTTTGAAAGTTTCAATACGTTTCTGTTTGGTTCTCGAACCTGTACAAAAGCCTGAGTCGGGATCCTGAATCAGTTTAAAAGATAAATCAAAATGTCATTTTGAGATAAGCCGCTTCGCCCCTCATTCTTATTTTTATATCAAAACTGATCCCTGACTCAGATATTCTACACAGGTTGCCGAGCGCAGTCTTTACAACATTACCTTATTGGTAATATCTTCTCTACGTCGCTGTAGTTCTTCAACCGTCGCGATTTCCGACAAATCTAGTGGTTTTAAATCCATCATTTTCACGCTGCTTTCACCGTTTCTTGATTTTCTCTGCGTTTGACGGTGAAAAAAATCGGTTTCTCGGCGACTCTGTTTTCTCCTTTTTCTTTTCCTCGAGTGAAGAAGAGTCGCAGTCGATCGATTTTCAATATTTTTCCTCGATTGTGAGTTTTGAAGCGCCCACGCGCCCTCTCCCTAATATAGTTGAGCTGTGAGAAGAGATTCTCAAAAGCGAGTAAAGCCCGCGCACTGAGTGTGGTGCGGTGTGGTGAGATTGTGGTAGTGAGAGCGCGCTGAGTCCGTGAGGAAGATTTTTTCTGCCTGGAAGAAAAATCTTTCAAATTTTATATTTTTGATTAAATTAAATAGTTTCAATAATTATGGACGGAGAATACTAAATAATCGCTAAAAATCAATATAAATAGAGATTTTTTTCATAAATCTGTATTTTAAAGCTGTAATCGAGCTGCAATCAACATTCAAAATGCTACTCTCTTTCATGAAACGCCATATTTCTCCAAAAGTGGTCTGATGCTCGTCCTTGTCGGAATTAAGCTGATTTAATTAAGTAAAAAAGTCGAATGTCGGTGATTTCATGAACTTAGTTATTGAGACCGAATTCTTGGCCTTTCGCGAGGGTCAAAATCGAAGTACTCCCTTTAGACCCTGACTCAGGTTTTTACACTTTAAAAAAGCGGCTTAGCGGCTTTTTATTCAAGCTCGCTAGACGCTGACTTAGGTTTTTGCACCTTTAAAAAAGCCGCTCAGCGTAAAGAATCCGGGATTGACGGCGAAGATGTCAGGATTAACGTTTGAGCAACAAGGATTGACGTCTGACAAGCTACGATCGAAGTTGTTGAAGCCGAATTTGAAGTTGGTGAAGCCTGAATTAACTGTGGAGAAGTCAATAAATAAAGTTATATGATCAATCAAATTTTATTAATTTGATTGTCTCCCTATCTCTGCAATTCATGAGTCTCTTAATTCATTCTATTGCCAATAGACTATTGGATGTTCTCTGTAAGTTAATGACGATTTGTAGTCTTTTTAATAATTTTATATAATATCATCCTTTCCTTGTCGACTCAAAAAGTATGAGTGAAGAGAAAAGGATTGAATCGGAAGGAAGTAGATGTAAAAAAAATCTGAAAATCCATTGGATGATCGACAATTACGTCGGCTGACATAACATTTTCAGCCTTTAAAAAGGTTAATTATATTTCATTAACCCCTATACGGGAGCTGTACAATTGTTGTCGATTTGGCCTTTCTCTTGAGATAATCTTCTGAAAATTTCAGATTAGACATCAACATACATTTTCTTTTAAACTGCACTTTTAGAGTTTTCGATGACTAAAGATATACCGCTAGAATTTGCTATTTTCATGAATTTGAAAATAATTATTTTGAAAAATTTTCATCGTATAATATGATTTATATGACTCTCAAAGTATGATATTCGAATTTTACGTACTTGAAAACATATAGATAAACTTAAAAAAGCTCAGAGATCTCCAAAGGATAGAGTCAATTTTTTCTTTCCTCGATTTGAGGTGAGAGAAACGGTACTCGCACAGTGCTCGCGTGGCTTATTAGGCTGAAATTTTGCGGATAGGTGAGTAAGGCGTGTGCATATACAGTATATGATATACTTCTTTGAGTTTTCAGGTCATTCCGATTCACCAGTTTCATTTGACTGGCGATTATATCCCGAAATCGACAAAAATTGTACACCTCCCGTGTAGGGGTTTCTAGCCTTGAAAAAGGCTTGTTTTTCATGAACATCCTCAGTGTTGTCTCCAAGGGAGAGAGAAAAGTGGAGGACTTTTTGGCGAGAAGGCAGAATCAAGTGCACGGCGCACTGCGGGTGAATACTGTCCTCTGATTGGCCAGGCTGAATTAGCCGCTGAATTAGGCGGGTAGGCTTCACTTGGACAAGAGCTTCACGGATACACGACGTTTAGCACAAACCGACGTTTGGAACAAGTACGTTTAGCACAAAGCGACGATTAGAACAATATTCTGAACGTCGTTTTATTCCAGGCGTCGTTTTATTCTAAACGTCGCTTTTCGCTAAGAATTGCGTAGGCGCTCTCAAAAATTTGATTTGGACTAGAATCAGTTTGAAAACCGACGTTTTACACAAACCGACGAGGTTTTTACTCTTCTGAGTCATGTTAATATCATTCAAACTCATTTGAGGTTATTCTTATCAGATTTTTTCGGGTTTTTGAATAAGTTACATATTTAAATCACATACATATATGTTAAATAATATATTTATTCGGTAAAATATATCATAAGATAATCATTATTGATATTATATCGAATTTATACTGTTTATCAAATTAATATTTTGAGGAAAACTCAGGCAAATAACTTGTTCTCATTTCAATCTAATTCGTTCTGGGCGCCCACGCGTTTCAGACTGAAAAGCGACATTTAGAATAAAACGACGCCTGGAATAAAACGACGTTTAGAACAGTGTTCCAGACGTCGCTTTGTTCCAAACGTCGTTTGTTCCAAACGTCGCTTTGTGCTAAACGTCGTGTATCCGAGCTTCACTTGGACAGAGCTTCATTTGGACAGAAGCTTCACTTGGACAAGATTTTTACGAATTTCAAAAACGACTATATATGAATAACGCAACTAATAATAAATTATTATGGCGAAATTTCATTAATAATTAACCCTATAAGATGTTTTTCTTTATCTAAAAAGTGAAAAATACCATTTTATCACCAATAAATTTATTTTATCAGATGTTTATGGAAGAAACTTGCAAATTTTATAAAAAGCGTTACTTTCTTCCTAAGAATCGTACGTAAAATTCGTAAAGAGGACCTTTTAAAAATCTTGTCCAAGTGAAGCTTCTGTCCAAATGAAGCTCTGTCCAAGTGAAGCTCTTGTCCAAGTGAAGCCTACTCGAATTAGGCGCGCCCAGAAATGAGCGTCGAATAAAGCCCAATCATTATTTCGACTCTCAGATTCTCGAATCTCCACTTAGAGCTCAACTCCATGGTATTCCCTGAGCGCAATAATTTATTGAATTAGAGACTGGATAAATACGGTAACAGAGGAGCAAGACTGAATTCAAAAAGAGAGAATATGATGACGGAAGATGATGACAGTGACGATTTAGAGGGAGACTTAGAATTGAACGAATTTGTTGATAAAATAAAATGCTTCCAATCAAAATCTGGTATTGTTTTAAATTTTAATAATTTGCTAATTGCGTTTTCTAGCCAAGAAAATCCGTAAATTGAAAGAACAACTGGCCCAGAAAGACGAAATAATCTTCAATTTACGAAAAGAGCTGACGAAAGCCCAGGACGAGCTGAAAGCCCAGAATGTCTCAGATCCAGACCTTGAAGAGCTGCAAATAATCTCCCCAAGCAAAAAGAAGCGCGCAAGAGGATCAATAAACCATGCGTCCAATAGGTCAAATTCTGAAGAAGAAGTTCTCTCCAGCGCGAAAATTTCATCTCGTTCGAAGAAAATCCTGAAAACGGATGAAAAACCCAGCAGAAATATCAGTACAAGTTCAAATGGAAATCAGATGGTAGCGTCGAAACTGCTCAATCTAAAGCCCAAAGAAACATTACCTGTTCCGAAGAAATCTCGTTCACAGGCGGACAGAAGATCAGTCTATTCTAGGAAGGGCTTCTACTAGAAAGCAGGGTGGAACATTTGGGCAGAAGATGCTAGAAAGATAATTAGTATGACCTGAAATTCGATTAATAAGCCCTCTGCAAGTCGTTCTCGCCAATCTTCCAAAGAGAAAACTCAAGACATCTCCCAACACTTCATCAAAAAGTCCTCCAAAGTTACTCCAGAAAAGTCGGCTCCACTGAATATTTTGTACTCGCCGCTAGATGACATCGAATTAATCGACTCGTCCGAAGACGATGACATGACGCAAATTTCCTTGCTCCACAAAACTGGGAACCAAACTGATACTCAACATTTGATGAACCCGTCGCCAGCAACTGCGAATGGAATGGACAGTCGGCTAGGAAACTGGCTCAAGAATGTGCAGGAAAACTCAAAGAAACGCAAACACGCTGCTAGTCCTAAACCAGCTCGGCAGTCAAGGTACTTTCAAATTTGTTTCCTCGTTATTTGAAAATATAAAACTAGGAGCAAAGCCGACTTGAAATCGATGATAAGTGACGACGACGAGACAATGTGTCAAACGTCCAAAATCTACAGAGCAAGTTCCAAGTCACGATCTCGCTCGGTTTCTCCAAAGCCGAGCTACTCAAAGAACGACGTTACGGGCGAAGAACTGCTTTTCGGAGGAGCAAGTCAGACGCCAAAAAGAGAAGATTCCGACACAGAGGAAAACGAAATGGCGCAGAAAAAGAAGCAGCGATTTGTTGGAAATATTCCAGTGGACACGCAAGGAAAGAGGATCAACGAAAAGATAAATTTCGGAGAGGGTTCAGCTGAAACTATTATTATTGATTCAGAATGAAATTTATTCTTTTGAAAAATTTCGATATTTTAGACTGTTTTCAACCCTTGAAAGATTTGATCGAACGAGCCAAGTTCAACCGACTGAATGATTCTGATCTGCTCCGCCAGCCTCCCTCTCCATCCCTCGATGGCAGCCAGTGGGAGCCTCGTTATCCGGAAAATAATTTCGACAATTTCTGGTGCACGGATGATGATAAACGATTGCCAATTTCAAGTCAGCGAAGGCGACCCCATATTTGAATTATTTAATTTTTCTTCGAATATTACTGCAAGCCCTTTTACTTATTTATTCTTTTCCATAATTTTCAATACAGATAATAATCTTTAAAATCGAAAAAATCTATCATCAGAATTAGCTGATCTTCGGATCATCTGATCTTGGCACGCGAATAGTCACTGCATAAAACATTACTAGCAATTATAGCAGCGTTTCAAGGTAGCAGGTGCATGTGAATATGAAATTTCCGCCACTGGCATGATGCTGAGCCCGACGGCGAAAAAAACGCTTCTTTCGAAAAGCTCGACGGGCATAAAAACGCTCAAGCTTGAGATTCAGAGCACTCAGAAGGTACTGAGAACAGCTAGAGCAACACCAGCTTTAACAGTTGATAGTTGAGTGAGAGACGCAAATCCGAGATTTTGGGAAGTTCGCGAAGAGGCAGCATGGCTCCGAAAGACGTCTTGAATCCGCAGGATATCTGGAAGAATTCTTTGAGGAAAGATGGTCCACTACCAATTACGGAAAATGAAACATTTGAGGAGAAATTTCAGAAGAAAATGGAACAGAAGAGAAATAAGAAGATAAAGACCCCCGAATAACAGTAACGGAATTCTAATTTTCTTTTATCAAATTGGCAATATCCTAATGACAGATTCGCTGAATATCTGACACCCGAAGGTGCCTCAGCAATATACCCGTCAGAAACTAATTAGACTTCTGAAAAAGTATCAAGTCACATGAACTCCATCGATTCTGCAACTTCAACTTACACAACTCCAACTAGTCCTCAGTCAGATACATTTTCCGACATCGAAAAGCTTGAGAAAGAGATCATGATCGCAAAGAACGACATGTTGACTGCATACCACGACAAGATTCATCAATTTGAGCCAGAGTTCATACAGAAACTTTCGATCATAATTTCGATCAGAAAAATTATTGAACTCGCAAAAAGCGAAAAATTGAAATCAAGGATCAAGAAATTGTTACGGTTAAAAATTGAAGCTTGAAAGCATTTGCTTTAGCGACTGAATGCTAAGTTAACTTACTTATGGATCTATTTTCAAGCTGATGATAGACCTTCTTCGCGGCACAATTGACAGCTTGTCCCGATCGGAAAGTTTAGTATCAACACCACCGCCAATTAATTCCGACAAGTTGTACTCCGAGTCGGTCTTTTCTAAGCAAATCCTCAATAAGATGAAGGTATTCGGAAAAGAAAAAAGACGCAATAACATATTATCAATAAAAAGGAAATGAATTTTCAACTGCAGAACTTGTCGCGAAGCGTAGAAGATGTGCGCAGAGAGAAAAAGTATGACGCAAATAAACATCGATTAGAAGTTATTTATAAAAAAGCGGCTTAATTAGCTGTTTAGCAATAATTTTCGCAGTTTGGAAATAAGCATGGTCGGTAACTTGGCCAAACTCAAGAGTAACAACTTTTGCTGTGGAGGATGCAACGAGATCCAGTAATTTAATCGAAGAGACATTATTTTTATCCTCTTTCAGACCATTTTCAAGAGAACCATCAGTACGCGAGCTGATCGAGAAGTACCGGGAGTATCCATCTCACTTTAAGAAAGGTAAAGATTAAAAAAAAGAACTGCTCACGCCTGAATTCAGATGTACCTGAAATAGGCTACCAAAAGACGGGAAAGGAAACTAAACTGAGATCAATCGGCGTTCAAGCAAAAATCAAGAAGAAAAAGTTTTCATCCTTCGCAGAATACATGAAAAACTTCTAGCATTTTCTAGTTGAATGTTCACAGTCATCGCTGCATCAGAAGTCGATTCAGTCAGATCGATCTTTATTCGTATGAAATGTCAATAAACTTGTGTCTATCCAAACATCAAAGTCATCACGCTTTCCTTTCAAATTGAATGTATGTAGCAAAGACAGAAATTCTTTCCTTTCGCAGGCTGACTTTACTGCTTCTGTATTTGAATTGCTTTGTCATTATGGTGAGAGCTTGATTAGGCGCAAAGCTCAGACAGCCCTCCATAAAAACGATGACGAGCAAGACGTGGGCTCTCTTTCCCTTTTATCAATATAAACGCTCTCTGCTCGACTTCATCATCACAAAATTTTGGAAACAAAAAGAATATAACCCCGAATATTCAAGCGCACAAAATTTCGAAATGCCGAAAAAAGTTCCAAAAGAAAAATTCAAAGAGAAACCAGTGACAAGGCTTACTAAAGATACGAAGACGACCGCATTCGATGTGTTTAGCTTACACAGCAATGACCTGAATACCTTCAACTCTCCTGATATTGTCGAGACTCTACTAAGTTCCCCCGATTCCTCTTGTAGAATGGTGCCGGTTATCAAAATGGAGTGCCTAAGAAACTTTCACGCCGAGTTGGACAACATTGACATCGAAGAAGAATACACTGATGAAAGAGCAAAACGCTTTCGCGTACTTAAAATGCTGCTTTCAGAAGAAATTTTTGTAAAGAAAATAACACTCGGTTGCTCTATGCAACAGATTCCGAAGAGATCCATTACTGCTTGGAATATGCATCCTGTCTGGAATAACTACAACTTTGCGATAACAGAAAAATATAAAAGCACACTTTTCGACTTCCTCCGTTTTCTTCGAAACCATGACCAACACTTCTACCAAACAACTGCTGATTTTCAAGCTGACATGATACGTTCCCATCGACTTGACCGATCAAGATTCTGTAAATTCGTCGAGACAAATTTTCCCTCAATGATGAATTTCCTCATCACTCTCTATTTGGCTGCTTGTGACGAAAAAGATGAAATGCGCCGACTGTCTTCAATGTACTCTGAAAACGCGGATTTACTCTTGCTCGAAGATCTTGAAAGTTTTCTCTCCGAGACGATTACCAAAAATTTTCCTAATTTTCAAGGAAAGTTTTTACGACAGCTGGATCAATACCTGCATCGGAAAATCATTTACGACAAAAAAGGAAATTTTTTGACTCTTCGATAGCCCGATTTTATTGAGCTTGAAACATATGATCTGAAAACGACCACGGATAATGAAACTGGCCAGGAAACGACCTTGGATATGAATATGGATACGATAACATCAAGATATGGAAGTTTGAACGAATTACAATTCACACAAACTTATACCGCTTATTGGTAAACTGAAAGAAATGCGAATCTGACCACACGATCTCTATAAGAAGAAGTTACGAACAAGAAATTACTAGTGTTGCAACACAGATATTCGTACCTTCGTAAATTTGCAAGCTGAACTGTAAAACTTTTGATTACTCATCTAATAAACTGATTTTTTCAATAAAATCGAATTATTTATCCTTTCTTTGCAGTCAAAGAATATCTAAATTGTCGTTTTCTTCGACATATTCGATCGCTCTTACTCACCCCTACAAATCCATTACTCGAGCGCCCCGCGGGCTCCTTTTCCCTTTTTTCAGAGCGCGTCGCTCGATGAATGTCGATTTTTGTCATTCCAAATTTTGAGTTTACTAAAAAGCAGAACAAAATATTTTTTCAAACAATGAAGAAAAACGCATCTGTTGAAGAGAAGTCAGCGAAAGTAGTCCCAAAGAGACTTACCAAAGACACGAAAACTGTCTCGTTCGACGTCTTCAGTTTGCATAGCACAGATTCAAATACATTTTCTCGGGTGGACATCATCGAAGAGCTGCTTTCAAGAGACAGTAAATGCGCTTTCAACAACAAACTCGTCCCGATGCTCAAGATGAAATGTCTCCACAACTTACACGCAGAGTTGGTGAATATTGAAATCAACGAAGAGTACGAGCACCCGCGAGCGAAGCGATTCCAAATCGTTAAGATGCTTCTTTCCGATGAGAAACTTGTCAAGAAGATCACATTTTGCTCTACTCAAATGGGTCGACACCAAACTCCAGCCTGGGACAAACATTCAATGTGGCAAATGTACGACTTTTCGCTGGAGAAATATGATTCAACACTCGTCAGCTTCATCCGATTCTTCCGTAACCACCACTCGCACATTTATGAAATTGGCGAGGATTTTCACCGCAATCTACTTCGATCTCGGCGAATCGACGATTCAAGATTCTGCGATTTGATCGAGAAGAAGTTTCCATCCTTATTGAGCTTTTTGATCACGCTGTATTTGGCCGCTTGCGATGAAAAAGACGAAATGCGGAAGTTGTTTTCAAGCTATTCTGAAAACGCTGATCTACTTCTCTTCGAAGACTTGGAAAGCTTTCTAGCAGATACTATCAGAAAGCACTTTCCGAATCTCCAGGGAAAATTTGTTTTCCAGCTGGACAAGTTTTTACAAAAGAAAATCATATTCGATGGAAATGGAAACTTTGTGACTCTGTGGTAAACAAATGAAAAAGGGAGAGCAACACGCAGAGAAGACCTCCGGAATCAAGGCGAAGAATAAGAAAACACTTGCAATTATTTCACTGAACGAATGACTGTAATGACCGAGATGTTCTTTCATTTTGAACTAGATTCGAGTAAATAGAACCAATAAACTGATCTTTATAATTATACTTTTGTTTATTTCTCTAGCATATAAAATGATACAGTACTCTCAATAGTTTTAAGCACACATGAACTCTGGTTAATTCAAAGAGTGCAGATGAAAAGTTTAAGAAATTGAACTTTGACTTTAGAAAAGTACAGAGCATGCACGAAGTGACTGGTCTCTCTTGACTTTTTGAATTAAAAATATGAAAGCAATAATGGTACCTTGCTTATTCAAAAAACAAGACCAACGATTGAGAGCCTATCCAACATTCTTTCCGGTTGCTTAGAGAATGAGGCAGTCGATTCCAGAGTAGATTAGAAAGGATTTGATTGTGATGCCATAATTAAACATTGTTCATGTCGCGAGGCTCTAATTTTGTAAATATTACAACATATCACGCGTTCGTGCCATCGTGGGACCACTTTACAACAATAACAAAGTAGGATTTATTTTCTAATGCGTTAAACTAAAATAACTAGCAGTAAAAATAGCACGTATCGAACTCTTAGAGAGAGCGGGTTAAATTCAAGAACTTCCTATCTAAGCAAATGACCCGCTGGATAATGCGATGAGGGAGCAGATTAATTCGTAGAAAACGATCTCCTTTCAACCCTCAATGCTCCAGTCATCATATCGTCACCGAACATAATCGCCTCGGAAAGGAGATCCCTACTGACAAAAGATCTTATTTGCTGAGATGGACGCAATAAATTTAGTTCATAGGCTCTACTTCTATTTTAAAACGATTGATATGGAACCCAAAATTGACCAGGAGTCGCAAACTATCTCAGAAATATGGGGAGTCCAACTCACATTGCGCGGCCTGATATCATTCCGCGTGTCTTATCTCTTAGCTCATCCCTTTATAACGGTTGTTTTCATTCCGCGTTGGTTATCGACCGAGAAGCTAACCACCATCTCCTGCAAGTCAAGCGAACTTGGGCAGCAGTCTGCAGATTCCAAGCAGATCTCAATTTTTCTATCCAAGAAGCAATAAGTTTAGAAGCTTCGCTAAAAATATATCAGAAATGCTTTTATGGTTGTTTTGAAAAGATCATCCAAAAAAGAAGCGATTTGATTTTGGCTAAATATTGACCGTTCTTTAGAAGCACTAGGATGCTATACGGTTCCTTGTGTCCTAGATATAGAATAACCTTGAGGCCTTTAGAAGTGCTTGGAACATGCATGTAAGTGGCTTGTGCACCGTTATCACTGATACACTGGTGTCGATAAGCGGAAACGATAGGCGTCGGGCTCAAAGCGCTGGAACCATATTGAGCTTTCCGGCCTAGGCAAGGAAGCAACGCCACCGAACCCATATTCTAAACTCTATTGCAATCGGATGTTCACTTTATTGCTAGTCTACTTCAAAACGCAACTTCGGTTTACCTAAGTGACAGCAACATTTGTAAAAGTCTACATTCAAATCAACCGCATCTAAATGACGCTCTAAAAATATTTGAAGAAAAATTTGCGTTGTAAACCGAAAAAATTCTTCTGCAGAAATCTCTCCGAATTTAAAACGTGGTATTCAAGTACAGTATTTTTAGCTGGCTGGATTTGAAGGAGCAGTTTTTGATTGATCGACGCTTTTTTACATGAGAAGCGCTTTTATTCAAGTTCCGCGGTTAGATGCTCTTCATTAGCTGCTATCAACATTCATAACATCTCTTCCCGTTTTTCTTCATTGCCTCTAAAAAGAGAAAAACCTCAGGAGCACTTTGTGACGCGACGAGATCCGGCCTGCGTAGAACGATCCGTCACACACTGTCAGATCGACATTCGTAATCGTAACTTGAGATCAGCAGGTCCGATCCTTTTCCTTTAGAATGCGGTTTAGTAGAATCAATCTTGAAACATTTAAGTGACCACTTTATGTAATTTTCTGGCTTTCTAAGAATGCTTTAGATCTCTCGCTGTCAATATGCTAGTAACAGTTTCGGCTGGCCAGCTGACTTAGTTATTGATGAGTGGTTATCTCTACCCGTATGCTTGGAAAGTTTAAATATTTTTCTTGAAAGATTATTCTTCCGCTGAAGAAATTGCAATGCAGAAAGACAGTGATTGCCCCAGTCAACTGTTTAGCTATTGTAAAACAACGTTGTGTTTCCTTAAAATATCCGCCCTTTGTCGCCGTCATATTTTCAAAGCATGTATCCGCATGTTATGCTCGAGTATAAATTGAAAATATACGTGGCCTACGTTTCTCAATTTCTAAATCGTTCTTATCGTTGCGATTATCGCGCTTGGAAATAAATTAGTTGTAACGTCGAATTGGAAGAAGAAAGCTGTTTGGGGATGGTTCAGATTGTATCTTTAGGAGGGCTTAGTGGCAATTTGCCCTTCCTAAACATCGTTAGCACGTTGCTTCCATCGTAGCTTAGATAAAAATCAGAAAATTCTGCGGACAACTTGTTCATCCCTTTTTTGTCAATAAAGGTACCTTCTGATGCTCAATTTTATGATTCAAAGAAAGAGGAAGACGCGATTTTGATTTTTATAATTCACAGTAAATGTTTTATTTATATATAAATTTGTAAAAACACAGAACATCATGTGTCGGCATTTGGACTTCGGAATTGAAATCAAACAGGCTTGGGATGAGATTGACTTGAACGACAATTTCTCGTTTAGTATAGTAAGTTTTTAAATGCAGCAAAAGGTAGTTTTGTTTTATAAATCGTTTGTTTCGTTGTTGCGCCAGCAATTGTGTGTTTGTGGTTGTTGTTTGTTTGTAGTTGTGGTGCGGGTCTTTTCGAAATCGAAGCCGACTCAATCAAAGCGCCAGACTCAATGGCAGGTTTGGATTTGGGCGGTTTCATCCCTTTTCAGCCCGATTCAATCGAATCCAAATCTCTTCGTAAAATTTTGATTATGTTTAAAATTGTTACGCAATCGTCGGAGTTGATCGTCGACCCAACAAAGATGGTGGTTTATGGGTCGAGAGTCCGGTCTTGCTCAGGGGTCAATTTACTGTAACATTTTTGGCACTCTTATTCGAACCAAAGCCGAGTTGAAATATTGATTTCGGGCCCGGCTCGAGCTCGAAGTTCGAGGCCAGTCAAAAAATGTTTCGACTTGGAGACAAATTACAATTCGATCAATTTCGAGTCGAAAGTATCGGCAGGTTGGTTGGTGCACCGATACAGTAGGATTGATTAACCCCTTACCTTCACATTGTTCATTCATCGAGGACGTTTACCCTTGGAGCTTATCGCCCAGTAACTGGGCAGTCTTAGTGGTAAAGCTAACATAAGTAAAATGGCGAAATATAGGCAAAGAATGGTGGGGCAAGAAACCCGCAAAAGCATTCTACTATATAAGAATAGTCTCTCAAAAGTTATTCTTATTCGAATATATTAAATATGCTTCCGCACGAGGAAGGAATATCTCCTCTATCTCGAAAAAGTTCCTCAGAAATATAAAAGTTCTTCTCTCTAATAATTATTCCAAAATTAGAGTTACTTGAGTGTACAAAAGTTTAGCGGTCTAATCGGCATCCGACTAGTCCTTTATTCGAGGCTCCGCTCAGTCACAGGACTAATGTTAGCCAAGCATAATTCTGCGCGAAGTTTCTCGAAAGTTTAATTGTAGCAAAATCGTAAAATCATAAAATTAAATACTATGTACAAGTTGAGTTGCAAGAAGTTGAGAATTTTAAGGAAAAATTCGTTTCAAAATTGGTCGGAACTGTTGGCAATATTCACATTAGGGCGTTTTGGCATGGAAACTACTACGAAGCGACGAGAGTCGTTAGAACAGACGCCGCCTGTAGTGTGGAAAAATCGAGTACTTCATATCTACAAAGGCTTTTTTGTTGTCCTTGTGCCGTGCAAGAATGTTTATTCATCCTTGGATCCACGGACTTTGGGTGTAGCTTTGCTCATGAAGAATTTTTGCCAGCTAAAAGGAAATCGTTAAATCTTGATTTTTAAGGCACGTGACTTACCCTTCGCCGTTGGGGCCGCCCTTGGGGGTGTTGGGGAAGAGTCGCTTCCACTTGATCTTCTCGGCTTCTTCAGCGGTGGTGTAACCAGATCGAATTCCATCTCGAACTCGGCGACTGAGGCTCAAGAGGTTTCTAAAAATCGCGATCAGACAAACAGTCTTGGTGAGCAGTTAATTTACCGTTTCAGTCGCTTGTCGTTTCGGGTGCCCTCGTTGTTCTCACACTGCCAGAGGAATGTGGTGGTGAATCGTTTGACTGAAGTGTGGACTTTTCGTGCGTTCTTGAGGAATTTTGCGGGGTCGAGATCGAAGGACTTTCGGCTTCGGCCCAAGTTACTGGCATCGCTGTCTTCGGCGTCCATCTTTTGGATAGATCCATTCTCGTTCTAGATTACTCAGTAATTACTGCACCTACGAGGGCAAATCTACCTTGACACACTGAAGGTCTTCATCTTCGCCCTCAAGATCATCGCAAAGGTTTTCGTAATCGTCCTGGGTAAGAGCAAGGCTTCCGTAGCCAGTGCTTCTTCGTCGCTAAAGATTTTTGATTAATATATTCGAAATTTTATGAATAATGTTCTATTTTGCTCAAAGTTCTCTAGCAAACTTACTCGGTCGGGGTTCTTTGGCTTTTTAACTTTCTCCATCAGTCCGCAGTCTGGTTCTCCATCACCGTCTTTGTCTTCCATCAATTGATCTCGGAGTTTCTGAAGGCGAGCTTGAGATCCTGTATCAAAATTGATTGACTTACAGTAAAGTATTTGTTGTTGTGGTTCATGACCTTATCGTAGTCTCCGGATGTGACTTCATCTACGTTGTCTGCGTTACCTCCTTTTGAAAAGACTGCAAGTCGGTTGGCGAGCTTGTTAGATCTAAAGGGAACTTTTAAAAACGCTGTTTTAAAAGGCAAGTGTATTAATTGAATCTTAGAATTCAAAAGATACTCATCTAACTATCTAGTTTTATAGTTTTATAAATACGTACGTAGCGAGCTTGTTGATAGGATGTTTTCTTGGGTAGTTTTCATCTCGCTCAAGCATAGCGAATTCAGGAACTGCTTGGGCGGCAGCAAGGATTGTGGATAAAACTCGCATGTTGTGTGTGTGTGTTTAGGCTCTGTTTTTCCAAAAAAGGAGGAATCCGTTTAAAGTTGATGGTAGATGGTCGACGGTTGTTGAGGCAACTCTCTGACTGTCTGGGACGTCGGGTAAGAATGACCTTAAAGCCGCAGCCGGGATCCTTATAAATGGATCGGCGCTATTCCGCGGCGCCGCGCACCGGGCGGCCACGGACCAAGATCGCGGGGGCGCCGCCGAGCTCACCGCGCAACGGGTCGGAGGTTAGTTGATAGCACCGCCACCTCGTGCCAAAGAACAACTAAGCACCAATATCCACGAGCACGACGATTCCACGCGGGAAACGCACTGACCCTCGCCTATCTTCATATGCACTTTTGGATTCAGAATCAACTTTGCAAACTTATTTCTAAAACTCTTTTTTGTTTATCGATTATCAAAGAATCTTTCTATTCAGATCATTCTATAAAATGAATTATGAAAATGATAACACTTATTTTCGGACGATTAACACTTCTTAAAATGTTTATCTTTCAAAGAGTTACCACTAGGCCCGCTGATACTTGCTCATAAAACAACTGGAGCTTGCAGAAATTCAAAAGTAAGGTAGTTTTATGAAATCGAAATTATCAATGAAACTTTTTCTCTCAAAGATCAGGAAAAAGTATTCAGACGCTGAATAAGGGTTAGAATATCCATGGAAAGTCGCAGAAACCGTCAAGGAGTATGTACCAATACGCATGCCACTTTGGATTGAATAAAATATGCAGCAAGTTACGAGCACTTTCTGGTGTGAGCCCTTGTCTGATACTACGTATCCATCGAGTGATTTTAGAACCCCAAATGTCCGTTTCAGTTCATTTTTGGCCGCCAAAAGTTTACGTAAGTGTTTCGTGATTAAGTCGCCGATCTTCTGGCGCTTGACACAATCTATCTGGCGAGGTGACACATGCGGCTGGAGACACTTATTATTTTCTGGACAGGAGCTCATTTATGGAAATCCACCTATTGAGGGCCTGTTAAAACACTACTTCGTGGAGGTACTCCAGGTCTAGTTTTTTCAAGTTCTTGACGTTTTGTTAGGTGATGCTCAGTTGTTTTCAATTCGTCATTCTTTATGTGACTGCCGTAGAAGTGCCTCTATAAAGTGGTATGCTTCCAAGTTTATTATAAAATCCGCACTTGAGCCGCGTTAAATCCCTGAAAATTCGCTTTCATCATCATTAAAAGGCGTGTTCACTCGGTTAATCTCCACTTTCAAACCTTCAAGCTTACTATTGATTCGACGAGTTTCACATGCTTTCTCGGCGGAATTCGCCACAACCGGTTGTTGAAAAAAGTCCTGCGCCGAGTGATAGTATAGAATAATACCGCTTGTCAACAATGAGGGAAATTAACCCCCTCATGTCATCTCGTAACGTTGTCCGACACGTGTCTCCGAAACTACCTAAGTCAGACATAATCTAACATTTATTACGTGAAGCGGTCGTTATTTTAATAAGAGAAAATTAAGCGCCTTGATGAAAACCATAATCCGGTAAACATAAAACGAACGCGCTGACATGCTTTAAGCAAATACATACAAAGAATTATGGGATTAGGTTTAGAAATAAGGCTCAACTTTTTTCTCCGCGAAAAAAAGTGTATAAAAGTAGTCTCCTTTAAGCAAAATACTGCTTGAAAATAATTTATGATTCGTCAATGGTCTTTTTTGTTTATTTCTTCAACTCTTTCATAACCCATTTTTTGTGTTAGAAGTCCACACAATTGGACAACGATCGAATAATATTACACTGGTTGATCCATAACACCGTTACGAAAAACGTTAATCCAAAACAGCAGGTACTAGGCCGAGCTAATGATACCACAACAAACCACGTTTAGAAGTAATGAAGAGAAAAGAAAACGACCTTTTTCTTTTTTATCACAACAGAGACCGTTCAGGTGGCTTGAAGGTTGTAAAGCCGATTGCAGATTGTTATTCTGAATTACACATCAGCACATGTAATTTCGGCTTTGCCACGCGGTTCTATTTGTCTTTTCTTGCCTCGGATGATAGGTGACCAGTTTTAGGCAGTGGCACGACTTTAAATCTATTCTGAATGGCGTCAACAAAGAGCGATCAGCCATCATACGATAGTCGAATCGTTGTTGACACGGTTCATCAAATCAACATACGTATGAACCCTCAAATATCTGTCAGATGGAGGGGATCTGTATCATTCGTAAGAGGGACAGTGAAATCGATAAGAGGGTATTGTATCATCTTCGAAAATGAGCAAGCTGCCTGAACGTGGATTTTATGTTTCGCGAACATCCCAAGATTGGTGGCCCTTGACTCTGCTCAGTTGGCGCGCTTGTCAACTTTTAAAACTTACTGAAATTTCATCGTTTAGAATATTCATTTCCGTGTTGCGGAAATTTTGCACCGGAAGCGCGGCTCCAGGTCGCCCCTTTGCTACAAACTGCGATCGCATCACTTTTAGTATCGACCGTTTTTCGGCGAAAGGATCTGCTTTTGATCAATACGAAGGGTGTACCTATTCGTCAGCTTTATTTATTCCTAACAATCGGCCACGAGGAAATCCAATTTTCACGTTATTCGCGCGCGATTATTCTTTCGTAAAAGGCAAATGCGGATTTATCGGCAATTTGTCTTGTAAAGTCATTTCGTTGTTTATCGATTTCTAAGCATATTCTTACATGGTGCAATTTTTCATTCTGTATAATTCGCTATAACATCTGCTGTTGGAAGAAATACTCAGATAAGTAAATTTCAATTTCCGTTTGTTTTGACGAAAACAAGTTGGAAAGACATAACGCTATTCTATGAACTTGACAAAGAGGCATGAGAATATTTATGAAACGAATCGTTAGTGGCCTTTGCTCGAGAACATAATAGTGACTTATTTGCGACAAGCAAGCCACTCTGGCGTGAACCAACGGGACAAGAAGCTCTCCAATCCAATCTGCGAACGAAATGTTATTGTCACTTTGCAATTTTGTTTTGAGCAAGAACGTATCTAATTTCCCTTGCAGATCTTACAACCTTAAAACAATAAATATATTGCGAAGCGGTACGGTTAATAAATACAGTGTGCTGAAAACGTGAGATTTGCAATTTTCTAGCGGAAAAGAATTGCCGCTTTTCGACTCATTGTTCGTTATTGATCTGGGAACGCAGGTACTGGCGAGTACTTGACTGAGAAAGGAGCCGCGCGAAAACAGCGAAAAATTCTTGAAAGTGAAGAGTGTTCCGCATTGTGTTTAGAGTCGCTGGGGCAGCGTTTCTGCGGTTCAGCGAGAACATACTCACACGTGTGCACATTTGCTACTGAGTACTCGCGGACGAATCGCTCTTATATGAGCTTCCGCACACATACGGACATCTTTCTTGTGCTGAAAAGAAGAGAAAGAGAGGGGCTCTTCGGTGAGAATGTCAACTTCTTTGCTACAACAGATGTCCTCTCCGGACAAGAAATCGGGCCAATTTAGCACTACCAAAGCGAGTGTTAAATTCGATTCCCACACGTTTTCTAGTTGACCTCAAGAAACTAAGTAGATGGATCGACATGCTCCCTCGACAACAATTCTACCGCAACAAGTTCGCGCACGGCGGGAGGGCTGATAACTTATCAATGGTAAAAGAAAACGTTTCGAAAACTTAACGTGGCGGTTTCTCCAGCCAAAATGGGGATTGGGTGCTTTGGCTCTTCCTCCGACAGCTGCACTTTTAATTGTCTAAATCCACGGGGTGCTCAATCGGCAAAAGATACACCAAATCCGCAAGAGCATAAAAGCAATTTAGGCAGGCAGCTAAGTGCATCAATTTACCGGGAGCCTTCACCGGGCATTGTTTATTAGCTTCTTTGATGCTCAGTTCTTTAGTAGGAAAAAGGATGTGCTTCTTACGCCGTATTTTTGTTGCTCAATTTTTTACTGTACATAACTTACCTTCAGCTTGACTGCAACTAAAATAAGCCCTGTTTATGTTAAACCTGTAGCTTATCTTCATTTACGAATCATTCTGTATATTTGCGATTTGAAGTATTTTGCAAATAAACTATTTCACAACGTGAGGGGTGAGATCTGTCTCGTGGCTGCTTAGCGATAATTTTATCTCGCGAAATAGTCGGCGAATTCAACGTGACATTCACATGTGTACATAGTCGGACACATCGCGTTTCTGATAACACAGATATACTCCCTCTTGACATCATAAGAAAACTCGTCCATATCGTTATCCTCGAAGTGCTTCATCGAAAGTCTTTGACTCATGAGTCATGATGTTTTCTGAAGCTTATTTCGTCTTTGAATGCATTAGCAAGACAATTTAGCAGCTTTTTGACGCCTTATGCAAAGAAGATACAGAACTTTCCGAAAATCTAGTTACGTATAAAACCAGGTGATTATACAACGATAAAACTTACACGAAATCTGCTGAGGCTGCTTTGGAAAGGGCTTAGGGTACCTTTATTCATCGGCGATGATCCCTGGGAAACAAGCGTGAGAGCAAGGTGCCATAAAGAGGCCAAACATACTCCGCCCAAAATCTTCTTGTGAGAATTCGAAATAGACGTCCAAGCGTTTCTTGCTGGCGGACGGGCCAACCCCACGTTACTCGAAAATCTACTCGCAAATATATCCAATTTGTTTCTTCATAAGAAATCTTAGCGGCGCTACCTTGATCAAGCAAGATTTTAATAAATTCATCTGCTCAGATGTTTGAACGAGCTTTTGGGACTACCGCTTTTTAGTCACTACAGCTAAACCCGAATATAAGACAACCCCCGAGACAAGGTCTAAACAAATTAAGGGTATCTAGTCAGAAAAGTACATTCTAGGGCCAGCGTTTGCTTATAAACATGATCGAGTAGGTTCAAATCATCCTGTCAAGAAAACATTCTTAGAGCGTTAGAGTCTGTCAAAAGTCTCACGAAAAAAACGAAGGCGAAGATTTTCGCCGTAATTCCGGATTATTGTAACAACATGCCGAAGAGTACTAGAGCAAATCCTGAACAGTTTGCAACTCGACAGCAAGTTGCAAACGTGACAGGATTTTCGACAATCATTTTAGAACAATTACGATACGATCTTTTAGGGACGGAGTCGGGGGTAAGATGAGTGAATTTAAAATCGTGTATCCCGGATTTGCACTGAGCTGCCCTTACTTGTTCAAACAGATCTTTATCTTTTCACCAATCTATGGTTCTAAGGTACATTTGGAATGAAAAGGGATTTGTTGATGGAGCAGAATTCGATGTGGGGGATAACGGGTAGATTTCCCCTGTAACAGCACCAAGAAATATGCCGTCCGGGTTTACCTCAAGAATTTGTCTCTAAATTGGCTGAAAAGTGGCCCCCTACCTCGTAATACCCAACCACTAGCCACCTGTCACCAAAATGAAGCAAACTGTCTTTCAATAACAAAAACAGAATCTAAGCGAATACGAGTCAAGAAGGTTCAACGAAGACTAAGTTTTCTTAATAGGCTCAATTGGGGATTTTCGCCGTCAAGCTTTACCGCGATCCCATTCTTTGAAGATTTCCTGAATTTTTACCCGCTCTTAGTAACTTCACGATTATTTCTTCACTTCAAAGCTTTCTTGCTTTTAGAATTTAGAAAATCGCGCAATTGAGAAAAATTATCGAACTCACGCAGCGTTTCCTTTTCGGATATTGTATGATCAATCGATGATAAATCCACAAATGACCGCTGATTGAGTTTAATTTAGCGCTTCAACTAGTCGTCCTCTAAAAGATTGGCCGGTTTATCGAACTTCGATAAGATTTCTCTCTAGCCGCACTTTGGATGGGCACTTTTCGTTTTCAGCATTTTTACGGTTAGTAACGTGGCTCAAGGAAAAACGATTTGCATTTCGAAGAACGAGGAAAGAAAGAAAATTTAAATTTAAGGCGCTGAGGGAAGGGTTGAGGGTTAGCTATTGAATTAAGGACTCAGCAAAGAGTCCCAGAAAAAGAACATAAGAAGAATCAACGTTCAAAGAGAGTCGTTTATTTATACAGGTACGTGGCAGTGCGTGTAAACAAGTGGGTGAAAGAAAGAGCACGTTAAAAGGGAATCTGAGTGATGCTCTTGAACCAGGGCGGAATCGCGAAAACCGACACGACCTTTGCGTTAACTTTGCGAGGATAAGCACGCCGCAAGTACTTCAAGCTATAGAACGTAATTCCAACACGCATTGCTCCAGTTGCACGATCTTTGCCTAAAAGGGAATAATTCTAATTAGCAGCTGCGGGAGATTATGACTTGATTCGATTTTAAACGTTGCTTTAAAATTATTGAAATATGAAAAGGATTGGCAAAATAAATCGGATTTCCAACAGATTTGTCATTTTTTAAAGATTTTTTTCTTTAATCTTTGAGAATAGAATAATGGCAAAACAGTTAAATTAGATTTCTTTTCCGATAATTTTGATTTTACTAATTTTAATCATCAACGAACGAAATGTTTAATTTTCCATGAAGTTCAGATCTTATCGATGAGAACCACGTTTCTTCTAGTGCTCGAAAAATATAATTTTTGAGCGCACTCAAAGAAGAGTTCTTCTGAGTGGTATCTGTGTTTTTACGTAGATGTCTTTTAAGTCGTCTAAAATGGCAGTTACTTGGGTTTGTTTGAGCTGGCTCTGTTGAAGACTAGCGATTGCCGAGAGCAGGTCGAGCTGGCGTCGATCCGCGAAGCTGCTAATTTCATCCTTTCGCGGATCAACGAGAGGTGTTTTACGTGAGAACCTGCCTGATACGGCATCGCCTCGTACTTCCGTTAGTTAAACACGTTTATACTCTCGGACTCTGGAACTAGTGAGCATCGTGCGAATTTTGTTGATGTAACGAAACCTTTGCTACTTAAACTTATTTGATTTTGAAAATTAAATTTGTTCAAAAAATTTGTGTAAAAAATTAATTTGACGTTTATTTCGACTATTTTCGTCTTTATTCTAAGGGATTGGCTTCTAAGAAAAAGAATTTGGCCGTGAATTTATAATCTCGCATGAGAAAAAACAGCATTGATCAGAACTGTAATAATGAGAGCTTTGAGGTTGAAAATTCATGTGAACCTTGTAAGAACGCGCTCAACATCCACGTTTCGTTTCGCACCGCTGATGACGCTAAATGCCGCGTTTAAGAGCTGAAAACTCACGGTCTAAATAGCTTTTAAATGACCTGTTATTTCTATATCACTCTTATAGGAAAATACCGCTGACGGAGTAAGATATTTTAAGCCAAAAGAAAAGTCGTGCCGATTCCTCAAAAATCCGAAATTTAAATATTATCTCGGGTTGTGACGGGTGATGTCACTAAAGTTGAACTCGTTCGGAGTACGTAAGGGTATCTTCTCGGTATCCGTTCCTTGCCTTCCGCTGATAGAAGGTCCAGCAGTTCGTTTGTTTCGCGGGACACTTCAGCCACTTGCTGAAATCAAAGTTAAGTTTACCTGATAGAGTGTTACGTTGCGATTTTTATCACAACCAAATTTGAAACTTTTCAAAGTTCAAAAAGGGACAGTTTTCAAAAGATTTGAAAAGGTGAGAGAGGTTCTCCAGAAAACAAGTAAATTATTCTAAACACTTTGGTTAAATAAGCTATTTGGTGAAAAAACGTAGTGTGACATTTTAGCCGAAATTGTTCAAGCGGCTGAAGGTCAATTTTTACACATTCTAGTGAACATTCTTCTCACTTGAGGACTGACACTGTGTTACATGCCGTGATATTTGTGTTCAAAGTCGCAGAAAATTTTTTCTTGAACTTAGAAAAGAATAGACCTGCTGTGCTACTGTGTATGTGAACCGCCGCGCTGGGCTTCACGTGATGTACCTGCACATTCTTCCCTTGTGATGTGGCTTTATCGAGCTCACGTTTACATTTCGCACAGTTCGCTGCTGCTCTGAAATTTTTAATTTAGCCTCTTTGGTATGCACCAAAAGCGCAAGAAATTTCAAGCTCGGCGGCTAAAACAAGTGGCTCCAGGGATCTAAATTTTTTCGCGAAAATCGCAATTTGCGAATATTTTGCGATTGCGATGCGAAATTTCGCAGAAAATTCGCAATCGCAAAAACTTTTTTGATCTAATCGCAATCGCATCGCAATCGCAACTCAGTTTTCGCTAATAATTCGCAAATTGCGATTTTTTTGCGAATTTCGGTCTTGTCAGAGTGCTCCCTTGTTATTCTGACATCAGTTTTCTTTGACTCAGAGCCTATGTTCTGTGTTCTTAATGCTTAATTGAAAGCCTGACCTCAAAAAATTTTCTTAAATTCTATGAAAAGTTACTTTTTTCGCTGAAATTTCGCAAATAGCGACAAAATCGCAATTCGCGAAAAATTCGCAATTTGCGACAAAAATCGCAATCGCATCGCAATTTCCGGAGTATTTTGCGTCGCAATCGCATCGCAATCGCAATTGATTTTCGGCAAAAATTTAGATCCCTGAGTGGCTCAGAGGATAATGGCTAGAATTTCAAGAAAAATGATTTGACGAAAATTTCTATGAAGCAATTTAACCTGTTGATAGCAGTTGGCACTTTATTGGCTAGTAGACGGGGATCATTCAAGTTCTAGTACACTAGAAAGCTTGAGAGGCGCTTTTATCCTATCAAATACTGAGTATATCAATGTTGTGGTCATACTTTCGCGATCTTGGCTTATCATTCTGTGTCGTTGTGTTTTTTGGACTATGGGCTCTCGCTGCGCGGGCCGTCGTCGTTTTCATAAGAACCAAAACGTCTTATCAGTGCAAGGCCCAACAAAATTACCCTCTGTGACACAGGTTCGAGCACGATACCGCGAGTGCACTAGGACCTTTAAAAATTTGATTTTTAGAATTACCGGGCGCGTCGGATCAGCAGATCTTTGCATGCGATTGTCTCTGATTCTTGTACCTAAAAGCATTTACTTCGTCACTAATTAGGCCCAGCAATTTTTGAAAAAGCGTTCATAAGAAAGCTAGTGTTTACCTTAAGTGCATCGGCAAGCTGCTGCTGGAGCTCGTTCATTTGATCGGTCTCAATTTTCTAAAAAGTCACATTAGTTAACAAGTCTTTGCCCTAGAGCTTCAAGCTTCAAGCTTCAAGCAACTTTGACGCAAAATCAGTTTCCTTCTATAAAGAATTACATCTCTGTACAAAGCTTTTCTTGTAAAAACGATTACGAGTTTCTACGTCTTTTCTTTGCGGTGACTGTTTAAATAATCAATTTTTAGCACGATAGGGATTATTCTAGCGCACGCATCAAATGATTTTCAAAAAAGGGGATGAACTTGCCTTCAAGAATTCCAAATGACGTTCTTTCTAGGGATGAGTTCAAATCAAATTGGCACTTGAGCGCGGCAAAAATTTAATTGACAGGAAGAATTTTGTAAAAAAAGTGAGCACGTGGAGAACAAGGACTCCTTTGGCAACGCGTTTTATCACAAACCTGTCTTAGAAGAAAGACTTAGATAAAGAAAGTACTGGCCGAATTGAAAGCACAAATCCAGGATGGCTTTAGATTGATAGTACCGCGAGCCCTTGTAATATACGCAAAGATGGCACGTTTTCGTAAACGACAATAATAATTACTTCTTTTCCTTATCGCCAAGTTCGTCGGCTAAATTAACTGCCAACTGAAGAAAATTTCCTTTCGCTTACGAAACGCCGTGTTTTGCAAAAATATATTTTCTTTGTAACGTGTCGTTTTTTCTTTTCAACTCAGATATTTGGCGTGTTTATTAAATTATTCTCAGTGCCCCTTGCAAGTTGCAAAAGATTCAGAAAGAAACACGCATTTCAAAATAAACAGAAAATTATTATTTTGTAATCAACCCCCGTCTCTTTGCCTGTAAGTAAAAAAGTTAATTTTTCAATTTTCATAACTAAGGACCGTCTCTTCTATCCCCTTAGTAAGCGCTCGGTATCAAAAAGCGCCGGTTATGAAGTGTACGCTTCAAGTACTGATCCCTTCCGAATCGGGTGAGGAAGTGTTGAAAATTGTGTTCCCGGGATATCACCGAGAGTCGCTCGTTGTTCCTGAGCGTGTTCGAGCTCATCACAATCCGAAAGACGTCCGATGCCACTTCTGCCTGCTTCGAGAGCACTTCTTCCACTGCCACCAAAGTGTCCTGATGGTAAGGGGCTCCGACTACCTGTTTCATTGATACAGTCATTTGAGCAGTGAGTTTACATGAAAAATTTCGTAATTAGAAAAATACACTTTTTATAGGAAGTGTTCTAAATTTGTTATTTTTTGTAAATGCGGTTTTGTCGAAAAATGATGTTTGAACATGAAACTTGGTGGTTAGCTATCAGTTTGACTTTAGAACGAAAAAGTGAAGGATTGTCGGGACCGGGGATTGATAGAAAAGATAAGTGATGACGAAAAGTGCTTGTCTCCTTGTATGCAGCGGAGCATGTCTTTGTCAGGGAAACTCGACCTGGTCAAGTATCGGAACCATGTTATTTAGAGCATCTGATTAGCTATTGCATCAGAGTAATATATTAGCGCCGGAGACACTAGTCAGGTTTACATCTTTCCTATACACGAGATTATACATCACAGTCTACGCTGAATTTAATCGATCGAAAAATGTATAAGAAATTCCAAGAAGATATGTATACTCAACGTTTTCGTTGCAAATGACTCAATTTTAGGGAGTTTTTACGACGGCAATGGAAAAATCTGGAGTTATCTTTATGAGTGTTAAAGCCCCTTCATCCCTGAAGTTTCGGCAGATAATCGAGCACGAAGTTTTTATTCGTTTCGAAGAAGAAGTCGCTATCTAAAGTATATTTGAAGATAAAAGGGATAATCTGTTTCGAGCAAACGGTGCCGTAACGACATGAATCGTAGTCATGTACAATCAAAACGCTTGTTAGTAAAAACTTGTCTATGGCTAGTTTAATGTAAACGATGAGCTTCTTGGTGCTCTAAACTAATGTCCAGCATTTTACTATGCATCTAAGGGCCAGCTGAGTTCAAACAGTAAACTTTTAGATCAGATAAGGCCAAAAATCAGATGGCTCCTACCGCGATATCTCGCTGCAATCAGGTGGTACTTTGCGCCATCTTTCGGTCTGAACTTGCATTTAAGCCCTGTTACTTTTTGTTTCAGTTACTCTCAAAATATGAATTCCTTAAAATGTTTTTTTTCTCTTCATAATTCCATTTTTAAAATGCAACAAAAGTTTCTATTGCTCCATGTACCCATGACCACAGCACTTATTTTTCTATTTAATAAATTTTAATAATTATTATCCATTTCATATTAACGACGACGAGACAAAACTTTACGATCATTCCAAGAAATAGGGTACTGATTCATGAAAACTAACCACAAATTACAAATCCCTAAACATGTGTTCTCGCATCATCTTTGAAGATGCCATTTTCCATGTAAAATTCTCAAACGCAGTGAAATTCGCGTTGAATTACGACACGTTCGGCGGCTCATTAGAGGACTGAGAAGCTCAAGTCCAACATTCACCGAATTCTGCTCATGTTGAGGGCAGTATACTAACACAAACCTTCGATTGATAGAAGAGAAGAATCGTCAGTTTTGTAAATTGCTTTGAAGAAATTCAAAAGCTTTCCTGAAGACTAAAAAGAGCTCTATTTGAATTCGTGTTAAATTTTCAAAATAAATAGAACTCTTCTGCTGGGGAACTTCTAATTGACCTAAAACGTGCTTGTTAAGCGTGTTGACGCGATCGCTGAAATCAAACCTGGAAACGTCAAAAATAATTGCAAATCGCCATCAGCGCTGAGTGTTGGATGCTCCACTGAACTTGAAATGAAAGCTGCCGCTCGACAGGAACGGGGCGGTTATTACGGTTTGACACGTACCTATTCGTTTCAAGAAGAGTTCGTGGCGAACGACTGTGCGCTTGAATTCAGCTATTCAGGGAGAATGTCGGGAAAAGCCGACACGAGTGCTTATGGAAGCCGAGCTAAGTTTAACTTTCCTTTTTAGCCGAAACTTAGTATCCTTTGAATTTCTAGCGGTGAAACCGTTTCACCTTCATATCCTAGGGAATAAAGGAGAGAGCGAAAATCTTCAGAAATAAATGGCTTAGAAAGAAATTTCCTTGGGCGCATGATCCCCCCTTCCCTAAGTACTGAGCGGTGACTTCGTCCTTCTCACGAACGAATTCGTCATGGCTTGCCGCAGAGTTACCAAAAACGGTTCAACGCGTTTTACCCTCACAATTAGGTGTCACAAAGCGCCCAGAAGCTAATTCACTTTGCTACGATCAATGCCCATTGCCCAAAACGTCATTAGTTCTGTCTCTAATAGAGCAGTGGTAGTTCTAATGCAAGAATAAACCCGATCACATTTTTTCGTTTAATCTCGATGTCGAGGGCGCAGCTGGGGGTTAACGTGCACGACCGGGTTTAACATACGCTACTGGGTAAAAAAGAATTAATTTACGCAGACAATCTTGCCAAGCAACTTCAAAAAAATTATGATTCAAACTTTGAATTTCAAAGCGTTGAACTTTTACAATGGCCACTCTTTCCTGTGCATTTCTTCAAATTCAACAAGTCGCCCAAATCGCGCCCTTATTTCAGACATATCACATTTCTCAGGCTTGCCCTTGAAATAAATTCAATTACGATTTCCGGAAAGCGAGAGCATACCGGTATGATAAATCCCCAGTACTTGGGGTTCTCCGCTAGTGAGCTGAAAAGCCATTCAAATTCACCATGCGTGCGCATCACCGTGAAAGTGTTTCCTAAAGATAAACCCTTTTCAAAAAAGAGAGACTTCTGATTTGCATAATTATGATTAGAGAAGATCCTATCCAATACCAGTCGTTTTCGTTCACAAAAAAGTATGAACTTTAAAAAAAGACACGATAGCGTTGAACTTCATTTACTGCCCAAGTGCCCGAGATTTTCCCGCAACTTTTACCTTGAAAATCATCATGTGTCGTTGTTGTTTTTATTGAGTACTTGACTTCAAGGCGCTCCGAAATTGCTTCCACGATTTTTACCGATTGTCCATTTTTACCATTCATATCGCTCTTTTGAGGCTCAATCTTTGGTTTACTATTCTAATCCTAAAAAGCGCTATTCCGCTAGAAGTTCTTGGTCTGACTTCAATTGAAGATTTGTTGTTTCTTTATCTACCAAAAGTCTGTAATTTCGATGTCTATGTTTTGAAATATAGCGGGAAGAAAACTCAAAAGGTTCAATTAAAGTTCTGAAATGAGGAAGCACGTCAAAATATGTTTTTCGCCGGCCGCAGATAGAAAATGAGCAGTTTGGGCGTCTTTGGCCGAGAGTGTGGAGCGTTACTTCGTCTGCTTAGAGCGCGATTGGCAAATGAGGGGATGACGGAGAAGCACGTTGGTTTATACAGGAATGATGGAATCCCTTTACGAAAAGCATCATCGGCCTGTCTAAGCTATTTAGCTTTACGAAAACAGTGACCCCGTGAAGTAAGTGCATCAAGGCGATGCACTCAGACCTTCTTCGCCCGTGCATAAAACCGATTAGCCGACGCAAGAGAAAACAACCTGCTCTTTTCTAACTGATGACATGGCACTGCGCACTGATCTCGAGAATTAGATTATCTGCTATATTTACAGTCTTTGTAACGTGTCGTTTTTTCTTTTCAACTCAGATATTTGGCGTGTTTATTAAATTATTCTCAGTGCCCCTTGCAAGTTGCAAAAGATTCAGAAAGAAACACGCATTTCAAAATAAACAGAAAATTATTATTTTGTAATCAACCCCCGTCTCTTTGCCTGTAAGTAAAAAAGTTAATTTTTCAATTTTCATAACTAAGGACCGTCTCTTCTATCCCCTTAGTAAGCGCTCGGTATCAAAAAGCGCCGGTTATGAAGTGTACGCTTCAAGTACTGATCCCTTCCGAATCGGGTGAGGAAGTGTTGAAAATTGTGTTCCCGGGATATCACCGAGAGTCGCTCGTTGTTCCTGAGCGTGTTCGAGCTCATCACAATCCGAAAGACGTCCGATGCCACTTCTGCCTGCTTCGAGAGCACTTCTTCCACTGCCACCAAAGTGTCCTGATGGTAAGGGGCTCCGACTACCTGTTTCATTGATACAGTCATTTGAGCAGTGAGTTTACATGAAAAATTTCGTAATTAGAAAAATACACTTTTTATAGGAAGTGTTCTAAATTTGTTATTTTTGTAAATGCGGTTTTGTCGAAAAATGATGTTTGAACATGAAACTTGGTGGTTAGCTATCAGTTTGACTTTAGAACGAAAAAGTGAAGGATTGTCGGGACCGGGGATTGATAGAAAAGATAAGTGATGACGAAAAGTGCTTGTCTCCTTGTATGCAGCGGAGCATGTCTTTGTCAGGGAAACTCGACCTGGTCAAGTATCGGAACCATGTTATTTAGAGCATCTGATTAGCTATTGCATCAGAGTAATATATTAGCGCCGGAGACACTAGTCAGGTTTACATCTTTCCTATACACGAGATTATACATCACAGTCTACGCTGAATTTAATCGATCGAAAAATGTATAAGAAATTCCAAGAAGATATGTATACTCAACGTTTTCGTTGCAAATGACTCAATTTTAGGGAGTTTTTACGACGGCAATGGAAAAATCTGGAGTTATCTTTATGAGTGTTAAAGCCCCTTCATCCCTGAAGTTTCGGCAGATAATCGAGCACGAAGTTTTTATTCGTTTCGAAGAAGAAGTCGCTATCTAAAGTATATTTGAAGATAAAAGGGATAATCTGTTTCGAGCAAACGGTGCCGTAACGACATGAATCGTAGTCATGTACAATCAAAACGCTTGTTAGTAAAAACTTGTCTATGGCTAGTTTAATGTAAACGATGAGCTTCTTGGTGCTCTAAACTAATGTCCAGCATTTTACTATGCATCTAAGGGCCAGCTGAGTTCAAACAGTAAACTTTTAGATCAGATAAGGCCAAAAATCAGATGGCTCCTACCGCGATATCTCGCTGCAATCAGGTGGTACTTTGCGCCATCTTTCGGTCTGAACTTGCATTTAAGCCCTGTTACTTTTTGTTTCAGTTACTCTCAAAATATGAATTCCTTAAAATGTTTTTTCTCTTCATAATTCCATTTTTAAAATGCAACAAAAGTTTCTATTGCTCCATGTACCCATGACCACAGCACTTATTTTTCTATTTAATAAATTTTAATAATTATTATCCATTTCATATTAACGACGACGAGACAAAACTTTACGATCATTCCAAGAAATAGGGTACTGATTCATGAAAACTAACCACAAATTACAAATCCCTAAACATGTGTTCTCGCATCATCTTTGAAGATGCCATTTTCCATGTAAAATTCTCAAACGCAGTGAAATTCGCGTTGAATTACGACACGTTCGGCGGCTCATTAGAGGACTGAGAAGCTCAAGTCCAACATTCACCGAATTCTGCTCATGTTGAGGGCAGTATACTAACACAAACCTTCGATTGATAGAAGAGAAGAATCGTCAGTTTTGTAAATTGCTTTGAAGAAATTCAAAAGCTTTCCTGAAGACTAAAAAGAGCTCTATTTGAATTCGTGTTAAATTTTCAAAATAAATAGAACTCTTCTGCTGGGGAACTTCTAATTGACCTAAAACGTGCTTGTTAAGCGTGTTGACGCGATCGCTGAAATCAAACCTGGAAACGTCAAAAATAATTGCAAATCGCCATCAGCGCTGAGTGTTGGATGCTCCACTGAACTTGAAATGAAAGCTGCCGCTCGACAGGAACGGGGCGGTTATTACGGTTTGACACGTACCTATTCGTTTCAAGAAGAGTTCGTGGCGAACGACTGTGCGCTTGAATTCAGCTATTCAGGGAGAATGTCGGGAAAAGCCGACACGAGTGCTTATGGAAGCCGAGCTAAGTTTAACTTTCCTTTTTAGCCGAAACTTAGTATCCTTTGAATTTCTAGCGGTGAAACCGTTTCACCTTCATATCCTAGGGAATAAAGGAGAGAGCGAAAATCTTCAGAAATAAATGGCTTAGAAAGAAATTTCCTTGGGCGCATGATCCCCCTTCCCTAAGTACTGAGCGGTGACTTCGTCCTTCTCACGAACGAATTCGTCATGGCTTGCCGCAGAGTTACCAAAAACGGTTCAACGCGTTTTACCCTCACAATTAGGTGTCACAAAGCGCCCAGAAGCTAATTCACTTTGCTACGATCAATGCCCATTGCCCAAAACGTCATTAGTTCTGTCTCTAATAGAGCAGTGGTAGTTCTAATGCAAGAATAAACCCGATCACATTTTTTCGTTTAATCTCGATGTCGAGGGCGCAGCTGGGGGTTAACGTGCACGACCGGGTTTAACATACGCTACTGGGTAAAAAAGAATTAATTTACGCAGACAATCTTGCCAAGCAACTTCAAAAAAATTATGATTCAAACTTTGAATTTCAAAGCGTTGAACTTTTACAATGGCCACTCTTTCCTGTGCATTTCTTCAAATTCAACAAGTCGCCCAAATCGCGCCCTTATTTCAGACATATCACATTTCTCAGGCTTGCCCTTGAAATAAATTCAATTACGATTTCCGGAAAGCGAGAGCATACCGGTATGATAAATCCCCAGTACTTGGGGTTCTCCGCTAGTGAGCTGAAAAGCCATTCAAATTCACCATGCGTGCGCATCACCGTGAAAGTGTTTCCTAAAGATAAACCCTTTTCAAAAAAGAGAGACTTCTGATTTGCATAATTATGATTAGAGAAGATCCTATCCAATACCAGTCGTTTTCGTTCACAAAAAAGTATGAACTTTAAAAAAAAGACACGATAGCGTTGAACTTCATTTACTGCCCAAGTGCCCGAGATTTTCCCGCAACTTTTACCTTGAAAATCATCATGTGTCGTTGTTGTTTTTATTGAGTACTTGACTTCAAGGCGCTCCGAAATTGCTTCCACGATTTTTACCGATTGTCCATTTTTACCATTCATATCGCTCTTTTGAGGCTCAATCTTTGGTTTACTATTCTAATCCTAAAAAGCGCTATTCCGCTAGAAGTTCTTGGTCTGACTTCAATTGAAGATTTGTTGTTTCTTTATCTACCAAAAGTCTGTAATTTCGATGTCTATGTTTTGAAATATAGCGGGAAGAAAACTCAAAAGGTTCAATTAAAGTTCTGAAATGAGGAAGCACGTCAAAATATGTTTTTCGCCGGCCGCAGATAGAAAATGAGCAGTTTGGGCGTCTTTGGCCGAGAGTGTGGAGCGTTACTTCGTCTGCTTAGAGCGCGATTGGCAAATGAGGGGATGACGGAGAAGCACGTTGGTTTATACAGGAATGATGGAATCCCTTTACGAAAAGCATCATCGGCCTGTCTAAGCTATTTAGCTTTACGAAAACAGTGACCCCGTGAAGTAAGTGCATCAAGGCGATGCACTCAGACCTTCTTCGCCCGTGCATAAAACCGATTAGCCGACGCAAGAGAAAACAACCTGCTCTTTTCTAACTGATGACATGGCACTGCGCACTGATCTCGAGAATTAGATTATCTGCTATATTTACAGTTCTAAAGTGATCGGAATTCGTCAAAGGAAAAAGTCTTTCTAAAATATTATTTTCTACTTTATCATTATCTGTTTTTCGTGATAAATGTAGAGTGAAACAAAGCATCACCTGTAAGATAACTGTCATGAATCATGCAGGTTTTGTAGCTAAAGTAGTATTAAGGATGTCCCACTTTAGCACCCTAAGTCTTTATCTGGGTTAAAATAAAACATGAACAACAATTAGACCGGCAATTTTGGAATCGTCTCATCCGCTGGAGAATTCGAAACAATGCCAGCGTAATTGCTCCCTGCCAGAAAAAAGGGGGAAGGAATGAGCATTGGCAAAACATGCAGTGTTTTTTAGGGAATTTAGGGTTGCTGTTTAGCCTCGCTGTTACGTTGTCATGTTCCTAGCAGCGAAAATGGGCCGGCTTTAAAATTTCTGCGTGGAAAAATACACGTGGTTTCGAAGCAGGCGGATTTCTGGATGGGCTGGCGTTTCCAAAAAGCAGCTGATAAAATCACACAAAATGAAAGAGTGAGGAGAAGTAATCGCTTGTATACCAAAGGCGGTTATCATTTATCAGCGGGTGATTCGTGGGGTAACTAGTACTCGAGAGTTTACACTCACAAACAGATATACATCTCCACGTCTCAGTACGAGAAGCTGAGGATCATCCCGGGAAATAGAATTGGCCGAGCGCAGATTAAACCTGCTACCAGATAACGCTACCGGAGGATGCACGAAAGATAAAGAAAATCATCAAGTATTGAATACTTTGCGCGAAAAATTATTTCGAAAGATCTTAAATCTCTCATCTGAAGATCAAATACAGAAGGTCCTTTTTTCTGAGAAAAATTTGCATATTCAATTTTTGAATTTTTTCTAAAACGCATTTTTTTGCGGTAAGGGTGTGCGCTCCCCTGTGATCACGTTGGTTCTAGAGCTGGTCTGATCATCGCAAGATATGTAAAAATAGCTTCAACGAGAGGAACACCCAAGCGGTACAAGGTGCTGACCAGTGCACGCAATTAAACACGTCTTTTGGTCACCCATTTCGGTCTGAAAACGAGCGACTGCAAGTCGAATATGTTCCCGTGTTTATTAATTATGCAAACATCTTTTTAGAAATAAAGACATAAAAGCACAGAATTTTATTCGGGGTACAATGGGAACATAAAAAATTATGCAAAACAAGAAGTATAACGCGCTACTTAGGCTATCATATTTCCTTACGTATTTATCAAAAGACGAATAAGCGAAAAAAAATGTTTATGAAACAAGATAGCTTTCAAGTAGCTTCATCGAAAGCGAAAATGCCTTGGACATTATGCGTTGTGTATATTTTGCAGGAGTCGTTAATGATTTCTCAGCTCGATAAGCTGCGACTTTATCCGTTATCCCGGAATTCCGCAGAGGCCAGTGATAACCTTCAAGGTCGCGATAAACTTAGACTCGCCCCAAACGCATGACGCAACTTGAAAATTTTATCGAAAAATGAGCCTAACACTAAGTACTTGAAGAATCCCCTGTCCGGCAGATAATCACCGGAGTCAACAAAGACTGACGTAGAGGGTCAACTTTCTTACAAAGATTAATTTATTTTTAATGTCAAGCTAATTTTGATGAAAAGGGAAACTCGATATTTCCGCGTAATTTTTCTGATAGAGTCAGAGCAAGATATATGCTGATATGATTATTTACAACGGAGGATTTCATGGTCGAAAAGTCTGACTCAGAAGTTATCAAACTTGAGTTATAATAAAAAACCTGTCCTTCCCAAAAAATGACGAGGAAGCCCTTGAAAAACTTGGCTATCTCTTGATTTCCTTATCAGTTGGCCTTGTCCTATTCTTCTTGTGCTGTATAAACAAGCAAGCAGGCGCTTCTCTACCAGATTGTTGTGTTTCACAAATGTTTCCCTATTTGTGTGCAAATGAAATCCCATCCATTGCCACAAACGTGTGAACTGAGGAAAGAGCATTAGCCCATATTTTTGTGCAAACAGGGAGAAATTTAAGCGTGTTGGGACTTGTAACATCTACCCTGCCACACACATGCATCGCATGCTACGTTTTTTAAATGAATATTGTCCCCCTCCCAAAATTACGAGATGAAGAAAGCTTGTCTAATTAACGAAATCTGTAATTGGTGAATTCCGGACTTGGGTTGATAGCGTCAAATTTAGAATTCCGGTTTGAGCGCAAAATAGAGAGCCGTTCGATTTTGCAAATTTAATTACTGGCGTTAATTAGACGCTGTTTTTATTACAGAAGAGCTAATTATACGATCGCAAAGACTTTGCTTTAATATCTTGGCCTCGAAAACAAGTCAGAAAATGTCATTTTCTGCAGAAAATGGCTAGAAAATGTCTTTTATTTGTGTTCCACTTTAAAAAACTCCATTTCTTGTAGATGTCTTAATCGTTTATTTTTCAATTTATGTCAGTTTTATAATCGATCACGTTGAGGAACACAAAATTAATGCTACGTTTTGTGGTCTGCTTTCACGTTAGTGCGGAGTTTTGCCAATCTTTAGTGACTACGCTGTAGTGGCGGAAACATGGCGTGTTCCCTCACCTACGGGAATGTCCGGAAACAAGAAGTGTGGTTAGTTCTAAACTTAGAATACCTCCACTTCCCTTATGCTTGCGACGATATTTAGATGGCTCGCGGAGATCGGTTGTGATTACAACAAACTTTTTTGAAAGAAACTTACTCGGGTATAATTTCCTTTTCACGAAAAAAGAACTGTAAAAATTTGACAAGGGGGTCCTCTTGAACTTGGCAGGATAATTATACGGTGCTTTCTGAAAGTGACGTGTTCTAGGTAGTAGTATTGCGGTTAGTACTGTGGTACTCGAAAGAGACTTTTATCGACCATTTTTTTTATCAAAAAGGTGTAGCGAGAAGGAAGTGATTATTCTTAGATATCGAGTAGATACGGCAATTCGGAGTTTATTGATGGTTGTATTGGTGATGCGGTAGAGCGTTAAGCCATTAACATAAATGCCATAATATTTGGGTTATCGGAATATACCAGCCCAAGTTGAATATCGCCAACTGATATTATCAGCACTAACATGGTGGGATTTTAGAGACTGATCTCGTCGAACGCGTCTTTAGAAGATCTACACGTGTTACAAAGAAAGCTGATCATATCTCCTGCCTGTGTAGCTTTATCAGTATTTGGGTGATTCTGGGAAGCGGATTGTGGATTCACGAAGGCCTGCATCGCGCTACGTAGCCGTTTTGCACTTTTGCCGTGTCTTTCAACAAAAAAGTTCATTTAGTCCAAAATTTCCTCGAAACTAGAATTTCCGTGAATATTGCTATTCATGGAGAAGCGATCCTACTGAGAGAGGAAGTTACCCTGGGTTTCTGCTAATCTCAAGACGAAAGTTGATAATTTTCCCTCTAAGCATCATCATTATAGGATTAGCTTGACATGGTACTTAAGATAACCCGTTGTGAAAATGATAGAATTTCAGCAATAGAACATATAGAGAATTTTTCGCCGGACTTGTGTTTCTCTTCCTAATCCGCGAATTACACGAATACGTAATCGAACATTTTTACTTCTTTGTAACATCAGAGAATATAAATGAAAGAGGGACCACGTAGGTAGAGGCAATGCAACTTCGCCGAACGGTAGCATTGAATTGAAAACAATGAGCACTCGTTAAAAGAGAGTGGCGGAATCGAATTTTACACTAAAAATTGACGCGCTTCATAAGCGCACCACACCTTTCAAAGGGATGTTCGTAGAAAAAACATGCCAGGAGATGATGTGCCAAAGCAAAAAAAAGTGATGTTGATTTTGGAGTTGAGAAATTTCCCTGTAAGCTCTCTCGTCAACGTTTCCCCTAAATATTAGATTATCGTGGAATTGCGAATAAATGTTACAAATGGGATTTTCGAGCAAAGTGTTACACTGTGTCCCAAATAAACTACGAGCAACAACAAGTTTTTGGTAGCAACATGTTTTTAGAAGCCTGCGCCGCTCAAAATATCGCCACATCAAGACGAGCGTTTTGATTTTCATCAATCGTTGTTTCCCAAATGCCCAGAAGTAATAACTCGCCCGTAATTCGCTTATCAGATTACAGTGGTGAATCCTCGATTGGGAAGGTCACTTTGACTTGCCGCTTCCCAATCGAGGATTCGGTCCGCACCGCTCTTCTCTAGAGATTGGCTTGCTATATGCGCTGCCGCTTCCCAATCGAGGATTCAGCGCGTCCTTCCCAATCGAGGATTCACCACTGTACTTAGAGCCCAGTAACTTCTATTCCCCGTAGAAAAGGATCATCTAAGAGCAACATTTTGAATTTCCAAGAGTTTCTGAAAACTGCTGGGACTGAAATTCCAACAAGCGGTGCGCGACCCATGCCTGCGAACGAGGGCTGAATTCCGACACCCTATGTCCACTTACGTGCCCGTTTCGGACTCCTTACTCAGCATTCCGCGCTCAAAGTTACGGAAAAGTGAATCTAAAAACTTCTTCAATCGTGTTTATTTTCCTGAACTTTTTTCAGTAAATGGCTCTCGTGACGATGAGTTCTAAAATACTCGTCGCGGTCTATTTGTTTTTGCGTTTCTGCTGGACATGGCCGGAGCCTGTTAACGAAGACTGCGAGGAAGATGACCAAGTGCTCGGCAATCGCTGCCTTTTTCCAGGTTGTGAGGCCCATCATCTTTCCGAGACCGATCTGGGTTGGAATCGCGAGGAATGCAAGCAGCGAGAATGCGTCGTCCCAGAAGCCAATTGACTCTGAAATGAAAATGGGTATTGAAATTCGAGCATTTGGAAGGCTTTGTTGTTCTCCAGGTTGAAATTCTAAACAGGCTGAACTCACCGGCGATTCTAGATTCCGGCCTCTTGAATAGATTCAAAAACTTGTGCGCGTCATTTCTAATTTCGATAATCGTGGCGACGAGAGCACAGAGCGGCGCGTACTCGTAAATAGAAGTGAAGAGGACTACGTAGCCGAATTGAATCCAAATCTCGAGGTACTCATCAAAGTGCCCTTCGTACTCGTCTCGGTTCGCTTCGTACGTCGCTTGCTCGCACAGGTTCGAAAAGTTCTTATTCAAATTCTTTCCAGGCTTATCTTCTTTTATCAATCAACTAAGAGTTTTAATACGAGTGTGTACTTAACACTTATTGTAACTAAAAACATTCCAGCGCATTCACAAAAGCCCTTCCTTAGTCCGCTTCTTATATACCATGAATGGTACCACGCCTTCGAAAATTTCAACGAAAACTTGAGAAATTGTCATCGTAGTTATCACGGTACTCCTGAGCATTTCCAGATCTTCGTAAATGAACGCGAGGAGGTACAGGACGAGGAAGTTGTTGATGAATTCGAACACGAGTAACTTGGCGAGAAGGTTTTTCTGAAAGGCGGATTCCGTTCGGTGGTTTTCGAAGTTTGTCAATTTCCGGGCGAATTGGCGGTATTTTTGGGAAGTGATGATAACGATAATCGTGTAGATAATTCCGGGAACCATGGCCGTGTAAGAGTCGATTCCAAATTCAGCGTACGCATATTTTTCCCAAGAATAATAGTATTCCATGATCAGATACGACGCATAGCAACAGAGGGCAGTTGCACTGTATGAAGCGATTATTCTCATCTTCTGCTTGAATGGATCTTTTAATTGGTTTCAAAACATATAAATTTTTTCAAAAAGGCATTTTTTCAAATGCTTTTTAGTGATCTAAAGTTCGCGCGTTGTAGTTGAAAATGCCGGAGCGCTCTTTTGGAGCCACACCTTTGATAAAAATGCAAACATGTTTCTAACCCGTCCCGTAATGCGGCTCTTGTTTTCCGGTAATCTCGTTTCTGGAAAGCTTTCCGAAATGCTCTGGACGCGCTTCCTCCCATCCACGTTCGACAGTGTTCAGAATTCCTTTCTTATAAGCCCGGTCCATTTCACCGCGTCTCCAGACAAGAATAAACCCGAAAGACCAGGCAATCACAAGGACGGAAGTCAGCATCGGGTTCAAATTTAATACCATGTTTGCGAAAATGACGAGAACTAAAACAACGAGTGCGCGTGCGTACGTCTCAACAAACGAAAAATATAGCCCAAGTTCTACTCCGAAATATTCATCCAGCATCTTCAGTGGCTGGTTGATCAAGTTTAACTTAGTCGGATTGAAAATCTAATCATCATACTTCAACTAAAGCTATTCAATAGCATTAATTTCAAATCCTCTCCTTGTTTCGAAGCCAAGAAGCTCTAAGCTTATCCAAATCTTCCCGATCATGAAGAGGATAATGCTCACCAATCAGTTCAGCTGATATAAATCTCCGCAAAATACTCTTCCCCGGGTAGAGAGTTGCTTCAGGATGACCAGGAACAATTGAATCTTTGTCCCCAGCTCGGAGATTCTCCAAGTCCTTCTTTATCAACAGCAATTGTTCTGCTGCTGTGAAAAAATCAATGCCATTTTCGATGTGGATGAATTGATCCTATAGTTGGGATCATTAAATGATGATTTCAGTTTATTACCGTAACATCAAACCATGTATTTTCACTTATAGGATCCCTTCCTTTATGTCAGAGTTGAAAGGCTGAAAGGGAGGAACACTGTTGCATTTCTTGTACAAAAAGTATCGCTCCGCCGAAAGATAGAGTCCCTCTAGCGTCGGATGTATCAACAAAATTCTGCTTTCTCCGTCGTAAAAAGATGTCTTCCATTTATTTCTTTCCAATTCTCCAACTAGAAAATTTATTGCTTCTTTTTGGGCTTTCTTCGAAAAATAGATCGAGTAAACGCTTCTTTCGTCCATCTCTCTATTTCTTTGGAATTTTTGGTCTCAAAAACGCGTCCTTGTAGGAGTGACCTTTGGATTGAAAAGAAACGTCGAAATTATCTTCAAATATCCGTGAGTCAGCCTCGAGTGCTGGGGCTTTCCTTTCGTCAACCAATCGTAGGAGAGAGAAAGAGGGTGGGGGACTACAGAACGAACATCAGCAACTTTCTCAAAGAATTTAATGTCTACCGCGATTCATTCAGAAGAAATTACGTAGGTTTAATGAGGACTTCCTTTCAGTTCGTTTAACATTTTCGAACCTAGAAACAATAAAAAGAAAGACAAGGCTGGGTAGGTTTTAAACTTGAACGTTTATTCCGTATGGAATTTTGAAGGTTTTGAACAGATTTGGACACATAACATATCAACATAGACAGAGTAAATGCTTTCCTTGAGCACTTGTGGTAGCACAGACTGTTTTTTCATAAATTAGCTTTGCTAGGCAAAAAGGAGCTTTACTCCTTGGCCGCCATGACCTTGATGAGGTCGACGACTCGGTTGGAGTAGCCGTTTTCGTTGTCATACCAGGAGACGAGCTTGACGAACTGGTTGTTGAGCTGGATGCAGGCCTTGGCGTCGTAGATCGAGGAGAAGGTGCTGCCGTTGAAGTCTAAATAAAACCGTTATTTGTGTTGTCGCTATGCTAATCTTTTGAACATCCAAAACACGCGAGTTAACCTAACCCCTGCGTTTATCCTTAGGACTAGCGGGTCAAGGTGCTTCTAAAGCGGTGCAGCTACGGTATAATAACAGATGCAAGACGCTTACCGCAAGAGACGACCATATCTTCGGTGTATCCGAGGACGCCCTTCATCTTGCCCTCAGCGGCAGATCGGATGGCGGCGTTGATTTCCTCAAGAGAAGCGGGCTTCTGGAGTCGGCAAGTGAGATCGACAACGGAAACGTTGGGGGTTGGCACTCGGAAGGCCATACCAGTGAGTTTTCCGTTGAGCTCGGGGATGACCTGTAAAAGAGAACGTTAGAAGGCGAATAATTGACAGTTTTAGTACCTTTCCGACGGCCTTGGCGGCACCAGTAGAGGCGGGGATGATGTTCTGTCCGGCGCCTCGGCCATCTCGCCAGGCCTTGCCAGAGGGACCATCGACGGTCTTCTGGGTGGCGGTGTAAGCGTGGACGGTGGTCATGAGACCCTCCTCAATACCGAAGGTGTCGTTGACAACCTTGGCGAGGGGAGCAAGGCAGTTGGTGGTGCAGGAAGCGTTAGAAACGATCTTCATCGAGGATTCGTATTTATCTTCGTTGACACCGACGACGAACATAGGAGCATCAGCGGAAGGAGCGGAGATGATAACATGCTTAGCACCACCTTATCAATGATCGATGAGCGTGTTTTTCAATATTCAGTTTCTTACCCTTCAAGTGAGCGGAAGCCTTGTCAATGGTGGTGAAGACGCCGGTAGATTCGACGACGAAGTCGGCTCCGGCAGATCCCCACTGGATCTCGGCGGGGTCTCGGTTGTTGAAGACGGAGATAGCCTAGAGTAAGGATCAAATAGCTGGAGAGATGGATGGTTTACCTTTCCATTGATGACGAGCTTTCCATCCTGAGCAGAAACGTCGCCCTTGAAGACGCCGTGGGTGGAGTCGTATTTGAACATGTAGACCATGTAGTCAAGATCGATGAAGGGATCGTTGATGGCGACGACGTTGACGTCGTCTCGGGCCAAGGAAGCTCGGCAGACGAGTCTAAGTTCAAATTAATCTTCATGTTCAAAAGGAATTTGAAAACTTACCGACCAATTCGGCCAAATCCGTTGATACCAATGTTAACCATTTTGAACGAACAACAAAAACTCTAAATTTACGTGGTAAGTTGACATTTTTAAAAAGTTTTTTGACTGTAGATTGACAAAGTGGAACATGAAAAGCGTTTCCTCTCTTGTTCGATGTGGGCAGCGACGTGGGTACGTATAAAATTCAAGGGTCTATTACGTATCGAACAAAGTGAGGGAAGTGAATATAGGCTCAATAAGGTTGTCACAATGAGGCTTTTGGGTTGTTCTTTCGGAGGTTTTTGAAGGCAGTCTTTTGATCTCTACGATTTTGATTTGGACGAAGCACAACATAAATTGGTCTAGAGAAGGGTGTAGGTAAAGTGGCTATGGAAGGCGTTTGTTGCTGAAGCTCGTGAAATTCTGAAGCTCGCGAGTTTCTTTCGAAAGTTCGATTTTTTTCGGTTAGTACTCTTCTCTATTTAAATTTTTCCGGTAATGTGACGGGCTGCGACTGCTTCTTCTCGATTTTATCGCGAGCATTTGGTCAGTTACACGAACCCGCCGCGTGATTGTAAAAAACTTATAAAGCAAAAATCCGTTGTCTTGGCTACCTCTTTTTGTCAAAGTTGAAAACGCAACTGAACTTGGCTTTGGAATTTTAAAAATGAAAATAGGTGCTCTAGAAATTCGGTAAATCGGTCTTTTAGTTTCCAGGGTTGCGTGAGAATTATGTAATGGTCAGCTAGGTAGACCTTGCAGAAAGGTTATGTAAACGCACTTCAGGCGACTTTCGCCTTGAACACGCAAATAAGGCATGATTAGGACTTGCACGAGACTCGGGGCAGAGCATTTCATCCCTCTGGCAGTCAGCGATTATATAATTTCTACTAAATTTCTTCTCATAATTTGATATAAAACTGTAGAGAATAATAAGGTTATATAATTTTATTTGCTTCGTAAACGTAACACTTGGTAATGGCTGGCCAATTTGTGTCAGCATCCTTATTTGGAACTTCCATATTTTACTGAGAATAGAAGAGTTACTTACAGTAATTACTTGTACTTGAGATTAAAGTTGTTTCTAACACCTCTAAATTTCTAAAGCTCATCTTCAAGTGGACCAATTCTCTCTCTTACTCTTTTCTTGTTTTAATTAATCATCAGTGATTCAATCAGTGATGAAAAGCAGGAAGTAGTTTTGCGTTGGTAAGACGAATAAGAAAAAACTCTGAGTTGATTAAAATAAATTTGAATATATCACTCAGGATTACGTTCTCTATCCGGGTTGATTTAAGTGCCCTCGTCAGTTAACCCTTAACTGATCAGCATTCACCGGTGAGTAGCGGTATGCATGTCACGGAAACGGGCTCAAGTCGGTCTCCGATCTGTTGCGGTGGAGGCGATACAGTGCTTATGCTAGAATACATATGACTCCTTCCCAGCTCCCACGAACTTTTTCGGACTAGAATTCGGACTCGCCGAGTTGAAATGATCTTTGTGAAGAGCGTTTCTGACGTTCAAAAAGGTCCATAAACGGGGTTATATTTTTAGAACGTGTATTCTAATAAGCTCTTTTAAAATATTTCCTTTTCTCCGCTGAGCTTATCTAAAGCTCCAAACAGAAACGAGTGGACGTAATGGGATCAAACGAACTATATATTTCGCCAAAAATAATCATCTGAAAGCACCAACTTCCATTTTAATCGTGCTTCCATTTTCCACCCGCTAGTGCGAAGAAGTGCGACAGAAGAAGGAAATTATGCTTCTTGCCGTTCATTATGGTGCTTTTCGGAGCTAGAATTTTTCGAGCACCCGCGAAATTGAACAGAAAAAATGTAAATCTGCGAGCTTCTAGCGTCAAGTACCCCGTTAGACAGAGCATTTGCGGCGGAGAATGAATCCAGCTCATAACCAAAAGCATCCTTACTTCTCGAAACTCTACAGTCGAAGCGTTATTTAACTGTTTAGTTGAATATTTAATCTATTTTCTTCGTTTCTGGGCTCAGCAACCTGAGTAGGAAACATGAGTCAGATTCTGAAGACCCAAAAAGAAAAGCTGCGTAGCGGCTTTAAAAAAAAAAGAAGCCGCAAAGCGGCTTCCCCAATATAAAAGAGACAAATTGTGGCTTCGTCGTAGCAATGACGCTTTCCGGCTTTTCATTTCGGATCGTCAGAACCTGACTCAGGCTTTCTACACAGATTGCCCAGCCCAGCTTCTTTTTTAAAAAAGAAAGCCATCTTGAAAAACTTCTAAAATGAAAATCTGGGAAGGATAGAAAGGAAGTGAAAAATCTGGGTTGGCGATTTCCCGATTCCGGATGAATCTGCTGTGTCGCTTCCATTTTGCGGCAAAAGTGTTTCTCACGTAAACATCCGAAGTAACTGTTTTATAATGAGTGAGGCGGAAGCGATCATCTCTCGTCGAAAAAACTGGACCGAAATAAGTGCCACGTTCCAAAGCCAGCGAAATTACGAAAGATAGGCAGGGGATTTCACGCCAATCGGCGCATTACGTTTAGGGTAATCCCCGCGCGGATTAGTATTTAGATCGTTCTGAATCCGAGATGGAACCTGCCCTGTATGGTCTAATTGCTCAGTTTTCTCTCGATTTTATGCGGCTCCAAGTTCGCCTTTTACGATATTCGAAATTAAAAGGTTTCTTGATAAGAAAAGAGAGTCAGTCGAAACTTCCAAATTTCCATCGCGTATTAAAAGTCCTTCTAAATATCTTTTATCCAGAGACTAAGCCTCTCTGCCATTTTTGTTGTAAGGGCGGATTATGTAAACTGGCGATATCGGCGTGATGGAAGACATCTGGCACCTCAGCCAGCCATAGACAGCGGCCAGGATTATGAAAAGGCTAAACGCAAGCTACTCCCAGATAGGAAGCAGTATCTTGAGAAGGCAGAGGAGCGATAAACGTTTGAGGTTTTAATTCGAATCTCACTTCAAACACACGTTTGACATTTTTGAAAAAAAGTGCTGAAGCGGGATATTCAATACTTTCTCGTAATTAAGCGCTACTCGAAAAACGATCCCTCGATGTCAATAATTAATCGGCAACTTGAAAAGTCGGAAACGTCCTTTTGCTATCTAAAAGGTCTTTCCCGCGTGTGTAGTGCCACTTAGAATCGCTTTAATTTGGGAGAACGCGAGTGCAAACCACGACGATGAGGTCTACCTCAGGAATTTTCGAAAAATAGGATTTGCACAAAGGATCTGGCCAATTCTAGGTCTGAAATAGTACAGGGAATTCATTTGGCTTACACGTTGACTAGAGAGATTCTTGTGGCTTTCGGACTAAATTATTTAGAAAAACATTTTTTGGTTCACTTGAGTTTTTGTCCGCTAGTTTAGCGTTTTTGAATAAAGAATTGAACGCGTTTGAGGGATGAACTTGGACGAAAATCGCCGCGTGATTGATCCATTTATGCATTCTCTCGTTGGGAGAAGGATTAGAACTTGTATTTGCGCAGGTTTATATTCACGATAGCAGACGAGACTATTCTCCGTTCTTTTCAGAGAAGTATGAACGAATTCTATAAAAATTTTGGATTACAAAACGTTATCAATAATTTATTGCTTTGTAATAAAACTTATCTTTCGGAATATTACTCATCACAGCGGTCTGACCGGCGGAACTGACACAGCTCTGTTACTATTTATATCAGAGGCGCATCTTAGTGAGCAGAATAAATAAAGTCTAAAAATGACTAAAAATTCAAAGAGTAAAAAATCAGGTTTTTCGCCAACCCCTTCAGAGAGCACTCTTGGAGATTACAGAAATGACCCTGACCCTGGTGTTCTTCGAACGAATCGAATTATAGAACAAGGGGAGTGTCTTAACGATCATTTAATGCGAAAACTGCAGGAAGATGTTGAAAAAATGAAAGATGAAATCCGTACGCTAAAAGAAAAGACAAAAAACAGTCTGTCTGACGAGGAAAAGATATCTTTGTCGAAGAAACGAATGCTACAGGTCTTCGAGCAGGTTGACGAAAGAGAAGCCAGTACTGAAGACGATGTTATTTTATTCTTGAAGGCACTTTCTTCTGGTGAGAAAATTGCGAATGTAAAGATAGTGTACCGATTATCTGACCATAGAACCGAAACAGCAAGACTACCAGGTGTAAAAGAAAACATTGTTACTGCCTTTGATTATCCAATTTCTATAAATGGTTGGACGATCCAGTTTCAGACTATGCTCGATCTTGAATATAGTAAAGATCCAAATAGACGACGCACGATCACTGGGGTATGTACGGAAGAATTGGTCTATTTTTGTCTAATTTTGACAACACCACAAAAACAAAATCTGCGATTCGTGGCCCAAAATGAAGTTTCAGGGTGGGAGGAATGGAAAGATAGAAGAATAAAGATGCTTCCTACAACAAAGAATTTCGAAGAAAAGCGCTCGATGGGCCTCAAGTATTATCGTTACGAAGTTCTTCATTCTTCTTACAACTTTATTAGTACTGTATTTGAGAAAAATGACAGTGTTTGTGAAATTCAATCTATAACCTGGACTGTTATAAGTGAAGATGCTTAATAAATCTGATATATAATATATATATCATATATTCAAGAGAAATTGTGCATAAATTTCACAGTGACGAGCAAACTCCTTAGATACTACGTATTCTTTACTTTTGGTGTCTCAAAATCACCAGCTTGTAGAGATTAAGTTGCTTCTAAGCAAGTATGTCTCCTTCAGCTGTCGAAATTTTACGCTAAATCAGTGGAGTAGTATAATTACTTTCACGCACATTACGGTAATTGAAGACTGATGGTCGGGCTTATCTTTGTCAGTTGCAAAATTTCTCCCGCTGGCCGGAGATTTTCGCGGGCAAGGGAGGAACCAACCGGGATAACGGTCATCCGTTATGAACGCTTTTCCTGAGTATAAGTTCCCGTTAGAAGGGTCTTTGGAGCATCCACCTGCTTATGTTTAAGAAAATAATGAGCAACTCCGAGCGCTTCCTGGAACGGTACCGAGGTAAGCAAAACGGATATTCAAGAAGGGACTTTGTTTACTAAGATATGCTAAGATCTTGTTTGCCAAGTTGTATTTTGAATACAGTGTCAGTTGCTTTTTTGATTATTTCGGCGTAGAAAGAGTCAGTTTTTCTCTTCAAAGCGGCGAAGTTTGAGCTCAAGCTGATCTCGTTTGAAGCATTCGGAGTCTTTTAGCAAAGTCATCAAAATTAGTCAATTTATTCAATTGATGCTTTAAGGAGGTAGTCCCTGCTATTTGCGATCTCGGTACTTTTTGAACAGCGCTCCCACAAATTTGCGCTGGGGTTCAGGGATAAAAACTATATGAATAGAAAGGTCAAACCCTGATGAAAGTTTGAATTCACGGAAAAAAATTTTATTCGCCCGCTTAAGGAGTTAGAGGGCGATAATCGAACCTAGCCCGGGCGAAATCGCCATTTTGGCCTATTTTCAAACGCGCCTAAAATCAAGAGGATGCTCCAAAATTTTAAACTAATTCAATTTTTTGAAAGTTTATACCTTCGTCTAGGTTTGAATTAAGGGAAATTTAAAAAAATTCCAAAAAGTCATAATGTAATGCCATCAATCAAAGGTTGGGTCTCAAAATTTTGAAAAAATAAGTTTTTTAAGGAAGATTTATACCAAATTATCATAATAATAGACATTAAATTTATTATTTTTATTATCTAGATGTCATTTAAAATCGAAATAAAGCTAAATCTATGGATAAAATTGACAAAAAATTTCGAGTTTTTGAAATTTTTCATCAAAATCTCACTTTTCAAGTGCGATTTTGGGGTTTTTCCTCTTACATTCGGAAAAAATGGTCAACACAAAGTTTTTAGCTCTTCTAACGAGCTTTCAGAATCTGCTAAGAAAATTTGAAAATTCCGATTTTTTCAAAAGCGAGGACTACCCCCTTAAAATTAATAAATATTCCAGCATAAAAAAACGCTGAGTCGGAATTCGAGACAGCTGATGTAGATGAAATTGATAGCTTTCTCTCTAAAGCAACGAGTTAAACATTAGAAGATCTAAGCCATCAAAATTAATTCAGCTTCGTATTTTGCCGGAAATATTTAAATCAAATATTGTCAGCATCAATATTTTGGTGACTTGTCCCTAGCTTATCTTCTAAAACCCAATTAGCCTTTTCCGCCCTTATTCTGGCCGCCTGTTCATTTTCGAACTTTTTTTTCAAATCAGCTTTCTCCTTCGTCAGCGTGGCCACGCGTTCTTTTGCTTCTTCCTGAGCTAGGTTGATTTTCTAGCAAATTTTTAGGATGGGTTCCTCTCGTGGCCAATTCGAGAAATGTTCCTCTCGTGGCCATGCACCTCTCGTAGCCATGTTCCCCGAGTGGCCATCAATTGACGCAAGATATGATTCAGAGGAATTCTGATATCAAGTAGGGTCTGCCAATCTACCCTCTACTATTTCTTCTTACTCCATTTGAAGAACTCCACTTGTAAACTTTACAATGTAAAATCAGGGGAATTCTGGTATCAATAGGGTCTTTATTTCTCTTCGAAATTCAGAATAATGATAAATTTATATTTTAAGCTATAAACGGTTCAATGTGGACAGTTATTATAATAATAAAATTAAATTACGAAGCATCTTTTCAAAAATTAAAAATTTTACTCCACTCAAAATTTTACCATCAATCATGCCTGATTTTTTAGAGAATATTATAATAGATAAAAATACATTGATTATATTTTTCTGTATAATTTATACAGAGTGGAAAAATACAGAGATACTTGCCATTTTATATTTCAAATGGAGTTAGAAAAAAAAGTCGAGGGTAGATTGGCAGACCCTTCTTGATATCAGAATTCCTCTGAATCATATCTGGCGTCAATTGACGGCCACTCGGGGAACATGGCTACGAGAGGTGCATGGCCACGAGAGGAACATTTCTCGAATTGGCCACGAGAGGAACCCATCCAAATTTTTACGCACAAAGGTTCACTCTTATGATAAGAAAGAGATTTTGCGGTGGAGATTTCAAGGGCTCTTCAAACTGCGTAATGAGCTTTTTGGTAGATTAAATTTTGAAAATAAGTATAATTTTGAAGCAATGAATCCTATGAAATAAGATAATAAGTTAAATAATTAGTATGCAAACAATAATTATCAACATTGTCTCAAAAAAAATTCTTTGAATCTATAGTCAAATTTGGGATGACATCATTCTAGCAACCCGGGTCCTGAGAGAGTTGAATCAGAAGAATTTTATGAATGAGCGATTCTAATCCGTGGGTCAGTACGAGCGATAGGAGGTCAAGGCTGGCGTCGGGTCACCGCTCAAGAATCTCATTACAAGCAGCTTCCGCGGCGAAACGCACCAACCGTTGAGTACTAATTCTCTTTCCATAATTTTACATTCCAAAACTCAGCCGAAATCCGACTTGATAGTTTCGATAAAATTTCTAAATGAAATGCAAAAGTTCAAAACTGCATTACCGATTATCTAGCTTCCTTATCTTTCACTCTTACTCGTTAGGGTTATTTTTCTAAAGCGCAAAATAGCTTCCAGGGGTCACGTCTGACGCGCCGCCTTTTCATCCCTTTCGAAGGGCGAAGGTACTGGCTAATTTCTTATCAGCTAATTTGCCAGGCCGCAGAAAGCCCACTTCCTGCGCCTGGTAGACCGCCCAATTAAGCCCGCCAGTTACACGTAGCAGAGCATGATCTATGAAAGATAAGGGACTAGCAGCGTAACTAGAGTCTCTATAACGGCAATTTAGGAAGGCAAAGCCACCTCTATCCCGATTAAATGAGCGACTTCTAATCTATTTTTTCGCCAAGATAATTAAAGTCCTATCACTACCGAAATTCTGGTAAAGTAGCTCTAGCCTCATCGATTATTCTGACCCCAACTATGTGGCCTCAATCGTTCGGGATCGCATAATGAAAATAAATTATCTTCAAAAAGAACATGTTTAATTTGAACTTTTCATAACATACCCCACCCCCAAATTTTCGCGCATTCCTCGGTACATTTTCCGTAATTTACTCTTCCTGATTTGTTCAAAACCCCCCAAATTTACGCCGCTTAACTTTTCCGCGTGCGCCCTAATTTTCGCTCGCGGCGCTGATTGGCTTCGTCGGTTAACTTTCTGAGTGCGCAAAAGTCTTGTTTTACTCGCTCCGGGCAAAGAAAGGATGATCTTTTATAAAAAAGATTCCCCTTTCCCAGATTCCCTTATAGCCTATAAGTTATAGGGCAGCCCTATCTTATATTATCTTTGATAAAATGATTGTTTATTGTTACAGTGAAGTTTATAAATATTTGATAGAACATTATACTAGTGCGATAGATGAAAACGACTTCTGCGGATCAAAATCCTGACCTCAATATTTTAAGTTCCTCGAATGGTACGATTTTTATGTGTCCAAGCCACGAAAAATTTCCAATTCTAGCGCCTCAAGTACCTGAAAAAGACTAAAATCCCTTGGTTTAATTTGGCGCTATGATTGCATAACGCGCCCTTTAATTAAGGGTACCTAGGTCGAGTTTGGACACCCCCTTAAATTATTTTCTGACCGTAAAATCGGATTCTTCAGGTTCTGAGGAACAAAAAACTCTATTATGACCCTATAGATATCTTAACGTTTTCACCGTCAAAAACCACTTCAAAGTTAAAAATCCAAAGGAAATGCTAGCGCCTCGAATTTGGACGAAAAAATTTTCATCTCCGATGTTGATGATTAGGGGCTTAAATGAAAGCTTATGGCCTGATTAACATCGTAATGAAGCTTAAAATTGCCCCAGAAAATTAAATTCATCTCAAAATGGGGGAAAATGAAAGCTTACCAAGCAAAAATGCAGAATTCGCGAAGACTAGTCCAAACTTTTGAAAATTTAATTAAGAAAATTTTTGAATTTCATCAAAAGCTACTGACAAAATTTAGATGAGGGTCTGAAATTTATATTTCAGGCTTAAAAAAGGGGGGTTGCTTAGGCAGATTTCTCGGAATTTCGCCATTTAGTTGGTCCATTTTCGGCAAGTTGCCAACTTTGACGGGTTAGATTTCCAAAAAAATATTGACAAATCATTAAAAGCTACTGACAAAAGTGAGATCTAGCTAAGATCTTTCCAAAAAGCTATTGTACGCATTGTCAACCCTTCCAGGTTCCCAAGAATATACCCTAAAAGTCGGCCATCTCGACCCAGGTACCCTTAATCATTAGCGTTGACGCGCATTTCAGCGGGTCGCGAGTAAATTTGGGCGCACGCGGAAAAGTTAGGAGAAGAAATTTGGAAACGCGGGGAAGCGCGAGGAAGCGTAAATTTCGGGGGTTTCGGAAAAGTTAGGAAACGTAAACTTGGGCGAAATACCACGAATTGCGCGGAAATTTAGGGGGGGGGGTATGTTAGGTTATGAAAGATGAAGCTTTCTAAAAAGGCCTTTCATAGTTTCCATGAAAAAAGCTATAATTACGAAAGTATGAACATTTTTCGCCAATAGTGGCTTTGATAGAAAGCTCCCTCTTCTCCTTTCCACCTAGTCGTTAGACGGAAGAATTTGCCACAAACGTAGAGAACTGAGCATTTAAAATTGCGATCCCATTCCTGTATCGTTTCTCTTTCCGCGCTGCTTTAGATAACTTCGTCTGAAGCTCTGCCACGACGGCGTCAGAATGTCCGGTACGGTCATCTCCGGCTCCGGCTCCGGCGCTCGTTGCTTGAGCAAGTTCAGTGAACGGGTTAAGCACCTAGTCTAAGTACTGCGGACAAGGGCAGGGACAAATGAACCGGACAACTGTCAAGAGGATACGAGTTGACGGGGGTGAGTTTTAATTTTATCTCAAGCGCTAAATTCGTTCTGAACTGTTCCTTGAATCTTCTCTTTTACAAAATCAATCGGCATTATTTCGATCTTCTTTCTACAATTTTTCATTTACAAAATGAATTTTTCTCCCGCTGGCATTTGAAAAATCACGATATCAGACCTCACGGTAGCAATATTCTTTTTTATTTTACGAACCTGTTTGATAAGATGCTCTCGATTTCCTTCGACGCCTTGGCAAACTGATTGAGTCTCCGCTTGAGCTGTTGATTTTCTCGTTCAAAGCTTGTAAGAATTTTCTTTCGCTTGTCTAAATGGAACGTTTGGAGTCAAAATTGTCGGGAAGAATTTCTAGTTCGCCTTTCTCCTGGACATTCCCAGGCTTCAATTACAGAGCAAAATGGTCGTTTACGAGGAAAAGCACCCACCCGAGTAAGTTCATTAGGTAATGAGACAAACGACGGAAATGCATTCATTTCCGGACTAAGTAACCACCGTAGTTAAATATTCAAGTTCAACGAACTCGAAAACGGAGTGGGCATAAATAAGGAAATCATCAGCATTCCAGCTGGGAGCTAGAAAAGACGATAAGCGAGAACTAAATACGGTAAGACGGTAGATATGCATGTGACTGCCACGTGATTAAGAATTTGGAGTGAAATACAATGCGTCGGAATTCGCCGGAGATATTGGAATGCTCACAGAACTCATTGGCCTTGTTAACATTTCCAGATCCAGTGAAAATTTTCTGATAAACCAATTTTCTCTCAAATAGAAAATTTATAAAAAAAATTGGCGAAAAATCTTGACTTTGCTATTTTAGGCGAACAATACCTTTTGGCTGGTGAAAAAGGTGCTCTTCATCACAACTGACAAAAGCCTCGCTCTCCAAGGACTCTTCATTTTCTTCCTCCGGAATTTTATTCATCTTCGACATTCCCCTCTTTCGTCATTTTTTTTCTTTCCAAACTCCAGAACGCAGCCAAAACCCCCAGAATGCAATAAATCGATTAAGCTCACTCAGCCTTTTTCCGTTCGAGCACCACCTGCTTCTTGGAAGCGTGAGACGGCTCAAATATAAAACTTACTTCGAGACAAAATTAAAGAACAAAGTCCCCCACTTTTCGTTTGACAAGATTTTAAATTTAAAATTACGCGAACGAACTTTTTTTCGTTATTGTTTTTTCGCTTAGACCGACAAAAAAATTAAATTCCGATCCAATTTGGTATGAAAGCAGCTTTTTGGCGAAAAAAGCAGCAAAATCAAAGCTCAAAAAAGCAGCATTTGCAAGTCACGTTCAGATCGAGTGGATATTCACGAGTTTATTAGCTTTCGTAATTACCGTGATCGCGCATCGCAAAAGTGCCTAATCGACGCAATTTATCAACCAAACAAACGTTATAAAAGAGCTCCTAATACTACATAGTGCCATACGCTGGCAGACAGGCGGCCAAGGGCTTCTTCAGCTGAGTTCTTCGAAAGCTAAGTATACTAATTACTCGTTGAATTTGCAGTTGCTAAATTGGACAGTTATTTTAGCGATTCTAACCGAAGCTAAAGCGTTACGAATAATCGAATCAGCCAGCGGTAGATCTAAACAGCTGAGAAATTGACGAACGAATAATTGAACTTAGAAATTATATGATTCTTGCACTTTTGCGTCTAATTCAGAACATTCCTTTAGAGTGCCCTTTTGCTAGAGCCTTTTATTGGTTGAACCAAGTCGACTATTGTAAATTGGTAGATACTTTGAAGATTGATTAAAAGTCCAATATTGATACTGAGTAATACTGTAATATATGAATTTGAGAATAAATACAGCTTGAATGAATGCATAAAAATCGTCTTTCATTAGCGTCAATCTAAGGGTATCTCTGCGTTATCAGCAGCTTTCCCATACAGCTAAAAGACAAAGATCCCGGTTGAACCCGCAAGGTTGTATGAGGGTAAAAAAAAGCCTACCAGATCCTATCATGCACGTTTTTTAAAGAAGCTTAAAAAGATAACTGGTAAGGAAAGTATAGTAAGTTTCTAGTGCGGCAAAATGTCACGTTTTAGAATATCAGCAAGAATTTTTCCTTATCAGCCGATCGAAGACAAAGAAATTCCGCTAATGGAGACGCACCGTCCCAACAAGGGAAATTCCCTTATCAAGCCTTGCAACGCGGAAATCAGATTGTGTCATTAGTTTGCTGGCAATCACATTTGCGCCCCGTTTTAATTCTGAATAATCGCTAATTGAAGGTCCTTGGATTTTCTCAGAGCGCTTTGAGATTTTGCGGTGATTTTTGCTGGTGCAACTTGAATTCTGACACGCAAGCAATAATTTATCTTGTTATTAAAAGGTTAAGATTCAGTTTTATCGAGAAATTGCAGAACGAAGTGTTCTCTTGATAAATTTTATTAAACTAAAACTGAAATTCTATTCATTGAAATCAAGGAAGAGTGATCGTCAAAATCAAACTGCATATTTAAAAATTGCATGGTAATGAAGCTTTAGGTAGACTTTTAGGAGTCTTATTTAGCTCAGACAACCAAGCTCTTCTTATTGTCGGCTTTCACGGATTATTTCACATGAATGAAATTTAGTATTCAGCACATTATTTCTCCTCACAACAGAAAAATTATTGGATACAAATGAATCATTTGACTTGCATTTCATCAGTATTCATAAGTTTGGTCATTTGTTATAGATTTTATCTATATATTACAAATTTTCGTTGGATTAACTGTTGCTTTAATTATTCCTACTGACTCGCCCCGCAGTCAGAATCACCCAACGCAAGTTTATACATGATTGATAGCAGTAGATACGTGACCCGTTGTCACTAGAATAGTTTTCTCCCTCAGAGTGAATGTCGCTCTGACCCTGGACCACAAAATAAAAGCGTCAAATGAGTCAGCGAAGCTCTTAGCCAGAACTCAGAGCCAGCTATTTTGAAGACCTCGTAGGCTACGTCTCACATAAAAGTAGGCCCCGGGTGGCGCTGAAAACAATAAAAAACGTTTAAATTCCGAAGAGAGAGGGTACTATTCAATTGTGAGAGAGCTCCGCTTCAGAAGACGAGAAGAAAACAAATCTAAAAAATTTAAATCATGCGAAGTGATATTTTATTGCTAAATGGAATTTTGGCTCAATCTGCTTGTAATGATCATAAATGCACTATGGTTTATATTGATGATGGACATGTCGAAGAGCCAGGAGAATGTATCGAAGATTCTTCAAAAGCGTAAGTTAAAATTTATAAATAGTAGGCAATTACATAACTTAATGATTTTAGATTAGGATACAGATGTAAATGCGAAGAAATTGATCCAACTTTTCTTCTTACCCAAGACATATATTGTTACGCTTTGAATACAAATGGGAGAATATTGGATACGCCAGAGCCAAAGCCAGAGCCTCGAACAACGACAGTGACGACAAGAACAACAATTGGAAGGATAGAAACCACTGAATATTTATCGACTACAGTCGCCCCAAGTTTACAGCCCCCAGAAGAAATCACAGACGATGTGACATCTACCGACAGGAAGGATTTACGATTTAGAGCACTTAGATCTCCTCTTGTTCTTAATTTCAAGTTTTTCCTATACCAATAACTCTAAAATAAATAATCCCTAACAAGTCCATCAATCACGGACGCTCTTACAATGCCTGTGGTCACCACAAAAGAAACCACAACAGAGGAGGAGAAAACGCTGAGGATTTTGGGAATGGAAGCAATGATCTTTTTTATCTTCATCGGCGGCTGTGCACTCTTCCTAATAATTATTATTGTGGTGAGCATAATTTATTGCCGTTGCCCGTCGAAGAAAAAAGAAACTCCAGCAAGGTTAGTTATTTTATGATGATCTTTGGCATAGTAAAGTGTCTGATTGTTGAAAATCGAATAGCTTTCGCTCTGAGTGAGCTTTACAAGTCAGTACTATTCATAAAGTAAAATTCTTCCTGATGATGATTGAGTCTCATAATTTATGAGACATTCAGTTGTCTCAGCACAGATGATATTGTATTAAAAATCCCCGATTATTAATTGTACTCAAAAGTCATTAAACAAAGCATAATTTTGTATTGTTAAACATACTTCTGACCTTTCGGAACTATCGCTACTCGCTAAAACATCATGAACAAAGCTATAAATGACATTTATTGCCCCTTGTCCTTCAGATATTTTCTTATTTTTGGCAAGCCTTACTATCAACATACTTTAGAAACGACACACAACGAAATGCCCTTCTTCCCGATATCGACGAAGAAATCATTCCAGAGGACAGTCGAAATGATGATCACTGGAGAAATTCTCAAGATTCTTTCGACAACACCGACGACGAATGGGGTCAGGACGATCCTGCAACGCCTACCGAAGCAATAAAACTCTGCAAATACGCACCGGATCCGGCAAAACCCTCTTCTGTGCCATCCCAAAACGGCGGATCTCGGCCTATTTCGACCTCGCTGCACAGCATATCGTCTAACCGTCCCAGCGTGAAGCCGCCAGCGCCTCCAGTACCCGATCCCTCAGCATTGCTCAACGCACCGCCAGATTTCCCTCCTCCCCCACCACCACCAGCTCTAGAAGGCTCTGGAAATTTGATTGCAAATCCGAAATATCCTTACCACGTGCCTATTGCTAATCAACAACAAAATCACTGATTTCTGACGCAGACTAACAGCAACCTTTTTCAACATCCATTCAGTTCAAAAATACTTCTGTCAACCTTTTTTTTCGGCAGCTTATTTTAAAACCCTGTAAATTTTCTTCAAGAGTACATAATAAAACCAGACATTGATGCATTCGTGAACTCTTCTAGAAGGCTCTAAATTATAGAGCCGTCGATACTGTGTAAACTAATGAGTCAGATCAACACAAACATTAGAGATAAAAGATAAAAAAACGAAAGTTCGTGGAAAACTGTTCGACCCTGACTGCTCAGATTCATTTTAGAGATGTTTCTGTTCGACCCGGATAAGCTCACAATGCAGGTAGCAGAGAAAAATGCAAGAAAATTGCTAAAGATGATCGACGATGCTCCTCTTTGGTTGAAAATTTCAGCATCAACTGTTGCGATTTTGAAGTTATATGTTGACTACAAATGGACTCAACTTGATTCTTGGGGCATTCCAATTATAAAACCAAAGGGAAGGTTAAATGATTGAGACAAATATCTAAGAAATTTTGAGAAAATACACCGACAATATTTAATCTTCATGAAAGTACAAAACCTTCGGAACAATGGGTCACTACATCAAAAATGATGGGTACATTGAGTTTGCCGAAAGAGAATTGCGCGAGAAGAACCGAAAAACTGTCGCATTTTATAGAGGAGTTGACCCCGTTATTTGGACTGTCGATACTGAAATCATCAATGACGTATTCGTGAAACACTTTTCATCATTCACCTCAAGATTGAAGCCTACTGGCTCGATGGGCCAAGGAAAGGAAATGGTTCGAACAAGACCTAAATATATGAAATTTTTGTCCTTGTTGATATCATGAAAAGGACATTCGCGAAGCCCTGAACGTTATCACGGACCCACACCAATGGCGAAGAGTCCGACAGACAATCAGCCCAAGCTTTTCAAATCGACAACTTACGGAAATGCTGGAAATTATAAAAGATAGACTGGATATTCTCGAAGAACAAATAGATGGTCTTGAAGGCGAAGCAACTGATGTGGGTACAATTGCAGGCAAATTTACGATGGATGGTACTCTATCAGCAGCAATGGGGATTGACATGAATGAAGATTTAAAAGATCTCAAAGACTTTGAAAACCACCCAGCCGTTAGGACGGTTTTCATATTTTCTCTATCTTCCGAAGTTCGCAAAAACACATAGTTATTCACTAATAAGAATCACGATTGATGAAAACCCTAGGTAAAGACATTTCTACAATTTAATGAATCCTGGTCCGTCTATGTTCTTTTACGTCATGATTCCTGGATTAGGCTTGCTTGCTGACGAGGTCGGCATTAGTCCCTTTAGTAAAGGGTGTAAAAATTCTTATTCTTTTTCGATTGAAAATGTTATTTTTCCACCCGCTCTAGCTACGAATCTGTAAGTTGGTTCGCAAGGTATTGCCGAGGGATTCTCAACGCATCAGCAACTGACCCAGGGTTCGGTAATTTGAGCTCAAGCTAAAACTCATTTTGGCTAGACGCTCAAATTTCCTCAAATTGAGAACTCAAAATGACTTGAGAAATCATTTTGAGAAGATTTGAGAGTTTTGAGAGTTTTGAGTTTTTGGGAGATTTGAGTGTTTTGAGTTTTCAAAACTCAAATTGAGCGAGCTCTTCCTTGATAGGCTCATGGATCGCCAGAATTGATTTCTCATCTCTGAGTTCTCAAAACTCAAATTAAAAATCGTGAGTCTCAAGCTTTGTTTCCTTGAGTTTTAGCATGAGCTCAAATTACCGAACCCTGAACTGACCAGAAGAACCGCACATTTTTAAAGGTCTTTCAGCAGCTTCTGATTGATAAGAAATCTGCTAAAAACGCCCAAAGAGGACTGACAGAGACAGAAATTATCAGTCAAATCTTTGTTATATTTGTTGCTGGCTACGAGACAACGAAAACATTGCTCCAAACGGCCTTCTATCATCTTGCAAAAGACCAGAAACTACAGCAAGAAGTTCTCAAAGAAGTTCGAGGCCTTGATGAGCACTATGACAACTTGAATCCAAAGAAAATGCCTCTAACCTGCGCTGTATTGCACGAATGTTTGAGACTCTTTCCACCAGTTGGTATTCATTTACGCTGGTGCGAGGCTGATACGATGGTCAACGGTATTCCCATGACTCGAGGTGAACAAAAATTTCACCAATATCCTAAAGTTTATAATTCAAGGTGCGAGTATCGAAGTACCAGTCGATCTGTTGCATACAATGGAAGAATATTGGGGCGAAGACGCACACGAATTCAATCCATACCGATTTATTGAAGACCCTGAGTTAGAAAAAGCGCCATTCTTTCTGCCGTTCGGAGCTGGCCCGAGAAATTGTATCGGCTTGAGATTTGCTAATATTGAGGGTATGTATGATCAGAAAAGTGTTATTTTTATGCAACTTTTACAGCACGACTAGCAATTCAACGACTTGTTTCAAACTATGAAGTCAGCCTTCCAGAAGGTTTCGTGCCTGATATCAAACTCATCCGACTCCCAAGCTTCTTCATGGATTTTTCGAAGGAGATCAAGTTGCATTTTAAAAGAAGATAAATTTAAAAGAAATTTTTATGTATTTTGAACTTTGAAGAAATGTGAACAGAAAAAATCGTGTATAAAGATTCATAAGAGTTTGGCAAGACAAGAAATCGATAATCGTTTGGAAGGGCAGGGATGAAAGAGACGGTCGAAAAGAGATCGGAACTCAGGGCTGAGATGTTTTTCTTGGCTGAAGTTTCGAATGACTTTGAGGTTCTCAAACTTCCAAGTTCCGGTGAGCAGAATGTAGAGAAGAGCACTAAGAGCCCAGCAGTCAGCCGATTCGGTAGAGGAGGATCCTGTGGTGTAGATTTCTGGTGTCCAGTAGTCAGGAGTACCGCGGGGTTTCGAGCAGGAACTGGTTTTACTTGCGCAGCCAAAGTCGATGATGAAAACTTGGAGGGTTTCGGGGTCGATAAGAATGTTTTCATCCTTGATATCGCGGTGAGAGATTCCTGAGGATTTCATTTCTTGAACTGCATCGATGACTTGTTTGAAGATGAAGAGAGCAGCTTCTGCGGAGAGCGCGCCATGTTGTCGGACGAATTCGTAAAGATCAGTTACATTCTCAATCTTTTCCATGACAAGGACGAAGGAGGATTTTCGCTCGAAAAAGTCGATTGGCTGGACAACGGCTTCGCAGGCTTCGGCGGCTTTGAACTGGAAGTAAATTTCGGAAGGGATTTGTCGACCGTCCATGGCGATGTATTCGGAAACGGAAGTCTTCGGGATCTGTTTGACGATGACTGCTTCTCCAGTGGAAAGGTCGAAGCCCGAGTAGACGATTCCATTCGCAGACTTGATGATTTCTTCTTCGATTGAGAAACTTTTGGCGAATCGTTTAGCATCGGCGGCGATGATTTCAAGGTTGTTGAAGGAACATTCTTCTTCGGAGGTGTATCCGGATTCAATGGAGTGCTGAGACATTTTTTGAGTTTTGGATTGTTTGTTTGTGTGATATGAAATCGTAAAACGGAGATTGCTTATATAGTTCAGCAGGTGAGGGCGCCAGAGTAAGCTGGTGGCAATCAGGTCAACCCAGGTGAACAATTAGGTCAAAGCGCCCATTCCGGGAAGCGAAACTGATGACCATATGCCCTAATTTTGCGCTTTCTCTCGCGCTAGGATCCTTTTGAACGACACGGCAGGTCTTTGATAGCTGACCTAGTTTACAGGGTCAAATCTAAATGTAATACACACCTAAAACTCTTCTTCTTGGGGTCTAACTTTAAATACGTCGATTCCAAAAAGAGCAATCTTTAAAAGATACGTGTTGGAAGGACAACGATGAGCTGGCCAGATTTCTTTTGAAGAACGTCTTGAGACCTCTTCAAAACTGCTAAAAACCGGCGGATCTTCGGGGTCGAAAAACTCCACGTAAATAATACTTGATCGTTTAAAGTTTAGTATTTTTCGATTTCTGATAAAAAGCAGCATTATATTAAGAGAACTGGAAAATGAAATCAACGAAGAGAAAATGCCAATTCTTGAGTATTTCAGCTTAGATTTTAATTATGACAGCAAATATACAGCTAAAATTTTGAGTTATTTTTCTGAACAGTGAACCATTGCTTTGCATTTACAAGAATCCACGATTGCGTTTTTGATTTCAAATATTTCCCCAGTAGTTCTGTCAATAACAGAGATTGGTGTGTAGCTTACAGGATCGCAGTAAAACACATTTCTGACACTTTCGGAAGCGTGCCTCATTGAGCTAGAATTCTTTTTTATTCTGGTACAATAAAACCGGCTTACAATTTACAGGATCCATTACAGTAACCAATATCGACAATTTTGTTCGGGTTTACTTTGATGCCATCAATTTCGTAGAGAGCGAATGATTTTCTGAATTTTTTAAAAATAATCGAATGCCTTCAATCAATTCTGGTCTCATCCATTTTTTCATGAAACTTGAGATGGATACTGCATCTGCGAGTTTGACGAACGAGGGAAAACCTTCTAATTAAAAGTCTACTAACCCAGTATGCGCAAGCATTGTGTCAACCAGTTCCTGTGCATCCACATCAAAGCTGTGTCGATTGCAGTGGTAGCAGACGGGTTGGTGATTATGAAATCTGTGCGGTCTAAAGATCATTCGAAAGTGCTTTGACTGTCGTTTCGATTCATCAAGCTTGTATCTGTCACAGAAGTCGTGCTTCTTGTGCTTGTAAGCCTTGCAATATCGAATCATTTCAAGGTTTTCAAACGCTTGTTCTTGAACCGAACATGAAACAACTTGAAGGATGATAGCTAGCAACTTCATTTTCTGTCGTTTTTGCTTCTTGCTTTTTTAGAAATTTACTTATTTGGTAAGAAACTGGTAGTGTTGCTCGTTATATAGACTGCTGGATAACAGTTTCTTTCAAAAAATGACATTTGACTTTTTACGAAGCGTGTGACGACTCCAAAAATTCCCCTGTAACGTCAGAGAATACATAAAAGTGCCATTTTTGTAATTGAGAATCGAAATTCTCAATGATTTTAGAGTCTATTGGGTATCTTTGATGATATCTTCCCCACGTGGGGAAAATTTGGATGCATCTCTTGCCGAAAACGCCCCCTTATTGATGTTTATTATATTTCCTTATCTGAGCGATGATAGCTTTATCTCGAGTGTCTTCTAGTTCAATAACCTCTAAAAGTAGATACTGTTGTCAACCATCCCTTTGCAAAGGAATTGGTGTTACGATCAGTGAGCGTGAAAAGATATCATAAAATTTCTGGATCCCCCGGCCGTTACATGTTTAACACTCTCTCCTGCGGTTAATTCAAGGAATGAGAATTGATCTTGTAATGCGCGGATAACTGTAATCGAACGACAGTGTACCGTCTTCTTCATTACCCGCTATGATATTTTTTCGCTGAGTGTTTTTTACTATTTTTCAAGGCGAAATCATTTGAACTTTCGCTGCCGATTGCAAGTTTAACTAGGTTAAACCACATAATTGAGACCCCCAATCTGCAAATACTTTTCATTAATGATGTATTACGCTGAGATTCTTGTTCAACGAAAAGAACGTGAAAATCTTTCGAAGAAAAGATCTTTGATTAATAATGCCAGTCTTTGAAGTTCAATCTGGCTTCACACAAATTGTAGCTATTAAAAGGGCCACAACCGTTTTTTAATAATGTTAACCCATCGGAATATGGCGGCTGTGGGTTCGGATTTTGAGGGAAATATGGAACGCTACAAGCGTTTTTTGACAAGGGCACTTCCTTTGTTCACGTACATCCGGGACGGCGCGACACTATACAACGGTTGCGGATTTGAGTTCGATAGAAATGAGCATGGGATCCTCGATTACCTTAAAATCCGACAACTGCGGAAGGCATAAAAACACTGAGAAGATAAATAAGTACAGCTTAGTAATCTCTTCCGCATAAAACTCTAGTAGAGCAAGAACGTACTTGTCATGTTCTTCAGCTTTTGCTGTAATTTCTCTGAAGATATTCATTACCTGTTTGCATAATTTGCAATCAAAAATTAAAAAAAAAAATATTTTTCAAGAATGAATCTACGTTTAAAATGGGTCTTGTCATTTTTTCTGTGGGCGACTGCTCATGCTATTGCTGATGACTACTGGAATGTAGAAAATGGAGAATTATTACGACAAATCGATTTCGAAGGCCTTCTCAAACTTGAACAGGCGAATCAAGAGTTCTTCGTGTATATTTACATGAAGGATTGTGGAATCTGCGAGAAAGTCAAACCGATGCTTCTTGAAGCTCTTGCCAAATACAAAGAAGAAACTGATGATGAGTTCGTTATCTACGCAATCGATAATGTAAGATACGGGGAAAGAATCGACAAAGAAACGGCTTACTGGAAACAAACTGAAGGAGTGCCATTTTTTGGAATGTTCAAGGGCGGCAAAAAGCTTTTTGAAATTGACCCACGAAGCACAGATTCATTTCTGAAGTTCTTCCACAATCCTGTTGCTCCTTATGTTCCGCCTCCTGAGCCAGAATGGTCATCCCTCCCATCTTCTAAAGATATATCGTTTCTTGAAGAAAAAGGATTCGACGCATTTGTTGGTAGCAAATCAGAAGTGTTTTTGATGGTCTTCAAGACTCGCTGCGGTGCATGCACGGCTGTAAAACCTAATTTTGAAGAAGTTGCCACGAAACTCTCGTCTGAGAAGCCTGAAATCACGCTGGCCGCACTAGAAATGACGAAGGGTAACGCAATTATCAACCGGTATAACGTGCAGGCATATCCCACATTTTTGTATTTTTCCGGTAAGTAACGCAACTTCCAGAACACAGGCAAAAACTAACAAATAAAACCATAGGAGGGAAGTTCCAATATGAATACCACGGTGGTTACAAAGCAGATAAGCTCGAGAGTTTCTGCCGCAATCCATCTTTTATCGAGAAACCAAAGGTAAATTTTTTGTTGTAAAAACAGCTCACGTGGACGTTTTCAGGCCGATCTTGGGTTTACGGTTGAGACCAACGTGACTATCCTTGATGCTAGTGCTGATAAGTTCTTGGCAGACAATGAAGGAGTTCTGGTTATGGTTCATACCAGCTGGTGCGGCCATTGTAAGCGAATGAAGCCCGATTACATTAGAGCATCGGACGAATTGTTCGCGCAAGGATCGAAACAGCGATTGGCAGCGATTGAGGGAGACAAGTTCAGAGACTGGCTTGAACCTTACGGCGTGACAGGATTTCCTACTCTGCTCTACTTTGAAAAGGGTAATCACCTGGATTAGATTGAAAATCTTGAGCATTTTCTTTTAGGTCAATTCAAGATGAAGTATTCTGGCGGACGAACAAAGACCGCGATTTTAAAATTTATGAAGAATCCTCAGGAGCAAAAAGAAAAAGTACTCACTGATGAGATTCTTGAATCACTTCCAGATACAATTCCAGCACTCAAAAAGGATACTTTCGATGATTACGTCGAAGAGAATCCACGCGTGGTTGTATACTTCTATGCTCCTTGGTGCGGCGTCTGCAAAGGCTCAAAAACGGCATTTTACGAAGCTTACGAAATGGCAGATGAAGAAGATCTAGACGTTAAATTTGCCGTGTATAATGCTGATCCGAAAGATGATCCTGCCGAGATGCTCTTTGCCAAAGAGTTTGGAATAAAAAGCTACCCGACCGTGTGGTTCTTTGAGGAAGGAGAGCAGAAGTACAAGTTCAATGCGCAATCTGATATGGACTCATTCCTTAGGTGAGAAATTTGAATCAGAAACGAACCAGCCAGGCTGTTCACTTTGCTAGGCAGTCAAAAACGCAGGGTTCAATAATTTCTTTCCTAGACCTCATTTAGAGTAACCTGTTGTTCGAGATCGATTCTAAGTTTTAGCATTCTTATCAACAAAGTACGCTGGAGAAAGAAAAAGATAAAACTTAAACACGTGTAATTGAAAATGATAAAAAGAGATCCTCGATGCTCGAAAATATCACAACGAAATTAATCGGATTTTTGCGGCCCGATATGCTTGTAAAACAACAATAAAGTTCAATTTGTTCATTTAGAAAGCGCGAGATTACAGTAATAGCGCGTGATAGTGACCGTGACCGAGAGCATTTATGAACATTTTAGGTTCGCTCGTGAGCCTCATTTACGGGGACGAGTAAATACTGTGGATAGCGATCCAAAGTGGATAAGCGCGGATGGAAATATGTACATCGAGATTTTAACGGACGAAACTTATGAAGAGTTTGTGGCGGAAAATGAAGAAGTGTTCATTTTCTGGGTTGCTGAAGGCTGCATTCGTTGCTACGAAATTGTACAGGTGTGTAATATTGACGATAATGAATGATCCAAGAAGACAATTGTCAATTGAGTCGATTTAGAAAGTCGAGAAATTAGATTCTATATTGCGGATGTCAAGTCAAAAAATGTTCACCGAGCGAGCGTTTTGCGGTCGCCCGATCAAAATCAAATTTGTCAAGCTAATTTGTACGCAGAAGTTTTTTTTACGAATGTTAATCGGCGAGTTACAGGATAGAACTGACTTGAGCCCCGTTCCGACTTAGCCCTTGTTTGATAACTTGAAACCGTTCTTCAGCCCGAATTTGTGATTCTTGCAGAAACTCTTGCAACACTAAAGCCAAGCTTCAAACTAGCAGTTATTGATGGAAGGAAAGGTTCTCACTAAACATACAGTTGAAAAAGAATAAACACCGTTAAACCTTAAAAGCGAGTACAAAGATTTCCGAATGCAGAAAAAAATCGACTCTTACCCCACACTCGAGTACTTCAAGCGAGGCGTCTTCCAATATCTTTACGAAAATCACCAGACTGGCCCTGATATGTTGAATTTCGCGAGGAATCCAACAAAAGCAGGTGCAGAAAAGCCAAAACGCTACGTGTAAGTACATATTTAGTTTTGTTCGTTTTTTTAATGCTGGGTATCTCGAGAATCAAAAATGATAACAACTTCCTCCGAGCGTGTTTTCTATCTGATATTCTAGGCGAGACCCAAGAGTACCAAACTTTTAGAAGGCCTTATAGAAATGAACTTTATTTTATTGATTCATATTATTCTCACCGATAATTAAGCTGGGAGCTCGACGAATCCCGCGATTCCGGAAATGTTGTCCACGTGAACAAAGACACATTTCCAGTTGAAATCCAAAAGGTCAAATATGGCCTCCTCATGCTCCACGCCGGCGGCTTCGAAATCATGGATCAGGCCTACGACACCATGACAGCTGTTTCAAAGGAACTTGCTGCAAATTCGGACTTGAAATTTTTCGCATGCGACTGTGGAAGAGGCAAAGACTGGGGAAAGGCACGCGTTTCCGATCAATTAGATGATGGAGATAACTCCATTACTGTCAGATGACTGAGTCAGCGATCTCTACTGATCGTTTGACGCGGAAGTCGCATATTTTGCTTTAAAATATTCACCACAATGAGCCGTGAATGTGAACGCTCCACCAAATTAAACATGTGAGGGGTTTTGGATCGTTTCTTTGGCTGATTATTTCAAAATCGAAAACGCGAATAAGCTCTGCCACACGGAAGGCATTCACAGATGGCCCGATTTTCGTTTCTACGTTGATGGAGAATCAGAAGATGAATTTGACGGTGGAAACTTTCAACCTGCTGATTTCATTAATTTTATCAACTCGAAACTTCCAAGTTCGAAGGACGAGCTCTAGAAACAATTTTCTCTTGTAATAAAATAAAGTGCCCTGAAAGCTGAGTAAGAGTCACTCCAAACGCGGTGGATAATTATTCTCAAAATTTATTTTACGAAGTGTACAATTATACAATGTGTAGAAATGAAGAGTAGAAACGTCAAGCTGTCTTCTTGTGATTCTATCCTAAAAACGAGCCGGACATCATGTGGCCCTTGATCCATTTCGTGTAGCTGGCGACCTTTGTCCAGACGCCTGTAAATCGGTCAATACTTTACTTCATTCGACGAAGGGCGTGTATTTCCGCCAATTATGTATGAAATGATTAGAAGGGTTTAAAGCGATCGCGTGACCGGTTCCTGGTGAGTTAGGCTGCCCACAGCCCATTCCCCAGGATGTGATCCCGGAAAGAACTGGGGCTTGGAAGTCACCCATTTTCTTGACACAAATCAGTGGCCCTCCGGAGTCGCCCTAGAAAAGTCAAGAGTTACGAAAGAGCTTGAAACTGAGTGTTCTCAACCTGGCAAGCATCTTTCCCGCCATTGAGGTGCCCCGCGCAGAACATTTCTCCTTCCGCAAAATACCCAGCATTTGGCGTCTCCATACATCGCTCATCGGAGATTATCTTCAGATCAACTTCTTGAAGAACGGTGGCGGGCTTGTTCCCGTTCATTCGTCCCCATCCGGCAGCGTAACAACGTGTGCCAACTTCGGGATGCCAGTTATCTTCGGGCAGGCAGGCGTGAGCAGCGCTATTCGTGCGCGCGAGGTCCATATCGTCCACTTTTAAAAGACAGATATCGTTTCTCAGATTTCTAAAGACAAAAAACGCTCGTTAGAAAATCGATAAGAGTCTGTGTTGTTGTACCGTGGCTGATATTCTGGATGAATGATGACTTTTCGCACGTCTGTAGTGAATTGTCCAATATCGTATGTCTTCAAATTGTGCTCTCCTACGACGACCTTGATCTTTTCCGGCCGTAATTGATATCCTCGGCAACAGTGGGCAGCAGTGACGATAGTTCGACCGTCGACAATGGTTCCACCGCATCCAGCGAATCCGAAATAGATCCGGACTGCCCAGGGCCAGCTGTGAGGAACAGCTTCAATTCCTCCAATTATTCTTTTTTTCAAGTTTCATATTGGCTTATTTGTATTCATTTTTCATTTGACATTAAAAGCCAGTTGAACTTATTTAAAATTATAAATGAGAAACTACGTTCCTGTCGACAGACACCGGACAAACCAACTTTTGTGGAATTCTATAAACTTTTGTATCATCTACGCTTGTCGTTGTTTCTGAAGCGCTCGTAGTTGAAATTTGCTTTTTGTGTCCTTTGGGCGGTTTTGTCGGCTTGAGAGTCTCGCCACATGACCACTCGCCGTAGAAGAACTTTGTCCAGTCCGGGTTGTCCACGACTCGTGCGCCATATCTCCAGTGACAGAAGCCATCTTTGTCTCGTCCCCAGATACATTTACAAAAGACTTTGACTTTTCGTTTCATCAGTGGTTCGATATTTGCATTATTCCGGCATGATATCGTGCATGATCGCAGCCCGTTGTCACTTGTTTCGCATTGTTTCTGTAAGAAAAATGTTAACAAAGAAACTTTCTAAAACAGAAAAAACTTGGCGGTGAAACGAATCTACGTTCAAATTAAGAGCTTTTGAATAAGTTCTAAACAAGCGCATTTGATCAATTTGAATTAGAGCGCAGATCACTAACGTGCTGCAAAATTGACCTAAATCCGCACCTGTTCAATTCTCGAGTGAATCCACTGCTCGATACGATTTTTCACAGAAATTATTTGAGAAAACAACGGCTGCGTAAAGTTCTCAAGTTTAACTACTGTCAGAGCCGAGAAAGGATAAGGAGCGCATCTTCAAAGTGTCGCTTTGGGACGTGTTTGATAGCCAACGTTCACAAAATATTATGACAACGGGTTAATGCACTAAGGGCTGATCCCACTTGCGTAATAGTTTAACGAAAACCTTCCCATGGGATAAGCTGGCGTTGGCGATTTTAGAGAGCTCTGCTACTTTTAGTATGATAATTCTATTTTTCAAAAATTCGTCTTTCAACCAGATCTGTTTTTATATCCGAGTTCATATTTAACTCAATTTTGCGAAATTGAATTTCTTGAAAGAAAAAGTTATCGCGCAGAATCTTACCTCAAAAATATCTTCGTCTATGTCAGTTAGATTCAGATCTCGGCAAGTTTTGCACTCGCCAATTTGCCTGGTCCAGCTAACTCCCTTGTCAGAAGTATGCCTCTTGCATTTGACTGTTTGCGGCCCTCCGTAGGAATGATAGTTATCTTCGCACTTGAGCTTGCACTCGTTTCCCTTGCAATCGACTTGGCCGTTTTCCACTGGGCCCATGATGTTTTCGTCCATTAAGCAGCGCTATAAAATATTCTTATCTACGGGATGTTGGCAGAACTTGAATTCGAGTGCTTGGTTCAAAGGTTTTTATAGCGAACGGCATTGATAGCGGTAAAAATTGAGGGCCAGTAATTACTAACATCCATCCGACTAAATTTGCAACGTGGATTATTGTCTAAAAAATACAAAAGAACCCTAATTCATTTATTATTGGTGGTTCAAGTATTCTTTTACTCTTTTCGATACTTGGATTGATAAAATAAATCATTTTATTTTTGAAATTAAATATTAATTTTGGAATCTTTTATTAATAAAATATAATAAATGGTTTTGTTGACTTACGGCCATTGGAAGAAAACTTCTCAAGAGTGCTTTTTTGCCACCTTTCCCAGCATCTGTGAGAGCGGCAAGGGCGAGAATCGGTATCTTCATATTGCAGAAAGTTCTCTAATCTTCGAAATGGAGAAGACCTTATCCCCGATCGCGACCGCTCACGAAAAAGAATGAAACGCATCCCCAGGAGCGCCCTCAATTGCGCGTCGGATATGCGCGCGCTCGTAAATCATGAAAAAAAATTATAAAGATTGATTTACTTTATTGTTGGTTATGTAAATGTGTTATTATACGTTCTAGTTTGGCCGGGAAAGTATCCGCTCGAGGACCCATTGGAGCGGGAGTTTGAATCAGCCTCGCTAATTGTGACGACTTCTGTATCACAGGTATGGAATGACAGGTCGTTTCGACGAAGACGGGATCGAGTCATAAAGCCAACCATTCTGTTATCCTTAATAAGTCACTCTAAGACTGATGGATTCACGAAAATCGGGCTGAGATGTTAACTGTAAAAATAGCTGTCAAGTAGCAACACACCTGCTCGTGTCGGTTCTGCTGATCGTGTGAACCAAGCGGCGGTGCGTTGACGGCTCTCTAATCACGGGTTAATTCAACCAACACGTTGTTTTTAGAAGATTGAGCCTAAGTCTGCCGAGCAAACAAAATCACTCACAGCGGCATTGTATTCTCCGGATGTTCGACTCGAGCATGTTTTCGTGGATGAACTTTGATTCGTGTTCGGATTCTGAATTCACGGGCTCACGACTCAAAGTTTCGCTATAATTGTTTTTTGCAATTTCTAACTGTTGGAGAATGCGTCCACTTAGAACGATAAACGCTAGAGCCCTTAGACTGATTGAGCTCCACTGGACGCGGCTCGGCGGCGGGCGGCGCTGGCCTCCTTATCGAAACTCCAAAACGTTTTTTGCTGAAAGAGGGTCAAGGAGCGTCTCTTCAGATCGCGAATAGGGCACCTGTAGCAGCAATAACACACGCTGATCAGCGCAGTCACGACGATCGAGGGGACTTTCGAGGGTCACTTTCATCCGTTATGAAAATTTCGTAACACCCCTCCTGTTAGAATTTCTAACTAAGGTAGACATCGTGAAAATGAGCCAATTCCTATTGCTGACAAAATATTCTTCATGTCGTCCGCTACTGTTCCCGCTAAAAAGGAGCTCTTTGTCGTCTCGCAAGTCGTGTTTTCTTCAATGTCGTCCATAAAAACTACAGTGCTTTTGAGATACGGGCACTCTTTTATCCTAGATGTCGATTTTTTCCTTTCCATGTCCGGATTCAATTCAAGGAAGTCGAACTCTTTTTGAACGGAGAAATCAGCTGAGCGGCATTTGTTTTTCTTTAATTCAGAATTCGGAGCTTTCAAAGGTTCGAATTTCCCGGGTGCAAAGTGTTCCGCCCTTTATAAAAGCTAAATCTCTTCTAAATTGGATCAAATTCTTCATAGCAAGATCGCCTTTAGCACCTTATTTTTGGAACCCGGCCAGAGAATTCATCCGCATGGCAGAAACAGTGCTCGCTAAACATCTCCGGTGGACAAGTTTGATAGGGAATATCCAGAACTCTCCATTGTTGCAAGTTTTTATCCCAACCAGTTGTTTCGAATTTCGCTTTGATTTTTGAGTCCTCGTCAAAGATCATTTGTCGTCCAAAAATTCCAGAAAACATTTTTGCGGCTGCATCTCTTTTCGATGTTGGAAATTATTACGGTAACGGAAAGAAAGCATCTAAACTGCTGGATAGCGGAGTACAAGCCCTGGAATCTAATTCTGCGGCTTTCTGATTGAGATAATTACTGGCAAAAAGGTAACTTCAATAAAAGTTAATGCAAGTTCGAATTCGTCATGAAAGTTATCTGAGTTCGCGTTGTTTTTGTAATAAATCGAAACGAGTACATAACGGCTCACGTGATTGATAGTGGAACTCGTCTTCCAAAGTGTAATACGCCAAGATACCATCCGCCAGCACACGTGGGAAAAGCCCGAAATCAGTTTGCTAACGTGAGATATTTTTTGAAGCTGCTGGAATTTCTTAAATCAAGATAGCTTACGTTTGGAGCTTTTGGCGAAATTCTGTTACTTGTCGGAGTACTTAGTTGTTCCGCCAGATTGATTCTAAAGAATTCGCCAGATTTGAATAGAATTTCATTCGTGAATGACTGTTTACGAGTTTTGATAAAGTAAAAACTAGTAGATATAAGAAAGTAAAATATGCTCCCTTTTAAAACTCTTTATGAAGCGTTAGATCAATTAATAGCCAAATAGGGTTTTTGAGATTCAGCAATGATGCATCCTCAACAACTTTGAGTGCAAGTTTTGGGCTCATTATAAGAACAATCACTGGTTGAAAATCATCTGTTCCATATTGAAGTCTTCTAACAACTCTCTGTATGTCTTCCATTCGATCAGATGAGATTTCATAATATCTGTTGTTGAAGAGTTTATACAACGAAGAGCTTGTGCGAAGAGAGTGCTCAAGTTTCTTAAAAATGAAAGCAATATTAGATCAATCATGAGCGCTAAATCATCGAAAAAATATACGTTCCAGAATTTGTTATGACAATGAAACAAACCTTTAGCATATCGAATCGCATTCGAGCAAGGCTGCTTGAGCGAGCGTCGTGCTCGTAAATTATATTCCACGAAATTTTATTCCTACAGTCTCGCGCTCTGGAATCTTAAAGACATTTTTTATTTTTGAACTATTTAATGAGTTGGCTTTTCAAGTAAAAAAAATGAGCTCAAAAATTCAAGCTCGTGGATCAAGTATGTTTGACCTCTAAGCGCCTTTTTGATCAATCCGGATTTAATATTGGCGCTTTCATTGAAATTAAATATAATTATGAGAGTAACCTAGTTGTCCGATGACGTTCCGCGCGTAGTCAGCCATCTGAGCGTAATCTGGCAACAGATTGACAACCCTAGGAATAAGAGGTCAATAATGAGGCGACGACTTTGACCTCTCGCTACTAGAATCCTGTCGTTATGGCACACCTTTTGCTAGACTTATTGAAGTCGTTGAGATATTGAAATGAGACACGTGTTGTGCTGTTGATCGGAAGGGATCTTATAACGTGATCAAACATATCTTCAAAGCTATTTTCGCATGTAGGCCCAATTATGACTTTTTCGCTGCTGGAAAACCTTAATCGTTTGCATGTTACATACTCATTGTACTGTCGTCGAGGTTTGAAAGCATTCCTAAAGGTCTTTCGTTGTAAGGATTATTTATGATCGTCATGCCAAACTCATCTGCCGAACATGAAAATGTGTAGTCCACGAATTTAACGACAAAATGTTTTGTCAATTCATTGTCAGATATTTCACTAATGATCTTTCTTCGGATTTTTCTCAGTAAAAATATTTAGCTTTAGGTGTCATGGAGAAATCCTAGGCCATTCTGCGATGTATTCCAGCTTTTGCCTACTGAATGGATATTCTTCCCCATTGACATCGTTTGCATCAAAAGGAACTGCGATGAATATTTCTCTTGTTGTCTCTTGTGATCTTGTCGAATAATTAAGTAAAAAGAATAAAATGCTCTTGATTGATAAAAACATTCCCTACGACTGAAATCTACTCATGCTTGAAATCATGCCAGTGAAAATTGCGCAGCGGGAGGTTGTCTCAGAACACAAATGAAGAATTCAATGGATGCTGTATGTTTTCTATTAGTCGCGGTTTATTATTATTGCACACGGTCGAACGAAGATTTCGTGGAACTGTTTTAGATGATTTTGAAGGTAGCATGGAGTTAGAGAGCTTCCAGAGCTCGCAGAATTGCTCTTGTGTTTTCTTTCTTTTGGGGATTCTGTAAGTTTCCGTCAATCTTGATGATCCCTTCGCAAAGTGATTTCAGATTTCGAACAGCTTCAGATCCGCATATAATTTTCGGCGGAGCTTTATCATCAAGCCAAAAGCTGAATATTAATTTTATTTCATTCAGAACTCATTGAGGTCCCTACTTGACATTGAATGGGGCCATATTTGAAAGAAACTGCGCATTTTCTTCGCCGTCTAATTCTGAAATAAGTGCTCTAGTAGAAGACGCAAGCAAAGAGCACAACTGATCTTCGAGAAGATCGATATCTTGGACGGATATCTCCGGAGGAACCAGGCCATAACTAAAATCAATTAGACAAAGTAGAAAAATGACAATACTTACGAGTATGAAGAAACAATAAATTGAATGTCGACTAAAACTTCACAGTCAAGCTCCCAATCGGCCGCAAGCCTTCTTATTTCGCCTTGAATAACTGAAAAATTCAACATTCAAACCAGATTTTACCAGATTTCATGTTTACCTGGAATCGTTTCTGTCTGCAATTTTGATTTTGTCACTGCGACACACAGGGATTCTGAATGATTATTAATTAAATTGAACTCACAGACTGGACAAACCCAATAAGAAAGAAATGAACTGGACTCGTGCTTCATTTATCGAGGATGATATAGGGCGCTCAATATTGTCTACAAGTCAGAAAATACAGTGTCTTAACTTTTTATTCCTAGACAAAGATGCAAATAAGAAAATAAAATGAGTTAATCAATTGTAGACCAATTCCTGATTCCATGGCCTTGACAATGGGCCGAAGAACGCGCTGTTTTCCGATTCTGAAAAGATCTTCTTTTGACTGAAAGTTATTCCGATAGATTTGGAGAGTCTGCAACATCTAAGGAGAGTCGTATGAAGTCTGATAAGCTGCGGGTTCGGAAGTTCTTGATTTAAAACTAAAACAATATACGAAGCCTATTTGCTCTTATATCGTACTGATTTCGCAAACAGATGGTTTCTTGGAATCCATCGTTGGAAGCTTCGAAAGTTCCGTTGAAACGTCGGGAGGTGGACTTGCATCTGGGTCATTGGCGATGAGAGCGTCGAGGAGGTTTGAAGCGATTTCGAGAGTGTGTTCAATCTTTGCAGGTCCTTCCGATCGCTTTATTGAGGATTTCTTGGATGAAGAAAGCGTGATTTTTTTCTTTTTGATTTGAATTTCTTTGACAATTGCATCAAACTTCAATGCAAAAAGTGTTTTCCAGACAAACATAGCCGCACCAGTAGCCAAATGATCGTCCTTAAAATGAATCTTGAAGACATAGAAGAGAATTGCAGTAAAATCCAACTTCGGCAGAAAAGATTAGAAATATCGTGTTAAATAAATCACGTGCCCAATTGAGTGATCAAAAAGATCTCCTTCTGGTGCCAATTAATTTTCTTTTGCACGCGATGGCGTGGTGCGGGGCGAAATCTTTAGCCCCAACAGGCGGGAACTAGGTTCCCGCTTAGCATACATCTATCGCGAAATATTAGCCGTTTCAAAAGTCAACATATAAAAATAAATTTTATTTTCATACCACTAATGATTTGAGATAGAGCATCCGAATCATGCAGAACATATCTCTCTCGCTGGCAGATAATTGCGAGGCACTTAAGTCATGTGCACCCGAGAAAAATCTCTGCAAACGAAATGCTGCAGCGCCTGCTTGGTATCAGATAGCTGGAATAGCATTTTTCTACATGGCGATTTTGCTGACCGGAATTTACGCGACAAGAAGAGGCAAGAAGCTAAGACGGATGTCGATGGACCTTGCACAGGACAGTATGATCGCTGGAAGAAACATAGGTAAGTACAACATAGACCCAGAATTCTGCATTTACTGAACTGATGCAATAACTAAGCGTTAGGAGTTCTTATAAAATTTTGATTTTTAGGATTATTTATTGGGGTTTTCACGATGACTGCAACTTGGGTTGGCGGAGGTTACATTAACGCCACAGCACAAATGGTCTATTCAAATGGAGGAGGGCTCCTATGGACACAAGCTCCTTTTGGATATGCAATTAGTTTAGCTTTGGGCGGTATCCTCTTTGCAGAAAAAATGCGGACAAAAGGTAAAACCGGTAAAAATATGATGGTTACAATTCATAAGGATACATAACAATGCTTGATCCATTTCAACAACGATTCGGAAAACGATGGGGAGGTTGCTTATTTTTTCCTGCCCTACTTGGCGAAGTTTTCTGGTCAGCCGCCGTATTGAATGCCCTTGGGTCCACTCTATCAGGTACAAGCCTAAAACACTGCGCCCTAACTAGGTTTTAGTCGTGATGGGTATTGGGACAAATCAATCAATTGTGATATCTGCCGGCATCGCCTTATTTTATACAGTTTCGGGTCTGAACGTATTGATTTTTGCTAAGTAGCTAATCAAATTTTCTAATAAACAAATTCAATCCCCTTCAAAGTCATTGGAGGCCTTTATTCGGTCGCATACACGGACGTTATCCAACTGTTCTGTATTTTGATCGGTCTTTGCGTTGCTATTCCGTACGCAGCTTCGCACGATGCAGTCAAGATGAACCCTTTCTCAACAGAAAGAAACCCGGTTGACTACGCCCTTAGCTGCTTTACCTACGAAAAAAATATTTCCTGGCTAGGAAATTGGAGCACTCTTAAAGACTATAAAACTCTTGGTCAGTGGACTGACAGCTATCTTCTTCTCATGTTCGGCGGAATACCCTGGCAAGTTTACTTCCAGCGAGTCCTTTCTTCTGACACAGCTCATCACGCGAAACTTTTGAGCTTCTTTGCTGCTGCTGGTTGTATTATCATGTCCATTCCACCAATTATGATTGGTGCTATTGCCAGAAGTACTGACTGGACTGAAACAAATTTCTTCGAGCAAAAGCAATACAACCCGGAAGAGTGTGGAGAAACTGATAAAATTTTGCCGATTGTTCTTGCTACACTTACGCCCCCAGTTGTTTCTACAATAGGTATTTCAAATACATACCGTATGTGCTCATGACAATTTTAAACGATTTGTTTAGACTCTTAATTTTAGAGCTAGTAATTTGAGCATTTTTCAGGTCTTGGTGCTATATCAGCAGCTGTGATGAGTTCTGCTGATTCGAGTATTCTATCTGCTGCTTCAATGTTCACCCACAATATCTGGTAAGGAGTAATTAAATTTGTTTGTCAGACAGAAATAATTTCTCCCCTAGGAGCGAATCAATCAGTCCGGGCTCATCAGAGAAAGCCGTCATGAGAGTCATGAGAATATCAATCGTCACCGTTGGAGTACTCGCAACTGTACTTGCGATCAAAGGAACTTCCGTTTACTCCTTGTGGTATTTGAGGTACCACTTGACGATCGAAAACATTTTTGCAATGAATATTTAGCGGAGATATCGTCTATGTCACCCTCTTTCCCCAGCTTCTTCTCGTCGTTCATTTCGAAGATAAAATAAACGCTCGGGGAAGCCAAATCGGCCTACTCATTGGTGTCATTCTTCGAGCGATCGGAGGTGACACAGGGCTTAATATTCCAGCTCTAGTAGAATTCCCTGGATACGATTGCAAATCCAACACACAATATTTCCCCTTCCGATCACTGGCGATGCTTGGAACGCTTGTCGGGTGCTTAGGTTTGAATCTACCCAATTAGAATTTGAAAATCATTGAAAATTAGTCGGCTCTGCAGTTTTTACCGATCCGCACCCTATATCGGAAGAAGAAGAAGACACCCCTTCTATAAAAAGGGCAAGACCCCAATTATCGCCAGCCCAGCTGACGGTGAAACGATAGAAAAACTTCGATTAGAAGGTATGCCAAGCGACGAAGATTAATTTTTCATCGCAAATCCTTTCAGATCATGTCTTTGAAGACGCTGCCTCCTCGCCCAAGGAAACCGAATAAGTTCAAATCCGAAGTAATACTACTGTAATTTCAATCCTATATTCTCAATATACTATTTAAACTGTACCTTTATTTCACTCAACGAATCCAGAATAAGGGGAAGAAGTTGATCGCACGCGGACTTTTTCGTTGAAGAGGCCCATCGAGATGTCGCTATCCAAAAGATTGAGGAATTTACCATCTCACGAGAGAGTGAAAGAGGAAAATGAGGAACTAGATAGTTTTTGAGAAACATTTGGGCAAGCGCGACCCGAGGGTTTGTATGGAGCTCGCTTGTTAGAGTAAGACGATTTTCCACAAGCCACTCTGCGACTACTTCTGTGACGCCACCGACTCCTCCTTATTTTATTTTTTTTCCTTTGTGACGTTTATTAAGTATCTACCTTGGAGAAGAGTTTTCGCAGTGTAGTTGACACCATCAGACAGAATTTCAAGCGCAGAAGCGATTCTCAGCGTTTCAGTCGCCTCTTTCCACTGATTGTCAATCACCAAGGTATCCCAATCAGCAGTATCAGTGTCCATCCCCTCATCGTTTGACGGAAGGTTTCTTCTTCGGAAAAACTCCATGACATGGACAAAAATATGCCCATTAGAAGGAGTGACTGCAAGACAATCTTCTCGAAGAGATAAAAGCCAATCACTTGGAAGAGTTTCGTGAAAGATTTCATAAGTGGCCTCAAGAAGGCGCAAAAAGTGAGCAGCTGTAGTCGCTGTAGAACTGACATTGGCCACGTGATATTTGAGCAGCTCAAGGTAATCGGCAAGGGGAAGAAGCAATTTCTCGATAATTTGATGCAACTCAGCTGATTCGAACAGTTTTGATGCCAAGTGCTTCTTTCTCATATCACTGAACGATAACGTTATAGAAATCATAATGTTTGCACTTATTTTATCATATGGACTTTTAAAATCACAGTATCGAAGCGGTTAATGATGACAAAAACTCTTTGCGTGACCATTTCATGAACGCAAAAATACTCTAATTTTTTTCTGAGATCAATTTCTACAAATAAACCTATTTTTCGATTTCTTCTCCTACAAAACCTTCTCAGATCTTTACCTTATCGTGGGATGGAGCTTCAATGCCCCGTTATCTTCAACTAAACATCTTGTGAAATCGTACAAACTCAGTTCGCTAACCGAAGCAGTCCCACTTGAAAATTTGATCTTTGTCGACCTAGTTTCAGAAATCTGTCGTTTCGTATCCAAAATAGTCTTTACATCATCTTCAGCTTCATTTTTGAAAATGCAGGCTGGATCTACGACTGGTTCGGTTGCTTTTCCCGACATCGTTATCATCTTGTAAGCCCAGATCATCTTCGAGATTTTCTCATGCCAGAACTGAAACTCCTTAGTTTCTTTCTTCCCCGATAGGCTTTCATTTTTATTCTTCTCGGCAAAGAGCTCCAAGTACTTTTCAATATCATCAAGAGCAATTTTCTCCGAAGCAATGAGTTTTTCAATCGCTTGCCTTTGAGTATTCGAAAGTCGGAGGCGCTTGACAAGTGCGTTTACTTGTGACATTTCAATATCAGCACGTTTGAGCTGTTTACTCAGCTCGCGAAGGGTTGAAGTGTCTGCAAGTCTTGGAGAATTGTGATCGCTTAACGCCAAATGCAGCGGAATAACAATCCTCTTAAGTTCTCCTTCTGCTGTCATCACTGCAACTTGGTAATTGCTCGACGCCATTTGCTTCAAATTTGATCCGTTGACACCAATTTGATGCGAGTGAGAAAGAAGTATGGATCCTTTTCCAACATTCCATGATGCAACCCTTGGTCCGTAATGGACAGAAAACACCGACAAAACTCCCAAACGATCAAGCGTAACTAAAAACAGTGCGTTTCTCGCGCCATCTGAAGATCTGAGCCAACTCATCTGGCAATCGCGAACGCCCTTTATAATTCTGATCATCTTCATTGAATTAGTTTCGACTATCGATACTCTCCCAAGATTATCAGACACAGCAGCAAATGGTAAGCCGTACGGCGCGGGTTCTACTTTGACACCAGTTCGATTATTATCCAATAAAGTCGACCGTGGTTCGATTTCTGTACCCTTATCGATGACGACTTCAGGCTCGGGCTCTGGCTGAGAACCACCAAAAAACCAACCAGTAGATTTCTTCATTAGACTTTTTCCAATAGAAAGAGCGGATGTGATAGCAGATTGCTCGACTTGGTCAATATGATGGTAAAATTGTGCGAAATTCTTTCCCGAAGTAATATAAGAGTTGTAAGCGGGTATTCTCGCGGAGACTTTCTCATTCGGCCCGTATGCTGACGCGTTAACGTACTGTTCCCAACGTGTAATTGAGTATTTTCCAACAGAGGCGACGTCTGCGACTTGATTTTCTTGAGTGAATGTGTACTTTTTCGACTTGAGCGCGTTCAACTGCACTTGTTCCGGACTAACCCTCGCTACACGCAAAGTTTGATAAAGCTCCATTCCGTCAATTTCAATCACACAATCTTTGTGGCAAATGTAGAAGCTCGTTTCTGGCTGGGCACCTGAGAATCCTCTGAAACGGATTCTCTCAACAGGAGTAAGATGCAACTGATACTCGAGAATAATGACGCCTGTTTCTAGGTAGAATTTCACATGGCCAGATTCGAACCCAATGCAGATGATTGCAATTTCTGGCTGACCGCAGTCGGCTCGTTTTGTCGACATCATTGGGATGATGCAGACGTCTTTGATATCCCCATTTAGCGAGTTGATTTCGCTGCCAGGATTTAGAGTCATCATTTGGGGTTCGTCGGGCCGTTTCGGATCAGACACATATTTAGGAGTAAGGACAAGAGCTTTTCGTTTGTTCCATGCTACGCCCAAGTCAAAATAAGAGGAAAGACGTAGACCGATCTGCGAGAAATTAAGCTTTTCACTAGTAGTATCATCGGTAGAATCCTGCAAGTTAGACACAATACTCTCTTTTCCCAAATCGCTTATCCGACTGATTGTCTCAAGGCGAGAGGTCATTCTGAACAGGAATCGAGTGTGTTTATTTCTAGCTTTTTTCACATGTGGAAAGTGATCATTTTGAATTGAATGAAGTTCGCTCATATTTGCGAAAGTGTGTGTTACAAGCCAAAGTTCTCTACTTTGTCGTTTCCTCTTCCGGGCCATGCTTCTTTGCCATACTTTTTCGCTTTAGGAGTATCACTCTAAGTTTTTTATAAAAACAGGGAATACCCAGAATATCGAACCTCCTCTGCGTCGGAAGCCTTCACACCAGGATCGAAGAAACCAGCAGGAAGTTTCGCAATACTGTCAGGATCTGGTGCCGACGAAAGGGTCGATAATTCATCATACAGTTTTGGTTTCTTAGTTTGAGCAGGCTGAAGATGCATAAAAATCGAGTTTGCAAGTGCTTTTGAACCTGTGTTAATTGGGCGACAGGCGTAGCAACTGTGTGAGTTCTTGGAGGAGCATGACCCATTCCCATTTTGGCGGCGGCTGGGCCTTCTCTTTTGCGCTAGAATTCCATGAATACCTCTGCGATCGGTCGACTTATGATTACCTTGGAAGGAATAATTGTGACTTGGCAAACGTTTCTAAATTTTCCTATTGACGGATCAACGTCTTCGGGATTGATGACATCTTCTTCATTATTGAAAGTGACGCTTTTTCGTTTATTTTTCTTCACTGGGCCCTGCGGATCTTCTACCTTGAGCTCGGTGATCTTTTTATTTCTGGCAGTGTTGAGCTCTGTTAAATTATCTAATTCTTCTTCTTCTTCTGGCAGCGTTATCGACTTGTCCAATTCGTCTCCGGTTTCGTTTGGCTCTTGAAGCACGTAGTAGCGAGTAGAAGCACCCAAACGGACCTTCACTCCAAAAGGAAGCTGTTTTGGGACTTCTGGCTCCATTCTTAGAGGACCAAGAAATGTTCCATGAGCGGACTTGAGATCGATAATGTATGATTTCTTCAGGATTTTATGGTACGTCAGGGCGCAATGTGCTCGGCTTATTGAAGCATGCCCAGCAACAAAGTCGCACATTTCCGCATTTCGACCGAATAAATAAAACTTCTTCTCGTCTAAATATCAAAAATGACTTAATGCATTCATGATTTGCTTCTTACCTATCAGAAGTTTTTCAATAAGTTTGTCGTCCTTCATCACGTCAACATGTGTTCCTGGCGGAGCTTTGGCACACCAGCTAGGGAATTCATAATTTATCTTTACCGGTGCTCCGGCAGTGCCCGGTCTCGGTTTAACCATCATTCTGAATGTGCACTCGATTAGGTTTTGTTAAAATATCATTATTCATTCGCTCATGACATCCTCGTCCGCAACGATTTCGGAAGGAGCATTTTGCACCAATCGCTTTTGCTCCATCAAATAATTGATTGTCGCACAGTTAGAGTATGAGTTCATCAAGATCTTCTCTCGGTGTTGTCGGACTGCTCGCGCGGCCAGTCTTGCAGCGGCAACACCCTAGAATAAAAAAGTAAATCTTCAACGCTTATCAGTTCCAATACCTTTCGTTTCAAATAAGGATTCCTTGCAAAGTGCTTCAAGAGCGAAGCACACCAGGCAAGATAAATCTGCGCGTGCTTCGTCGTTTCCAATTCGCTAATAACGATACTCAAGAGAACAAAACGATTGGTCTTACTTTGCAATCCAAGACAAAAGTGGCAAACTAATATTATCCGGCAATGATCCGACTAATAATTCAATCGTATTCCTCGGTACACTTTCGACTGTTTGTCTGATCAAACTGTCTTTGTTGATCACCATAGCCATATTCAAAGCGGATCCATATTCACCAGTGTTCAAATTCTTGAGCACATTTCCCGGAGTAGCGGACTCGTTCAGAGGAAGGGATGCAAAAGTTCGTCGAGATTTAGAGTAGATTGAAATTCCTTCAGCCGTCGCGAGAGCGAATTCATTTCCAGTGGGCGAGAAATGGATACCTTGGCAAGCAATTGCTCCCTGAAAAACTTGCATAACACGTAAAGACGACAGTAAAATCAAACCTCGACACGCCTGACAGCTCTATCCTTCTTCTTTTGACCCGCAATTTTAACCTCATCAGAATCGTCAATGTCAGCAAGAGCGCCGAACTCAGTCATGGTGTCCCTCGTGCTCAAAAACTCTTGCAAGCCATCAATATTCAAGTTCTGCGAGAGAATGAAAGTCCCAACTACATGTCTCGCGCGTACACTGTACATAACAACCAAGAAGGACTTTCCTCCAGCAAGGAGGTATTCTCCATCACTCGAGTAGCACAGCTGGTTAAATCCTTGATCCGTCAATGTTTCAGCAGATACCCTAGAGTTCTTAGGGCGCCCAGCTCTCATGTCTCGTGATGCATCGATTTCAAACTGCATGGCAGAAGTTTTCGGGCACCAGAACATGAGCTTTCCAGCGAGATTTGAGGTACAAATTTGATCACCATCGGGTCGCCAAATGGCGGCTAACATATCTGATGGGCATTCAAAAGCCTCTCGATGGATTTTTTCTTGGTCCGTAAAGTCGGTTAGCATGGCGGATCCATCCCAAGAGCAAGAAAGCAGCCTTTAACGAGAGTAAGAAGATTAAGATATAATATTTGCTACCTGCAAGAAGTCGGGGAGAAGTTAACCGATACGACATCCGATTCATGATTGGAGAACTCATTCAACAAGCGGCCGGTTCTGATCGACCAAACAAAGACACATCCGTTGCCGCCGCCAGCAGCAGCAATCAGTTCTCCACCAGGATCAACAGTGACATCCTTGAGTCTCTGGGGCGTAGGGGTCACGAGTGTTCTGAAGTTCCTGTATCGTCTCAGATCATATGCTCGAACAGTGCCATCTTTGGAGCTAGTTGCAAGCGCGAAGCCTGATCGCATCCAAGCGATCCCCGAGACCTCAGATTCATGATCTTTGAATGTGACTTGGCAGAAGCCGCTGTTGGTGCTCCAGACTTTCACTGTTCCATCGGTTCCACCTGTCGCCAGTTTTGATCCGCAAGGGGAGTACGCAACGCAACTGACATTGTGTCCCTGATTTTGGCTCTGCAAAACGTAACTCTGTGTTCCCCATTCCCAAACAATAAGCTGATCTCCTCCACCAAGAGCAAGCCAATCACCTTTAGGTGAAATTTTTACCCTATAAAATCGTTAACGTGAAAAAGCATGCAAAAAGTGAGACCTTGACAAGTCGGCCGACAAATTTTCCATCGACAACTTTTGCACTTGAATGATGCTTCCATCTTCAGAAGCATCAACAGCCCAATTTATCTCCCAGATAGCAAACGTTCCATTTTCATGACCAACTGCGAGTATGTTGAGCTTTGCGTGATAGTCTGCTGCTGCAACTGGGGAGTGACGCTCTCCTTTCTGATTGACATAGTCTTTGAAAGTCCGTCTGTATTTGATGATTTCTAGCTCTTCTTCATCTGATGATTCTTCTCCGTCGTCTTCCTTCTTTTCTCCCACTTTAATTTTTGATGAAAATAAACAGCTGATAAATTTTAACCAGTTTACCTTCATCTGGCTTGTTTACATTCTCATCATCATCAACCTCCTGATCACCATCGTCATCTTCTATTTTAATCGTCTCTAATGCCACCCTAGCATGATCCTTCCATCTCTGAGGGGAAAACATCACCTTCCTCGTTGTTTTAAAGTCGTATTCAAGCTCATCTGGCTCGAAATCAGTCTGCCACATGCAAATCATTCCTTCTCTATCGATTGCCATAACATCCATGCCTGTCTTGCCGCCAACCCACGTGCCCATTATGTTTCCTCGGCAGCCGATAAGAGTCGTACAAGTTCGCATCTTGTGAATTTTAGGGATAGGATAGACCCTTACTTTCGTATCTTCAGAACCAAGGGCAACAACATCTGATTTTGCAGACCAGGAGATGTGTCTTACCGCTCCATAGGAGCCAATAAATGTTCTGAGAAGCTGCATCGGGTTGTACGAAGGCTCCTTCATCGGGCAGTAGTAGAGCTGTGCGATGTCACCTCGAGTCATCATTATTTTAGTACCACAAGGAGACCAAGAGACAGCGACTGGCGTTCCAGCGGATTTTGAGTGAACCGATGTCCGGCAGAGCACCCGTCCTGACTCAACAGAGGAGATAGACAGATGCATGCCATCTTCGAGGACGACGATGAATTTTCTGCATGGCTAAAGAGATACCTTTTAATCGGGTCTTCACATGCCATTATTACCGAAATAGAAACAGATACAATATCTGTCGTTGCCGGGCGAGTAGCGCGGGAAGAGTCGGCTGTAAGATCAACATAATTCAGCACAGCGCCTGTACCAGTTATCAAACTGCTTTCATTCCACTCGACAGGGCCGCCAGAGTACTGACTCGCTAGTAACAGCGAGAATTTGTACTCATGCGCCATTCTTTTGATTAATTTTATAAAAAAAAATACAACTTATTAGAACAATGATTTATTTAAAATAGGATAGGACTGTACATCACCAGATACGTACTTTGGAGTTGAAAGGAGTAAAGAGATAGGTAAAGAAGTATCAAAAAAGGAATAACTGATACCACAGTGAAATTTGCACAGTATATGAAGAAAGTATTGACTTGTTAGAATTGTTCTCAGCCGCAGTTGTAAGTTTTGGCCAGCTTATTATTGAATTATTGGCGAGACGAAATAAGCAGTGATCAAAAGCAATTTTGACAAAAGGAGCAGTTATTCAAAGGCGCGAGGATTAGGTCCAGCGGGATTGCGCTGATTTCTATATCGGATCGCTAGCCACACTCCGAACATTTCAGTGAAGGAGAAGATGAGAGCGACAAAGCCAGCGTTGTCAACTGCCGCGTCTGTTCTGTCGTTGATCTGAAAAATATCCAATAGCATCTGTGAGCTTCAATTTATTCCTACCACATCCTTGCAGAAAGCGTAGTCTTTTGTTGGATCTGAATCTGGCACTTTGATTCCATTATCCGCGCATTTCCATGGTTCGTCCTAAATTTCCGCAGTCAAATACTCTCTAGTACTTCTTTCATATTACCGTCCATTTCGCCTCGTAGTCAGAACGATCAAATCCGCAGCAATCAAGTTGCTTCATTGCGTCTTGCTTCATCGTATCAGGCACTGTATTCCATGCTTTTTCAATTACAGCTAACTAAAAAATATTAAAGATATTTGTCTTGAAGATAGGCATTTTACCTGCTGAGTATGAGAAAGGGCCAGACAGGCGATAGAAACAGAAAATTCGACGATAAAGAGAATGAATAGTATGACAACATAGAAGAATAATCCGACCTAAAACCCATTGCTAGAGAATGAACTTTAATTTAGCCTAACTTGATGATGTTTCACTGTAGCAAATATGCCCAAAAATGAAACGAGGAATAAGAAGATGCCAACAGCAAGAATACCTAAACCAGTAAATTTCATATATCAAAACAGGCAAGTACCTCCAACTACTGGCGGAGCAGTAATTATTCCAACATGGTTAGCATATCCAGCTAGAGACATCAGCACGATCGAGATTATCATATAAAGCACATTCAAACTGAGCAGGCTCAGCCTTGAGCAGTGAAAACCACCCGCGCACATTCTAAAATAACCTTTTTTCATTCCAAAGAAATGGACCTCTTTCGATATATTTTACAAGAAAAACTTTTTCTTTGAGTAACCATGGCCTTCGGTGTCCATCTCTTTTCTTCTATGTTCGTATTCAAACTCGCCGTATTTTGAGTCAAAAGTGCCTTTTTGTAACGATCTCAGCTTTAAAGTAAATCGTGGTCCAAGCTCTTTCAGTCCCGCTCGCTTCTCGCTCCTATGGAACCAATAAATATAATTTTAATCCAAAAAAGCGAACCTGAATATGTATCTGTGCTGTCTGAAGAAAATGTAATCCCGCTGATTGTGGAATGTGACAACTTGGCGGCCTTCAAACTCAGGCACTTGCGGGAATAGAGCTGCGAACATTCGACCGATTCTTCTTCCTAATCGCGTTTTGAAGTTGTTCAAAATCAATTCTGGCAAATGTGACGTCGGCGTGTCTCCTCCCTTCGTCTTTTCACGAAGCCGCACCGAGCTCATTTTAAAATGCGCCGTCGGACCTCCAGGGAGATAGATGATTTTTAAATCATTCGGAATCCATTTTCGATCTGCGGAGACAACCAGCATCGCCGTGAAGCCCTTTTTGATTGCTTGCGGAATGATCTTTTTGAGAGCAAAGCCCTGACGGAAGAAGAACTGAGAGTTGGGGATGGTTTTCAACAGCTCGTGGCACATTTTGACCATGGGTCCTTTTGGCGCGTTGCGAGTCATGATGAGGATTTTTGGAACAGTGCCGTTATTGAAATAATCCGAGAGCTCGTCGTTTTGTTCTTCCCAATCAACCTCTGAAACCTTATTCAAACTGTGCACTCAGAATTATAGTTTACCAGCATCATCAGGCTCAACAGTCGTTTCATCAAACTTTCTCATCGATTCGATCGTTTTCTTCTCCTCGGCCTTTTCTCCCGATTCTAGTCGAGCCAATTTTCTTTGCTTTCGTTCTTTCATTTTTTGCTATAATTTTATGAACACTTGATGAACATGTTAGCCAACAAACCCTTCGTTTTTGCCGCAATAGATTCAAATACATGTCTGTTCGTTTCTGTTTATGTTTGATATCTCGGAGTTTACTCATGTCAGGCCCACTCTTCGGCCCTTCTGGATTCGGCTCTAGTTCCTTTTCATCTTCTTTGAAAATTCCACCACTGGTGATAGTTGATCCCGAAGACAGCATCGACAAACGCGAAACCGTAGAAATATTCGATCCTACTGAGTAGCTCGAAGATACTGTATCTGTCGTAGATTCGGAATCAGTGCGGAATCTTCGAGGGACGTTTTCGAAGTCTTCTCCCTCTAAAGAAGTCATGATTATGATCAAAGTCCGAGAGTTGTCTTACCATCTGAGTCCATACTGGCATCACTCGCAGCATCGTCATTATCTGGGAGTGGTGCCTTGAAATCGCCTTCATCATTCTCCTCGACAAGTTCGCATAGTTCGAAATCCTCGTCCTCCATCTTAGAACTTCTAGATGATAATATGCATGCGTGTTATAAACCATATTGCAACTCCAACGGAGACAAAAATGTTTTTCGAATCGTGTAAATTTATTGCATGATAAATAATGGACATAAGAAGTTTAAGGTATAAGACGACGCAGTACATGTTGAATATATTTTAAATATGGGAGGGTTTTTTGGTATTTCCTTTGCAGTCACTCTTGCTCCATGCAGTTTTAACTTTTAAATGAAATAGCATGGATGAGAATATTTCTTTATTGATAAATTAGAGGATAACTTTAATAACTATTTATTGCTGTAACCCGGATAGAAATCATGTATTTTTTCAGCGGGACTCAAGTAAAGAAGGAACAAAAAGGTGAGAAATTTGAATGAAAAGAATAGAGATTGAAGAAAATTCTGAATAAAGAAAGTCTAGATATTCTAGATATCGATCAGTGAGTTGAACTTTGTGGAGAGGTCTTCGTTCAGTTTTTCAAAGTGAGCTTTGATGTCTGCTTCGCCGTCCGCGACTGGGTCTGAATTGAAAATTGCGACTGGAACTTGCGATAAATAGGTTTACCTTTGAATTTCATTGAAGACAAACTATGCATCAGAGGACCACAGGCCTCTCTGATAACGTTCCAGGTGACTTTATTTTCACTTTCGGCAGTATTTTCAACAGCATTTCTGGCCAAATCGTAGAAGTGAATCATATTCTACAGAATTTGAGAGAGCTTGATGGGATTAACAATGCATACCTTCATCATGCCAACAGTTTTATAAAATGGACAATATCTATCGTAAGGGGAATAACCGTTCTGCTGAAGGAAATCATCTTTAATCAAACGAGCCACTTCGAGTGTAATTTTATCAGTTTCAGCGAGCGATCCTTAAAATCATATAAAGCGCTTGAACCAGAAAAGAATACCTTTTCCGACGAGTTGGACGATTTCTTGAAGATCCTCTTCTTCCTGAAGAATTTCCTTGAACTTTGTTCTCAGGGGCTGGAATTCAGGGAAGTTGTTGTCGTAGTATTCCTCCAAGGCGCGCTCGTATTTCGAATATGACGAAGACCAATTGACTGATGGGAAGTGCTTTCTTTGGGCGAGCTTTTTATCTAAGCCCCAGAAGACTTGAACGATACCCAGAGTGGCAGTAGTAACTGGATCAGAGAAATCACCACCGGGAGGCGAGACAGCTCCGACGATGGAGACAGATCCAAGTCTATTGCAATCGTTAGAAAACATCATTTCAAATCCAACTAACCTGGCGGGAGTTCCAAGAGCATCAATCTTTCCAGCGCGCTCGTAGAAGGAGGCAAGTCGCGCACCAAGATAAGCAGGGTAACCAGAATCAGCGGGCATTTCGGCCAATCGGCCGGAGATTTCTCGAAGAGCTTCGGCCCATCGGGAAGTGGAGTCGGCCATCATCGAAACGTTGTAGCCCTGATCTCGGAAGTACTCGGACAAAGTGATTCCAGTGTAGATTGAGGCTTCTCGGGCGGCGACAGGCATGTTAGAGGTGTTTGCAACAAGAGCGGTTCGTTTCATGATGGTTTCCTAACGAATATATAGAGAAAATATGAAGCGAGCACCATTGGTATTACCTTTCGGCCATCGATTTCGACTTCTAACTCAGGGAAATCACGGAGTACTTCTGCCATCTCGTTTCCACGCTCGCCGCAACCAACGTAAATGATGATGTCAGAATTGGAAAACTTGGACAAAGACTGCGAGATGACCGTTTTGCCACAGCCAAAAGCACCAGGAATTGCAGTCGTGCCACCTAGAAAAATAGCTGATTCTGTGATTAACGTTAGAATGCTAACCTTGGACACATGGGAAGAGGGCATCAAGAACGCGTTGGCCAGTAAGGAGAGGATGATCTGAGGGCAATTTATCCGAAACTGGTCGAGGAGTTCGTACGGGCCACTTTTGAACCATCGTAAAGGCAGTTTCCTCGCCATTGAATGATAATTTTAACACAGTTTCATCATTTGTGTAGTTGCCAGCGGGTGCAATAAAGGTAACTTCTCCTTTCGCCTATATACCGATAGAAATCGTGAAATTAAGAACTTTTACCTTAGGTTCGACCATGAGCCTATGTTCAATCAGAGAGTTTTCTTTTACAACTGCATAAATGTCACCACCAGTGAGTCTCGATCCGACCTGTACGCCGGGGGCAGGTGTGAAGGACCATTTAGTCTCACGATTGAGAGCATTGATTGTGATACCGCGGGGAATGTAGATGGACTGTGTCATATCTTCAATATCTTTGAGGGGGCGCTGGAATAGAATTAAAAACTAGATAATTCTAAAGAAAGAGAACCTGAATTCCATCAAAAATAGAGCCAAGAATACCCGGTCCAAGCTCAACAGAAAGTGGAGAGCCTGTTCGCTCGACTGGATCGCCAACAGACACACCCGATGTTTCCTCGTAGCACTAGAATAATCGATAAAATACAACATGATCAAATCGTTCCCCTACCTGGATGGTGGCTTTGTTGCCTTCCAATCGGATAATCTCGCCGACTAATTTGTCATGCCCAACTCTGACCAACTCATACATGGCAGCACCGGCCATTTGATCGGCGATAACTACAGGTCCGGAGACACCATGGACTGTTCCGACCATGTTATCATCGGCTGCGATGTTGCCCTGTGCATACGGGGCCATTTTCTCTGAAGATCAATGTGTATTAGAAAAGAAAGGTTTTCAAAATTTCAATTTTCCAGAGAATCAAGAGACAAACATAGATAGCTTTGGTGGGCGTTTTTCTTCACACATTTCTCTCTTCTCTGGTTCGTGGCAGTTTACAGTTTACAAGTTGTCCAAAGAAAATTAGTCTAAAGAGGAAGGGAATTCGTCATCGCGAGCTCAGTATTTGCGTTTGACACTTTTCGCTCCATTCTCCGCGCTCGTCGGATTCCCACTTGGTGGAGGTGGAGGTGGCGGGCCAAGAACGTCAACTTCCATTTTACGCTTGAGTCCCTTCACTTTTGGCCGGCGGACCCATATTTGAATGAAGGCTTCTGATAGAGGGATCATCTCTGGCAATGCATCGCTTACAACAAGATCCTAAAATATAGTTGACAAAGATTAAATGCAAGAATTTTTACCTGAATCTCTTTCCACATATTTGTAAGTTTATGATTGACATGAATTCTGTAAGAACCATCTTTTGGCTCTCCATCGTGGACGATATTCGCCACCAAATCAAAAATCTCTTGTCCATCATCCTCTAAAAGCCGGGTGAAAATCAATTTCAATCCGTGTGGATGTTCGATCTATCGATAATTGACAACAATCTACTACTCACCCAAGCAATACGGCCCCATATCCAAGCTACTGACAGGATATTGCACAATAGTCGGATTTTTCTCCACGAAAAATTGTTTTTCGTAAATCGCTGAATTTGAAAAATGAGCACGTCTGGGAGCCGGACGACTCTGAAGCGCTTGAGTAGAGGGTCTCGTCGTTCTTCGCCTTTTAATTTGTATTCTTTCTCTTGGTTTCCGTTGAACTTCTCGAGCAGCGTGTTAATATGAACCTAGAAAATGTAAGAAAATGAGCATTTAAGAGTTAGATACTTGAGGAATTGGGATTTGCTTGTGCGGGTCGACAAAAAGCGGCTTTGGGGGCAAATCAAGCAGCAAAAACATAAATTTCTGTCTTTCAGAAACACCCTCAAGTTTGTATTTCGGCAGTTGAAGCAACTTTTTCTTCTCCTCCTCCGGCAATTCGGGATTAGGAATTCTTCGCGAGGTCACTTCGATTTCGCCTGAAATGCATCAATTTTAATATATTTAGCCCTGCGAATGGATTACCTTCGAAAATGCTTCGAACAAATGAGCTTTCTTTGTTCTTCTCATATTTTTTCATGACTTTATCCAAGCTATTGAGGAACCAGGTGAGAAATTCTCCAGCATTTCCTCGCTCGGTGAATTGGAATCGCCCTTTTGACCAGAGTTCGAAATTTTTGCGGCTCCCGGGCAAGGGGGCGGCGGGCGGGCGGGCACGGGCAGAATATTTAAGATTCCCGGGGGCAATAACGGTCACGGGCACAAAAACGAATTTTCCCGCGAGCCAAGCGGGCACGGGCACTATAACAAATTTTCCCGCGGGCAGATACGGGCACGGGCATGAATGAGAAGATTCCCGCGGGCATAAACGGGCACGGGCGGTTTGCCCGCGTTCCCGCACGAAATATTCCCGAGGGCAGCCCGGGGGAACATTTTTTTCTACTGCTAAATCTCAAGCCTATTTTTCAAAATAATAAAAACGACCCTGAATCAATTCGGATTTTTAAATCGCAAGTTTTAGGATCTAGTTAAAAACTACGACCGAATGGTCTCCGTTTCCCCAAGTTGGACAAACGGCGACTTGGGCAAACGGCGATGTGAATTAATGATGATTGATCATATAACTTTGTTGTATTGGCTTCTCCACAGTCAATCCCGGCTTCACCAACTTCAGTCCCGGCTTCAACAACTTCGATTCAAGCTTTTCAGACGTCAATCTTGGTGGCTCAAACTTGAATCCAGCGTCAATCCCGGCTTCTTCAATGCTGATCCGGGCGTCACTTACTTCAATCCAAGCTTCTCAAACGTCACTCCCGGCTTCTCAGTTGTCAATCATCGCTTCTCGAATGTCGATCATGGCTTCTTCAAGATAAAATTGGCGTTGAAAAAGCCAAGATGGAGATGGATGAAGCCGGGATCGACGTAGGAGAAGTCGGGATCGACGATGGAGAAATCGGGATTGACGTCGAAGAACCCGGGATGGACATTGGAGAAGCCATATTTGAAGTCGGTGAAGCGAGAATTGGCGATGGAGAAGCCATAATTGATATAGTGTCGATGATATTGGAGAAAACATGATTGATGTTGGTGAAGCCATGATTGGCGTTGAAGAAGCCAGGATTGACATTAAAAAAGCCAAATACAGCCGGAGTCCAAAATAAGGGACACCAAGATAAGGGACTTTTTGGCTCGAAACGCCGAAAATCTGCGCCCCGTTTTGTATGTTTCTAATGTTAAATTGAACCAATTTAAGGGACTTTTTTTCGAAAATTCGGGACCGAAAAAAGTCCCTTATTTTGGACTCCGGCTGTAATGTCTAATGATCAATTAATATAAACTTTTTTCAGATCGCCGTTTGCCCAAGATCTCCGTTTCTCCAAGTTGGGCAAACGGCGATTTGGGAAAACGGCGACTTGGATGCAGCATGCACAATGTGCATTGTACATTAGGGCTCGCCAAAAAAAAAGGTTAACGAAGTTTTCCAGCCCACTTCCGCCTTATAGACCCCCGAACACCATACTTTTTTAGAATCAGCAGAAAATTTCAAAAACTTTGACGGTTCTAGAGAACTCTACTTCCGGTCAATTCTAGAGCCGGAAGTTGACGAAATTTAGTTAAAATGGTAGAGTGTGACCTATCAAATTGATGCTCAGAACTTCTGACTAAAATCAATATTTCAGAAGAAACAGTCCCAAACCTGGTCAAACCAACCGTTAAAATTATGTAAAAAAGGCATAAAGTGATGAATTTTTTTTTCACTTTTTTCCGGTTTAGTTTACCGCGGTTGGTCTTGATTCTTGGTCTAAAATGATAGGAAATCGTCTGAGCATCAATTTGATAGGTCACACTTCACCATAACACCTAAATTACGTCAACTTCCGGCTCTAGAACCGACCGGAAGTGGAGTTTTCTAGAATTTTGAACCGTTAAAGTTCTTAAAATTTTCTGTTGATTAGTAAAGGTATAATGTTCGGGGGTCTACAAGGCGGAAATGGGCTGGAAAACTTCGTTAACCTTAAAAATAGCACGTCATAACAGTTCTGTATGCAGATTAGTTTTCAATATACTCCCTCAAGTATTTGGTGTCTATTTCCACGCTATTTAAATAGTTTAAACACTTTTTCATAAGGTGTATTGAATCTGCCCGTGCCCGTTTAAGGGTAGAACATGAAATCGGCGCGCGGCGCCTCGCTCGCCCAGCGCCGCGCCGTGCCCTACTTTTCAGAATGCCCTAAAATCGGAACGGATAAAGCTTTTTCAAAAATTTCTTCGGATTTCAGATAATCAAAGCCTTTACTTTTCACAGATCAAAAATCAGCAGAATCGCCAAAGAATTAGTCGGAGAAAATGACATGAGTTGGTTAAACTCTATCTCCTCTCGCAATTCTTATCCGATTTTTTTCAAATTTAGATAGATCGAAAGTGCTCCGTTAGACCTAAAAATTCGTAGTCTCAGAATTAATTTTGAAGCTTCCTAAAGTTCCACACGGCTTCTCAAAACAAGTGCTTTCACGCCGCGCCGCTTCTTCTCTCACGCAGCGCGCCTCACGACGGTGCAGCTCTCATTTCAAAAGCTCATATAAAATTCCATAAAGCTCCAAAATTAATTCTGAGACAACGAAATTTTAGGTCAAACGGAGCACTTTCGACCTATCTAAGTTTGAAAAAAATCGGATAAGAATTGTGAGAGGAGATAGAGTTTAACCAACTCGTGTCATTTTCTCCGACTTATTCTTTGACGATTCTGCTGATTTTTGATCTGTGAAAAGTAAAAGCTTTGATTACCTGAAATCCGAAGAAATTTTTGAAAAAGCTTTATCCGTTCCGATTTAAGGGCATTCTGAAAAGTAGGGCACGGCGCGGCGCTGGGCGAGCGAGGCGCCGCGCGCCGATTTCATGTTCTACCCTTAAGCTCGCGGGCATCTTGCCCGTGCCCGAATTTGCCCGCGGGAATATTTTTTATTGTGCCCGTGCCCGCTTGGCCCGCGGGAAAATTCGTTTTTTTGCCCGTGACCGCTTTTGCCCTCGGGAATCTTCACTTTCTTGCCCGTGCCCGTATCTTCCCCCGGGCAAACGCGGGATTTCGAACTCTGCTTTTGACTCGATCACCACGCTTTGTAAGAACTCGTGCGGCGAGATATGCGGCCGATAGTGGTGCTTCTTCCACAGCTTTCGCAACAGCTCCCCTGGGAAGCAAAATATTTATTTATTCATTTCTCGGAGGCGATCCAATTGAAAAATGATCTCTTTAACACTCACCTAATCGCCGAAGCATGATCCTGTCACTTGTTTGTTTATTGCCGGCGAAGGTTCTGACGAGGAAATGATTTCTGAACTGAGGAACTTGAGCCAATCCTTGGATGACTACGTTTATGTAGTCGTTATGCTTGATGTTGTTCATTCCTATCAGACCAAGCCAGTATTTTGACCCGTCTGTCGCCAATTTTTGTGGCATTCGTTCTTCAATCTACGATCATTTTTAAGAATCACGGGAAGATAAAAATAAGGGTAAACTACCTCTTCATAATAATTGATTTCCTTCAAATCTTCCGGAGTAAAATTCGGATTCAATTGGTAAAGAATATCGTCGAGTGAAGGATCGATGATCTCATAGTTGTCTGGCAGACAGTAGAATTTCGCGTTGTGAAGATTCAGGTAGACATAATGCTTGCAATCAAGAGCATGGAGATACGCGTGTGTTCCCTTTCCTCGCCCTTGGAAATACTTCGAGCAGACCAGGCAGCAGTAGACGTTGTTATGCGATAAAGAGACACTAGGGACAATAATAACGGTTAATAATGATAAGTTTTCTTACGAGCAAAGCTTCTCAAAGTCGAAATCAAGGACTTCTCTGTGGATTGTATCCAAATATGGGCATTTTATATTTTCTTTTTCGACATCGCTCTTCTTCGTCTCCGATTTACCCTCTTCGCCCTCTACTTCTTCCTCCTCTTTTCTGAGTTGGGCGATGAGCACCGCTCGCTCATTCCTTCTCTTCTGTTCCTTCGAGATCAAAGTCTGCACGATCGCCTCCTTATCCAGCGAATCCTCATCATTCAACGATGATTTTCTTTCACTTCCACCGACATCGACAAAAACTGAGCCTCTCCGAACCGATTTTATAGACTCCCGTCGAATCATTTTTTTCGAACAACGATTTCTAATAATAGCATTTTCAAGTTATTTATTATTTTTTATTTTGAAGTCTTTGTGGTTGTTTTTTTCTGGGCAGTCTTGAATTCCAACGACAAACAATAAAAATCAAACAGCAGTGTATGTTAAAATTTGTTCTAACAAATCGGGCTTAGCCGAAAAGCTTTCCGGCGTATTTCTTCTTTTCATCTTCTTTTTGCTTCTTGCGACGATCGGAGCAGATTTTGATGTTCTTGCTTGCCGTTTTGTTTTCCTTAGAAATAAGATTTATTAATAGGAAATAGGCAAAACCTCACCTTGTTGATTTCAACAACTTTCTTGAAATCACTTATCGCGAGTTCGAGGTCGTTTCCGGCCATTCTTGCAGTTCCTCTTCGGAAGAAAGCTTTTTCATTCTCTGGATCGATGGCAATCGCATCATTGGCGGCGGAGATGGCCTTGTAGTTTTCTTGAATCTTTGGATAGACTAAGCTCAAGTTCAAGTAAGCTGCGAGTTTCAGCGCACGGAACTTGCCCGAAATTTCGTCAAACTTTTCACTGTTGTTCTAAATAACAAGGTGGACTCATTTTCGAACAGCTTTATTTCAACCTTTGTTTCTTGATGATCCAAAAGCGTAATAACGCGGTTGTAATGCTTGATTGCCAAGTCAAACTTCTGATCCTTGAGTCTTTCCGTTCCCTTCGACTTTGCTAGCTCAGCCTAAATTTTTCGAGTCTAGGATTTGAAAATTGATTTCGGGAGAAACCTGATCAATCTTCGTTTCGTCGTCCATTTCCCAAGGCTCCTGAACCTTCTCGAACTGAACCAATTCCAGTTCGTATTCATATTCGCCAAGATCATGAAGCCCTAGCGCATTTTTACATTCGGGCTTCAAATCCGCCTACAAAAAAAAATTGAAAACAGCGGATTCGAGAAGCGGATGTACCTGGCCAGAGAGCGTCAGTCTCGCTACATCCCCTCTGTTCATCTTTTTGATAGCATGGTCTATTCCAACTGGCAAATTTGCGAGTTCAGCTTCGCCAACTCGGAAGTTTATCTTCCCATAATCATGAACGACTTCGTCCAAGTTGCTCTTCAAAATTCGACATTTCACGGTCGCCTCGGCGGTATCCACGACATTTCCCCAGCTCTCCTTGCCTTTCTTGACAAAGGTTCGGAGAATGGAGCCGTCAGTGTTCTCGGAAATATCTTCCGCCTTCCACGTGATCAACTCAATGTCGAAAGTCAACGTCGCATTTGGAGGGATTTTAGGCGGACTTCCTGCATCACTAAAGCCATCATTCGGATGTTTGAACATGGCGATTTGGACCTACCCGTAAGCGTACTCAGGTCGAAGAGTAAACACACTGCGCTCCCCTTTCTTCATCGTCTTCACACCCTCATCCCATCCCTTGATGACCTGTCCCTGCCCAAGCGTGAATTTAAAAACACCCCGGCCTCTCGATGAGTCGAACTGACTTCCATCGCTCAATGTTCCAGTGTAATGAACGGTAACCTTCAAAAAGATCACAAACAAACGCCAGAAAGGATAGAACCTCAGATCCAAAGGAAGGCGTAGCGGTGCCGAGACCTTCGGTAAGGACAGCCTTCAAGATTCCGCCGTCTTGGGCGACAGATACGTCCACTCCGGTCATTTACGAATGCAGTCTAATACAGAACACTCTTCATTGATAATTTATAAAATGACAAGAAAATAGTGGTTCTCGTAAAAATCGAGAAGCCGCTTGCGGTTTCGATCAAGAACATATAAAAAGTCTTGTCTTTTTTTCCCGAAGGCACAAGTGGGTTCTCGTGGAGTATTTATGAAAGAAAGAACACATGTTTTTGAAAAGAAAGAAGTCTTTAGAAACTTCGATATTTTCAAAATGATATTTTTTTCTACTTCGCATCCATGGTATATTTGTTGCCAGATAGCGTCGCAGTGGAATAATCTTCTGTAAATCGCCGTTTACTTGAGTGGGACGAATCGAGAAGAGTGGGTGGCACCGATACCGGGTCGACCGTGTCGAACTGGCTTGTAGGACATGGAGAATTCGGCGAGGTAGTAGCCAATCATTTCGGGCTTGATTTCGACCTGGTTGAAGACTGAAAACTACAAGTTGAGTTCAAACGGAATTTATTTTGAAAAAATGTTGTAATTTTTTCTACCTTTTCCGTTGTAGATACCGACGATGGCACCGACCATCTCAGGGATGACGATGACGGATCGGAGGTGGGTCTTGACGCAGGCGGGCTTGGCACCGGGCTCGTTGGGGTCGACGGCTCGCTTGGACTGAAAAGGGATGGTTCAGGAGAAAATTCAAAATGAGGTTTATTTAAGATTTTGGATAAAATCACATAAAAGATAGAAAAATAATCTATTCTAAATTTTTCAATAATAAACAAGAAAATCGAATCTTTTCTTTTTTGAATAATGAAGAAATCGACGATTCTTCCTGTAACTTACAGCTCGGAGTCGCTTGAGGAGGTTTTCCTCTCGGCGCTTGATGCCTCGGGCGTAGTGTCGTCGCTGTCGGCAGCCGAGGAGCTCGACGAGGTTCTCGGTCTTGAGGTTCAAGAGCTGGTCGAGATCGACGCCTCGGAAGGTGTACTTCTTGAAGGTTCGCTTCTTTTTGATCTGCACCTCCGCCATGGCGAGTTTTTCTGTCCGTTCAACAAGTCTAGACGAATCATCCAATTAAAATTATAAATTGTTCATTTGAAACAATCCCGTAGAAGCAAACCAAAAAATATTACATGAATGAAAGTTCAAAAGCGAGGAGGTCATAATTGTTCACGTATACTTATTCAAATATGCGAAGAGTAAGAATTATCGGGAAATATTGATAACCGACGGTCTTACGGTTGTCAATCAAGCACTGGAAGAGCTATCGAGTACACAAAAAATCGAGAAATAATATAATTTCTGCAAGAATCGTAGTGAAATTTTAATTAATGATAAAAAAAACTGAAAATCCTTTAGATTGCGTGTTATGTATAAATATCATAAACGAAATTTTCCTTTTTTTGAGTCATTTTTGACGCTAAAAAGTAAAACAACTGTAATTGGTAGAAAGCGAAGAATCAGCTGTCTCTGAGTAATATAGATCTTCTTATGAAATCTCTAGAATGCCTCCCAGATGGGAGAAAAGGGAAGGGAAAAAGAGGAAAATCGTGAAGAATCTTCATCTTTTGCTTGGTGGAGAGAGCGGCGGCCAATCAGCGCGGTGCGGACTGTGTGGGCGGCTTTTCGACAGCGCCTATTGGCAAGGCGCGCTCTGTCACGGCCAAAGAAATCGACGATTTCTCGTAAAAATTCAAGAATTTCACTAGAAACTCGATACGTCAGAGTGTTGGAGAGGCAGTTCCTTATCGAAAGTTGTTGAATTTGCATTGAAAGCAGTAGATTTGGCATAAGAACTAACCTAATCGTATTATTCGCCACTCTTCGGTTGTCTTTCTGAATAAGGAATGCCTGTTAGAAATCTTCGAAAGCACAATATTAACAGTTAAATTTTATCTGTCGAGCTATATGATAAATGGTATTGGCTTGTTTGCTCCTCGTCTCTCAATGCTGAAATCGATAGAACTGACGATGCTGATTGATATACAGATGTAACCTACTGAAGGAGAATCACTAGGACCGCAGGAGATCCAGTGGATTTTTTCTGTAGGAGAAAGTCAATGAGTCAACGACAATCATCAGTTTTGTTTGTTTACAATCTTTGGACGCTCTGAATGTAGGTTACTTGTCGGAAACAATCATCGACTGGATGATAAATGTTATCCTCCTGCAATATTCAATTTCTCGCATGTTCTCACGTGTTTGAACTTGATGCCAGCTCAAAAACGGACGACAGCTCATTGCTCGATTGAAGAACGAGGAGAACGGTATATCAAGACGGTTACAACTAACCCGTGAATATTAATGCATGACGTCCTATAAAAGCGGTGTATCGAAGAATCGACAATTGCGACATTTGATGCAAAAAAATGTTTAAAAAAATAATTCTTCTCTGTGCGCTTTTTCAACTAGCAGAGAGCGGGCTTGCGTTTGAAGGCTGTAAGTAAAGAGCTCTGTGGAATACGAATATGTTTTTTCTTCTAGTGTTCAATGAAAATGCCTTCGATCAGATGATGCACGGTTTCATTGGGAAACAAAATCCTTGGGATGATGAAGATTGGGGGCGAAATTGGGGAAGTGTCAAAAGTTTAAAGTGATTTTGCCGAAAAAAGTTAATAAAATCAACATTTTTATCGAAAAGATTCGTTTTCAGTGAAAAAGTGTATTGATCTTGAAGAAAGTTGAACTTGAAAAAGAAGTAAAGTAAGCAGAGTATTCAGAAAAGTTTACAGAGAGTGGAAATGTCAAGGCGAAAAGCGGGATTCTTGTGGAAGATTCGATCGAAGAGAGTTTTCAAATCTTCGCTAAGATGATTTTCGCCGATAAAATTTCGGCAAACTTGACCGTTTTCGACTCTCCATGATCCAGTGAGCATAATGTACAGGAGAGCACCTAGGGCCCAGCAGTCGGCTGCTTCGGTTGAAGAAACTCCATTGGCAAAGATTTCTGGTGCCCAGTAGTCTGGAGTTCCTCGCGGAGTCGATCTCTCAGAGATCTTTGAGGCGCAGCCGAAGTCGATGATGAAGACCTGGAGGGTTTCTGGGTCAATGAGGATGTTTTCGTCCTTGATATCACGATGGGAGATGCCGACTGAGGCCATTTCTTGGACGGCTTCGACTACTTGCTTGAAAATGAAGAGAGCTGCTTCTTCTGAAAGAGCACCATGTTGACGATTGAATTCGAAAAGATCAGTGACGTTTTCCATCTTCTCCATGATGATGACGAAGGAAGATTTGCGTTCGAAGAAGTCGATTGGCTGGACGACGGCTTCGCAAGCTTCGGCGGCTTTGAACTGGAAGTAGATTTCTGAAGGGATTTGTCGACCGTCCATGACGATGTATTCGGAAACGGAAGTCTTCGGGATCTGTTTGACGATGACTGCTTCTCCAGTGGAAAGGTCGAAGCCCGAGTATACGATTCCATTCGCAGACTTGATGATTTCTTCTTCGATTGAGAAACTTTTGGCGAATCGTTTAGTATCGGCGGCGATGATTTCAAGGTTGTTGAAGGAACATTCTTCTTCGGAGGTGTATCCGGATTCGATGGAGTGCTGAGACATTTTTTTGAGTTTTGGATTGTTTGTTTGTGTGATATGCAATCGTAAAACGGAGATTGATTATATAGTTCAGCAGGTGAGGGCGCCAGAGTAAGCTGGTGGCAATCAGGTCAACCCAGGTGAACAATTAGGTCAAAGCGCCTATTCCGGGAAGCGAAACTGATGACCAGATGCCCTAATTTTGCGCTTTCTCTCGCGGTTTAGTCTTTTTGAACTTGACCTGTTTTCTTTGTTCTATGCATGTTAACATTGTTCAGGGTTTTCAATATACAAGCTTGGCCTCTTTTTTTAGTCAAAAATTTTGACTCAGAAACTAACATTTCAGCTGAATTACAGAATTTGACCTCCGTTATGTCAATCTAACGTGAAACTTCCAGCATATTTCAGGAGAAACGATGCTTCAATTTATTGATTGAAAACTTTTTTTAAACTTGCGTTCGTAACATGTCTTTCCCTATTCTCTTTACAAAGATGCCAGAGTCCACTTTTCTTTATTTCTGGCAGAATTTGTTCAATCAAATTGATCGAAATGAAGCAACAGAGAATGAGATTATTGCGTTGTCTCCTGCCAGATATCTTCTTTTTGATTCAATTGTGGCCAAAGAATCAACGGAGAAAATCTCTGCTTCTTTGGATTTGTATAAAAATGTCAATCAGATGATTGAATCTTTGACCCTGAGTAGAGAGAAGAAAGATCTCTTCGACAATTTTACAAAGCTTGAATACGAACTGTTCAACTTGGACAACATCGAAGACTTGACTTACATTCCTGGTGGTTATGCTGGACTCTACCTAGCCGTAAATATGCGAAATAAGCCGACGGAATTTTTGCCAAAGCAAGTTGATGAAAGACTTTTGGAAGCTCTCATGAATGTGGACATCGAGAGAGGAACTCCTGCTAGCCATATTTTTGTGGTTGCAGCCTTCAATCATCATTTTGATCTTTTAACAAGCTCCTTTTGGGATAAATGTAAGTACAGAACGTTGAATTTTACTCATCAATTTTTCAGTTTCCATCGACTGGAGCTATACTATTGGTCAGCATACCGTATTTATGGCTCCAAACGAATTTGTTCGCCGTATTCTTGTCAACAATCCGTATTCAAAGGAAGATATTTACCAATTGGTTCATACAATGGACGACACGTTTTGCTTTCTGATAGATCGAATGCTCGAAACTGTTCCTCGCTCGCGGGTGTGCGAGATAATTTCGAAGCCAAATCATGTGGGACTCACAAGCGTATTTTACGCTAGCAGGATGTGCTATCGTTTTACGAAAATGCTCCTTGATCGGTTACCTGAGCTCGAATTTAATCAAACTTGCTTCTTTGGAAACACTGTTGGACTTGTTTTTACGCCACTTATTGGCCGTATTCTTGAGAGAGGCATGAATCCCTTTATCGTGCCAAAATACCGCAGAGTAGTGGAAAACTTCAACTTCGAAATTAAAAAGTCAATGTTCGAAAAATACCCAGAGCTGAAAGATATTCAAATTTCGACGGAAAAGTATTTCCTATCGAGCCAATACGATCTTTTCAAGAAAGAAGTTCATGAGCAAGCTGATATGAAGACGCTCGAACAAAATTGGGTGACGGGTTATGATGATAATGAATTGCCTCTAACAACGTTTTACTCTTCCTGGTACGATATTGATGGCCCGGAACCGACGCAAAGGATAAAGTCAATGCGTTATTTTCCTGGAAAACTTATCAAGAAGACGGAAAAACTTGGGGAAGGAGGACAAGGTTCTGTTTTCAAATGTCTCTGGCATGGAAAACCTGCGGCGGCGAAGTATATCAAAAGCAAAGATGTCGAATTGGGAAAGTACATCATGAATAGGGGAAGTCACTAATAATTGAACTTTTTTTCTAACTTAGTAGGGTGGGCATATAATACAGTTTTAGAATCCTCAGAAGCTGAGGATCATTTTCACTATTGAACGTGAGGGGTCATCTCGTACCCCGGGGGCATTTTGGTACCTCTATCGGCCCATAATTCTGGCCAATTTCGGAAATCTTAATTTTTGACCCCCTAACCCCGGCTTTTTTCGCGCGCGGCTAAGATATTTTGTAGCCCAGGCTCTGACGGTCATTTCTAGGGGTCGGAAAGTACTGATTACCCCCTATTCCAGAGGCGCTAGAGACCTCTGAAGTTGGAGAAGTCGACCAAAAATAGGTACTTTTTTGGGAAAAATGCATATTTTTCATCAGTTATGCTTCCAAAACACTTGTGATCACTTTTGATTTACTTTTTCAGGTTAGAGACATAATTTGGTGTCATCTGAGGTCATCTGAGGTGAAAATTATTAAAAATTCTTGAAATTATGATAACTGACCCCAAATGACCTCAAATGACACCAAACTATGCCTCAAACCTAAAAAAGTAAAGCAAAAGTGATCACAAGTGTTTTGAAAGCATTGATGTTGAAAAATATGCACTTTTCCCAAAAAAGTACCTCTTTTTGGTCGACTTCTCTGACTTCAGGGGTCTCTAGCGCCTCTGGAATGGGGGGTAATCAGTACTTTCAGACCCCTAGAAATGACCGTCAGAGCCTGGGCTACAACATATCTTAGCGGGGCGCGAAAAAAGCCGGGGTTAGGGGGTCAACAATTCGATTTTCCGAAATTGGCCAGAATTTTAGGCCTTTGGGGGTACCATAATGCCCTCAGGGTACGAGATGACCCCTCACTATCAATAGTGAAAATAATCCTCAGCTTCTGAGGATTCTAAAACTGTATTATATGCCCACCCTACTAAGCTAGAAGAAATGCTCAAATTATTAGTGACTTCTCCTAATCATGAAAAAAGGACCAACCGGAGAGAAATGCATGAAACAATTCTTCACCAGCCAAGCGTCAGAGTTCTATATAGGATTGAAAATTGACCACCCGAATGTTCTGAAAATGTACGACTTTTTTCTGCAACATCAAAATGGACTGAACGAGTTTGTCATCGTCAGCGAGCTGTGTGAGAAAACACTACTGCAAGAACAATTCTCCATGAAGTCATTTATCCGCTATTTTAGTGAGGTTTGTAAGACGTACTCTTCGTTGATTTCAAAACTATTTCAAAAAGGTAAATGCGGCAATCAAAGCAATGGGGGAACAGGGACTTTGCCATCGCGATATCAAACCGCAAAACATCTTGCTAAAGCGAAATGAAAATGGAGTCTTGTCTGTTAGGGTCGCCGACTTTGGCTTGAGTGGATTTTCTGGAGGAACCCCCCTTTACAATCCACCAGAGTCGTCGACAGAATCGATTCCTTTTGCTTCAGATATTTACTCCCTTGGAATAACGATGCTTTTCACGCTGTTTGAATCAGACCTTGCATTCAAGATGTATCTCATGCCAGGTTAACAGAAAGAATTAATCAATAATGAAGCGATTTTTTCCTTTAGGAGATCGACCAAATTTAAAGAAGAAGTTAGGCGTATTCAACTCGATCGCTTTCATATCCCAGATGATTGCTGATGATTACAAACTACGCCCAACTGCAGACGAGATTGATCGGTTCCTATGTACAACAAGGCTATGGAAAATCACTTTTAGGCATGGTCAAAGGAAAAATTGAGACTCTTTGCTTTACACTGAAAGGTCTGTAAAGTTTACAGACACACAAACGTTTTCTCATGACCTAAAAAAAGTGATAGCACAAGGATCACAGAAGATGATCTTGGAATATCCGACGAAATCAATGCCTTAACCTCAACCTCTGTATATGATCCTCATGATTATATCAAAGAATATAAATAATTTAGATCGGCAGCGATATTCAGCGAAGGGCAGCGAAGTTCCAAACTGATGCCTTTTCTACTTTGCTGTTTCAAGAAACAGCTCCCAGGACGACCGACTTCGACTCAAAATTCTTCCAAGGAATAACTGAACTTTCCAAGATGATAAGTCGAACAATCCATGACCAGGTGTGAGTCTAAGTTTTTCATGAATATTGAAGTGTTAGGGCGACTCTTACAAATGCTGGGCTTTTGCGACAGCAAGCATGATCCGTTCATCACTTCGAGAGGCGATATCAAATTCAGGAAGAATAGACAAGCTGGCGAAGGAAGAACTTTACGAATCGGTCAAATCGATCGATCATAAGGTAAAACTTTCATGGATTATGGTCATGATGATCGATTAGCTACTTCGGTCGGAACTGATGATGAACGTCATTCCTACAAAAGTAAGCGCAAATTCCGACGAGATTCAGTCGGCAATGCTTCATCACGTCATGAGAAGACTCACCGAGCCAACTTTGCTGCAGAGAGAAGGTAACTAGAAGGTGACTAGACACACCTGGGATTTAAATTTATCAAGGCATCTTCATGCTCGGATGTCTGAAAGCAATACTCAAAAAACTTGAGCCCTTCGAGGTGAAGCTGGAAATCTTTGCTCATCCTACAGACTACGATCGATTTCCGGTTTGGTTTTCTTGCACTTGTATAATTTAATTTCTTCTCTAGAAGAATTTATCAGACAATGGCGTCGTTGGAGATTTCATCAATGCGCTTGAGCACAAAAAAGTACTCGTTTGCCCTGTTAGGTAAAAATCAGCACTGCTGATTCAGCAGAGCTACAAGTATTATGAATAAATATAGAATGGGAAGCTCGTCAATCAAACACGCAATGTGTCTTTATGGCTTCAACGAAGAATCCGAATTTTTGTTCAAAAACACGTCAAATGAGACGAAGACAATTGCGATTCCTCTGACAAAATGCGAGCCTAGAATTGGCTATCACATCTGTTTTCAAGAATCTGTGGACTCAACTGTCGCTGAATAAATTACCATTTGTATTATTCTTATGTCATTTTTAACGAATGCAGCAGTCATTTTTGCGGAATGGTACTAAAAGAGAAAAAAATGAAAATGATTTGTCCGACTTTTCTCGAATAAGCTCTAGCCTGCTACGATGGAAATCGACGATGCTCCACTTTATCGATTTAAAAGATTTTTAAGGATAAAATATTGCCGAAAGTAAGCCATACCATGATGCCAGAAAATGGAGAACTTCTCACTTTTTGGCAAGAGATGTTTAAGAACTTCAATCCAACCGAAAACCCAGAAAATGAGCTTTTGAAGCTTTCGTCTGCAAGATACATTCTTTTCGATTCAATTGTGGCAAAAGAATCAACAGAGAAAATTTTCGACTCCCTTAATTTGTACAAAAAAGTCAGTTCTATGATACACGACTATTGTCGAATCAATCCGACGCTCAATGTGACTGGAGAAATTAGAGATCTTTTCGTAGAGTTTGAAAATCTTGAAGCCGAGCTCTACAATTTGAAAGACGTCGAAGATATGACATATATTCCTGGTGGTTATGCTGGATTGTATTTAGCGGTGAATATGCGGAATAAACCGACAAAGTTTCTACCGAAACAAGTGGATGAAGAACTCCTAGAAGAGCTTATAAATATGGATATACTCCGAGGAACTCCGGCAAGCCATGCTTTCGTCGTCGCTGCTCTCAATCATCATCTCGATCTTCTGACAAGCTCTCTTTGGAAAAAATGTAACCCATATAATCTGTCAGGTTTTATCAACTGAAATTTTAGTTTACATCGACTGGAGCTATACTATCGGCCAATACAATGTATTTATGGCTCCCAATGAATATATTCGCCGAATTCTTCATCATAATCCGTACTCAAAGGAAGACAACTATTCCCTCGTTCATAAAATCGACGATACTCTCTGCTTTTTGATGGATCAAATGCTCAAGACCGTCTCGCAAGAAAATGCGTGTGAGATCATTTCAACGCCAAATCATCTTGGATTTACAGTTGTTTTCTTCGCCACAAGACTCTACTACCGAGCCACAAGTACGCTTCTCCACCGTTTTCCAGACCTCAAATTCAATCAGCTCTGTTACTTTGGCAGCACAGTTGGTCTGATTTTTACACCACTGATCGGGCGTATTCTTGAGCGGGGAATGAATCCATTCATAAAGCCGAGATATGCTGCCCCTGTAAAAAGCTTCAGTTTCGCCCTAAAAGATGCGATGTTCGAGAAATATCCTGAACTAAAAACTGTCAAGTTGCCAAAAGAAAAGTACTTGCTCTCGGCGCAATACAGTTCATTCGAAAGCTACATTCATGAACAAGTTGATATTGCAGCGCTTGAGCGAAAATGGGTTACCGGCTACGATGTCAGTGGAGCGCCCCTGACGTCTTTTTATTCCTCTTGGTACGATATCGGAGGCCCAGAAGAAAGTCAAAGAATAAATTCAATGCGATACTTTCCTGGCAAACTGATCAAGAAAGAAATTCTTTTAGGGAAAGGAGGACAAGGGAGCGTTTACAAATGTCTTTGGCATGGGAAACCTGCGGCAGCCAAGTTCATAAAAAGCAAGGACGTTGACTTACAAAAATACTTCACCACAAAAGGAGCAAAGGGGGAAAAGGAAATGAAAAAGTTCTTCACCAAACAAGCGTCGGAGTTTTATATTGGTCGCGAAATCAAGAATGCCAACGTTCTCAATATGTACGATTTCTTTCTTCAGCACGAAAACGGAGTTACGGAATTTGTTATCGTTAGCGAATTCTGTGAAAAAACTTTGCTTCAAGAAGAATTTTCCATGGTCGCATATATTCGATATTTTAGCCAGGTCTGTATATGTTGATATTCTTTGGAAATTTTAATTCTAAAAAAGGTGAATGCAGCAATCAAGGCAATGGGAGAGCGAGGTCTGTGCCACCGTGATATCAAACCGGAGAACATCTTGCTGAAACGCGACAGCAATGGAGTCTTGTCTGTGAGAGTCGCTGATTTTGGCTTGACTGGATTTTCCGGGGGAACTCCACTTTACAATCCACCGGAATCGATGATCAAATCGATTCCGTTTGCTTCTGATATTTACTCCCTTGGAATCACGATGTTGGTTACGCTTTTTGAAACAGAATTGGCCTTCAAGTTGTTTCTCATGCCAGGTAAAAAAAAATGTATAAAAGTACTGAATGTATCTCTTCAGTTGAAGTTGGGCAAGAAGTCAGGAAAAAACTCGGCAACCATAGCATTGTATCATTCGTTTCTAAGATGATTGCTGATGATTACAAGTTACGCCCTAGTGTTGACGATATCGATCACTTCCTCAATACGACGCGGCTATGGAAATTGTCTTCTAGGGCCGGTCAGTCAAAATAGAACTCTGAGTTTTTGGTTATAGTTTTCATAAAAATCTTCAAATAAAGACCTGAAAAAGTGATGCTAGAATCAATGCTGATGATCTAGGCATATCCGACGATTTCCATGAGATATCTCAATCTCCTGTAAATACTTATTTTTCGTCGGAAAAAAACTAGAGATAATTTAGATCGGATCTGATATCCAGAGACGAGCAGCGAAGTTTGAGAACAACCCCTTTTCCCGACTCTTTTTTTCCGAAACATTCACGAAAGTCACTACTTTTGAAGGCATAACCCAGTTGTCCAAGATGATTAGTCATACGATTCATGACCAGGTACTTCTTTTATTTGTATTTTCATCGAATAAATTAAGGGCGATTCTTTCAAATGCTGGGCTTTTGCTACAGCAAGTATGATCCGTTCCTCACTTCGGGAGGCAATATCAAAAACTAAGCGAATAGTCGAATCGGAGAAGGACGAACTTTACGAAGCAATAAAGTCGATCAATCACAAAGTTAAGCATTCAAATTAACATGTTCATAAATTGAGTTTTAGCTTCTACGGTCGGAATTAATGATGAATGTGATTCCTACAAAAGTAAACGCAAACTCAGAGGAAATTCAGTCGGCGATGCTCCATCACGTCATGAGGAGACTCACCGAGCCAACATATCTTCAGAGAGAAGGTCAGGCCTGGAAACAGAATGTGTCGGAACTTCGGAAGAGTCCCTCCCATTTGACATATCATCCGTCTGAGACTAGATTCTCCTTATTTAGGTATCTTTATGCTTGGAAGCTTGAAACCCATCCTTGACAGGCTTGAGCCGTTCAAAGTGAAGCTTCAGATGTTCGCTCATCCTACTGATTACGATAGATTCCCGGTTTGTTCTTCTAGCAGTTTTATTATTGATTTATCTTCTAGGCGAATTTATCGAAGATGGGAGTCGTTGGTGATTTCGTTGGAGCGCTAGAAGACAAGAAAGTTCTCGTCTGTCCCGTCAAGTAACGAATTCCAAAATTTCAGTAAGTAAATAATAATTTCAGAATGGGCGATTCGTCGATAAAACACGCGATGTGCCTTTTTGGTTTTAACGAGAAGTCGGAATTCTTGTTCAAAAACACCTCAAATGAGACGAAAACAATCGCCATCCGTCTTACTAACTGCGAGCCCAGAATCGGGTATCATATCTGCTTTGAGGAAACTCCTGAATAAAGCATTGCTAAATGTTATTTTTTTCGACGAAAATGTAATTTCCAAGAGCGTCAGTTGGCCGATCATTGTGTTAGGCACCTCCTCGGGTGTCTTCACTCGAGAAAAGAAAAGGAGGAGTCGGCGTTACTTTATTTTTTATTCTCCAGGGGCGAATGCGCTACTAGGCCCTCTGAATTGTCAGTTGCTCCTCTGGGACGTGCTCGTCTTTTGCCATCCCTCTGTCGATGGGACAATTATTGGAGAAAATGTTCACTTTTTCGTTGAAAAAATTAAGAGAGTTTCAGAAGAATTCAAGTTAAAAAATGACGCTTATACAGGAGCTTTTTATCTAAAATCTGGACGCAGAATAAAGCTAACATTATCATTCAGAAACAAGGTGTTATTTGTGGTGAGAATGAAGGGATGAAAATGCTTCTAAAAAGTAGAACGCGCCCGGAAGGCAAGATCGTCCATGTCTTCGCTTAGGTTTACGTTCTCAAAAATATCGACCACGAGGAGGGGCTTCTGATTTCTGCTAATGACGATTATCGCAGTTAATTAGTTCCTTTTAGGGCTCGGATTTGAAGCTGTTTCTTTTGTGGGTAAATTACAATAATTGATTTTTCAAATAGACTAAAATTGGTAAATCGCTCGTTTTTGAAATTAACCATTTTGTAAATTCAAATTGTAATTGCCCGTATAATATAAGCCACTGTCGTGAATTAATTACAAGAGGCAACAAAATTAATTCAATTGTTATATTTTTATCTTGTATTTGGATAAAAAACTGTAACTCGTAATAACTTATTATTTATTTTTCAACTAGAATTCAACGATTCCAAATCTGCTCGATTTCATAAAAAGATATGAATGAAAAATAAATTATATAAATGAAAATATCAATTTTATACTGATAAAATATGCAAAGATCTAAAAATTTAGAATTTAAATAAACAAAAACTCTCCAAGAGAGTTCAATTGAAGGTTTTTCATGGCGTGAATGTGTGAAATTTCGGCTGAAAAGGGTGAATGAAATTCTTCATTCTCTGGGGCAATTGGCCGAAATGTCGACTCTCAAGCCCTGATTGGGCGGCTCGGATCCGCTCGAGCTGCGCGACGGGTTCCTACTACGTCGCCCCGAAATTCCAATCTCGAAAATTACTCACGCCGATGATTAAATCAACCCTTTTTCTACTCATTCGAACAGAAAGAAAACTTATTAATCCGAGAGAAATGATTTTTGAGAGATTGGTGAACTTGTAAATTAGAAAGAAATAAGAAGAAATTGAAGAGGTATAAAGTCGCGAAAATCAAACCTAACTGGGCTCATTTTTTTCTGATTCATTTTCTTTTGAAGTGATTTTTGAGAAATTAAAAGTGTGACTTGTTTAGACTGTAAGATGATGGAAGGGTTAGAAATTCGAAAAACAAAAGAGGCGGGGCGTGGTCTCTATTCCACGAAAACCTTCGAAGCAGGGATGAATATCCTTAATTCGTCTCCTTACGTTCACACTTTAGGTACCCAAAATATTCTATATAACAACCCATAAGATATTAGTTTCCATATGCCTTGAAATTCCTTGTTTTCGTTATATTGAGCGATGATAAAATTATTATTAATAATTTATTTTCACGATAGACTTCGATCAGCCATATTTTATAAGTAGATTCTAATTCTGTTAAAATTTTTGATGAATAACAAAGTTTTCTTCAGCGAAAAAATACCATGGCCTCCGTTGTGCTCAGTGCACCGTATCGAAGCCAAAACTATCTCGCTGCGCTGGCTGTAAGCTCCAATATTACTGTTCCAAGGTACTGTACCCCAGCTCCTTTTATAGTTAATTCATTTTCAAATGTATTAGGATTGCCAGAAAAGTGCGTGGAAGTGGCATAAAGAAGAATGCAAAATGCTTAAGTCAGAGAAATCGATACCAGACGACATTACAATGTTTCTCGGACGAATATTGCTCAGAATAGAGAGCGAATTTGGCGATGGAGAGGAGCCTAGCGCGAAATTAGACACGCTGATTCATGTTTTACAGCTGGAATCGCATTATGACCGACTCGATCCCTCACAACAGGTAAAAAAGGACGAACAATGGATGAATATTTTATTTTTTTCTGTCTATTTTGCGTTCATAAAAACAAACCTGTCTCAAAACAGCAGATGCGTAAATTCCGTTGTTCAGGAAGATCTGGGTATTTTCTTGATGAAATTCACTCGTTACTGGAAGAAGCCAATTCCCCGTGGAGTTCTCGGCTCGCGAAAGCTTCTGGATTTAGTTGCAGCGATCAAAAACAACCAATTCGCGATTTGCGATGAGGAAGCGTCTAATTGTGACATCGGCTCAGCTCTTTACCTGGATCAATCGTTGCTGAACCATTCTTGCAAGCCGAACGCGTTTCCTGTTTTCAACGGAACGAATTTGATCATCAAGGCGCTGGAGAAAATCGCGCCCGGGGAGGAGATCAAAATCGCTTACACTGACACCAAAGCTGTTACAGCGGACAGAAGAGAGTATCTTAACAGTATTTACAGGTAAAATCGAGGCGAAAGAACAGTTTCATTGAGACTTTCTTTTGATAGATTTATATGCGCCTGTCCAGGCTGTACAAATGGACACGAAGCTGACTCAAAGAAGTTGGAAGACAACAAAGGCAACGTTATGAAACCGTCGACGCCGCTTTGGCAAAGTGCCGAAACGATGATTTCCGACATGGAGGAGTTCAAAACCAAGAAAGAGTGGACACTTATGAATGAGGCGGCGAAGGGCTGGCTCGCACGCAAAATGTTCCCAGAGGAAAATATGTTCGTACAGCGGAATTTTTCTGTTGCTTATCATTTTTTGATAGATATTGGATTCGACTACAGGAGTATGCATTTGATGCTGGGATCGAGACCCAAGACTGGTCTCTCTGTCTTTCTACTGGCGCTAGTTTGATCATCTCCTACAAAGAGGTCCGTTTTTACGTCAAAAGTATCTAGTTAAATTTTTGATAGCTTTATGGATCAATGCATCCAACTCTCGGTCTTCATTTGATGAAGTTTGCGAAGATCTTACTTCACATCGAGAAACCAAACGAAGCAGAAGAATACTTCCGAGTAAGATTGTAGTGCTTTTATAAATGCAATAACAAATGTTGGAGACTAAGGCGTTTTGTTGTGGGGGTAGTTGAGGAGCAACAACTACGGACGTTTATTGTACTGACAGAGCAGTCAGTAGGAGCAGTAATCGTTTTTCAGAAATTTGTGGTGTTGATGTTGGCGCAGATTTGTACAGACTGGCACAGAGTAAAAAGGGTGCTTCTTTTTATAGCATTTCGTTCCGGGTGGCGAGTTTTCATCGGGCCTCACGAGCCGAGGGTGGCGGTGGAATCGGGTGAGTGCGCTTTACGACAGAAGGTGGTGGCGGATTCAGAGGGTGGTAGTGGTTTTGAAATGCGCGCGCTAATGGCTTTATGGCCATTGCGCGCGGCGGAAATCAACTTTGTTGCAAAAGTCATACTTGCATATATTAATCCACTACAAATCCTTCCCTCCTAGAATTTATGACTTTTGCACCTGATTTTAACCAAAGAGCAGATCACGCCAGTTGTCATCTAGCATTTCAACCATGTTGCCGCTGTCAGTGTTGCTGGAAGATTGAGCTGAAGGAAAGGGGTCGTCAAGAGGCGGATCGCCAGGTGTTTGGTTGCCAAGGACGTCCGGGGCGGAGCTCATCGGGCCATAACTCAGCGCTGGAACTGACGTTGGAGGTTGGGCTGGTGCCTTAGCCGTCCGGGAGGTATCAGTTGTCAACTGAGTCTGAGTGACCATGTCTTTTTTGGAGCTAGTAGGGAACGTCGTCGGTGGCAGTTGCTGTGGATCCGGGGCTCTTGGATGTTCCATCATCGACAGAGACGTTGCGGCTGATGTTGTCGGCGAGATCGGCACAAAGGGTCTGGACAGGTGCTCAGTCATATCATTCTGTGGGGCAGCTGGCATCTCAGGCTGGTTGCGCTCGGTTGTCATCGTTGATTGCGCTTGGTCATCTAAGTCGTTATAGAAGGTTTCATCTTGTTGGTTCTGGGACTGGGTAGGCAGGGCGAACTTAGCGAGTAAGTCTGACAGGAAAGTCTCCAATAGGGAATTAGCTTCTTTAAGTTCAATTTGAAAGTTTGGATAGTTAGCTAATTCCCGCCAGACTTTTCGACGTGCTAAAAGTGTTCTTCGTAGTTGTTGATGACCACATTCGCAAACTGCGGGATCGGCCTAAATGACTTTAGTAATTCAACCACAGCTGCCGTCTTTGTCTGCCAGCGAAGAAGGGACTCCCCTTTCATGCACTCGTTTTTCCAAAAGTCTATAATACTTTCGAATGCTTCTTCAGGAAATGCCCGATTTTGCAGTCGATCAAGGGCTCGTTCTTTTGCATACCGGATACTTCCTGTTAAATCGAGTAGTCGAGACCATTTCGGGTCAAGGAAGATTGTTGGCACGTGAATTCCAAAGATTGACGGTAGTACATACCGTTGGAACATTACCTTGCCACTGTCATTCATTCGGAAGAAGTGGCAGTCAAGGTTGGTAGTTGCTCCCTGGGAAGGCATTTTAAATTTCTTGAACTTGCGTTTGGCTTGTGTATTTTGAGACTGGGCAAGGGAGTCTCGTTTCAAAGCCATGCGCGGTGCTTATTGGCCGCCCCAAGGCGAACTGTGCCGCGCCTAATTATTTTCCCACGGTTGATATTTGGTTTGTGTGTATATTTGATGCTTCTTCTGTGAGCATTTGAGTTTTGTTACCAGTTCTACTCCACACGAGCAGAATCGGATGCTTAGATGCTTCTTCTGTGAGCTTTTGAATCGCAGTCATCAATTCTTCTCCACACGAGAAGACTCGTTTGATGATAATTTTTGGTGCTTCTTCTGTGAGCATTTGAATCGTAGTCATCAATTCTTCTCCACACGAGAAGACTCGTTTGATGATAATTTTTGGTGCATCTTCTGTGAGCATTTGAATCGCAGTCATCAATTCTTCTCCACACGAGAAGACTCGTTTGATGATAAGCTGTCGAGTACATAATTTTTGAGTTTTTATTGCTTCTTTTGTGAGCATTTGAGTCTCTTTCATCAGTTCTTCTCCACACGAGCTGAACCAGATGACACTCAGGGTTCGAGTACTAAGCTGCATGCGAAGCGGGCAATTTTCGCTTCTACTGTAGTCGTGTAACGTGCTTCTGAAGGTAAATCTGAACCCGTTTGGGCCCATTGGGAGCAGACTCCAACAGTTGTAGAGGTCAACGCGTCCAGTAGCCATCAAATTGTGCTGTGCGGGCTGTGGCAGGGTTTGATAAGCAGGTTCCTTCTGCTGACTAAGCTGACTTACCACGGATATTTTTCATGAGCTGATGCGGGCTCATGGCACTTGAACTTGAACGTTGCTATAGCGGGTGGTGATGGACTTCCAGCATACAGTCGAAATTCTTATCGAAGGTCCAAGAAGATAATCGTTTTACATTCCTAGGGTACGGTGTTGGTTAACTCAGTGCATCGTTGTCCCGGCGGTAATAACTTCTCCCCCTTAGTAAACGAATTCTAGAGATCGATCAGGGATCTAGAATGGAACGGGTGCGTGGACATATCAAGAGCAAGATATCTCATTCCACGCTATTTTTGAAAATAGTTTTAGTGCTTTTGAGATGGCGCTAAATTAAGATTTTCAAAAATGTAAACTTAGAGCAAGAACAAGCTCTCTCTTCACAGTGGGCTCATGAGAGTGCAAACCAACAATGCATCTCTCCCCTTCCCCTCCTCTTTTAGGAACTTATTTTCGGGGTCGTAATCTTTTTGACCAATTTGCAGGATCATTTTTGAGGGGCGCAACAGGATCATTATTTTCATTTTTCGGATCCTCTTTAGTTTCTGCATTCTTTTTTGACGCAGTTGAGCGGGAAATTTTTATTTGGGTGTCTTCCTTGATTTCTTTTGAGACACAATTGAGTTTTTTATCGCGAATGGATGATTGATCGTTTTCGTCATTGATCGAGACGAATTTTGTTGAGTCGCCGATCTTATTTTTTAGAGGTCGGATCAGGCTTATGTGTCGGCGATACTCACGTTGTGTGAGTGAACATTTTAGAATGTAAGAATCTTTTGAGATTCTTTTATGAACATAAAATGGGCCGCTCCAGTTTGTACCTAATTTTCCGTCAAAAAGATTTGGTTTCCAGACTAGCACTTGGGTACCAAGTTCAAGAACTGGGCAATTATTTTTATCTTTTCGGAGGAGTTTTTGGTACCTCTGTACCTGGAACGCTTGGATCGCAGGGTGCAGTTGTTTAATATAACCATTGAGAGCTTTGATAAATGGTTCTTTGGCACCATCATTTGATGTTCCAATTTTGTAAGGAACATGAAAAGGCCTACCGTAGAGAGCTTCATTACTTGAGAGCCCGTCTAGTGTTGCTTTTGGTAGGTTATTGAGATAGTATTTAGCTTGCTCCCATTTTTGTGACCAATTGCGATCATTTGCATTCAATTGTTTGAGTTGAATGTGAATCTCGCGATGGATTCTTTCAACTTTCCCATTTGAACAGGATCGGTATGCAGTTGTTGTAACGTGGCGGATTTGGAATCGCTCGAAAATTTGCTTGCAAAGCGGTCCAAATTCACGCCCGTTGTCAGTAACAACAACCTCGGTGATCCCGTGTCTGAGAACAAGAGTGAGGATCGCTTGCGCGACAGTTTTGTCACTTTTTGTTCCCAATGGTAAACCGTCTAGAAACCCGGTAAGCGAGTCGCAACAAGTCAGCAGATACCTTTTGTTTGATGAGTCAACTCTTCCATAGTCGACAAGGTCGAGAAAAGTTTTCTCAAAAGGAACTGACTCGAAGTTGCGTCGCTCGATCATTGATGGTTTGAGCTTTTTGATCGGTTTAAATTGAATGCAAGTGGGGCAAGAGCTCGTTACGGCTCTAAGTTTCATTTGGATATTACTTATGAAAAATTTTTGGCACATTTGGTTTAATTGCTGCGCACCAGCATGTCCCGTTATACAGTGCAGGTACTGTATGAATTCATTTGCAAGTTGGTCTGGGATAACAAGTTTATTTTTGGAGAACAAGATTCCGTCTTTGAGCGAGAATCTTGATTTTTTGTATTTCTCCACTTTAATGAGCTTATTTTTGGTGAGGTTGCACTCTTTTTGCAACTCCCTCATTTTTGTTTTTGTTATTTTCTCGGAACCGAAAGAGAAAATAACCTCATTTTCATTATTTTTGATGAGATGGAACATACAGACGCGTTCTGGAAGGAGCTCAAAGTTCACCGAATCGTCCTCTAAGTCGGAGCTTTTTGTTCTTGGAAGGCGAGAAAAGTAATCCGCACTTGCCATGATCGGGCTGTTTCCCGGCTTGTGGATGATTGTGAAATCAAACTGCTGGAGATAGCAGTGGATATTGGTGAGTTTGATATCCAAATTGGACTGTTGTTGTTCCTTGAAAAGAAAGAGCAGGCTTTTGTGGTCTACAACACAATCGAACTCTGTATTGAGGAGGTAAAACTCGAAATATTTGATTCCCCAAGTTAACGCAAAGAGTTCCTTTACCCGCATGCTTCTTTTCAGATCAGGACCCGTGAGAGCTTTTGAAAAATAACCAATAACAACTAGTTTTTCATTTTGATATTGGTAGAGGGTCCCGCCAACACTTCGCCCTGAGCTGTCGGTCACGAGAAGAAGCTTCGCGCCGAGTTTAAAATGGCCAAGTGTTGGTTTTTCTTTGAGCTTTTGATTCATGTTTTCGAAAGCCTGCTGGTGTTTACTCGTCCAGTTGAATTCTTTTTTCAGGCTTGTGAGCTCATACAAAGGCGCAAGAATTATGGATGCGTCTTTGACATATTTTGCATTGAAAGTGACCATTCCCAAGTAGCGTTAAAGTTCTTTTCTAGATGTTGGTACAGTAATTTTCTGTATTGCTGCAATGTGCTTATCTGATGGTTGGATTCCCTGTCTCGAAATTCTGTGCCCAAGGAAATCTGTTTCACGCATGCATAAATTGCACTTTTTTGCGCTTAGTAGAAGTCCATGATTTTGGCACTGTTTGAATATGAATTCGAGTGTTTTGAGGTGATTTTCGAAAGAATTGTCAATAACAATCAAATCATCCAAATAAATGATGATCGAGGGATGGTTCATGAGTTTTGACATAATTCTTGAAAACGCACTCGGAGCTGTTGCTGTTCCATAAAGCATTCTGTTTGCTTGGTAGTGCTTGTTACCAAAGCTGAAGGCAAGTTTATGCGAGTCAGATGAAGCGCACTGTACTTGCCAGTAGCCACGGTGGTAATCAAGACTACTTATGTAACATGCATCTCCTTTTGTGAGTTTTTCACCTATTCTAGTCATTACTGATAGCATGTGGGGAAGTGGGAACCGATCTAGCTTTAGAAGCTTGTTTAACCCACGAGCATCAAGCGAAATTCGAATTGTTTTATCGGGCTTTTTGAGAATAATGAGGGGGATGTTAAAATCAGACTGGGTCTCTTCTATGATTCCAAGATTTTTCCAGTTGTTGATTTCGGTTTCAACTTGGTCACGCAAGTGAACTGGGATCGGTCTCGGAGGTTGGTGGCTTGACAGAGATTCGTCATGCGTTGGGAGCGCGAATCTGAATCCATGTAACTTGCCAAGGTCATCTGGTGACATAGAAAACGCAAGTTTATATTTTTCGGTTAGACCCTGGAGTGAAAGTTTTTCATTTCGAGAAGCATCCCCGTAATTCCCAATTTCAGGTACGAAATTCGCCCTTTTCGCTTGTGCTTCACGCACTGATTGAAAGTTCTCAAGCGATTTTGATTCAAGGTCAGAGTTTAGGTCAACCTCGATAATTGCTGAGACTTTCGTTGATTGTTTCGAGAAGATTGATGGGTTAATTGTTTTTACCCGATGTTTTTCAAGGGTGATAAAGTTCTCACCATCGCAAAATGAGACGTTTTTAAGGACGTCAAGTCCTAGAATTATTGGACAGGATAGGTTCGAAACAACCAAAGGTAAGGGGTCTAGGGTAAATTTACCATTATCAGAAGGGACCGTGATTTTGACCGGTGAGCACATTACTCTTGGGCGCACTATTTCATCATTTGCGACCAAGAGTTCAACATCAGAACTTCTTGTTTTACGAACAAAAGGGAGGGTGTTTTTAATGCAAGTTCGGGTGCAGCCGCTATCGATCAAGGCTGGATACTGAAAGTTTTCGACAATGACGTTGATGAATTTTAGGTCTGAAGAAGCGGATCTATAGTTTGGACAAAAGTTGAAAATGGCATGTTTATGGCCGTCTAGTCACTCCTGTTTTTTCACGTAGTCCAAAACATCTGCTGGAACTTTGTCAGAGTGAATATATTTGCAGTTTTCTGCATATTTGCATCTGTTGTACTTTGTGTACGAAAAACAGTGCCCTTTCAGTTTTTCAATGTCGATTTTCGACCTTTTTGATCGTTTGCTGCCCGATTTGGAGTGTGTGCTTTGGGAAGAGTCAAGTTTTTGGTAGAGCTTGTTAACGAGTTCGCGGAAACGAGCTTTTTCATCATCTTCAGCTTGGATACTGAAGTTGATCTCCTTTTTTGGAATGGAGGCCTCAATTTCCGCTGCTCGCTTCGCTATGTTCTCAAGAGTGAGCTGTGACTTTTCTCGCATCAAAAGTTCTTTCATTTTTTGATACTGGCTTTCGCAAAATCTTTCTATAATTATAGAACGATCATTTTCATTGAGGTGAGTGAGGTCGTAGCCCTGTTTATAGTATGATGTGATCTTTGAGAGGGCTAGTCCGAAACTGTCACTACCTCTTTGGTAATCTTTAAATTGCTGTTTAAAGAACTCTTTATCCTTCCCAAGCATACTTGTTAATCGATCTTTAAATCTGCTCCAGTCTTGCATGTCTTCCGACTCCAGAGATTGGATTATATGAGATCCTTCGGACTCATTGAGCAACGATGTTAGTGCAACGGTTATAATTTCGCTGGTAGAAAGATTTGAACATCGTGCATAGATTTCAAGATTTTTAAGCCAAGCTGGGATCGGGATCGATGCGTCATAACGTGGGGGTTTTACTTTTAGATTTGAAGAACGCGAAATTTTTGGTTCAAACTGTTGCTTTGGAATGTGTGTCGATTTCGATTCTTTCTTGAAACGCGGCACATCTTTTGATTCCGGCTTTTCAGTTTTCACCTTTTGTTTTCGTGGCTTCGGAGCTTCCTGGCCGTCTTGAATGACCGTTTCATCAGCTGAATCAGCTGACGAATCATTTGAAAGCTCTGAGCCTGAAACAGATTCAGTTTCTATTTTGAGCGATGTGATCAAAGCATCTAGATTTTCTACATTTCGGGACGCCAAAATCTTTTCTGTGTCAATTTTATGACGAGCTTGCGCGAATTTTTGGTTTTGGCAGTCCTCTTGGTACTGAGGAAAATATCTTACGAATTGGCCATCAGCACTTTTCTCAAAGACATATTTCCTATTTTTGACAAAGAAATCTTTATCCAAAGCTAGAATATTGTGGCAAATTGATTCTTTATCGCTTATGGGGATTTTTGGTGGGTAAGTTTTTCCCTCGAGGTTATCGTAAATAACTAGTAGTTCCCCTTTGTTAAGGTCTTGTACGTGCTTGAAATAGAGTTCAGACATGATTTCAAATAGAATGAGTAGAAATTTGGTAAGAGCTCTTGGTTTGGTGCCTTTTTCTTAAAGGTCCGATCCTATAAGTCCTAAAAGCTTGCCTGTCGGTGGCGCTTCTTATGGAAGTCACTCCGCTCAGTGGGACTCGCTCTGGACTATTGAAAATATCTAGGGACCTTTGAACCGGGTACTAACCTTTGTTGGCGTTTTCTTTTTTCGGAGATCGTAGGCAGCAGCTCTTTTCGTATCGTTGTCGGTAAAGTAGGCTTCGGGGGTCTTCGAACTTTAAGCGATGGACTCTAGTCTTAAAGTTCCTCGCCGTTTTTCAGTCACCAAAATTTGTAGTGCTTTTATAAATGCAATAACAAATGTTGGAGACTAAGGCGTTTTGTTGTGGGGGTAGTTGAGGAGCAACAACTACGGACGTTTATTGTACTGACAGAGCAGTCAGTAGGAGCAGTAATCGTTTTTCAGAAATTTGTGGTGTTGATGTTGGCGCAGATTTGTACAGACTGGCACAGAGTAAAAAGGGTGCTTCTTTTTATAGCATTTCGTTCCGGGTGGCGAGTTTTCATCGGGCCTCACGAGCCGAGGGTGGCGGTGGAATCGGGTGAGTGCGCTTTACGACAGAAGGTGGTGGCGGATTCAGAGGGTGGTAGTGGTTTTGAAATGCGCGCGCTAATGGCTTTATGGCCATTGCGCGCGGCGGAAATCAACTTTGTTGCAAAAGTCATACTTGCATATATTAATCCACTACAAGATACAAAATAATACCTTGATTTGGTGATGACTAATGAATGTTTTATTAGCGCGCGTTTGGGATAATTAGTTTATTCTATGAACCAGATTCAACCGTCCGAAAGCACTTGCTCGAACTGATCATGGAAGCATATGAACTCGCCCAAGTTCAAGAGGACAAGGCTGCTGAGGAGCAGAAAAAGAAGGACAGGCCTGTCGGACCTGATGGAAAACCAAAGCTAAAGAATCTGTTCGCCGAGCTCAAGGCTAACGGACAGATTTGAACCTTTACTTTAGCCCATTTCACCATCTAACTTATTTTATTTGACAAGTTATTTCTTTTAATTATACATGTGTGTTGCCGTGATTTACCTAGAACAACTACTGAACTGACCAGTATGCCTTCATTGTGATATCTACCTGATCTGCCTTCAAAAACAAATTCAATCTTATTTTTGACTTACATTTTTTATGCTAATTTGGCGTTTTTTAGAGCGTGTTAGCTTTGTCAGAAATTGGATACACCTTCACTCGTAATGAGTAGACGTAACAATAAGAACAGCTCCTCCCGCGGGGGTAACAGGACCCCGAACCCGAATTCATACAGTAACGCCAGCGGCACAAAGGTTCGATAATACTCGATATTCAACACAAATATTTTCCAATACTATAGGCTAAGCGTGCTCCAAACTCAGCCTCGTTCAAGGGCATTTACCAAAATCAATCGGTCTGTCAAGTTCTCACTGCCTTGGTCGGTAGCAAATGTGAAGTTTCTGTCAGAAACGCAAATGTCAAACACGAGGGCTTCTTCAATACCTTCTCTTCTGACATGGATTTCGCCGTTTCAGCTGTTCACAAGGTATTGATCTTTGTTAATCACGGTCATTACTGAGTAATTAGGTCAAAATGGCAGGCGACGGACCTCAAAAGGGCGATATCGTCGACGACATGATTTTCCCAATCAACGAAGTCGTCTCAATGTCATTTGAAGCCGTTGATCTCAATTACGCGACGGAAGACACTTTTACGGACGGCGCGATCGCGCTCAAGAAGAAAGATCAACTCTCAGCCGACAAAGAGCTTGTTTCGTGGATGCCTGATCCGGACGTCGAGGACGTCGGCGATCTTGACTGCGTCATTGGCAATCCCGGCGGGCCGCCAACAGGCAACGGGTGGTCAGCAGAGGATATGTTCAATGTGAACAAGAGCAAATTCGACGTGCAGACATCCTACGACAAGGATCTCTCCGGCTACACAGTCGAGCTAAAGCGAACTGAAGTGTCAAACGAGCAAGTAAGACGGGCAAACCAACTGGCGAAGCAAATCGAAGACTCAGCGAACTACCAGCAGAACATCAAATGGGAGCTGGAAGACACCAGAGACGAGGAAACCAAGTTCTCAGCCGTTGACGAGTCCGCGAACGCTGAAGGAGACCCAAATAGATATATTCCACCAAGTTTGCGCAGCAAGGGTCCTCCACCAGGCCACTCAAGGCAAAACTCAGGTTCTCAAAAGCCAGGGACTCCAACAGGTCAGCGACAAAGCCAGGGAGATAGGAAGACAACGCCCCGAAAAGAGCAACTTCAAACTCAGAACTCGCAGGAGCAGCGAAGCCGAAAAAGTTCAGAAAAAGAAGCCAGGAAGTCAGCATCAAAAGAAGACTCCCTTCCACAGAGAAAGCCAAATATGCCTGGTGGTGGAAGCTCTCTTGGAGCACCACCTGGCATCACAGCACCACCACAGCCTAATAGAAACCGAAATTGGGCCGGTGTTGCTGGCGGAACTGGTGGAAATGCTTCTATTTCAAAGATGTCTCCGTCTGGCGCGAAGCCAGGAGCTAAACTTGAAGATCTAAAAACCTTCTCAAATAATTTCAACTTGAAACAACCTGAAGGAGCTGCGCAACCAAAAGCATCGCCTCAAGGACAATCAACTGTGCAGCAAAAAGGAAGTGATAGCAGAAAGAACAGTCGAGCGACCCCAAGTCCGATGACTAAAGCTCCCGCTCAGCAGGCACCTGCTCAAACCACGCCCCAAAAGACAGAGGCAGCTAAGAGTGAAAGTGGCACGCCAGCGGCCTCTAAGCCGCTGAATCCAAATGCGAAGGTAAGACATTTATGAATTTACATATGTCTTCAAATTTAATTAGGAATGGACGCCTAATGTGAACGCAACAGAATTCAAGCCAACTTTTGGAGCTAAAAAGCCAGCAACTCCCAATCCGTCTGTCCCTGGCCAGTCTCCAATGATGCCTCCAATGATGCCACAGTCGCCGCCAGTTACAATGGACCCCAACATGGCCAGGCCCAGTCCAGGTCAACATGTGCCGCCCCATCAAATGCCCCAGATTTACCCTTTTCAATACAACCAGCCCATCGTTCAAGTGCCTCCTCACGGTGTCCCTCACATTATGATGCAACCAACAGGGGCGCCTATCTATCAACCTGGAATGGCTGGTCAACCACCTCACATCCCTGTCAGTGGCGCTCAAGTAAGAGTAAGTTCTCAACCCCCCTTCTTATTCAAACATCTTTTTTAGGGCCAAACACCTCAGCCAGGCACTCCTCAGCCGCAACAGGGTCAGACACAGCCTCCATCATCGAAGCCTGGTGGTCGACAGAGACCCGTTCGCCCAGGGCATCAACACCCAACATCTCCTCCTAACATGGCACACGCTGGTCAATACGTTGTCCAGCCAGGTTATCCTGCACCGCATCCCCAGCATATCCCCCAAATGTACCAAGACCAAGCTATGGCCGGCTCCGGTTACATTCAGGTCAACCGAAGTGACCAGTACCCACAATATTACCAGCAGCCTATGGTATGTGTTTAGTGTCGATGTCTCGTTCTCACTTCTTTTCTAGCACCCGGCGGTAACCTCCGCCTCGAATCAACCGCAAGGAGGTAGCGTTGTTTACCACCACGGTAATCCTCATCAACCTACTCCCCATATCAACCATACGATGCCGCATATGACTCACCCGCAGCAGGTTATCCAGTACAACCACATGTCCCCTGGAAGTAAGTGAAAGTAACTGCCTTCAATTGCTCATCAGCTATTTCTAGATCAGCCTAACCAAGCTATGAGTATGCAACACCCTCAAATGTATCGTCAGATGCCACCAAACGCCCAGCCAGTCCAGTACCAACCCCAGCAAGGAGTCCCTCCACAAGGGACACAATCACAACCTCATCAGTAGAAGTAAAGTCTACCTTTACCCTCCATAAATCTTCCTTCCCTCACACGACCCAAACATTGAACCCCTTTCCAAAAATTTCTCACCCACTACCCCCTTATCCATTTAGGCTCTTTTCATGCAGCTTCTTTCGAGAAGTTGCGCCTTTGTTTTTCAATTTTCACATGTTTTTCCCTTATCTCTGAAGACGTCCATTTTCCATCTACGACGACTTCTCGCTAGGCCTTCGCGCCGATTTAATCGGACAATAAGCCTACCTTCAATGATTTCTGTGCGACAGATTTTCATTCATTTCTGCCAGATTTTCTGGCAATTAGGATAATTTATTGAACCTTACCACCACATTTGGCATAATTCTGCCTTTCGACGTTTGTTTTTCAACAATTCTTCTTGTTATTCTTCTAAACCTTCTGAAGCAAAATTTTGTCGAATAAGCTGGATTCCAATTTAATTATTTAAATACTACGGATAGTAATCGATTGAAAAACTGCATTTTAGATGAAAAGAAATGTCGGACGTAATTAGGGTGGAAGGACTAGGCACAGTATCGCTGCTGGATCTTGTTGAGCGACTATCAAAGGAAGGGTTCACGTAATACTCGTTATCAGTTACCCCAATATGATATTATCTCTATAGAGAATATTCAGTGACATTTTGGCGCTCATTTAATCTATTCTAACGAGGAAGGGCCTTTTAAAATCGTAAGACAAGCGTGAGAAAACTTTGACAAGTTCATAGCTTTTTACATACTTAATTATAGCACTGGTTTATAATTCAGTAGTCTTTAATAACGTGGTGCTAGCGCTGCCCCCGAGGGATGAAAATTAGCTCGTTGATATCATGCACAGGACGAAAAATGCCACAGAGGAACAATTTTCAGTACTGCAGTCGAGATACTCCGAGATATACTAAAAATATGTTTAATTTTCTGCCTATTGTCGAGAAAACGTATGTTCAATGAAAATTTAATCCAGTAAATTACGTAACCCCTGCTAGCCGCCAGCTCATCTCAAAGAAAATGACAGAGCAAACGCAGAGACACAGAAAACAACAGAACAAAACAAGGCTGCTGAAAGTCGAAAGCCTCGGCGAAAGTCCGTAACAAAGTTTAACTGCACTGTTGAGGGCTGCACTAAAGGATTTTGCACGCAAGCTGCATTGAATAATCACATCAACAGACACAACAGAGAATTCAAGTGCTCGCAGTGCTCGAAAGTATTCAATGAACATGCGAAGGTATGTGACATCATAAGACGTAGTCAGGATGATAATTTGAAAACGGACCTACTGAAGCGTATAAAAGTGAGAATATCCCGTATTTTCCACTTTATATACAGCCGGTGACGTTGAGCGTAAATATAAAATCCGATAGAAAGATGCGTTGAACCATACACTCACTTCCAAATCGCGAATAAGAGAAAACAAGTTAATTAAAATTGAGAGAACGAGCGATATTCGTTGCTTTCTCATCGATTTTGCATTGAAATATAGAAAAACTAGTTTTATTTCGTAGCTGAAGCGCCATCAATTAGTGCACACTGGCGAGCGTCCCTTCAAATGCCCCTTCGCGCACTGCCAGCGTCGCTTCTCCTTGGACTTCAACTTGACGACGCATATGCGAATCCATACGGGCGACAAGCCATTCAAATGCGATGAATGCGGCAAGTGCTTCGCGCAATCCGCCAATCTCAAGCAGCACAAGAAAACTCACGAAAACGCCTGTCTCAAAAGCAGGCAAAAAGGAATTACTAAAAACCCCTGTTCCGATGGAACCTCTCCCTCAATTATGCCCGAATTGAAACCAAACCAATAATCGGGTCGGCAAGCATAACCTATTCATACTCCCCTCATTCGATATTCACCATTCAACAATTTTTCCTTTCTTAAAGTTCAACGATTCTATGTCTGCTTGGTTGATGCTTGCCTGAATTATCTTCCCTCCTTAAACTCGCTCACAAAAAAACAACAACCAGTAAATCTGCCCAAAAGACTATCTAATCACGCAAATCTCACGAATACGCTTCTCAAACGTTATCCAAATATCTTACCAGTAAGAAAAAAAAAACTGCATCACTCATTCCTCTCTTCCCATCTCTCAAGTTTTCCAGTCGAAAATTTGTTCACAAGAAAAAATAAGATTTCGACCAAATGTTTACTTTGGGTGCCCTGTCTTGAGTTGACTTCTCGTACAGCTCAGATTAATTTCAAGAATATTACTATTTACTTCGATAAATCTTATTGACTATGAGTTTTTTTTTAGAAAAAAGTCAGGCTGTCATTGCTTGAAATTGAAATCGGTATCATGAATTAACAGCACCCTGTTTCTACGAAGAAAATAAGCGATACGGAGTATCAAAAAGAAAGAAACAAGTCAATAACCATCTTTCAAAGTTCAAAACGCAGAATCTGCGATGTCATCAGATGAGGCTCCATCTGTGCCAGGTAATATCTCAAATGACTCGTCTATCCTCCAAAAATGCTTTCAGAAAACAACAAAAATAACCCCGATGTTATATATCTTACGTTGATCTTGGTGAACTCATCGAAAAGTCATGAATTCACAATCTCCCCAAAGGTAAGTCTCTTTCTTAATTACCTTACAGTGAGTTCAACGCAACTTTCAGTCATCTGTTACTGAGATCACACGACATGTATTCGAAAATTGGCCTGAAGAATGGAACGATCATAAAGTTGAGAGGCCCGATATTCTCCGACTCGTCTTTCAGGTGGGTTTAAGGATATAAGCTATGAATGTGAACTTTCGTAGCGCCTAAATGCGTAGTAGGATCATTTTCATTTCAAAAGCAGTCCTACCTAAAATTGCACGTAGAACTCAAATCTGGAACTTTTGAAAAAAATTTTATGGAAAATTTTCTCTCTAGAGCGATTTCAAATCTTACGCTCTCGATTGCTCGAATTTTTTCCATTGAATCGCTAAAACAAAACCGTGTATTTTATTTCGATAATGTTAAGCTAGAAAATTGACGGGCTTTTATTTCGAAATTCCATCAAATTTTCATTCTAGCGTTTTCCTCTTTCTTGCTCGAGTTTTCTTCTTTTGTGCTTTTTCGCGTGCAACCAATCAAAGCGCTCCGCTCAACCGCGCCACTCTCACGGAAAAGAGGAGTTGAGAGAGCGAGCGCCCATCGCGCCGCTTTTTACACTATTCACGCGCTGGGTAAGCCTCATGGAAATGGCTCTAAAATCGGTTTCGGTCGGAATTAGGGAAAACTGATCCGTCAATTTTGTAGATAAGGGTTAAGAGAAGTTATTCATCGAAAAAACTCGACCGATTTAGTGGAAAAATTTCGAGAAATCGAGAGCGTAAGATTTCAAAACGCTCTAAAAGGAAAAATTTCTATAAAATTTTTTTTGAAAATACCAGATTTGAGTTTTACGTGCATTTTTAGGTAGGATTACTTTTGAAGTGAAAATGATCCTACTTCGCATTTAGGCGCTACGAAAGTTCAAATTCATAGCTTATATCCTTAAAATCAAGCAACATTGCTAAAAGGATTTCTAGGGACGATTCTTGCACGACGACATGACACTGGATCGAATCAGGCTACCGGGAAAACGATTTGCGATGCATCTTTTACCTAGGGAGCGCCTCCCAGGTAAGCAAAAACAATCAGCCACCGTTTTTTATGCAACGCTTTGTTTAGACCACGAATCACACAACCCACGGCAGCGAGAAAAGGCTGGCTCACAAAGACGAGGCTGTTGTACGCTGCAATGAACGCTTGTCTACGCAAATTTATAAAAAAAAAAGTTGAGACTCTCTCTCTGTCAAAGTTCTTTCTTTCCCTCCCCTTTTCAGCGATTTCTAGCGTTTCTTTACTCGCCGAAAAGATGAGGATGCACCCGTGATTTTCCCCTTTTATCCTGTACAATAACCGGTTTCTTCCGTAACTTCCCATTTTTCCTAAAACGCTTAAAATGCCACAAACCAACGTTCAACTAAATAAAGATGAAAATACAAAAAAAAAAAAACAGAATTCTATTCACCTTTTCTTACAACCGATTCATACCTATTTATGCCAAGTACAACTACTGATACTATGTCGCGTTCGTTTATATTGATTTTTGCATTTTTTGTTTATCATATATTTTGCATGCAGCTGTCATGTTCATCCTTCCACCTTTCCATCTTTTTTAATATCTCATAAATTCAGACCAGAGTCTGGTTCAGGGCATTTTTTTTTTGATTGATCATTTAATTTATTTCGGATATAAAAATGACTCATGCATTTAAATGGCAATTATGAGCACTTAGCTTTCGTTAACACTTAACAAAGACGCACTTACTACACATTCAGTCGTTTTAAACTATTAAATTAGTTGAAAAAATAAGTTTGCTTGTTTTAATTTGAAGATATATCTGTTCAATAGATTCTATTGCTCTTACCCAGTTTAATCACTTTTTCTGTCCACTACCCGCTTATTTCATCAACTTATATCATTTATTCTATTCCTGAAAATATGACAACTCAAACCTGAAAACAACAAAGTAACCATCTTATTTACCTGAAATCATCACTAAAGGCATTTTTTCGCCTACAGAACTGTTTTATTTATAAAAAAAATGATAAAACTTTACGTACTGATTCAGCTGCATAAAAATATCCATACATCTATTCACGTGACACGAGACTCCCCTCACGCTGGGTTAGTTAAAGTTTATCTTAAACTTATTAAAGAAAATTTCGAAAATAAAGCACCTTATTTCAAACAATTTTACTAGAATGACGGTGGAAGACAAGCGCATCGGACACCTGGTCGTCGACTCCGGTGGCTTCATCAAAAATGCCCCGATCGAGCGACTCTGCGCAAATGCATACACGATCCCGGAAGTAGTAGCAGAAATCAGAGATAAACAGACAAAAGCGCGACTCAAGATCTTGCCTTATGAACTGAAATTTAGGTTGGCAAAATGGCTCAAAGAAGCAGCATTTTTTTTAAGTTATGTTTTTAGAGATCCCTCTCAGGAGGCGATCAACAAAGTATCCGAAGCTGCCAAACTCTCTGGAGACATTGCCTCGCTCTCTGCTGTTGATATCAAAGTTTTAGCCTTGACTTATCAGCTCAGTAAAGAATTGGCACCAGAAAAGGAGCTGAAGGAAGATCTCTCGAGTGTCGAGACAAAAGAGCAGATCGGAGCGGATCCTGCAGGTTGTCAGCATTTGTTTTTGGCCATAGTTTGAGCATCATTTTAGTGGACGAAGCTAAGAAGATTCGAGGGTTTTACGAAGGAGATTCGTCAGAAGACGAAGACGACGGTGAAGGAGAATGGACGACGCCAGATAATGTGGACGACGATTCCGAGGACGACAACGATGATGATTGGATCACGCCATTCAACATCGACGATGTCCCAGAAGAAGTCGAAGAGCCCGATTTCGTCGCTTGTCTTACGACTGATTTCGCCATGCAAAACGTGCTGTTGAGAATGAAGATCGGAATGGTTGGCGTTGAAGGACGAAAGATCAAAAATGCAAGAAAATATATTTTAAGATGCACTGGCTGCAAATATATCGACAAGACTTGTACAAAGGTTGGTTTCTACAATTTAGTCAAAGCTTGAAGCCGACTCTTAGGTCTTCTGTCCCGGCTGTGGTCACAAGACAATGCGTCGGGTTGCGTGCGAAGTCTTGGAAGACGGAAACATCAAACTCTTCCTGGCCAAAGATCCCAAATGCCTCAAATCACGAGGCACCGTCTACAACTTGCCTAAACCCCAAGGCGGTAAATACGCCAAGAACCCGGTTCTAACGGATCTCCAGCCAATGCCGCAACAGCGAGTTTCAAAGAAGACGATGATGCGAAATAATATCATGGCATCGGACTTGGACGCGATGGAATCGCCCTTCCATTTCAACGATACAGAATCGAAGGGATACAGATTGGGCTTTGGCCAGCGAAACAGACATTTCAAAAATCCAAATGCTTCGCGACCACGAGGAAAGAAGAAGTAAGAAAAGAGAGAGTACTGTACAATCAAACGCATCAATAAACGTAAAAAATCAATCACAAGCGAAAATAAAAGTATTTTACTGTTTATTTTTGTATTCTGGAGGAGAAGTGATGTTTGCAATAGTATTGACAGTATTGGCAAGAGCAGATAGCAGCAGTCTCTGTTCTTTAGGCCAGATTTTCTTCTTTATCTCATAAAGTGCATAAATAATATAAATTATGATGAAAATGTAGCTTGCAAGAAATATCCTAATGAAGAAATCGTCGTTGTCTCTTTTCGGGTACATGCTTGTCGGAATTAAGAGAGATCGTGTTTTTGTGTAATTGAATTATTTGCTGGGCATGAGGATACAAAGTATTGATTTTTGAATTATATTAATACGTCTAACCAGAGGAAGCGATCCATTCCGTGGCGATTAGATTATTTTTAGATATAAATATAGCATTCAAACGTAGGCAGTGCGAAGGTATACCCACGAGATTCTAAGCCAAAGGGGAACAGATAATCGATATTTTAAGCTATTGATCGACCTTAGTTTAGAAAAAAATATTAGAGAGTTGCACGTAAAAACGTGAAGGTAATTAAATGAAGTAACTTATAAAAAGACATAAAATGGGGAAATCGATTAAGTTCGAGTTAGGGTTCCCCAGAATCTACTTTGATGCATGAGCACTCCATCATTCACTCATGATAAGCCAATTGTTTTGAAGCTCTTGTGAAAAGGGATGAGCTCTGTGACACGCTGAGGTCTGGCCTGCGGGCCAGGGCAGCTGGTAATGACCTTCGGGAGTGTCCCTTCAGAGGCTTTGCACAAATTCCTTACTGTATTACTACTCGTGCAGCAGATGAATTTTTTCGCACCCCGTTAGATTGATTTTTAGTTTTTTGTTTTAGTTAATATTGCAAAAAAAATGACGGCGGAAGAAAAGCAGAGAATAAGTTTGAAGGACAGATTGCAGAATGTGATTGAGAGCAATATCAGACTGGAAAATAGAGCAAAAGCTGGAGAAGTAGCTATTGAAATCGTTAGAAAAGGTAAATTTGGATTCATTAAGAGTTTCTTATTCTGTTTTAGATCATTTGTTGGAATTGAACAGAATCAAAGTCTTCTATGAAAGTGAGATGTGTGAAGCCAGAAGACTTTTGGATGACCAAGCAGACGAACATCATCGGTAAACTGAATAAATATGCCCGATTCTAATTCAAGTTTCAAGCGAGCAAATGAAAACAGCTAACCTCAAAAGAGAACTGGAAGCATTGAGAAAGCTCAATGGCGAAACAGAGAAAACATTGGAAGTTGTTAAATCTGCGCTTAAAAGTAGCGAAGACCGTTTTGAGCGAACAAATCTTAATCTTACTCAAAAAACACGTGAAGCAAAGCAGCTTGAGGAAGATGTTAAACGTCTTACGAAAGAAAATTCAGACTTGAGTGGCAAAATAACAGGTGATTGTTGATTATGATTTGTTTCTAAAATATGTTTCATCGAAGTTCTGAATGCACAACTTTCTACCTCATCGACTGAACTGCATGCAACTAAAAATAAGCTTCAAAGTGCAGAGGAGATGGCTGCAATGAAAAATCAGCTTCTGGAAGATTTTATCGCGCTCAGAAAGAACCAAGAAGCTGAGCGAATTGAACGTTGTGAAACTCATCCCACATTGCAGCCGACTGAGGAGTTAGCAGAAAGCTTTAGAAATGAGATTCTGCAGATACAGGAGAATGAGCAAAAGAGAAAGAATGAATACGAAATGGAAATCAAAAACTTGAAGAAACAGGTTTCAGATTATAAAGCGGACGCTTCAGCAAATCACTCAAAATTTGTGATTGCAGAGAAAAAAATTGCTTCAGCAGGTAATTTTTTTTTAGTTTCTTTCTTTATCGATTTATAGAGGAGCAGCACAAGAATGAGCTTCTGCAACTGGAAGAAGAGAATCGCAAAAACCTAATTGAAATTGAAAAACTGAAAGATAATCAAGCAGAGTCACAACAGGCGATTTCTGAGCGTGATTTGGTATTCATAAAACCATTAAATACCTTGTCATTTTTCTTATATTTTAGGAAATCAAAAAGTTGAACAAAATCGCAGATTCTCTCCAAGAAAGTGACATCAAGAAGGAACTCACAACGTTCGAAAGTCTGCTGAAAACAGAAGAAGACCGCCTCGGAATCGCCTCTCGAAAACGTCCGGCTGAACAAGTTGAAGATAACGACAGCACAGATGAGAGTGATGCAAAGAAAAACTGTTCAATTATGTAGCATGTCTGTAGCTTGAGAAATAACAATAAATGTTTGCCTAACTCGTTTTATTTCAGTAGTAAAGTATCATGTTTTCTTCATCAGAAATAAAGCTCAGTGAGTATGAAGCAACTGTTTGAATGCTCGATTCGTCATCTCGTCTTCCCTTTTTGTTAAACTTTCAATTTTCTTTATAAAATGTAGCTATACTTACGTTACTTACTTCATCGTTGCGATAATATTCCATTTCCGACTCGATTGAATGGGCTTCACATGCGGAGCCAGCATAACAAACCAAATCATTTATTTTGGTGTCGCCATAACCACTGTATCCAATTTATGAACCCGCTTTGGATACTATTAGCAGCTCAAATTTAAACTCAGTTAATGAATTTTCCTGGCAGAAGAGTCGTCCCCAGACTCTCCTATTTGATCAAGCTCCATGCTATCTAAAATGATGATGAGAAAAGTATATTTACCGATGATTAGTTACCAATGTTGTCAATCTCATAAGTTGCGAAAATTCCAGCATATTTCTCCTCGTCGTCTAAAACACGATCCATCATTTTGTCCGAGCTAAGAGAAGATTGTTCTTGCAACAAATAGACTCGTTTCCACAAGCTTTCCAATTCCTCAATATCCATCGCTTCAAACAGATCTCTTTGAAGCCCAGTCGTTTCTACTAACGCAGTCATGTTGATGTAAAGCTCTGGATCTCGTGTTCTCTCTCTTTCAACGAAAAAATTTCTGAAACGGTTAAAGAAAGAGCAGAGTTGTTCAAACATCGCATAGAAAAATCTGTAGCCAGGTTTTCCGCAAAATCCCAAAATGAGAATTTTAACTGCAGAAGAAAAAGGCATGTATGAATTTGCTGTTGATCATTTGGGCGGACAACTACCGCGGATAAGCTGTCTACTTGATTATGCAAAATGTTCTGAAGAAGATGGAAAAATCATAAGATTGGAATAAGTTATTAATATCTACTCTTCAAGGCTGCAAGTCTTAATTAAAATATATTTATTTATTATTAGATTTTGGCTTCTCATCATAGACAAACAAAAGTGCTAATAGTCTCGGCCATCAAATTCTCAGTGCATCATTTCTCCGACGGCTTCCCTCTAATACATCGCAGTTCTTATTCGTAAAAGATCTTGCGATGAAGCTTTTACCGGCTCTCGTTCTTGGCGCCGTTGTCGCTCAGGACTACTACTTCGATGCTAATGGCGAGAGAAAGAAGAAGAAGACCAAAGTGACGAAGAGTGATGCTTGCGGATGCACTGAGATGCCTAAAAATGGACCTGACGCGGTGGCTACTTGCGTTTCGGTAAGTTATTTCACAAGTTACCTTGAGGAATTTATTTGAAAGGACGGTGGAAAAAGAAAAACTATTGATTGGACTTGTCCAGCGACAGGAACCACTCAGCGGTTCACCAACGTTAAATGCAGACGAATCAAAAAGATGAGCTTGAACGAGCAATGTGGCGATCTCACTTGCAATTGCAAATCTGAAGTCGACGCTTTCGTTGCTACAATGAGCCCTGATGAGGGACAAGCTGTCGGTACGTGCACGAATGCTCGAAAGAAGCCAACATATAAGCTTTTCTGCGATACTGACTCTGACAACATCCATGATGCTGGAGAAGTTTCCCAGGAGTTCAAAGTCAAGTGCAGAAACGGTGAAATCCGAAAGAACAGATTCGACCAGCTTCTCTGTGGCAATTCTATCATCGGAGGTGACGGATGGGAAAGCGGTCCAGCTTCAATGCCTTCTGGCTTGACCTGCGCAGATCCAACTAATCCATTTTCCGCTAGAAGAAAACGCAAGATCAAGGATTTCGCTACTTCGAAAATTGTCGGTGGACAAACCGTTGATAGAAAAACAACATGGCCCTGGATTGTCAAGACGCCAGGATGTGGTGGCAGCATCATTTCTGCCAATCCAAGCGGAACCAATGACTGGATTCTTACAGGAAAGTTTTGATATCAAGATTTATTCAAGGGTTAATTTGTTTAATTATCAATAAAATGACAAGAATCATCGATAATTATAGACTTTTCGAAATATTAAAAAGCGGCCCATTGTTGCGATGGACTGAGTTCAATGAACGTGATTGTGGGATCTGAAGATCGAATGATTGGTGGAGCTTCCACAGATGAAGAATTTCAGGTTACCTCAATCAGCATCACAAAGCATCCCGATTACAACGGTAATCTTGGTTCTTCTAATTCTCCCGGATCTGATGTCTGTCTCGTCGAAGTTCCAAATCTGACAGGTTTGATTTAATTATACTTGTATTATTTTTGTCAACTATCTAAAATGATTATGAGCAAGAAAAAACACAAAATAATCAATTACAATAGATTCTCAACCGGCCGGATGCAATGACTGTTGGAAACCTGTTTGCCTCCCATCGACTCATGTCGACGATAAGAGACTTTGCTACGTTGCTGGCTGGGGAACTATCTCCTCCGGTGGTAGCTCTTCTACATTCGTAATGCGTATCCCATGTTTTCCTATCCTATTCGTAAATTTAGCTCCGTGATGTTGGCGTCCATGCTTTCTCCCAAGAAGCTTGCACCTCTATCCCCGACATGAGCGGACTCGTTCAAGATAACGAGTTCTGCGCCGGTGTTCCAGATTTCAACGGAGACGGCATTACTGACGGAGGAAAGGACTCCTGCCAAGGTGATTCCGGCGGACCTCTTGTTTGCGAAGAATCTGGCACTGCTGTCATCTACGGCGTCGTCAGCTGGGGCTTCGGATGCGCTTTCCCAGATAATCCTGGAGTCTATGCTAAAGTGTCCTCGTTCACCAGCTGGATATTCTCAACAATGAATTCATAAATAAAAATGATCACTTGGAAAACATATTATAAATTTATTCCAAGAGAAAGTTTCAGCCTCAGTTTCAAAATCACCTTTTCAAGAAACAAAAAGAATGAAAAGTACATTGCAGTAAAAAGCGAACCAGCCGTCTCCACGATAAGAAAATTCAGCAAAAACCACTTTGTCGTAGGAAAATATGGATAAGGCCATCTTCCGGTCACTAAGAATTTGTCGTTTATTATCTAAAGGAAAGTAATTTACCATGATAGATCGAGGTAATCCAAGTTGAATACACCGCACTTAAAATTTGGCCAGGTATTCTATCGGGCCAACATTTTGAGTGAGAAAAATTGTAGGCTTCCAGAAGAGATGCTATAAAAACCCCTGCGTGCTGGACTGAAAAGGATTAATTTTCTAAGATAAATAAGCATTTTTTACCATGTGCAAGCCAAAGGGGCCGCATTCCTACGACACTTCTGTTGAAGCTATAAACAAGGTAGAAATTTCCAAATACAATCGTGCTGCCAGGTCCGATGATAGTTCCTTGCAACCAAGATGAAAATCTTGAGATTCGTCCGTTCTGGTAATGAGCGCCCAGCAATAGAAGACAATAATTGATGATTGCCAATTGATGAATTATGTCCGTCAAGTATCGGAAATAACCACTATTCAACAAGGTTTGAGCACGATATTTAGGCTTACCGGACTGAATTTCGACTCATTTTCTAGCTTGATTCAGTGGTCATGTGACGCAAATATAGAAAGCCTAGAACCAGGGCTTTCATTTGAGCACCATATCGAGGGTCTGGGTCATGCCCGCAAGGCAATTTATGGGACCTGAAGTTCCAAAATGGGCACTAGAATTCTTTAGAAGAATTTTCGATGCCGGGCCGGCCTTCTCAGAAGTCGAGAGTCAGTTATTTAGAAAGCCCAGGCTCTGAGCTTTCCGTAGAGCCCAAGAAATCTTAGTGCAGAGCGGTTTGTGGCCTTCAGCGATCAGTTTAATTGTCAATTTACTGCCTATTTTGGCCATTTTTTGGGAGAAAGTCATCAATTTCATTGAAATTTAACCGCAAAAACAAGACTTCAAGCGCTCGCTGAAGGCCACAAACCGCTCTGCACTAAGATTTCTTGGGCTCTACGGAAAGCTCAGAGCATGGGCTTTCTAAATAACTGACTCTCGACTTCTGAGAAGGCCGGCCCGGCATCGAAAATTCTTCTAAAGAATTCTAGTGCTCATTTTGGAACTTCAGGTCCCATAAATTGCCTTGCGGGCATGACCCAGACCACTCGATATGGTGCTCAAATGAAAGCCCTGGTTCTAGGCTTTCTATATTTGCGTCACATGACCACTGAATCAAGCTAGAAAAATGAGTCGAAATTCAGTCCGGTAAGCCTAACGATATTATTATAGGAACCAGAGATAACAAAAATGCGATGTAACCTTTCCCAACATATCTCAGCGGCTCTCTGTAGATGTACTGCTCACGGTGAAAAATATGAAAGAGCCAGGCCAATAGTAGGACAGCTTAATTTTAGATAAGTCAAAAGAAGAGAGCCAAATTACAGAAGGAAATGAGCCGCGAAAGCTGGTCATTCTTGGGGACCTTCCTTGGTTTCACTCGAAATTGTTTGACTGAAACGACATTGTTGAACATGCGATATTTTTTTGAAAGGCAAGCGTTGGTGATCGCGCGAACTGAAGATAACAAACAACTTGATGAACTGATTTAATATCGCTATCTAGAATTAGATGCAAAAATCTGAATAAAAGATAGAGAGAGGGAAGTAAGAAGATGCTTGTACGACTGTAAGTTTTTTTGTAGTTTTTGTTTATTATCAGTATTTATTGGCAGTTGAGAGACCAGAGCAGTTCGAAGGTGTTGTCAGAGGAATAATAGACTCGTTGTTTGTTGATAAACTCGATCGCATTTTGGTAGTACATCGGAAGGCAAATTTCAGGGCCTTCATCTTCGCTGAGAAGGGTGTAAGATGGCAATTCGTTCTGGTCGTCTGTTTCAGCGATGAAGTCGTCACAAATGTCGAGCGCTTTCTCGGGTGATTGATCATCATCCTTCAGTGCCTGGAAGTCTTGACGGATTGTTTTCGAGATCTCCGGACGAATGGGTTTTTCTGCGACCGTTAATTTCTTTCGGGAAAGTCGTGGAGGAAGAGCCTGCATTTGAAGGATGAGTTTTTCGATGACTTTGGAAGCTTCTTCTTGGTTTTTCTTCTCAGGCCAAAAGGATCCGACGTTTTTCTGAAGCATTTCTAGCGTGATTTTCGTCTCGATCTTTGCTTTTCGCATATTCTTCCGCTTCGACATGAACCATTTGTTAATTTGTCCGTTGCTCATCCCTGTCTTTTCAATGAGAAACTGCTTCTGGGATTCATCTGGGGTTCTTGTGATTTCAAAAAGTAGTTATTCAGGAATTCGTCCTGTGGTTTGGTAAGAGTAGAATGTTTTCGGGTCATTTTGGTTTGCTGATGAATGTAGAAAGTGGAGTATATACCGATTCTCGCAGAAAAGGTGGCGTACTCGCGACACAGCAGGAGAAAAGTTCCTGAAAGGGAGAATCAGATAACCGCGGGATGCCGGACACTACGAATGCGATGAATTCTGATGATAGTGACCCACAGAGCTTTTAGTGAAATCTCAAGTTTACAAAAGCATTAGTGAGCTACTAGACGCCGCTGAAAAGACTTCTTGTCGATATGAAAAGAATTCGTTCAAGTGGCTTCCTGTTGTCTTTCCGTATTTTGAGCCCTTGGAAAAATTTCCGCTTTTAGCTTTGATGTTGATGTTGCTCAGAGAAGTCAGGATGAGCTCATTTATAAGAGTCTAATTGAGAGACAATTGCACAAGAGGACACTATGAGATATTTTAGGTACTTTTTTTATTTTTGAAGTGCTTTTTGCTTCTTGAATTTTCAAGGCCAAATTTTTTTATCACTGATTTCAAGCAGCCAGGACGAGCTTGATCCTGCGAAGCCCCGCAGGCAGCGACGATGAGCTTTCTGCGCAGATTTGCTTTGACAGGAGTGAGTTGAACGGCGCTCACTCTGACAAAATTAAACTAGAACGGAACGGTAGTCGTGGCCGGCGGCGCTTTTACCTCGATTCTGCAAAGTTCTTGGTTTACTTGATAAGATTCTGCCGGCTATTCCGTGTTATTTCCGTAAGTTTTTACAATTTTAAGTTTTAGCATGTTGTTCTTTGAATAGTTAGCTAATTTCAACCCAGAGAAAAAGATCAAGAGATTTTGCGCAGCTGCACCTTCAGTCATCATAAAATTGGTAGCAATATATGTCGAAAAGTCTGCGCTTATCCGATAGGCCTTGAATCCAACACGTAAATAGTTGAAAGTTTCAACTTGAAACGCTTGATGTTGGATGACGCTTATCTTTATTCAAATTGAATTTTTGCGATTACGGATTATCCTTACGGGATATCTTTGTTTTGGGTAAAAACTGAATTCTAGGATTACCCTTGGTAGCTGGTACATCGTATGAAGCACGTTGTAAAATAGTTTTATGTCTGTTATTTAATTGACCGTAGCTGACAAAAGAAGCCTTGAACCGATTCCAAATTGTTATTTTCTGCTGATAAACAACAATGAAGCGGGTTTCAGAGCAAAGAGAAGCTTCAATGAAGGGGTGAATATTTTCAACTTTTTTTTTATGTTTTGCTTTTTGCGATTTTTAATGCCTTTTCGCCGCGATTTTCGAAAATATGTACCTTAGACGAATAAGTAATGAAATAAAGTTCACGTAAGTCGAACACGTTACTACTTGGCCGCGCATAATTTTTGTTTATATATCAACAGATTCGAGCTCAGAATAAAAAGTTCAACCCTTTTGGCGCCCGAGAGGGCTGTAAATGATAACTTATTCTAGCATAGGAATACTTTCAAAAGAAAGGTTTTTTTATTAATAAATTTGGTTGATTAGATAGGATCTCGTTGATCTTTGTTCCATCTTTGGGCGTGATGCGTCACTTTCTCTTGATTCTATCAGCAGGACTGAAAGCAAAGTTGATTGATTTTGAGCCCTACTAAAGTCAACCCGTCCTCTGAATTCAAACCCAACTAATCGCGAGCGGCTGAGAGAAAACAGAGACGTGTGTCTGTGTCAGGGGCCAATTACAATCACTTCAGTCGCATCTTAATTGTCAAATAAAGAAGAAAAATGCTGATTATTTTTATAATCAGTAGGCTAACTTGAAGAGAAAGAGCTTCGAAATGAACATGCTCGGTAAATGTGGGAAAATGTTACTTTGATACGCGTAAATCATTTCTCTCACGCTCCACCAGGAGTATTTTTATCTAAATTTTATGATGTAAATACAAAAAGAATGCGGGATTTCGGGAGATTCGCTTGCGGATAAGATGGAGGGCGGTGCGCATAAATTTTTTATGAAGCCTCCAGTGATTAGCCACTGTAGGCTCTTGAAAATAATCGGCTACTTGAGAGACAAAGCGGGACAAAAGTTAGAAGAAATGCAAAAGAGTGACGTGATTTTAAGATCGTCTCATATGGGCGCGATGAAAACGGCGAAGCAAGAGAGAAAATGGTACTGGCAGGCTGCGATAGGAGTCCTGATAGGATGGCTCCTGGGACAGAGTGTGATCAAAATGGAAAACAGCTGCAAACGTGGCAAGGGATACAGTGTTGACTACACGTCGGAGGATAATATTCCTGATGGCGAGCTGGACGGTAAGCACTCGAGCAATATTAATTTTTCATCTTGCTTCAATACTTGATTCAGCTCCTGGGAGAATCCGCCAAAAACCACGAAGAAAAAGAAAGTTCCTCTATGTTGCCATGATGTCTGCTGACAAATTCATCGATTCAAGAGTCAAAACTGCCGCCGAAACCTGGGCAAGTTCATTAAAAACATGGAACAAGGATTCTGGCGTCGACGTGGAAATTTTTGCCCAAAGTAACTACACAGGCGTTCCTCATCATATCGTCAAAATGCCCGGAATTTCGGATAATGTCTACCCGCCTCAGAAGAAATCTTTTTCGATGATGCGTTACGTCCATGATCACAAAGTAAACGATTACGAGTGGTTTCTCAGGCTCGATGATGATGCGTATGTTCACATAGGAAAGTTTGCTAAATCATCTTTTCAACATCTGAAAAAGCGCTGACAATTTAGTAAACTCGTAAAGAACACTTGGAGAGCTTGTTGAGAAGAATAAACTCATCTGATGCACTGTACATTGGTTCGCCAGGGTTTGGTCGAGATAACGATGATTTCGTTGAGGACAACATGGTCTACTGTATGGGCGGTCCTGGAATTGTCTTTTCGAAAATTACCCTGCAAAAATTGTCACCCAAGCTGGGGGAGTGTCTCAAGAATAATCTGATGACTGAGCACGAAGATATCGAGCTTGGAAGATGTGTTTATCATCATGCTAATGTTGGCTGCACCAAGTCTTATGAAATGGCTGCGCTTTTCAAGAATAATTACAATGTGGAAGAAACTGACTCAGAAGGACTAAAGCCTTTGTTTGAAGAAGTAGCCGCTCATTCAGCAACCTACCACGCGAACAAAATCCAGGCTAATCAATTCGCTCTTCATAATACTGTCATGCTCAAGAAAATCCAAAAGCTTCGTCAATCAGGTACTCTTCGTTGATTTCAGACCCGTCGTAAAATAATTATTTCAGCATCTGAGCTCGAAAAGGACGTTGAAAGAATGAGAAAAGAAATCTTTGACAATTCGCCTTTCAAAGATCGCAAATTCTACAAATTACCACGTGACAAATCTGTCGTTTGGCAGCAAATCACACAAGGGCGGCATTATTCTATCGACTTCATTTCTCGTGGTATTCTCCAACCCTGGGTCAATGTCGTGACGGAACTCGCGAGAGAAGCTGCGAAGGCATATTACAAGGTCTGATTACAACCTCGGAAATAAGGATCAGAACTTTCTTTTTTAGGAAAATAAACTCCATGGGAAGATCGAGCGAATTCACGTAGACCGTGTTTATCAAACAACATCCGGTACAGCGACCGAATATCTTACCATGATTGACATGAAACACATCATCAATGGAGAAGAAAATACTGTCACCGCCGCTTTCAGAGCAAAGCGGTCCTTTTTATCGTTGATGATGGAGGAACCCGGACAGCTTCAAATGCCTCTTATAAACAATGCTATCAATCAAAAATCAGACTACAATCAAGAAGCAAATCCAACTCCTGTCAATTTTATCATTCCACTTTCTGGCAGATCCGACGCTGTTCGTGTTTTCCTTGACCGATTGAAAATCGCTGCCCTTTCTCACAGAATCCACATCAACGTCAAAGTCGTCTATTTTGCAAATGATGATCACTCGACTCCAGAGGATGAGAAGAAACTCAAGGAAATGCTGGATGAAGTAAAAGCAGAATATCCAAATTATTTATTCGAAATTCATAACGCAGATGGGCCATTTTCAAGAGGAAAAGGTATGCTTCACAATTTTTCTTGCGCTTTAAATTTTTAGGGCTTCAAATCGGAGCTGAAACTTGCCAAGATGGAGAGCTTCTCTTCTTTTGCGATATCGACATGCAGTTCACCGTCGATTTCTTCCACAGACTCCTCGAAAATACAAAGCCAGGAGTTGCATACTACCCAATAATCTTCTCGCAATTTGACAATAAGCATGTTGGTGACGAGTCGGACAATTTCAAAATTGAAGAGATTAGAGGTTTTTGGCGCGAGTATGGATACGGCATGGTCAGTTTGTACAAAGAAGATTTTGATAAAGCTGGTGGCTTTGATGTTAAAATCATTGGCTGGGGGATGGAAGATGTTTATCTTGCGTCAAATGTTGTCAGGAAAGGATTTCAGCTCAATTTTTTATTTTCATAATAAAATATAACATTATAAAATCCTTTGAAAGTAACAACATCAGAATCATGCGATCAAACGAGCCAAAACTCGTTCATGTCTTCCACGACAAACACTGCGATCCAGACTTGTCTCCCTCTCAGTTAGACTCATGCGTCAAGGATAGTTTCAAATTGACAACGAAATCGAGCTGGCCCGCTTTCTGAGAGAAAGAAATAAATCTACGGGCAATTTCGGGTGTTAGATTGACGTCAAATCTGGATTAATTGGATTGAAGTTTTAGCGCTTTGTCGTTACCTCTAATGGAGGAATTACGATTATACAGCGATTAGTAGTCTAATTTTTACGGGCAAACAGCAAATCCTTCGCCAAAACATAATAGAAACTTATAAAAGACAAAGTTCAGCCACTATGGCCCGGCCGTCTATCATTATTCAGTTCTCAAAAAACTGGGCACCTCTGCGACGAAAGAACTGCTAGGAATCAAAGCATAACATTCCAACTCCAAGAAATTTCCAAGTCTTTTCTGCCAACACAAACTCCAAAAGTTTCAAATGTTTAAGTTTTTACCTCTTGCTTTTAGCAAGATGCAACCGTTACAATAAATAAGTTCGAGCAATAGACCGTGTCTTTTGATCTTTATGTTGTTCAATTATCACTCGTGCAATTTGAAGGCGATGTTTCACAAATATTTCCTCGATAAATCTGTTCGGAAATGACGAGCTCCAGCCCTCGACGGGTAACCAGTTGAAGACAGCTGAGTCAGAGGGGTTGTTTGGTGAATCATTAGGTACAATCGGATGGGAGTGCATCCTACAGTCACAGACGTATGGGAGGAAGTGAGAGAAGGCTCACGAGAAAGCTGATCATATGTCAATGACGTTTTCACCGAAAATATATCGTTCGGAAGAGAAGATTCTCTTTCTGTGAAGTTTATATACTCTTGGTTTTTCGGAATCTAAAAGGTAAGATAAAATTCATAAAGATTGCGCAAATCAGTTATAAAATCTGGCTACCTTTTCGGTTTTTTTCTGGGTTTTTATAGTACAAAGACTCGATAGATAACAAGTTTTTCAATTATACAAAAATGATCTAAGAATAAATCAAATCATATGACTGAGGACAGTTCAAACTTGGTTCTCAGATGACACTTTAAAGTTCGGAGATGATGAGGCGTCCGAGCCTCAATGCTTCTAGCGGCGCTATTCTCAACCGAGCTAAGGGAAAACTCTTGAACGTGGAAAGCCTTGCCGATACGTGTAGCAAAACGTGAAAGAGAAAACGTGCCACTGAAAAATATATAAACGAATCCAACCCACTTCCATGAGAGTTTCAACACTGTTTCCAACCCAACGAGCTCAAGAAAAAAGAACGTCGACGATCGTCAATCTTATCTTCATTATTCTTCTTCAAAGCTTATTAATCAGTATGGTCGATGCCTCCCCTTTCAATGTAAGATTTCATCGTTGCTGAATTTAAATTTCAAATATTTTTTGTAGAGACGAGGACATTTACATACCAGATCTTCAAGAAAATCAACAAATGAAGTCAACGAAACACATGTACCGCGCCGTAAGTTCAGATAAATAGCTATCAAGAGATGAAAAAATAGGAATAGTATTATATGAAAAAATAGGATGATATTCTTGAGCTAATCTACCGGAACAGGGCCATAAATCACACCGCCCCCATCGATTTGGGCAGCAGGTGATGTTTATTGCTTCTTGTTTCGGATAATTGTTTGATATCATTTCTATTTTTAGTAATCAGCTGTTCACATTTTGACCGTAATGTACTAAAAATAATCGAGCAACGTATCATCTTTCCTGTTGGTCGTCTTTTCGTAAAATTATTGTTCAGAAATCGGCGCTCTTCCTGCGAATTTCCGAAGTGGAACAGACAGAACTGACAAAGCTCGCCTTTCCGAACAGCTCAATAATAAACGCGGCTCCAATCGCAAAATTATCCAAAAACTTCCGCACGAAGAAAGATATTCGAAATCAAGGAAGAGATCGATGAATAATTCATCCAGAAGAGCTCTTAGAACTTCGATAAGGCATCTGGCTAGTAGATTCAATTGATATCTTTCTACATCCTGTATTATAACTGTAAATAGAACACATTGCTTCACACTGTCAATTAATTAAATATATTTAAAGATTGTTTCCACGCGTTTCTTCTTTAGCAGACCAAGAAACTGTAAATAGCTCTCGAACATAAGTGGGCTCTAATAAGGTGCTTTATGCGCAAGTGATAAGCCCCTGCTGCGTTGGATTTCCCTCATTAGAACTCAATTAATATTCACTTCCTCGTCAAGCTCGATGATCCTAGTTTTCGAAAACTTGGGGCTCTACCCCTTGTCAGTACCCCTTAAATTTTCAAAAAGGTCAAACTCATTTTTTTTTCGAAAAAATACAAGCATTTTGATGACAACAAGTGAGTCAAACACATGCTAAGCTTGTAAGGACTTCCTATGAATCAGGAAAGCGGAAGCGAGGTCAGTAACAGCTGAAGCTGTGAAACTAGCGCAGATTTCCGAACGAGGTGCAAGGACCTTCAGTGCCAGTTTTGTATCCTTATACGGAAATGACTCATTTTCAATTTATTTTCACAATAAAGGCCATTTCATATTCAATGTTATATATTGAATACTGAATAATTATGTGCTACAGGCGGAGGATTAATTAACAAGAGGATATGTTGAGTTGAACAGAAAGCCCATCATCCAGGTTTTTGGCAGTAAAGAGCACTAGATGATCAGGCTCGTAATGAGACTTAAGTCTGTTGAACAGGTAATTAATAAAGATGAAATTAAAAGTGCAGAATAATTGAAATCAAGGAAGAGTGCTAGCATCGTAATTCTTGGTTTTCGCCCGAAACTGGAACTCTCAGTGATGTAATATTTTTCAGAAGAGGAGCCGAATAGCGCAGTCCGTCGAACATGTTTTGAACCATGTTTATTTGGAGGTTGCGATTGGGATCTCCTTCTTTAAAGTACTGATCGCTCTTGAATATTTGACTGAGCACTCTCAAATTAGCTTCCTGATCGTTTATTGTTTTAACGTAACTGAAAAGATTTCTATTGAGATCTATTATTGTTGGATCTTCTGGTACAACGATGTCGCAGTCGTTGATCCTTCGCCTCTCTCTAGCTGGAGTTCCTTCTCGTGTCGCGTGATTTGTTTCGATAACGTTGAGTTCAAATATTCGGACATTTTCAACTCTGTCCTTGACCATAATTTACTCCCCATGAAGCTCAAAAATTGTCGAAAACGAGAATGTCTGAGAATTCACTTTCTTCCGTGTTTTATAAATCTCCAAAGGGTATACTCAGAGGCGACTAATATTTCCCTTCGGATGAATGAAAAGTTCAAAGATCACCTCTGGAATTTGACTGCTCCCGCATTTCTCAAATCCTGGATTTCTCAAAATCCTGAATTTCTCAAATCGCCAAATCAGGAACCTGCCGATTCAGGATTTTGGGAAATGAAGGATTGAGAAAAGCAGGATTTTGAGAAATGAAAGATTCAGCTAAAATTTCAAATTGGTCTCCGTTTGTCTTAGTCCCCGTTTGCCCAAGAAGAAGCCAATCCTGGCTTCTTCAACCCCAATCCTGGCCTCAATCATGTCTTCTTCAATATCATTGATATACTATCAATCATGGCTCCTCCATCGTCAATTCTGGTTTCTACATCGTCAATCCTAGCTTAACCGACTTCAATCATGGCTTCTCCAATGTCAATCCCGGGTTCTTCGACGTCAATCCCGACTTCTTCAACGTCGATCCCGGCGTCATCAGTTTCAATCAAGGCTTTTCCAACAATAATAAATATGAGAGAACTGAAAAGCCGGGACTGACATCTGAAAAGCTAGGATAGACGGTGGAGATGCCAGGATCGACGTTTGAGCCACCAGAATTGACTTCTGTAAAGCTAGGATCGAAGTTGTTGAAGCCAGGATTGACTATGGAGAAGCCAAGAAAATAAAGTTATATGATTAATCAATTAAAATTTGGGAAAGCAAGAAAACTAACTCAAAAGAAAAAAACCCGCATTTCCCAAAATCCTGAATCGGCAGAATCCTGATTTAGCGATTTGAGAAATACGGGATTTTGAGAAATTCAGGATTTGAGAAAAGGGATTTTGGGAAATGCCGCATTTCAAATGCGGGAGTAGCCCTGGAATTTCTCCTCTCAGTTGAATTTTACTGTGTACTTTCACTTCAGTTCAACGACTTCATTAACCGATGCAAATAGATCTTTTTGTTTCAGTATGAGAATTTTTTCTGATGACTAGAATTCTATCAAATGTAGGATAATGTCAGAAGTCTTCACGAAAGCTAGTAAAAAAGGAAAAGAAATTCCACACTGACTAAAGTCGTAAATATTAATTTGACTCATTTATTTTTTTTATAAAATCCTTCTATCGATCATAATTTATGATTCATAAATAAGGATTCATTATAGGGATTTCCGGGAAATCATGTCCCCTCCTGACTGGCGAATTCGTGTCCCACTATCCGCACGAAATGAGTTGGGGCACCACTTTTTAGCGTGATAGAGCCAAGCGCTCAATAATACAAAAAAATATCATGGGAACAGGGATGGAAATCTGAGCGGCACGGCACGGCACAGCGGCATGGCACGGCACGGTACGGCACGGAGAATAAAATCTGGTTGCGGCACCGCGGCACAGCCCCGTTCCTTGATTTTTGAATTTAAGGGTTTGACGGCCCTTCGGGCCGTTTCAGCCCCGTTCCTTGATTTTTGAATTTAAGGGTTTGACGGCCATTCGGGCCGTTTTAGCCCCGTTCCTTGATTTTTGAATTTAAGGGGCTTGAATAAGTTATATGCTTCAAATTCGTGCTGTGCCGTGCCGTGGTGCCGCGGCACCCCATTATCAAATTTTGTGCCGTGCCGTGCCGTACCGTGCCGCGACACGGGTATTTTGGTTGTGCCGTGCCGTGCCCCCGGAAAATTCTGTCATATTTCCATCCCTGCATGGGAAGAGATTGGTGCGGATTCACCGCACCAATTCGCACGAATTCGCGCCAATTTTTTAGGGTCCAAACATCTATTTATTGCGGCCATTGGGATACAAACTCGCCAAAAAGCTACCAGTATTGAGCGTCAAGTCGTCAGAATCTGTTGTAAACAAGATCATCTTTGGTAGCCAGCTCAGCTGTGAAGTGAAAATCTCCACTGGTCATAAATTTTGATTATCTAACAGGTCCTCTCTCTTCCTTTCATAGGCTATAATTTCGAAATATTGATTCAATCTATCGCATCCTGTAAATTTCGCGAGTTAGAGACGTCAACACTGCTACAGTACTAGACTTTAGTAACTTTATTTTTTAGAAAAAAGCCTTACTATTCAGCAGAAGTTCAAAAGTTGAACTTTCGTGAAAAATTCAGATTTTCAACTGATAGACGTTTTCGGAAAGAACGCTGACTTTCGTTGAGCGCCCTCCTGATTGGCCGATTATTTTTCGTCTCTCCTGGTCGGTTTTTAGAGAATTATCGAAAATGAACATTTTAACGAAGATCAGGCTGATAAATGAGCTAAATTACAAAGAGCTTAGACATGGAACGAAACCTGAAAATTCTTGGCACATGCAATACAAAGGTACCGAAAATTAATTAGGAAATAAGTTTTTCACCGCGAAAAAAATAGATTCTGCGTGGATCTACGCTGGAAATTTGAGCTACAAACTAACAGAAGGAGATTTGCTGGCCGTTTTCTCGCAGTATGGAGAAATTTCGAACATTAACCTTGTCAGGGATCGAGAAACTGGCGCTTCGAAGGGCTTCGTTTTCATCTGCTACGAAGATCAGCGAAGTACGATTCTAGCGGTCGATAATTTCAACGGAATGGAGCTTTGTGGAAGGCCCGTTCGAGTAGATCACGTGGAAGAATATAAAGGTAGAAGATCTGCTCGAAAATATCAAATTTTCTTTTAGTGCCAAAAATACACGACGACATGGAGCCAGAACTGAAAAAACTGAAAATCGAAGGCGTTGGGCCAAAAACTCCCGAACCATCCGACAGCGAGGAAGAATTACCGACAATCGAAGCCATCAGAGACCACAGAAAAGACAAGGCAAAGGCGGAAAAGGAAAAGAAGAAGGAAAAAGAAAAACGACTTCAGAGAGAGTTTCGATGCTCTCTTGCTCTTTTCAGAGCCGCTGAAGGTGAGATTTTTGATCGAATTTTCAAGATGAATTTAATTTTGAAGGTGGTTATTATGAAGATTTGACAAAAGACGAGCAGAAAACGATGAAGCGCAAAAACAAGAAGAAAACGCGATACGAAGAAGAAAACGAAGTTTTCGAAGCTTTCGGAAGCTCAGCGAAGTGTCCTTGGTAGATTTCTGCAAATCAGTTGGCATCTCTATTCGTACTGCCAGAGTTGATCGATTTTTAGTGAAACACTGGACTTTGAAAATGATTTTTTAGAGATTGTTATGACACGTCGGCAGTCGCGACGATTCACAATGTCGCTCCCTCCGGAGCAGCAAATTACCAACTTTCTGAGGGAAAACCCTTTAGCTACGGATATCAATCGAAACACAAATAAATGTTAAAATCGAAAAATATCCGATCGAAAGTCTGTTCGATTCTGGAGGACGACACTGAGAAAATGGAGCATATTTTGGAGACAAATCCGAATATTAACGTTTCCAAGCACGACAATCACCGGCAAACACCTCTTCACTACGCGGCCTTTATTGGAAATGAGGTAAAACAGCAGCTAGCGTCAAATCCTAACTCTAATTTGAAGAATACTTGTGTCACGTTGATACGATACGGTGCTCAAATCGACGTAAAAGATAATATTGGTTTGACGCCCTTACACAGAGCTTGTGCTGCGGATAGATCACAAGCTGTGGATGTCCTTATTGAGGTAACTCGACGCTGTTTATCTACAAGAGGGTTAAATAATTCCTTCAGAACGGCGCGGATTGTTCCATTCGAAACAGAAACTGGGAAACAGCGTGGCACATTGCAGCAGCTCACGGAGCTGTTTCTTGTCTCCAGCGACTCTTGTGCAAAACTGGCAATGTAAACATACAAGATAAATGCGGAAGAAGCGCTCTCCATCACGCGGCAGTGAAGGGACAGGATCAAGTCACCGAGTTTCTGATAGAAAACGGCATCAATGTCTCTAACTGCGACCGTCAAGATAGAAGAGCGCTTCATTGGGCTGCCTCGGCAGGACACAGGTTATTTTTTGCCTCTTCATCAATTTTTATTGTGACTTCAAGTAATGTTGTGGAACTGTTAATAAACCATGGCGCGGATGTGAACGCGAAAGATGCACTTGCCAACACAGCGGTGCATTTTTCAGCGCGAAACGGTTACCAGTTGGTTGTTGAGCAACTTATCCACTCGAATGCGAATCTCGATCTTCAAAATAACAACGGCGAAACGGCTCTCCATCTCGCGGCAAAATACGGTCACGCCGAGTGCGTCGAGATCTTGCTCAAATATGGCGCCAGGGCGGACATCACCAACAAAGTTCTGAAAACGCCGTTGCACTATTCGGTGATCACGAATCGACAGAATCCGGCGATGGTGGAGGCGACGAAAGCGTTTCTGCAGACTGTTGGCGGCACCTGCAACGTTGATGTTAGGGGCAGAACTCCGCTTCACTGCGCTGTGCAGAACAGGGCGACCGATCACGTCGAAATACTTTTACAGTTCGACAATCACAAGGAGCAGCATTCGGTGAATATGGCTGATCACTTGGGAAATACGCCGCTCCATTACGCCGCGGAATTGGACGATTGTGAGATGGTTCAGCGACTGCTCCAGCATCGAGCCTCGCCGAACCAGGAGAATAAGGAGGGAGTCACTCCTTTTCATGTTGCTGCTAAAATGAGCTCTAAAGAAGTTATTAATTTTCTACTGCAAGCTGGTAAGATATCAAACAATGACTAAACCTAATCAAGTTCTCAAGGTGCCGCGCCAAAACTCGACAAGAAGAACCGTTCAATTTTGCACTATACCGCGATGGGAGGCCGCCTTGGAGTCATGGACATCCTATCAAACATTGATCCAGAAATCGAGCGCACCGACTCTTCAAGAAAATCTGTTCTGCACTACGCGGCCATGGGTCAGAATGTGAAAATGGTTGCAAATCTGATTTCCCAACTTCCAAAGTCATTTGTGAATCAAAGCGATAGTGATGGAAAAACGCCACTTCATCATGCCGCAACGAACAATTACTTTCTCCGTGTTCAAAAGTCTTCTGACCCCGGCGCGTTGAATATGGCCAGAGACAACATCTTTCAATACGAGCAGAAGTCAGCAGAGATATGCGAAATTTTCCTTCAGAATGGGGCTTCGGTAGAAATCAGAGACAAAAACGTAGGACTTTCGTTTCTTAAACTGATCGAAATTGAGTGTTTTTAGAACTTTACACCTCTTCACTGCGCTGCGGCGTCAAACAACAATTCTTCACTAGAAATTCTTCACGAGCAAGACCACGATGTCTCAAATGTTTCACTATTAGTTGTTGCCTGTCTTAAAAGATGCATCTCCGTCGTCGAAAAACTTCTTCAAGATAATCCTGACCTCATTCTTTCTCGCGACTCTACTAACAAAGGTAACTTCGGCTTCTTTCAGCAAGTTTATTAGTCTTCAAAAGGGATGAGCGCGTTGTACGCTGCTGCGAAGAGTGGCTGCATCAAGGCGATTGAAAAAATCGACGAAGCATCCTCGGAAAGCCAAGAAACAATCGGCGAAAACATCAAGCGATTGTTCGAGCCAGGTTTCGAAGGGAAAAACGCACTCCACGTGGCCGCTGTAAACAATCACCCAAGTGCCTTTCAAAAAATTCTCTCAATCGTCTACGGTTCTGCTCCCACTTCTTCTCGCCAATCTTTCGTTTTCAAGGACAATCTTGGCCGGACACCAATTCATTATGCAGGTAAAATTGTTGTAATGTATCAGGACTGTGCATTAAACTAAATTTAAAGTTGGGAACGGAATGTGCGAAGGATTTATGGAAGACTTGTTCGATTGGGCGGGCGAGTCGTCCATCGAAGACGTCGACAATGACAGGAACAATATTTTCCACTTTGTCGCCGCTCGGGGCTCAGTTGATGTTTTCAAAAGCCTCTGCTTGAGAATCAGAAACGTTTCGGAGGCAAGTATTATTGATAAATGAAATGAAGGAAATTAAATTTTAAATAGGTGACTATTGAAAAACTGCTCGTCAAAAGAAACAAGTTTGGAAAGACTCCTCTTCACATAGCCGCAGAGAATGGCTTCTCTGAGCTTGTCGGTCAACTGCTGGAAACATGCCCTCATGCGATCGAAGTCCACGATTCGAATGGACTTACTCCGTTCACTCTTACTGCAGCCCTTGGCCGAGTCAAGGTAAACTCTTTTCCCTCTTTTTTTATTATTTCTTTTTAGACATTCCAAAAAATCATCGACTTCATCAAAGCCGAGAGCATCGACCTAAAGAACCCATGCCATGCTAGAGCCTTCCTCGCAGCCATCAACGGTGGAAACATGTTGATTTTGTCAATTCTCTACAAATACTGTCTCTCCCTTCCTCAAAAAACTCTCAAAACGTGGCTACGAACTAAAAACTCGATCGTAGGAACCACCCTTTCTTTCCTATTTTATATTTTTCAGGAACGCGGTGCTCTTCACATAGCAGCTCATAGGAACGACACGAGTGCCATGAACAAACTGCTGGCGGTTTCAAAACTTGTCGGGGGAAACTTCACGTCGGAACTTTCTGAGTGCGACAGAAACGGACTGAACGTCCTTCAAGTTGCAATTAAAAATGGCTGCATCGATATCACAAAAGGTAAAATTGATTGAAAAGACAAATTTATTATGTTGACAGCAGCGAAAGTAAAAATAGGATTTAACTCCGTTTTAGAAATTTTGAACATCGACAAAGAAGGAGTCCTGCTTGACCAAAACGAAAACGTCGAAGGAAATTCACCGCTACAAATAGCTATCAAAATCAAGAATCGCGAGCTAGCACTGATGATCATGAGCAAATGTACTCCTGATCAGATTAACCATCGTAATTACAGGGGAGCCACTGCTCTCCACATGGCAGTTGAGTCTAGAATAGGTAAGGAAATCAATTTCTTCAATTGATTTACTCTCCAACAAGAGCTTTCTCGGGACTTGCTGAACGCAGGAGCTGATGCATTTGTTTTCGACGATAGCGCGCGTCTTCCTCTATTCGCTCTCTGTCAGAATCAAACCGACCTTTACAACCTTTGCGACATCCTGATGAACATGCTCGAGCGCAAAAATCGCGGCAAGCTCAACGAGCTCAACGAAGATGATGTCAACGGCACCGAAAATGGAAACTCGTATGACACTAGAAAATTGATGCGCTTTTTTCAATTGATTTTTAGAACTTCTCAAAGCCCGCGATACATTTCCCATCTTTGTGTGTCTGGCAATCCAGCATCTTTGGAAAACTCGGCGAGACTGTCTCTTACGTCTTCATTGTCGTCATTTCGACGAAGTTCTGTCTCAAGCGTCAATCCACATAAGTTGGTGAGTGTTACAAGAGCTCATTCATGAAACCCTTTCATTTTTATTCGTTATAATTATATTCGATTTCGAATTAAAATCTTGTTTTGTACGGAAGTGTCGGCACGCTTCGGCCATGTTAGCCTCACGCTTCTATTCTTCCGGTTACCTTACGATCCGGCGTGGCAAGGTTATGCTAAATAGCACACCCTGTGGCAGAATTACCAGTCGATTAAATCCTTAATTTGCCATCATCAAAATTTAAGCCCATACCTTCGAAAAGCAGTTACTTTTATGGTTTTTTTAGAACGGCCGCAGCGACAGCGTCTTCGACGATTATGAAGCCTTCTAGCGGCAAGGAAAGGGCTAATCTAATATTTCGGACACTAAGAGGGGAAAAGTCTGTTCTCCGTAAATTTTTGTCATAAAAATTAGTATCAAGCAGAATCTAGCCGCAGATTAGCGCCACTAAGAAGGAAAATATCTCAGAAGCATTACTTGCTCTCTAAACTTGTTCATTTTTCCCAAAACCAGAGTTCTTGAATATTCACCGCCCCAAAAGAATCCTCAAAAATCACGATTACCTTATTTGTCCGATAAAAAACTAAACCTTTTCGGCAGAAAAAAATATCCGCTTCACCGCCTAAAATCTTTTGAAAAAACCTTTGCTTCAAATTTTCATTTTTTTTATTTAAAAGTATCATCCCATTGTTTTGTTCTTTACAGTTTAATTTCCCTTTCTGCCCATTTATAAATAACCATTCACCTGAAACAACTACCGACCAGATACGCCCAGGCCCCAGGGTCGACGCTGACGTCTTCACTGCCCCTAGTGGCTAACTTTTGAAATTCTCGGATTCAATAATCTTTGATTCATATTCGAGAAAGAACATTCCTTTTTCCTAAAACAATCGTACTTCATAATTTAAAACAAAAACTAGGCTTTTAAAATCAAAGTTACCCATTTTTGTAAACCCATTTTTGGACCCAAACCTGTCAAAAAACAAAAAAGCGGTTTCTCTTTCTGAATAGTTCACGTACTCGTTGAAGTTTGTCCGTGTCCCAAAAAATTCAAAAAAAAAACAAAAATGTTCACTAAACGGTCCGATCACCTTCAAGTGTATCAAAAAATCGTCTCTTCAACAAAAAAAAAACTCACCAAAAAGTCCTATCACAGAGGCCTCTCCCATTTACCTCTGATAAAAAAGATCCATACAAAATCCTCACAAATCCTCAACAATTACCAAAGCAACCAAAAAACTAAAACTTGTTCCAATTTTTCCAAGGAGATTTCGAATCACTTACTACCATTTTATCTTTATTTATATATTTTTTATATAAATTTTGTTCAACAAGTGACTCTCCAAGCCCACAACTACTGTATTTTTTTCGAGAAAAAAATTCTTGAAAGCTGAAATTTCAAAATTTTTCTTGAAAAAACTTCCACTACTTTATTATTATCATTGCCTTGTTTTGTGCTGGCTATTTATATTATTATTTCTTTTCTTTTTAACAGTTCATTTTTCCAATAAAATGATGCGACCACTGCTTGACAGTTTCATTTATTTATATCCGAGCGCTAGAATGGAGGCCGGCGACAGCGTGATCGATTACGCAAAGGAGCAGAACCTTCCTCAAGATGGAAAATCCGCAGAGGAACTTTTTAAAGACTTTGGCTTGACATATGATGATTTTCTTCTCCTCCCAGGCTTCATCAATTTCCCCGCTGATGATGTTGATTTGACCTCTAATTTGACAAAAAGATTACTTTGAAGACTCCGTTTGTCTCTAGCCCGATGGATACTGTTACGGAGTGGGAAATGGCCATTGCCATGGCTTTGATGGGCCCGGTTCTCTTCCACACTGTAGTTTCACTTACTCTATTGTATTTTGGTGATTTTGAACCTTTTTTACAGGCGGCATTGGAATAATTCACTCGAACAACAACGCCGAGGAACAAGCCTCACATGTCCGCCGCGTCAAAAAATACGAGCAGGGCTTTATCAACAACCCTGTTACTCTCCGTCCTACTGATACTGTTCGAGATCTTTTGGAGACAAAAGCTAAACATGGCTTCTCTGGCATACCGATAACAGAATCGAACGAGAAGCACTCTAAGCTGCTCGGCTTAGTCACGAGCCGAGATATCGACTTTTGAAGGAGCATGAGCATGATACGAAGTTGGAGCAAGTGATGACTCCCCGGTGTGATTTGGTTACTGCGCCGACCAGTGTTACGCTCAACGAAGCGAACGTTATTTTGATGAAATCGAAGAAGGGAAAGTTACCCGTGTTGAACGACAAGGTAAATTAACAAAAGCGTGCTCTATTCAAATCAAATCTAGGATGAGTTGGTTGCATTGATCTCCCGAACAGACATCAGAAAGAATCGAGACTACCCACTTGCATCAAAGGATAGCAGCAAGCAGTTGCTTGTTGGAGCTTCCATCAGCACCAGACTTGAAGACAGAGAGCGAGTAAGACTCCTTGTTGACGCTGGTGTCGACGTCATCGTCATTGATTCGTCTCAGGGGAACTCGCATTACCAAATTGATATGGTAAAATACATCAAGGACAAGTATCCTCACTTGCAAGGTAGAGGGATCGTTTTGACAATGATTTTAATGTTTTTAGTGATCGGGGGAAATGTTGTAACTCAAAATCAAGCGTTTAATTTGATCAAAGCCGGTGTTGACTGTTTACGAATTGGAATGGGCTCGGGCTCTATTTGCATCACACAAGAAGTCTGCGCGGTTGGCAGGCCACAAGGAACAGCTGTCTACAGAGTTTGTGAGCTTGCCAAGAAGTATGGTGTGCCGTGTATTGCCGATGGTGGGATAAAGAATGTTGGGCATGTTACGAAAGCTCTGAGCCTAGGTAGAAACATAAACCTTGCCAAGATGTAATTTTGCATTTCAGGAGCGTCAACTGTCATGATGGGATCTTTGCTAGCAGCGACGAGTGAATCGCCTGGTGAATATTTCTATCAAGATGGAGTTAGATTGAAGAAGTACCGAGGAATGGGCTCGCTGGATGCAATGAAACACAAGGCAAGCCAGAGTCGATACTTCTCGGACAAGGTAAGAAATTGAATTAAGGTGACTTTTTTTATCTTTCTCTTCTAGGATAAGATAAAAGTTGCACAAGGTGTCTCGGGTGCAGTGCAAGATCGTGGCTCAATTTACGACTACATTCCGTATCTCATCGCGGGAGTCAAGCACGGTAAACAAGATTTGGGAATCAAATCCGTTCGTGACATGCACAAAGCTCTCTACAGTGGTGAATTGAGATTTGAAAGACGGTCGGCGGCTGCACGTGGCGAAGGTAAAATCATTTTTATCATCAAATCTTACTGATGCCTGTATTTCTAGGAGGAGTTCATGGTCTTTATCACTTTGAAAAGAAGCTTTACTGAATTTCGAACAGTTATTCTGTAATCTTACTTTTCAAAACTACTAACAAACTGCCTCGAAAGAAAACCTGCTCCGAAAACTAAACCTTCTCCACAAGTACTGTGGCTCTGCTGCTATTTTTACATTTTTCAATGTTTTTTTGTTGACTTAGTTTCTTTTTGCAAAGAAAAAATAAAGAAATTGATGTCCAAATATCTTGTCTGTATTGGTTTTAAGAAGTTAGAAATCTAAATTAGATGTACGTAGAGATCTGTGAAGAATTGCTGTAGTTCTTCGCGGCGAAAATCCTAGCGTCGGATAGTTTAGTTCTCAGGGCGAGGTTCGGTAGCTCTGGATTCTTCGGTCGAATAAACGGACTTGTGGAAGGCTCGATTGGTGTTTTAGCCTCATCCCTGGAGGAGGATCCTTTTGAAGGTGATCCTTTGAAAACTATTGTTTCATCTAGGAAGGGCTCCATTGAGAAAAAACGGATTTTTACACTTCAAACCTGATTCCAGGAAATCACTATCGTCTGTTAATCCGTTCTGTGAATGATTTGAACAGGCTGATTTCACTTTTCTCTCTGGCTTGAACATTTTTGACAGTCTGCTCCTCGTTCTCACTGGCACAAATGACTTCAAGTGGTTTTGATAATACGCCCAGTAGTAAATTAAAACTGTACCTGTGTTCTTTCTGGAATCACAGGTTTATTCTGAAACTTGTGTTTTTGTTTCTCTTTCGTGTTATTGCATCCCATTTATGTCGATTTATGTTCTTCGCTCCGCCCATGGTCTATTCAGCGCGATAATGTTACGAAAAAACGCCTGATCGGCGCAAATTTAATAAATCTGAAAAATGCACTTTTTTAGAAGGTACGTTTCGCATGGAGGCTGATAATTTGGAGGTCGCGATAAGCTTTTCGGGATCTAAATATGATCAAAAGCGATAATCTAATCAGGTCAACGGAGCTATTCACACTTCTGTCTAAAGCTTTCTTAGTTTTATTTTTAAACTGACAAAAGGGAGTACTTCTTGCCCGCAATTTCCGTACTAAAATTTTCGCTTCACAAACAATCTCAAGAGACACTTTTTGATCCCATGAATAGAGTTCTGGATGATTTTATGGAGAAAAATCTGCAACCAGAGCCAGAAATCGAAGATGAGGAAATCGAAGTTTATAAAGAAGTCGCGAATCTGGCTGACGATCTGAGACTTACCGTTCTGGAGCTTGAGAAGGAAGGAAAAATCGACAGAAGCACACTTTTGGAATACATTCAGCCAGACACAATTATGTTTTACAGAGAGACTTTTTCGCATTTCCCACATTCCGAGCGATCCGCTTTCGCAGGTAAAAAGAAGTAAATTATCCAAGGAATAAAATTATTCGAAAGAAATGAAGCAGAGATTACGAGACGCGGACGATGTACTGACAGAGACTTTACGAAGACGAAATGACTTAGAAAAAGAGCGAATGCTGCATTTGGATCAAATCGCAGAGCTCAAAGTCGCACTCGCCAGAGCGCACTCTACAGATAACGAGGTATGAATAATGCTTCGTGAGGATTCTCACGGAACAAAATGTAGAAAAATGAGCTTGGCATGAATCCGCTGTACTCTTCATCGCCAGCGCAGAACTTGGTGAATCAGCGTATTCTTTCCCCTGACGAGGGAATCGAGGCCCGTTCAGAAATCTCAGAGTCGTGCACTTCAACCAGGCCATCTTCTGCTTCTAGCCCTCCTATGCGAAATATTCTGTAAGTACATGAAGCAACCAGTCCAAAACCTCTCATTCTTCATCCTCAGACATCATCCCCATCAGAGATCATTTCATTCGGACGTAAACGCGATGCATCTGTCGCCAGGCGGTGATAACAAAACAGCATCCACTCCAAATTTGTTGAACACATCGAATCCTGTTTTGACAGAATTCGAAAGAGACAAGAATCGCAAATCTTTTCGAAAATTCTTCAGGTAGTCAAACTCCTCCAATTCATCCCTTTTCATCTCTCTTTCATTAGCGCAATTCGAATTGGCACACAAGAGAGCCTCCTTAGTCTTCGGACCCCAAGTTTATCTCGAAAAGCTAACTCAACAAGTTCTAATTATGGTAGGCCGGTTGGGATCGACATGGGCGGAATTCCGATGTGGGACAGAACGCAAGCCATTCGCTGGCTACAGGGCCTGGACCTGGGGCAGTACGCGGACAAAGTGAAGGACGGATCGTCTATTGTCAGCGATCCAGAGAAGTCCCTAGGAATGACGAATCCCTTTCACAAGAAAAAACTACGACTAGCGATTCGCGCACTCGATGATGAATTGGTACGTACTTCGAAAGCTTCTGATCAAAAACCGTTTTTATAGAAATCGAATAATCTTGGCACCGGATGGGTCTGTAACTGGCTTGAAGAAATCGGACTTCCAGAGTATAAAAAATCCTTCCACGAGCATGGAGTCGACGGTCGCGTCTTGAACTTACTCACGATGGAAGAACTTCTTTCGCTCGGCGTGAGCAGCCAGATTCACTATTTATCGATAAAACGAGGAATTCAAGTCCTCAGACAGAGCAAATTCAATCCTCATACAATGGTTTGCAGACCTGGTGCTTGTGGTGAGTTCATTTATAAGAGAGAAATCTCTGATATTGTATTCAAGATCAAATTGAACGATGGTCGATATTCCGGATAATGGACTGGCTTCGATCAATAGAACTATCGGAGTATGCACCAAACTTGCGCGGATCTGGTGTTCACGGCGGGTTGATAGCGCTAGAGCCTGGCTTTGGCCATGACCATCTCGCGAATCTGCTTGACATAAATCCGAAGAAGACCTTGTTGAGGAAGCATCTTCAAACTAGCTTCAATCAACTTCTATCTGACCAGCAATTTGAAGTAAGGAACCACCAAGAATCACTCACTAACCCATTTTTTCTAAGTCGAAACGAGACTACATCCTCAGGAATGGCATGCCGATGCCCCTTACAGCTCGATTAAAGCGAAAGAAGAAGGCTTTCTTTGGATCTAAAAAGTCAGTCGGCTCAGCAGGAGATGATGAGCTCGTCTGCCCTTTGAATCTTGGAAGACATGATGATCCTTCTCGACGACCAAGGAACGGTTGGAAAAATTAGCTGAATGAGTAGCTCTAAGACAAATTCGCCAACCCATAAAGCATTAATGTTGTCCCTCCATAAACACTTCACACGAAAATGCGATGCAAAAACAAGTTATCTTCGCTAAATTTTCTAAATTATCCTGATTTTACTTCACTGGCTAAATCCTTCAATTCATAAGATTTTCACTACTCAAGAATACTTTTAATGCTCGTTTTACCTTCACCAAATCACTAATTCCTCACTATTGAGCCCTCTTGTCACTTCTTGTCTTAGTTATCATTACAATTGTGAGCTTCCTTTTCAACTTTTGCACTAACAAACCTCACCTTCTTTGACTTGCTTTAATCTTCCTTCATCATTGTGCTGTTTCACAAGCTGCCTTTCAAGTTTCATAAATTTGCGAATTAATTGTTTCCTTCATTAGTGATTTTCTTGATCGGATGGTTCATCACTAAAATTCCTCATCGAAAATCGTAAAATCCCTTGGTTCTTCCAAGAGAAAAAGAAATAAACAATAAACTATGTTCAAACTCGAGGACTTGATTGTCGCATGTTCAACAGTAATCGCGCCGCCACAGCAAGTTGGGGCTGAGAAAAGAAAAGATGCCGAGGAATACTTGCTCGAGTTTCGGCGAAAGGCATCTATTCAGGACTGCGGAGATATTCTTCGGAATTGCCAGGTTTGCATCCTAAAATTTCAAGTTGATAATGAATTACTTAGGATCCGGGAGTTCAATTTCAGGCTTCTGTATCTTTGAAAAGTGCCTTCGCTCGTGAGTCTGTTGAGTTAACATCTGATGCTTTGATTCAACTGGCTCTCGATCTTCTCCAGCTGATTGAGAAAAATGAGTGTACGGCACAAGTTCGAGAGCAGCTGGTGATGATCGTCGCCATCGCTGTTAAAAGAAACAGTGGCCAAAATAACGACGCAAAGGGTCTTCAAATCGTCCAACAAAAAGTTCAAGAATTCGCGAGTTCAAGTCAGCCCCATGGTCAAGTTCTGGCAGCAAGTCTCATTTGCGCCGTGGTTCAGGAATACTCTGGGACAGGAAAAAGCTCCTTCATTGGATTGTCGATAGAAGGCCATCAGAAAGCAAAGAAGTACTATGAGAGCAACTGCTTGGAAGATAATTTTAGCTTGGTAATGAACTTCTTGCGTCATTTGATTGCCAATCCCGAGGCGATACAGAATTACTTGATGGTCAAGAAGTTCTTGGAAATCGGACATTTAATACTATCTTGGAGATTCACGCATGGAAAAGCGTCGCGTATATCTCTGATTAGAGAGGATAAGACCGTCGATGTCATGTTCAACCCGCCCGAAAGTTGGAAAGAATTTGTAACTTCTGCAGAGTTTTTAAAAGTTTGGTTCTCAACTCATGGTCTCGTTCGGCGAAGCCCTGAGCTTGGGAGTATTTCGTCCAGCTGTATTCAACAGATTTGCTCCTTGAAAGGATCCTGCCTTCATGATCACCAGGTCGAAGCTGAATGGGCTGCAAATATTATCAAGCTTTTCCAGGGCAGTCTTCCTAATTGGATGCCAGCGCAGGTACTTTTCTTTGTTTCTGGAAATCAGTGTAAAAATACCTCCTAGGAGCATGAGTCGACGGGACTGTCTTACGCATTCAAACATTTTATCGAAAATCGAAGTGTCCACATTTGGAGCATGATTGAGAGATATTTCCCGCCAGTACTTTCCTGTCTCGCACAATGGACATGTTCTATGATTGAGAATGCAAAGAAATCTGAAGAATATCAACAAGGGCTTGATTTTTCAACCGACGCTTGGATTTATGTCATGACTAATTTCGCAACAACAGAAGCTTTAGGTAATCTTACTGAATGATTATTTGGCTAAACGTTCTTCGTAGCAAATATCGTTTCTCCAAACTCGCTGCAGGTTTGGAGAGCTTGGGTTTGGTCGAAGCTCTCACCACCGGATGGCGAGCGCATCGACCACGATGACGATGATGACGAGATCGACGAGTTAGAAGAGGATGATGCGATTGTTTTCGATACACAGCTCGCGGCAATTGGAAACATGGCGAGATTGTCTATTGGTGACACAATGACACATCTTGGATTGCTTTTGAACAGGAGACTAGATGAAATAACGAATACTTTGAAAGAAAGAGGGACAATAAGAACTGCGCTTTGGGAGGACATCCATTGGATAATGCTGTCGATAGGACATATGCTTGCCGACGAGACGGATTCCGGAGAGATGAAATATATACCACAGGAAATTATGAGTGCGAGTTTGAAGCAAAATGCTGCGATGGCGGATAATATCGGGAACTCGCAAGATATTACTGCTCAACTGATTGGTGTAGTTTTTAAACTAATGCAAGTAGAAAAGGCTGCGATGGAAGCAAACTTCCAAGGGCTCTGGTCACCTCAAGCAAGTGAAGACCTCAGATGGCTTCTGCAACGAATTGCGGAAGCATATCTCTGGTTTGAGGAAGATCATTTCTCGACGGTGTCGCCTGCACTTCAGTCAGTTTTCGGAAGAGACACTGAGTCTGCCATGAGCTTGCTTAATGAGATTGTTGAGTTTTCGCTCTTGACTTTCTCTGCGTGGTCTGGAGAAGAGAAGATCTTGATCGGTAGTGCGGAGACGCTCATGTCACTACTGAAGAAGTCAGGGAAGAAGGCCAAGCTTGTAGGCGAAAATGTCAAATTGTGGTCGATAGCTGAAGTGTTCTGCCGAGACTCCGAATGTGGTTATTCAAGAACACCAGTTGTATTTCAGAGATATCTTATGAAGGTTATTCTCACTGCTGGCTCCTCTGGTGGCTTGCCGACCCTTCAAAAACTGGGTGAAACAATTAAACCGCTTCAAGACAGATTCGCCAGATTGGCGACTGCATCTTTTGCCAATCAAGTAGTCAGAAACGAGCTTGTCACAATTCTGGAAAGATTGACAGGTTGTGTCGAAGGTGTCACCCCAGATAATGCTGAGTCCGTCGCCGAGTTTGTGCTTCCTTTTATCAAAGAAATGCCAGCAATCGTACAAACTGTAAGAGGCAGCTCTGGTAAGCCTATTCATTCATATGCCTGTTTCCAACGAGTTTTGTAGATATCTCAATTCAAATCTTTACTTTGTGTGCTGCCCTTGCTAGCAAATTACTTGCATATCTCGAAGAAAAACGAACGCAGCCATTTTTGCTCGTCTTCCTAGAAATTTTACGAACTCACAGTAGATGGAATCAGGGTCGAAACCTTAAAGATATGGACGACGAAACAGTTGAAGAGTTCACTCAAATTATTAGCCTGATCACAAAAGTTCTCGATGTCGAAGTCTACGATTTCACCTCACCAGCCAAAGAAAACAAAACTGGTGGAGGGGAGAACTTTGTCTCGCCTGCTGAGGTAAATCATCCACTTAATTATCCATTCACTGAATCATATTTTCAGGTTTCCCTCGCTGGTCTGACAATTGTCCTTCCTCTGATGGGCACCGAGGGCTTTAACTACCCTTCACTAGCAATCGCGTACTTTGACTTGCTCAATTCACTGTGTGAACTTTACCCCGAAAAACTAGCCAAGCTTCCTGAAAATCTGTTCACGTCATTAATGCAATCGCTTCAATTGGGACTCACTCACTTTGGCACCGATGCGATGAAGATTGCACTTGAGAGCATCGAAGCCCTCAGTAATTATTTTTTGAAAGCAAAATCGGTAAGCATGAAAAATTTTTCAAATTTTCAACAAGCATTCAGGTCGGTAGTCATCCAGCTAATCTTGGAGCTTCACTCATTAGCCTTATGCCTTTTGTTTTTGACTCGCTGCTCAAATATGCGAGTGACTATGATATGCTGCCAGCTTGCCTTGCTTCCTTTCTTCATTTGGTTCTTTGAACAAATTCTAGCAGCTCTTACAGATGCTTTAGGCAACCTCGTTTCCAGAAAAGTTCAGAATACTTATCCAGGAGAAAAGTGGGCAATGCACGGACAATCAGAAGCACCGAATTCAAGGAAAAGTTCAATAAGCATCAACTTGTCCCAAGTTTAGAAATTTCTTATTGAACATTTTTGAAGATGCATTCAAACCGTTGATGGAAATCATCAACGAGAACCAATCGAACCCACGCAATATGCTCATGAGGCGTCACTTTCACTCCACAAAGCTTCTTGAAACTGCCGTTTTTGAAATCCGCGGATTATTATGTATGAAATAATACAGTTCAACTGGTTCTTTCTGTACAACACTCACGGAAAACACGAACTGATGAGTTTTAATTCAGTAGAATGGGTATTCGCTCCAAAGATAAAAGAGACATTTACTACAGATTAGCCAAAGAGCAAGGCTGGAGGAAAGGGACTTGAATTGTTTCATATTTTTGACCAAAATGTTCGAGAAAATACCCAGTTACAATTATTATCCCTAAATAAGAGCTCGATCAGCATTCAAGCTATTGCAAATTGACGAGCGATTTGATCTGTTCAAAGATGTCACAAAAGTTGTCGATCTTTGCGCAGCACCAGGGAGCTGGTCACAGGTCCTTTCCAAAAAGTTGAAAGAAAAGGAAGATGCAAAGATAGTTTCCGTAGACTTACAGCCGATGGCACCGATAGGAACGGTTCAGAAGAAAAGTTTTATCGCCTTATAGACTATTTTCTGAACTAGGTGTTAGATAATGTTATTTGCCTGCAAGGTGATATAACTTCCCAGAAGACTTCTGACGAAATAATTTCGCATTTCGACGGAGGAAATGCAGACCTAGTTGTTTGTGACGGAGCGCCCGATGTAACTGGTCTTCACGACTTGGATGAATACATTCAATCGCAGCTCCTCCTCGCCGCCTTCAACATCTCGACATTTGTGATGAGACCGGGTGGCACCTTCGTCTCCAAAATTTTCCGCGGGAGAGATTCCGACTTGATATTCCACCAGTTCCAAATGTTCTTCAAAAAAGTATACCTTGCTAAAGTGAGTACTTTGTTGCGATACTTGATTTGACGACTCTTTCTTAGCCAAGAAGTTCCAGAGCATCGTCGATAGAGGCGTTTGTTGTTGCAATAGACTACTGCCCACCAGAAGGGTTTGTCCCTAGGAAAGAGCGCAAAACATATACCATTTTTTCAAAGTAATGTCCGTTTGAACGCCTCTGATAGTCTTCGGAATCCACTTATGAAAGATGTTGATTACGAAGAAACCGCATATGAAAGAGATCAACGAAGAAAAGATCCAGCAAACAGACATTTTGTTCCTTTTGTTGTTTGTGGCGACCTGGATGGATGGAGTTCTGACGTTTCATACAATCTCCCGGAAGGATACGTGTCTCTCAAACCTGTTCAGCCCCCGACAGAGCCAGCGTACAAAGAAGTGTTGGAAATGAAGAAAGAAAAGAATACGGACACTTTGAGCGAGATGATGGAAAAGGGCTGTCGCATGGAAGACTGAATGGGTCAATTTGTACGTTTTTTACATTTTATTGCTTTTAGAATGTCTAGTAAAGGAAAGCAAGTTGTGACTAACGATGGCTCTGACTCCAAGTACAGAGAGAAAGTCGCTGATCACTACAAAGGTCAGTAATTTTATCTCAATTTTAATTTATGTTGACATTTTAGAATCTAAAACTGCAAAAGCAAGCCTCAAGTGGTATCTGCTCTTTACATTCATCGCCAATGGTATTGTAGCGGCTCATTACTTCATGAAAAAATACAAGGTGAAATATTTGATGAATATTCAACTCTTCATTCGTTTCAGAAAATGTACTTGATCACCACGAAAGCGACTCCAGAGCCTTTTCTTTGGGAACTCGCAACGATTGGAACATTTATCCCAACAGTTATTGGCTGGAGCGCTTGTGCCAAGGTTAGTAACTCACTTTTATCTGTATTTTTATAGTCATTTCAGAACAATGTCAAGCGAATGACCATGTACGTTTGGGGAATCCTTCTCTTCGGTCTTCCTCCACTTATCTGGGGCGCTTGGGAGCATCACGAAGAGCTCATCAAATACATGAACTCTCAAGGCTACCGACGAACAATCATGGGTTACCCAAGGGCGATCGTCATTTATGGATTTATTCTTTGCTTTGGCGAGGTATTACGTCCGTGAAACTATAATTAACATATTTTAAAGATGATCTCAACCGGCTTCACTCGAGGCCGAAAGTGCATCAAGCTTTGGACCAAGAAGGGTTCCAAAACTGAAGTCGACAAGAAAGAAGAAAAGAAGGACAAATAATCAACCATACCATCAATTTACCCGAGCATTTCCCTAGGTTCTTACTACTGTATATCATGAAGCGTGCAATACGAAATTCTGTGTTCTAAGATGTTTTTAGGCAAATTAGGCAATTATTTGAAGTTCATTCTATGTTATATCGTGTCCGAAATAAACCGAAATAATTATAAAAGAATGCATAGACACCGTTTGTTTTATACTTTAGGGAACCCTCTGTGATAACTGTGGTCGGAGAGCATAGACTCCCCAGCTTGGGTTAATATAAAACAAACGGTGTCATAGAAAACTCTTTCGTAAAGTTGGTTTTCGTTGTATTTCACAAAATATTACATGACAAGACAATGGACTTAATATAAAAGCAGGTCAATGGGAGTTGAAGAAACTGGTGACTGATAGAATGAAAATGTACAGTAAGGCCGAAATACTACAGTGATTGCTCCACGGCTTCAATAATTGTATCTATATCGCGCTGTTTCTTTTTTATAACGTGATCGATTGAGGAAAGTCTGTCTCCAACTCCTCTGAAGTGCTTCTGTGGAGCTGCGCAAGAATCCTGCGCAGTGAGGATTTCAAGAAGCGTTCGCAGCAGACCGTTCATTTCGGAGCAGTCCTTGAGCAATCCCTGCAGGGATTCCTTCAACACTGAATATATTAAGTTAGCCATTGGAATTAATGAGGAGATTATTTTTAGCATATTAGCTCGATTTGCGAATTGTTGATGATGAGGATATGTAAATAAGTTTTGGATTGAATGCATTCTTTTGATAGTAGCTGAATACTATCAACTGAAGAGCTGGTTTTATTCGATACCTTTTACATTTCTTAAAATCCTTAATAGTCTGGGGAAAATTCAGGCTTACAATAGTAAAATAATCATTTGTCATGCAAATATTATAAGAACCTACCTTGGCAGTTTTTGCATTTCATGTGGGAAGAGAGTAATTGCTGGGCAAATTCAGGAGTTGATAAGCAGCGCCTAATTGGACTCTCCCCAGAGGGCATTTGGATCATTGCGGTTTTCGCAAAAACTTCATCCGAATCGTTGCATGCAAGAACGTCGTCTTTTGAATTATTGAAAGATGAGCCGAGATTATTGTAATGAAACTCAGAGCCGCGGTAAGACGATTTTATTGCGCCCGGAGTTTCGATGCAGGTTCCACCGGAGAATATCGACGAAAGATTGGAGCTCATGACAGTCGAGTTGGACTGCAATGTCGCCGTCTAAACGATCTTATTGAACAAGTCTATTTATTTTAGTGATAACGCCCACTAGATCTACTACTTTTCCATGGTATATTGAACATCACAGAGAGTTATTTGTTTAGGGAATTCATGAAAGAAGTAAGGGGATAGGGCACAAGGAGGATTACACGGGAACTTACCCTCGAATCGTTGCCGCTCGAGTGACGATCAAAGTTCGAAAATGTTCCACTGGACTTGCGCGATCCAGGAGTAGGTGTCCCAGGCGGAGTGACATCGATGTAAAGAGGGGGGCCAGGGAAGTCGAAGTCTTCTTCTGAATCTAAAAGATATTATTACTTGATTATCGACCCTGAAGCTTATAAAATAGCAAGATCAGTATGTAACGGTTGTGACTTTCCCACAAGTCGCTCTGAAAACAATCTTATAAGATGTCATTTTTGAGAGCCCTTGTCTGAAAAACTCAAATCGAAATCATAACTTGGCTTCGGTCCCGCGCCCAAATAATTAACTCCGTGTCATGTCATTCAAGAATACCTGAGTCGAAGTTTGACGTTCCCGGCGAGTAATCTGACAAGTTCAGCGATTCCGATAGGGACTTTTTCTCCGTCTTCTCGTCCAAACTCTTGCGGGTTTCTTCAAGGGTCGCCATTGTCTGCAGAAAAAATAGGGATAGTTGAAACTCGGGGGTGGATTTTTGACAGGAAGTTTTTGAAATTTCACTTGAAGAGTGCGCCGTTGAAATTGCCGAGTCTCCACTTGTACTGGAAACTCCACAGATCGAAATGCTTAAAAATAAAGTTTATATCTCTTGGAAAAGCCTCTGGTAGCAAGTGAAATGAGGCTCGTGTAATTATAACAGGGCGGCGGGATCGATCTGGCGGATCATCCGCCAAGTAATGAGGATTCCTGCCGCCATCTTAGGCCTCGAACAACATCTTCCACGACTCTTTTTGATTAGATCCCGAGAACTTAAACGACAAATATTCTATACCTTTCTCTTGTCGGACTGCAGCTGGTATCTGGTTTGAAGGAATCGTCAAAGGATGAAACACTCCCGGGAGGGTTGAAGCTCACGCTGCCGCCTGAGTCAGTTTGTCAATTTGAACAGTTTAAATCCGAAGGGACAAGCCGGAGCCCATTAGCGCGGTAATAAAGCAACCACTATTTTGGAAAAGAGCTCATATGCATCAACGAGTGCCTAATTTTGCCAACTGTAGAAACTGGCACCTACAGAGTATGAAAAATATAAAAAAAAATGCAGTACAAAAAAGCGGTTAATAAATCATTTGGGTAATTAGGATTCGCTCCCGTTGATGAGACGTTGACTATTGGGAACTAGTGATCCATTATCGGTATGTGTTTTGAACCCTTTGTGTGGGATTACCGAAATCAGTTTTGAAAATGAGCTCTGCGGAAGTGCGAGAGCGTGATCAAAGCTTTTCCAATGGACGTTTATTGTCGCTTCACAGCGTGGGCCCGGGGAGATGTCCTACTGTTGTTATCTTATCATTACCTTGTCGCTTTGGAGTTCGTGGCCGTTCTGGAGGTCGTTTTAAACTTCCTTGTAGACAATGCAAAGTGTTTTGATGCAAATCTTTAAATTAGAAATGTATATTTAGAAAAAAAAACTTAATCTACCTTTCAGAGCATTTTCCAAGTCAACTTCAATTTGAGCTCTCTGGAGGCATTGTTCCATCTCTTCGTAACTCTCAAAAACTAAGAAAGTGTTCAGAAACGCTCACCAAACGCTTGATAAGAATTAATTAGAAATTAGAGTTTGACAACGGGGATCCAGGTCGATCTATCAGTAGCCTCCCGATCGAGGGCGTTGAGATTAGCATGTATTGATTTTCAGAGGACACTTTTGGGCTGCCGCAGGCAAAATTATCAGAAGGGTACTAATAACTGTAAGCGGATCTGACAGCTTTCGGATGTCAGTTTTATCTAGGCTATTTTTATCGGAAAGAGGATGTAGCACCCTGGTTATTAAGATTAACATATGACAAGCAGATATGAGCACCCTCTGAATTTCGCTTGATCGGTTCTCAGTCGTTCTAAAATGATATTTTCCAGAGGAAGTACCACCTCAAATTGAACCCGAATCATGTGAAACAAGCGCTGCGTTTTTTGTTATCTCAGCCGACGGTCAGGCGCGGGCAGATTTATTGGAGCGGACTTCCGGTCAAATAAGGGTCTACCAATGGATATCCGGCCGTTACAGTTCTTCGGGTCTTGGCTTTGATCTCTTTGAAAAGAAAAAGTTATTGTACCCTTGATTTTCTGATGGTTCTCTCGCGGCGATTTTTGGTCAAAAAGGCGAAAAATATCAGTTCAGAACTAGAACGAAAGGAAGGAATCTACAAATGGATCTGAGACAGATGGAGTGTTTGATATTTACAATAAAACGTTAAATGAATGGCGTCCCGTGGTCGTATAAATTATGTAAATCGTTATTTCTCTTCTGAATATGTACAGAATGACTTCTTTTTCTACTGTAAAGGATCGCTCTCACGGGGATATTTTCATGCTCGCAAAAGATAAGGAAACAATAAGACGGGTAATAGGAGACTTTTGATTTGGTGCTGAAAAAACGGGGATGATCCCTCCGGAGCTGTCAATTATAGCCTCCTTGGATTTACTTTGGCTCCTTGACAGAGCGTCTCCGAGATCAATATTATTTCACATAATTATATACCACTTCTTTTGATATAAACCCATTTGCCGCATGTTGCTGATAAAAGCAACTGTATATTTTGCATAGCGAAAGTTAAATTGAATCATGGCCATTTTTGGAATGGTCCAGCTGCGCGTGGTTAATTATATTAACCGCTCGAGCACGCTCAAAATTGGTCTTGACTTTGGCGCCTTTCTAAACTCGCGATGCATTATTTACAGACAAGGCCTTAATTTCGACGTACAATGAGGGTAAATATTTAACGACTTTTAAGTTAAAAAATTGAATTTTCTGCCCAAAACACTTTCGACACGGGTCATCCTTCGAGGGAACATATTTCAGCTGTTGTTGGTCGCACCCGTACGAGTGTGACAACATGGTGGAATGTTTGGCAAGGGAAACCATTGGTGTGACCTTTTTCTGTGCGGTGTTGATAAGGAAAGCGGATTGCCATCAGTTCCGGTGGGATTACGGACCCGCTTTCGCTTTGGAAAAGGGGTACAAGCGGGTACTGTAACAGTCAGATTACGATTTTACGGGAGAAAAGGAGGGAACGAAATCAATATGATTGAAGTAGATTAACTTCTTTAAGGTGCAATAAGATCTCGACAAAACTTTTGAGGAACTTCCATCTGTATCAACAAGTTATAATAAAAAAGCGAGGCCGCCATAACTTCAAATGTATTTGGACTTCGAGTAATTGTCCAATTTTCCGCCCTACCGTAAAAACGAAAAAATGACGGACAGTTCAAAGACGGCTACCTGTTTGACCTCAAATTGACCTTTTCGAAATGGGCGAGTGCGAGACTCAAACTTGAGAAAATAGCCATCTTTTGAGTAATTACCGGGTAGGGACGGGAGGAAGGGAGTGGGATTATGTTGAATAAAAACGGCACAATACTGCGTAAAATTTTCCATGGCCAAGTGCCAGAAATTTCGTGACCAGAATACATAAATTTTACAGCTGATTTACAAGTCAAAAAGCCAAAATCGCCAAACAAGTGAACGTAAAAAAGGGAGCGATAATCGTAAAGCTGGGTAAATAGCGAATATTAAATAAAAGAACAACTTCTATTGTGCGCGCGGAAATAGAAGATAGACCCTTACTTGACTCGGCTGAGAGTTCCTAAAGGGGGAAATGAATTTGAATACACGCTAGTCAAAACCGGAAGGATTGTTGCTACCCTCACGCATGTCATACACGGCTCTTTCATGGCTGGTAAGCATATCCACCAAGAAATGTAAATAAGCCTTCCATTTTGAAGACCGCGAAAGAATGCGAAATTTTTAATCAATTTTAATCCTCGAAAGTTTAACTTCAAAAGAACAGATTTACAAAAAAGTTACTGCCAGAAAATCAAGATTTAGGGTAAATCAATGCGAAGAAAAGTTTTAATCACAATTAAAATGTCGAAAGTTTTTGATGGCCAGTTGTTGGAATTAGGGCTTGTTGCCCGGGGCCCGTGAGCTTCAACACCCCCGATTACGAGCTCCATCTGTTTAGCTGACTTCCGCTTTTTCGCTCTCCAGCTGTCGTCTAGGCCCCATCAAGACAATGAAAAATGACTCCGGATTATCCTTTTCTCGGGAATACATAAATGTGTGTCGATCAACGAGGGAAAGAATTAAAATTTCAAGATTATCCAAGCAAATCGATGTCTGAGCAGTTTCTGAACCTGTTCCTGGCAAGCGGGTGGAGCTTTTCGCGCGAAGGTCGATGTCATCATCCGATATTAAATCCCTGTAGCTTTGAAAAAGATCCTTACAAGCCTAGGAATTTAATTCTATAAAAAGTTCAAAGGGAGTTGCCTTATTTTTAGGGTTGGCGAGGTTTTTGGATAAATAGTAGCCGCTAAAATGTGGCCGTGTTTCCGTGACTCGTGTTTTCATCCCCCGATTAAACTCATTCGATGTTTTGTGCACAAATCCGGCCAAGGTCAAATCGGTTCCCCCGTTTCAACAACGACGGGCCCTGTTTTCGTACACTTGGATCGGAGTATAGTCCAACACTCAAATAGAGCTCAGGCGCTATCAAAGGAGTCTACTGTGAATCGAAGGCCAATTCAAATAGAACATTTCAAACTGAAGCGCGCGCAGATTCTACCTTTGAGCAAATGACACGAACTGTGAAAATTTACGGCGTCAGAACAAATTCATCCCAGCTTGATAAAGACCTGTTCCTTTGATATGTGGGGGAGGTAGACCTTATATTCTGTGAGATACAAGAGTGCACTTCACTCTTCTTCCAAAAGCTCGACAATCTCTTCAAAAAGCCACGGGATTTCTTCTTCTTGTCTTTTTTCGCTTTTCTCCGCTTCATCGTGTCTCTGTTAGAGTTAAATCAGCTGTGCTCTCTGTATTCTGACATTTTCACAATTTCGTGGTTCGTTTTTCAAGTTTGAATAATTAAAGGCGAAGAATTTTTATCTGGAGATTTTTGTTGAATTTGGAGTTTGGCGCGGCGGCGCAAGCGGCGCGTTTAGCGTTTTTTGTAACCTCGCGCGCCCTCGACCACCAGGAAGCCTGGGCTGAGGCCTTCAGCTCCCATGGTTGCGTTGAGAATAACAACAACAAAGATGAATAAGCGAAGGCAGTGACCTTTGAGAATACTTTCAAATTGGAGCTTCTAATGAGCATAATTTGTTGAATTTTATTCACTTTGGTTCTTTCTAAACTTTTCTTTGCCTCCCTTAAAATATTACGGCATCTATTCTTCTCTGAATAAATACCGTAAATAAGATGAATTTGCTCTGGAAGACGCGTTGTAGACAAATTCTAAAGAAAGTGACGGGATGACCCTCAGCGGCAAGGATCAAACGATCAAGCCGCCTATTCCATTATTCTGATCAAATACACTTGATCGAACAAAAACTCAAACGAGCTCTTTATTCCGTGGAACTTTTCTTCCTAAAAACGGCCACGCGTACGCGCGTTCCCAAGATTCCATTCTCGTTATTATTTTTGGATTATGGTCTCCTATGTAAATTGGATCTTCTTCTGGTGCCTGAACTGATCCTGAAATATGCCAGGAACAAAAAGCGAGCTTACTGTAGCTGTATTGTCAGCATTTTTTGGCACAATAGAGCTCAGCTTATTTCCCGTTTTACGGCGGCCGATTTCTGCATTCATAAAGATCGATGCGCTTCCGATGTTCGGAACTGGACCAGTTGACTTATCGTTTCCATCACGTGACGTTTGAAGTCGCCGCTCAGGACGAGGACAAACTCCTCCAAAGATGGCCCGCTTTCTCCTTGGAAGAGCAGCCCAAACAGACTCGGAAACGAGATATTATAGCCGTGATTTTGGCCACTGTTTGATCCGGGTCCATGTTCGGAACTTGTTCGATCCTCTATCAGATTGAGATAGCTTTCAAAGTCAACGCCGCTTCAATTCAATAACCCAGGCCATCCGTTATTTGAATAGTTACAGTAAAAACGCCTGGTCTGGGACGGCCTTAATCCAAAAAAGCGTCCCAAACCAGGCGTTTTTTCAATATCCTCTCTAGCGCCAATTTTGCTCGCAATAAGTTAAAAATCACCCCCTGGGCGTGTGCCTTTGATCTTTAAACGGCCCGACCGTCCCAAACCAGGCGTATTTTTGACCGTCCCAGACCAGGCGTTTTTATTGTAGCTAAAACTCACGGCTATGGATTTTGGAGACGCTGAAAGTTGAAATTGATAATACCGGAAGAAAAGTCAGATACGACACGAGTTATTTGGTCGGGCCGGGTTTGAGATCAGTACTCACAATCGAAAGCGCCAATTTTCTTGATGCAAAAGTACGCTCAGGAATTCCGAAAAACACCGCCGACCACAGCGATTTCCGTCAAAATTTGGGCGCACCGCCAAATTTGGAATTTTAAGACAGCGGAAATCTAGGGTAAATGTTCAAAAGGAGCCAGGGTCAGGCAGGGGCTCTTAAAGGTGAGCGAAAATGGCAGGAAACGCTTTCGGTGCGATAATTTGTTGACTCGGACATGACCGTGTAAATAGCCAACTAGGAGAAGGGGACAGGCTCCGTTAGGGCACGCGGTGTGCCCAATAGCATCGATATCCGGACATGTTGTTCACAGACCGTTTCCCATGATAGTGCTAATTGGGAAATTTTCCCCGGCCCGCTGGCTAAAAGACTCGATCATCCAAAAATTGGAAAATAGATAAATCCACGCACTAGGGGTCCCTTGACAAGAGCTGGTGCTCATTATGTACAGTCATTGGCAGTATTTATAACACAATTACTGATCGATTTCAACGTTGAATAGGTTTTTACAACCGCTTGTAAATGAGGTCAACGTCGAGGTCTAGGTTTGGACTCACGCCTAGAGGCGTCAGATGCCTCCCTGGGTGCCTTGACCTTGGTCCAAGATTGTGCGTCAAAAGTAACTAAGAAGTTTGTTTATCTCCACCCTTAGGAGCCCCATAAGTAGACATGGAGCGGTCAGATGCGCGCCTTTGAAGGTGGAAACTGCCCAGATTCTCACCAGTTCAAATATTTTGTGTGAGTTTGGGATTCACTTCAAAACTACCTTCCGCCAAATATTGACTTCCTCTGACACTTGACTCGACCTACAGTTACATCAAGGATTTGGAAACTGCTATAAAAGCAAGTTTTGAATGGATTAAATGTTAAGAAAACATATTTTATTTCAGCTTTAATCTTCAGAATCGTCGTAGCTGTAATCTTCGAGCTCATCTGGATTGCATGTGCACGTCTTTTCACGGGCGAATTCGCCATTAATCTTGGGAACATAGGCCGGGCATGTATCAGAGCATTCAATCGTGTGCTCGAGCAAGCATTCGTGATAAGTACCCGAAGCAAAGAGCCGTCCATCACCTTCACCGGGCGTCTTTACCCAGCTATTTGCGTCGTGCCCCTTTCAAAAGGTTGATCCTCCTTTTTCGACAAGGTTTTTAAAAATGGCGAAAGAAAATTACTCGTCCTTGAAGAAATACACAATCAACCCTTTTTCCTTTTCAATCTCACTTGAGAGACATTCAAGTACCGCCGGATCATAGTCTGCGTAGTAGTCGTAGCCATACGAGTCGTATTCGTATTCTTGACGACGATAGCGATTTTGAGAGGGTTCCGTACTTCTTCGTTTCCGATAGTACTCGCTTTGAATTGGTTCAGATTGTTTCTTTCAAATTTTTGAAATTTTATCAGTTTTTATCTTTTAAAAACCAAGCCTGTAGTAGTAGTCGCCATAGTAGTCTTCGTAGTCACTATCGATCTTCAGGTCATTGTCCACTCTGTTGATGGCTTTCTTGGCCCCAGGGCCATAACCAGGGATAGCACCTCTGTAAATATCGATAAGGAATGTCATTAAGTGTTTTATACCGAGATATGTAGGGCGGGTCGTAAGTGCACTCATTAATCTCGTCCATAGACCGGTCAGAGAAAATGCCGCCATTTCTCGAAGTGTCGATAACGTAATTGAGTCCAGTCTGACAATGAAGCTCAGCGGCAAGTTGCATATTGTACGTTGAGTTGACAAAGGAGCCGACATTCATCGCGAAGCCACGGAGCCCGACTGAAAACAATGAAGAATAAACCTCGGGCTTAACAAAAATCATTATCTTACCGGGCATCTGCTGAAGCACGTCGACAATATGGTCCATGTTGACTGCCCATTGAAGGTAAAGTGCGTTTCCAGCATCCACGTAAGTCCATGCTTGAAAAGATAATTAACGAATTTTGAAGGTTTCAAAATGTTACCTTTGGGGAATCTTCGAATGATCTTGTCAACGCGCTGAGTGAAGGAAAGTTGATGATCCGCAGCATGATACTCATTTTCAGAGTTGAAAGTGTGCATTAAAAACGAAGGCTCCAAAATGAGCATCAAAGGAACATCAGCCAAGGCTTCGCCATATTCTTCTATTTTCGCGTCGTATTCTTCCCAAGTGGGGAGACGATCTGGCGGCATGTAATGAGAAGCTTGCTCGTCGAGAACAAGCCCTGTTCGTGGTGCCATGTAAAAGACAACAACTGGGACAGACGAATCTTCGCAAGCTGATTGTTTAATCTGCTGGATTGTATAGAAATCGTCTTTCATCCCAAGCAACCAAAAGGTATTGCGCTCAATCTCCTTTCCAGTCACATCGTCAAGAGTTCGTATCATCGTTAATCTAAATAGCGTTAATCGAAAGTCATGAGAAAGACAATTATTAGTTCGAATTAACTCAATGTCTTGCTATCGCACGTTCCACTGTTTCCCTACCTGTCAATTCCTATGGTAGCTGAGTATGGGTGCGGGCAAACGAACTTTTCTGTGAGGTTTCGTGTTGTGAACGCTGAAAATATTTAGAACCAAGGTCGGAGAATGAATGTTTTAATAAGTTACCTTGAATGAGAAGCAAAATGGCACATGCTCCTCGGAGCAAAAGTTGAACGTTTCTCAAAATCGCGCACATAATTCCAGGAATTCTAGTTCTGTACCAACAATAGATGACCACGATCAAATACGGAATAATATTGATGAGTGACCAGCCCATTCCAATCATGTACATATAGTAGTAGTAAAATTTCACCGATCGCGCAATAATGGCCTTTATGATCGCGTACAAAATTGTTATCAGCATCAAGAAGAACATGATAAAGTGCATGTAGCAAGCACGAACATCTTCTTTTTGAAATCCAACGCCGGAATCGTTATCTTCATCTCCTTCAGCTTTCTTCTTTGTCGCTTTGAATGTCAATTCACCTCTTCCTTGGGTCAATTTGACTCCCACGATTCTTCTGACACCGTTAAAGTAAGTGTACCAAAGGTTGGTCGAGGCAAGTTCTCCATTCCACATGTCTTTGATTTGAAAACCAGGAGGTGGGTAGAGCAAGAGCAAGTTGCCGACAGTATAGTAGATCAAAAAGTAAAAGCAAACTCTAAACCGATTTCTGAAACAGGCCACAGTCCAAAAAAGATGGCCCATGACGGAACCAGCTGGAAGAACGGGATGGAAACAGCAGCGCAGAAATAATTGTATCCGCAAGAAGAATAGAAAATCCGTTGAGACATGGTGAGACCAGCTTGAGTGAGGGGAAAGTCATCGAGGAAAATTTGCAAGTTGCCCTTGCACCATCGCGAGCGTTGTTTGAAAATCTCTGTGATTTCGTGGGGCGACTGACCGATAGCCAAGACTTCGTGATGATAGGATACCGCCCAACCCTCCGTACACAATCGCAACGATAGCAAAGTATCTTCCGTTAGACAACCAACAGGAAAGTACCCGACTGATTTTAGCGCATCCGCACGCACGGTGAAATTCGTCCCGCAGCAGTTGACAGCGGACCATTGATCAAGAGAAGGTTCAATACGATGAAAGAAGGAAACATTCAAATGATCCCAAACATCTTCATCCGCGTTGACATTGTAAAAGAACTGAGGCGTTTGAACCAAACCAATCGGTCGATCGCGCTTTTCAGAAAACACCGGAAGCACTCGCCAGAGATAGTTACGCCGGGGCATGAAATCAGCGTCGAATACAACAACAGCTTCTCCTTTCGCATCCGCGTAGTCGTAAATGAACCGAAGAGTGTGATTGATATTTCCTGCTTTGGCATGGTGCGGCACTCCCGGAAGTTTTGGACGGGCGATGTAGTGCAAAAACACGTACTTTTTGTACGCCTCCCAAGGATGTATTCTTCGAGATTTCCTCGCTTCCCGTCGTCAAGAACATAAATATGAAGATGAAGTCCTGTTGGGACATCCATGTGCATAACTTCGTGAAGTGTTCCAGCGACAACTTCCAGGGGCTCATTGTAAGTCGGAATCATTACCCGAATCGTATGAAATTTTGGTCTTTCAAAAGCTGCCAGAGACGGTTCTTCGCGAGAGGTCCACTTCCACATCGTCATTCCTTGAATAATCAAGCTCGGGCACGTTGAAATCTCCAAAATGGCCACAAGGCAGCAGTAAATTCGATTCAATCCAGGTGCGTCCAGAGTGAAGGTCAGCCGGACGTAGATGTAAGCCAGCAAGGAAATAAGATATAGAATGTAAAGAAACTGGTAGATGTAGTTTGTTGGTTTGTATTGGACCTTTGGGACGGGGATCGATGCCTCTGGAGCGGGAGTATCGTCCATCACAAAATCTTTGAAATGGCTCCAGTCCTCGCCATCATCTTCTTCAGCCATTCGCTCGATTCCAGCTGCGTCTATCCAGGGTCTACCAGTTGCTGGGGGGAGATCTTCGAATTCATCTTTTGGTTTCTTCCGCCGTCTTGCTTGAGTAGACGATTGCTGTGGCATAGGTTGACTTGACGATTGACGACTTCTTACTTTTGGCGTCGGTCGATCGACAATTTCTGCCCGTCGATTGGATATTTTTGATGAGCGGCTAACAATTGATGGGGCCTGATTTGGTGGCGGAGGCGCTCGATTCTTCACGGGTCTGCTTGGCGGTCGAATAGTGTCTTCAGGATGGATGAACTCGTGAATAGAGGAATTCTCAGGTATTTGTTCATGAACCATTTTTCGGAGCTGGAGCTCATAGTGAGATGTCAGCTCGGCCATTTCGCTAGGACTTCTTGAATCGTCCATTTCGAGTTGACGGAGTTCAGCTCTTATTCTTGATATTTCCGATCGAATGTTCAGAGTAGATTGCCGAGACAAGCCTCCTTCGGTAGTTCTCACATTTTCATGATGAGAAAACGAGGAAGCATTTGATGGGGGAGTGGAGTTTTTCGTTCTTCCCCAGCTGTGGACATCATGAGTTGGCTTTGATCTAAAATTTCAATAGGTAAATTTTAGAGCAAAAAAATTTAACCTGTTTGAGCTGGTAATAGATGGTGGTTTTGACGGTCTTGGAGGTTTTCTTGGATTGACTTCGTCGATGGTATCATAAGTTCGTTCTCTTTGGGGTCTGTTGGAAGGGCGATGGTTAGGACCTGCTCGGTATTCAAAACTGTTACTTGAGTCGGACCTGGGCATTTTTGAAAATACTGAAATTCTACCTCTAATCAACCACTCTTATAGAAGAGTTTCATTTTTATGATCATCGCCTTGCGGCACCAATTTCCGGTAATTATGACACTTTGAATTGTGAGAAGTGCTTTTTCGAGGAAATTTATTGCAGCAAATGATTTTTATCAGTAGCATTTATTTTTTGAAGTGCAGCTCGGGAAAAAAGTCGCTCATTTGAACGGCCGATGGAAGCGACGATAAGTAATTGAGAGTTTTGAATTTGAAACTTTCGTTGATTCGAGAGGTAAATATGCGTTTCTGGAGGAATTTGGTCATGTTTTCGAAGGTATGAATGATTCGCAGGGTCTCGCCAATAACATTTATCCTTTTTTTTCAATTTTATTATTCTTTTGGAAAAGTGTAGAATACCTGTAGACATTTGAATTGCCAGAGTTCGATTCGTGCCAAAGTAAGTGCATTACCGGATGAAAGAAATTCTTTGCTTGCTCGTCGGACTTTTCTCGCTGAAAAATCAAATCAAAGCATTTCAATCCACGGCGAAGCCGGTCTTTTGCATTCTGTTCGAAGTTAGGAACGCACGTTCGGCAGCTGATCCATCGAAATGAAGTCGCGGAAATAATATCGATTGCATTTTCTAAAATTAGTCAAAAGATAGATAGCTATTTAAAAAAAACCTGGTAAAGTTATGTAGCCACATTTGTCTAGCATCTCGTGAACAAGGAGAAGACCAGCCAAGTGAGGGTCCTTATTCAAAGTACAGCTGTGATTCTGCGCATCTGTCTGGTAGAGACACTGGAGTCCAAGAGCCAGTGCATCGTTATTCAATCCTTTGACAAACTCAACGATATCCTGCTTTCTCAGTAGCTCTAAAATGACTCTCGCGAAGTATTCTTCCGAGATAAGTTCTTCCGCTTCGTCTTGGTCGATTCCAAAGGGCACTAACTTGAGCTCGTTGCTCTCATCTCTCGTGATAATCGTTGTTCGCAACAAAAGAATCTTTAAAATATTCGGCTGATTTATCGAGGACTCTATTCCGTGATACGCGAGATCCAATATTTCCGTAAAATTTTGAACCCAGCGCGTCGTTTTTTCAATGTTCTCCGATAACAGAGCTCTTTCGCAAAATTTTTCTCCACTCTCAAGAATAACACCAAGCTCGGCAACATCTTTGTCATCTCTCAAGCCATTGACGACTTTAGCAAAGAAATTTTTGAATATCTTCGAGGCAATGAGAAAGTCCTCTTCCCCAAGTAATTTGTCAAAACATTTGAGATTCAGACAACTGAGCAACGACGAGAAATTGCTCCACCACATTGGCTTCAGAAGCACTTTTTTGTAAATTCCCATAAACTCGCTGTTTGACTTCTTGCTTTCAAAAAAGCTGAAATCGTTCAAGAGAATGAATATCATCGATTCCCACCACAGAAAAAGCTTGAAAAATTTTTCAATCGGTGCCTGATTTTTCAAATCTTCTTTCAAAAGACAGCCAAGTATGAAAATGCAGTGATAGTGTTCCAAATTCACATCGAAGGGGACTTCTTCCTTGACGTAATCCAGGATATTGGCGTGAATTTCATTTGTTTTACTTATTCCAAGGTCGTTAGTACTCATTGATAAACTCGATAGATAGTCCAAAATCATATCTGCGATTTCCGACTTCAAATGGACACTTTCAGCTATTTTGAATATTTTTATACCTAACGGAAAGAAAGGCGATGATTTCGAGGCTTCTGAAGCGCATTTTGAAATCAACGAAAAATGATCAAAAGTGATCTGTTCTTGCTGCCATAACTTTCGCATTAAATCAGTCACATCTGATATTTTTTCCAATTGTTCCAATGACATAGGCCTTTCTTGAGAAATCGTAACGTAATCGTCATCATAGTAGTTACTAGAGGCGCGGTCAGCAACGTGGATGTTCGGGAAGCTGTGAAGATCTATTGAATCTCTAGGCATTATCCGCGAAGGCATCGTCGCCCATCTCGCCGACTTGTGTCTTTGGACCGATGTCAACTGTTCCGACATCGATTTCTGGAAGCTCTTCTTCAAGATCGAACGAGGAGTACACTGAACGGTTGTTCGGTAGCTCTGATCTAGATGGTCGATTTCGAGATAGGAACTTTTATATTCTTTCGTCAGGATTTTGAGAGAATAGCTCAGATTTTCAAAGCTAGGTCGATATTTTGGATCTGGATGCCAAGTGCTCTCAATCAGAGGCCACAGGTCGTCAGTTACTTTCGGTGGTCTTCTGAGCCGCTGCGGTTTTTTAATCCCCAATACTTCAGTCTCGAACTCTTTGCTTAGGTATTCCTTCAATTCCCTCACTGTCGCTATTTCTTTGTATGGAACATGGCCTCTGGTGAATATTTCCCACATGAGAATGCCAAAAGACCAGAGATCCGTCTTGCTTGAGAATTTTTTCAGTTCTAGCGCTTCTGGAGCGAGCCAACGAAAAGGCATGTCGCAGCGATTCTTCTGCTTGTAATAACCGCATCCTATGTAGTGATCAGTTTTACGAGAGAGTCCAAAATCGCAAATCTTGAGCGTGAAGTCGTCGCTCAGGAGGCAGTTTCGCGCTGCCAGATCTCTGTGCACGATTCCCTCACTTGACAAGTGTTTCATCCCGCAGGCTGCTTCCGCCGACCACCGCAAGGCCAAGTCATACAAGATAGCGTTGCTAGAGCGAAGGAAGCTTATCAAACTTCCGTTTTTCATATAAGCCGTGATTAGAATTGGGCATTTTCGATTACTTTCGTAAGCTAGGTAGGATAGGCCGAGGACGTTCACGTGATTGGAAAGCCTCAACATGACGAGAGCTTCTTTTATAAATTCATTGCGATTTTCTTCATCAATGATTTCTTTGACGCAAAAAAGGGATCCACGAGTATTGCTGATTCTAGCCAGGTAAACCTTTCCAAAGTTACCCATTCCAACCTTTTTTCTAAGCCCATTTTCTTCTTCAAATTGAATCTCTCCGATTCTTAGGAAGCATAATTTGAGCTTCTGCAGCGCTTTCTCTGAACTCTCGGCCCCATCTGATGTCTCTATTAGGTCAATTAGGTCTGGAGGGAGTCTTGGTGGGACTTTTGGAGCGACAATCTCTATGTTCTTTCGGTAGCGTCGACAATTTTTGAAAAAGAGAAATTCAAGTGTTTCGAACAAGCGCATTTTTGAAAAATATTGAAGTGAAAGCAATGTCGGATGTTTACGCGTGTTTGAGCTGCATTCTAACATTTGCGGTCATCGTCGGTCCTTTTAAGTGAGCGATGCGGCGGATTTTGGTTTCGAACACTTTTGTTATTTTATTACATAGAAAAGGGAGAAAAAGAGACAGGGAGAAACAGAAAGAGCTTAGTAGAAGGGAGAATGCAACCACTAGGAGCTCTGTAGTTGGCGCACTTTTTTCCTGATATGATTTTACAAATGTTATCCGCCGTAATATGCATGTGTCAAATGCCACTCTCTGATATTTTTGTAAAACGGTCCTTAGCGAAGAAGTTTCTTCTCTCTCCTGCGCCAGTTTTTCTTTCACTTCATTGAATTTTTCGACGATAGATTCTCTTTCCGTCTCATAATGCTCACGAACCTTGAAGTTTTTTGCATCAAAAATAGTGTGTTCTCGATCAGAATAGCAAACCTCGTTCATGCGCTCTTCAAAGACGGTCTTGTACTGTCCCTCAATATCTTTTATCTGCTTTTTGGCCTCTTCCTGAATAGTGTCCATTTGTTCCTTGTAATGGCTGTGAAGCTCATCGACGGATTCTAGTGAAAAAAATGAAGTGTTCATTTCGACTTGATTATTTACCTTGATAATGTTTGTGATCCTCTTCTCTATATTTTTCCATCTTTGCTCTCTCCTCTTTTACAATTCCTTAATTAACAGTTTGTTTCTTTATCATTAAAAAAGCTGACCGTTCATAGTCTTTATAACGTCGATTAGACACTCATCCACGACGATTGTTTTTTCATTCTCAGAAGATGGCGTTGGCACTTCATCTTCATAAGTTCTAGACGTTTTTAGAGTAAAAATACTAACGATGGTCAATATTCACCGAAGTCTAGTCTTCAATTTAGCATTCTCGGCTCTGAGTTGCTCTAATTCTTCCATTTTTGCGTGAAAAGTGCGGAACTGGCAAATAATATAAATGTGAAAAATCAGAAGCCCTAGGATTATCAAGCTCAATCACCTGGCTCCACAAAGCCACCTCAGCCTCTCGAGTCCCAAGCTTGACGTATCTATCCTTTACTCATCCTTTTTTATTCTGCAATTTTTTGAGAAAAATAAAAAGAATAAAAAAATTTAATCATAAATTAGTAATTAGTAATGAAAAAGTTTATTTCAAGTTCAAAATTTGAGGCAGACGGCAGAAAAATTCAATGAAGTCTATTTTTCCATCGTCGTTTCTATCAACAATATTGAAGATTTCGTTCACTTTTTCTTCGGTATCCTTTTTTTTTCGCATCCAAATTTTATGTTCAATAGATACAATAACTTTTCTTCGAAGTTATAAGTAATAGTGTTGGGTTCTCTTAGTTATTATTTGGATCCTTTCCTTATCTGCTGCAGTCCCAACCATCGACTGATAAAATTCATCCTTGGTAATGCTGCCAGTGTTTTCTTGATACAAAAATTAGAAGATTGAACGTTTTGACCACTTACTCAGATCAAATTTATTGTAAAATCGATGGCAGTTAAACCAGAATCGCACGAATTCAGCTTCGTTGAGTGAACCAGCCTTGGAAAGCTTTCCTCCCATCAAACTCAGCATTTTATCGAGTGAATGGAGGAATTCTCGTACGCTCCCGTCTGTGACTTGGATCATGCCAACTTTTTCGAAATGATCGCTGAAAAACGGTAATTAATAATAACTACTATTATCAGAGGGCTTACGTGATGTGCTGAGGAGTAACAAAAACTGGATCCATACTGAGCTGATTGATCATCTGAAAGAGCTTCTTGAATTCTTCCACTACTTCTGTCATTTTCAAACGTTTCCTTTCTCTTGAGCTTTCTGGCTGAGGTTTCTGGCTTTTGAGTTTCTAAAGAATAGCTTGTTAGATGAATCAAACAAAGCGAGGAATAAATTCAAAAAATCAATCTCTCCTCGGGGCAAAAGAAAAGAAAATTACGCTCAGAATGGATTCACGCAAAATCTGTTTCGTAAATGATGAAAATTTAAAATGCCACCACTGACAAAGAAGCTTTGACAGATGCGCCCTTTTACTAGCCTCTCTTTCTCTTCTGAATTCGAAAACCAGCACTCAAACAGACTGAGCACACATTTTTTTTCTAAGCGTTGTTAATAAACTTTACTATCTGCGGTTATTTGAGGGTAATTCTCTCTCTAAAACTAAAAGAGGATAAAAACAGTTTTTATTCTTTTTAGTCTGAGTGCGGATTAGTTTTCTCTTCCACTCTACCGGTGGGATTTTATAACGCTGAATGTGTGCTTCAATCAATCATCTTTTTTTTTTCAGGAGAGATCTTCACTCTAACTTTTCAAACTCTCTCTAGGATGTAAAATTTTAATGAGGCTATGCTACTTAGTCGTACGCGTCATTTTTAATCTTCGAATTATTTTTGAAGGCAAAACCATAAGCTTATATTTCTCATTGATCTGTGGCCACATTTGCGTACATGTCTGAAAAATCATGTAGTGCTGTACTTTTGTATTAAAATTATTTCGATAAAGAACAAATTTACGGGAGTCTTGTAATAAGAATCTTATTAAAATATTAATCTGGGAAGAGACTATTCAACCGTAAAACACCGAGGAATTATTTTTAAAGCGATCATTCTTTTACATTTCCATCGTTAAACATGTTTTACGCACGAACTTGATCTTGGGAGCATTCTTTTTTCATCACACGAATTGCTCATCGGAGCTCATCTCAAGAGCTTTTTGAAAAAAATGACTTTGGCAATCACGAACGCCCGGCGGGCAGCACTCAACGCAAAAGTGTTGAAAAAAATTCCCTGTTAGTGACAGAAGGCTGCAGTTTTTTCTTCGCCCGGGTGTACTGAGAAGAAGTTACTCAACGAGACAATAAGTCGTAAATCTGAAAGCTTTGTGAAAGAATTGATGGGTGATATCCAAAACACATCGAAATCGAGAGAGTAATGAAAAATTGATGGAGAAGGTTATTGAGTGAAGAAGAGGACGTGATGAGCTTCTCCAAAGGATTAAAGGTCAGTTGGATTACTAATCACTTAGCTTAGACTAATTTCAAAACTCGTAAAACTCATATTTTTCATGAAAATAATTTCCTTTGTTAATTTTACAACAATGGATCAGCAGCCGGTTCAAAAGTTTGATCACGTTCTACAACTCTATTCTTAGCGAGATATCAGCGGACAGTTCGTTGTCGGATATGACACTGAATTCATCATTCTATCTCCTGACGACAACAGCGCTGAGCCCAAGAAAGATCTACTGAAATCAATCTTCAAAAAAGAAGTAGGCATCTCGAATGTGGAATCAATTTTTGTTTCAATCGGAAGTTCTGGGGATCTGCCGATGGGTCGCCTGGACAGAGAGAAGCTTGGAAACGCACTTTACGAAAACGCTGGGAAATGCCAAGGTGTATTTTTGACCTTCGGTGAATCTGGCGGACTGGTCGAAGTTCTCTCCGAAACACATCATGATTTGGGAAGCGTTTATGATGATCATGTTAAACTTGTTGGCATCACTGGCAATCCGGAAGCCTTGAAGTTTAAAACAACTGATCATGCTGACTCTCACAGCCACTGTATATGCCTGAAAGGAGATCGTCACGGAAATCCGATCGAAGAAGACGATCTCTGGCTGAACTCGATTCTTGCCATCGCCGAACTCGCAAATGAAAAATTAGAAAATACCTCGGACTACATTCCACTGACAATAATTCTTCAAGGAGGCTCAGCAAGAGAGCTCAAAATTCTAGCTTTATTATCATTACTTTCTCCTATTCTCCAACCGACACTTATTCTCCTCGATGGGACGGGAGGATTGGCTCAGCTTATACAAAAAATTGTGACCGGTTTTTGGCGGAATATTTTCAACCCGACACGACAAAAAATGCAGCTGGAAGACACGCTTAGCTTATTTGAAACAGATGATACTCGTCTGAAGTCCGAACTTGCAAGTGTCACCGAAAATATTAGAAATTTCGAAGTCTTCTTGAGCTCTTGTCAATTCAAGGATGAAGGTGTTTATGATATTCACGAGCTCATGGAGTCGGTGCAGAAAATCTTCACGAAATACTTCATTCTAAGCACAGAAACGTCGAATGATTATAAAAAACTCATCAATCTTTGCATCTTTCCAAGCGTACCGGTCGGTCAATTATCAAAAGACGACTGTATGCATCGCTGCCTTGAGTACAGTATCAGAACCGACAATATCCAAATAGCAGAAAATATGCTTGTCAAATCAGCGAACGACTATAACTTGGAATCATGGATGACGCAGTATGGAATTTACGAAGCGTTTTTCGTAGAAGCCTTTCGACTGGACAACGCTGATTTCATGGGCCAAGTTCTCGATAATCAATCTAAAAACTATCTCGAAGACGAATTCATTCATTCACCGAAATTCGCTGACTACATCGCTTCATGGATGACTTCAATGCAAAGTGGCTCGTTGAAGAAAACGTCGAGTGTTGTTTACAGATCAAAGACTGCGAAGGACAAAAGAAGATTGAGATCATTAATTCTTCAGAAAATCAGCAAGACTGGACTTGATCTGATGACGGTTCGAGAAACTGAACTTCCTTTGGAATCTGTAAGGATGCTTTTGCTCGTAGCACTTGTTACAGGGAGAACCAAAGTCGCCAAGAAACTTATCTACAGTGGAACAGATCTTCTTGGCGAGTTCATTGCGACGGCGTTGATTTGCCGAGGTCTTAAGAACTCTCTAACGCATGACTTGTCAAAAAAGAGAGAAGAGCTGGACAACTTCGGTAAAATTTGTGAAGCAGACGCGATTAAACTTCTTGAGAGATGCTCTTCTGTCAATATTCGAAGAACAGAGGAACTCTGCATCCGAGAATTGCCTCACTGGGGCGGCAAAAGCTGCCTCGAGTTGGCCATTGCCGGTGATTCTCAAAACTTTGTTGCCCATTCCACGATACAAATGTTCCTAAAATCCGTTTGGTTCGGATCAGTTCGCAACAGAAGTGACATTTCAATGGCAAATTATCTCAGCTACTGTTTCCCGTTTCTTTCGCCACTGTTGCTGAGCGATTTTTTTAGCGAAAATGACTCTTATTGCCTCCGTTTTGTAAAATTTATGCATCTACCGTCTACAATTTTTGTCTATTCTGGAATTTTCTACCTCTTGTATTTGTTTTACTTTGCCATTGTTTTGTCGATGAAATTTTGCAAGCTTCCAGTCATCGAAGAAATTATTCTTTGGTTCTGGACTCTTGCCTTGTTGGCTGAATGGGGTCGAAAATCGGTGTATAATCATCGGATACGAATCAGCAAGAACTCTTTTTTGCGTGATATTCGAAGAACAGTTGGTCAATGGACTTCTCAAGACACATGGACATTCATAGAATTCTTGGCCTATCTTATGTTTGGAATCGGTTTTTTTCTCCGACTCAGCATTATCTCAAGCACTTTGGATTTCTGGGACTTTGGCAACGTCAATAATGGAAGCTCTATCACAACCTCAATGTGGGACAAATGGAATAAATACTGGAATGAGCTTCTATGGAATCACGACGATGAAAATTGCCCGATTTACTTTGACGTTGAACTTTCAGTAGGAAAGATGCTCTCGGTTCTCTATGAGCAGAACGTAAACATGAGACTGTCTCAATATTTCTACTGCTTCTCATTCATCCTCTCGGTCATCAGAACGCTAGAACTCTGCACGGTTTCAAAACATCTTGGATCAAAGGTCAAAACGCTTTTTGGTGTTCTTGCGGATTTATTTTTCTTTCTGATTATTCTCTCGTTTTTTATGGTTGCGTATGGAGTGTCTGTTCAAAGTATTATTTATACTAACGAATGGAGATACTACGACTTGTTCTTTGGTATCTTCGTGAGACCTTTCTTTTCGATGTTTGGCGAGCTGTTTCTTGGAGAAGTCACAAGCTATCAGTATTCAGGTAAGTTCTACACATATTTTCATCTCATAAGTGTCTTTAGACTCCGTTGATCCCCATCAACTGGCAGATACGGCCCTCGACGATGGAATCATAGAAGCAGAGGAGATCAAAAACTTCAAAATGACAACTTGCTCAAATATACACTCCCGCTCTTATTTCTACTCCCTACAGAATTTGGCTGAAAATGAAGGAAAATCTATCTTCCGATGCCCAAATCCGTCCAGGGTCGTTTGGTTTCTAATGGCTGGATATCAGCTGATTGCAAGTGCTTTGCTGCTCAATTTGGTTATTGCCATGTTTTCCAATACATTTAATCGAATAAACAATAATGCAGTCTTGGTTTGGAAATTTCAGGTAACCATCCTACTTTTATTTTTTCTCAAATATTATTTCTTTTTAGCGGTTCGATCTTTTGAAATCATATCAGTCAAAACCAGCTGTTGTACCTCCATTAAATTTGATTTATCATCCGATAAAGTGGATATTGTAAGTTTTCACATATTTTGTTATCAGACTCAATTCGATTCTAGTGACATCGTCTATCGCCTCTGCTCATCTGGAAAAACATTTAGTGAAGCTAACTCAATAAGAGAACCGATTAAAATCCCATATCAGTAAGTACCCTGATTAAATGATTTTCTTATATCAAAACTCAAGCGGCCGGGGAAGGCGCACAACAAGCACAAGAACTAAAAACAATCGAAACTCACTGGATGCCGAGTGGTTTATTTCCGGCAACAAGAACGAGAACATTCCATTGCTGGAAGACAAAACCTCGAATCAGGGGTCAACGGTAAAGCGAAGAAAGAAAAACAGATTGTCTGTATTTGAGTTTTTAAATGCATCGAAACAATTTCAATGATAATTGATGAAATAAAAAGCTTTCTGTATATTTTTTATGAATTTATTTCTTGATGATTGTTTTATGCGCAGGTTGTATTTAACAACGCTTCTTGAAGCGCCAGTTGTTCGCGTTGTATCCGCTTCGTTTGCATTCGACGAATTGATATCGTCTTAGAAATTACAGATTAGGAAGCAGATCAAATGAATTTGTTACCTGTTTCTGCAAGCTGCTTTGCAAATTATCTTATTGTAGTTATCATAGCAAGTAGCTTGATTGAAGGGAAATCCAACGTCCGGAGTTTTCGGGCAGGGGCCGGAAACTGATGGAGGTTTGCTGCCAGAGCTTGGTGGAGGTCTGCTTCCAGAATTGCTTCCACCTGCTGGAGGAGGGCGGCTTCCCGAGTTGTTGCCGCCTACTGACGGAGGTTTACTCCCTGAAGTTCCTTCGTAGGGATCACGAGAACCGTCAGTGGCACCGTCTGTTGGAGGATATCGACTTCCACCTGAGTAGTAGCCATCGTTTTGGAAATTTGCAACTGGTTCGTCACTTTGCCACTGATTATACCTGTTGTATCGATTTTGACCGTAGTCTCTTTGAGAAGATGAGGGGTATCGACTGCCTGAGGTGCTCCCGCCATTGTTGTAGGAAGGGTAGTAGTTGTTTCCTTGATAAGGAGGGTACTGTTGGTATGGAGGACGTGGGTATCCGTTGTTTCCACTACTCGGGTATTGATTGCCATATGGAGGTCTGGATCCGCTGTTACTTCCACCGTAAGGAGGTCGGGAGCCATTATTGCTGCCATAGGGAGGACGAGATCCGCTGTTACTCCCTCCATACGGAGGATATCCGTTGTTGTTTCCTCCATTTGGTGGCCTAGAGCCATTGTTGCTCCCATCGTAAGGGGGTCGGGAGCCACTATTGCTCCCTCCGTAAGGAGGATAACCATTGTTGTTTCCACCGTTTGGTGGTCTTGAGCCGTTGTTACTACCTTCATATGGTGGACGAGAGCCACTGTTACTTCCTCCGTATGGTGGTTATCCGTTGTTGCTACCACCGCTAGGGTACTGATTGTCGTAAGGAGGACGAGAGCCGTGATTGCTGCCACCATAAGGCGGACGTGAACCTGAATCCCACCCACCGTTGTTCACGTTTGGTGGTCTCTGCTTCGGAGATTTTGGAGATTTGGGATGCTTAGGCGACTTTGGCGACTTTTTCGCCATGGCTGACAGCCATAGCAGCAAAAATGATAACTTCATCTCGCTGCTAGAGATTCTCTTTGATATGAAGCACTTTGATCGCGGTTTTATAAGAAGCAACAACGCCCGAATCGTAAACATGCCGGGTGTTCTGGTCATCTGACTTTCGTTAATCATCAAAATGTTGCCTCGATTTCAATAATAAACATAATAATAAACTCTCACAACATTTATAAAAAAGCGATCTTTCATTATTTATCGAGTCACGAATGTTTGCTCTTCAGAATAATAGAACTTGGATAAAGTCAGGAAGATCCATTGTCCGACTTCAGAAAATAAACCACACCCAGGATCCAAAAATGTGGCGCTATTGGAAATATTTTCTTTGAGCTAGAAATTTCGGAAGGTATAAAAGTTGTGAGCGAAAAGCTTGGTCACGTTTTCCCAAAAATGGGCAATGAACAAAGCCAAACTTCTAAAGATGAAAGTGATCTGGCAGAGCTGGCTGACAGGGTCATGCAAGAGTCAAAAAACAAGGGACGGGTGCTGCTCGGTAGGACAAAAGTACGCTTTTATCAAAAAATGCACACCTTCGATGAGAATCTGACGGTAAAAGAGAGAATTTTCAAATGCGATTTTTCTGTCTTGCCGCTCGTTCGACCACCCTTCTACTCAATATTTTTATCCTCAACCTTTGTTGATACACAAGTTGAGAGAAATGCAATTTTGGAGCATGTTCAACCGAGAATATTGGAAATTTGCAAGGGTCAGAATATTGAATTCAATCTCATTGACTTACGGTTTGTGAAAATTTGATTCTTCTACGAAAATCTCAATTTTAGTTGGGGTATTCGTGATGCAAGCACAAAAAATCACAATGTTATTCAAATCTGCCTTGATGAAGTCAGACGATGCTTTGAAACTTCTCCAATGAGTCTCCCAGTACTCGTGCATTTGGCTTTTGATAGATACGGTTGGGTGCCTGTTCCATCAGAAATCGAACATGATTTGTTTCTGAGCTTGGTTGACGAAACCCCCGAAAACGAAAGAAGTCTCCTTCATACCGCATACATTCATGATAAGAATCGATGCCCAGAAGTACACCGTCTTCGATCAACAGATGAACTCAAAAATTGGACTGACCTAGAGCCGAAACTTAGATTTTTTCTAGAGAAATCAGCTCTTATGAAAAATAAGCTGAAATCACTTACTGAGCAAGAAGTCCGTTTTGGGATGGAGTTGGATCCTAAACGCGTGATTCTTCTAACGAAGTCTACGGAAAAGGGCAAAGAAGAATCAGACAATTTAGAGGCGCAAGAAGCCTTCAAAAATTCTGTTAGAGAAACAATTCTATCGGCAAATCACATTGAGCTTGTTCAAGATGATAAGGAAGAGTCAGTCTACAAAAAATCAGTTTCTGATGGGATTCTAGGAATAATTGAGCCGCTTCTAGCATCATTGAAGGAATCGCGCTCTGAACAGACTGTTTTTCAAGATGAGCTTGTTCATCAAATGCGTTTTGCCCTAGATAGGGAAAGAAACTTCATCGGCCGCAGTGACTTGTTAAAAACAGTTCTTTGGGAAATCAACAAGCGATCAAAGAACGTCTTTGTTTTTACCGGAGCTTCCGGCTCTGGAAAGAGCACATTCATTGCGAAAGTCTGCGTTGAGCTTCAGAAGATCGGTCATTTTCCGTTACTTCGTTTTTGCGGAACTTCGAAGATTGCTTCACAGCGGGACAATATTCAAAAGTCATTGATTAAACATCTTGGGGGTATTCTTGGTTTCAGTCTCCTAAGGTAAAAGTCAAATGATTTCTATGTTCAATATTTTAAGAAAACCTGATGCGAATCTTACCGATCTTTTCAACACCGCTCTTGCCGTAGCCTCAAGAAATTTGGACTCTCGAAAAGTCGTGATCGTGTTAGACTCCATCGACCAGCTCGATGCGGGAAGTAGGCGAAGTCTAGACTGGCTGCCAGTTGACTTCCCCGACAATATCGTTCTTTTGATTTCGATCATTTCGGGTGATTCCACCTTTCAAGAAACTTATGACGAGCTCACTCAGCGGTTTCGAAGGAGTAAAATTTTTGAAATTCAACCGCTGGCTGAAAATGAAATTCACCAAATGGTCAAGTCTTATTTAACGTAAGTAAATGTCTATTGCTTATGGCATCAAATATATTTAGGGCTGAAAATCGACAATTACAGGAAGACCAAGAAAAATATCTCAAGGTAATTCCCCTCTATTGAATTTCCGCTAATCAGTTCTAAAAGAATCGGAAGTTTTACTTCCAGTATCTTCTATATAACGGTAAAAACGCTCGATAAGGGGTGTGAGAATTTATTCAGAAAGTGAGAACAGATTTAGAGCTTGCTTCTGAATGAAGAGTTGGAGAAACAAACGGTTTTCCGGAACAAACTCTTCCTCTCAATCGCAAAGACGATCAGTTCGTTTGAAAAGGTGCCGGAAGTGGTTCCCACTACGGAAGGAGCACTCAATGTCATAACTGAACGATTATTCAATGTGCATGGAAAATTCCTTGTCAGCCATGTTCTTGGATTATTATCTGCCAGCCGTAACGGCTTTAGCGAAGCTGATCTGATCGAAATGCTCTCAGGGGACGACAAAGTTTTAGATGACATTTTTCAGTATCATCAGCCACCTCTTAGAAGACTTCCAGAGCTAGTCATGAAGCGACTGTTGATGGAAATCCAACAGTACATATGCAAACCCCATGTGAATGGCAAACAAGTGATCAGATACTTCCACCGCCAATTTCATCAGTACTTCAAACAATTTCGTTCTGTTGAGCTTTATGAGCTCGCGTTACGATACTTGAATGGCGAATTGAAAAATAAATACAAGGTAAAGTTTTGAATACAAACTCGGAGATTACTCAACAATAGGATCGTCTGATAACCGCACCAGAAAGCAAATGGATAACTTTATCAGAAGAGCCTCATTTACTGTGGAAAGTCTCCTGTGTAAGCACTTCGAGCGAAGGGCGCAAGCACTTGACAGCTCTGGAAAACCTTCTGGCAAACAAGACGCGCATTCTTGAAAGAATTTACTTTGATCAGCTTCAAGAGTATCTCATCGATCTTGAGAACTACTTGGACTCGACGAAAGGGGACACTCGTGACTGCAGATTTCGCCTGCAAAAGATTTACGATTTCCTGAGGCCTAAAGCGTTCTACATTGAGTCCATCAAAGACAAAGAAGAGCAACGGCAAGAAGTAATTCGATTATTCCTTGGTCAAGAATCCATGGTGGAGTTCAAAAATCCATTTCGATGCAAATCTTCAAAGGACTATCCGAATATTCTCTTGACGAATTACACCCCTAAGCAAAAAATTCAAGGGACTGATCTTTGTCTTGACAGAATAAGACCAAATGTTATGACAGAGAGTCTTAAAGTTTATGGAGTAGATGCTCAACTGTTCTTGACAGTTTTTATTTACGAAGACAGACAGACATGTTCAAAGTCATCGATGTTAACCTTGTGGAATGAAGTGAGTCTTATGACCGTCAGATAAGGTGTTATTTTTTGTTAAGGATGGAAAGATGAAACTGAATAAAGAATATCAAGAGACTATTCTTGCTGCTTACGATTTCGACAAGAGCCACTTCGTCATTGCTACACCAGATGAGATACGAATCCTGAACAAATCAAACTTCAAAAAAGTTGGAAAATCGAAGATTGGCTTGAGTGAATGTGAAAATGGCCTTCTCGACGTTTGCGGAGAAGGAATCATAGGAAGGTTTCATATTTTTTCGATAAAATAATAGATTAATTCAATAAGAAACCAATACATAGTGTTCCTCACAAATACTCACTTGGTGCTTTTTGAAAGCTTTTCCTTTGACGGTGAGACTTTCGGACTCGACAAAAGAGTTCCAGTTGAGCTCGACATCAAAGCCAAGGTCACAGATGATCAAAGAAGGTGGAATTTTCTGAAAGCAACAGAAGATTATGTTTTCATAGGTGGAGAGGATCAGTTATGTCAGGCTTGGGTGGACAAAGATATTTCATAGAACAAAGAAATATAGTTTGATGAACCCCCTTAACAAGGTCTACCTAGTTTCGACTGGTGAAAAGATTGGCTTCGCAGAAAATAGACTCAAAGATGAAATTGGCATATCATGCGATGTCAATGAAGCAACAGGGAAGATCCTTGTGACAAGTACTCATCGAACAATTTTATTTGATATCGACTACGATCCAGATGCCGTATACAAAAATTCTCTAATAAAAAAGAAGGCACATTCGTTACATGGAGGGGTAATCTGCTGCTCCGGAGAATTTCTCGTGACTAGGGAAGATTTGAAGATTTCTATTTCGACTTTCTTTCGATCTGGAGAATACAAGAAGTTCCAGTACCAACAAAAGCGAGACAAATTCTTCGTTCCCTCAGCAATAGCGGAGACGACTGACTTTCTGGCCCTGGTCATATCACAGAATCGTGTAAGAATAGGGAAGAAAAGCCATCTTAGACAAATCTCTAAAACGATAACAACCCGGTCGTTTTTGCAAATGGACAAGGCGATATTCAGTAACAAAACGATGATAGTCTCCCTTGTCAAAGGCGATGGAGATTTGAGCATATACGACGAAAAAGAGTTAAAGATCATCGCTCGACTCAAATCATCCAGATCTGGCCAGCAAACGCTCAAGTCATTTGCGTTTGCAGAGAAAAATAGAGTTCTAGCTACAGTTACGAATGACAATGTTGATTTCTGGCAGCTACCAGAAGAGAATGAACCTCTGCCAGATTCCCTTGGTTTCCCACTTTTTAGCAATCATGTCAATTTTACGTCTGTCTGCCAGACTGTCAATTTCATTGAAGATGACGAAAATCTCTGGCTAGCGATTCCAAAAGATGATGGGTTTTTGATCGTCAGTAGGAACGATAATATTTGGAAAGCGAAATCTGTGACAATCATTCAAGACAAAACCTCACTACTCGCGAATCCGTTCTGTATCAAATACAGTGGTCTCTTCAAAAACGATGGTGTTTTCTGGTGCATTGCGACTGAGAAATCAACGAAAAATGACGTTTTCTTTACTATTGACCCAGAAAATCAAGCTGTTTTTGCGAGAAAATTCGAATATGGGGAACTAAGAGTGGTTGAGGCGATTCCAAAGTCGAAAAATCTGCTTATTGGATCACAAAACTCCTTACTGTCCATGACAATTGACGGCGAAGTTCTTGTATCTCTGAAAATTACAGGTTCTGTGAATATCCTTTATGTATTTGAGCAGAACAACTCGAGGTTCTTCCTGGTTGGCACGACAAAAGGACATGGATACTTGGGCAAAATAGAGGAAGATGGAAGAAAACTAGAGATAATTGACCAACTGACGATACCAAAGCCCGTTCCCTACCAAGATCGCACATTTTTCATTGAAAACAAGGATGACAACGTCCTTGTCTATGATATTGATGATGGTCAAGCATGCTTTATCAAAGTTATGAGCTTCGAATAGAAATTTCTTTGTAAATAAACAGAATCGCTTCTTATGAATTTACTTTATTGTTGAACTCAATAGGATGATTTTAAGCGCCTTCATTCGTGATTTTCCTAGATCTTCATATAAGTTCGATTTCTAAAACTTTGTTGATTGCTTTGAGTTCAACTCGTACGTTGAAATTAACGAAAGGCTATCATCGGAAGGAGGAATGATCATGACTTCGCAACTTTGCAACATGCAGTTGTTGTTCTTGTTGTTCTTCGAGTCCAAATAGGTCTCGTAAATGCTCCCTCTTCTGAATCGATCAGGTCCATCGTCGACCGTCAGGTTCCGAGCAGTAAGACCCGGATCATTAGGTTCTCTGTCCTCTCGTTTCTAAAAATTTTACTGACGCACAAAAACTGATGTTATTTCGGTACGATTCCAGTCTCGACTTGTGTTTGGACTGGGGCTAAGGACTGATCGCAATGCTTAGCGAGAACATAATCAGAATTAATTATTCTGATGAAAGCATAGTAGATTAATTATCGATACTATGCGCAGAAATATGAACGAGTTTATCTCAAGGATAAACGAATTACGACTGTACTTAACCTGTTTATCTTGTAACTAAATATGAATTCTGTGATGAATGATTCAAATTTAAAACTTGCTTAAGATTTGTACCTTGTAAAGCAGTGTGGGCCTGCGCTCGTAGTATCCATCACTGTAATGATAGTAATTTCCAGGCTGCATTTTGAGAACAGGTGACGGTGTCGAGTTCGTGGGCGATCGCTGGCCTTCAGTTGGGGTTTTTAAGCGGACATGATTAGATGAAGCTAAAAGATATAGTTTGACTTTGATGCGTGATGCTTTCATCAGAGACGTGATTTTGTGAGCTTTGACACTGAGTGACAACATAACAGCTGATGTGCTCGAGAGCAGATGATTCAGGGATTAAACATGAATACAATAAATTTTAACTCACTCTTTCAAAGGTATGTGCCTAATACAAAATGTCAACACTTGCCGACGGGCCGGTCGAAGATCTCACCTTTGGATGACCTCCCAGTTTGCTGAGAAAAGACGCTCTCAACTTCGCTTGGATCCTCGAACATCGGATCGACACCACCATAAGCTCCACAAAAGGCGACACGGAGGCGACGTACACCAATGTAAATCAACTCGGCAAGATTAAGTAAGGCTGTGATTGCAGCTGTTATGTACATATAATGAAAGAATATTGTTTTTTCTTTGACTCTGTCAATGTGATAGATAATTTTTCTCAAGCAAAAAAGGATAGTAGATCTCTCTATCACGAAACTTGAAGGCCAGCACTCAACAGTATATGGGCAAGGTGCTCTGTTACATTTATATACATCGGGAATATATTCTTTGTACGGATAAATCGTCCACTGGAAGTAAATGAAGACTGCATCAATAAGAGTCCTCGATATCACCATAAGAATGTAAAGTCGCCAAAGTCGCTTTTCTTTTGTAGAATCCTCTCTTTCAACGGGTTTAATGATATTCCTTGTTGTTTTCAATTGAAAATCATTGTTGTCTTCAAACCCAGTTCCTTACTGCGTTCAGATAATCAGGCATGATAATTTGCATATTGAGCTTTTCGTGTGCTGCACAACCATGGTTAAGTTTTTGGTCAGCAATTTTTCGTCGTCTGATAGCAGCAGAGCTTTGGTTCTGCAAATTATTGGTACCCTCTTCATTTTCTCTCTTCTCCTTTTCGCGTCTGTTTTCGGCCAAATGACAAACGTAGACAATGTACAAACAGAGCGGCGCTGAAATCTACGGTCATTTTACTGCCGAATTAATTAATTAAGTGATAGAAGTCACTGTGTACGTTTTCTTTGGCTTTGTGCTTGTAAAAATTACGTATGTAATCCTTGTAGCGATAACGGCTCTGGGCCAGGTCCTCGTAAAATGTGTTAAAGTCAGTGGTAAAACCCAATATATTTTAAACGATTGTTGAACCTGTTGAAACCGCAGAGAGTACAATTGAAAACTTACCTGTGATGGCCAGGACTTGCATAGACCAGAGACGAACTTGGTTTATGGGTGCAAAGGCATTGAAGCAGACATTCGGACAACCAACTTCTTGTGTGTTGCATTTGAATTCCTTTTGCTCGTCACTCCAGCAACTATCAGCAAATGGCAAAACGCTTAAATCAAGAGTTCGCATATTGTTTCCATCAGTTTCAAAGTTGGTAAAATTAGAACGAACCCCTTCCTTATACGAAAAACAGTGACGAATATATGCCAATACTTCCCATAGATAGTCGAATGCCTTGACGGAATATAAAACATCAGTTTTTCATAAATCTGTTACCTCGATAGTTTCTCATAGATCGGATCAATGTATCGCCAGGGCATTGTCCTTCACCGTTTTCATTCTTCCATCAAACACTCTCTGATTGTTTTCTGTCCGAACTTCTGGCTCCGAAAAAACTTAACCCCTTTCTCAACTTATCGTTTTATTTTCCCTCTCAACAAGGATACGGGCGGCGTTTGGGCACGCAATCTTCCTGGGTGGATTCACGCCTCGACGCTCTCTTTTGACTGACCAAAAGTGAGCAGGATTTTCACCATAAATGTCAAGTGCACAGGTAATTTTTTGCTTCGCGTTAATTTTTCTACTTTCACATTCAACCCTTCTGGGTGTACCCGCTTTATTTCGATCTTAGTCATGAGAGACGCGAGATAGATCTCAACGCCGGTTTTATGAAGGCCACATGCGAATCCTGTATTCAGAGGCCTGAAACTGAGTTGCAAGATTCAATAAATTAGCCTGCAAATGTTAACGCTTGCTTCATTTTTTAATCAATGGAGAAAATATGCCTGCATTTTGTTTCAATAAAAAGACAACCAGATCTGTTTAGAGACCGAGTTTTCTTGGTTTTAAAATGTGAAGACTAATTTATTTCAGTAATCTCATTTAAGGACATCTTGTTTCATATGTCAGAGTAGGTTTTGAAAGAAGATTTTTTGGAATGGAAAGTGTACAGGTATAAATGCCACAATGGGTAAGAAACATTCGGATTATAAAAAGGCAACAGTAAAGAAAGGCATCCTTGTGTTAGTAGAGAATAATTTTGAGCGATTCGGCAGGAGATTCAATGATTGAACGAAGCTTGAAACTTGTGATTGTAACTACTGTTGTTAGTGATTGAGTTAAAAAGAGTCAAAATTAACTGCCACGGACGTTCCCGGCAGGAGAAAGGAAGATATTGAATAGTATAGCAATTATGACAGCAGTAACATAAATGAGGATGAACATAACCAGTCCGAGGTAAGGAGCTATATCAGCGGTAGTGAGTTTGGCTTTGAAATTGTGAAGAATAGCGTAGCCGACTGTCCAGCCAGTGAACATGCCAGCTACGTGAGCAATGTGCGAGATTTTTGTTCCACCAGAGTCACCGTTATATCGACGGGAGTATGCCAGCCCAAAATCGATCAAAACATACAGTAGTAAAGTTGTAGCGATAGCGCCGTTCAGAAGCCGCATTGGACTAAAAATGATAAGGATAGATTCACATTGATGCCAAATTACCGGGGTAGTTCTCTGAAACGACGAATCATTAGAGCCAGATATGCACCGATGATTGCATAAGAACCGCCAGAGGAGCCAAGCAGTTTTATATGAGGATCAACACAACTTGAAGCAAGTGACCCTTAAATAAATCATTACACTTGTTAAGAAAAGAGCGAGTACCAGATAAAATTCCAAGAAAGAATATCACGCATATGCGCCACTTGAAGTAAAGCTCAAGGAGGAATCCAACAAGGACTTGAAGAAGAACATTTCCGAGTAAATGCTCGGAGTCGTAGTGCAGGACGGAGTAAGTAATCCAGCGCCAAGCTTCATTCCTCTGATCAAAGATGTCGGAATTCAACAAATATCTTTTTCTTACCTTTTGCGGATCATAAATCCACATAGAATCGTGCGTATCAACGCCGATTGTTTCGCCATTGTCAAGCGTGTTTCTTCTAATAACGTAAAATACGAACATAGCAATTTGCATCGTTGCGAAAGTGATCATGAACAGCGGAGGAGGCCTACACGACAAAACACCTCCGTAAGCCTGCAAAAACTTCATCCTTTCTTTTCTCGTGGGCATGATGACGCGTAGTAGACGATCATTCGCACGGCCATATTTGACATTTGTGCGTAGATACGTCGCGTACTGATTTTCGCTTACTTCTGGCTCTGGTGGTTCCACTAAATTAGAATGAAAGATCGCCGAAAAGAAGTTTGCTTACATTGATCTCGTCTAGCTAGATATTCGTATTCCGAGATAAACTCTCTTCCCTGAGCATCTGTTGGTCTGTAGAGCTCGGCTGGGACGATAGGGCGGCTGACAGTATATCGAAATGACCGGTTTACACGGCGAGCCCGCTCGCGTGCGTATCGACCACTCTCTCGAATTCGTCCCTAAACATATCCTTCGTGATTTTCGCTAGATTGAGACTAGTCTACTTGTGCCCGCCGAAAACTTGAATACAACGCGCTTCCTGTATCAAAAGGATCACGAAGAGTTCCTCTTGCGAAACCAGCGCGCTGATTACTCCTTGACGAATCATCCCTCAAAGTCGAGTTCGCTTCGAATTCGTCCACCATTTTTTCTTAAAAACAAACTGCTTTTACTAATATCGGTTATACGCTGAAATTGAAGGAAAAAGAATTGTCACTGGTCTTCCAGGTAAAGTCTTGTTCTTTCTTGCCATCGCCAGCTTCGTTTACGCTCAAGTTTTTGATGTCAGGAAGCGTCGAGGAAGGCTCTGCGCTCCGACGGGACTTTCGAATGACTTGACTGCCTTTGGCGGCGCTGATGTTGATACTAAAGTCGGCTTCGGTTTCATACTTGGCAGTTTCTTTTTCCCACTTGGCGAGATCTTTCTTCATGAGATTTTTGTAGTCGGGGAATTCTTGCTTCATTATTACTCTCTTTTTTGGAACCGGTGTTTTCGTGCTTCCTACTAACAGTCAAGATATGCATTATCTGATCGAACTGACCTAGCATATTAATGAGCTTTGAAATCCTTTCTGCGTCCGCTGCTTTTTTGCATTTCTGCAAATTCAACTGAAGCTGCGTAATCGTCCAATCAAGCTCATTCTTCAGGTTCATCTCGTCCTCTGGACTCAGCTCGACTTTGGGCATTGGTTTCGCCGGGCCCTTTGCATTAATTCTACGTTTCGGTGGCATTCTAACATGAAAAAGACGTTATCATCGTTATTTTTCTGTACAAATAAATTAGTTTAATTTTAAAACAGTAGTCTAGCTTTTCCCGAGAAAGTGACTCAGTTCAAGTTCAGGAGGAGCAACTGGGTCAGAGCCGTCGAAGGCGGTACTAGAGGTGTTTGACGCAAGTTTGGCAGTATTTTCCATCGCTTTGACCGGGTCCCGGTGGCTCATCATGTAAGCTTGTAGCCTTGCCATCGAGATATCTGCGTTATGACTTCGCACGCCAGTCAAGAAATTCTTAAAGGATAAATGAAAGAATCCCTAGCAGAGAGGTCTTACCCAAGCGTGAGTATCCGGTGAGTCGGGGAAAAACCTCAAGAACATTCCGCAGATCTGCGCATCAGATGCGTTTTTGAACTCTCTCGCGAAATCCACTCGACCTGGACGTATCAGAGCACTATCCAGTCGTTCAATATAATTTGTTGTCATCACTAGAATCCTTCCATCGGAATTCGTCACTCCATCGATAGCATTTAACAAGCCAGAATGCGTAACACCACCAGACATTCCAGCAAATCTTTTATCGCCCTCAATTAGCTTCGCTCGATCTTGAAAGGCGCAGTCGATATCTTCCAGAACAATAATCGTGTCTGGAGGTGCTTTGTTCAATAAATGCAAAAATCTAGAGTCGTCCATCATGTGATCGGCCATGTTTATCAGAGCGATCGAGTACTTCAGCTCGCCGGCGAGTGCTGTAATCAGAGCTGTTTTTCCAGAGCCTGGTGTTCCATAGAAAAGATATCCTCTACGGTAGGGAATGCCCATTCCATCGTACCAGGCTTTATTACCAACAAAACTCTTCAGATCTTTCAATATCCTCTGAAAGTAATATATATTCGTTTGTAAAAAGAATTTTTACTACCTCGCATTCCATGGGATCGAGAATAATCGAGCTAAGAGGCCTCTTCGATTGAGTCGAGAGAAGAGACCATTCTTGTCCATTAGTGCCATAAATTTGCGTAGTCATCGATGTATCCATCTTTGCAAAAGCCTCTGCCCTTTGAAATGATGCAAATTAGTTCAATTGTCATCACAAGAACACTTGAGTCTGTAGATATGAAAGTTGACTATCATTTCCTTGCTGTTTCTAAGATTTCAAGCATTCGCTCTCTTCCTTCAGTTTTATTCGAGCAAAACGTCTCCAAAATTATTGTTTCAAAAGGCACATTAGATGCTGTAGGCTGTGACCGTGTTCTTTCGACTTTAATTGGCCTAGGAATCCACTCGCCAGGCTTTTTCTCCCAAAGATAATGCGTTCCAGCAGTGGGTTGAAGATTGAAATCAAGTTTCTAATCAAATATTTTATTTTTATCATCCAAAATGCACACAAAAACCTTTATAGCGCCAGCCTGCGTCTTTTTAAAGCTAGTTCCGATTTGATAATGCGCAGTGAAATCTCTTCTCGACGCAAGATGCCCCAGCATCCACTCGTATGCGATATCAGAGTTGGTGATCTCCAACTTTGCCGTATAATTCCTCGTTATGTACGTATTCATCATCGACAACCCTCGATTACCGAGCCTTCCGATAAGGGCTACTGCGGCCGCTCCCAGGCCGAGGCCGAACCCATCGCCCATTCCTACACCTTCTAACCCCATTTCGACCTGCTGAAAACAACAACATTAGCTCGCCGATCAACGTTTTATTTATTTTCCTAATTCCACGATGGTCAGGTCGGATGGTTCAAAGTTGGCAGTCATTAACCAGTTCACAGGGGTCGTAAGAACATTCAAGATATTACAGGCATATTAACTCATTATTCTCCTTCAGCTTTGGCCTTCTTAGCGACGGGCTCATCATCATCGTTGAAAGTAGTCTTCGTGTTCTTTGGCTTTCGCTCGCCGCGGCCGCCAAAGCCTCCACGTCCTCGACCACGTCCTTTACCACCACCACGGCTCTTTAATCGAGCAAAGAGTGCCTCTCGTTCGTCCTTGAAAACAAGTTAGCAAGTTAAAAATTATTATTTCTCTACCTTCAGTTTCTTGACTGCTCCTTCAGCGACCTCGCCCTCAAGAGCTTCAAATTTAACTTCCTCGGCGCTTCGGATTTTAACTAAAATATCAATAGACAACCAAATTCAATAGGAGAGGACATACCTGGGTTCTTCTCGAGTGCACCGACAATAGTAGCGGCAGACTCGCCCTGGTTCAAGAGGCAGATACCTTCGGTATTGCCTCGCTCGAAGCAAGTGAAGTCAACAGAGCCTTTGAGTGCCTCAATGATCTCTTCACGGCCGACGGTATCGTCGGTGACTCCAGTAAACTTGATAACTCGGTTGACCGCGTCAGTGTCTTCTTCTCTAGCCTTCTTCTCGGGCTCTAATTATCAAGCATAAAGAAAGATTTTCGATGAATACGCTTACTCTTTTCTTTGCCACTTTTGCTGTCGTAGTAGTTCTGCTTTGACTGCTTCTCAAGGACCACATCATTGTATTTGGTCTCAGCTTCAGCCATGAACTTGTCCATGTCTTCCTGAGTCTTGAAGGTAACAAAAGCAGTTCCTTTGAACTCGCTTGTTTCTCTATTTCTCATCATATAGATTGATTCGGATCCGTATGGCTCGAAGAAATCCTGGAGCTTGTCAAGAGTCTCGTCTTTACCAAGTCCCTAGGAACCGTTCAGAAAACATCAAGAAATCAAGGATTACCTTGACAGCAGCGGTTCGATTTTTCTGAAGTCGTTTGTAGTTATCATCGTAGACTGGGATGGGTTTGCTGGTGACTCGTCGGATCTTGGTTTTATCTTCAGAAACTTCGATCAAATCAGTTCCGATCGATTCGAGAGCAGCGGTGACACCTTCCTTCTTGTTGTCAACGATTTCGGCTAACCTTTTGAACTTAAAAAAAGTAAAGCGTTTGGGAAAGAGATAGCTGCAAACCTTCATCATGGTATCAAGTGAAATCCAGCCTTCGTCCTTTTTCATTTCGTCCATGAGAAATGTATCTCGCTGGAGATTCAGGTCGCCGAAGTAGTACTCGACCTGTCGAACGACTTTCTTGCCATTTTCAGTAGCAGCGACCATTCTAAATTCAATATTTTGAAGGTAAAATATTTACAGTACTCGACGCTTTTCAGCGGAGATATTCCAAAATTAAATTTCAGGAACTTACAATAGGACAGATCAATAAGGGTTAAATTTAAGAGGGGATCAACTGAAGCGATCTTTAGGCAGTGGTAATCGGTTCATGAGTAAAATTTTCACTAAACGGTTGTCAGTTCTGGTTAACGCATCTTTTTTGTAATACAATCTAAGGGCGCTATCTTTATTTGATGACGTATTCTGTCTCTTCGTGTAACGAGCTTCGCTCGCCGTCGAAATCCACCTTCATCTTGATCAAGAGGTCTTTTCGTGTCTCCAAGTTCGGCACCATTCCAAGTTTGACTTTTAATTGTTCACCCTTGCAGATAGTGGCCACATCCTGAAAGATTCCCTCAGTATCTCAAAAATTTATTAACACTACCTTGAGGTAGAAAATCGTCTGTTTCCAGTGAGTGTACTCGTCGTGTGGGCCAGTGCTGATCTTGATCGTTTGCTTGCACTTCGTGAACTCAACGGAGAAGTACGCGATCAAGCCGTGAATGTAGTCATTTCGCATGGCTGTCAGGGTGAATTCTGCTTCAAACTTCAAGTCCTCTTGCTTGATCTACAATTTTTTGAACGAAATATTCCTAAAAACCAACAAACCTTGTAAAGATCAATGACTTTGACAGTGGACCGCTTGCAAACCAACTGGGCGGGATCGCACGTGTCAACCAGTGGCTCTCGCACGACGACATCTTTCATGATCGACATGTCGAAGCCGTAGACGTTATTCCAGAATTCAACTTTCTGATCTTTGTAGTTACGATCCTCTGAAATCGAGGTTATGATAATATAAGGAGAAATGGGTTGTCTCACCAAGGGCGGTGAAGTAGAGAGAAGCCTTATCAGGCATGATAATGCCGTCTTTTGCAAGCCATTTGTCACGTGCATAGATGACTGTTGGTAGCATCGTTTCATAAAAGAGACAGTAGCCCATCCACTCTGAGATGATGACGTCAACCTAGAGAAATGTGTTTACTAATGCATGGCATAATAAAGAATTACCTTTTCAATGCCTTTAGGAAGCTCGACGTCTTCAATTTTTCCCTTGATGACAGTGATCGTGTCTTCCAGTTCATTTTCCTTCACAATGTCCTTCGTTCGATCAACAATCGCGCTCATATCAACAGCAATCACTTTCTTCGCACCGGCCTTAGCTGCGAAAAGGCTAAAAAATTAGCAAATTGATAATTCGCTCGTTCCCAACCTCATAATTCCAGTGCCACAGCCGACATCAAGGACGACTTTGTTTCGGAAGAGAGCTTTGTTTTTCATGATTGAGTTCATGTAGGCTCTTGTTCTGATTTCGTCCTTGAGCATTTCCTCATGAATCGCTGAAAATTTCGTTTTAGAAACAGTTTTATAAAATACCGTCCTACCAAAATGAGCGTAGTGGTCCTTGAAATAGTCTGCGGAGGTCATTTCCTCGACGCCAACATCTTTCATTTCAACATCGGTTGCCATAGTCTGCAAAACCAATAATAATTAAGGATAGACGGTACAATAAGTTCATGGTCATATTAGAGCAGATCGGCTTATTTACATTTCAAAGGGGGCTATTGCAGGAAAGAAATAGAGATAAGTTGATCAAGTTAAATGAGGAAAGAGTCAATGGATGAATGTTATTGTTTTTTCATCTTGATGAAAAAGGCAGGAAAAGAGCAATCGAGACATGTAATTATTAATTTTTCTAGTTTGCTTCAACAACTGGTGGTGTTGTATTTGATACTTCAGTATCATCTTTTTCTTCTTCTACGAAATCGTCGGCAGTAGGTTCTTGTTTCTCTTCAACGGGCATACCGAAGCTAAAAATGATTGAAATCTGGTTCGGGCGTATCTCTTACAAGTATGCGCCTGGACTCATTTGATGAAAAGGTGGATAGGAGGAGTCTGCTGAAGAGGGATTTCGAAGTCTTTCAAGTAGCGCGCGCTCGGACATGCCGAGCCGACCAGAAACAGGTTGGACGCGAGAGAGCTCTGCGGGAAGTCGATGAACATCGTTTTTCATCTCGGATAAGAGTGATTCCATTTGTTCGAGAACTTTCAAGAGCACGTGTGCCGCCGCCTACAAGAAAAGTGTGGGATCTCTTTTTAGACTTTAACTTTACCTTGTTTCCATCAGAGGCAATCTTCGGAAGCAGGCGGTGCGTTTCAGCCAGTGTTTCTAGCTGACCGAAACGGTTAGACAGTGACATGGCGCTGTGTTTTGAGTCTTGGTGGAGATTTAGAAAGCTTGCTCTGCGAAGCTGCTCCTCAATCACAAGTGCTTGCTCAAGAAGCTTGAATCGACGACCGAGGAATCGATTTTGCATGTCTTGAAAGTTGCCTAAAGCCAATTGTAAGCGAATATTCGATGAAAATAAAGCACCTTGTTTTTGAGACATGGCTCGGAAGGGCTCATTGATGATAGAAAACTTAGGATCATTCTGAATGTCTATCCATCTCGCGTATCCATGAGTAGCCATTCCAGCAAGAAGCCAGTAATCATGACGCCTGAATTCAAGCAATTAGTTTTGATATTGACAATTGATGAAGGTACCTGTGCCAAATCTCGTTGATCTTACGAGCTTTATTCAACGCCGCGTCCTCTTCAGTCATCCACAAGGTATGCAGCTCGGTAAAACCACCGTCCGCAATATTAAACATGAAATTCTTAAAATAAATTCCAAACGGAGTCCTGATCGATTGCAATTACCTTCTTTGGAGGTGGCTTAGGCGTCTCGTTCTCCTTGTTTTCTTCCTTGATAGTCTTAGCTTCTTCCTTGCTTTCAACCTCCTTCTTTTCATCGACTTCCATTGCATTTTCTTCCTCTTTGCCGTTCTCAGCCTCTTCCTTTTTCTCTTCCGATGCGTTTTCTTCTGCAGGCTTTTCTTCAGCCTCCTCTTTCTCTTCTTCCTTTGTTTCGTCTTTTTTATTCTCGGGATTGTCTTCTGGAATACTCCAAATGCCGTTGACTGAACAAAAATATGAAGATGAAAGACAATTTAAGACTACCTTTTCGGAATTCGCGCACTTTCTGGTTGATGAGCTCCATCACTCCGATCCTGTTGAGAAGTCCTTGTCTTGGCATGTTTTCTTTCGGAATACCATCCATGAACTTATCGGAGCCATCGGAGGTTGGTTCGCAAAGATGTGCCATGAAGACGTTGGTGTAAGCCTAAAAACTTGCTCAAAATTTGTTATCAACTTTCATTCTACCCGGAATTCTTTGTCAGACTTTCGAGAAAGCTCACGAAGGATCCATCTTTCCGAAAATCCCTCCTTTGGTGGAAGTCCGTATCTCATAACCAGATTCATGTACGCTCGGCGTTGGCGACTGTGGAAGCCATAGACTTCAAAGTCCTTCTGGCCAGCTTTGGCAAGCTTAGGTGGCATTGCTTTTGGTTGATTACGGTCATATCGAGGTCGTTTCGAAGGTTTGCCTTCAGTTTCGGCATCTAAAAATACAATAAAATACGATTGATAACATCGAATTATACCTTGATATTCATTGTCAGACCCAGCACCGTCATCAGGGTTGAAATCATCACCGTTCTCCATGTTAGAAAGCTCCTCGGGTGGATTACTGTTGTAGTACTCGACTCGTTTTCGAACACGCTTTCCGACACCCTTGGATGCGTGTTCTTCCATGACAGCTTGCTCGTAGTGGTGACGGAGGAGCTTGTCCCAATAGTTTGTATCGACATTTTCAACACCTTCACTCCATTCTTTCGCTTCCTGGAGCTCCTTTTCTTTCTCTTCTTCGGTAAGCTTGTAGTTAGCCACTTTGAAACCGGAGAAGTAATCGTCAAGAAGCTTGTTTCGATCTTCATCTTCTTCCTTTTCGTCGTCATGGGCAGCACGGTTGAGAAGAGCGTTCACCATTTCATCGGTGTAGGCGACATCCTTGTCCGAGTCTTCTTCCTTGAAGAGTTCGGCTGATCCGAATCGGAGAATATCGTCCATCTCATTTTTAGAGAGGGCAGCGTTGTTTTTCTGACCAATACCAGGTCGAATAACGAGATGGTTCAACATCATCTTCTTCTTCGCCACTTGTGCGACACGTTCTTCGACTGAGTTCTGAGTGACAAAACGATAGATCAAGACCTTATTTTTCTGGCCGATACGATGCGCACGAGAGAAGGCCTGGATATCGTTGTGGGGATTCCAATCGGAGTCATAGATGATGACGGTGTCAGCAGTTGCCAAGTTGATACCAAGGCCACCAGCTCGAGTGGATAGGAGGAAAATGAATGAGTCAGAGCCTGGTTTGTTGAACCTGTCAATAGCTTGCTGACGAACGGAACCCGTGATGGAACCATCGATTCGCTCGTATTTGTACTGTTCGTACTCGAGGTAGTCTTCTAGAAGATCGAGGAGCTTGGTCATTTGAGAGAAAATTAGGACACGGTGACCCTCTTCTTTCAGCTTCTTGAGCATCTTCTGCATGAGAAGAAGTTTTCCACAATTGGCAGTAAGTTCAGATCCCTCGAAAGCATTGTTCGAAAGACGAGGAGCGCCCTCGGAGCATTTGTCGTTGAGATAAGGATGATTGCAGATTTTCTTCAGCTCCATGAGAACATTGGTCAGAGAAGTACCCGATTTTACTTTGAGAGCTTCGTAATTACGAGTGAGGACGAACTTATAGTATTTTTTCTGCATCGGAGTAAGACCTGTTCGGACAATCATTTCGACCTTGCCTTTCATGCCCTTGAGGACATCAGCTTTGAGTCGACGAAGCATGTGAGCGCCGAGGAGATCGTGGAGCTTCTTGACTTGGTCTTCTTTGCTGATAACAGCGAAATCATTGAGGAAGCTTTGAAGATCGTTGAACTTTTCTGGAACGAGGAAGTTGAGCAGATGATAGAGTTCCTCGAGGTTGTTTTGGAGTGGAGTTCCGGTGAGCAAGACCTTGTGAGCTACATTGTAAGCAGAAAGGACCTTGAAGAAGAGGGAACGGTTGGACTTGAGTCGGTGAGCCTCATCAATGATCAGGCAGCTCCAGTCAATGGATTGTAAGAGCGCGTTATCCATGGAGACCATTTCGTAGGAAGTGAGCAAGACGTGGAACTTGGTTTGGCAACCATCACGCAATCGGCTCGGCTTTGCATATGTGGCCATACACTTCTCGTCGAACGAGAACTCATGTTCACGGATGACTGCACGCGATTTACCATCTCCGTGGTAGCTGACAACGTATAGCTCCGGAGCCCAAAGCTCGAACTCACGCTCCCAGTTTGGCAAAGTGGAGAGAGGGACCGAAATCAAAAAGGGACCTTTTGAGTTGTTCTCCATCATCAAACTACGAATGAAAACGGCGGATTGGATGGTCTTACCGAGACCCATTTCATCGGCGAGGATGACGTTCGTGTCCTGAGACCAGGAGAAGCGAAGCCAGTTAAGACCTTCTAACTGGTAATCGTGGAGGGAGAGGTTGATGTCTTTGATGTATTGAGGTTGGCCCTCGTATGGTTTGACCTTCTTGGTGGTTTTATCTTTATTCTTTCCTCTCTTATTCTTCTTTTCGGCCATGATGGTTTTTCTATGATCGTGGTAGTTCTTAATCGCTTCAGCGAGCCCGTTTATATCCTTGTCCTCTTCTTCCCAAGTACACTCGGAATATGCTAATCCTCTCCACAAGACTAGATATTCTTTTATTTTCGGATTATACGCGTTGGCGCGATGCTTGATGACTCGTCGTATATTGAGCCATTCCGGTTGAATATGATACTTGTAATACTTTTCCGCCATTTCAGTGTCGTCGAAGTTTTCAACATCTTCATGGTCGGGCTCAGAGTCTGGAGAGAGTCGTCGATGATAAGTTCGCCACATGTGAATTGAGTGCTTCAAATGATTTCAAAATTGAGGTAAGTTAAAAAATAAATCTCGGAGGAAAAAAATATGAAAGACGCTATTTGAAAGTTTGGAATTTGAAATCCTTCCTGTTCCATTCGAACTTCTGGAACCCACTGTGTGTCCCAATAAGAGAGCCCTTCGAATTTACAAAAGTACTCGCGGTATTTGTACCCCATCAGCTTTCGCTTCTGACCCTCTTTTCCCGGTCTCTCATCATCGACTTCCGTAAACGGCGCCTCGTGCCATCGCCAAGTCAAGATCTTTTGAACCCTGCTTGGCAAGGGTTCGGAGCTGCAGTGGGGACAGAACCAGTCGCCCTCTGGAATTTCCACTTGGGGAGGATTGAGGCATTTAGGATGGTAAACTCGTGGGCAAGCTTCACAGGCGAGCAGTTCGCCGCCGTTTTTGCAAAAGTAACAGAGCTCGTCGTGGACGATCGGTCCGGCTTCAGGGACATCTGCGAGTTCTTGGAAGTCGTCTTCGTCTGGCTCGCGAAGAGTTTTTTCTTCGTTTTTGGTTCGCCTCGAAGAAGTGCGACTTTTTTCTGCAGGAGCGGCAGCGTAATCTTGGTATTCTTCGTCGTCATCATCGAGGGTGACTTCTTCCTCCTCTTCTTCGGATTCCTTTTTCGCCTTTTTCTTTGGAAGTTTCAGTCGAAGCGGGGCAACGCGTTTTTCTTTCTTCGAGCTTCGTTTTGAGGATGATCTTCCAGAAGATCGAGAAGAGCTTGACGGCGAAGGAATGGTGGGATCAACGCTGTGAGGATTCATGGCGCAGAACTCGGTCCAGAGCGCGTTTATCAGCTGATCGATCTTCGGACGCGAGAGTTTTCGAACACCGGCGCTGAGCGACACTCGTGGCTGCATAATGCTGCTGAAGATTCGATAAGACTTGATGGTTTTGTACTCGTCGTCGGTGTAGTGGATGTTCAATGGCTCGAGGTCCCATTCAGCGACCAGATCATCGCTCGATTTTGCAGAGTTGGAGATATCGTCCTAACAACTCAATGAAAATAGTGATAAATAAAAATGTAGCTCACTTCATCGGGATCTTCTTCAGGGGAAGAGCTCCTCCTGGTCGCTCGTTTTGCCCGGCGACTAACGCGCTTTTCCACCTCCGGCTCTGGTTCTTCGTACTCTTCGTCATCGTTAAATCGCTTGCGCTTCCGATCTAAGCAATTTTTAACTTTTAGCTTAGGGAAATCAGGGTAAGCGTACCTTTCCTGGTGGATCGTCTGGTTCTGGTCGACTGGGGCTTCTCCTCTTCTGGTTCGCCCTCGTCGATTTGCAACGCGTTCTCCTCGTCCGAACTCATTTATTCTCTTTCTGAAATCAACAACTGTTAATAACTAGTTTGAATTTTCGTAACTGTTCACGAGAACATCGGATTCCCTCGCATAAAACATCACAAACGCAATACAACACACAAAATTGCGATTCTCTGATCAAAGCCAGTCAAAAATGAAAAATCCCAAAATTACAAAAATAATTTTTTCGCGTGACCGAGCGCCACGATTGGTGCCAGTTTGTGCGCCTGAGTCATTTTTCCTCAACTTCGATGAATCAATTTTTCCCTCAAGCGGGCTGAATTCACACGCGCGCCAAACTCCAACTTCAGCCGAAAGCGCAAAATTTGAAAGCGACTGAATTGAAAGTCCCGGCCGCTGCGTTTTTCTTCAAATTGAACAGCAAAAGAGAAAAGTCTTATTTTGTCCTTCACAAAAGAAACAGTGTTTGCCAGTGGCATTTTAAAGGTAAATAGTAAATTAGCTATAATGATTATTGAATAATTGGCTAAACTAAACTCATTTTAGGGTTCAGAGAATGATTGACTTGAATTTGGACTTCGACGATGAAATCAAACTGCCATCACAGTCGCGTAAAAACAGTCAACAGAAGAACAAAAATCGAAAAGAACTGCTTCTGGCGAAGAGAAAGAAGCAAAAGGCGCAGTATGAACGAAAAAAGGCAAAAGCGACTAAACTTCTGGAAAAACACGGAATGATCAAAAAGGTAACTTCCTTTCCCCATTCTTCGAAAAGAAGATCATTTTAGCCAAGCACGACAACAAATAAGAAACCATTCAACTCTCAGTCTTCTTCTGACAAAAGTACAGTGCCTGACAGTTCTAGCGACAAACAAGCACTAAAAAGAAAACCTGAGCAAAAATCAAGCGAATCTCGGTTCAAAAAGAAGAAGCTCCTTGAAGCGGACAAGGATCAAAATTACGTGCGAAAGTTTGATGGGAAGTTTTCAAATATGCAAAGTCTTGCTAGAAATCTCTTCGACGAAGATGCTGATGAAATTGAGCTTCCAGCCCAAAGAACGGTCCATCGAGAAGATTTGTTCAACAACATTGTTGGATTCGATAGTTTGAAAATACACCCCCATTTGGTTGGAAATTTGACGACGATTTTTAAGCTCCAGTCGCCGACTCTAGTCCAGCAAAAGTCGATTCCTCAGATCTTGGAAGGCGGAGACACCCTGATTCGTTCTCAAACTGGTTCTGGAAAGACGCTTGCTTACATGCTACCTATTTTCGATAAATTAATGAAAATGGAAAATCTCGATCGTAAATCTGGCGTCATGGCCGTTATCGTCGTTCCTACTCGAGAACTCGTCGGTCAAACCTACAAAGCTGCTGTTCAATTAACCAGGGCTTGTACAAAGATTGTAGCTTGCGAACTAACCGGTGGACAAAATCGAAACTCGGAAAAAGCCAGGTTGCGCAAGGGAAGCCACATTTTAATCAGCACCCCTGGCCGCCTGATCGATCATCTCGAGAAAACCGGCTGTTTGAAGAAAATGCCAGCGCTGGAAATGTTGGTGCTGGACGAAGCAGATAGAATGCTGGAAATGGGATACATGGAGAAGATCAAACACGTGATTATGCTTTTGAAAGAGCGAAAATTGGAGGAAACAAAGCTGCAGAATGTTCTTTTGAGCGCAACTCTGAGTGAAAATGTTGAAAGTTTGGCTGGATTGGCGCTTGATGATCCGAAGAGAATCGTGCTCGATGAGAATGAAGGGGGCAACGAAAAGTTTGCGATTCCGAATACGCTTCAAATGAGAGTCGTTGTCATCCCACCAAAGGTTATTAGTCACATGTAGATTTCGGGGTTTATATTTTTGATTAGCTTCGATTAATCTGCCTTGCGTCAGCAATTTTGGAGAAAAAGAAAACGCTTGTGTTTGTAAATACGATGGCAGAAGTCAACTTTTTGTTTGAAATCTTTTCGAAAATTGGATTCCCGAGGAAGATGAAAATGCTCACGCATCGACTTCATGGAAACATGGAGCAAAAAGAACGAGTGGAAAATATGAACTCGTTTTTGAAGGCTGAAAGAGGTTAGCTGAAAACATCGAAGTAGTTTTAAACAGTGATTTCCAGCGGTTTTGATTGCTACAGACGTGGCTTCTAGAGGATTAGATTTGCCGAATGTGGAAACGATCGTTCAGTTCTCGCCACCAGGAAGTGCGAGAGAATATGTTCAGCGAGTCGGTAGAACTGCCAGAAAAGGAGATACAGGACAATCGTTGCTTTTCTTATTGCCTACTGAAGGTTAATTTTTCATGAAAAATGGTCAACTGATGAACCTTTTTCAGTTGGATTTTTATCCGCCGTTGCTGCTGTTGGAGCTGGTCAGTGGGACCAGTCGGATGTTGAGGATATTTTGAAAGTCGTCTTCAGTAACAAAAAGAACTCAGAACAACAAATGCGTGAAGAAGCAGCCGCCTTTCAGAACGAAATCGAGGAGTATATTTCTCAAAATGACAGGTAACTACTCCAACAAATCGATCTGTTGTAACTTACAAACATATCTATAAACAGTCTGCGAGAATTGGCAATCGAGGGTTATTGCTCGTTTATCCGTTCATACGCCGCGTATCCATCAGAATTGAAGCCAATCTTCCACATCAAAAAGTTGCACCTCGGCCACATTGCCAAGAGCTTCGGAATTCGGGATAAGCCGACGGACTTCTTGACTGGACGAGATGACCTCAAGTGGGCGCAGAAGAGGGAGGACGCAGGTGCCGTCATCGACCAGGCGACAAAGGACAAGGCAAAGGAAAGAAAGGAAAAGAGAAAGAAGATCGTCGAGACGAAAATGAAGGATTTGATTTTGAGCGAGTTTGCTGCTTAAAATTGTACTGTACCTTATTTCTGTATTTATTATTAGTAAAAACAGTTAAGAGCAGCAATACAACGACACTTAAAATTACAATTTTGCTTTCAGATCATATTTTTGTTAAACTGAAAGTTGAATTTCGGGAAAAATGGCATTTGAGCCGCAGATTGGCAACAAAAAACTGGTGATCAGAAACTGGTCCGGTCCGAAGAAGCTACCGAAGAGTTATGAGAATGAGAGCTGGGTCATGCTCGAGGAAGCTGTTCAGGCGATACAGACCAAAGATTCGTACAGAAAGTTTAGCTTGGAAAGGCTCAATCAAGTTGTCGCGAATTTGGTTGATGGGCACAAGGATTTAGCGCGAAATCTTCATCTTGTAAGACTCATTTTCGTGTTTTTCTTTGTTTAAATTGACTTAGAAACTGAGAAAGGTGTGCGAAGATCACACGAGAACACAACTGTATCGACTAGAAAGCGTCTCATTGGCGGATATAACTCCCTTCTTAAATTTACTCAACAGTATTTGGTACGATCATTGCAAGGCCTTCACGCTAATCATCAATTTATTCCTCAAACTTGACAGAAAAAGTCAAAACGGAGGCCTCTGGGATACTGGAATCGACATCTTTCGTGATGTCATTTTGACGAGGAAAATCAAGCATGCTACCATCGCTGGTTTGATGAAACTAATCCATGCGGAGCGAAAGGGAGAACTGGTAAGTTTGATTTGATTCTTGCTGTCGATTTCTGCTTATTCGTATAGATAGAACGCAGCCTGTTGAAGCCACTGATCGGCATGTTGAGCGCAGTCCGCTACTATGGCGACTTCGAAACAGCTCTCTACGAAGAGACCCAAAAACTCTATCAAGAAGACTCGCGCAATAAACTCGACACGATGGAAGTACCCGAGTACCTAAAATACGTGGAAAAAAGCTTGGAAGAGGAAGAAAAACGCGCCAACTCCTATCTGGAGAGCTCGACAGTTAGACCACTTCTGAGCGTCTGCGAAATCAAGCTCATTGGTGATCATTTACACTCAATTGCCAGTAGAGGCTTGAGCTCGATGATGCTCGATAAGCGGGTTGACGATTTGAAGCGCTTATACAGGTGGTTTTTTATTAAAACTTGGGGCGTTAATCTTGATTTTTAAGAATTTTCGAGCGAGATGCAAACGGACTTGCTGCGCTAAAAGAAGAGTTGAACCACTATGTCCGCAGCCAAGGAAGCTCTATCGTGGTTAATCCCGAGAAAGACAGCACGATGGTCCTGGAAATGCTTGAATTCAAGACGAACGTCTACAATATTTGGAAAGAGTGCTTCAACAGTCAAACCCTGCTTCATTCAACGATACAGGACGCCCTCCAATATATAATAAATGTGAGAAAGAATCGACCGGCGGAGCTGATCGCAAAGTATGTTGATGGATTGATGAAGTCAGGAAATAAAGGTAAAACAAATTCCTTCGATCTTTTCTCTAATTTATTTTCTAGCGGTTGATGATGCTGGACTGGACAAAAAACTAGATGAAATAATGTCGCTCTTCCGACTGATTCACGGAAAGGACGTTTTTGAAAAGTTTTATAAAGCGGATCTTTCCAAGCGTCTTCTCCACAGTCGATCAGCTTCTGATGATGCAGAAAAGGTAGGTTCACTTGTCGAGCAAGACATATATTCATTTCGTATTCCAGGCGATGCTTTCGAAACTGAAGGAAGAGTGCGGCGGACAATTTACTCAGAAGCTCGAAGGGATGTTCAAAGACATTGAGTTATCGAGAGAAGTGATGGTCCAGTACAAGGCGACTCCAAAGTGTCCTGACACGGTAGAGACCCTCTCGTTGAAAGATTTGTTAAAAACACTATTCAGGACATCGAGCTGAGTGTCAATATCCTGACAACTGGCAACTGGGACCAGCAGCCGTTGGTCTGCAACATTCCCGACTCATTTATGAACCTTCAAGAGCATTTCCGCAAATTTTACTCGATGAAGCACCACCAGCGCAAGCTTACCTTCGCCCATTACAATTCTTCCCTCCTCATTATCGCCAATTACACGAGGGCGGATTGCAAGCCCAGAAAACATGAGCTTCAGGTAACCTTGAACATAATTCAATGATCAATGAGCATTTTTAGGTGTCACTAGCGCAGGGAATTATTTTGCTGCTTTTCAATCGCGCGGATAGCCTCACTTACAGCGAAATCAAGGAAGCAACAAACATGGATAATCTAACAATGCGTCGGCAGCTTCATTCTTTGAGCTGCAATCCGAAAGCTAGAATTTTATTGAAAGAGAGCAAAGGTAAATGAGCTAGTCGCCACCATTACCCATCACAACGTTGCAGGGAAAGAGATAAAAGAAAGCGACAAGTTCCGTTGGAATCCGGATTTCACCTACAAACTGTACAAAATGAAAATAAACCAGGTGCAAATCAAAGAAACCGTTGAGGAGAACCGAGAAACGACTGAGCAGATATTCCAAGATCGACAGCTTCAAATCGACGCTGCTATTGTCAGAATCATGAAATCGAAAAAGGCGAGTGAAAAACTTTCAAGGATCTCTTTACAACTAAAACTAGACATTATCGCATCCGGAACTTATGGCAGCGCTATTCGAGCAGTTGAAATTCCCGATTTCGCCTCCAGACCTAAAGAAGAGAATCGAGCATTTGATCGACCGAGATTTTATCGAGCGAGATCCGAACTGTGCAACGAAATACGCTTACATCGCGTGAGAATGGTTACATGTTACTTTCACAGTTCAACTGGTTCAAACTTCATTCAACGAAAGAAAACATCATGGTCTTGCATCTATGCATAAGTTACATTTTAAGAATGAGATCGATGAATTTAAAAGCCTACGAATTGGAAAATAAATCTTTTTTTTTCTACTTGTATGAGAATAGTTTCCAAATAAATGATTCTTTTGAGCACCATAACAGCGGTTGGAATAAGACCACCTGGCATTATTTTTACCGTGCTTCTTTGGGGATGATTACTCGCAATATTTGCTAACCGAACGTTCGTGTAGATAAATCTAACACCATCTTTCGACTGACCCAATGAAGAAGACTCATCTTAAATTCTGATGAGTACTTCAGTCAGCTTTCCATAAATGGATGGAAAGTTCTCATCAAACTTTAACAACCAAACCCTAACTTCGCTAAAAATCCACTGACGAAGACTCAATCGAAGTCGATCAGTTGCGATCAGAAACTTTGATAAATTCTCTTAAAACAAATGTTCAACACTCATGAAATCGAAGTGGTAGCAAATAAATTTTTTTGTTTATTCTCGAGTCACAAGGAAGTTCGGGTCTCTTCAATATTCTCTCTCTTCGCCTGGCATTCTCTTATATTTTCTTCGATAGATAACTTTCGCTTTCGTTGTTCCTCGATTTTCTGATCGACTTCTGCTAATTCTTTTCGTTTTTTTCTTTGCTCGACTGTCATCTGAAAGGAGTTGCAAACAACTACCATGACTTGGTTATCAGCATAGATCTTCCGGAGAGCATCATAAGCGCAACTCGGCAATGGAATAAATTGAGTCGCTCTTGCTTGTTTGGGTTGGCGCCGGTTGTCTTTTTGTTGGACGGCCGCATTTGATTCAGTAGCTATATTACCGTTGATTAGAAAGTATATTCCGAGGATTGGAAAGAGAATTGTCATTGCTGCGGCGTAATTTGCCCTAAAGAATACCTAATAAAAGGGTTACAAAGTTTTCCCTTACTTGAGAATATCGAAAGGGGCATGATTTCCTGGAAGAAGATACGGATAGTCCTCTCTATCCGTAGAGTACATAAGCGGAGGCTTGCATGGCCAATCTTCGGGAAATTCAATGTTGAAGTTAATCGAACGGTCCTTTTTCGGAAGTGGTCCTTTTTGCGGCACCCTTTTCAGTGGCTGTTTCGGACCCAGGAAAGACACCTTCCACAGCTCTGGTGCTAGTTGTTTGACCGTAATAGGGTCTTTTCCTTCACAGAACTGAATTCATTTTTGAAATAAGATGCACAATTCCCAAGCATACTTGTTGAAGATGCTTCTGGAGTTCTTTCCATTCTATCTCCAATCTTCTTTTCATTCTTTTATCAACCATGGCTTCTGTCAATTTGCAATTTTACAAAGTTCAAAGTTGGTCAAAACAAACTGTTTTAATCGATTATTTTTAATTATTTTCATCGCTGTTCTAGAGAAATAACTACCAGTATAAGTAGAGAACATAAATGTTTTATAATTCATAAGTGTTGAGAGAGCCCATCATTTTTACGATTGAAGAATTCTCTTCGATTGAGAATAATAGCTGCCGGCCAAGGCAAATTCAGATGATCTCCTTAGTTTAAATTTATTTTGAGTCTTTTATAAATTATAAGACATCGGAATTTCTTGGGCGAGTCACTAACGACCTATTGTTTTATTGTATTGAAGTTCATGAGAGCATCAAACTCGCCCGCTAGAGTCCTTGTTTATTACGCCGCAAAAAATTGAGAAAAAAAAACGAAAAGAGAATCAAACTGATAATTTGAACAAAGAAACTCTTCGACAATAAAGGTATGGATAAAGAAGAAAGGCTCATAAATCCAAGATTACTGTAATACACGAGATTTATTAGAAACGTAGACAAATCTTCTGCCAAGAAAGGGCCTTCTGTGTTAAAAAATTAATGAAGCGCACAAACATTTGTCCTTGATTTTGATTGAAAATAAAAACAGAGAATCGAGTGTCGCCTGTTTAGTCATTAGTTTTATGGACGGGCCCGTGTTTCTTTCCTTGGGTATTCTCTCTAGTTTTGAGTAGGGTACCTCTCTCGATAGGCGGCGTGTTTGCCCAGTTCGGCTTCCTTCTTCGGCCTTTCTTGTGTCCTTTTCCACGGAATCGAGCGCCTTACTTTATCCTCCCTCTTCCTAACAATAGGTAAATTGAAAACTTCAGCCGAATTACAGAGATAAGAATCAAAGAGAATAAACTTTTGAAATCATAGAAGACTCAAGTCATCATGGCTATTTTTTCAGAATGTAACTACAAATAGACAAGACCTTATTTCCATTTTATTCAATCTAAAAGAATATTTAGTTCAAAAAATTAAAGATGTCCGAAGAACAGGTCACCCTTATTGCAGAAACGACACTTACAACATCAGATCGTTCCCAATCAGGTAACTTGAATAGAGACCTGCTTCTAGGGTCAATGAACTTCATGTTTTCAAAAATAAATTTCAGAGAAAGCTTTCGTCGTGACGGAAAAACCAAAACTTCTCCAGAAGAGCCGAACAACTGATGCCACAAATGGAACTGTCGTTTCTCAATCCGTAAGTAGATTTACACCAAAAACACTAAATTCCATTACCCATTCATCCGCTGTGTGAACAGTGTACCAATAAAAGGCATTTAGACAAAATCAGCTGGAAATAAAAAGCGCCGTAAAAAGAAGAGAACAACTGAGTTAACGCCGCTGATAAAAGCTATCCTCGTGCGAATCATGTTTGCAGCGCATGCGAGTATCGCCTTTTCTAGGGTGATGCTTTCGGCAGCGAATACGCTTGATGATGTTTCGATGCCCTGGTGGATGCCATACAGGAATTGGTCTTCAAGATTTAATTCTTAAAGGCCATAACATTCTTTTGATTGTGTTAGGTCAGACTTTTTAATGAACTAGTAATTTTCGATAAATAAACCTAAATTCGATTATCCCCTTTGGTAACGGAATGCATTTCAAATCACATGAAAACCTGAATAAGCAATATTATTGGTCTAGTATTACTTTTCTTCGAAACCTTCATCACCCTGTACAAACGAGGCGGAGAAGACTACAAGTACTTCTGCCCTTCCGTCTTCTTCTACCTGATATCAATCATCCCTTCGATGGTCATGCTCGAATTCGATCAATTCTACCAGCTTCAGAAATCCGATTGTCAAGAGTAAGTAAAAATTTTTCTTTAAACTTTACTAACTCTTTCAAGATACTACTCTAAAATTAACCAGAGCTCATTTGACAGGAGCTTTGAAAAGATTTTCATTGACCAAAGGTACATGGCTTGGTTTTTCTCTCGTTCATTTTGAAAAAAAAGCGCTAGAAATACTCTATCTCTAGGTATCTTACATCCCTTTTCGAGGATCAGAGTGAATGAGTGTGCGTGTTTAGCAGATTTCAAAAATAGGAACGAACTGAAATCCATTCATGGACAGGCTTTCTTGTCACCTTTAACTTCACATGACCAACACTTCGACTATTCGGCGATGATCGGCGTTTCAGTTCGAGTGAAAAAGGAGCGATTCAGTGGGAAAGGAGCATCATTTCCTATGAGACTATCCATTCGAGCTTTTTCACATCAAATTTTAACACAAGAAACAAAGTTTACTAGTGTTAAAAAGATTAACTTCTTAAAACTAGCAAAAACAACATCAACTGACAGTTAATCAACCGGGGCTTAAAAAAGTTTTTTCGGAAGTCGCACAATTCGGACCCGCACAATTCGGCCCTTTTTCGACATATCGCAAAAACAAAAAAGGGCCAAATTGTGCGAGTGTACTGTATTTGTTTTTGTAGGTGTTCAAAAAGCTAGGGTTGATAATTAAACAGAATTATCAATTTGTTTTCTTGATTGTTATATATCGGTGATTACAGTAGATGATAGTCGAATTTGTCTAACGCGAGTTAGACGGATAGTGAGTCCTTTGATGGAGCATGTGGCCGAGACTGTGGTGTTATATTTAGATTTCTAACTGGTTAATAGATAAACGAGGCAGACAACTAATCACGGTTTAGCACTGAGCCCGCAGTCGAGTTGAGACAGCGCCGCGATGTTCTTTCTATCAATGTCAATTCTTCCGACCTTGACGCTTTCTCCACGTAAGTAACCTATTGTAAACAGTTCTGAACTCCGCGACTGCTGTACCTGTCCGTAGATAATTTAATCAGGTGTTGATTTAAGACACCAAGGAAGAACTCAGCTCACTTTTGAAGGAAACGAGTCCTTTTAAATTAATGATAAATCTACTTCCTGGCGTTTGGTTATAAATCGCTACAGAGACAGCGGGACTCTGCGGCGCCTTTTGGCGATAAAGTTAACTCTCTTCTTCCGCAAGTTCTATGTTAGAATCTTTCATTTTTAGAACTACCTCGAAAGCGGCCGTCCCAACACCAAGTTCGACCCCGCCATTGATTGGAGATCATCGTTTTAAGGATGACGCGCTCGATGTCCTCCATGATATCAACTTCAATCTCAAAGAAGGCATCGCCAACAGTGGAGAATTGATTCGCGACTTGACGAGTAATTTTGACGAAGGAGTTTGGATTCTAGGCCTTCATCAGGTTAAGCCTTTTCGCTGCTATCGGGTCTAACAAATGATAGGTTTTACTTTTCTTCCTCGTTCTTGGCCGATGGATGCTCCCCCGAGGAGGAATTTCCCGAGAGCAGCTTTCCCAGCTTCTCTTAGTTTTCATTGGAACTGGTGCAGATATCCTCGAATTTGTCTCAGAGACGATCGAAGAAGGAGACCCTTCAGAATGCAGCGCTATTCTTCACTACATGATCTGGTCCGTCTGGGCTTGGTCGCTGATGCAGTTCAACTTTGTCCTTACCGCATCGACCGCCAGAAAGCAAGACGTAGCGACTACCTCAGACAACACGCGGCGAGATACAGAACAGTAAGTCGCCGATAAGCATCAGAGCGTTTAAAAAATTGTAGATGTTGCGGAAGCTGCTGCCAGGGCTTCTTCCAGAACCCCGACGTGTGGGGAATGTTGATGACCTTGTTCATTCAAGATTTGCCATTCTGCGTCGCACGATGCTACTTCATCTTCCAACTTGGAATCCGATCACAAATGATGATCTTTTTCACGCTCAAAAATCTACTCGTTGTGATGCTCCAGTTGTATAGACTCAAAGTCTTATGGGTAATGCTGATCCGACCGGCGAATTTTAAAAATATATTTCAGCAAACGAGAAAAGAATACTTTACCAGAGGTCATTAGAAAATCGAAGGACAAATATGAAAAAAAAACTGTACATTTTGTTACTAACTTATTACTGCCAAGAATTTATAACAATAAACTGGATCGAATGAGACACCAAATTGTTATATAACAATGATATCATAACAGACTGTTATTAACAGGTAATTAACTAAAAGTCTCTGCCCTTTATTGGCTAGAGTCGGCACCGACCTCCGACCAAAACCCGACCTAGTCGGGTTTTGTCGGGTTGATTTGATTTCCGACCAACCCAGATTTTTTTCTTTATTTGGTCGGTGGTCGGATTTGGTCGGACGTTGGTCGGTTTTAGGTCAGTTTTGGTCGGTCGGTGAGTGTTTTTTGGTCGGGTTGGTCGGAAACCTACGTTCAACTGCAACAATAAAATGCCTCGAGCGCTCCTATATTGAAAAAAATGGCTGCCGGGGGATTTACTTGAGCGGGGGTTTGACCTGGCGTCGGATTGACCTGAACGGGGGTTTGACCTTGCAGGTAAATCCGACGCTCAGGTCAAAATCCCGTTAGGCAAATCCGACGCCAGGCAAATTCCAAGTTTTGATCAAAGTTTCATTTATTCTCAGGTTCAGATTAAAAATATGTCAGGCGTCTTGACTCAAGACTTTAAGTAAAATAGGTTACGAGGAAGAGTTGGGTTGACTCAATTTTGACTTTAATTTTTGACTTAATTCTTCCCGGAAGTCTTTCGGAACTTCTAGTTTCCCATCAGGAGACATGTCAGAATTGACCTTTTTCAGTTCATATATTTCACCATCATCATTATCGTCTCTACCATCATCGTTTGTATCATTATCGAAGTCATAGTTATAGACGAATTCGTCAAGCGACAAAGACAAAGAAGGCGGCGACAAAGACAAAGAAGGCAGCGACAAAGACAAAGAAGGACGCGACACAGAAGACTGATGCTTTTCTAGAATAGAAGAAGCTCTTTCTTTATATGTTATTTTTCCTAAACTTGATCCTTTGGTTTTTATCACTTTTATATATTTTTCACGATTTTCGGACGCTCTTGGTGCAATCATGATCGTCCAAAAGATGTTAAAAATTATTGATGCCGGAACAATATTATAAACACTGAGCTGAATCTCTTCTGATATCTGCAAAGTCTTTCTCGTCGCCATGTAGATCACCCAGTTCTCGAAACAGATCAAAATAAAATTGAAAATTCCAACAAGCATCCTTCCGTCATCCAAATCAAACACAAAAACATCGAGAAAAGTCATGATTCTATCTTTCGTCTCCAGCGTATGCTTGAACCAGAAAATAATTAGCCAGTGAATGATATAAAGAACAAGGCAGCCAATATGCCGGCGGTAGAAAAATAGACCAAGAAAGTAGATTCGTGGGTATACGATTAAAAATTGCTGAAATAATTATTGAATCAATGATGAAGAAGAAATTTACCATGAAAAAGACATAAAGTTTTCGTTGCGTATTCAGCTTCGACTTGTACTGTAAGTTCTTCCTCTTTGTTGTCATGTACGTAAAAGTGAGGAGGGAGCTGATAAGTGACAAAATCTGAAGAGTGCTGATACAGTTTTCGTCGGAATCAGAATGGAGACATTTTTGTATGAAGAAGATTTGAATCAACAGCTAGCAAAGAATATTAAAGAGCGATGTGAAGGCCTTAAACCTGGGGCGCAGCTTCCGTTGCAGCTTCAAGAGCTCGTATTTTTAACAATTCGTCTCGTATCTTATTGAGCTCTTTTTTAGCTACTTTTTTCGATTTTTGTTGTCGAGCTTTCATTATTTGATAATAATGCAGGTAATGCATAAATGGACCGACAAGGAACACGTGACCGATCGCCAATGATCCTGTATCATCATCTTTTCCATAAATCCTCTTTGAACTGTAAAAATATGAGTAGCCCGCAACAAGCCAGCCAGATATCAAGACGAGAAGAAACGTCGCGACTCCCCAATAAATTTCGCCTCTGATAATGAAAGAAATTCCAAGGGCAATATCGGATCTATAATTTTTCTTCATAAAAGCATAATTCTGAAACTTACAAAATGTCGAAAAGATATAAAAACGCACTCACGCAGATTCTACTCGTATTTTCTTTCGCCACTTCGACTCCTCTCGTCCTCAAGTTCTTCGGATTAAAACATACGAACAAAAGAAGCGAGCCAACGCTAAGAATACCGACTGGTATTTTCCAACCATTTTCTTCAAACCAAAGCTCTGTTTCGTTTCTCATTCTTTCTTGGCATTAATTAAAACGCGGTTGCATTCTTGCCAGAGAGTGCTTGCCACGCAAATTTGCAAATAGAATTTGTAAGAGTGTAAATATAGAAATAAATCATAAATCATGAATTCCAAAATCTACTTTGCCTGGTTTTTTTTGCAACAATAAAATGCCTCGAGCGCTCCCATATTGAAAAAAAATGATTTTCTACTGTCTTAAGGGACCCCCCCCCCGTTTTCGCCATTTTCAATGGCGAACTATTTTTTTTGGGCTTATCATTTTACACGTGCAATAGCGCAAATGAAAGCTCGCTTATAGCGGCTAATTCTCTAGTACAGAGAAAAAAATCCGTCAACGCAAACCTGCCACACGGGGGCGCTGAACTTAGTGAATTTTGAAAAAACGCCGTTTTGGGCCATTTTCAACGGCAAAATCCTTTTTTTTGGGCTTAACTAGAAGTAATCTGGGACTAGATTCAGAACGAATAGAGTTTAATCTTCAAACTCTTGTACAGAGAAGTCATTTGGTTTAGTAAGAAAAATTTTTTCTTAAGAAAAACTTTTTGATGCCATTTTGGCCCTTTTATGGCTCTAAATTGCTCTCTAGCGCCAATTTATGGCCGAAAATCTGAATGCGGTTATCAGATTCTTTCTCAGTGCACTGTAAGCATTCGAAAGACCCCTTATACGTCTATTTTCGATGACATCGAAAAGTCGAAAAAATTGGGATTTTCACGCTTAGTACAAATTACATGCATTTTTACGATTTTCGAGGGTCAAAATTTTGGGTAAAGATGCTCGTAAGGGGGACATATAGTATATCAAAATGATCCTCAGAACACGGGGATTCTAAAAAATGCCACATAGACACCCATCGTAAAGACTTGAGAAATCGGGGGGGGGGGGGATCCACACAACCCAACCCGACCAAAAACCGACCACCGACCGACCAAAAACCGAAAAAAAAGTAAGGCGACCCGACCCACCAAAGCGACCACGGATTACGCCCAATTTCTGGGAGACCGACAAACCCGACCTGGGAAAATGGTGGTCGGTGCCGACCCTAGTAGCTTTATTGGTGCATTTATGCTTAAGTTAAGCTTAACTTCACTCATCATTCGTCAACTAAAATTTTCGATATAGAAAAACTTTAAAGAAAGAAAGTTATGGTTTGTATTTTTATCTTGTGTTGGAAAGCGGAAAATAAATTCAAGTCTTAGACGCAGTGCACCTGCCAAAATGGGCACTCTCTCGTCAGCGCCTCTTGAATTTTGGAAAACAAAATAACTCGAGCACTAGAATTCCCGAAAGTGGCAATTAGCCTTTGCGAAATTGCGATAAATATTTATTTCTGTTTTGTATCAAAGATCACGATTAAAACAGCATAACTGTCCGCGATGTTTAGAAAGTTAAAGATTAATGTCTTTGGCGACAGTTTTTTGAGCCTTTTTCTTGCGCTTGAGGGTAAGCGTTCCCACAATCCTTTTGAAAAAGCCTTCTTTCTCTTTTGCATATTGCGCATAAGCCTCCTCGTCTATCTAAACGTTACAATAAGTCAATTACAGCGTAATTTTGTGAACTACCTGCTCTTGCTCGTGATCGGATTGACTAGCATCTGAAAGGACCGAAACATTATCCAACGAGTCGCCAGCGTCCGAGAAGATACTAAAATAAAAGTTTCATTGAACGATGGTTACAACAGTAGGACGAAAGGTTCTTCTTGTAGATAAGGTTAAAAACCCCCCTTAATAATTAATTGTAATATTTACTTATCATAGTTTTTTATGATTGACTTTGACATTTTCTCTATAAAAATCTCACACAGGAAATAGCTCGAATTTCCCCTTTTGATGAATCATAACTATTTTCTTGCTTTAGCAAAATACTCCCTGGAGAGAGTAAACGTGGTGCGATGCTATCAGAGATCCGATTCAATAGCCTCTGTGCGCGTAAATCTGCATTTTTAGTACACCGCCTCTTGGAGCACTGCACGTTCGCGGCTCCTCAGCGCGGTTTTGTATAGAAAGAGGCCTCTCTCAAAATTTGAATCGAGTGTTAAGAAACACGAAATAGATTCATACACCTAAACTGTGGCTTTCGGAGGTTAAATACTGTTTTGTCTATGTTTGTTAAATGTCTGTTTTTCTTCAATTGTAAAATACAGTATTCACAACTCGAAGGATTTTGCTCGTTAAATCAGCACTAGAATTCTAAAGCCGGCTTCGAACTGCTAGAAACACGTCAGAATCGCGCGAAGCATCTTCAACCGCGAAAAAATACAATTCAATTAGCATAAAGGGTGTGTTTTCTTGCAACAAATTGGCAACGCTGTTTTGGAGTATACGTATTGCAAATCTTTTGGAACTGTTCTTTGCCGCGACTTTTGGAATTGCATGCGTTCTGTGGTTTCGTAGAAAGCTGATGAGTTTTTAAATTTGCGATAAAAATGAAGGATTTTCAACAAGCAGTTTTTGATTTTTAAGCATGTATAAAGTTTATTTACAAGTAATCGGTTTTTGAAAAGTTTTAAAACTTAAAACTGTAGCACTCGAACTCTTCTTTCATCTTCATCCTCTTCCGGTATATTTTTTTTTCTAAAGCCTTACCATTTTTTTGAGTTTGAATCGGCGAAAGTCGAGCTATGTCGAAAATATTTTTTTGAAAGTCGTTTTTGCGATTTTATAATTTTTTGTGTTGTTATGTAAAAATTGAAAGTTTCGAACCCTCTTCGCTCGAAAATTAGGCCCCGAAACTTTTTGGTAAGAAAAATTTTCCGAGATTTTTGAAAAAAGTGGGCTCTCTGCTGCGATCGGAACTTTTTGGAGGTGATTTTGTACAAAAGCGGGAGAATTTGCTGGTTTTTGTTCAACTTTCGCGAGCGATTTGCGGCTCTGGAAAGTTTCTTAAAACTAAAAACTTTTTAATAATCCTCTTCTGCATTGGGGTCCTCGAGTAGCTTCCATCGCAGTTCGGCCGCTTTGCCGGCGATATCTTTCGAGTGATTGAGAAAATATACCGACTTCGAGATTTTCATGCAATATTTAGGCTTACGCGATACTTATGATGGGGTAATTCCCTAAAATGGGAGATTTCTAAAACGTGTCAGAATTTTTTCAATTTGTAAGCTCACAATTAGCATATTTTCGAATGAAAAACGACGCGTCCTCTTTTTTTCTTTTTACTGCTCGTTAGATGGCGCTATTTATAAAGCTCTGATTGGCTAAATAAAAGTATTGTTTTTCGTGAATTCTCGCGGTATCATTATTTTTTCTCAACATTCCTATGTACTGTTCACAGTCTCCAAAAGCATGGTCGATCATTTTCGTCAAAATGGTTGCGTAATCCATGAGTCCATCTTTAGCAAAGTGAAAAAGAGTTCAGAAGCTGCCGCATTTTCATATTAATGCTTGTTGTGCAAATAGCCATCTATTATGGCGGCAAATATAACTAAGGAACGGACATGTTTCCAGCGCTTTCCAATTCTGGAGTGGTATTTTAACCAGCAACAACGTTTCACTTCGAAAAATGGTGATTGCGGCCACTGTTTTGGCGAAAAATTGAATAAACGGATTATTTAACGGTGGATCCTCACTTGTTTTCCTTTGTGACTTTCCATTCTGCACGATCAAGCGCTAAAAATCGACGATAGTTTATGAATTCCGAATACAGATAAAAAAATTCCTTCGCATAAAAATTTCGCGAGTACTTTGGAACTTTCTATAAAAATCACCTCATGGTGGTTTTTTTTTATCTCGCCGCTAAATGGCTTCAAAGCTCATTTATTTGATAATTGGATCAGAGCTTTATCAGAAGATAGAAGGGTTGAAACAGGTGCCTCTTAGTCCTAAATCTTTATTTTCCTGAAAAGTCTTAAAGTACACCTTATCCCTTTCTTTGCATAATAAGAAACTTCCGTCAAGAAACGTCACTTGAAAAAAATGTTTCTCGACGACTCGATGTGGCAATTTTCATCTGATAATTGGCCCCGTGAAACCTAGCGTTTTTCCGATCAAGTCTAATTTGCCCCTTTAGTGGAATTCGAAGAAGAAGCATCAACACTTATTTCATCTTGTAGCGCGGAAAATATGATTTGTGGCGAGGTCGACCGTTAAATTTCCTACGAACATATAAAATCAATAACAGGATTCATAATTCAATTACAGAAGTAAGAGAATCCCCTGAGATCGGCTATCTACACCGCATGTAGCTATGCAGACAGAATGTCAACAGGAAGTCATGCCTTAATAGCTCGTCCTCCTACTTGCGGTATTTTTGGTATTCCAAAGCCATTCAGTCAACCCTACGAAAACGTCACGCTCAAAACCATCTTCCAAGCGTGCGAATAGTTGTCCAACTTTAGTTGAATTAGCTTGGATTAACGAAAACGAACTGTTTTTCACTTGTTCCTGCGGATTCCAGGTGGCCTTTTACTTGCGTGTGAGCGCGATGATTGTAGCATGAGCTTGTTCGATGGTCGTGGAACATTTGGACAATGTTGCTCATCTGTTCGTTTACTTCATCCTGAATTTGTTTCGTTACATTTCGCAGCGGTAATAACATTGTGCTGACATGATGTTGAAAATTAAAATTAAGTATGTTTGGACTTGCCAATAGGAAAGATATTTTCATGAATTTGAGTTATACAGTTGATTGATCCAAAAACGTAAGATCAATCTTGACATGAAAAAGAAGTTCTAAAAATCCACTTCGAGCGTAAGCCAGTTCCGGCCTCGAACATAGAAGAGCCACAAAAAATGCCAGTGATGATTGATGTGCGATTCGGTAAACACCAGGGCGCGCGGAACTGCGTATTTTTACAAGATTCCTGACTGTCAGGGGACAACTCGAAATGAACGGGCCGTTTCCGTCGAGCGGTGCTTCGCCGGGGCTTAGAAAGAAGCCAGCTCGCCAGTCGCCCGACAACAAGTTCCACCGAATCCCGCTTTTACGATAAGAGGAACATGCTCTCGTGCGAGTCGATTAGAGTATCAGGGATGGATTATTTGACGATAAGTACTCGACGATAAAACCTGGAAAACACCTATTCTACGAACCAGAGATAGTATTAGAAAGAGATTAGCAATTAAGAATCTTGAGGACGTGGACATGGCTAGCTTTTGTTTTCAAGATTTAGCACTGTGACACCCTTATTTCTATTTTATTAAGAAAAGCTATTATCGAATCTCACCTTAGTATCTAGATGTTTTGTTCTTGAACGAAACTCGTGCTCCAAGTCGGTAAGGTAGAGAAGAGTCTTTGAGTGCTGATCACGTTGAGGGTTTCTGCTTTGAACGGAAAGCTTTTTGAGGGTTCGAGAAAGATTGCTAAAACAATTTCATTGCAACCTCGATTTGAGAGCGTTCTAATCGAAGAGATCTTGGAATAACAGATTCATTAGAAATTGCCGAATAAAAGGTCAGTTTAAAAAATTGAAAAGGTTCGAACTTGAAATTGGAATTTTAACTTGAAAACGAAGAATTTGTCGTTTTTGCAGAAAATGTTATCTGAAAAGGGGTTATCACGTTTTCACGCGTTTAGTTGGTGAATGCGAAAAGTGTTTCTTTCCGTTATCTTCATGCGGTTAATTGCAGCTTGCGAGCATACTCGCCCATTACTGCCACGTTCTCTGCATTCTTTGTTTTTTTCTAAACTTGATCATCACATATTTACTGGGCATTGAAGGTGCAACCGCAGGCCTAGTGGTTAGCGAGTAACTACGTTGTTATCCCAGCAGAAATGCTTGACAAAATAGCAGCGCAGTTTTTTTCTCGATATTTTTTCCTGAATGTCTGATTGAATACAAAATTGACAAAGTAGACCAGTTCTTTGGTTCGGCAATCTGTCCAAAAAACCTGAGTCAGGGTCCTAAAAGTGCTCTGATAAAAGCGGCTTTTTTAAAAGCGCTAGAAAAATACTGTCCAATCAAAATCTTTCAAGATCCTGACTCAGGTTTTCTACACAGGTTGCCGTGCCGTTATTTAAGTATAATAAGTAACTTATTTTTTATCTGTTTTTCGGAAATTTTTTAATTTATAAAAGAAAAATAAAATCAAAACGACCCAAAAGGAGGGTAAGAATAATTTATTTAGGAAGCTCACATTTGTTAAAAATTGTTTCTACTGAGCACTTGTAATTTACAAGTTGTAAAAGTATCTGCGCTCATGTTCCGCCCAGCTTTTTCCAATTTCTGATTTTTAAATAAAAAAGTGAACAAGAGAAGCTCCGTGACTTTCAGTAATGGTAGACAAGTGGTTAATGAAGATAAGCAAATCAAACATAGATAATTTCAAGTTAACGTTAGAGGTCTGCTTAGCTTGACCTCGACCAGGATTTTTTTGTGTAATCTTGTCGGGTGATAAAACTCCTAATGCTCTTGCAAATGCGGCTTCTTATCCCAACATATTTCTGCTTCCAGAGCATCAATTTTAGTCAAAGAAAAAATCAAGGAAGAAAGCTTTCGCTAAATAACTTGAAAGTTCAGATTTTAAAAAAATGTGCTCGTTTCGAACTTTTTTCACACGTATTCGTTGGCTACATTCCGATATACAGAAATGCGCCTTGCTTATATTTAAAGAGAAAAGAAGTAATTATGAAAAATTTTAGAATTTCCAGGTGGATAATTTTGGGCCGCGAGAGTCGCTGGACGGGCTTATTTGCCAGACACCTTGGGTGTGATGACGTTTGCGGGTCAACGTTTTGCCCGCTGCCCGTAAAATACAGGTTAAACGTGCTACTGGCTGGACAGGGTTAAGGGTACAACCGTCGATTACCCCAATGACCGGTTATGTTAAATTTTTCATCGGAAATGAATTCCTCATAAAATTCTGACCAAAAAAGGTCCAAACGTTTAATTCATAACGTCAAGCGTTTTCATAATAATTAGAGTTTTAATTGATTTCTTTACTAGAAAGAATTTTTTCCGAAAAAATTTTTGGTGTCCGATACTTTCAAATAAGGCGTCGTTTTGAAGCTCAGAACAAGATGAGGATTATGGCGAGATCATTAATTCTTGAACTAAGAAATTTTAGCTTCTAGAGACAAAAATGCGTCGCCAAATTTTGAAAAATGCTTAATTTTAGCAAAATCATAGAGACACAATTTTCAAAAAATTAATTTTGGTATTTTTCCTTTTTCAATCAAGAAAACCTTCTGTCATTTTTAAGATGAAGGTTCAATTTACATATAAAAAATATAATCAGGCTGAGTTTTCAAGCTACTTTTCGAGCTATTTCGCCGTTTATTCAGTCTTTTTTTGCAACAATGATATTTTTAAGCTAGAAATTAGCCGACTTTTCATTGAGCTATTCAAAAACGCCTCTGACAGATTAAAGATCTAAGATAGTTTAACTTTTAGAGGCCATATGATACCCGCTATCCATGCCATGTAAAGGGTTATTCAAGGCTAATGTTGGGGAAATCGAAGGTAGTACCCTTAAGCAAAACAAAAGTCAAAGCGTATAATAGGGGGGGGCTGACCCTTTGCCACAAATCCGAGCGATTTCCACGTGCTTGTTACGCAGAGTTCCACAAAATTGCAGTATCTGGAGAGAAATTTATGAGCATGAAGATAAGGTATGGACAACTGAACTATAAAATTTTAAAACTTAAAATGAATTGATTTAAAATAGCCACTCTTTCTTCAATTGGAAATTTTAATTCACAATTTTGAGTACGCAAAAAAATAGACGAAAAGAACACTCAAAACGGCGCAAAAAATAACAGTCAGTAAGACTATCACGAGAAAATAACCAACGGTTGACATTTTTTCATTTAAATTTTTCTTCGTTTATGATTCTCTGAATTTGAAAGAAAAAAAAATCTCGAACCCTTTCGCAATGAAGCGGCAATGATTGAAAGTTTCATCTTCGTTAGATTCTTCTGGACAAAGTTGACGTGACCTCTTCTCAATCTCTCTCTATTGATGACTGTGACCTGAGCTGTCACGATTGCTTCGCGTCGCGGGCTAGCTAGCGCCCTCACTCGCGCGCCGCGCTGCGCTCGCGCCTCTTAGCTCCATCCGAGCCAGGGTCACCAAGAAAACGCTTACCTTATGTAAAAAACGTCAAGACTATTTCCTCATCCCCTTCCTACGTTCCTTACAAATTTTTAACTGCAAGCCTACAAAAGCAAGGCTTTAAACATATCATCGACGTTTCCATGTAAACAAAAAACCAATAGAGGACCTTAGACCTACGAAATTGATTTCTAGTCAATAATTTTTGAGATGGCGTTCAACATTAAGGGAGAATCCCGCTGTATTTGGTAGTAAACTTTATGCTGAACAATCTTAAAACCAGAAATCCCAGTACTATGTGAACCCTGTTCGATTTTAAACAAGCGAGATAGAATCTTGCATCACAGAAAACGGCATGTTCGGCAAGTTATCTCACATTTCATTCCATAGAATCGCCCGTTCCAAGCCGCGTTATCAATTAATCGCACTCTATTATCTCGTACTCAAAATACTACGTGTAAGATAAGCTAATGGAAAATCGGTCGGCCTTGGGAACGGATTTTTATAGATTCGTGGATCATTCTTTGCGGCTGAAAATTTCGTCTACGGTTTCTAATTGCGAAACAGAATTAGACGGTTATTCTTCACCGTCGTCTTTAGAGGCTTCTCTCACAGTTCTAATTCAATTAATAATAGCTCCGAAAATCTGACACGACAATCCGTCATTCGGCGCTTTATTTTTCACTCTGCCGGTAGATATTTGCGAAACAGAGCTTTCTGGGCAGAGATTTATCGAGAAATGGGATCTCACGTTTGGGGCTGTGATGTTTTGGGTAGGCACCGCTATGTTCGAGCGCCGAATATTTATTTTTTCGCTAAACAGTCGGAGGTGAAAGTTCTCTGCTTTTACTGTTAAATATTATCTTTATCATCTTATGCAAGAGAGGGTTGAGACAAACCAGAAGGAACTTACAAAGAAGGAAAACCGAAAATGAGATTGCGGGGGTGAACGGAACCGACTTACACTAGAATTTTTAGACTCAGGGAGAAAGAAAGAGAGGTGTCTTTTTAGCAATTTCGCGCAAACGACAAGAAATTCAATTACTCAATTTGATGTCTAAATTATCGAAAAAGAGGCGTCAGTAATTAGCGATTAATAATGATGCAATTATTTGTGAAACCATAAGTTAATCGCCCTCCGATTTCACTTATTAACCCCACTACCACTTTTATCAATCGAAGTAACCTTTCTAGGAACGTCAAAAATTAACGAGCGGCACTCCCAGCTGTGATAACAGAAGAAGAGTAACTTGTTTAGAGAAGAGAATTTGCGATTTTCTCTTATCCTCGCGATCTCCGCTGACCGTAAAATTGCGAAACGATGGCTGCACGTGGATTATTCGTAACCTCAAAAGATCAACTCCGACATCATAATATTTGCATAATACAAACTGCACCTAAGCTGAGTTCGAATGTCGAACAGGGGGCACCCTGAAAGGTTCAGGGCAAGATTGACCCTTGCCAAGCTCGGAAGAGGAAGAGAAAAAATAAACTTAGATATTTTTTATAGAAGACACTATCTTGACGAGCAAAGAACAATGCTTCATATTTTAGATAAGGCTCCATCGTAAATAATCGGCTTGAAAGTTCGAGCTGATAAAAAATTCCAGCGCGTGTGGCGGGCCAAAATGCGTGTAAGAATGCGGATTTTTACTTCGCAGTATCTGAAGGATTTTTTTTGCGATTACATTGTAATCCCGATTAGTAGCCACGTTTTTTCTCTCAGCCAAGTGTCGAGCGACGACGATTTCTCGAAAGAGTTCACTGAATCAGCAGTTTATTACAGTATGGGAACGGACTTTCAGACCCTTACGTTAGATTACAGCCGGACACCCTTAGAATTGCAGCTAACCCTCTCATTTTCTGCTTTTATTATGGTCCGCGTGTCAAGGACTCTGTGCTGTCCCTTTGATTCAGTTCAAGCACTTAATGACTGTATGAAGCAGCGGTTTTGGAGCCTTTGATTAAAACCCTTCTAGCACTGATGTCTTTTTGAACGCATCGGCTCGAGCAAATTATACCTTGCCAGGCTTAGCGTACCACTGATTTCCACGGCTAAGATGGACATACTTGGATATATTTGACTTTCTCAGCACATGACACTTACAAATCTCCCCAAGACAGTTTTTATCAAGAATTGCTTGCTAGCTTCAGCAAAATACTCAAGCAACTTGAAATTTATAAGTTCAAATTCAGCCAAAAATTCGAACAAAACGTGCATGCTCGTGGAAAAATCCTGTTTGGAAATGGGAACTCTCCGGTCCAAAAATATTGGAAGGAATGTTTTGCCTGACTGGGGCGTTGGTGCCCATCCCCATCCTTTACGCGTAAGTGACCAGTAGCTCGTAGTGTGGGTCAGTTAAAATACTTGCTTGTTAACCACTCAGTGTGTTGATTTTCTTGTTTGGGAAATATGCTTCGAACTTTTTTTTAAAGTCGTGAGAACTAATAAAACAAATAAATTGTTCCTTTCATTTTTGGTCCAAAAAGATCATTGACTCAACCTCACGCTGACTCAAGCTCATGTTTTATCAAGTTATAATTGACCAGTTGTTTGAGCCCTAAGCATGTAGCACTTGACTTCATGCCTTATCAATTCTATTCCGATAATTGCTCGTCCTAATCATTTTATTCTTTCTTGTTAAAAGTACAAACAACGCCCAGATTCGTTTTATTCCACTTCTTGCCCTTTTTTTATTTATCGCATGTTTGGGATAGAAACAGTTCGTTTCGAACGACTTCAATTGTAAATTACAAGCTTTAAAAATAAATCTCGCAAAATTGATCAAAACGAGCTCGGACTCTAACCGCTTTTCTGTTCGTTTTAAATTTTACGTTTATAGTAAAAGATAAATGATAACTGTCCGCAACTGTCGCGAATGAACGTGTTAATCGACCAAAAATATGCGACTGTGACACGTTTTTTCGCAATAATTGACGATCTCATATTAGCTTATTTTATCTTTAATTATCATTTTATGCTGATCAAAGCTCAGCAGCCTGCTGAAAAAAACTTATATCAGGGTCCTAAAAGAGATTTAGCGAGAGCCGCGTAGCGGCTTTTCTAAGAACGAAGCCGCAAAACGGCTTCTCTTTTTTGAAAAGCCGCTACGCGGCTATTATTCAAGCTCTTTCAGGATCTTGTCTCTGATTGCCGGGCCCAGATGCTGATTAATTGAAAAAATCCGGAAGGAGTAAAAATTTCGCGTGAATCAGAAAAAAGTGGAAAATGCGAACCATGTTAGATAATTCTCTGGAGCAATTAGGGCGAATCGCGCAGTTAGCTTTAGAATCTAATTGAAAAAACGGTGTAAAATTTCATCAGTCTTATTCAACCCTGAAATCTTAAATTTTTAGACCTTTTTTTTGTTTGAGCGCTTTAAAGAGCCTTTATATTTTATGAAAATAAAGAGCGACACGGATTTTTAGAAATTTTTAGTTCGGCGAGAACGCTATTTTTCAGAACGTTTTTTCTGGCTTTACGCAATTTTCCAGCCTGTGAAAACAAAACGGATTCAAAGAGTGCGATGATATAAGAGAGTTTATCTAAATAAATCACCGCGAAATTGGAAAAACGTTGGCGGATCATTTCTTTTTCTCTTCAAGCCAAGAAGAACTTGTAATTGAAAGAAAATCAGCAAGCCGTGAAATGGCTCAGTGTTATTTTTTAATGAATCTCCTGGCGTCAAGAAAACGAGTTCTACGGTTGGTTTTCTAATCCTCTTCTGTGTTTCCTAGTGGTCGATTAAAATCACCTTGGCGTTTATTAGAAGATGTCCCTTATCTCACCTTATCGCTTAACTTCTCGGAGCATGCGCCAGACCGAATTATGAAAACAGGCGTGCCACCGTTAGATAGGCCCTGGTTTTCACAGGTCATTCTTTTTGAAAAGAAGAGGAGCGAAAAAGTAGACGCAAAAAAGAACTCGTTGTCAACGGTCGTGAATATGACCACGTCGCATGATTCGCAGGAAGCCAGATCATCGCGGATTGTTTGAGCTACAAATTTAGCGGACACCAGTTCGTGGATTTCAATCAGTTTGTTGCCGGTAAACCTTAATCCCGTTTTGATTAAACATTACTGCGTGAATCCTTCGAAGACAGGATTATTAACGTGGCCAAGGGTAGAATGGAGAAAATCATTTCTGGGATGATAATTGATGGTTTTTTCATAAAATTCAAACTTGAAGTTTGAGCTTTAGAGACTTTTTCTCGATTCGTTGTTCAATAGAACGCATGAGAAAATTTACGAGCAGCTAAGCTAAAGATCTGTTAAACTGAGCATGAATTTGTATTTTCGAAACAGATTAATTCACCAGTACTCATCTAGCCCAAAATACTAATTACCCAGGGTCAGTTTTAAAAATTCGACTGCAAGCTTGATTCGAGATAGTGATACAAATTTTTGAATAAAGAAGGATCATTGAACAACTCGGCTGCACGGCAAATATTTACGGTAACGTAAATTATGGAACTTTTGGTCGAGGAGGCACTCGAGTTGTCTACTCGGCGAAAACTCATTCATGAACATTTTAAAATTGATAGTTCCGTCAAGAGAAGAGTATTTTTAGAGAAACTCTTAAGAAGAATAAAGAATTACGTGTAGTTTTCAGAAATTAGTATTACTAAGAATGGAATAACTGTTGAGCCGTCATCGTCAACAAACTGTAAATAAGATCGACCATCAAAGAAGCAGTAACACGTAGCTAACAGATTACGGTAGAAGCGAGAGCTTGATCGATGAGCTGGACGTCGCGGGTGATCTCTTCGCGGCGCTGGAGGAGGAACTCAAGAATTGGATCATTTTTTCCTTGAGGACTCTTTTCTTCGTCTTCGATTTCCGCAAGAATTCGGGAGAAGTTTTCTTCTAACTCTGCAATCGAAGGTGTTTTCTTTTTTTGGTTGAAATTTTAAGAAAAATCTCGCCATTGATCAATTCTGATAAGCAAGCTGTAGTTCAGCTAAAAGTGCTGCTCTTGATGCTATTTTTTAAGCACTTCCAATAAAAATACCGAGCCTCAAGAAGATTGGCCACGACAGGTCGTTATTCGCATTCTTTCGACAAATAACGCTCAAAATCAAAAGCAATTTCAACCAAATTCCTGAGTCGCGTCTGGGCATGCACTTAAAAACGTTACGTCTTCTGGGGGCGCACATCTGCTGGGCATCGAACTTACAACTGTCAACTCTTCCGAATCAAGTTCTGCTTCCGTTTGGCACTCTTAATTGGATGGTTGAGTATGGTGGTTAGGTAAGGGGAAGGAAACGAAAACATGGCGATGTCGACTCCTTATCGGAACGTGAGGATGTTATCATTCCCGCGGGATATCCGGAATATGCATAATTATCTCTTCCGCGCTCATAACCCCGCTAGAACTAACACAATCTTCCCTATTAAAAAATGCTCATTGAGCACATTCTCAACTAAAGTTAAATTATATATGCACAGATGGACTGATAAGAGCCGAAAACGGTAGCTTCTCTAAACGGACCTGAGTCGATAAAAACCACGAGATGTTTTTCTAGCGAGCGTGTGGTTAGTCGATCAAAGTGAAGGCTTTCGAATATATTTCTGCATGTCGAATTCCGACCAGCATGTTGAATTGAGCCTCTATTATTTGATCAAAAAATAGGCGGAAATTCAGGGATAAAAAAAAGGATATTTTCATGTTGTCATTTTTAATCAGAGTACTAGGAATACTTATGACACAAGAGATATACTTCCTCCCCGAAAAAATCGTCATAAAAACCTCTATTTGAAGTACAGTCTGGTTACCTTTGTGATTCTTTGCGGAAGAGAACTGAAGAGCCACCGACCGGCGATGCTGTCTCGCTGTCGTCTGCACACTTGCTTCGCGACATTTTGCAGTCTGGCACTGGACAGCCATGTTGATTGCCTTTCTTTCATCAGTTGAGGTTGACGAGCTCCGGAAAGATGGCTGGATGGTTTGAGTGTCTTTTGAGTTGTTCGGAAAACTGACATGACGATTTTAGAGGATTGATTCACGGAATTAAGCACCACAGTGCGGCTATCCTACATTCCGGGATTTTGGTCTGATCCTTACGCGCCCAAGATATCAGTGGTTTCTGTCGATTACAGTAACACTTAGGAGAAGTTTTAATAAGAACATGTCCTTGATCCTTTTTCGAGCCTAGATACTTGTTCAAAAAGAAATCACTTGATTCCTCAGCAGGTTTCGTTATGTTTCGACTAAGTCGCCATCGTTGTAAAATGTCTCCATCTGGGCCGTGTTTATCGACTAAACGAACTTGGATTATTTCTTCTGGGAACGGTGTGTTATTGAAATATGTGGCATTCCAATTCATGGAAGCAACATCGCCGCATTTTGAAAACTTACATGCTTCTGGCCCATCCCTCGTCACGTCTAATCCCGCAAGATCGAGTATATCCAGAACTGAGTCAGAAAGTTCCATTTTTTTCTCTAACAAAACGCGATCAGATAATGATTTTTGTCCGTTGCGATGGCAACCAACGTCTAGGATAAAAAACTGATCTTCAAATTTTGTTCTAGAACCGAGTTAGCCGTCAGAAGACCTTTCTTATCCAAATTTGCATGTAAAAGTACGAGTATGAGATCACCTTCTACAAATAGAAATTACCATGTCGGGTCTTGCTCTAGAATTTCTATGCGAAAGTGCTTGCATGTTAGAGAGCTTGAGAAAGGCAATATCGCGATGAAAACTGATCCGACTTTGTGCCAGTCAAAATTTGTTGCAACTAAGCTGTCTAACTTTAGTTAGAATTAAATGAGCATTCTGAGTACCAGCTGCCTATCATAGAAGTACTCTTGGCTGGCAGTAATTGTGACAAATTCGCATACAACACACGTTTTAAGCTATGACTAGCCTATGAGATAGTGGCGGAAACGCACGAAATTCAGGAAAGATGGATTGAATGTTGAGTGTAAATATTGTTACTGTTTTTTCTTTGAATAGCAATTACGTACTCTTGTATTTTCTCTGCGAGTTTCCTTGCAACCTTTATAATAAAGCATTATTTATGCTGTACAGAAGTCTTGGATATAAACTGCTAAAGTTTAAAATAACGTCTGTGTCCCCTTACTGTTATCATCAAAGAGCCTTGCCCCGATAAAGATAGAAATGTTATGGCCTTTTGACTGTTTAAGCGTACACAGATAGCCTATCCACGTCCCCTTTCTATCAACCTGCAGAAAATTCTGCAGCCCAGAGCAAACTTTTCTTAGACAGTCTGACAGCTAGTTTTAGATTTTTAAAGAAAATTATACGGCATTTCAAAGATATGTAAATTCAGTCACACGCGAGATTTTCCCCATCATTTCGAGTCGCTAATCAAATCTACTTCAATTATTATTCTAATTTTCTGAAATCCGAGTAGTCCGGAAAAAGAGCTTCTCTAAAAGTCATTTCAGAAGTTGGAAATGAAAATATTCGGATAGAGATTGGGATTTTATAAACCGCCTGATTCCTTCATCTTCTTACATAGGTATGAAACTAACTTATTTCATAAACGAAAGGTCTAAGAACGAGTTAGTTTGTCGATGAATAAATGTCGGGAAATCAGATGTCATCGGCGTATTTTTGATAAGCTCTTCCGTAAAATACGATTGCGTTTTCACATGCTGCAGTAGCCACTCGTTTTCGGAAGCGATCCATGTTCTTCCGTGTGTTCGTATTTTGCGAAAAAGAGGAGACCGCGGATTGGAATCCGACATTGATTTAGACATCCCCGAGATGGATTACATCTAAGGGCGGGTTAATCTCCGCTTCTTTTGCGCAATTTTTTTCGCTTTTTAGAATGCTGAAAGCTGAAATTTGACCTTTTCAAAGCTGAAGTTCGTTTAAGAACTTGAACGAAATGAAGAACTACGAATTTGAAGACGACGAAATGCTCTTAAATATTCCGGACTCGGTCACTCGATTTTCATAAAAATAATCTTTCCGGAGTGAACTTCCGGACCCCGGATTCCGAGGTCGGTGGAATATAGCCTCTGACAAAAAAATGAAATTGAAAATGCGTGAACACGTTTTTGCTCGACTTTAACATTGATAATAATGTTAGTGACCTGTTTTTAAAGTACTATCCAGTGCTTCTAGGACCGGACAGAATTTTAATTGAAGCTGCAGAACAGGGTCAGTTTCGATTAAATTTAATTCTGGCTTGACCAGTTTCAAGCTCAAAGAAATGATTGGCTTACATTTTGCCGTCTCAAAAGTACTGTAATTTATGCTCGCGCGGTTTTTGTGTGACTCCGAGTCCTAGAAAAGCCTTCCTCTGTGTAACTACAGCCGTTTCGGTAAATTACTTTCAACATTTCAAAGGGAAGACTTACTGTTTTCCTAGCTTCTTATCTGCGCCAGCTGGCGGATCATCAAGGTAAGCTTTGAACTGTTCTTACTTTTCCACGTCGATGATAATTTATTATTTTTTTCAGATACACTTTATTTATCCAAGAAGGAATGGTTTAAAATCCGCTTTAGAAGATGGCAAATATCGCAAGAACTCTATTTTTCAGCAGCCTTTTTGGCCCCTATCTAAGATAGGCTATCTTCAAAGTTATACAATGATTTTTCGCGCTATAAATATTAGAAAAACGGAGTAAAAACCTATTTTTGATACATTGTTTCTAAATTACCTCTTTACATAATTTGAGTATATTTTCACATCGCCACTATCAAGAAAGCCTGTCGCGATTCTGACATGTTGTGAAAACAGTAAAATAGGTTTTAACGTGAGGTAATTAGATCCTTGGACATTCTGAAGAAAAAGCGGCGCGTAAGGAACGGAGTGCTCAGGATACTAACTTTATAATGCCGGAGCTGGATCCGGACGGGATAAGCTCCAGCTTTCGTATAACGGCTTATTTTTGTTACAAAGTCAAGCTTCGATAATTGGCATAATAGAGCTTCGGGTTATTCTAGTGACGATCATTAATTCGAGCCTTTTTGTTGATGCAGCAATCTGCGTGTTTTATTTTCGTTGCTTTAACTCTTTGTTTACTCGCACAGTCTCCAGCAAAACAGTAATTGTAGTTTAGAATAACTTCCTCCTCGAGTCAAGAGAAACTGTGAACTTGAACAACTCGACTTACCATAAGTATTTGAGCACTTCTTACAAAGAGAGTCTACGTTGCTCTGCGAAGGGGATACACAAATTGAAGAGCCCTTGCCGCCTCGTCGGAAGAAGCCAAAGTGTCCATGCCTCCAGATTTTGGTGAGTACCACTCTTCGGCAACGAATCTCTCTTTGCTCTCTATTCATACACATTTAGAAAGCCCTAAAAGTGCTATTTCGATAAAGGCGAGCAGGAACAATTTCTAACAATTTAGATTCTACCGAGGCCATCCGGAACTGCATCTACTGTATCAAGCTTACTGTTACGGGCTTTTGAGATTGGCGATAGAACTAAGAACTATTTATGATAAGTACCTCATGCGACATGAACACGCACTGAAACATGACAACTTTCTTTGTAAATTGACAGGAGGATTTTGAACGAATAGTTTTCGTTTTTAAAAAATTGGCGATTATGTAAATTCTATTCGAGTGAAAATTTTTTTTCTGAAAAACCACGCATCAATCGTCATTAACCTCCGGTCCCTGCTTGAGTTTTTGAGAGTAAATCTGCTTATTATGTGTTATCTGTGATTGAGACGATCTGTTGAGGGGCACTGGGAGATGAGATTCGTCTTTATTCAAGAGCTTCTGGTGTTGAATTCGTTATACGATATGATCGTCTACGACTAAGGTCAGTAGCGGCGAAATATAATCGCCAATCAAGTGATACATTTTCGAGAAATTTGCGCAAGCTCAATCAACTCAAGTTAAAAAAAATGAAATAGTTTCGTCGATACTCGTCATAAATCCTCGTGTACTAAAACGTGCCCGAAGTTATGCATAAGACAAGATAATAAGAAAGCTGTCAATAGTGTGAATGATTATTGTGCGCTAAGAAATGGTCTTATCTTTATAGTTAACTTACGATCATATTTTGCTTAGCTGTAAGATAATATGAGATTGCGTTCAACTCAAACCCCGAATGGATAGGAGGACTTCTAATAGTCGATCGGAAGAAGATTTGCGATGGACCGTGTAATTGGATGAATAAAAGACTCCATCATTACCATTTTTCTCGTTTTCAATTGTCAAACTTCGAAGAAATAAACCACACCTAATGATATCGAACATCTGTTTAGCTATAATTTATAACTTATAAAAGAAGGAGCATTTTTCAAATGAAAATTTTGCACGAGGCAACTTTTTAGTCTAGGTAACCGGTAAAAATAAGAATTCATACATTGTCAAATAGATAAAAATTCATGCAATTTTATTTGCAAAAAGTGGGTGTGAATTCTACCAGCGCAGCCGCTGATTCGTTCTGAATTTAGAAGCAAACAAATGAGCCAAGATATAAGCGCAAGAAAATCATCATTTGACAGGATTCTCTTATCCAGCTAGAAATCATTAAGATCTGATTTTTAGTTTTTTTGTTAAAGATGGAAGAGACTAGACCGTCACAAATCGTTGGACTGAAAAAAGAAACTTATGACCACGCAAGACTTCTTGAGCGATCAGCTCGACTCGACGAGTTAGAGTTCCAACTACTCCACCATGATCGTATCGATCTTCAGCCAACGATCCAAGATCTTCACGCGGAAAAATCAAACATTGTCTCTTACAACGACTGATCTCAGTCACCAGCAAACTTCTTTTCTCTCTTAGATCAAAATTAAAAACTTATACCTAATTATAATTATAATTAAAAGGCGGCAGCAACGCTCCCTCATCACTAGAGAATCTTGAGGGAGCGTTTCAGTTGCATGATAGGACCTAAACAAAACATATCGGCTATAGATCAAGATTTAAAACAAACAAATTGCTTGAAGCAATTTTTGTTTTATCTCATGATCAATAGGCCTCTAAGAACAGTTATCGATGCGCTACATGTTATAGTCTTTAACTGAAAGAGATGGAATCAATTTATAGGGGGATCCCTGTATGGGAAGACCCTGGGCTCGGCAAATGATGTCGAAATATTTTCCTAAAGTACTCTGCAGAAGAGCAGTTATAGATGGAATAACTTGTACCTCAGCGATGAACTGTTCTCAGAGGTGATAGCTCGGGACTGTTATGCAAATTTCGTCAATAAAAGATTCGGCCAACTGAATTTGTGTCTGCGCAAACACTTTATTTTGAATCATTAAATAAGGTAGAGTTTTCGGAATACGCACGTCAAACTAATCGTCTGATCGTCGCTTTTCGAGGTTTTTACAAAAGTTACAGTTTTACAGATAGAAAGGTTTGTCCGTTATTCGGATCAAATTGTTGATGTTTTCACCAGGTGATTCTGCTTCTCTATTGCTTGTCCTTGATGCATCTGACAGCTCCCATTGATGGGTACTTTTTCCAGATGTTCCCGATGCATTTCATTCGTCGGATAGTCGGCTAAATAGAACGATAAATTTTTGAAGAGTGACGCACTCTTGAATAAACTCTTGAGTCGTTAGTTTTTTCAGCAACTCCGGGTTAAATAAATTCCCGCTGCAACTTACTGTAAATCCGGGACCGCAAAGAACTTTGCACTTGAATTTCCCATGATTGCCGGCCTCGGGCTCGTGACAGGGCTTGTCGTATCGTGGAAAGCCGTCCTTCTTCTTGCAACCCTTGCAGCTGATTCCTGGCAGTTTGACGCCGCCACACATGCCGTGCTAAAATTTTTTCTCATTTCAAGGGGCACTTTCGAGTATGTTAAGTGCTGTTTATCAACGCATTCTACTGTACAATCCGGCACATGTTTACATCATAGCTTTAACACGTTTTGATTTTTTATCAAAGACTTACCAAGTTTCGGACTCCGCCAGTATCGCTCATTGGTCCCAAAAAGCCGAAATCATCAGAAGATCTATCGATGTCATTTGGATCGTAGAGGACGTAATCATCGTCACTAGAAGTGTCGAAGTCGTAATCGAAGTCCGGGTCAGCTAGAATTAGCGAATGTTTGTGGAGGGTCTCTTGAAGACTAATTTACCGATCATTTGTGTCTCTCGGACTTTTTTAGCTGTAGAAAGAGCGGCGAGGAAAAGTGCAATCTTCATTTTTTTCAGCGAAGCAAATCAAAACTCAAACCAAAATCCTATCTGTAAATGCGTTGGTCTCTGTCTAAACTGCGATCCAAGACTCATATTTATGGTGTCGCTGGGGCTGATAAGACGTGTTCGATAAGAAACAGGTGGAAGTGACGAAACGTTTAGATCCATGCAAAGAAAACGTTTTTGCTGAGAACAACATGAATCCTCCTCTAAAATTCTGGTTCTTCTAATGTTCAAAGACCTTGAGAAAGCTTCAAGCCATTGGCATTAGCAGGATTTACTAACGTGATCTGATAGTGCGCCTAAAGAAAACTCACCTGCGGAACTTTTCCGCTCGAACCGCGAAATTTTTGGGCTGAACGGGAAACCACAGATATGAAAGCAAACTCACTCTCTAAAACTGTTCAAATCATCTTCTTTTTTCAGGAAAAAGACACGCCTTTGAGCAGAGTGCAATTGAACTAATCTATTTATTAATTAAACTAAGGAATCAAGTAGTTCTCGCGATTCTACAGGTACAAAGTGGCAGCTTTAGTTGCGAAGGAAGTAGCTGAGCCAGTAATGAGGCCGAATGTCAGGGCAATGAAGACGTATTCTTCTGCTTTGGACTTGTCAGAGTGCTCCATAAGACGGGACGGAGCGTAAATAAAACTTTGATATTGTTTTCAAACTATTTTTGGGATATTTGTCAAAGACAATAAATCTGATAACTTTCAGAAAACCTCCCTTAGCGTTGTGAGGTATCCATTTGAAATAGCAAGAAGTAGAACTAGCACAGCATAACCAATATCTAACGTCGGTTAAACCCGCTTCTACGATAACGCTCGAATATCGAAGTGTCGTTTTCAACTTGCGGTCAAACCGATTCCTGAGGATATCAAAGTAGGAAGAGTAGCAGATGGCATCCTTTGAACATTACAGAGGGGAAAGAGCACGATGAAGATAAGCCTAAGAGCGGAGACGAGATAAATTGAAATTGTTGAATCGCGGGAAGGAACTTGACAGAAGTTGGTCATCAGACGGCCGATGGTGTCACCGATGTTGTAAACCAAAAATGTGCAGACAGGGACGAACCATTTTTCTGCAAATATCTTTGTCCCGTTGAAAATTCCGATAAATCCCTGACGTTTCAGTATTTTAATGAGCGCTGTGAAACAGCTCGTAATTAGCGGATCACATTAGATGAGCCAACGATAATTGTTGTTTAACGCGAGCCCTTGTTATCTGATGTCGATCGTACTGACGCTGCCACCCCAGGGAAAACGGACAATGTCACAAACAATGTTATGAAGCTCATGAAAAGTTCAGGATGGATGGTCCAAATCAGCGATTGAGGGGAGCTGGAACCAGAATTGCAGCTTGCTGTCCGACTTCGAGCAGGATCCTTTGATCGGAGGTTTTTTAAAGTTAAAAATTTTCATCAGGAAAACTTTGATAAGGATGGCAGTCTACGACCACGTCATTCAGTCATTCGAATTCAACTGATATTCTACATCAGAAAGCGGAATTTTCACAAAAATGGAATGTCAGAATAGAAGGAAGCAAAATTCCATACTCGTATGGAATTCGGCAATGCTCTGGCTAGTGCGCGGTCAACAAGACTCGATGAATTTGTGTTTTGGCATAAAAACCTCTTTTCCTGTGATGATCCTTCCGAACTGGCATCCGAAACGAGCTCGGCATCGGACGATTTAGAATTCGGCTCGTCGAGCATTTTTGATTTGTAGAAGTCAGTTTTAATTACGCAGAGGTGGTTGATCAGAGCGAAGAGGGCAAATGCTCCTGCGGTGCAGAAAAATGAGATGCCTGCCGAGGTTGGGCTCCCAGCGATGCACAAGTTGATCATGTAGGCCAGAGCCGCGAAGATACCTCAAACGTTTCGCTTTAGAAAATTAACCTTAATTTCTTACCTGCAAAGCCTTGCCCACTGGAGAGATTCCGCACGTAGGTTTCGCCAAGAGAACCGGCCATTGCCATTCCCATATTTTGGACCACCGAGCAAAACGCGTTGAGGACAGTTCCAAGAGCTAAATTGATCCAGAAGAATTGAACTTCCCAACCGGTATTGTCGAAAATGCCCACTACAGCTGTTGCGATAAAGAGCACCACGCTCACTGCCACACCTATATTCAAACGTTGGTTCCTGGTTTCGAGATTAGGGACAGGCTCACCGATTGAGAGCAGGTTTTCTTTGCTCCAACTCTGCGGCCGGAATTGAAGCAAGATTGAGGAAAGGAAAACAACTCCCGTGCATAAGATGGAAAGGAAATTCTGCCAAAAGTTTTGCATCCAGTTCGGGGTGAAGGATCCGTCAGGAGAAAAGGTATCATTGGTCGCTAGGTGCAAAAGTTATTTGATGCTTGAATTTCTACAAGATTAGATTTGATTCTGCTAAAATTTTGGTTATTTTGAGTCTCGAGTTAGAAATTCTTACTCCAACCAACAAGTTGGCCCCTTACAAGATCGTCTTAATTTTTTCGAACGCCAGCTAGCGAACGCGACAGAATTCTGCGGTCGAAGATTTCATCATCGAGGGTGTTTAGAAAGCTGGCTTTAAGTTTAACATGCGCATGTAGAATTTTTGTTCTTTTGTACTTACTAAGTTTGTCGTTCCAATAGTTCTCTGGCGTGATGTAAAAGTTCCAAGGCATTAAGCCGGCCAGGCCGTAGACATAGAAAGATAGTGTGACATATCTGTACTTGTCATGGAAGGTTTCCTCGATATCTCTCATAATGCGGCGAACTGTTTGGTGGAAGGGCAAATTACGAACGATTTTCGCGGAGCGCGCACTTTTATCGAAATCAAATTCACCATCTTCGATAACATCGACTTTTGTCATCGGTCACTCTCTTTTTTAATGAGTTATGTCTTAATTTCAAATAAGACTTTACACAGAAATACTATCAAAGAATTCAAGTGTTAAAAATAGTATAGGTATTTGCCATAGTTTAATAAAAAGACTTACCAGGATAAGATGTTCCAGGTGATAAAAAAAACTCTAAAAGAAGATATTCTTCATTTCCACACCCCTTTTCAACCCCAGAGCAAACAAAGTCACATGTTCCAGTAAAATCTAAGCACTTTCTTCGAATATCAAAGTATTGATGGATGGTACTTTCGAAATGCTCGAATCAATTTTGAAATCGAAGTTGTTTATACTTATTTCAAATGAATAATCAAGCGGAACTTATTTATGTTCTAATTCAAGAACGACAAACGGGATCGTGGGATAATATACCTAAAATAATGGTCGTTTGTTTGGAATTCATTATAACAGTAGAAACTAGTGTAACAAGTTCAAGAGCAAAGAGCTCATTGTCTCATTTTCTGGTTTTGTGGACGGATAAGCTATTACAACGTCATTTTATAACTTGTCTCTCGAGTTACACAGGGGCTGTCCAAGTTTAATGAAAAAAGAGTTCCAAAAGAAGCCGTCTTTCAGCATTAAAATTCTGATTCACTTGATATTTTTTCTCGACGTTCATATTTTTCCGTAAATACGGAGTTTATCTGGGAAAGAACGTGCCTTCTATCAAATTATTCTAAATCGATTTCTAAGCCCATAAGCAACCAGTTCTGTCATTTGAATATAAAAATTTAAACGATAAAACCAAAACAATAAGGTCTTCTGAGAATCCATAGATTTTCTTCGGGCAAGTCCCCTGTTCGGCCACCTAACCATCCCGAACAGGGATGCGAAATCACCCCTTATCACCCCAACCCACCATATTTTGCTCGGGCTGCTACTCGGCTGCTGATTGGCCGATTAACCGAATCCAAGATTCTGATTGGTTAAAAATTTCCAAGCAAAATTTGCGAAATTTTGGAACTTTTTTGGCGGTTCGAGACACCTCCTAATTGTACTAAGTGTGATAACCGCATTTTGATCTTTTGTTTAACTGATCAATGAAACGCGCTTTAAAGTAGAACAGTCAAAGATTTTTCTTGATATAACCACTTCTGTATCTTTCTTAGAAATTTCTGACAAAGGAATCGAACGCGATTATGAACGATAAAATAACGCAATCATGGTCAAAATCTAAGGTAAAAAGATATTTGCATTGTAATTAATCAAATAGCCGCGCTTCAGTTTCAAAAGTATTTGAAAAACATAAGAGAATATTATGCTTAGAAAATGAACGAGGAAAAACTTTTGCAGGTGTGTTTTAACGTGAAAAATATCAAAAATGAAAACTTAACTCACAGTGGATACCAATATTTATGGAGAAACCGGAACTAAACAGAGCTTATATTGGTGACAGCAAAAGCCATCTTTTGGAAACAATAGAAAGACAAACGCTTTCGAATTGGCTACAATATGAATGCTGGAAAATTGCTGAATTCAAATTTGAATATAATCAAGAATCGAAACAAAATCTTATCTATGGTTATCTTTATCGTGAATCAAAATATGACAACAGAAGACCGATTTATAAATGGTTGGCAACACCAAGACAAATAGACATTTTGACAAGAACACAAGAACAGCTTCTGGACGAAAGTAATCCGGAAAAAACATGCAAAATAAGACGTTCCGATAAAAAGATCTTACGCCACACATATTTATTTGAAACATTTGACTACAAAAAGATATCAACTGCTCGTATTTTGGATTCCTTTCGTGTGAAGTTACTTATGCGAAAAACACAGAAGAAAAGAGGGCCGTTTGTTGTCGATTTAAACAACAAACAAATGATTGTTTTACAGAGAATGCTGTATAATGGTCTTATTATTGTGAGGTTTTTTTCTTAAAAACACTTCATTATTTTCGTTTTTTTGCAGTTTGACCGCGTTGAACTTATCTCCAGACATTAGCAAAGAACAAATTGATCGTGATAGTGTGATTTTACGGAAAACACTCACGACTTGGTAGTCTAATTTTCACCGAACTAACAGATGACAATAAATACAATATAAATTTTTGCAGTTTAAATTAAATTCTCCAAGAAAAATTTTGAAGCATATTAGAATTCAATCTAAAATTTTGAAATCTTCGGTTTTATTTCATTAAAAACTTACTTATTATATAAAAATATTCTTTTTGTAAAAACATTAAAACCTTACACAGTTGGAAGAGAACTTGAGTTTGGAAACATTATATCATTCGGAGGCGAAGCAGTTGTTTTTAAGGAAAAAATTGATGGAAAATACTATGCAGTGAGAGTACAACCGTTTGATTCTTGGTTATTTTCTTATCCTATGGTAGAACTAAGTTATTCTTTTACACGAAATAAAGTGGACATGCCGGGAATAGTGCCGATTCTTTGTTGTATAAGGTTCTTTCATAAAGATGATGAAATTCAGTCAGATCCATTAGGCTCAATTACAATCATGCCCTTGTATGATGATAATTTTGCTGAACTTCTAAAGGCAAGCCGACACCTATCGATGAAATCTCGACAAACAATTCTTTTCTCTGTCCTCACCGGATTGAATAATCTTGAAGAATTGAAGATTCGATACTCTGACCTTAAACCAAGTAACATTCTCATTCAAAGAGATTTGAGGTAATATTTTTCTTGATTTTCAAATTTTTCAAAAAACCTTATTTTAAGTGATGTAAGATTATGCGATTTTGGTCTTTCAGTAAAGTTATCATATTTTATATAAAATATCAGTCAAATTATATCTCTAGTTGACCATTGGCATTTTTCTTCGTTTATTTGATCTTAAACCGTCAAATTCAGAGCAAAAGTGTCAATTTTCTGTAAAAGGGGCATACATCAATCCATTCTTGGCGCCCCTTTTGCCGTTTCTGTTACGATTAGATCTTTGTTGTTTTCGCTTTTTACACTGCTAACTCAGTCGTGCTTTTTGCCGCCTCACGGTAACTTACTTTACATCGGAATAATTGTTTATTGTCTGTTAAGCCTGATGAAGGATTTTATCCGAAACCGGTAGTTAACAAATAAACGAGAAAAAATCAGTCAAATTTGTTAACTTTTTATCAGCTTGCTTTCCTGAGCATCTTGAGATTCCTTCTGTATACGAACGTTACTGTCAGGATGGTCTTGTGCGATCTGGAACAAAATTCTGGTTTCCTGATTTTTTAGGTACAGTTCGATAATACAATCGTTGAATTTTTATGTGAATGTCTTTGATAGAATGAATGATCTTATTTTCTTTAATTTCAAAAAAATAGAACTTCTTTTAGCTTCAAAACCTTGGATAAACGTCCTCGTCAATTTGTTTCATTTGTGTTTTTAGAAGCAGGAACGGCAGGCTTTGTCGAAAATTTTTCCCAAGATGATTATGAAATACCAACAAACCTGCTGCGTTTTATTGTCTTTTGCTGCTGCGAATGGGAAACTTCCTGGGTCTTGATGTTTTATTCTTTGGAAACTGAAAATGAGGAGCGTGATCAGCAAAATTTTGATCGAAAATATATAAAGAAGTGCATAAAGCAAGCTGGACTTACTGGGGTTTTCAAAATTCTAGAAGACTTATTCAATGGATCTCTTACATACTCGAATACTGTAGCAGAAAAATTAATGACAAAAATGTTGTTAGCAAGTCGACCTATAAAATTTGACCTTGAAAAAATACGAATCAAACCGAACAACACTCTTTGTACTATCAACAATCAGATGATTAGAATGAATATAACAATTACTCGTGAGTCTATGTTTTCCAACGTAACTCAAAGTGTGCTTGTTCAACGAAACACAAATCTTTGTGTACCAATATCAACATGCGATTTGTTCTACTCTGTGCTCAAGGAATTTATGAGTGAGCTCAATCTCAAGCTCTATAAATACACCCTTAGTATAGAAGATCTCATTAGTTGTTTAACAATGAGACTAACACCAAGAAGTTTGCATGAATGGAGTCAATATGGAGCTGTCGGCGATGTAGACACCACCAATCAAATGGCGATGGCAGAGCGAGTTCTTAAAAGGATTGTTAATCCTACATTTTTTGAACCTGAAGGTTGGAAAATTTTACTAAGAGAGGCCGACCAAATTCTTTACCAAAATCTGGTATATCGGGCTCCAAAAACGTCTCTTATCATGAAAGAAGGTAAGAGATTCCTTTACATCTTTTTTGTTTTGTAATTAATTTTCAAGTCGATCTGACCTGTGATGACATCGTTTGTCCGATATCTGTTTGTTGTGCTCAGGTAAATAATGATCTATGGATAGTTGTTTTAGGAAAATAATCAATGATTCTCTCACATTGCATTACTCAATTCATATTTCAGAAAAATTCAGATGGAGAAGTTTATCTCCATCAAATGATAATGGATCGCAAAGATGATGCAGATCAAATTTATCTTATGAAAAGTAGTCTTGTGGACGATAAAAACCCTTCACATAAGGCAAAAATAAGAATTCCTTTTTCGCGGCCATTTTACTACACCGATGCCGATTTTGCAAAGACTGTTGCTCGAAACATGAACATCCAAATGACGCATGAAAGTTTTACAAGAAGTGAAGGACATGTTATGCAAAAAGAAATGTGGTACATTTTTCCGACGGCTTATTTCATTCGATTTAATTCAAACAAATAAATTCTTTTTATAGATTACTAGAGTTTATCTGGGAAAGAACATGCCTTCTATCAACTTATACAAACTCGATTTCCAAACCCCAAAGTAATCACAAGGCTGATCCCGAAAATCATTGATTGCTTCTTTTCAAAAAGATAATCTCCTTTTTGCTAAAATTTATTTAAATTTCGTCTAAGAGAAAATCTTGTCTAAGGCTAAATCTCCCCATCGATCTATGTAGTTTCTCCAATTTTTGCGTGCGTTGCCACGTCTTCGCTGGGATTATACGGCTCTTTCTTTGAAAGTTCTATCGATCAGCGCACTCGCCGGAATCGGATCTTCTCTCCCCTAAGCGCACGTCCAGACGTATTTCCATCGACAAACATATAACAAGTGGAATATTTTACTATTTTTGAAACTGAGAGTTGTCCAAAGTAGAGAGATGCGGTGGATATGAAAGAATCTTTGATAAATATGAACGCGACCATGAACGAGACATTAGCACCTGCAAATGACAGTAATTACATCGACAGTAAGGCCAAACGAAACTACGAGAATGATGTTGTCGCCACGATTGCAACTGTTCTGGAAAGTATCGTGAATACTACGACCAACAATAATATAACGGAAACAACGGAAGCATGGGTAACAACGGCAGAAATGACCACAGAACTCGTCGTTACGACAATGCCTCCGCCACCAGCAGAGCCACCTTGCCAGCAATACTGGTACGATCTTAATACGACCACTGTATATCATGTCTCTCAAGGAAAGGAGTTTTGGAGACATAGAGGAGTACAAAAGACAAATTATTTTTAAACTTCCTAAAAGTTAGTCGTGGTGCCTACGCTTCTATTTCTTTCATTTTTCTTGTTGTTTTCATGCTTTCGCTTTTTCTCAACTGTATGCTTCTAGCCGTTATTGGTAAGATACATGCATAAAGACAGCTTTAGAAATACGACTTTAGGAAAATATGACGGTCTTAAAAACCCGATTCGAATGCTCTCCCTTAATCTCGCTTCCTGTGACTTGGTGGCAACGGCTCTAGGCGTCTTCATGACAATGATTTCAAATGCAATGGGATATTTTTACTTTGGCATGAATGCTTGCAAAATCGAAGGATTCATCACTTTCTTCTGTGGCTCAACAAGACTTCTTAGGTGACTTTTTTGAGTCTTTCTTTTGAAATATTTTAGTCTTCTTTTGATGCTGGTTGAGCGATATCTTGTGATCTGCAATCCGCTTGCAGGAGCTAACTTTGATATCAAACAATCGATGATTTCATCTGGTTGTTGTTGGATCTGGAGCGGAATTTGGTGCATGCTTCCGCTTGTTGGATGGAATCAATACGCACTTGAAGGCATTGGAACATCTTGTGCGCCAAATTGGTATAGGTAAAAATTAGTCCTTCAAGAATGAGTGTCGTCATTGACAATTCATCAGAATCACGAGACTACTTGCGCATAATTTACTCCCATACGTATTTAGTGGTGGAAATGGTGCAAAGTTTACCATTTGTTTCCTGATCATCGTCTATATTACGCCGTTGATCGTCATGATTTACTTATTTGGAACTACGCTTAGTTTTATACGCGTTCAGGTATCCCACTCAGAATTATAATGTATCCTTGTCTGGAAAATTTTTCAAGTTTGACGTCAAAAAGTAGATTAAAAAATGTTATTTCCAGTCACCGTCTGAGCGAAGTTGCCCGACTCGGGATCACGACATTCTTCTATGGAAAATGACCGTCGCAATGGTAGCTGCGTGGCTAATAGGATGGGTAAAAGTCTTGTAAGTATTTCTGAAAATTTATAATTCTTTAAGATGCCATATGTCTGCTACATCTTGTCAATCATGATCTCGAAAACTGCCGTCGACGATGATGTCTACTCATCCCGTTACGCGTTCGTCGCATTTCCCTCTGTCATTGCCCGCATCTCGTTGATTTGCAATCCGATCATCCAGTTTTGCATGGCCAAGGTTTATTTCGTTGCAATGAGAATATTCATTGTCCAAAATCCGGAAAAAACCTATCTAAGACTCGGAAATCCGCGCTCAGACAGTAGTAGTTCTTACAAGTGGAAAAGGCCTAGAACACGCTCTGGTAATTCGGAGGAATAAGAACTCAAAGATGACGAACAAAGTGACTCCCATTGAATCCGAGGTTCATCAAAATTCTCTTTTTTAAAATAAAGAATTCTTTTAGCCTGCAAATGAAGAAGGTGAGAAACAAGGCGCCTGACTTTGAAGTATAAATGCTGTTACAAAGTGTGTTTATTTGGAATGAAAATATTAAAGTGACGAGAAATTATCACATTCTAGTTCAGTCAAAAATATGTTAGTTAAATAATTACAGGGTCGTCTGTCTGTTTGACGGACATTTGACTTGTCACGGAACCGAGTCGAATGAAGTTGATGGGATTTGAACGGAGAATGGAGGGTGTAAGCCACATTTTGGACGCCAGGCTAGATTTTCAACATCCATCTACTGTCTTATAGTCACAATCATTACCTGGTAGACTCTTCCTCCGTCAGAGGAGCTGTTCCATGGGTCTGAGAGCCCTGTCTTGACGTCGAGTTTGGCGAGATTGACGGCGTTTCTAAATTGTTTCAATTAGAGCATCTGTGCATCAAATTTCGATTATCACCTACTGTTGCTGGCTGCGTAATGAGCGGCCGTAAGAGATTCTCGCTCGTGTAAGCCACGGGCTCAGGGTCGCGCGAATCCAGGATCATCGCGTCTGAGCGCTTCGTGTCCCGTAGAAATGCTTTCATGTCGTTCAAACTGAAGCTCTTACGAATGCGCGTATTCAGCGGATTAGCCAGCTGTTGAATGGCACTTTTTAGGGCTCAAGTAGATGTCGATTTAAAAAAAAACGAAAGCGTGCAGTTGAGTCCGTTCCTATTAACAGGTTGCTTGTCATTCTTGTATTTCAGGTTCTGTCTACTCATATGGTGTCTGTGACTGTTTTGAGGTTGGTGAGGAGGGTGTCGGGAAGACGAAGCAGATGATTGGCATTGAGACTGTCTGGACATCTCTATCCGCGAATTATGCGAGTCCGAGGAAGGGTAACCGGCGGCAGTGTAGCCTAATTGGAACATGCTTTTATGGTGCTGTCGGGCCTTCATCATTAGGTCTCGGGTTGACCCAACGCGGATGGACTTTTTGTGAGGAGAGTCTTGCGGAACCTAGGAAAATGATAGAACAGTAAATGACGTTCAAGTTTACTTTGAGAAGATTTTCAAGACGATCAGGATTCATAAACGAAATATTTCGCCCTGTAATTGAGCTAGATTCTCGTCTGTGATGATTTTGATTCATTTGGAGGGGCTGCTGACTTTGAAGCTGCTGATGCTGACTGAGACTACTCGCGGAAGGTCGCCTCAATTCGCTGGTTTTCTTGACCTTTTTGAGTCCGCCGCCGTGCACTTCCGGGAACAATGGGCTGCCAGCCATGTCCCCCATTGTGGCTTGCCGCACTTGTACTTGCTGTTCCCTGTGCACATGCGCTGTGAGGATTTTTGGAATGAAATGGAAGATCGAAGTGCTTCCGATGGCAAGCAAAATGGCAAGTGAAAGGCACAAGTGCTAAATAAGGGGTTTGATTATCTTCCTTAATTGAGCATTACACCTGAAGCGCAGGAGACTGGTTAGCGATGTAAACAAGTGGAGAGAGCAAAGCAATAGAAATCACAGCTGCGCTAGAAGAAAGCAAGGAGCAGCCTGAAATGGAACGTAGAATCGAAATTGAGGTGGACAAAAGCTGGAGTCGCCAGGAGTACACGGTTGCGGTGAAGATAAGCACTCCCTGAAATACTGAAGAAATGAATATAAAACGAAACGCACCTTATGAAGAAAATTACTGAGCAGCCAGAGAGGTAGGTAATGGACTGAGCAGAAGACGAGCGAGCTGTCAGGTGCCGAACGCGTTGATTGAGCAGACGCCGGTGTCGCCGAGCATCGAAATGGATCAGTGCTGCTCCACAGAGTAAGCTGAATAAGTCTACTAGATTGATTGATTGATTGATTGATATTATATCTATTATATGTCGAACTTATTTACACTTCATGGAATATGAAAATTACGATCATTAAACTAATTTTCACCTGGGAAACATCAACAAGAACAATCATGCATAAAATGAGTGCGAGGTATTGGTGCCGAATATTTAAATACGAGTTCTGGATCTTCCATCGTTTCCACGCTAGAATCGCTTGCGATCCAAACACCAAGGAACATCCAACGGAAAGGAGCCAAACTGCCACTTGAATTTGCGTCTCTGTTTTGATAGAAGTTGCTTAACATTTCTTTAACTATCAAGTAAAAAAGGTCGTTGAAACACGATTATTTCTAAAATAAAGGGGCGGCTTGGAGCATCGTAAACATTAAAATTGCAAATACAAAGTGATGCACTCGAAATATTCGCCGCAGATAATTTCAGCGATAAAGCCGTCTTTGAGAGAGTGGCCTCTAACCCGCAGCTGAGGGTTGGCGCCGTGCCCACGTGATCGAAGGAGAGAGAGAGAAAAGAGTGACTCTTGGATTTTTAAGAAATTCGAGACCAGGGACGGATTACTCGGAGCAATTTTGATGCGATGATTATAGATTAGCGCGTATACTCATACTCGATAATTGACGTCCCTTCTACTTTATGTTCAAAATATCACCAGAGCAGCACTTAAAATTAAAAACCGCAATTGAAAAGTTCTTATTATTCCGGCATTCCTATTACAGCTGAGGAATTCTAGCGCCCGCGCAAAACTTATTATTATCACGGATTTTTCAGCAGGAGAATTTATTTTCACGAGCCTTTGATATCTCAAGTGCGGCACATTTTTGGACTCTTCTCGCTCCATCGAGGGGTCTCACTTTTACTGTACTTACGTATTTGAACGAGAGCGTAAACTCGTGCTGCGAATGGAAAGACGGACGAGTGCGCGAGCAGGGATCCGCAGAGCAAGGCAAAAGTCAACCACGAGTCTTTTCCGTCGGACGATGGTACCCTAAAACCAACCGAGTAAGCCGATTGAGCTCAAATTCAATTTACAACTTTTCTTGTCAGTTTCTTTTATTTGTGAACTTGATATTTAGCGATTCACACTTGTTAGTGACACAGTAGCAATGCTTTTGAATTTTTATTCAACTGACTTATTTTATAAAAAGTATATACAAGAAGAATGCAAATGATCCTTATGGTTACTTCAAAACTAAGCTGTTAAGTACTTTTCTGAAAGAAAAATTCTTAAACAAACCGACCGTTTGAAATTTGTCAAGTGGCTTATGCCAGCGCGCTGTCAGCCAGCGCAAGAAACGTCTGCATTTAGCTCTACAAGCGCAAAAATAAAGAATAAAATTATCTCAAATAGAAATACAGCGATGCGGTTTCTATCTCGAGAACATCCGCACATAACGATTTCAGCAAAGAAAGTGGGAATAAAATTCAGCGTGGATTTAGAGCGTCGGCCGCAACGTGCTTGAAACAAGCCGCTTGGGAAAGTTTTTTCATACCTAAAGGATTTGTATTTCCAGGCCAAGGCGAAGACGAAGAGGATCCCGCTCAGCGAGATTATCAGCAGAATCCATACACACGACAGGACAGAAACTGCTGACTTTATGAGGTTGAAATTTGAGTTCAATCATTTTATTTTTGACTTTCGCTTTGAATAGTTATTTTTGAAATTAATGATTAGTTCGAAATCATAAATATAAAACAGTTTATTTTCCCCTATCAACATTTTTAAAATTCAATGTATAAATTTTTAAAAACTTCGACAGCAAAGCATTACCTTTACATAAAACATCATTGCTAGTCATAGGCTGGAATTCGCTCTGGAATGTCTGTTCAACCCCTTCCCTGTCCAAGATCTTCAGCCATTTTTCAGTCTTCATAATCTCTCATATCATTTTCTTCCTTTATTCTCTAAGAATTGCAGCGTCTTACATTTTTATCTAATCTGATAAAAATTATTTATATTGTGAGCGAGAGGATGGCCTGGCGCGCGCACCGAATCCGCGCTAGATGGAGGTGGTGGCGCAAAGTCAGTCAAAGTCCTTTACGTTATTTTTTTCACCGCGGTGAGTCACTCTCCCTTTTTTCTGTCCGGGACGCGGCTGTGGTGGCGGCGGTGGTGGCACTACACCCTGTACTCGGGTGTGGTAAAAGGAAATCGCGGTGCCACAAGTGCCACCCTCGACTAGCTCACAAAGCTAGAAATGCTTCAATAAACAAGAAGCACCTTTTTCTTCTTCTGAAAATCTAATAATGTCCAAACGAGGGATTCAAGTTCTGATATCCTTATTTAATCCGATAACTTAACAATTGACAGTTGTTAAAATTAGAGTTTTAAAATTAAAACGAATCTTGTAAGAGATTTTTAGTGGCAAATCACTATTTTATTTTATTTTAATCAGTCATTATGATCACCTATTTATAACTGCTCCAAACTAACCTAATCGTCCAAAATTTTCAATTTTCCAGTCGCTCATTCTCCAAAGGTCGCGCCAATAAATCCAGCGGCGGGAAACCTTATCCGTTGACGAGGCGAGAGAAAATGAAAATGGCATGGCTGAAATATTAACCCCTGGTCGGTAATCACGCGGTCACGCCATCGCAACGCGGAAATGCGCACTGAGCGCGGCGAAAAATATCTATCTGACAGGCTTGACATTTTGGCAACAGGTTCTATCTCATTGCCAATTATTCCCAGTAGCTTTCATGTCTAGCGTGTAGTTTGGTAACAGTTATCTGCTGTAGCGGGGATTATCGCCCGCCGGAGATTGAGAAAGCCGGAAGCGGCCCGATGCAGCAGAGCGACGGGTTCAGAACTACTGCTTACTTCAGAAATACATAATCGCAAATTTATCCCGGAAAAGAAAATGAATCCGACTTTGACGTCAGAGCTTGTCGAGTTTCCAGTCAAATTTCATCATTATCAAATGATGTAAAAAGACGCAACGCAAATTGTGAGACAGTATTTACCTTGAGTCTCTGTAACTCGTCAATTGTAGCGCGCTTTTTGTCAGCAGAATCATGAGAAAACGCATCTGTTTGACGGATTAAAGAAAGCATAAACTGCTGAGTTTCGTCAAATAGAAAAGAAACAACTTTGAAATATGAAAATTTTTGGAATATTTGCTTCTGCTGCCTTTGCTGCCGACATTTGCTATGGTATATGATGAGATTCGGGAACTATTCTTGATCCATTTTTCATTCAGACGATGTTGGTTGCTTCACCGATGATCCTCCCTTCTCCATGTTTGGCTATCGGCCACGACGGCTGCCCAAGCAACCTGAAGATGTTCTCAATGGAATGTGGCTGACGAATAGGTTCCATCAAAAGCCCACCTGGCTTCCGTGGAAAAACGTTGAGCAACGCTACTTCGACCTTACCAAACCAGTTGTTGTCATGACGCACGGATGGAATGACGAGTGGCATTCGGAACACTGGCTCACTGAGGCTCAAAAGTTATTCTTGGCCTATGAAGACGTGAATTTCGTTGGAGTCGAGTGGGCCAAAGCCGGTCAAAACATCGACTACTTTCAAAGCGCCGCGGATACGCAGACCGTTGGACGCATGATCGCCAAGGTAAGGGGTTATGCTAATACGGATTTGGCGGTTTCGCGCGTATTCTTTACCGCCGCTCGTTTTTTCTCCGGAAAACTAGAGACGCACTTCCGTTTAAAAAAGTAACTAAGGCTGATTTAGATGCTCTCACAACTCGATATGCCAGCATCTTCCTTCCACTGCATTGGTCACTCCTTGGGCGCACACGTGTGCTCGAATGCCGGAAAATTCCTTAAAAGCGAGTTCGAACTTACCATGGGCCGTATCACTGGAATGGATCCAGCTGGGCCAGCGTTTCAAAAAACCACAAAGGCTGTTCGTCTCGACTCGTCGGATGCCGAATTTGTCGATGTTATCCACACAAATGGCGGCGACGAGGATCAGGGTTTCCTGGGCATGAGCTATTCTGTCGGACACGCTGATTTTTACCCCAATGGCGGCGTTCATCAACCTGGCTGCTGGGATATCAATTTCATCTGTTCGCACGGAGAGGCGCCGTGGATGTTCGTGGATTCGATCAGAGGACATGGCTGCGAATTCAACACGTGCGACGAAAACGCTTCAATCACAGATCTCAGCTGTCGCCTGAATAAAAACTCGATGGGATGGAATGCTCACAAGCCAACTATCAAACACGATTATTTCGGAACAACTGGAAGGGAAGCACCTTACTGTTAATTTCTGAATCTCTGTTGCTTCCATTCATTCATCAAAATAAATTTATTCGCTTTTGTTCACCATGATGTTTTCCGAGAATTTCAGTGTTTATGTTGTATTATAAAACCGGCGTGAGACTTTGAAGGAAAAAAAATGCCCGCCCGGTTGAAAGTTGCAGGTGAAGTCACTTGATCGAATACTCAAATGTTTCACCACCTTTAGAAAGAGATGATCTCCCGCCCGCACAAGCAGGTGATCCTTGAACACAGTATCTTCTCAATAGAAAATTGTCGTAGGACAAATATTCGTAGATTTTATTGCGCAGTTCGTGAGAATTCTACAAATGCTTAAACTTATGTCACTTCTTTTGAAATCCACGCCTTCATTCTGAAAATAATATTTTCAGCATAATTATGAAGTTAGCTTGTCTCATCTTTGCTTGCTCCGAGGCTGCCAGTGTTTGCTACAGTAAGAGTTTTATGTTGATAAAGATATTTATTGTTCGAAGATGATGTTGGGTGCTTCACCGATGATCCCCCTTTCTCGGTTTCTGGGTATCGTCCACGACGACTTCCCAAATCGCCGAGCGATGTTTTGACGGGTATGTTCATCACTAACTCCAAAAACCGCGTCGAGAGAGCAATCACCTGGAACAACGTCAATGAGAACCTCTTTGAGACAAACAAAAAAGTTGTTGTCATGACTCACGGCTGGACCGACGAGTACGACGACAGAAGCTTCATGACCAAGGCTCGAGACAATTATCTCAACCACCAGAACGTCAACTTCATCAGCGTTGACTGGTCCAAGGGCTCGCAGAATCTGGACTATTTTCAATCTGCGGCTGATACTCAAACTGTCGGTAGAATGATCGCAAAGGTAAAAAAAAAACGTTAAAAGGAATATATTTTAGTGTTATTTAGATGCTGAGCCAGCTGAGCATCAGGTCAAGCGATTTCTACTGCGTTGGACATTCTCTTGGAGGTCACGTGTGCTCCTATGCAGCTAAATATCTCAAGTCGGAATTCAGAAAAACCATGGGACAAGTTGTTGGCATGGATCCTGCTGGTCCAACTTTTGAGAAGACAACGAAAGAAGTTCGAATTGATTACACCGATGCTACTTTTGTGCAGGTATACAACTTAGTAATCCATGGTTAATAAATTTTGAAAAGATCATTCATACCAATGGCGGCGACGAAGATGCCGGTTTCTTGGGTATGAATGCTGCTTTTGGCCACGCAGATTTCTACCCCAATGGCGGCGTTCGACAACCTGGCTGCAAGTAAGTTTGCAAAGCTGAGATCGGATTTCCGCTTGTTCTTACATTTCCTTAACATAAAAAGCTCTGTTTTGTAGACATGAAAAAACATCGCATCTTGAATCAATAACTTTACTGTAATTAAGCAATTTCATTTGCGATCACGGCGAGGCGCCAAAAATGTACGTTGACTCTATCACACACAACGGATGCAACATTCCTGTCTGCTCCAAATCCAACTATGAAGCCGTAAGTCCTAAATATAAACAAATAAAGCTAATCTGATGGCTAAACATTTTCAAGGGCCGCTGCACGAACTGCTTGAATGGCTGCAACCGACTCGGGTGGAATGTTAAGGGATTTTGACTTTTTAATTCTTGGCTCCGAAAACTGTGAGTGCGGGAGTACAAGTAGATTTCCGTAAATGACCACTTAACACTCGTCTCGAGAGACTGAGTGAGTTTACTTTCCGTGTTTTGGAGTGTCTCAAGACAGAAAGAAATCCCAATCAAAGCGTCAAAGCCAGGATCGCGAACGACCTACTACGGCGACACTCGAAATTCCGCGCCTTACTGCTAAACTTTTGCTGCGAAAATATACTCTCGAAATCAAATACTGTTTTTATTCAGGGATACAGCATTGTTAGTTCAAAAAATAGGCGCTTAGGGTACAAGAAATCAAATAGCAAAAGTTTGTTTTAGCTGCTTTCAAATTGTAGAGATCACTTTTCAGGTGAGTAAAGCATTTATGAGTTAGGCTTTATTTAACGGGTACACTTTGTGTAACGAATCCTTTTTGAATTCACTCACAAAAGCAGTTACAATAACGCCCTTGACACATAAGCACTGTGTGTATCTAGCCGACTAGTTGGCCACAATGGCCAACAAAGGTATCTAGGTATACCAAGTACCCACTTTGCTGGTTGATTTTGAATAATCCGCGCAAAATGGCGGGAAAAAGCGGCGCACACGGGGCGCCAGCAAGCCGAACCCAATGAATTTTCCACCTTTTGCGTTTCGCGTTGCTCCACGGCAGCGCCGATTCTTTCCGTTAATTTTTTTTGCTCCGCCGCCACTTGCCTACTGGCTATTTTACTACAGCCTGGTGCCATTTTTGAAAATCCGCCAGCAGCAGCACCACCGCATTCGCCACATACCGATCATTGCGCCAGCATTGACGAGCAGATTGCACTTTATTGATTTTTTCCTTCCCTTCTAGTGATTGAGAAGCACCGATATGACTGAGAAAGAGGAACAAACTGAGCTTATCGAGCAGACTGAGGTATTTAGGGGCTATGAATATTTATTTTTGTTAACTTAAAAGAATATCTGGTGCTATTTTAATCTAATCGATTCATTATTAATGTCAATGATATAAAATTACAGATTTCAACCAGGGAAAGAAATCATTTTTTCTAGCATTTGAAGCTGAATAAGGATAAAACTGCAAAAATCATGAAAGTTTGATGTCTCAGAGACTTGATATTCCGTGGAATGTCGACTCTGATATTGCCAGTGGCTATCCCTGCCCTAGAATTACAACATAATCGATCAAGTTCTTGGCGTTCTTGACAAAAGAACATGTCTGTGTATTCTGTTGTCTAAGCAAATTATTCAGAACGATGCCAAAGTTGTTGTTGAAGATGAAAAAGAAGAAGTCGTCGTTGCTGTAGTAGAGTCACGAGGCAAAGGTAAAATCATCCGCTCTTCCTGTTTTTAATGTCAAGCTTAGCTTATGATTACTACTGGCAGTATGGCCGAGCCCACGCTTGCGAGTTTGTGACCGCGATGATTCTCGTCTTCAACGTCACCTCCGTCTTTGGCTATGCCAGCTCCGACGATGTTCTCCCACTTGTGCCTGGTCTTGTCGCTGGATTCTCAATCTTTGCCCTCCTTCAAATGTTCCACTACGTTTCCGTCGCCCATGTCTCGCCTACTGTCACCTTCGGTTTCGCGATCACTGGCAATTTCGACTGGCGATTGGTTCCATCCTACGTCCTCTGCCAGCTCCTTGGAGCTATGACTGGAGCCGCTCTTGTTAAGGTATGTGAAGTTGAACTCTCCCGCTCTCATAAAATAAAATCTGGAATGTTAACATTAATTATCTCCATTTTAGTATTCCGCTGGCCAGGGCGAAGTCCTTGGAGCCGTCGTTCTCGCTGACTTGACAAAAGCCCAGGTCGTTGGACTTTTTATTGCTGAGATGCAGACTTCCTTCATCCTCCAGCTCGCCACTAACTTGGTCGTTGGAAACAAGAAATGGGATAACCCCAACGGAGCCTTCATGATCGGCATGTGCGTCTTCACCGGAATCATGGCTGGACATCACTGCGGAGCTGGACAAATGCACCCAGCCAAAGTCCTCGCCACTGCCATTCTTACCGGTAAGCAACATTAGTATGTATAAGATGATTACTTTAATGAACCTAAACGAGCGCGAACACCATGCGCTGCGGCCTCATTCATCATCAGGTGGCTATTCAAGCGTCAGCGCGCCTTCCCCACTTAAAATAGGCCCCGAAAACGATCATGGATTTTTGCCCTTGCTCGTTAAGAATATGCGCCAAACCGCAAGTCTCGCATGGTCCAATCCAGTTCCAGCACCACCGCCAGAAAGTCAAAATGCGCGCGAAAATGTTCTTTGGCGCAGCTCCAAAAACATTCCATTTCGCTGCGCCTTTTTTGAAACTTTTTCATCTAAAAAAAAAACATAATAAATAAACGGGAGGATGATTAGGCATTTAGATAAGCAAACGGGGGTTTTTGTTTGGGGCAAATGGCGTATGACGCGACGCAGTCATGGTGGAGTAAGCGCCGGGATCAAGTGCTTCCGGCAAAGGGCTTTGTTTCCTCGAAGAAAAATAGAGGGCTGATTTCTGTTTGAGTGATCATCGATTCATTCAACTTCGACAAAGATGAATTTCTTACTTTTAGGACAATATGCTTACGTGTGGGTCTTCTGGGTTGCCAGCGCTGCCGCCGCCGTCCAAACCTACCTCATCTTTGGAACCTTTTTCGCCGAGAAAGAAAACCTTCTTTGCAAGCACCTAAAGGCAGTGTTCGAATTCATCCTCATAAAATGCGGTGTCAAGCCTCATTACGACTAGTTCTCAAATACGTTTTTGAAAATGAATTTGCAGTAGCTCTAATCACTAGAATTTCAAATTATCGTTACACATAATTAATTACTTCAATTTTACTCGATATTAACCTAAAACGTGCATCACTGTGCTTCAAAAAAGGCAGCGTTCGAATTATTGAATCTTTTTTTGAAAACAAAAATATAAAATTATTTTTTCGAACTCTTGAAAAGGACGAATAACTGATCGTTTCCAAAACGACACTATACAAACAATCTACAGCATCTACATTTCAACATCAAAATCGTAAAATTCTGACCTCTATTTTTTCTGTTTTTGAGACTGTATTTGACATTTATGAAAAATATTAGAATAAATTTCTTTGAACCGAATTCTTCACGTCGAACGCGTCTTGTGGACTGGGCAGAGTCGTGGGAAAACGGCTGTATCCGGGATTTAGATATCTTTGGCTTGAATTACGAGATTCTAGGGCTTATCAAAAGGATTGAATTTTTGAAAATTCATATCTCGGATTTCGTGTTCTTTTATTCTTATCTGTTGAATTTCTTGACTTCCAAATTTTCAAAAATTTAATCCTTCATCCGGTTAGCCTTTCGAAATCGCTCTAAATCCCTTCTTGGTGAATAATTCGCGGTGCTTCACCTACGTCATAATAAAGCATAAGTGCGTTCCAGTGACCTTCGAGCTTCGCTGGAAAGTTGGTTGCCCGAAGATCCAGGATTCGTAATTTGCTTTCTAGCGTTCTCAAATGGCCGATTCCTAATCCACAGAAGGCTAATGGATTGTTGCTCACGTCGAGAACCTAAAATTTGATTGACGTGAATAATTCTTCATTACTTTAATTCAGTAAATTGTTAGCAAAGTATTTGCTGAATAAAGATCCATTATCATAAGGAGATTAAACGTGTATTTTAATGAGAACCGGTGAATAATTCACTGAAATCATTTAATCTTCAAAATATCTTTAGCAAGATAAAATTATTTCTAAATAAGCGAATTTTCAGTTTACAAAAAAACCGGCCGCCTCAACAAGCATTTTGAGTGGTCACGTGGTACCCACTCGAAATGTCAAATTTTAAAAGTACCTGAAGTGCTTGGGTGAAAATAAAGGTGTCCTTGTGGAATGTCTCGATAAAATTTTCCGACAGGTTGATTTTCCACAATTTTGGAGTGTTCATGAAGGTATCTATAAACATTAAAAGACGCGATTATTAGGGGATGTTACCATAAGGCAAGGAAGAAATTCGATTTTTAGACGCATTGAGCCGTTCAACGTTTTTGAATTTCGATAAAAACGACTTGAGTTCCACTCCATTTAGCAAATTATTATCCACATTTAAAACCTTCACCAAGTCGCAAGCAATGTCAGTTTGCCCGATATCCTTGACATTCACTTGAACCCTGTCGCCGATGACTGACCAAGTGAGGATTTGACTCCTAAGATCATCTTTCCCTGTGCAAGATAGTCTCGATTCCTCCTCGACCCAATTACATAAACGGAAAGGAGTTTCGATAGCGATTGCATCTGTCTCTCGAACTTCTCCTGCACTGCTTCTTCCCATTTTCGCTGCGACGTAAAAAGTCAATGAGTCTTTACGTGATAATTCCATATCTTCGAGCGTCGCGTGGTTTTCTGAAAAAAATATACTGAAATCAAGGAGAACTTTATGATGAATTCGAATTGTTTCCTTTCTAATTGACTCACCAGCAACGGAAAAGGACCGAATACTTCCTGAAAGCTGAGTTTCCCCAGCTCTATCCGAAATGACATCTATATTATACGATTCAGCATCATCCATTCCGTTGACATTTACGTCAAATTTGCCATCAACCATCGAAACTTGTACATCGAGTTCCTCGGGACTCGGTGAGCTTCGAACGATCCGCGTCATTTCGCTCGTCTTTTTATGGTATGATCATATTAGAATGATGATGAAGATTCCAACTTTATTTACGTAAATTTCTGCGTCAGTATTATTTACTGACTCAGTAAGGAAGTAAAATCTTTGAAAATTTTTGTTCTTCCAAAATACCGATACGATTCCATCTACTAAACGGGCATCACATTTATAGCCTCAGTTAAGTAAGCTGAGTCATGTGCTCTCGTTGAAATTAGTTTCAGAATAAGAAGGCGTCTAGACTCTAGACACTTGATGGAAAATCTTCACCCGAATATATCGTCATATTTTCAAAACCGCTTTTTGCCCTGTAATCTTACCATTTCCTGGATATCTCTCTCCTGATCCAAAACAACAAAGACCGTAACCGCGTATTCTGTAGCTGGTTCAGTTATCAGGGTCAGATGATTGGTGTCACTGAAAGAATTCTGTGACAATATTGTGATAGAATAACTTACCTTGATGTTATTTCAACTTCCGGAGTTACTTTCAGCCGAATTTCTCCGTCTTTTACTTCTCCGATTTCCACCTCGATGCTGTTAAAGGATGAGAACCATTAAGAAACTTATTTTTAATCTACAGGTAGGGGAATAATTATTCATGGAAGCAGCATAAACTTTCAGACTGGAAGAACCTCCTATGTATAATAAGACAGTCTAATTTAGTCTTGTTGTTTTATTGAAATATACTGAACCGATCCTTGTCGAACGAATGAATGGAAAACGGATCTCCGGTCCTTCCACAGCCGTTCTTCTTTTGGCAATCATCGGAGAAAGCTCCACCCCAGATGTACTGACTGGGGTCACAGTAATTTCATATTCTGTATCTGGCAATAAATTCTTCAGAAGAAGGACGTTGCTTTTTATCTGCTCTTTTTGGATAACTTTTGGTGGCGGTTGAACATCAATCTTTCTCGAGCTAAAAAACTCTCTTCCTTGATTTCAAAATTTTGTCGGCTGAAATTTCAGAACTCGTTCCTTATAGCTTCGGATCAGAGGGTCTTTTCTCCATTCAACATTCATTCGGTCTTTCAGTGGACTCAATTACTGATCAAACTTATTCTTACAATCCCATGCAAAAAGTTCCAAAATATTTCAGTCCAAAATTGATCGGATAGCAGAAACAAGCAATTGATTGTCCTTTTTGAGTTCATTTTCATCAAGTGGGATGGCCCAGAATCTGTTTACTGGTTTGAATCCTCCCATATCACGGGTAATGAGAGAAAACGAGAGAAATTGGTCGTTTGGCCAAGATGTTCGCTGACTCACGTAAATTTGGGTTGCTCCTTTAGGCGCCGTATCCTTTACTTTGCTCGCGCCAAGTTCGGATATTGTCTGGGTTTCTAGACAAATCCGGTCAACTCTTTTCGTGAGCATTTCCTGGTCATCCCAGACATTGAGAACGGCGATCTCCTTAGCATTCCGCTTTAATTCCTCGCACGCCTTATCCGACAATATTGTCTGGCTTTTAATAACTATTCCGTCGCCTTTTCTCGACCACTCAGGAGGAGCACGCGACTCATAAGCTTGACAAAGCCTCAACTTCTTCGTTGAGTCACTTGCTTGAGTCGGGAAGGAGAAGCCGGAGATAGAACGACTGCCGCTTTCAGCTGAAATGATTCTGAGTTAAAAGTGGCCCATCAACCGGTCTGCCGGAATTCAACTCTAATCGGGTTAGGCTCTGTCTTGACCCATTCGAATGTGATATAAAGAGGAAAACGCGGTATCGGTAACTCGAACTCGCTAAGCGCATTTCGGACGACAGCGACGGACGCCGAGGGGACACCGGCGAAGTTGTTTTCTAAAACAACTCTATACGACTTTACTAATTTCCTCAAGTTATACAGAATTACATGAACGCCTTTTCTGCTCAAAAACTTGCAAATCTCATTATTCCAAATTTGACAAATCTCAAAAGCCACTTTCATCCGCCGCCGCCAAAAACGTCGTAAACATAATGTTGGAATGGTCCCTTTTTCAATAAATATTTTATTTAATAAATCCTTTCCTATGCAAATCCTTATTCAAACAAACCGCGATCAGGAGGAGAATATCCTCGGTAGGGAAAATCCGGACTCACCTTTTGAATAGCCATTAGGTGGAGAATCGGAAAGAGAGAAAATGCTGTGTGTGATATTCAATCGCGAGTACCGGGTACTCCAGCCTTATTCTGAGTTGATCAAGGCTTGTATAGTTAGGGTCCACGCTCAAAAAATAAAACTTTTTAAATATAAGATATATACATTTTATGTAAATATAAAACTTTTAGCTATTGAAATAACAATTATTTTTAAGCAAAAAAATTTTTCAAAACTTCAAGGGATGAGGAGAAAATTCGATAAAACATTCGAAAAACTATGAAGAACGACTGATTTTAAAATTTTTTTTTTATGAATAGGTTTAAAAAAGCCCATAATTTAATATTTTTTTTCTTAATTTTTGGAGGATGCCTTCTTAATCGAGAAATCTTGCAAAAAGGGTGAATTTTGACGACAAAAAAGAGCGGCGTGAGTCGCGTTGCGCGGAATGCCCCCAGGCCGAGAAAGGGTGTCCACACTGAAGCATGAATAGAATTTCATTTTTCAAGAATTTTATTTTCTTGACATTAAAAAAGACTTCAATAAATAAAAAACCAATTAATTTTTCATAATTTTTATTAAAATTCATATAATTTTTTCAAATCGAAAAAAATCTAAAAGCAGAAAAATTAACAGTCGAATTATTCGTCTTTAAGAAGCTCCTAGACTTTTTAGGTTTAAAAAAATCTTTTAGAAATAAATTCGACGAAAATTGTATGGGATTTTTGGGATCAACAATTTTTTGAAAAATCAGCTCAGCTCAATGATTATTTGGGTTATTATTTGGACTTTTTCTGGTCGCGAAGAGGTTTTCGGAAAAGATTGAAGCGTGCGTAGGGGTGAATGAAGAGTTCCAGGAAAAGGGAAAGTAGCCACGGAGAAAGGTGTGAGCGACATAGACAAACATCGATCTTCTTCCGAGAGGGACGATAAATGGAAAAAGAGGAAAAGTCGAGGAGAAAAAGGAGCGCTAGGGAATTGAAGCCGACGGTGAAGAAAACGAAGCTGTCGGACCAAAGGTTTTTGTTGAAGGGAACAGTTGATGCGCGATAGAGCCCGATGAGGATTAAAATTGAGCCGATTCCCAAAGAAGGATTCTTCTGTGAAAACTCTTCTTTTTTCGAAGAATCTTTGCAGCTGAAGAAAACGATCAAAATCGACGAAAAAGTGCCAGTAATTCCTTCTGGATCAAAAACAACCGGCTTATTTTTAAAGTGCTCTTCTGAGTAAAACATTTCTTTCGCAGTTGACCATTGATACAGGTGGGAATTTCCAAGGAAAAAGCGACAATGGAAGAACTGCGAATTCCTGGAAGCGAATGGAAATTACTGAAAGGGAATTCGCTAAGCGAATCCAGACCCCTGGTATAAAAATTTGTTCAACTGAGCTGAGCTTGCCTTTTCTTGATATCAGTGAGCTAAGCTGAGCAGACCCTTTTTGAGCTACCATTTTCCAAGCTGACCTGAGCTGCCATTAATAAGAAAATAATTGGTCTGAGCTGAGTTCTCTCAAAAATGATTGACCTGGATGAATGAGCGGGCTAGCCCGAGTGCTGATTGAAAAATTGAATTGTATCAAACTTGGAGCCTCTCCTGAAAATGATGACATCCATGATCGGTAACCGTCAGAGTGGGATACGATTTGGAAGTCGTCGAAGTTTTCTTGTTCCAACTAAAATCAATTTATCTTTCACAAATTTAAAAAGAATTTTTTCCGGAATATTTTTTTATTTCTCAGGACCGATGACCAGGTTTGTGAGGACTAGGTTCGTGTGACTAGGTTCGTGGGTGCCATGTCGGAAAAAATGGTTCGAGTGACTAGGTTCGTGAAATTTTGATTTTTATATGTATTTTTGTATCTTCACCATTTTGGGGCAGTAAGGGAAATGGGTTGATGACTAGGTTCGTGTGACTAGGTTCGTAAAAGTTTTAATAGAAAAATTTTGGGGCAGTAAGGGAAATGGGTTGATGACGAGGTTCGTGTGACTAGGTTCGTGAAAGTTTAAATAGAAAAATTTTGGGGCAGTAAGGGAAATGGGTTGATGACTAGGTTCGTGTGACTAGGTTCGTGAATTTTTAAATAGAAAAAATTTTGGGGCAGTAAAGGAAACGGCTTGATGACTAGGTTCGTGTGACTAGGTTCGTGAAATTTTAAATAGAAATAAATTTTGGGGCAGTAAAGGAAACGGCTTGATGACTAGGTTCGTGTGACTAGGTTCGTAAAGACTAGGTTCGTGAAGAATAGGTTCGTGTGACTTGGTTCGTGTAACTTAAGGGTATCCTTGAGAAAATCATTTTTGTGAGTTGAAAATCAAATGTCGCCTAGACAACGCTTCAAGTAAGTCTACCAGAATGATCAACATAGAGGATTATATAATGTACCGTAACCACGCGATTAAAAGAAAAAAGAAAGCGGAAAATCCACTTTCACAGAGAAAATGAAATTTGATCTTCTTTTTCTTTTTTCAAGTATATCAGCATATTTACATAAAAACAATTGTCCTCTTTCTTATAATGATGTGAAAACTTATTTGACTCAAAATGGATATTATACGATTGAACATTGGGAAGAACTTGAGAGATCAAGGGTCAGAAATTCAAAGGATTGGACGAATTTCATTCGTAAAGGACGTCAAGCAAACCTTGCAATCATGAATATTTTGAAGAACAAAAATTTGAGAATTCAATTATGGCCTGATCAAGATCTTGATGATGCTTTATGGGAAACAAATCAACGGAACCAAAATATGATTGATAAATTATTGGATGGTATGGGCGATTTTGAATATTATTTTTGCAAAACGCCCATTGTCCGATCATCGAAGAGGCAACGTCAACAAAGTCAAGTTCCAGTTCCTGACCTTGAAATTCCGAAATGCAGCGCTCCGTTAACGACGCTTCAGAGCTTTTTTAAGAAAAAACCGCCTGGAAGAGAAACATTTAGCCCGGCATTCTCCGCAAGAGGTCAAAATACGGTAGTTAACGCTTTAAATATAGAAAATATTGAAAAAAAATAATTCAAGCCGACGTATCAATTTGAAACAATACGATTTATTCTTTTGCTGAAAATGCGAGCGATTCCTTCAACAACTATTCGGGCGATGCTTTCTGAATTGGAAGATTTTGTTCCCGAACTGAAAAGCCCAGAGGTCGAAATACCAAGTGAGACGTTTATAAATAGTCTGTCCGGAGTAATGATAGAACCGATGCGTCACCAAATCGAAAAATTCGTGAGATCTTCTGTCGCATTGACGCTACATTTAGTGCAGGGATAAGAATAGATTTTTTCTGACTAAAATTCTCGAAATACCAAACCGTGTTTCCGATCCTTAAGAACAAATTTTCTTCATCCCTCTGATAGACGCGACGACATCACGACGAAATAGAGCTGTCAGCTCTATCGGTAAGAGAAATTTATGAAACTGATCATTCGAATATTTCGCAGGATTGACTGACGAAAATGGGAAGTTTTTGTTACTTAGCATTTATCATCAGCAACGTCATACAGCTGATCAATTGTCAAAATGTGCTGTTGATGAATTAAAAATTCAATTTCTATCGACTTATTTTTCAAAGGCTCCGATATATAGTCAGCGATACAGGTGTCTCCCTTGTGTGATTATATTTTTGAAATTCTTAGCTGCCGCGCAAGTGAGTGCGAATCGAAAAATCATCCAGCTTCTCGAAGATGAAGGCTACAGGCAAAATATCTTTAGTTTACGATGTATGATGCTGAACGGATTTAAATAGTGCGAATATTTTAAAATGTGTGCTACAATTTCATCTTTCATAAATCCCGAAAAAGCATGTAGCCGCGAGCTTTGATCAACGCTCTTACGAGCATTTTGAACACGAGGATAAAAGCCGAGATGCTCTTAAGGGGGTACACGCCCATGAGCGCAAAAAATCATAAATGTTTGATTTTATCTCGGATCACATAAGAAAACATTCTTATTCCTTTTCAGTTGAAAAAGGCTAGTTTACCCCCTTAAGATAAACTCTAAGGGATTACCATCCGACGTCTGGAATCTTCTTGTCGCGCTCAAATTATCATTTGGAAGGTTGTTTTAATCTGTTATTTATATTCAAAATATTATAAGTCGTACAACAACGGCACATAGCCGAGCCGATATCCGCTTTGGACTCGAGGCGCTCTTTCTCGCTGCGAACAAGTCGCCAAATCGCCCATTTTCAACGGATCTTGGGAGCAGATATGCGATTCATGAATGGGTCATTTCAGATTTTAACAAAATTTTTTTTAATTACATGACCCTGGGATTATCAAAAAAATACTATTTCTTTTTTCAAATATGAACAACTCGTTATCAATACTTGCGAGATGTACAAAGAAAAGAAATATGCAGCAAAAATTTTAGAAATTTCTGAAAAACCTGATTTCTATTTGACAAGAGGTCGATAAATACAAATTAATAGAAAATTCTGTTTTAGAATTATCGACCTTCTTTTAAGACTAAATTGAAAATGGCCATAATTCCGATCGGGCTTCGGCGATCTGTGTAAAAACTTCAGTCGAGCTCTGATATGCTTTCTAAACAAGCCGCGTAGCGCCTTGAAAAAAGAAAGCCGAAGAGCGGCTCCATAACAAAAAAAATAATATTTTTCAAACAGTTGCAAATTTCAGATACTGGCTCAGGTTTTTCACACAGGTTTCTGAGCCACGATTCTGATGTTTTGGAATGTTATAATCGAGCCGTTTCTCGATCGAACAGGAGGAACGAAGAAATTTACCGAGATAAAGATTGCATTTCAGAACATGAAAAGAAGAATGGATTATGTCAAAGGCGACGATTATTCTGGGTCGTACAACCGACTTTTTGGAGGACTTACGGAGAAAGCAGATTATCTCCAAAGTGAGCAGAAGGAGCTCCTATTATCAGAAGATCTCCTTATGTTAAAAGAAAAAATTGAAGAACTTCTTCATCTTCACCGAAGAAAAACAACGTTGTCGAAAAAACTCGATCAAAATATCAAAATCGCGTCCGAACGTATTATGGGCATGGTCATTTTTAATTTCTATTCTTAGGGGGAACCCCATCGTTTTTTCTCAAGTAAGACTTCTTGATTTTAAAATGATCAATTTTAACGAAAAATACGAGAAAGAATATATCGAAATAAATAAGATTGAAGTTGAAGATGACGCGGTTTTAACTTTTGACAACAGAGCTGCAGGTTTATTCGAACCATTTTAAATTTTTACTTGAATTTTCAGAGCGTTCTTTCGGTCAATTAAAATCGCTCGAGTCTTCTGATTCAAGAACGACAGGCAGAGTTCCAAAAAACGTAAAATTCTCGCATGCTGAGAAATTTTGAATTTCGCGTGCGCGTACGCGTGCTAAAAAAAGGTATCCCCTCCTAAATGGAGCATTGATTCCAAAAGAGATTCAAAATTTGGACTGCGCACTACTCTCTGAAAATGGGCTTTTTTGGACAAGCCGCCCCGCGCACTACTCTCTGAGAATAAGCTTTTTGGCAGAAGCGTGCTTTTGAACTCTTAGGACAGACATTCGAGTATGGCGTCAAGTTGTTGTGCGTCAAAATCAGCTTTATGATCATTTCAAATTTTTGGACGAAACCATTCAAAAAGAGTTGGTCTGGAAGGTGGGAAAAATATTTTATAAAAAAAAAACTTTTTTAGGGAATGCGCAACCGTGAACAGCAGCTTGAGGATGATAAACTTGCCGAACAACAAAAAACATTGGAAATCATGAATGATTCTTAAATTTTTATTCATCACTTAAAATAAATGAAGCTAGATTTTTTGCTGCTTCGTTCCCATAGCGTCGTAGTACTTCAAGCTCTGCGATTTTTTGAGTACTTTCTTTTTTTATGTTCATTATTTTCAAACAATATTATTTTGATTACTTTTTTGAACCTGTCCTAGATTCCACCCACTCGGATATTCATTTTTTGTAAGAGAATGCAAATAAGTCTCAAATTTGCTTTATCAAAAGAATTCCATTAATTGGAATTTTTTCTTCCTAAAAAAGCCTTTTTCCTTAATAACAGCTAGAAGCGTCTCAAGAAGCTCATCCATATTCTTAGTTCTCTCCGAAAGTGTTCCTTCATGTAAAACAAATCTGCTCTCAAATGATTCGCTCATAGTTCTGTTTTCCCAACTGAGTAAACCTAGAAAATCAATCTTAATTTTTTTATGTTTGTTTTTCTACCTAAAAGTATTTTCCTTGCTTCATCAAAATAAGTCGAAAGCATCTCTTTTACACTGTCTTCTTTAAGGATTTTCATGAGCCACTTAACAAGTAAAAATATCATGAAAACCTATCGAAAAAGAATGGTTCTTCAATTTTCTGGCGTTCCAATTTGAAACTTAATGAATTTATAAATTTATCTTGAATTAACAATAGATAAAATCTTTTTATTGTTTAAAAAAAGGACTCACATAAAAGTACTAATGTCGTAGATTGAATCCGCATTTTCAAGGAGAAGCTGAGGAATGTAACTGGAAAGGTCCTCAAAAAATGCCGCAATCTCATGATCCCGTATTATCTTGAGTTTGATTTTCAATAGTTCGATAATTATTTTTATAAAATTATTCTTCTATCAAACCCAAAACCAGGCAATTCCCATGTAAGCATCTGCTTCAAGTATAAAATTGGTGACGTCTCTTTTATTTTTGTAGCATTGCGGGGTGTAAATTTCCAAATGAGCTCGTGAAACCACGTTTCTCCGGATTAAAAATGGATCGCTTTCAGATTATTTGAATAGACTTCCATTAAATAATAAAAATTATTCAAAACACGACTTTCCGAATATGGGGAGAAGGGAGCCTAATTGTTAAAGAAAGGGCTGAATGACAAATATTGTTCTCTTGTTCGTGTCTCGGAAGAAAATGACCAAGAAATCGCTGGCAACGTCGCATTCCGAGAATAAAAGTATCATTGTCGTATTGAGGAGTAATTTCTTCAATGTCTATCCGATATCTGGTAAAATCTGGTCTCTTGGATTGACCAACTGATATTAAAAACAGTAAAATATTCATATTTTGATTTGAAAAAAATCTTTCTATTCTCTTTTTATTATTTTTCTGACTTCAATATTATGTCATTTTTAATAACTCAAAATAAAAAGCTTGCAAATATTCTGCTAGGCTCAGCAAAACTCAACAAAAGAAATAAAAAAGAAAATGGCCCCCATGACGGAAAAACACGGCTATTCCCGATTTCTGGAGTGCCCTTAATTTGGAGTAGGATAATTATTTGGAGCTGTTTTTTAAACCGATTTTAAAGGGTGTTAAAGTCATAATTAAGGGTATCTGACTCGGTCAGAAGAAAGCCTGGACCCATATTTTGAAAAGTAAAGGTCTTAGAATTCAAAAATATTCCGGAAAATGCTGAAGAAACATTAACATATATAATTGATTTCATAAAAAATACCATTTTTGAAAAAGCAGCTTTTTTCTCTGCTTCGAGATCATCAGTCGCTTTTTGTATTGCGCGGTCGATACCGACCTTCATTGACCATCCAACGGCAAGAAGAATGAGAGTGAAGAAAATTTTCTTCAAAATTTTTTTGCAGTCGAAGGTTTCGCAATACGGCGAGAGTTGCACAATTGGATCCGAATTTTTTTGTTACTTGACCAAAAAAGTTCTCTGTACAAGAGATTTTAGATTAGGCTCTATTCTTACTGAATCTTTTTTCAGATCAAGTCTATCTAAACCCTTATTGGCTGAATTTCGATTCAAAAATGGCCAAAAATTTTTAGATTTCTCGAACTTTGGCGCCTCTTTGCTGTAGGTTTGCCTTGAGCAAATGATTTCTCTGTACTAGAGAATAGCGGATAGCACACAAGCTTTCAGAAGAGCTATTGAACGTCTGGATTCATAAACCCTAATCGGCTGAATTTCAAGTCAAAGATGGCCAAAACGGGGGATCCCTTAAAAATTCTTAAGCTTCACAATTGCGCAACCCTGCTTTGACGTTTTCGGTTTGAATCCCCGAAAGAATTTTTCCCATCGGCTATCCAATCCAGTGTTTGAAAAAATGATGAGCGCTTATTCTTACCCACTCCCGTACACTTTCAAGGCCAATGCTCGCGCTCATTCACTTACTTGAAGAACTCGAAGATTGGTCTTTAAGGACCCTCCGTCATCTCATAATCACTTTTTCAAACACGGTTATCGGGTTGATCCCCTTAAGATTTTTGAAAAATTTTTTAATTATTTTGTAGCCCGATAGTTGCTCTGGGGCACCAGAAGGAAAACAAGCTTAAAGGCCTCTTAAGGGTGTCGCACCAATAAGTTTAAATGAAAATATTTTTCAAACAGTGATATCATTGTGATCACCTTAACTGATCAAAATTTTTTCATGTTGAAAATTTAGCTGAGACTCTTGTCAAGGGCACCGCATCAAGTTTATGATGATATCTTAAGGGTTTCACTAAAAAGGGTTTGAAGATTGGTGATCGGCCGAAAAATGGGCAAATTTAGCTAAAAAGCCCGAAAATCATGATTTTCAAGGTCGATTTTGAGGGTCAAAAAGTCGAAATAAAATTTTATAATAGAGAAAAATGATCCTCAGAACTCAGAGAATCAATTTCCGAAAATCGTCAAACATGACGGGGGTCCTTAAGCGTATTTACGGGCGTTCTTTGAAACGAAACATATTTACCGGGCAGTTACGTAAGTGGTAAAGTTCAGATTATTTAAGTTGTTTAAATACCTATTTAAGTATTCCTATAGCCGATCTCCGACCCCCTTTAGCCGAAAATGCGTGATACAGTATCACTGATACTCCCCACAACAAGCTCACTCGCTTATCTTATTTTCGACCATTTTTTCAAACACTGATCCAACCATTGTTGCTTGGCTCAATTGCGGAAGAATGCAGTGAATTTGATGAACCTTCCATCTTCTTTGGAGTTTTTAATGGCCAAAAATTTAATTTTTCTTTTTCTTTTTAATATTATCGTCAAAACTCATCCTTTTTTTCTCGATTTTGTTATAAAAGAAGAAAATTTTGACAAAAAAATCGAGAGAAAAAGACTAGAAATTTAAATTTAGCCCAAGGTAATGAAAATTATTATGTCATTTTCAGTAATACTTTCATTTTTTTTCTTTTTAAAATATAAACGAGAATAAAATGTTCTTTATTAAAATCAGTTTAAAAGCGGATAATATTTTTAAAAATTGTCTTGGACACCCTAGGAGCGCCCGAGGCAATCGGCGCCGCGCTGCTTTGAAAAGGGGCAAAATCGACAAAAAATCGCTTATTTCTGTTAAATAAGGCCATCCTCCAAAAAAATAGTTTTTAAATTTGAAATAAGCAATTAAATTAACATACATTTCTTTTTTTAAATTTTAAAAAATTGTCCATCTTGACCATTTTCAGATTTTTGCCAATTTTAGGGCCTTGTTATTTCTCAACCCTTTAATGTTTTTCTCGGATAAAGAGATATAATACCTAAACGATACATCTCTATAACATATATAATTTTGAAAATCATTGGACCATTATTTCGGGTACCTAATTTTTGAGCGTGGACCCTATGTATAGTAGAACCATGATGAATAAAAGACAATTATTTCGAAACTCTTCCTTGGAACTGGTAAATGGTTTGATATTCGTTTTCATCCTCTGAAAGAATAGCAATTAGAGTAGTTATTCACATTTTCTAAAATCGAAAATACCGGAGTTCTCAATTTTCTCAACAACTGGCGCATAAAATGCTTGTTGGGAACTCTCAAATGGAGTTGAATCCAGGGGAGAAAGCGAGATGCCTGAGTCGTAGGGTCGTTGAGATCGTCGGCCCGTCCAGATTTCCGTCATTCCCGGCTAAAAAATCGTGTAAAGGTTACAAAAATATAATGACGAAGTTAGATTACCTGAGGAATAGTATTGACGAAATATGAATCACTGGTGTCCCATTTTTTCCCGCACTCTTCGTCAATGATAAGGAGTTGTGTCTAGTCATGATATATATATTCTTAATTTCGTAAAAACTACGTCACCTTCATTTGCTTGTGAGTACAAACCCGCAAAATCGAGAGATTTCCTCCATCGTTTTCAGCCTGAAGAATCATCTGCTGAAAGCTACCCTCTCCCGTGTTACGATCGTAGCCGTAAGGGACACTCCCTTTGTCGGAGAATTTGTAGGTTGTGATATTTCCAGTGGTCTTTTTGTAAATGAACACTTTTCGTATTGAATCTTCGTCGTGAAAGATGTCAGAAAGGGTTCCACTTTTTGAGCGTTTCAGATTTGCGAACAGATGAGTCAAGTTTTGGAAGTATTTTGTATGGTTCAAAGTAAGGCGGAAATTTGACCATTTGCGGTGCTCCACAGTGGTGGCGCGAAATGGAGGCTACCTCGGAAGTTGGTGCCGGGAGTGACCAGTTTCGGGCCCTTGGTGGCGACCCGGTCGGCGGTCATACCCAGTACCATTAAGCCTATTTGCGGCTCGCCGATTTGCAAGAAAATATATTTTAAGCCAATTTGCCCGCGCACCGAGCACAGAATCGACGTTTTTAGTGATGACGACTGTTTCGCGGGTAACGTTTGCAATGGTGAAACAAAGAAATATAAAAAATTCAGACCACAAATAAAAAAAACTTTGATTATAAGAACCATAATACTGAGTATTTTGCGGATAATGTATATTTTATTCTAAGTAATTCCAACGAAGTCAAAACATTAATATTTTTAGTGTAGTGAAAATAGCAGTTCTTGAAAATTTTTATGTGCAAAATCATTACTGAATGATAAATATTAACATATGTTTTAATTGCTTGTTATGAAGCCACAAGTCAATTATGGCATCAATTATCGGGTATATTTTGACCGGAACTAGAGAAAATAAAGCGTTTTAGTTGCGTAATCGGATTATCCTTTTCGAAGCTCGACGCGGAGCCTTTTTCGAACTCGCGAGCTAGAGTGGAAACGAGAATGGGCCTCCCTTATCAGTCGCTGCGCCGGGACTCCCCGCCGAGCATCTGGAATTGATAAGGAGACGCAGTCGCAGCCAGAATTGGAATTAAGACAAAGGAACTGGGAAATTATAACACTCCACTTTCAATAGCATTAATTTTTAATTTCAACTTTATGATACGGCTAAGTCCCGACGAACACCTGCTGAGTTTCTCATCTTATCGGGGATAAGACTGTTTCAATTTTAAAAGATCATAAACATTAAATTTCCGTTTGAATGAAAAATAGCACCAAAGAAATAATTATTCAAACTTGGCCTTGCTGAAGATGATCAAAAACGTTCTCCTTGGAACGACTGAAGCAAGCTTGAGGTGCGAATTCGCCTGAGAAAAGGAAAAACTCTGGTTGAAAAATTAATTCGATCTCAAAATTCAGTGGACCACTTTGAGCCTAATCGGCTTACGGGAAGAGCTCGGAAGGCTCAACTCGAGTCAAAAAGCTCTTTTCTTTCATACATTGTTCAAACTTAATTGCCAATAAAATATTTAACCATCGCTTGTTCCAGTTATTGCACACTTGGCATATTTTTCTAGGGGCAAAGACCAAAAGGTTTGGAGATGCCGGGTATCGATCCCGGTACCTCTCGCATGCTAAGCGAGCGCTCTACCATTTGAGCTACACCCCTTGAACTAGTGACCTCAAAGGCTCTACCAGATAACCAAAACTACTGATCGTTAATTTTTCAAGACGCGAAACTCGCCGTAGGCATGATATTGCCAAGGGGTGTAGCTCAAATGGTAGAGCGCTCGCTTAGCATGCGAGAGGTACCGGGATCGATACCCGGCATCTCCACACTTTTTCTATTTGCCTGCAATCAGAAACGCTTTCTTGATAGGGTTCTTGCCCATGGAGATATAGCAGATTCTTCCCGGTAGTTTTCCAGTTCAATTGTGCCATCTTGAATGGAATAATCACGAGTTTGAGGAACATAATTAGACTATTATTTAGAACGTAATGAATAAAAATTTGTTTTCAAGAAAGATTCGCAATTCTTATCCCATGACTTTTTCGAAACTCAGTTTGTTCTTTTTCGATTTAGACTGTGTTTGTTTCGGTTTTTCGGAAGTCTGAACGACACGCTTTCTTCCGTGAGCTTTCAATGCTCCTCCAGGATCTTGTGACAGTCGGAAAACTGATGAACCAGCTAAGATTGGTTTCCATTTTTAAAAATTATTCCACATCGGAATCAAAAGTTAGTTCTCAAATCATCAGATGACTTTTCTTTCGGATAAATTCAATGGAAACCAAATCAGAAACTGTTTTGAAAGAAATAAAGAAAAGGAGAGCGAAGACATGAGCAGCCCTTATTCGCCACGGCCGACAGTCGTGGAAATATCCCATAAAATCAGCTGTGTCTTTTAAGATATACCTTCCCTAAAAGGAGTTTATGTGAACGACTTTCCACGAACATATTTGAATTTATCCTTTGTAGATTTAATCTTTTGAAACTTTTTAAAGCACCGATTTCAGAAGAATTGCGGAATCTTGTTGATCATTGCTCCCCATTTTCCCATGCGTTTCCGATTCTTGAGCGCTTTGGGTCGTTTTATTGTGCCCAGCTGGGGACAACAGCTTATCCTTCGGCTACCCTTAGTACTCCTCGAGCAAGTCCCAGCGGCTCAAAAAAGAGCGGCGGTGGTGGTGCCAGCAGAGTGGCCCCCGCCTTTATCAAATGCAACTCGATATTTTGAGCAAGTGGGATTAACTTCGATGCTCAAAACTCCAGAAAATGCAGCACTATGAGCACTTATCAAATCAAGTGCTAATCAAAAGGATGCAAAAGTGTTCTCAGACTAAATAAGACACCAAAATTAACTCAAACTTTGATTCTATCTCCTAAATGATTATTAACAAAAGTAATTGCTATTGAAAACCTTTTTCAGCTCGACGAATCTTCTAGTACAAATCTCTTTTGAATAAAATTCAGGTCTCGAATATTAGAGAAAAATGTAAAACGATAACACCTTGTACTGAAAGAATAAGCAAATCTGAAGTGGAGGAGTTCCGACGCTCCAAAAAGTCGACCGCAGTTTGGATTGAGCCAACTTGCCCCAACAAAAATTTGATCATTCATTTTTTTCAGAAAAGGATTCCTGGAGGATCCCTTGAGCTTCCGGTTTGCTCGTCTGCCTGTATGAATAAGTGTTCCTTACTAGCGATGTGTCTCTTTGGGTCCCACTCTGTGTGGCACTTTATCAAACGTCACTGGTGTCAAGTGGAACATGGCAGTTGGAGCGGCGGTGAAAATTTTTCGAAAATACGAATTCACTCAGTCGTCTTGAAGGCCTGGCGCAGCTGCAGCTGGTGAACCTTTCAGATATCGTTTGTAGTATTTACGCTGAATTACAAGCATTTCTTCGAGTACGCCCATCTGGTCGACAAAGCTTAAAAAGCGCAAGAATGGTACTTTGAAAAACTGGATATACGTTTTCAGAGAAGGTTTATTTGAATTTGTTTAAGCAGAAACAGGCGCCAGGAAAGTATTAATCAGGAGACTAGCCGGATTCATGGCGCCGAGCGTGTTTTCTCGGCAGCTACGAAATTGCACATTCGAAGTAGAAGAAGAAAACTTTCGCACCACAAGAAATCTAGCCCTTTTCTACTGATAGTTCTACTGAATCATGTCGAAAAAGAGAAAAAGTTAATTAAATTTCTTAAATATTTTGAATAGAAAATAATCCAAATTAATGATAATGCAGCTCCTTATCGCTGTTGAAGTTTTCTGGTCAATTTTGATCGTGAGTGGCTGTTCCACCAGGTGGTTATTTTCACTGGTCGAAAAAATGTTTTCGATGGCAGCTCGAGAGTTTAATTCAAGGGGCAGCTCAAAATCGGCGAAGGAGGTTTTCGGATTAGCCAAAGAGCTCATTCACTCTTTCTTTTTCTTCCGTTTTTCTGCCCCCTTCTGCTGATAACGGAACACGTGATAGCGCGGCGGGTGATCAAAGAGCACGCGCCGAGCTGGTTTGTCTTTTGTAAAATTTGAATAAATTCAAATTGCTTAAAAAGCTCTTTATTGGCAATCCCGGTCAATTCCAGTCTTTGATGGGCGCTGACCCTGGACGCCATTTCAAAAGGGATGAAAAACGGACACAATGCTCTAATCCGGAAAGCCCCGGCTCAGGGTTAGTATCATGTGAGCTCACTTTCGAACGATTCTAGTGGCATAAAACGGCTCTTTCAGCGAATCCATCCTGTGTTCGATAAAGTCGCCCGGATCAGCTTTATTATCAAATTATCAGCGATCGCAAAATTTCGGATTCGGGAGAAAATCCGCTATCTGCCGGATTTGGCCCGAACAAAATGATCCTGTACCAGTGAGGAGATAGTTTTTCAGCTCAGACAAGACGTTGATAACAAAATTTTACGGAAAGCGCTAATTTCAAGAAGGCTAACTAGGATATTACTCAATCGTTTATGCGTAGTTGTTTTGCTTTCAAGAACTGTTGAGAACAATAGCGTGTTTGCAAAATACGATTCCGACCCCGGGTGCTCTGGAGAAGTGACCTTGGGTTCCCACGCGTGCCCCACAGCAGGTGACGCCTTTATCAGTTTCTCCACTTAGGAGCGTAAATGACTGATAAAAGTAAAGATTCTGTTTGTTGCCAAAATATAGGCAAACAAACAGAAAGCGTCAATTTGCCAATTCCTTGATCGAAAATTAGAAGAAACACAGACGGTAGGAAAGTGAAGCAGATTGGATTTATAGAGCTTGTTCTAGCCAGCTCGATGGAATTTAATCGATTACGAGTTGGACGAGATTGCCTGAAGCGACGGGTGCGCATAGCGAAGTGATCCTCAAAGAACACGCTCGCGGGCAAAGCGGATTTAGCCGACGGCGCAGAAGCGGCCAAAGAACAAATCACAAAAAAAAGTTTCTCTCACGTGGCACCCCGTGGCGAGATACTGTAATCGCACTGCTAATTGCCACCGACAAAATAACAGAATAAACAAACTGAAACATCTTTGATCTTTCTTCTTATTTTTCCTGTAATATGCAAAAATAGCCAAAGAAGCCTTAAATTTTGTATTTTCTCATTTCAGAATAAAAATTCTTTATATTTTTTTATATTGCTAGAGCCTCCAGCCTAGAGCCTAACTTCTTTTTAGACTTTTGTAAAAAAGCCATAATAGATTATTTTCATTTCAAATATTTACGCGCTCCCTAAATGGCCCTCATTACGGCTTGCAATAACAGTTTCCTCTTTCTCTCTGCCTCCTCGGGGTTGAGATAATATTCCCTAATATGACATTAGCGAGTTCGTCAATCGTCTAGGAGAGCTCGACAGGGAGGCTCCAGCCGCGGACAAATATTTTCCTTGCTCGTGAAAATTTTTTGCGTTACGGTCGAGGCCGAATATTTTAATCGAATTAGGGTACTTTAGAAATTACGGCGCCACCCGCAAGAGCGGTCGCTTCCATTTCCAACAATTTTACCTAGCCACCCGATTTCACGTTACGGTCGAAGTGAAAGTCTCAGTCTTTTTATAACACCCACCTAGCCTTCCTCTTCCTCATCTTTCTATACCAAGAAAATGGCCATCCAGCCGTCTGAAGTTAAGAAAATCTGCTTGCGTCTTTGCCGACGAGGATGTTTTCTAAATGCGCGCTCAAAAGGCCTGAGTCTACTGATGTTTCTTGGCCGCTAGAAAATTTTGTATTTCGGAAGTTCCAATTTTGTCACCAGTGCGCATAATCCGGAAGGCTCAGGCGCGGCGATACACAGAGCCACTCGCTGGCCACCGGCCCCGTCGTGTGTTCAGGAACGCGATATCATCTACTTCTAGTACTTCTTCTATTTTATGTAACAATATTCTTGTTAAAAGAAAAATTTGTTTCAGTAGATTATGAAAGGTTTATATAAGCCAATTCAATTGAATTCAATTGAATTCAGAGCTGACAAACTAATCCATTTTTGAAGAAAATCAACTCGTCAATCAGCTTATATGAACATTAAAACTAGGAAATGAATGTAACACAAATGCTCGTCACTCAAAAAAAGGGTACCGCAACTTCTTCGCACGTGCCTTTCCTCCTCAAGGTGTTCCACCTGGATCTCGTGGAAAGGGCAACATCACCGCGCCTTGATTCACATTGATGGTATTTGAGCCCTTCTCGTTAGGTCGAAGTTAAAATAAAACTAAAATTGAAAGATTCCAGCAGAAGACAATGAAATGGCCTTGACGCGCTTTTCGTCCAGCGGAGTGTTCTTTGGCAGATTTGTGTTGTTCTAAGAGCGTCTTTAGGGCTCGTCGGCGTTTTTACGAATGAAAGCGCGTCTTATCACAGTTTTCACAAACACTCCAAAGAAATAACTCCCCAAAGCTTTGTTTTAACTTTTCATTATTCGAAGCGTGGCAAGATGAAGGCATATCAACAAATATATGCTGAATAAGAAATTATATAGAAGTTTTATATCCAAAATCGCCTTTCTTAGTAAATTTCCAAAGAGAATTTCGTCCATTTTTATGAAACAAAAAGTTGATCAGGGCACTTTTTATAGGTCTTGTATAAGTTATACAGTATAACTATATACGCCCAGAATCCTGAATAATATTCGAACTGTTGTGAATTTCATCCTTCGAGCTTTTAATTAAACGACAAAAGTACTCCTCGATATAACTCGTGGGAAATGCGCCAAAATCCGACAGTGTTCCTCAGCGGGTACTCCCTTCTCAGAAAGGAAAAGCCATTGAATATTTAATCGGCGCTAGTACTAATTTCACGCATGTTATATTACTTCAAACCCTCGTTATAGATTTTCTGTAGCTCGTTTGAGCTTGGGAAGAGTGTCTAAATACGTAAAAAGTACTCGCGCTTTTTAGAAAATAGATTAAGGCTGTCTTGGTGTGGGGATTTTGCTCGAAAATCGTAATCGTCAGGCGGATGAGCCAGATCATCCGTCGAGAGAGGCGACCGACCGGTAACAGAGTTACAAGTCCAATCCGGCTTAGGAGGCGCTTAATTGAGCGTCAAAGTACATTCTGGCCGTATTAGCGCCCGGATTATCCCCCCTTCGCCACACGAGCCAGCTCATCCCTTTTACTCTCTTTTATAAGCCATTTTTTGGGCAGTGATATTATCAAAGCACTCGTATTCTGCATTTTCCCAAATCATTATAGAAAGCTTATTTTAATTATGAAAAGAACACCTTTCGTTGATAGTTGTTAAAAGCTGTTGCACAATAAAAGACGTTTTTAATATCTTCGAATTAACATAATTATTATCCTGATATGCGAGTTTTATTCACATGAATGAATTGAAAACGGCTGGTGTTTCAGAATGCGAGCCGGGTTATATAAATGATAGCAAGAATCTTTATTCAGAAGAAGAGCGTCAAGAACTCGACTTGTTGCAAAATGTGTTGTTTCATTTCAGTGTCAATAATCTGATGATTGGAACTGGTGGCGGTGGAATAAGACGGCGGCTGGAAATTTGGACGAGCGGATTATTCAGGAGATAGTTGGCTGTTGGGGTGTCGGGCGGCGCTAATCCGCGCACAACTACACCGCCGCAAACGCTGAGCACCACCAACACATTCCTCCCTGATAATTCTGTTTCCACCAGCGGGCTCAATCGTAATCGAGGAAGTGAATTAGCCAAACACGTTGAATAAAATCTTTTAAGAAGATCCTTTATCCTAAATTTAAGTCAGCAGGTTCCGATAACTTCAGACAAAACTTTTTAGACGATTGTTATTGATCCCTTTTTTAAAAGATAAGCTGCTTATATTTCATTAAAAAAGCATTTATTTCAAATTATATTTCAAATTAAAAAGCATTTTTGAGCAAAAATCATTGAAGATATTATTTTTCAATATCAAAAATCGCAAATACGGATAAAAGTCGCTATTCATACTCTATAAATCGATTCAAAGTCTACATCTACTAGACAGTAAACAAGATCAGCTGACAAGTCCCCAAGGGAGTCAAGCTTTTGGCAATCTTTCTTGATCAAGAAAGGTTGTTTTGTTGCAGGAGAAGGAAGACAGATCCGCGCAGGGTTTCCTCATGCTCCCGCAGGAGGGCGTACGCGCTTGCGATTCTCGCTTCTTTGCTCCGTTGGGTGGCGCGGCTGCGTTCCGCTGCGGCGGAGCAACGAATCGCTCACCTCCAAACCTCCCAGTTGATACGACGAGCACTTCAACATCAACAAATCCGCTCAGAGACAAATCCCTCTGCCAAATCCTATAAAGATATCAAACGCGCGAGCGAGAGAGCAGCTGACTTTTCCAGAGAGCAAAGCTGACAAGCTGGCAATCACCGAGGAAGCGCCGAGCTACTCCCCCAACTCCACCAGTCTCGCCGAGGAGCAGTACTCGGCCTACACTTACTGGGAGCAAGAAAAGAAACTGTGGAACCAACAACGAGACGATCAGGAGGGAGCCAATCCCCCTGATCCAATCGCCGCTCAGGCCTTTTCAGGCATTGGTAAGTCCCTAACAAGTGCGTTGACTTCTTGATAAGCGGCATACACACCCTTAAGCTCTTCCTGAGGCTCTATAAGCGCGCTCAGTGGGTTCTGTAGTTATAATGGGGCCAGACGTACTGATAATGAACTTGCTCTCTTTGTCAGAAGATGGGTCTGGAAGCACTTCCGGAGCACAATCCACAAAAGGAACTCCCATGGAAGGTGTTTGCGTGAATAAGGATAGCACCTGTTTCTTTGCATTGATTTCAAATTAACCGTAACTGCGCATTGTGTAGCTGGAATCTGCCGGAATCAATGAAAACATAGGAGATTATGTCATTATCGTGCTTCTCGGAAAGTAAAAATTTCTTTTTAAAAACTAAACGCTTTTAGAGCGAGAAAGAGGCTTCTATCGCTGTTTCTTTTTGAACCCAGGGCTCGCAGAGAAGGTTTATTTTGAGGATTAGAGGTGGCCCACACTTTGCAAAGTCAAAATAGCTGCCCGGGCCAAGGCTCTCGCCGACTTGCCGATCCCTGCTTAGGCATCTTAGGTTTGAGCTTAGCCCCCAGAATGCTCATTAGTTCTGTTCAACAAATTTCTAAAGAGTCATTCCTTCTGATTGCGTCAAAAATATGTACCTGTAAGGTGGAGCTACCCGTTCCTGACCCGCTTATGCAAATTCTATCGCTTTTCGGGTCGTTTTGATTTTTCCTTCATTCTGAGCGCGGCGGGATTACCCCTACTCAACGTGTTTCCTTAGCCAGTAATCCTCAACGCAAGCTAGAATTATAATTTCATAGATAGAGAGTTACGCCAATATTAGACGTTCATGAATTGAGCCTCAAAAAATCTGGATCATCCGGCGGATTAGCAACGTTTGATCCGCCGCAAGATGCATTCCAAATAACTTATAAGATCCAACTCTCGAGGTTGGCCAACGTAAATTTTCGCGAAATAATCCACACGCGAGCTCAGAGAGAAGGTCCGGCACCGAACCCAGAAGTTTACCCTGATGCGGGATGAGCGCGGATTAGACCCCGCCCGGATCTAGTCACTTTCGCTTTTTTCATCCCACTTTTGTTTTGTCATTCTGACTTCAGATTCGGGAGTCGTTATTTATCTTTGTCTAGGCAATGATCAAATCATTATTTTAGCAACTTGAATTATTTATTTTTCCTTAGAATACGATCTATTTAGATGTAAGATGGAAAAAACACATTGAAAATAATCTCCCTCTGAAGTTTTAAATAGAAAAGCATCGTTTAGTAGCATAAAATAAATATATTTCCGTCTTCAATAAAAAAGGGATGGTGGTGGTGTCGCTCTTACACCACCGATTACTTTGGTGCGCAGCCAATCAGCGCGCGGAAACGCGCCATAATCCTTATTTTCAACATGTTCGGGCGGCGCTAATCCGCTTACGGGCGCCATAATGCCTACTGTACGGTCTGTAACTTCTTTCTTTCCTGGAGATTTCCTTGGTTAAATAGCTCCGGTAGAAAAGCAATTAGAGTAATGGGTACCCCGACCGCCCAATGCGTGAAAATCAGAATGAAACCACTAAGTGAATAAATTCACACAAGTAAAAAGGAGCAACCCTCTATTCCAAACGTGAAAAAAAGCTAGAAAGGGCTCTTGAATGGAAAAAAGATGCAAGGCCAATTAGCGAAAATTTCCCACGGTACTCCGGATGCGCCCGTAAATATCCGACCCTCTACTGATAACGCACGCGCAAGAAGATAAGAAGTTATTTTTCTCTCCTGGAGTTTTTTCAATTTTGCCAGACATTGTACTCCTTCGCGGGAACATACCCAAGCCACAAGCGTGTCCCCTCTTTTTGCAGCTTAGGGTGAAGTAATCCGCTTCCGAGGTCCAAGTCAATTCCATAACCGCAGAATCGTTCCGTCAAAATAAGTGTTCGATTCTTCTTAAAAATATGTCTCACTCTATTTCGTCTAATTCGTATTTTTAGGCAGCAACTCAATGTCCTACTTAAAATCTCCTTATGGAATGATTTCCAACCTTTCAAATCCAATGGATCCGCTGTCTATGCATCATCGAATTCCTGGATATCCAAGTAAGTTTTCCCAAATAAGAAGAAGAAGTATTTTTCGTTTATAATTTTAAAATGATCGAGAAAACGGAGCATTACAAATTCTCCTATTTGGAAAGTTTTAAACACTCTTCCTTTTATTTCCACTTTTTTAGTATGAAAAAGGCTCGTTTTTCACTAGAAATTGAAATTTAACACTTGTGACACGAGGTGGCACAAATTGCGCTTGCTAATTCGTTAATACTGACAGTGCTCATAGCAATTAGCCGCCTTCCAGTCGACGCTAATCCTTGGCAATTATTTTAGGCGCAACAATTCTTCCACCGGATATAAACAAAGTAGCACTGCTACTATATGTTTACGCGGGCTCCCTTTCTAAACTTATATTATGATATTTTCGGCCGGGCGTATTTACGATTTTCCTCTGCGAGGGTTTTGCATTTTTCGCGAAAATACAAAAACATGCGTCCGGACGAAATATTTGATTTTGCGAAAATTGTTTTGACAAGCGCTACCTAGCTAATGCCAGAGTGGCCAAACTTACAAAAATGACAGAAACGTCACCGAGTACTCGGCACTAGAATGACAGTTCATATCATCATACCATACTTGTTATAACCCGGCGTTTTTAAGGTGATGCCTACTGCTTCAGTGGAATCAACAAGAGCATGTCCCAGCCAAACGGGCAACTACAGTCGCTCTGCCCGCCAATGTACGGTAAGTTCAGTCCCTCTCCGTCTATGATGAGTTTCGCAAAATATTTGTGCTCCTCCACCACAAGTTTTTATTTGATTTGCGCCAATCTGGTTTGAGCTCACATTTGTGAGGCGCTTCAAAGTTCAGAAAGTTGTTTCTATGAGCGCCACTGCGGTCATCGCGCCCAGGTGCAATGTGTTCGACCTTTACGGTACTGCAACTTTCTATGTGACGAAGTGTTCTTTGTTCATGTCCAAAAGGACACAGACAGGAAGCGATAAGTTAATTATTTATCAATAGATCAGATACAAGAGTTAGTTTATCAAAACAAAACAAAAAGTATCTCACTTTTGATCAAAGGCGATTTTGCACGGTGTTGTGCGCAAATTACCACTCTCGCCTTTGCCTTATCGGCGGGTTGGTTCCGCAGCCCAAATCTGAGCCACCGCCAGAGCGGCTTATGGCCGGATTAAGGAACACATGGCTTCTTCCTGAAGACGCTCCTTCGTTTTCTTTGGGGAAACTTAAACAGACAAGCATCTTAAAACTTTGTCTTTTGCGTAAACAAACAAATTGCCTCTTTTCTCACTTGGATTCATAAGAATTATTCGTAAGATTCAGGTTTGCCAACACGGAAACAAAGACGAGAACGAACAACCTTCACGCGCGCCCAGCTCGACATCTTGGAATCGCTCTTTTCGAAAACGCGTTACCCGGACATCTTCATGCGCGAAGAAGTCGCCCTAAAGATCAACCTTCCCGAGTCACGTGTTCAGGTAAACAAAACGAGTCAATTCAATTTTCAAGAGCGCGTGCCCTTGTCCTCTGATGAAAAGGGATTATCCGCCTCTCAATGCGCGCAGTTTTAAATGTTGTGAAAGGGAGAATTCATCCTTCACGGTGGGGCTCCTCGATAAGCTCCTGAAGCTGAATTTTTTTCTTTCTTTCTTTTTTGAAGAGTTGCATGAATCTCATGAATTCGAAATCGAGTTCGACTCTCAAGAAACTTTTGAGTTCGATTACTGTTCTTCGCGGTTGCAGATTGAAACTGCTGGCATTCAATCAGTGCGCCCGCGTTGAGTAAAATCTGTTGCGGCGTTTATAGACAGGTTAAATCGGAGATGAGCTGCTTCGATCGGCAGCGCGTGGCAATCGCAGTAAATTGAGAAAGGACAAAACACTCCGCCACGAACATACACACACGCATAGTTTCAATATAGCCAAAACGAACGGCTAAAAGCAAAGCCCCTTTCTTCGCTCGGCGCAAAGCCGCTTAGCGTCTTTTGCCAAATTGCTCGAATCATGGGCCTGATAGATAAATAGTGTATTTTCTAAGATACAATCAAGGTCTTTTTCCATGATTGAATTTTTGGTCGAAAATAAACTTCTACTAAATTTTTGCTTTTTCAAGAGGCTCGAGTCCCGTAAAAACCCGTTGTTGGCAGGGAAGCAACACCACCAACACAAACCATGAACCAGGATATGCGCGATATGTGGATTAGTGCTATCGCGCCAAGTTGCGCCAAATTTATCAGCCAGGGCGCAGCCTGTGATAACACTCTGCTCTTTATATTTTACGATTCTTCGCATTTTTATTGAATTTTCCATTTTCAGGTCTGGTTCAAAAACAGAAGGGCAAAGTACAGACAGCAGCAGCAACAAAAAACGAATCCAGACGGATCGAGTGAAGACAAAGACGACGAGGGCAAAAAGTCCGAGACAGAAGAAACCGACAAAGATCAAGAAAAGGTGATTTTTGTTTACAGCATTGATTTCTTACTCGGTTATTTTAGACGCTATCGATAAAGAACGAGCGGAAAACTCCTCCATTAGGCGGTGTACCGCGAAACTCGACGAGCCCGTTCAGCAGTAGCTCCACCCCCTCGGCGGTGAATCAGAACAAGTCCAGCCCAGCACCATCTAACTCTTCTTCAACCGGTCATCAACCTCCCCCACAGCCAGCCGGTAAGTTGTTGAAAATACGCACTCTGAATTGACGACGCGCCAGATAAACAATGCTCTAAAATCGTAATCTACCTCAAAGGCTCTTATAAAAACTAAGTCATTGTCTTTCGTTTTTGTTTTTGCCGGGCAAACTGAAAAAGTATAGAACTAAACGAGGGCTAGGTCACGCAGCTGGAAAGTTGAATTCTAATCCGCTTTTGCGCTGGAATTAATCCCCCATTTGAGCTGGGTATGAAATAATAGCAACGCCCGAGAAAATGAAAAAGCCGCGACTCCCGGCCGGACGCCCCGGCTGGGCAACAGTAAACAAGGTTGCTGCGCAGAGCACCTCCACCAAAATGCGCCATAATTTTACGCGGCCGATTGTTTTCGGAAAAATGGATTAGCCATTCGCCAGTTTACGCGATCGATTATGGCGAATAACTATTTGCTTATTTACCCTCAAATATCTCGGCCTCGCAGATATATATTTCGAGAATAGAAAGATAGACTTTGAGTTAATCTCTCTTGTCCATCAATCGAATTTCACAAAAATGAGCAAATAAAATGGAAAAACTTGAATAACCGTGAATATGAATAAACGCACGATACTCTGAGTTAATTCAAACCTAATCCCATAATCTTCGAAGATTTCTTAATTTTCATCTTAATTGAAATATTTCAATTAAGATGAAGTATACTCAATTTCAAGTTCTAATCCTTTATTTAAGCCCCTCACACCGGCGTCGCATGGAGCCCAGAGCCGCCAACGGATCCCTCAATTCTTGGCTTCCAAAACCCAACTTCCTCGTCAGAAGCGCCAGGTTTGGCACACCAGACCCCTCCTTCAATTTCGTCGACATCCATAATTGGCGCAAACAGCTCTGGCACTCCTCCATTTGGAACCCCAGATGCATCATCAGTCAACGCCGATGCCTATTCTGCCTGGAATGGCGCGTCTGGGGCCTTCTATCAAGGTGCCATGGATAGTTATTTCCACCAAAGCAACCAGAGCCATTACTACTCTCCCATGCAAAACTACAACCACGCTGTCCCTGCCGGTGTTCAGGCGGCTGGCGGACCAGCGCAAAATCCTACTGAACAGAGCTGGAAATTCCAAGTTCTTTAAATCTTAATTCTAAAGATGTAAAAATTACACACCGTTAAATCCAGATTTCGGTTGAAATCAACGAGGACTCATTTCTATTTTGACGAGAGAATATTGCTGTATATTTCAAAAATCGAAGTTTTATTTTAAACACCTGCATACTTTAATATGATGCTATATTGAGAAAGATTCCTTCTACTGTAAAGTAACTACTGTACTTTTTCTTCTTGTCAGAGTATTGTCGTACGTATAAGTGCTAGTTTACAGGTAGCTTCTAATTCTGTGATAAACTGGACATTATGCTTACTTAACTTTACTATTGCTGATGTTGTCGTAGTTTCTGAAAAATAAATTAATTTATCGATTATTTTTATATGTTTCTAATTTGCAGGGCTTCTTCTCAGCTTTGACGCGTGCTGATTTACAGTGGCAGAGCGTCATTAATCTCTTCAAATTGCCTAGAAAGTGGCTTAGGAAAAACGAAGAAGAAGCACAAAACTGGATCGATAAATGCAGCGAGTTTTGGTTTGAAGTGGCACTCCAAAAAAGCAACTCTTTATTTGCCCGTCAATTTCTCCAGGGGCAATCGCGTTCGAGGAAACCTATTCCGAATTTGGGATTGAGATTCTGAAGCAGAGAAAACAACGCTGTTGCGCTTGAATAATATTAACTATTGATGAGCGGTCGGCTTCTATAAAGAACAAAACAAATTGGACCTTCAAAAAGAGAAATTTCATTTTCTGGCTGAAATCATAGAAGAAAGGATAACATGATATCATTAACCAAGGTAAGCAATTTGATAATTTTTAAGAAAACGACTTTGGTAATTTTGTCGAAGATAGGATTAGCAGGGAAAGTCTATCCGGTGAAACTGTAGCTAAAGCGGACTTTTGCCCAGATTTCAAATCATAATCGGATAAAGAGTAACAAAATCCGCCTAGACGTCGAGTGAAGGACTTCAAATGTGGCATTATGTTTATCTTATTATGCTCATGATCGGATTCTACGTTATCGCAGAGGTAAGCAACTTTTGATGAGGGCTCTTAGCGCAAGATACTTTTGAGAAATAAGTATATAGGAAAAAGTTACCCTTTCTGGAAGAGAAATTATCTTTTTACAATTCAAATTATACAACAGCTCAAGTCGGCTAATCTTACCCTCCCATAGTTCCATTTCATTAAGTTGTGAAATTGTTTTATCTTTTTTATTCATTTCAGGTAACTGTGAGGATGATATTCTATGTGCGATGGAAAGTTACTGGGAAGACCCTATTAGAATGAAAAGATCGAACACTTAGGCAAATCCTGAAATATTTATGAGGATTGACTCGATTTGATCCAATTTCAAAAGATTTGCAAGAGTTCATGGTTTATGACACTTTTCTCTTCATCTGTAATATTTGAATAAAAGACCATCGATTTATGTTGTTTATTAATCTGTGCACAGAAATTGTCATTTGAAAGTTTCGACTATCCTCTTGTGAGTTGGAATGAGCGTCATAAGCTTCTTCGGATTTGAAATTTTCTCAAGAAAGCTGTCAAAAAGTAAAGGTCAGGATAATCATAATCTGATGCTTCCTTTTCGAATCCGCTCGTATAGGACGAAGGCACAAAAAACCACCCATTCAATCATCATGACGCAAAATGGTAAGTAAATTTTCAGTCTGTCCGTTCTGGTTGTTCTGAGTGCGCTCGCAAATAATTATTCATAATTTGGTAATATTCTATTGTATTTTATCCTCGATAAATTGTATTCGATTTTTTGGATAATGGTGCAGCTTTTTTTCATTTCGAAACGCATCCTTAGTAACAACGCTGCGGAGGATTGCCGCCTCATCAAGGGACTTATTACGGGAATCCTCTGCAAGCTCGCTCTTCTGCTCAGTATTTTTCCGGGTAAGTGTTTGTTTCTCATTATTCTCGATTCTACCGTCATTTTGAACTTTTTGTGATTCCTTTCTGCGCGCACTAGAACTCGAGATAAACAGCCGAATCGATCAATATTTCAGTAGAGCGGAGGGCACAACGAGAATTATTCAGAGAAAAGCCGAATTCTGGCTCATCATTTTTTCAATATATTCTCTAAGATTCCTTCAGATCCGTTCTACTGTATTTTCCTGGAGAGGGAACTGTAAGGCACACATTCAGCCACGCGCCATAATTTTATTTCGCTTTTGAAATCATGGAGGAAAATCCCCGCCTATGCTCCTGTTTCAAATGATGACCAAAGCCATGCTAATGCCGAGACACGGTGTCAATGAGCGCAACTTTCTCGAGCTCACAGGCAGGTGCTTGTAGGGCTCCTGATGAATCGACAATATTTCAAATATTTTTTTGCTTTATTTTATTATGATTCTATCCGTCAAAACACCAATATTGGTCTAGTTAAAATTCGAAAATTTGAATATGTAAATTTCTTAAAAATTATAATTACTACCGTTTAGAATAGCAGAATAGGAGCAAATACATAGGTAATATAAATAGCACAGTATGAAATACTATACTCTCAAGTGTGTACCAGGTAGTGTAAGACCCGAAAAGAAAAATACGGCTGAAAATATCCTTCCCGAAGATGAATTGAAAATGGCTCATCCTCAAAAACGAGATTTCCGTTTTTTGGCAGATAAAAGGTTTCCTCGAAAGGAGTACTTTACAAGGAGAAATAAATATTTTTGCATATTTAAATAGATTAAAAACCTATTCACAAGGTAAACTATAGAATTTGTTATCGATTAAGATAATATTGCACTGCTGTGTAGGAAAGGCACGTAGCAGAAGTAGAAGAAAGGTCAGCTGGGCAGAAACACAGATCAGGTGATTGTATAAGAGATCGAAAGCAGTTTTTTGTTGAGTTTTTTCCACGAGACGCCTTGAGAAAAAGCGAGAAGTGGTGGAGATAGAAGGAAAATGCGAGGACAATATTTTTACATGGCCGCGTAAGGGGTCGAAGACGCTGGGACCTGCATATCGGCTCCTGCTGCTGGACGGCTAAAATAAACCCGTAAATATCAATCAAAGTTTAAGTATGTTTACCTGACAAGATTTCTCAATGAGAATCCGCCGTACTCGTTCTTCATTCTCTTGTAAAGAATAAACCCGACAACAGCAACCAATAAAATAACAAAGAAGATAATCAATCCTGCGAAGCTCTTCTTTTTCGGACTATCAGCGGTTTTCTCTGCATCAGTGTCGAATGATTTAGGAGTGACTTCGTCGGAGTCGTTTTGGCCTTCCGAAGGAGTGAGTCCTCGTGGTGGTGTTGTAGGAATTTCACACTTGAATGTGATGTCTCCTTCAATAAGATGGTCGAATGGATGAACGAACTGGTTGTCTTCGGCGTCGGGTTTACATCTTAATAGAGATTAGAAAACTCTAAAGAAAGAGCTCTCAAAAAGGAGCAGCACATACTCGTAAAGCATGGATTTCATTGGCAAGTCCGAGCCGCCACGAGTAACAGAACACTCTTTAGCAACAATTCCTTCTTCATTTGAACCGAGATCTTCTCGATTCTGACAATCAGAGAGGTCACTTGAAGTCGTAAGAGATCGGAAGCTAACACTCTTATCCTCGACATTTTGAATCATCTTGCCATTGAGGTAGGGCTGGATTCGTTTGTTCCCGTCTTTGCATCGGATGTTAATGAGTTGACCAGACGGTTCTTTTGCGCCGGGCATGACGAATTGTCCAGTAGGCTGGCAGGAAGATTGGAAAGGTTCCATATCAGAAGCTATTATTTTTTATAATATAAAGTACTATGAAAGCTGACTTACGAAGATTGACCTTGTTCCAGTCGCAAGATGCGACAGAGACATCAACAGACCAAGTGCATCGGACCTCTTCGGCACCTTCATTTTTCGTTCCTTCCATGACGATAACCGTACGGCCTTGTTTAAGTTGGAGAACTTTATCGGCGTTGGTATCGGAGAAAGTGAATGCGTTTCGATCACCACCGCTAAATCGAGTGTAGAAATTCCAGTCGAAGTTAGCTGGCGATTCTTTTTGGCCATCAGACTCGATCTCAGGATACTCGATGTTGTAGTCGGCAACGAGTCGGCATTTATCAGCGCTGACGATTGTTGCAGTTGGGCAGTTGATGATTGAGTATCTGAAATTGAAGTTAAAAATAGTGAAGATTTTTGGAAAAGTACTCTTTGGTTGTTCCAGCAAGGCAAGAGCCATCGACTCCGAGATCTGAGTTATCTGGACATTCGCACTTGTACGCATTAGTTCCATCAGCCTTTTTCGTGACGAGACAGAGCTTGGAGCTGTCGCACGAGTCACATTCGCTGTCATACTGGTCAGATAGCTGAATTCGATTAGTTTCAAATTCAAGAGCAGTGGCTATTACCTTGTCAGTAACAATGTGAAGAGAAGCGATTGAGAAGAATTCGCCAGGGCCGTATTGCTGTGGTCTGTCAAGATTTCCGGTTTCTTTGAAAGTTTTTCGGTTGATTCGTTCCACCGCATTGTGTTTCAAATCAGCGTAGTAAATCCAGTCGCCGTAGGTTTCAACGTCCATTTGGAATTGCTAAAGAAAATGATAAATTCATCTTTCAGGTGAAGTTCTATGAATACCTTGACTCGGGGCATAGCAGCTGAAATATTGTACATTGTCACAGAGTTATCATTTGCATCAAGGGCGATATTTTGAAGTTCTTGTCCTGAAAGTCCCTTTTCCGATGAGATGGTATCGATCTTGCTGAGTTTGACTTCGTAAACTAAAGGGATAAAATAAGATGACAATATCTCAATTGCAATATTTACCGATTCCAGAGAGAGCTTCAGTAAAGAGCATATTAAATTCTTCGAATTTGACGCCCTGTGGCCAGTTAAGCTCATTGAAGATTTCTTTTCTATCTGTTCCGTCGAAGTTTGCGCATTCGATTTTACCCTTGTTCTCTGTCAAAGTAGGATCTGTCCAGCAGACTCGCTTGCGCTTGTGGTCCAAGGCGACATTTTGAGTGTTTTGGGTGTCAACGTCAGAGGTACCGGCGATGTCGACAATGGTTTTTTGGAGCTGGATATCCTGACTTCTGTAACCGATGACTTGAATGTTTCGCGTTTCTGACTCGACGATGAAGATGTTCTTTCCGACTGGATCAATGGCGCAAGAGAGAGCAATGACGTTCTCAGCAACGACTTGTTCAGGCTCAGAATTGCGCTTCGAAACGATGATTTTCTTGGTCTTGTCAGCGTAAAATAGAGTTTGAGTGGATTGGTCGACGCAAAGAGCATGGATTTCGTCGGTAAGTTCTGACGGAATAACGTTGTATTCGTGCTTCTCAAGTTGCTCGGCGCTGAGAGTGTCGTTCATTTTCATTTGGAAGATGAGGCCATGATCAATATCGGCAAAAACCATGTATGGGGCACTTTGGAATTCAGCGTAACATCCAACCTAAAAAGGTAATCAATTTTTTAAACAATGAAGCAAAATTACCTGTTGGGGCTTTTTAAGAGAATATCCAACAGAGCACATGCAAGTTCTGTTTTTAGTGGCGCCGCTTGGTGGCTTGCTTGGAATGCAAATGTGTTGGCATCCACCCTGCAGACCATAAGCATCCTCTGCGCAGGGATTGTCTGGAACCTCATGCATCGGTGTTGAGTAAGGAGAGTAGACTGTAACAGATCGAGGTCGGCCAGAGAGCGAATATCGGAACGATTTCTGTTCATTAGCAGCATCTTTCAAGTGCTCTTCTAGGACAGTATTGTCGTCGCCAATACAGTTAACGTTGTCTGCGTTATCTTGCTCTGATTCGAAACATTTTTCGTCAATGTATCGTTTCGTAACAACCCAGAGCATATACTTTTTCCCTAAATGACCATTTTTATGGCTGTTTCGGAGGAAATTAATTTACCTTCATTCATGAACTTTGGATAGATATCAGTAACATAGAGGTAATGGTCGAAAGTATCAACTCCCCAGAAGACTGATCCAGTTCTGTGAAAGTGCTGGACAACATAGTTTCCGTCCAAATCTGAGGAAGAAACAACAGCTGCGGAGCCAAGGAAATCCGTCCAGTAGAGACGATTGTCAGAATAATCAACAGTGAGACCAGTCACATCGTGAACGGTTGGGAAAGAGGTAATCGTTTTGAATTTTGTTGCGTCCATTCCGTCGGCTGTCAAGTCAGCACGGAGGATTTTCGCGCCCATGATTTTGTATGTCGACCAGAAAATGTACTGTTTTGTTGAATGAATGGCAAGACCGTATGGTGGACCGTTTGGATCATTGGCAGCTTTGTAAACGGCGTTGAAATATTTAAAGTCCTGAAAATGATAAGTTTCCTGTTTCAAGATTACCAGTACCTTATCTGCTACCATAATCCATTTGTAGTCAGAATCTGTCCAGTACACATTACCAGTGACCCAATCAACCGCTAAGTTTTCGATTCCATGAGCCATGCCTTTGTAAAGGCCCTCTCTGGTCTCCGAGTTCTCCCAATCGTACATGCCGATTTGCTGAGCACGGTAATCTGTCCAGTAAATACGCTATAATTGTTGAAGTTTGAAGATTTTGGAAAAACTGAAACAAACCTTGTTATTGTAATCGGCGCCTAAGGCCCAAAATTCTGATTTAGTTTCTGTTGAGTTTGACATTGTAATCGCATGGACGCTAAAGCTGCCGGAGGTGTCGGTTTGATTTCTGACAACTTCTGGATTTGCATGTACTTTCACCAAGTGACTGCTTTGATTGTCAGAGTCGAAGTTGGTCCAAACCACATAGCTGGAAAGATAAAATCAAGGACGAGGATTTCGACGTTTTTTTACCTTTCTTGGTCATCACAAGAGTCAATATTACAGTACTCCCATCTTGTTTCTGGATCAGTTGTGTAGCACCAAGGTCCAGCAAGATCAAGATCAGGGTTTCTAAATTGAAATCAGTGTACTTGACAGTGAGGGCTTAATTAAGAGATAAGGGGATTGCAGTGAGCCAAAAATGCTTGCCTTTCGTTCATCAAGCGCTGGATTTATTGACATTTGGGACGGCCTTTCTGCGCGCGAATAATGTCCGAATGCCCGTTGTCAAAGCAAAGCGTTTATGGATCAACCGGGCAAAAGCCTCTCACCAATTTCCTTTCTGAGTTTACCTGCAATGGTTGTGCTCTGGATTTGCTGGTCTGTGTTTGGGAACGTGTGGAACGTCTAAGGACCATTGCTGACAAGTTTTACCGCTTTCTGTTACTGCAATGTCTCCATCGTATCGCGAAGTGGGTCCGTGCCAACATTTTTTTGCTGAAATTGTTTTTGTGTCTTTATTTTTACTTAACTATTGATGGAGGTAATTAATTAAAGTTCAAATTTTGAACGTCTTTGTTATTGATGAACAGCTTGTCTGTTCTCGGATTGGGCCACGTTAGGGCTCCGTTAGTTCAAATTTCGTATTTACACAACGATAGGTGCCCTACTGATAATGGTATTTCCATAACCGGCCAATGGAATTAGTTCAAAGGTATTATTACGGCTCAGATGGCAGATAATGACAAAATAATCTATTCTTAGATACTCAAAAATAGAAAAATAGACTCTTTTCTTTTGAGGATCAAGACAATTCCCAACTAAGAGAAAGGATGAAAAATCAAATATTTTACCTGAGTCCCACTTGCTCTCAGCAGCTGAAATTAACGCTGCTGTCGCAAGCCTCATTGTTTTTGGAGGATTCTGTGACTCTTCTTCTAAATTCTAATTTCTCAGAGGTTCTCTTCGTTGATTTCGATCGTTATTTTTTTTCTCTAACACATTCGATTCTCTTAAAATTTTGTTTTAGTTTTATTTCCTCTGCTTATTTTCAAAGGGGGAAATAACGTAACTCTCTTTGAACAAGCTTAATAAAAATTTACATGTCTAATTATGGCTGTGTCTCAATTAAGTGGAACATGTAGGGCTGATTTGAGAAGGGTAGACTCTAGTACGTTTGTAAGTAAATAGTTGGGGAAAAAGGGTTGGTTCACTCAGATTTCGCGTTTGCTGCAACGAATAGAACTTTTACCGCCCTGCTGCCCGGGGGGCAACACCCGGCCCTTATTTCGAGCAGCCGAATACTAATGCGGGCTACTCCTCCGCCGCCCGCTGATAGAACACTTCTCCAAACACAGCCTCAAGTCCTAATTCAGGTATCTAACGGCTTCAACGCTGATAATGTGTCAATTATAGTTCGATAACCATCTGAAACCTTTGGAAAATTATTTGTTTTTATAATTTGACGATAGCTTCTTTGATATTGAATTTATCAAATAATTATCATACTTTATTGCTCTATTCTCAGTATATTATGTATTAATATGCATTGTTCTTTCAATCATTTCATATGCTTATTCGCTGTATTTGACGCAGAAAATGAGTGCGACAACAATTCGTTTATTACGTTGAAGTTCAACGGTTGAACTTCTATCAGCCAAATATGCTTGTAAGCTAAATTGAATCAGACTTGACATTAGCAGCTGTGAAAAACGTGCGCCAGTACCGAACCTTGAGCTTATGCAATATCAGTACCCGTTGCATTCCAGGCCCTTAGGCCATCGTGTCAATTAGACACTTCAAAGTCCTCGAAATCGGTGAGGTTATCAGATTTATAACGGCGAGAGGACACATTACTTAGATTCTCTTTGGCACGAAACTCTTATCGGTAGATTAGGAACCTACCTTAGCCTAGGATGGTTTACCGCTTCTCTCAAAGTATGAAGTTTAAAAAAATTTCTTCTGAAAAAAATTTTTCGTCTGATTATTGAACTGCACCTTTCCGTGTGCAAACGGATTGTTTTGCAAGGCGTTAATCGCCAACCGTGATAAGAATCTAGAATGTGGGCGGAGAATCGTTGAGAAAGTGCATCAGATCAAACCAAAACGAGGTCACGGAAGGTCAGATTTGTTTGTAAACAAATTGAATTGCTCCTGGAAGACAAGGAAGACTCGACCGAATCTGCAATTCTAATCCGCAGGAGATATACAGTAACGTTATGATGATTAGATTAGCTGAAGGGCCCTCGAAAATCTGGCTTTCGTAGGAAATAGCAGTGATTCGCCATGTGATTCTTTTGCCAAGAAACCATAACTTACACTCAAGCACCTGCGCTGCTCAAGAATTTTAATGTGTTAATTATATTTAACTATCACTCGCGATTTTAAGGAATTACTGGCGCTTCTCCAAATATACTGTTTTCGCTGCGAGAAGATTTTTTAACCTGTTTGGACAGTAGTAAATTATGCTTCGTAATCGTTGGGGTCGCTTGGATCTTCTGATGTGGCGCGAAATTGAGCGCTTATCAGGCGGTTGATAGCTTTTCGCTCGTTTATGATAGTTAATGAGCTCCGTAAGGTGATAGTAGCTAATAACGAGCGCCGATCAATGGGAGGAAGTTGGGCACACGCCAGAGGCAAATCCAAGCGGGAGATCACAGGCGAATCTGGGCACTTATAGAGAGCGATAAATGATTACTGATAAACTTGATGGAAAGCGCAGGGGCAATTAAAATGCCTCATTTACGAATTTTCGCCGTCGAAGTAAGCAAATTTGAAAACAGTAGTGAACGCAAGATCCATTCAAATACTGCCCAAATGGTTGCCTACTAAGCTTTTTATTTTGTTTGCACTAGTCCTCGGTACACAGATCATACATCAAACTAACACTCTGGCTCAACCTGGATGTCAGAGAAGATGCGTAAATCTTTGCCAACAAGGGGAGGCTAAATAAAAGTGAAAGAGGATTTTAGGTGGGCCAATATTGGCACTTTTTTAAATCTAAATTTCCGGTACCCCAGCTTTGGCCTCAGCCCAAACAGCATCATTTACAAATTGTTCGAGTATTACGAAGCATAATTCGAGGCTTGGGCTTGTCAATGATTTGCGCAAATATGCAAATTCCTGCTCAACAAAGGAAAGAAACTAACACTTAACAAATGTATAAGTACGGCCGTCATAATGCGCCAGTAAATACGCCGCGCACAGGCGGGGTCACTCACTTGACAAAACCGGAGAAAGAAAATAACGGAAGCGGGATCAAACACGGCTCAGCTTGGTTCTCACTGTACACCGGATATTCACAAGAAAATTATTACACGCGAACGTTCGTTTTACGAATCACACTGGCGAGATTTATGCGATTATGAAAGATTCTCTTCGTTGATTTCAAGTTATCTCACCAACCAGCTATCTTTCTGAGGAGTAACTTTATGTTGGCATAGTATTTGAGTTCCTGTATTGATGACTAAGAAATGACGAAACAAGTACAAGTGTTCCCAAACAACGAAGCGGCCATATTGAGTTGCATCTCGTCGGTGCTTGAGTTGAGCTGAATTATGAGGCTAGCGATAAAATCGCGACGGACGATGATGATCAACCACACAAGTAAGGCGCGAGCGAACTTGTTCGGACGTCACTATTCCGTAAATTACAACACCCGCGTAACCGCATAAGTTTTATGGTTTAACGCTTTGAAATTCTAATGGCCTTCGATGAAATTACAGTCTGTGGGACGAAGAATGTAGATCGGAAGCTGCGTAACACGAAAAAGTGATGTTTCTGAGTTGCGTTTCTGTTTGCGGAGACCCTTGTAGTTGTGGTAATAGTTTCACATGACATTTGGAACACTTTACGGAGGAAGTTCTCACATCTGTGTGCCCATAACTTTTTATCTCCACGACTCGAGGGCATTAAAAGCTGCCTGTCAACTCGGCTGAGAATGTTCAGAACTTTTTTGTGGGGCATATCGTCAGACGAGCAAACAAAATTATTGATAGCTCTGTTGCTGTATTCTACCGAAAGGCGACTTGAGCGAAGAACAATATTTTCCTCGAGTTTCACAAGAATGGAAGCAAGTTTTAAAAATGCAGAAGCGAGAAAAGCGCCTTTTCTGTAGTCTTTGGACAATAGTTGTCTATAATGCAAGTATTGGCATTGTTTGCGCGAGGAATCGTTCATCAATTTTCAAACCGCAAACGCGCTTTCTGCACTTCCACACTTGTGACACCTGACTTTTCAATGACCTTCTTTCCGAAGCACAGCACAACTTCTCTTTCAAACTTTTATAATTAGTCAATTACTAATGACAAGGGAATGATCATTTTATAAAGATCCCCTTTAGCTCTTCTTGCAATTAATTTTCACTTAAAATTTTCAGTAGACAGATTAGCAATCACATGATCCTTTGGAATACAAGATAATGGTCAATTCACATCCGTAAATGAGCCGCCAAAATCCGCAATATCCAAATAACTTCGCGAAAACAATAAATCACTCTTTCCTAAAAATAATTGTCGATTGGGCTAATTCTCCGATGATGCGACTTTGATCCGAAAATAAATTTTCGTAAAAGTACGTTCGACCCTCATCCATCATCGGCGCCGCTTTGTGTGTGCCCAAGGCGTGAAATGGTACAGTTGGTCGCCCTTCCAAGTAACTGTAATTGATTCCGTTGCCGTATTTAGTGCTTATTGATTTATTAACAAAATATATTCTTCGCGGGGCAGAGGCGAGAAGTCCTCCCGCCGCGGGGGCGAGCGACAGACGTAGAGCGGCGGAAGAAGAGTTCTTCGCGGGGAAACGAACTTCGGAAACTCCCGATGGCTTGAACTTTATTCCGGATTATCCGCAGTGCGAGGAAACGGATACGTAACTGAATACTTTTCCTTCGATGGAGTAAACTCTTCTTTTTTCAATATTTCGAAATATTACAGTAATAGATCAGTAGAACTACTGTCCAGTTTTCACCCAGGGCGAGGATAATTCCCATTTGAGACTCCCCACGGCGCTGAGTACTGTTACATACTGTAATCGATGTTCTAGTCCAAGTTCAAGAGCGGATCAAAGAAGAGCCACAGGTGGCAACACCAAAAAAAAGGGTTCGGCATACCGCCAAAACGCGAGTCTAGGGATCAAACAGAACCGCCAGCGCGTGCCTAATCTTCCGTGGCATTATCCATATTCGCAATTTGTTGTTGATACATTTGTTGAGAAATTCTGGAGACGAGGATTGACGGATCAGCCCATGGATCATGAAATCAACAAGAGCGAGCAGGTTGAGCCGAGTCTGAGCTCGCTGTCGGGGAAATTAGATTAGTTGCTTTTTGGCGCTTCGTTGAAAAGGGATCATCCCGAAATTATAATTGACAGAGAGTGCTGCTCGCAGGTACTAGATAGGAATTCGAGAAGCAGCTCATCCCTGCTCGCTGTTGCTAATAGAAAAATTAAATTGAAGAGAAACGCTTCTTGTTGAACATTATGACTCGTAGCTCAATGAATTGCGTGTTTCGCGCTGAGCTGTGGCTTTGGTCAGCTTTAACTTTCAATTACTCCGAGTTGAGCGTTTGGCGGATTACGCCTGTCTCATCCGAACTGTCGGATCATCTGATTCTGTCCCTTCTGCCCGTTCCTACTTTCTCGTCAAAGTTTAGCTTGAAACGAAAAAGCTCCTCCCTGCATATTCGTCTTCAATAAAATTGTCTACGAGAATGAGAGCACACTACTTGATGGATGAGTATAATGAAAGTTTAACTTCCGGCGAGCTTGATGAAACTACTCCGCCTCGGAACTGTAAACTGAAGTGGCGAGCGGAAACGACACCACAAAAGGAAGTCACCTGGGAAGTGCTCCGACAGTAAACTTAAGCCACATCTAACAACTGTAACGCGCCAGTGCGACTGCTGATAAACAACCAAGTTAACTGGCGTAATCATTGGGACTCTTCGTCGCCGAAAAAAGTCCTTGTTTGTTCTTTTTTATTGAGAAATAAGCTGTCAAAGCGTGAAGAATTGAAGGGTGAAAAAGCGTGTCTACTTTGATGAATTCGATCTTCGCTAGCTCGTCGATAATTTGCACTAGCTCCACAGTAGTTATATTACACACATACTAATTAAGCAATTAAGCATGCGTTGTAAAAAAACACTTCTCATTTGTGATAAATCAAAATCTCTTAGACAGGCTGACAACTGTAGTGAATATAGTGAGTTGGATTTACGCAGAAAACTCATTATAAGACGATGCTAATGATAAAATTTATTTGCATTTCTTGCGAAAGTTCTCAGGTAAAAATGAACTGAGGAAGCACAAAAAATTCTACTTGGTAATTTGACCTTCAGATCATAGGATTCCCGTTTCCAGCTGCGGAAGCGTATCGTCTCTGTGAAAACTCTGCGCGCAGCTCAGATCTTTATTGGAAAAAATGAAACTCTGGGCGCGATAGCGGCGTTTCTAGTCCTCTTCCAACATCCGCAAGTTCTAATCGCTTTCCGTTCCTGATTCATGTTTCTGAGCTCAAGAGGGTTTATCGTAAATTTTCTTTCGTAACAGCACAATCATCAAAGAAAGGCCGCCTTCGTTTCATGCAGATAATAAACTCAAGTGTTAGATTATGCATTTCTTGTTGATTGTAGGGAGTTTCTTTCGACAGTACATCTATAGTTCGCACTTGATTTTCTTCATATTTGGCGTAGAAATCAGGAGGCTAATTAGGAGCATAATTATGTTTGACAAGAAAATTCCCGTCGGGCGTCAATCGATCAGAATTCATCTTCCGGTGCTCAGCGCCTCGGATCAAAGCGCCTATTTATGATTTATGATTTCTGTCCAAATTAAATGTTATAATATGATCTCCAAAAAGAAGGGCTCTTTGAGGAGCGGCACGAAAAATTTTAATCAAAGTTCCGGAAAGCGCCTGATGCGAGTCACTCAAGCACCTTCTCAGTAGTAAAAATCAAAAACACATATTTAAACATAATACAACACTGTTTCCGATTTTTTCTGTTTCATGTGAGAAAAAAAATCATCACGCCCTAAACTTGCCCAAACATTGGGCTCCTTACAATGGACTGCCCGGAGGCGAGTGATTAAGCAACTTCCTACATGGGGGCAAATGAACTTTTATCGGTCATTTAAATTTAATCTATTTAGCTAGAAAGACTTTTTATACTTTAGTTTGTCAAAACCGAACTGGCAGAAGTGTGACTCTATTGATCAATGGACTTGTTAACTTTTTACACCTCTCAGAAGTCGATTTTTACTGCTCGGATTGCCGCGAGTACTTTTTAATGAATGTCAGTGGCGCTTACTGTAACTGAAGCCCGACAGTGGTATCGGACTGAGAAGTCAATAAAAGACAGGTCTTTTATAAGTAGATAATAGTGAGAATCTTCTTCAGATTTGGCCTCGTTAGGCACTTGACAATTTATGAAACTAGGAGAAACGCTCCCAGGCCTAAATTCAGACACTGATAACTGTCAAATTAAAATTTTCAAAAGTTATCTCTCATTTACTCGTACTCGAGTTTTTTTCATAAAAAATATTTCTTGAAAATATGGCCCCAAAAATTTTTTGGAACGGAAGTGTTGATTTCCAGCTATATTTAACGCCCCTTCACATTTTATTTATCGCCTTCCATTGGCGAAAATTGTTAAAATCAGGTTTATGTCTTTTAATTTTAATTTGCGGCGCACATGGCTGACCTTTCGGCAAGTTCGGTTGGGGCGGAAATGATCGATCCGAATGGGATCAATGTTGTTGTCGGTGAGTAGCTTTGATTGTGGTGGAACTTGGCAAAGTACCTAAAGAACCACTTGGTTTTACTTTGACACAGGGTGGCAATTATCAAAAGAGTTAACGCCCTTTTCTAGCCTAACAGAACTTGTCTGACAGTTAAAAAAGTGCCTACAGAAATAGACTGGAAATGAAATCTTGAGTAGATCAATCGAGCTCGAATAAAAGGAGACATTTGGTGGAGATCTTGAAAATGAAGTAAAGTTGACTTAGGTATACAAAAGTAGTGAGCTCCAAGTCGAGTGGCAACACACAACTTGGAGCCAAGTGGCATATGTCGGATAAGTGATCCGTCTGCCGTGCTCCTTTGTTATCACAAGACGATAGAAAACACAAGGTTAACTCTCATCTTGGACTGATATTCTTCTCTCCCCACTTTTGACCCCAACAACTTTGATGACGTTTTTGTCCTTCACAGAGTGTCTAAGCCCCTAAGTGAAGCTCTGTAATCATGAATGCCTCAGTACCGGGTGGGCTAAATCGTTGAGTCTCTATCAGCATAGTTTCACGGCGCCATCGCGGCACTTTAGCCATTTTATCTGAGCATGCGCCGCGAAGAACTTATGAAATCTCATTATCGAAGCAACTATTTCACCGATCTTCAATTCTCATAACCACTGATTAAATTCATTCAATACAAACAAGAACAGACAACTAATCACTAGATACGCGTGTCAACTTTGTGAGAAGAATTTAAATAACTTCTCAGCTTTCTACGATAAGAACTTTCTACTAAGAGAAAAGGTAAAATAAAAGGTAGAAGTAAAGGACTGGAGAAATCAATGCAAAATGATATTATGGGCCCAAGTCAATCAAGTCTTTGGCGGCTGATCTTCCTAGTCGGATGACTGCTTTCATTATTTCTTTCTTGCTTTGGCAATCCATCCCCAAAGAAAGGCGGCGCCCGAGCGCGCTCCGGGGCAATATGCGCTCAACGCGAATCAGCGCGTCCTCTAGCGCCGCAACGCATAAACGGCGATAGAACATACATGAAGTCCGACAAAGTCAACTCATTCCTTTACCACTAACAGTTTCATCAGAAACTCAAAAATAAGAAATAGTTTTTCAAACCTTCACAGAAATCAACAAAGATAGAGATCAAGAGAGACTCTCAAAAAATGTCTGCGGCTGTTGCGAACGAACTGTAAGTTAAAAACTCTAATCAGCCAAGAAATATAGCATTTTTAAGGCCGGATGCAATCCAGAGCCCAGAGTTAACCCGAAAGCGCAAGCTGGAGGAGAATGAAGACATGGAAGAGATCGACCCAAAAGGTAGGTCATGGGCTAGGTTCAGCGGTTCCGGGGCTAGAAAATCAATCGGAAAAATGACAGGATGTCAATCTTTGCCGGGCAAGTTCAAAGGACTTAGCTGAATTTGAATTTAAAAGTACTCACGCTTTTGGCCATTCGTATTTTGTTAAAACTATTACTAAACTTTCTAACTATGAGAAACGCTACAGTAAAATGATTGTACTCTGGGAACTGCGGAAAGGACGCAATCATTCTAGCGGAAGTGAACTTTTGGCAGCACTAGTGCAGCACACTCCCACAATAATTTTAGGCACACACACATTCAGGAGGCTTGCGACCTCCTGCTCCTCGTAAATCAGCGCGTGCTCCAATTTCCACCGCCCTTTATTAGTGCCTTCACTTTTTCTCGTGTTACACTAAACACTTAAACTATTTAATTCTCAAAAGCGCGAGGTCGTAATAATGTCAGAAAAGTAAGAAAATGCCGCGGGCGCGTGTCAGCCCGATAATTGAAAGATTTAGCGCACTCGCAAAAGTGGCACTTCGCTCTCAAAAAGCCATCAGAAGCTGGGGCATAAATACGTCCAAAATAGAACGCTATCAGTAGTGATTTTTACGCACAAGAATATGCGCTTTTCAAAGTGATCACTTTGGCTGGCGAAATTTCGTGGGAGGCTGTGGTTTGATTTTGAAACAATTTACGGCGAGCCATCGAATTAGCCGTCAGAAAAAGTTTTATCGTGAGAATACCACAGTCTTCGTGTGCCCAAAGTTTATCTCGCCCACAAAGTGAAACCTGCCTCGAGGCGCCAGTCCCACTAGCAAGATCAGAAGTAAGGCCCTCGAGTATAGCGGCTTCTCGTCCGATAGATGAGTGATATGGTTGAGTGTGCGGTAAGCTGACCTGCGTGCCCGGAGCGTTACTTTTGTAATTTTCATGTGTGCCCAAAGCGTTTAAACGTATGGGATACTTCCTGTCCGGGGCGTAAATTTTAGCACTTTTGGAATTTACACACGCTAGTTGCTGGACTCACTGCAACCACTTCAATAATTGAGCCCAAAAAGGAAGCAGCGCGTGTGCCCAAAAAGGTCAAGTTGAAGCGCCACCTGATTCGGGCACACAAATTGTTATTGCTCCAACTTTTTACGTAGATATCATAAATCTCTCAGATGGCGGTAAATTTTATGCGGTTTGAATTCTCATACGTTTTTGAATTGTCATTGTATTGGAAGAGGGGTTGTTTTTGAAAGATACAGCAAAAGGAACAATGAGTGAGCGAAAAAGTATGATTCAAATATAAGTTGGGCCGTGTACTGTTTTATAGTGTGAAGCTCAAACTTCGGTGCCGCTCGTAAACGCGCGCGTGTGCCTAAGAGTAGATGCACTACTAGTGTATCTCCAGCTGTAAAAAGCAGGTCTCTTTTGTGTGTTTTACGGCCCAAATGCCAAATGTCCAACGGCTAGTGAAGTGAAACTTACGAGTGCGTCCCTTACAAAAGGCTTCAAAAAAGTATTGAAGTCGCTCTTTAATACGGGACTAGTGCTGTTTATACTAATGCTTGATTGATTTTTTTTCATCGCGAATTCAAGTTTTAGCAATTGTGTTCTAGCCAGACAGTGATATGTTAATTTGGAAATTGGTTCTTCAGTCTCATGGGCTCTGATCGATTTTTGAGTCCAGAATTTTTTGATATTGAGTCGCAGATAGTGTAGCTCAGCTTGAGAAATTTGAATTTTTCCGTCCACTTGTGCGTCAGCAGTAACGCTTTCTGAATACTAATTTTGGCGGAAGCTGAACAAAGCTATGATTACATGGTCGCTAACTCTCATCCTAGCCGAACACACGATCAAGCAGCCAAAAATTGAGCAGGATGAGGCCGAGGCTGAGAACGAACAGCTTAACGAAAGCAAATCAGACAACGATGTCGAAGAAATCCGACCATCAAGTACTGAAGGCGAGAATCGTCCACACATTCCTCACTCGATTCCGTCAATGATGGCAAATCCATTCTTCCCTCGACTCAATCCTGCTCTTCTGAATGGTCTTAACAGCGCGGCGAGTGGTACTCCACTTCCACCAGTTTCATCTGCATCAGGACTTGTTCCACCTCTGCCACCAACTCATCCCCTCATGGCTCATCTCCATCGAATGAATAACCAGCGAATGATGGGTGACCCGCGAGTTCCTTCAATGCCACTTGGACTGCCTCGATTTGACGCTCTTCGTCATTTCCCTCCCAATGGTACTAAAATACTTACTCTCAATCACATCTAACAATTTTTAGATGCATACATGCAGTCCTTGATGGCCTACCAAAACAACTACTCAAAAGACTCAAAATGCCCCACACCGGGCTGCGACGGCACTGGCCACATAACTGGACTTTACAGGCATCGGATTACGATTCTTGATTTGTATCGACTTTACTCGATCGACTTTTAAGAGTCACTGTTTCGAAAATCTAAAATTCAATTTGGTGATCCGACAATTAGCCACCATCGATCAATTTCCGGCTGCCCGCATCGCGATAGAATTCCAAAAGAACGTAAGTTTCCGCTTCAAAAAATCATTTTTCACTTTTTATCACAAAATTTTCGATAATAAAGTAGCCCTTTGAATATAATGCTGATTAGCCACCTCAGAGAATAGCCAATTTGCGGCGCTGTTCAACTTCAGCCAACTTTTTTCAAAGTTGAACAGCGCCACCCAACTTCCCGGATGATCCCGTTGAACTTTCGGCGAATCACAAAGCGCCGATAGTTTCAATTTTATCCCTCCAGTACGCCTCACGTGACCTCGCTTGCGTTATTTATCAGAACTCATTGAATAATTGAAGTAACTATCCTAAATCGTTCCATGTCGAAGTCTTATCATAGAACAGCAAGCAATAATTATTAATTTTTAGTCCTCGCGATGCACGAAAACACAGTCAAATGTCCAACTCCTGGTTGTACTGGAAAAGGTCACGTGAATGGAAACCGCCACAGTCACCGATCACTTTCTGGATGCCCTTTTGCCGCGAAGAATCGACATCTCCTCGGCAAATTCCCTAATGGAATCCCACCATCTCAAGACAAAGACAACCGCAAGTCGCCACTAGGTAAAAATAATGTCAGTTTTCTATAAATTAACATTTTCCTACAGGACATATGTCGCCTCCCCAAAACATCGTAAAATCGCCTCTTCAACTTCCCTCTTCCCTTCCAAAGCCAAACACCGACCATGGTGTTCGCCTGAGTCCGCAGCGTCGTCCAGAATTGCCCTTCCCAGAAGGAGCCGCCGCTCTTGGCCACTTTTCACCACATAACGTAAGTCAAGTGTTTACGATTCGGGGCGAGGCAAGCACTTTCTTTTCTTTTCCACCTCCGGTAACATTTCCGAAATACTCGAATAGTCTGTATTTGATCTTTGGGCTGGTCCTTCTTGAAATCTAACGAGAAATTATAGCGACTTGCTCCTGGTCAGCGACTCCCTCCTCTTCCTGGTCAGATGCCATCGCTCTTTCCCAGCTCGCTCTTTCCCAATCCAGCTTTGCTCAGCCAAATGATGGCCCAGAAGATCGAGCTCGCTCAAAAAGCAGCCCAGGCTCAAACTACCCCTCCTCACTTGAACAATTTCCGCCAGAGCCAGACCCCGCCAAGCGTCGAGACCCCCAAGAAGCTCAACTCGATCTCATCTATAAAAACGACGCCAAAATCAGACAGCGTGACATCGCCTCTTGATCTGACGACAGCTACCACGCGATCGCCGGATGTTTCCACAAGTCCAACGAGGGCAGAAGTTACTGATTCCGCGCTCAATGGTGAGTTTTGGCTGATTTTTTGTCCTTGGGTTAGAACCTGCGTACATCCTGTAAAAGTTTAATTTCGCTCGAAAAGTGATTTTCTCAGCGATTGGACTTGGCAATACGCGTAAAAAGGGATGAAAGAAGCTGACTACTTAGTATCACTTTCTCGTTAAAAATGGATAAACTCTGCCAAACGTTAGAGCCAAACGGATGAATTGAGATTATTGACAGTATTTTTGTTAATTATTAACAAATACGAAAGCTTTTCTCAGCTTGAATCTTACTGTCACTATTCGCGGTGATCTTTTGCGATAAGCCGGGGCAAGTTGACATGTGCATTCGCCGAATTAGCAAATTTATATTATTCTTATCCTTGCTTGAGTTTACAAATCTTTCATCTTGAAGCATGCATCGCTACTGCATCTTCGCGAAGGGATGATTAATTATTTGAAAATGAAAAGAAGGAGACGAGAAATGGATGATCCGCTTGTACTAAGGTTGACTTGCTTCTGCGGATAAAAGTGATCGAGTGGTGTTGAAATTAAATGTGAACAGTGCTGAACTTTAATTAGCTCAAGCTAGCTCAACTCAATCACACAAATCAATTTCAACCGCCGAGCAAGCCAAGTGCGAAACTGATCAAACAACGAGTCGCATTTGCACTTTTCGGTGCATTTATCGTCATCGAACGAAATCATCACAATACATTTCAGCGAGCTCGAATGAAGACAAGGAGGAGTTGCAGACGTCTGGATCTTCGTCTGGTCTGAAAATTGGGTATGTAGCATGGTTTCTATAGATCGAAAGATTCTTAAAAACTTTTCGAAATAAAATTGACAAGTACAAAAAATACACCTGTATTTTTGACCTCCAAATCGATCAAACACACTGTCAATTTCGCGCTTGTTCAATCCAATACAGACTTTTTCGCTTTTATTAACTACTGTATAAAAGTCGATACATACAAGACTTGAGCTTGAATGTTCTTTGCTTGATAAGCCGCGGTGGATTTCACGCGACCAGATGTAGCGCGAGAGTTGACCTGCGGATCAACCTGCAAAGTAGAAGGCACCTTTTCGCGGTAGTTAATGAGCGAATCATCAAAAAGAAAGGGATCAGCCACTTGTTCGAGCAGCACTTGAGACGGTGCCAACGCCCGACAGATTGGCTAATCTCACCTTTATATAATTTATATATAAATTTAAAATTCTTTTTTGAAAAAAGGCGTGAAAATATTTGACGGTAGTTTTTATGAACTTCTGTTCAGAATCTACTGGACCTGTTCTTTTTTAAACTTTTCAAAATAGCCATTTTACGGAGGGATTTTAGCAAGTGTCAAATGCAATATTGAGAGTTTTTTGGCAGTGATCAATTTAATATTAACACTGCAAAATATACAATCATCATTTTAATACGGTGTTTAGTCATTCGAGTGCGAAAGAAACGACCGCAGCTCTAGATGAAAGCCAAGCCACCGAGCAAAAGGTAAGAAAACCAATATTCAACCTCATTTAATATCTTATAATTTCACATATAATGGCACGTACTCTACTACCACATAGTACATTATCAAAAGCCACAGAGCCAGATAGTAATCATTAATGTATACTCGTCGCCTAGCGAGTGATTTTACGCAAATATTCTCTTAACAGATGGACTCGATCAATTGAAATTAATCCATAATACAGTACTAATTCTGATGATTTTAAAAAGACAAATTGTTTAAAAATCATGTTCAGGAGAAATTCGAACAAATGGCTAGAGAACGCGACCAAGCCCTACTCGACCAGTCCCTTCTTCTCGAACGCCTGAAGGCTATTGAATCTGCTCGAACTCAACAGTCCGCTCTTTCCTCCAATCTCTTCATGCGATTCCCTCACTTTCCTTCTCCAGTCGAATCTCAGGTGAGCAAAGAAAACTAATCTCTGTTCTAATTTTACCGTTCAGCCTCAGTTGCCACTCCTTTCCGGCTTTCACCCAGCGCTTCTCCGTCATCTCTCCGTCATGCAAAATTCTTCAGACTAAAACGAAAACTATTTTTCACTAAAAAAACCACTTCCTTCAACGCAAACTTGAAAACAAATTTCTTACTATTGCAAATATTTTATACGCTGTATATTTTATACATGAATCATCAAATGTATTTATTAAATTTAAAATATTCAACTAATTTGGGTTTTGTTCAGTTTTGTCTCAGCAGTTAGTGGGTTAATTTTGATCGCAAGAAATAAAGTCAGAATTAGAGAAGTCTACTAGACAATACCGTCGTAGAGAGAAAGGGCTTTTCTGGGCTCAAGAATTGCTCAAATCAGCAATCTACTGAATCTTTCTTTGAGCCCTTCCTTGAACGATTGATTTGTCTGTTTTTGCAACTTCCATGAATTCTTCCTTTGAAAGGCTTCCATTTCCATCCTACAAACGTCCTTTATAAGCTCTTTTCCCGACACTGATTTTACCTTGTCCATCTTATCAAAAATCTTGTCAACTCGTTCCTTTGGAGTACAGTTCTCTAAAACATAGGGTAGAGGCAAAACGAAATCAAGGAAGAGTACCTTTCTTTTCGTTCTCGCCAACCATTGAGAAAATCGCCTCTACGATCGCCGTCATTTCTTTTCTTGTGATTGTTCCATCATTGTCCAAATCGTAAAGTCGGAAAGCCCATTCCAGTTTTTCTTCGAGTTTTCCTCGTGATGTCACGGATAGCGCCTAGAATTTTGAAAACAACAATTAAAAGTGGAGGAGTAGTACCTGAAGAAACTCTTCAAACTCAATGGAACCGTCGCCGTTATCGTCAAAAACGTTGAAAACAAATCTTAAAGAAAGTTAAAGAAAAGTAAAAATGTACTGATCTAACTGTGAGAAAGCAGTGGGATCTCCCTTTGGAAAGAACTGATTGTAGATTTTTGAAAACTCGCCCTTGGACAACTTTCCGGTTGGACAGTCCTTCATGAAACCATGATGCCAGTGTTTGATCTCTTTCGGCGAAACTTGGATCGTTGTCATTTCAGAGAGAAAAGCGGCTGCTACTTACATTTAGTTTTGTCGCTGAGATCGGCAAGCTCCTTCTTTGTAAGCTTGGCCTGCTTAGCTCCCATTTTTCTCTCGCTACTTTTTACGTTTTTGCTCGTTTAGCGGCTCGCCTCTGAGATAACGTCTGCAAACGTCTCGGAAGTAATAACCACTTTTAATTCTCCGCTGCTACAAGTAAACGTAAGACGTCGAAAATAAATCACGTTCAATCTAATAGCTCGTCCAAAATGCTAATTGTAGACTACTACGAGTGGAGGGATACTTTTACTACTCTTGGTTCAAATCGAGAATGTCAGGGAGTTATCTTCTTATCCTGGGATTTTTTGAAAGGTCTCTTTGTGTGTTTTCCGAAAATAACGAGTGGGGTAGATTACTCGTGTTCACTTTTAACCTCAATACGGAGTACTGTATAAGCCTGGGGTCGGCAACCTCATAAATGATCTTTCAGACCCTGACTCAGGTATTCTACACAGGTTGTCGAGCCCAGGTAAAAACTGCCAGCACGAAATTGATAATAGAAAAAGTAAGAACTTACATTTGTCTTCCAAATTTTTTAAACTTTTCTTAAAACGACTTCTTTGAAAAAAACTCTTTATTGCAAAAACGAAAAGTGAGCGAGTCGGCGAGTGAAATCTGCGGAGCGCCGGGTTTGCCGATTAGCTTGATTAGAAAAAAAGTTAAATTAAAGTTATTTTATTGAATGCAAATGCTTGTAAGCACCTTTGTAGCTTTTCATCCATCAGATGGGCCAACTGCAATTTGCGCTTCTTCAGTCGACTCTTACTGAACTTTCTCATCATCGTTATGGAAAAGGCGAATCAATCTGTTCAAATAGTGTCGCTCTTTCCCTCGCTTACTGATGAGCTCACAGTTCATTCCAGGTACGCCAGTGATGGAAAAACCTTCTACAGAAGATAATAGTGTTCCTCAAATCGCCCAAGTATCCAGAAATTTGCCATATTATACTATGAGCCATATTATCTGATTCTATCATAAAAGAAGAAAACTGACCAGGGTTACAGTCGTCTTGAGTTGTATCCATCACAGCAAGACAACGAAATACACGATAAACACGCTAATATCAAAATAAAAATCAGTTAAACTTTTACATCTTCCTGCATCTGCTGTAGCCGCAGAAGGTTGACTCTGATCTTTCAACTTAAAGTGTAGGTGATGACGCTTCTTTACCGCCTGGTATTTAAGTTATGAGTGCACTGAACCTGTTTCAGCCAGGCGATCCATCAGATTGACGGAGGTGTCAGTTTTAAAACACGAATGATAGAATTTCTACAGTCCAAAATGAAATACGATGTGTTACAATAATCATCATCACAATTCGCCGGACAATATTCCCACGGTTGAGCGGTTAATGGGGCTGCCGGTTGATTGTAATTCGAAGGAAACGATCTATTTCAGGCTTTGTCAAATTCTCAGATCGCGCTCAGAATCTTCAGCTTGTCGCTGATTGGTCGCGCTTGGAAATCCGCCGCTCATTGGCTTGGCGCCATCGCTCCCGCCAGATTCATTTTCAGATTCCGGATTTGACAAATTCGCTCCCACTTCAAAAGCGAACGAAAGACCAAATTTCAGAAACAAAAGAAAAGACTAGAGAAGCGTCTCTAGAAAATATATACAGTCAGCTGGAAGCGTCGCGTCATTGCTGTAAGTCTCCCTGTAGTTCAAAGTTCACGTTAACGAGGACAAGTGATTATTGAAATAGACGTAGGCTACAGTTATTTATAGCAAAACGCATAAATGATATTTTACGACAGTCAGTCTGTAAGACTCTGTATATCTCAAAAGGGGGCTCTTTGTTTCGTAAAAGAATAATTACAGTCTAAAAGTGGTTCTTTCATAAAGCTTCAATTTAACTATTGCTTTCATAAAGAAAAACCTGGGAAGAATGATTTATTCTAAAAAATACTGAATATTTTTTTTGTTTCAAAATTTTCTTTTGCCGAATTTTCTCTTTTGCCTTATATTTTAACGATTTTGGCCTAATTCTCAAAATGGCTCTAATCTGGATAAAAAATAAAGATCACACGAGTAAACTAACCTTTGGCCCTCTTTTTAACTGCTGACAGATCCTAAGCGGCGCCTTGCACCTTCATTCTATTTCAATTTTTCAAATCGTTTATTCCAAATCACGAGCAAATCAGACCAGACAAGACTTAACCCGAGAGAATAAATAATGAGCAGTGAACTTTTCAGCTCGGGACTCTTCGACAGAAATCAACACGGCGAAATCGTTCTTCATGAATCTGTAGAGCAAATGGCGCAGGAACTTAGAGTTGGAAACAAATTCCGGTGCGTCTTTTATTTTTGGTCATTTGTTGATTATTAATCAGGCTGGGACGGAAGATTGGCTCTGGATCGTTTGGAGATATCTACCTTGGATCGAATATCTACAATAACGAAGATGTTGCCATCAAACTTGAATCAACCAAAACCAGACATCCGCAACTCAATATCGAATCGAGAATTTACAAGTAAACTTTTACAAAGTTTAATATACAGAAATCAAACAATTAATATTTCTTTCTGCAGCCATTCTTAATTTCTCTTCAGAGCAATGGCTGGTGGCATCGGAATTCCACAAATAAAATGGTCGGGGTCAGAAGGAGACTATAATGTTTTGGTAAGAGATATTTTTTTAATTTGAGGTTTATTTTTTTGCCCTAGATCTTGGAGCTTCTGGGGCCGTCGCTGGAAGATTTGTTCAACTTCTGCAACAGAAAGTTTTCGATGAAGACTGTTCTCATGCTCGCTGATCAGATGATCTGCAGGATTGAATACGTCCACAGGTAAGTCGCTTGGGGAAGAATGCGAAAGCCATAAAGGTGATCTTTCCTTGAGGATATGGGATTTTTTCTTGAGGTCAAAGATTTAGTCTATGATTACAAAAACTTACTGACTTCCCAACTATGCTTCGGCAAGTGAGTATACAAACTTCCTTACCTTACGTTATATGAAGACGATTTTAATTCCGACAACAGTTCAACCAAACCCAGCAGGGTTTTACCAGCCTCAATTTTCATCGAAATCTGAGATCGATTAGCTCTATGTATAACTAAAAATAAAACATTTTAAAAGATCTCATGAGGCTATAAGATTCCACGAAATCGATAATTTTTTTCTCTCGAGCACAGTGTTGTATTTATAACTGTACTCTGTGCCGGTGACGACAAGCCGTTGTGGCCTAATGGATAAGGCATTGGCCTCCTAAGCCAAGGATTGTGGGTTCGAGTCCCATCAACGGTATCTTTTTTCGATTTCAAACGCGCTTTTATCCGCCTTTTCATCGATCCAAGTCCAAAATTTCTTTCCAAAATTCACTCTCAATAACTCTTCAACGACCCTTCCTCGATTTTCAGATAATTACGTAATGATGCAATTAAAATCGAGAACTAAACGACTGCTTCAGTAAAAACTTCATCCACCGAGACATCAAGCCAGATAATTTCCTCATGGGATTGAGGAAAAAAGGCAACATGGTTTACATCATCGATTTTGGTCTAGCCAAACGGTAAGTTCTCATAACAACTTTCCGATTTGAGGCTAATTGATGTATTCTAGCTACCGCGATCCAACAACCAACTTTCACATTTCATACAAAGAGCACAAGAGCTTGACCGGAACTGCCAGGTAATTTCTTTTCTCTGAAAACGAAAATAATCATTTTTGTAGATACGCCTCGCTGAACACGCATTTAGGATGCGAGCAAAGTAGGCGAGACGATTTAGAATCACTTGGATACGTTTTGGTTTATTTTATCAAAGGCCATCTTCCGTGGCAGGTAAAAAATCATCAGGGTTATTCGGTCGCGAGATCTGCTGATTTAGGGGCTTAGAGCTGTCACCAAGAAACAAAAATACGATAAAATCAAAGAGAAGAAACTGGGCACACCCCCTGAGGTAACTTTCTCGAAATTTGAAAGCAATTCATTTTTACAAAAAGGTATTATGCGGCGCGAAGAATTCAGAAGAGGCACATTGGATGCACGCGTTTGTTCAATACCTAAAAATCTGCAGAACGCTCAAGTTTGAAGAGCGTCCGGATTACACCCATCTAAGGTTTATTTTTTCATCTTCTTCAATTATAATCCCCGTTCAAAGGTGCCTGTTTAAAAATATCTTCACGACTGCCGGCTACAAAACCGATTTCGTCTTCGACTGGAACAAAGTCGGCCCAACAAGTCGCTCGTAAGAAAAATCCCGGCATCGAAAGAAAAAATCAACCCTCAAAATCAAAATCTCCGTTTCATACACTTTCGTACCCGTGCCTTATTTTTTAATACTTTTTTTTATTCAGCTTGAAGGCCCATTTTTTTTTGGTTTCGCGCTACAACTTCAAAATCCAAATTTCGGTCGCTTTTTGCGCGATTCCGGGACTAAAAAGCACCCGTTTCTTGGTTTTTACTGTATTCAATTAGCGTGTAGGGATTACCTTTTGCCATTTTATTACATTTTCTATAAACTTATCCGACTGAATGTATACAGTACTGAGTACAAGATTTTCTGCAGAACATAACGCTTTTTATAAAAAACTACGCCGAAAAATGAGCCATTTGAAATGGCACATTTCAAATTTCGTTCATCTGGACTGTTCTATTTTCAACTGCATTCTTTTTCCACTGTTTTGTCTTCAACAACCAAAGACTGCTACAAAAATTACAACATTTATCAAGAAAAAACACTTTACTCGTTTCGAGGAATAGTATCGTATTTATTCATTTTATCCGAATTTCTTTCAATTACAGTTGCAAGTTGCAATTTTCAGTCAATATTTTCTTATCAAATGTTTTTCAAAAAGCAATAAATACAGAATCTTCAAATGTTGAGCTTGTTTATTCTTTGTAGTATGGTTTTTTATTTCACATGTCAATCGAGGCCGGACTTGGCGCAGAAATATATTATTTACATGGGGCGAGATAAGTTTGAGAACGAGGCGCTGATTCACAACGGATGGCCCGAAGATTTGTGGTTTCACGTTGACGGTACTCTTTTGCTTCCTTTCCACCACTAGAATTATTTCCCTTCGTCTTAGATTTATCGTCTGCTCACGTTTATCTCCGCCTTCCAAGAGGTGAGACCTTTGAGAGCGTTCCACAAGAAGTGGTCGAGGAATGCGCATCTTTGGTCAAGGCCAACTCAATCAAGGTCCGATAAAAACAGAAAGGTTAATCGATAACTAAATCCTAGGGCTGCAAAATGTCTGAAACGAAAATCGTCTATACACCTTGGGAGAATTTGAAGAAGACTGCGGACATGGTCGTCGGTCAAATTGGCTATCATAATCACAAGCGCTGCAAAGTATATATTTTCAAAAGTAATCTTGTGATTATTTGTTTCTTCAGTACATCACCGTGAAGAAAAACAACGACATCGTGAAAAAGATCGAAAAGACGCGCTCAGAGGACATGAAGCCAGATCTGCAGGCGGAACGACTCGCCCGGGACGCTGAAGTCCTCGCCGAGCAAAAGCCAAGGCGAAAGACGCAGCTGAGAAAGAAAAGGCCTTCAAGCTGCAATGCGAGAAGGAAAGATACGAAAAGTCATACGATAGACTCTTTGAAGATGATCCGCCCGCGACGACGAACAACGACTCCGACAATGATTCCGACGATTTTATGTGAGATTGAAGATGATTCATCTTTCCTGCCCGGATCGTTTTGATCGCTTTAGTTCAGTTTATGTCCAACTCAAGAAATGTTCACTAGGTTCTCTTTATTGCAATCTACTACTCAAGAAGACGCATTTCTTTATTGATCATTCCATCGTTTTAGAATGCTAAAAGCAAGTATCAAATCCAAGCACGGCGAAGATAAATTCGAGGTAAACGAGATTTTTCAGCAACTTGACCAAGATCAACTTAATTTCTAGGTGTCTAAAGAAGGCCTCTTATCGGAAGCGATGGATAAGCTACGCGAAGTAATCAATGCGAAAATGACACAATATTGCGAGATAGAAAAGGCGGCAGAAAAAGAAAATCCAGACGCTCCAGCGGACAAGAAACGAAAGAAGGAATCGGTGGAATCGGAAGAGTAGCCAAAATAGAAAGTCTAAAATTCCGCCACTCGTCGATTCAAAGTTGATATGCTCAATTTTCAGAATGGCATCGGAGCGGCAAAGGGATGAAATACTCGCACTTGAGGTAACAGTTGCCTTCTTGGATAATTATTTAACTTTACTTTCAGTCAATTTACGACCATTTTTACATGAATGAGGAGCGAGGAACAGGAATAATCTCGATAAAAACTGTTCTCGAAGAAGATGTGACAGTGCGATTCGAAGAATCTGAAATCAAAGTGTCTCATTTGCCCCCGATATCGCTCAAAGTCAACTTGCGAAAAGAATATCCAGAGACTCTGCCGCCTCTTCTTACTCTTTCCTGCTCCTGGCTAGGGACCGACAAGCTCGAGAAGCTTCATGATCTTCTTCTGGACGCATTCGAAGAAGATACAGAAGTACTTTTCCTCTGGATTAATTTGATTCAAGATGAGCTTTACGAAGCCCTTGAGCTGTCAGAAGGCGTGGTAATCGAAAGAATTCAAAAGAACACGGTTAAAAAGCTCGAATCTGGAAACATTCTTCGATCAGAATACAGAGACGGCGCGTCAATGTTCGCTAACTTGATCGATTACAATTCAAATACGAAGAAGCAAGAGTTCAATTCAAAATACGCCGACTGCGAAATCTGCTTAACTTCAAAACAAGGATCAAAATGCGAGCTCCTTTCCTGTGGGCACATTTTCTGCAGAGAGTGTCTTGGCGAGTTCTTCAAAGTGATGATTACGGAAGGCACGGTTCTAGCGCTCAAGTGTCCTCATTGTGGAGAAGCAGTCGCCTACAGTATCCTCAAAGATTGTGTCTCGAAAGAGCTGTTTGATCGATTCGAGCAGTTGATGTTTCAGAAGGGCCTCGATGGAATGGACGACATCGCTTACTGTCCAAGACCGAGCTGTAGAATGCCAAGTATTATTCTCTCGAAGGAAGATCGAATCTGCATGTGTTCTGTTTGCCAGTATGCGTTTTGCAATCTTTGCTTCCGCTCCTCGCATTTTCCTGCGCCCTGCCCCGTCAATTCGAAAGAAGCGAAAAAGATAATTGCGGAATACGAAGAAGCTGAAAAATCGGGAGATAAAAAGAAGGTCAAAGCATTGATGGATAGATACGGGAGGAATATTTCGACAATTGTTGAACAACACAAGGTAAGACCAATCCATTTTTCCTGGTGAGTATTGAAATTTGTAGAGCATGGCTTTTATCCGCGAAAATTCCGTCCCGTGTCCAAAATGTAATCAGGCAATCATCAAGTCTGATGGCTGCAACAAGATGGTTTGCGGCACTTGCGGGGTATGTTAAAAACTTTCCCGCATCGGATCACTTCTAATTCCTTTTAGACCTACTTTTGCTACTTGTGCGGTCGCATCGTTGATCGAGCAAATCCATACTCTCATTTTAACTCGAACAATTCGCAGTGCTTTGGCAGGCTTTTTGAAGGGGCAACGATGGACGATCTTGGCGAATATTTTGACCTCGTAATGTAAAAACTTGTATTCTATCTCATCACAGTTCCTTTTGATTCCATTTCTGTAAAAAAACGAATTCGGATAAAATAAAAAAAATCAAGTATTATTGAGATTGAACGAAATCGGCTCGATATGCGTTTCGTAAAAGTTCCTTCCGCAACCGTGCTTTCTCGCAGGCAACTTTCAGTTCCAGAAGTAAGCGTCATTCTTTCAAATTTGTAGCGTCAGGAAATTTAGGCAGAGCGTCTCTTAGGCATTCCAAAGCAGAGCTCGCAGAAAGAAATCAAGAAGGCATACCTTGAAAAGGCGAAAAAATACCACCCGGACAATCAACAAACTGGAAGTGCGGGGAAATTCAGGGATTTAAAAAAGGCCGCAGAGATTTTGGAAAATCCAGCAAAAGCAGAAATAGTCCGCGAACCTGGCAACTTTCAGCAGCGAAAGTACAATCCCGATTCAAAATACGAAAAAGCGTACCAAAAAGATCAACATACTGCTTACGAGAGAAGAAAAGACGGGGAGCATAAATTTGGCTATAATGTCGGTGGATATGTGATTATTCCCTGTCTGCTGGTTTTTGGCTTGTTCCGATTTATCGGCTATGTGAAGGATAAAGCTAAAGAAGAGACAGTGAGACTAGAACCCTTAGATGCAACACCTGCAGTTCCGTTTGAAGAAGAACTCACAAAAATTCTTATAGAGATCAAGAAGGGTACACAAACTTACTAAATTGAAGTTTTTCTGAGCTTCTGAATACCCCGTAAAAGACAAGAAGAAAATATAACTTTTCAATAAAACAACTCGTTGTCCAATATCGAAATTATATTAGAAATAAGCATAAAGCGATGCTACTTGAAGACAGAGATATCTTAAAAATTGGCGTGCTCTGTCATCATCATCCAGACAGAGCAACAAGAGTTCTTGATAATCCATCACTTCTCGATTCTTATATTAATCGCTTTGACCCTACCTCGAAATAAAAAGAATACAGTTCAAAAAAATGATTGCAAATATATTTTTGAAGAATGGATTTACCGCCAAACGCGCCTCGTAGAAAATGTGATCGGTACATTTTGCACCCTGATGAGCTGAAAAGTATTTTGGAAAACTTACAAAACCTGTCGAAAGCAGAAAACAACCAGACTGGCAGACAAAGAAAGGATAGTGAAAATAAGAATTCCAAGGATCCTTTCAGAGGTTTGTTACGCATTCGAGACTTATTATAAGGAAGCAATTCAGTCTTTCACGGAATCGGACCAGAAGGTTGTCAGGCAATAACATCGCTCTGCTTCGCGCTCAAGAATTCTCCTTTACCTGGTTTCGAAGTTTCTGAACCCTACATCGAGCTTTGGTCTGGTCTTCCAACTATGCATGCTTCTCTGAATAAAATTACTGCTCAAAATTAAATTCTTCAGGCGCTTGAAAATATTGAAGCTCCTTTCGTTGTTTTGATTCTCTCCCGAGGGCATCCGACGGCTCCCGAGCAGATCCGCAGGGGCGATGACTATGCGCCGATCTGGCAAACATAATTCAACTCGCTTTTTAACGCTTCAGAAGACAAAGGAAAGCCTCAGTTAAAAGAATTAAAATGCAAGATAAAGTTTACAGATTTTTACCTCCCGCAATAATTGCATTTATTTCGATCTACTTTCAATCATGGATTGCGACTTTTATTGTTGTTGGTTTCGTCGCTGCACAAGAGAGAAAGAACAAAAATATAACTGGAAAAATCGAAGAGAAATGGAATCCGACAAATGAGCTTTTGAGGTGTATAAAAGGAGGGGCTCCTTGGATGTTCAAAGTGAATGCCAGCTGCTTTGGCCTTTTGACCTCGTACCATAAAACTATTGACTGGGAAAGTATCATCAAATGTTCGATTGAATACAGGTCAGTAGTCTGAGCATGATTTTTTTTAGTTCTTAAATTAATTATCGTAGGGAACCGAAAATTTTTGATTATCTGATCTACTCAAGCCAGAACAACAAGTCTCTTCACGCTTCCTTCGTTGAAAACTTATCTGACTGGTTCAAGATGGTAGTTCAATCTGCTGACCCAGAGCTAGCCAAGCTCTTCTTTGACGTATTCGGTACCTTTTCAGAAGTCCGCACGATTCCAAAAAAACTATCGATAGAAGGAAACAAGAATCTAGCCGAAAATGGAACTTTAATTATTCTGAAGAAACAACCTATTCGAATAATAAATACGAACTTCCGCATCGAAAACTACTCATCAGCTATTCGAACATGTCCTCTTGGAGGTGGCTCATCGATGCCACTCAGATTTGAAGATATTGAGCTGATGGTCAAAGAAAGTGCTTACTTTCAAAGCCGCAACAGATTCAAGATTGACAAGATGGAGATCTATTTTTCGACTTCTGAACAAAATGCGCTCACAGGAATTGGCTTTATTTCGGGTTTATTTTAAAGCATTACTTCGAATAAATCCATGATAGGATTATTTTCAATCATCAATTACTTGCTTCAAAAAGAGTCTCAAACAATGGAAAATCTTGCTGCAAAATACCTTAGAATCCTGGAGCTTTTTCTCAAACTACCCCTGAATATCTCAGAGAATGTAGATTGCCAAGAGGTCCTCGACTTTCTAAGATTCTCCGAGGAAACGAAAATATGGAAAACTGAAGTTGGCGTCTCAGTTGCTAAATTAATTAACATAGGTCATCCCCTTGTTACCAGGATAAACGTTGGCGAAAATCTGAATTTAGCAGGATAACCCCCTGGCAAACTTGCCCCCACGTTAGCAGGATAAACTTTGGCAAAAGGGCTCATTGTTAGCAGGGTAAACTTTGGCACTCAATTAACAGGGTAGCGTGAATCATCCGCGCTCGCCCGGAGCGTTACGTAACTGTTAGCCCGAGGAGGACCCAACCTGTTTGAAGAAAATGCGAAAAATGAAGAATATGAGAAAATGAAAATTTTCACTTAAAATTTCCATGAATTGCAAGTAAACAATTTTATCATTATTATTTAATCTCTTTCAAATATCATAAAACTGCTAAATAACTTTTTCTAACGAATAAATAACCGCTACTAAGACCGAAAGAGAAAGACGATATTTTTACAAATTTATGTTTGGATAAATATTTGATAGAATCTGCCTTCTTTGATATTTCAAAATACAGTATATTTATTATGAATATTAAAAAAGATAATTTTTTGCAGTGAATTCTTTCAACACTATACATAAAGCAGCTTTTTCTTTTGAAAAGAATCGTAAAAATACCGTCTTTCTCTTTTGGTCTTAAAGACCAAAATTTTTACTAACTAATAGAAGCGGTTATTTATTCATTAGGAAGAGTTATTTAGCAGTTTTTATGATATTAGAAAGAGATTAAATAATAATGATAAAATTGTTTACTTGCAATTCATGGAAATTTTAAGTGAAAATTTTCATTTTCTCATATTCTTCATTTTTCGCATTTTCTTCCAACAGGTTGGGTCCTCCTCGGGCTAACAGTTACGTAACGCTCCGGGCGAGCGCGGATGATTCACGCTACCCTGTTAATTGAGTGCCAAAGTTTACCCTGCTAACAATGAGCCCTTTTGCCAAAGTTTATCCTGCTAACGTGGGGGCAAGTTTGCTAGGGGTTTATCCTGCTAAATTCAGATTTTCGCCAACGTTTATCCTGGTAACAAGGGGATGACTTATGTTAAATTGTGGTTTGGAAATCGAGGAAATCTGCAATTTCGATGCAAACAAGAAAGAGTTTCTCTTTTTTCATCAACTTTTAGAATCATCAACAAAAACTCTTATCAGCTATTTTGAAATCCTGCGAAGAAATTCAAGCGTTCGAGAAAAATACAGAAATCCCGGAAATAATCCGTGAGTATGTTTCGCTCAATACTTCGACAGAAAACCTTGCTCTGTAAACATGTGTCTGTCACATCAACACTCGCCATTGAAATCTTTTATCTTTTCTATGTCCTTGATCAATAAATTTGGATTATAAATCCAATTGAAGAGGTGTAGATCCTTGATTAATCTGAACATCCCCAATGCAATAAATTCTTCAAATCCAAAAGCAGCAGCAAACAGAGTTCTTTCAAGAATAAAGCGTTCAGCGAGAGAATTTTTTCAAGCTCGATAAAATCACAGAAGTAGGTTTACCCAGCAGGGAGCATTAATTCAATTGAAAAAGACAAGACTCTTTTATTTCAAGAGGATTTAATTTTGATGAAGATTTTATCAAGGATAATTGTAACATCAAGAAAAACAGGAATTTGACAGAGAGTTGGGTGGCAAGGTCGTCTCGTCGAAAATGGATTAGAGAGGGCTTTGCGCGGATTCTCTTGCCAAAGAAGATAATTTTCTTCTACCCAAGCTTGTTGGCCTTGTTCGTTGAGAAGGAGAGAGAAATTGGTCGAGGATGAAGCTCGCCAGTATCGGGCTTTTGGCCCTTGCAAATGCAGATCCTGAAGGTATCAGATGAGACAAAAACAGATATTAAAAAATTGTAGGGAGCATAAGATTGAATGCGAACGACCCAGGTCAAGAGAAATTCCGTAACTCAAAGTATGGTCGTCTTGAGGTAGAAAAATACATGAATTCATGTTAAAACTTGATAATAAGATGGTAAGCGGTGGAAGATGGGGAACCATTTGTGAAAGTGGCTTCGACAGAAAAGCGGCGGAGGTTGCGTGCAGGAGCTTGGGTTTCCGGTCAGCTGGATGGGTTTCGAATTATTTCAAGATCTCCAAGGGAAACATCGGAAACTTGATGATCGAGACAGGTCGAAAGATTCACTACTCTGACTTTGTCTGCAACGGCGAAGAAAGCGGTTTGATGGAATGCAAGTACAATGGTGCTGAAGAACTTCCCTGCATGTGCACTGAAGAACACGACGTCGTGATGCAGTGCAAGGGTAAATGCCCGATCAACCCCGAGACTGAGCAGCCTGATTGTACTCTTCCTGATAAGCCAAAGATGAAGCCAAAACATATTTGTGAGGGCATCCCAGCTGATTGTATGAGGCAATTTGAGGTGCAAATTCCACATTGATCATTTTAAAATTATTAAATTTAGAATAACATCGAGAACACCTGCAATGGCTGCCGACAGTGGTTGGAAGCCTGCGAAGCGCACCCAAGTATCTCCCATTTTGTCTACCCCAATGGACGTGGTGATGCGTCAAGCACCCTTCCTCCCCTCCATCCCCACCAGCGCCCCCAACTACAGTCCTTATTACCACAACTCTTCCTGAAACAACAACGACTACAACTACTACGTCAACCACTACTACAACAGTTGCGGAGACCACAACTGTTGACCCAGCGAGCATGTCAGGCTCGAAAACTGGAGATGATTGTATAACTCTCGTTTATGAACTGCCAAATAACTTGATCTCTAGCTGAAGATGGTGACAGTAGCAGCAACGACGGAGCAAACTGCAGAATGCTCGAGGGTGGCGGACAAATCTGTGATGAAGTTGAAGAAGAGGATGAATTCCCAAGGTACTTGTATCATGAACCTCTCAAAATCAAAATCTTTTGCTTGTGAATTCATCTGCTAACGGGAGAGTCTTGTCGGTAATGGTTTTTCTTTAGCCGAACTGACAATGCTGACGTGTCAAGCATGATCGCCAATTCTACTTTTGAGTCTTTCTCTGGGTACGTAAAACATTAATCTTGTCGTGAATTACTGACAATATAATCCTCCTAAGTCAACTTCTTAATACTTCTTTAGCGATGGGGCCGAGGAAAATGATGATGAGGACTTGGGTGCAAAACCAAATGGAATCGTCGCTGCGATCAACTCTGAAAAGTTTTACTATTATTTATCTGGAATTATGTATAATTTTCTATTTAAAAATTGTAAATAAGCTATCTTATTTAATTAACCATAAACTATAAAATTATTTTTTTTGCGAGCTATAACTAGCACTAACGTAATCCTAGTCCTTTCGATTCGGAAGAAGCTATCAAGGAAGCCGCTGAAAACAACGAATGGAGCAAGGTCGAGATCAACAATATCCTCAACCCGCACGAGCCCATCGCTGACGATAATCCAATCAAAACTGAAGCTTCCCCTGACGTGTTGGATGAAGCTGAAGAGTTCCCCCGCGACGAGTACGATACGACTTACATGAACACAAATGAAGAATTCGACCGGGATTCTCAATCGGACGATCCCGAGATTGACGAGGGCAATTTGAGCTCGGAAGAAGCCGTCGAGCTGGTCGAAGAAGAGATCCGTGAAGAGGAAGCTGAAGAAATTGAGGATGAGTTTGAGTCTGAAGACCGTAAATCTCCAATGCCAACAAGCGAACCAAAGCCAGTCCATGTTCCTACTTCTCCATCTCAGGTAAATACCCATACTTTTATTATAAGCACATTTATATAACCTTTCAAGCCCGAGAAAAAGCACCTTCCAGCAAACACCCAAAAACCAATTGTCCAGGTAATTTTGGAGAGTTTCAAAATGCTAATGATTTTAAGAATCACGGCGAAGTGTCCGACGCACGAAAAGCCGACGGAGCTCAAAACGATGACGAGCCCGAAGTTTCTATCGCATCGATGGGCAACATCAAGATTCCTGCATGGGTCTGGATCCTTGTTGCTATCATTTCTGTTATCGTTATTCTGTGCCTTGTCCTTGCAATCACTCGCTGCGTTCGAAACGGAAGCGGCCGAGTTCTTTACAACGAACCTGGACCAAAAGGACCCAAAGTCTAACTTTTTAATAAATCCCTACTAGAAGAGTTCTTGTGTCTTCATTCAGAAACAACGGAGTACTTTCTGAGCCCCTGACGAAAATTGACTGCTTGACAATAGTGTGGTAAGCGTCAGAAGAGGAGGTAAGAGGTCCTTGGTTGTAGAGGACCATTATTTAACACAAAAGACTGGATAAAGAGCCTGAGAATAATTGATCTTGCCTTGTTCTTGTCTGACACCAATATGACAACATAATAATTCAGCAACTAAATTTATTCAATTGCGGATATTCATAGGATCAAATTTTAATCTTGTAAGAAGATTTGACAGTGTTAATAATAATTTTAAGCATTTCCGTAACTCGGAAATTTGAAAGGGGGAACGTAATTTTGTAATTGAGCATGAATTTGCGCTAGAATTGAACTTCAGCAGGATTTACTCTTTGTTGAAGTAATCAAGAGATCCCTTGGGGTCGGGCTTCATCGTGGAGCTGCCTGGCTTCCAGCCGGCGGGGCAGACTTCGCCGTGCTCATCGGTGAACTGGAAGGCCTGGACGAGTCGGAGGGTCTCGTCGACGGATCGGCCGACTGGAAGGTCGTTGATGGTGATCTGTCGAAGGATGCCTAGGCAAATGTTGAGGGCGTAAGGAGGATCAAGCATTACCTTTAGCGTCGATGATGTAAAGGCCTCGGAAAGCAATGCCTTCGTCTTCCTTGAGGCAGCCGTAAGCCTTGGCGACGGCGTGAGTGGTGTCGGCAAGGATGGGGATCTTCATCTCGCCAAGACCGCCCTGCTTTCGCGATCGCTCGGTCCAGGCCAAGTGAGAGAAGACAGAATCTAAAAAATAATGAATGAAAAAAGGCGCAGAGAACTTGGCTAACCGGTGGAGGCGGCGATGACGGCGCAGTTGTTCTTCTCAAAAGCAGCAGCAGCTTCGGAAAAGGCGATGATTTCGGTTGGGCAGACGAAAGTGAAGTCAAGGGGGTAGAAGAAGAGGACGACGTACTTGCCCTTGTAGTCGCTAGGTTCATTTTAACAAAGGTCAGCGAGGTCCAAGAAGGCGTGGCAGCAAAATATTGGTTTTGAATTTGTGCTTACCTGAGAGAGACTTCCTTGAATTCGCCGTTGACCAAAGCATTGGTCTTGAAGGCAGGGGCGGGCTTTCCGATCTTGGCTTCTCCGGCGGACATGTCTTTCTCTAAAATCTGAAAAGAAGGAGTGAGAGTCAAGCTCGTCCGAAAGTTATAAAATGAGAATAGGGGCGCTCGCGTGTTTGAATAGAAACAACTGGAAAATGTTGAAATGGCCACTGCCTCGAATCTACAGCTCGATGCTCGAATACTCGCAAATATTTGAATTTCAATGTCTCATTTTCAGATGCAGAAATTAAAATGGAATAAAATTATTAATTGATTTATACAACAGAAAATTGATAACTCATCCTCAAACCAAGAGACTCTTAATTGAAATTATCTCAACTGATTTGTCCGAAATTCTCTATTGATGAAAATGCTCCTCGGAGCATCCCTTCTACAAGAATCGACGCGCATTATTGGCGATTTCTTCCTTCCCCGCCCACGCGCCTTTTCTATTCTGGTCGAGAATTTTCGAAAAAAATGACGCGATTTTTTCTCGATCTTTACCTCTGGCCTATTTATCCGAAATGATGTGCCTTTCATTTTAATTTTACGTTTTAAATTGCGGTTATTTTTTATGTTCAAGAGATGAAAATTACGCGAAGATGAAATAATATTTGATTTCTTGGATTTTTTTTGGCATGATTTTTTTATTATTTGAGAAGTGAAAGCCGTCTTACTGTCAGTTCGGAAATCTCTTTGTTTAAATTTTCGTCCAATCTCTTTTTCGCTTCTGGGAGCTCGAAATCATCCCCTTTTCGTTTGAGCGAAGCTGCCATTTTTGGTCAATAGTGATGAAAGAATTCAAAGTTTTGAAAAATGCGTTTTTGAGAAATCTCGAATCTCGATTTGGGGCCGAAATAAAAGATTCGAGAAAGTAACCGTTTCTTGAAAATCTTCCAGAAATACAAGCTTACAATTCTGTTCAATCTTTGAATGATTTTCTCGTTCTCGAGTTCTCTCTCTTCGATTACAGAGATTTTATTTAACAATTCTTTCCTCCTCATCTTTCTTTGCGAAAAATAGACTTTACTTCCTGTTTCTCTTTTTCGTACTTACGTTTTTGTACATTTTCATTCTCTCGTAATCATCAATTTGGCTTTGAGGGGTTGATTGTCCGAGTCCCATTTTCAAATTTCAAATAGGGGGTTATTTTTTGATAATTTACGATAAAGCCATGCTAGTAAATTGGGGCATCTAGAATGATTTCCACTTGATCTAGAATTTTATTTTCAAGTTTTACTTCAGCTTATTACAGTGCGGTAACAGATTCTTGAGTACAGTAAATTGCCTTTTTCCTGATCGCTTGTCTCTTCAATTTCTGCGAAGCTCTGAATTTTCTCATTCCGCTCACCGCCGGCACACTTGTTCTGTATTTCACCGAGAAATTCGTCACTGTAAATCGCTCGAATGTTCGATTCACTTCATTTTCTTGGGATGAGCTTTTGAAAACTTCTTTTTCTCGCTTCTCGAGGTCGTATTCCTTGTGTCCCAATTTCAACGAGTTTTTAAGTTTTTTCAACATTTCAAGTTTTTTTTTGACTTTTTTTGTTCCAAAAGCTGAATGACGTTTCAAGTTCGATTGGATTTGCGTTTTATAACTTCAAGAACGGTCAAGATGTTCTTGGAGCAGATGGCCAGGCCACGTGATGATCCCGGAGATAGGCCTTCGAGGACTCATTATGGCCAGAATGCCTCTTATCGCATCGATCAGATTAGCAATAACCGAAAGATATCAACAGCTGATTTGCCTAATTGCCCCTATTTTCAAAGAATATCAAACTTTAATTTTTTCTCAGCCATAAATTGCTCTAAAAATCTGATAGAAGGTACTTCTTAGATTGAAAAATGACGTCGAAAATGGCGAAAAACTCTTCTAAAACAACGAAGAAAGTCGAAAAACCAAAGAAAACTCCCGAAGAGCTCAAGAAAATCGCCGCTCAAAGGGAGAAATTCCGTCAAGAGCTTCTGAAACATAAGGAAGCGTACAGAAAGACGATGAATTTGGTGGAGAAATATTCAGAGGACAAGTTTGAAGTGGAGGAGTTTCTAGATGATTTAAGGTGGATTGATCCGACTTTTTATCAAGACATTGTCGAAGAGAGAAGTGGCAATAATGTATGCGGTTATGCTTTGTGGTTAGTTTTCTTAGGAAATTATTGAGACTTTGAAAACTGAAGATGATAGAATATTCTAGCGGAGAAAGAGTGAACGCTCATTCCGGCAAATACCGCATCTCATGCAGCTTCAACAAAGTCTTCGAAGTGGACGAGCGGAACAAGTATTGTTCTGATGTTTGTTACCGCCGCTCTACTTTCGTCGCGTTCCAGCTCGACGAATCTCCTCTCTGGCTCCGCGACGAGAAGAAAGCGAACGGGAAGAACGAAATTGAGCTGCTCTGGGACGACATTGGGCTTCCTGGAACTGAAATAGTCTTCGAAAATATCGAGTGCGCAGAGCATGTCTTTGGCAGCGATACTGGAGGGCCGCAAAACACTGACGATTTATTAGCGAATGTTATGGAAGATTTGCAAATCATATCCGGAGTGCCGGAGAAACAGCCTGTCAAAATCGAAGAAAAGAAAGCGGGAACAGAGGAAAATGTAGATTTGAGAAGCATCTATTTGAAGTTCATAAGCAAATGGCTCAAATCTGTCAGAACTTTTGAGTTGTCGACTTATCTAGGTTATTTTTTCTACAAAAAACAGACTCAAACTTTTGTAGGAAGTGGATCCGCCGAAGAAGAGCTTGACTCTGACGACGAGGAACTTCCAGAAGAAATGAAAAAGTTTGTTCCAAAGTCAAACCGGAAAGAAATTATCAAGGAAAAGAAACAGATTCCCTCCTTTGCGGAGCTCTCGGATGAAATAAACCGGCTCAGAATTCATGAATACCTGAATCCGAGAATATTGGAGTCGGAGAAAGTCGCCGGGGCGGCAGCGATAAAGCCGAATGTCGATGTAAAGCAAGAGCAGATTTTAGGAGAGGATAATAGCTAGATATAAAAGCATTTAGCATTGAAATAAGCAAGAAGATCTTCATTTCTAATAAAAAATTTCTATTTCCTGTTGAAAGTACTTATTCAAAAGTTCAAAAGCGCCTTCCATTCGGAGAAACTCCTCATCAACCAAATGATATTTGAAAAAATCAAAAAAGAAATGAAGTTTCTCATGAATAAAATGAAGCTCTCCGGTGAACTTGTAGCTATTCGACCGGGCACAGAAGCTACAATCCTGCTTTTCCTCTTCTTGAGTCTTCTAGCGCTGAGGGATGAAGAACTCGCGCGCACCCTGGCCAATCACAAGACGGAGATCGACGAGTCATTGAGAGACAAGGCGGGAATCGTACTTGATGATATAAAATTATGTATACGCAACGATCTGTAAAAAATGGGCCCTGCTGTCGTTCAACTAATAAAGCCTGCCTTCAATTGACTCAAATAAATGACGATTTATTTCAGAATGCTCAGAACAGTGTGTTCCCGTTCCGTCCGCGCCGTGGCAATTCCGACAAAGCCCGCTTACCGCGACTTAGATCCTGAAACTCGTGAGCTCTACAAAAAGATCATCCGCGTTGATCACGCTGGTGAAAGAGGTGCCGACGTTATTTACAACGGCCAATACGATGTTTTAAAAAACACGGATGCTGGGCCTAAAATCAAGGAAATGTGGGACCAAGAGAAGGAGCACCTTGCGGCTTTTGAGAAGCTTTTGGTGACTCATCGAACGGCTCCTACTGTTTTGTTGCCTCTTTGGGACGTTTTAGGTAAGATAAATATATTTTCAATTACCATTTTATCATTTGAAGGATACGCTGTTGGCGCTGGAACAGCCATGATGGGGAAAGAAGCCGCCATGGCATGCACCGTAGCCGTAGAAGACACGATAATCGGCCACTACAACGACCAGATTCGAGAATTGCTCAAACGCGATCCTCAACAACACGCAGAAATGATCAAGCTTCTTTCGAAGTTTCGCGACGAGGAGCAAGAACACCACGATATCGGCCTCGACGAAGGCGCAGAGCAAGCACCTGCGTATAAACTTTTAACCAGCGCGATTAAATTGGGCTGCAAAGTTGCTATTACTGTTTCTGAAGAAATCTGAACTGTGTGTTTGTTCATTTCCGTTATTCTCATTCAGCTCACTTATAAAAGGATATCTGTCGCAAATAAAATACTCAAATTTACAAATCAGAATGTCTCTCGCAAGAGCGGTTTTGTCGAGACCTGTGAACGTCGGAAGCCGTTCTCAAGGTGCCGTGAGACCGTTTTTGGCGGCTCCAAGACGATCCTTCGTTGTCTACCGACCAAAATGGGCTGACAACCGCGCTGTTATGCCCGACCAGTGGGGTACTCGAATTGCTGTAAGTCGAGTTCGCTTTTCACCGACTGATTTTGATCTTGACTTCTAGAGATACTTCACAAGAATGCCAGAAATCGCCTACGGTTTGATCTTCCTCTACGTTGGTCTCTTCTTCATGTGGCACAAGTACTACGTTGCCCAAGTCCACCCCGAGTTTACTTACCTCGTCCAAGATCCCTACCTTGATAACCCAATGATGTGCAACTCAGCTTACTACCATCACACTGAGCTTTCCAAAGTCATCACAAACATGCATGGAAACAGAAATATGTACCACCAGGTCTTCCGGTAAGCCTTCATTCTCTGTGTGGCCCTTCATTATAACTTTTTCTAGTGAGGAAGATGGAGTCACTCATGGCGCTCCTTGGACCGATAAACGAACTGATCTTTACATGAAGCGATTTTTCTCTCCTGGAAACCAGAAGATGATGCTCGAAAACAAAGTCGACAGGTAAATCAACCTCATCGTTTTTCAAATATGGAAATGATCAAAAGATACATGCAAAACTCAAAGAACGGCCAGCCCCGACTGAACATCAACTTTGGCGACTATGGCATGCCCGGCTGGACTGATAGCGAAGGAAGAGCGCACAAGCCCTCGTACGATGTTCCTTTGCCATACAATGCACCTGCTCCTGGAACCGAAATCAAATATTCCTAGATTCAAATTCTGACTTGTCTGCTATTTATTGAATAAAATTCATACGAAATAAATAAAGAAGCGCCTCATTTTATCCCTATTTAGAAATCAAAAACAGAGAAATATGCACTGCATGCCATCAGACTCAGATGATGAGCCTCTTACAGCCGCGATTGAGAGCGAAAAGGTAATGTCTCTCACTTTAACCTTGAGTTTTTGACAGAAATAAGAGTAGAAGGGCGAGGAGATTTTCATCAAGAAAACGCAAAAATATGCATCAGATGCCCTTGGCTCCAGTCACAAATATGACATGAGGGCAAATCAATTAATCGCGAAGAGTCGTCGGAGGCAGAACAGAATTGAGCTTGAAAATCGTAAGAAAAATCCTTTATTCTATTTTTACTGATGTTTTTCAAAGTTGAAAAGAAAAAGAAGAAAGATTTTGCAGACTCAGACAGCTCTGATGACGGTTTTTTGCAAGTGCTACACCGACCAAAACAGAAACCTACGGTTAAGATGTCTGTATCAGCGAACACTCTGAAAACCGAAAAGAGGGATTCGTCCGACGATGAAGCTTCAGGAAGAAGATCGAAGAGGCGCAAGAAGAAGAACTCCGAAAGCGTAATTAAAATTAAAGATGATGCAGCAGATTCTGGAAATCCTGGTGTCCGAGTCGTTGATTTAGGACTGAAAAAGGAATTCGAAAATATTGAAAGAGAAAAAAGACGAGATCGAAAGAATAGCGAGAAATCAAGAAAGAAGAGTAAAGGCAAGAAAAGTCCAGGTGTCTCTAGCCCCATGGATGTTGACAATTCTTCAAACCGACCTGTTAAAGGAGAGCCGATGAACCAAAGTAATACTGTTCAACAGTCAAGATCAGAAGTTCTCCGAGAAAGGGAATCCAAGAAGAAAGAACAGCTCGAAAGAAATCGTTCAAGGCTTCAGACTCTTAAAGACGAGAAAGGTAGGAAAGCGTGAAGAATAAGATTTTAAACCTGATCTTTTAGACAAGATCATCAAAACTGTTGCTGAAATCGACAGTCAAATAGCTAAACTAGCGGCAGATCGAGAGAAGCACATGAAAGAGTTACAAGCAAAGGATGAAAACATTGAGAAGCTCGAGAATTTCAATCGAGTTCTCCATCAGAACGGATACAATACTCCCCATAAAAAGGTCGCTTCGAAAAAGTCTCAAGTCGGAGATGATGTGAGAGGCAGAGTGCAGACCATCTCAATTTCATCTGACGAAGAAAAAGCCCCAATCTGGGAGAAGCAGTTTTATCGAAAGAAAAACTAGTATCTCCAGTTCTCGATTTTTACGCTGCTTTCAACTGCTGACTCTACTCAAACGATAACCTCATTTAATAAGAACTCGCTGGAGATTAACTCGAAATACTTCAGATGACAGAGTTTGGGCAGATCACCCTCGAGAGTCGAATTGGCAAGGGCCGACGGCTCCTTCGCCCGCTCAAGGCTGACCCCTCTATCGAAGTGTCTGCCTACAGAGACAACCAGTTCAAGGTAAAGCTTTTTAGCTTCATACCAGTCTATCTCATAATAGGGAACGCGCAAAGAACAAGATCGTCTGCTCAACACCTCGTCGACTCTGTATGTTGGAAACTTGAGTTTCTACACCACCGAAGAGCAGCTTACCGAGCTCTTTGGTAAATGCGGCGACCTGAAGCGCGTGATCATGGGATTGGACAAGGTCAAACGAGTAAGTTCCTTTCTCACTTGGCTAGATCTAATGATTTTATAGACACCGTGTGGCTTCTGCTTCGCTGAGTACTACAATCGGAAATCGGCGGAAAACTGCTTGCGATGGGTTAACGGAACCCGACTTGATGATCGAATCATTCGTACTGATTGGGATGCTGGATTCGTAGGTAAATACCGGCGTTAAAATTTAAATATATATTTTATTGGATTCAAAACAGTTGAAATCAATCTTTTTTGAACACGATTGAAAGCGTGACCAAAGTACCAACAATAGCAACAATTATTATTCCTGAAATGATCCAGAACCAGGGGACCCTTAATTAACAATTTCTGAACGCTAATTCATGGTAAACTTACTCGGCGTTTCCACAGCATGCATATCTGATATGTTGCGCGAGAGGTTTTCCGTCGAAATCTCGGAAGAGTCTTGTTGTTCTTCTGACTTCTTCCTTTTCGTATTCCTCATCGTTAAGCCAATCTTTTCGCCCAAAGTTACCCCTTCTACCAGATTCAATATTCAAATCTTTCGTGAAGCTGCTAAGAGGCTTCAGTTCGTACTCATGCTCAATTTGATAAATCTGATTTTTCGGCCGACTTACTGTTTGAAGATTGATTTCTCTTGTTGATTCGTAGGTACTCTCCTTCTCAACAGACGTCAATGACGCCTGTTCGACGGAGACTTTGAAATCTAATTCGAGGGATGCAAAATTGATAGCAAAATTTTTCTTAGAAATGATCCAATTTTACAAGAATTCTACATCCATTTCTGGGGCATCCATCCAAAACTAAAAATACCAAAGAAAGTTATTCCCCGAAAACATAGTTATTCTAGAAGTAAACTTAACTGTAATTCAGAGGGCCGTCAGTATGGCCGAGGAAAGACTGGTGGCCAAGTGCGAGATGAGTACCGAACTGACTACGACCCTGGCCGTGGTGGTTACGGAAAGCGCGTTGAAGAAGGAGGCGCACGAAAGAGGTAAGAAATCAAGGAGAAGTCATGATTGAGAATGACTTTAGAAAAATGATGCGCGATTCGGATAAAGCAGACCGATACGCGAAACGATCTCGACACGACGATTGATGTTTACTGTGATGAACTGTACAGTTACTGCCAACTGAATAGCAACATTCTCTCATGTGATTTTCCCATATAAAAAGCTGCGTTTTCAGAATAATTGGAAAAAGTCCCAGGGATGCTTTTGGCGCTCCTGGTAAGTGCCAGTTATGCACTGGACAAATGCGTCAATCCGCTTGAAAATGGAGAATGGGACATTGTGACTATTTCCCGGGCGAAAGGTGGACTTGGATTTACCGCATTTGGTAGGCACTTGTTCAAGAAATTTCATATCATCGATTATTCAGGTGCTACTTATGTGAAATTCCACACAAAGTCAAAAAAGACTCCGCTTCGAATAACACATGGCAACTCGCCACAAGAGCTGAAACAGAATAGACCTGGACTAATGAGAAGCTTTTGGGAAGCGCTCTTCTCAGATCCGCAAACTGAGATTAGCCTTGAGATTGATCCGACTAATGATGTAAGTGGAAGTTCGACAGTCGAACACCTTCAATATTTAAAAATTTAAAAATTGATTATAGCACTATTTCTCCGTCCAAAAAATGAAGAACTTGTTTCAAACAAATGAGCAACTGTGCTACAAAGCAGGCTTCTCGCTATTATCTTTTTGGCGAGTTGCTCCGTTGATCATCGGATTGGGGATCTTCTTCAAAGCGCGTTCGGTCACTGAACAGATCGCGTTCCACTATGCCAGTGGAATCTCGATGGGAGTTGTCATGTTCGCAATCGGTAAGGAACTCACAGTTGATTATTCTCATCACTTTTAGGTCTTCTATTTGTGGTTACAAAAATCATGATTCCCAAGCGAGGGATGGTTTCTTTTTGGGGAATCTTTCTTGGCGGATCGACTTTTGTCACTTACTTTATGTCCAAATTCTACGTGCAGGTAAGCCAGAACAAATGAATCTCGTATGCAACTAACGAAATTTCTCCAGGCGTATGAGCTGATTGAGACGTATCCCATTGTTGTCATGGCATACGTAATCATCGCAGCATCGTTGTCATTCGCAGCTTGTTATTGGTATGAAGATAGTTTGAGACATCCGAGATATCAGGTAATTAACGAAAAGAAAATGACCAGTTCTTATTTTTTATTAAGAAACTTTCATGTTGGTTTCTGCAATTTATTGGAGTGATGCTCATTGTGATATCCTCTTGGAACATCAAGCTCAATATTCTTATCGGCACCGTTGTTCTTGTCAGAGAATTGATGAAATACGGTCGTAGACATGGAACTTTTACTCAAAACGTTGCCTACAACAAATCACCTTCTCACGTCAAATCACGTCTCAACACTACCCAGTTTTCACAGTCACCACCTTCCACGCCAAAGTTCAATGCTACAAAATCCATGCCGAGTACGCCACTAACTCCAAATTTCTTTTCGCCCATCGCTAATCTTCGAAAACTGCCCATGCGATTTGGATTTATGCGCAACAGTGAGGAAAACACAACGCCAGAGAAGAAGTTTCTCACGATGGCTGAATATGAGGAGCAAGGCGAGAAAGAGACGAATAACGCGATTGAAGCGCTAAAAGAGAGTATCCAAAATTCGCCAAATCCTTGGAAAGTTCTATCCAAGTTGAGTAAGGATACGCAATCGAAGGTAGTTCACTGGGTTTTTGATGGTTTTAACCGTATTTTTTAGCTGATCAACTTCATGGACACAGGAGATCATCTTGCGAAAGACTCTGAAGAGCTCTTCAATGACATAACTGACAGCGAAGATGAGGAAGATTCAGCTGAGGAGCAGAGACAACAAAGTCGTCTTACTCAGCCAACTTTTAGCTCCCTCAACAAGGTAAAGTTTCATCAATAAAAATGCCCCTGAATCTTACGAATCTTCCCTTTCAGAGCTATCAAAAGTTTTCAAACATGACATTTTATCAAAAGATTCATCAAAACTCGCCAAAGCGAATCATTCACCGAGCGAGCTACGGGGCTGAGCAGCGCACTACCAGCTTCAATGGCACTTCGAAAATTCCACAGCAAAAACGATGGCGATAAGAAAAGTCGCAAAGACAGTCACATGTTCACCTCTTACACTTAGGACCAGGGGTGGATATTTTGATATCAAACCAGTTTTTCAAAACTGTCGAATCATTTATTTCATCGTTTCAAAATTTGAAATTTCAATTGAAATTGCAGGAAAAAGCCGATGCAATGACTGAAATCCATTGAAAATGAAAAAAAAGCGTTTTCAAAAGATAAAGCTTCGTGCGGAGTTTTGAAATGAATTTGAAACTGCAATAATTGACATTTCAATCAGTTTTTCTTGTTTAGCGACTTGAAAGGAATTTGAAAAATGAAATTGAAAAAATGAATCGTTTCAAATTTGAAGAAGGCGCCAAAGGAAAAACTCAGCGCGCCTGCCATCCCTTTTTGACTCCCGCATTTCCGAAAATCCCGTATTTTTTAAATCTTAAATTTCTGAAATCCCGTATTTCTCAAATCGCCAATTTAGGATTCTGCCGATTCAAGATGATGGGAAATGCGAGATTTTTTTTTTCTTTTGAGTTAGTTGCTTTACCAAATTTTCATTGATTGATCATATAACTTTATTTTCTTGGCTTCTCCACAGCCAATCCCGGCTTCACCAAATTTCATCCCGGCTTCAATAACTTCGATCCTCGCTATACATACGTCAATCCTGGTGACTCAAACAACAATTCGGGCGTCACTTTCTTCAATACTAGCTTCTCAGATGCCAGTCCCGGCTTCTCAGTTCTCTATATTTGTTTCTTGAATGTCGATCATGGCTTCTCCAAGATTAGATTGACGTTGGTAAAACCTAGATTGAAACTAATGAAGCCGGGATTGACGTCGAAGAACCTGGGATTGACATTAGATAAGCTATGATTGAAGTCGGTGAAGCTAGGATTGAAGAAATTAGGGTTCCAACTTTCGTCGAAAGAATGTTGAGCTGAGCGAACGGTTGAGCGGTCGACCGCTTAAAATTTTTGAGCGGAGCGAGCGGTTGAGCTTTTGACAAAAACAGCCGTGAGCTGAACGAGCAGACTTTGAGCAAGAGGACTGTAAGCAGTGTATTTTTCTCCTCAAAAAATATTTTTTCAGTTTTTATTTTGAGTGTCGACTAGTGTCCGACATAAATTTCCCAAATGCGGCTGAAGAGTGTAAAAAATCTGTAAGAATTGTTTTGACCAATTATTCTAATAATTTCTTTTATTATTTTCTTCATTAACTCTCCAAAAAACACTAAAGAAAGTGTTGACTTACCGCTCAACCGCTCACTGATCTCAAGTTGAGCGAGCGGCTGAGCGGTCTTTAGAAATGACGGTAGTGCTGAGCGAGCTGACGGGCCGCTCATTCCTTAACCTTTCGACGACAAACGAGAATTTCCCGAACCGACGACAATGTGTCATATATGGGCCATTTTATAGGCCGAACTCCGGGCTAAATACAAGCTCGTGCCCAAAGCAGAATCTAAGACCGAACTTAGACCTAGTCAGATACCCAAACCCGACCCACAACCCGAAAATTCAATTTCTTCCCCGGCGGAAAAAAATCCTACAGACGACAATGTGTCATATATGACACACTTCAATGCATTCGTGTGTCATAAGTAAATTTATGCAATTTAATTGACTCAAGAATTTTTTCGGCATAAATCACCTAAATACGCCAAATTTTCTAGGATTTCGAGCACCCGCACGATCACGCACGCGTGCGCAATCTCAATCTTTGCGTGCGCGTGCGTGTGCGTGCGCACCAATTTTCAAAATCTGCGTGCGAGTGCGTGCGCACAGACGCACGCGTGTTTTGGAACTCTGCTCAGAAGTCGCCTACCTATTATTTTCTAAATCCAGGTTACAGAATTCGACGACCTGGGACTGGTAAACCCTGGCAGGTTAGACATTTTGAGAACCTTGGTTTGTAAACCCAGGTGGCCGCATACCACCGAATTTTCGGTATTTCTCGATTGGTCTTTGTTTGCCCAAGTCGCTGTTTCCCCAAGTTGGGCAAACGGAGATCAGCTCAACTCAGTGATTTTTGAAAATGCTCAGCTCAGCTCTGTAGACCTCTTTATCGATAAGCTTTCTCCTGGTTATCCTTTTAGCACTCTCGGTTAGGGTTAGGGTTTGGAAATCGGCGTATTTTGAGAATTAATGCATGCACCTCCTGAGGTGCATGGCTAGAATGACGGATGCACCTCCTGAGTTGTTTTTGGCGGGTAAGGATAAAATGACGATTTGGCGGGGTAAGGTTAAAACACAGTAAAAACAGCTCAGCTCAGCTCTAATTAGGGTCCGCTCAGCTCAGGTCAGCTAAACTACCTTAAAAAAAGTCTGCTCAGCTCAGCTCAATGACCTCTGAAGAAGGCCAGCTCAGCTCAGTTACCTTGGAAATAGGCCAGCTCCGCTCAGCTCAGAGAACTTTTTACTCGGGTCAGCTTAGCTCAGCTCAGCAAAAATAAAGCAAAATTTGCAACTCTGCATATAAGGGCCTTATCTTTTTAAAAAGCAGTAGCTGAGCTTAGATAGCGGAGCTGAGAGGAAAGTTTAGCTAAGCGTAGCGAAGCTGGCGAAAATTTATTTGGCCGTAGCGGAGCTGGTCAGAATTTTCTTCACTGTAGCTGAGCAAAAACTTTTTTTTCCGTAGCGGAGCCGTCAGCTTCGCTATCTCCGCTACGCAAATTTGCAACTGTGGCCCCACATGTCCCAGTGTGTAGCTCAGTCTATGACGGTAATTTTGAGCGCAAGAATTCCTTGTCCCGGAAGGTCTCGGAGGTGGTACAAAGTTCGGGAAGTCGACCAAAAATTGGTACTTTTGAAGAAAATTTTCCTTTTTTCTATAATTTATGAGTCTAACTTCACTTTTTATACCTCTTCATTAAAGAGGTATCAACTTGAACGCAATTGTATCTTCCAGTGTCCTCCAAGGCTCAGCAATTTGAAATTGATTTGAAAAATGAAAAAAGATTGAAAAATCTGTCCAGATTTGAAAACCTTTCGCAAAATGCAAAATGAAACAGTTGAAAATTTCAAAAAAGGCTCGGCGTCATTATCATTTGAAATGAATTTGCAATTGCGAAAATGAGTTGAAAAAAGGATTATCTTTTGAAATTTCAAATCAAAAACGGTTGAAATAATGATTTGATATCAAAATATCCACCCCTGCTTAGGACACATTTTATCATTTTTTCTCACTGCCTTATTGGAAAAAACTCACAGTTGAAAATATCCGTTCTCGTTTCATTTGTTGCAAAAATGCGCATTTAGAGATGAGTATCTCGTCCATCGTAATCGTAAGCATTCTTTGCCTTGTAACGCCGGTTCCATTGATTTTCAAAGCAATTCTCCTCGTTGGTTTTATTTGGTTTTATCCGAGGAAGCAGGACGAAGGTTTGGTTTATGTTTTGGTCCTTGGGGATGTAGGACACTCGCCAAGAACGTATAATCAGTGTGCTAGTTTGATTAAAGCTGGGAAGAAGGTAGTATTATTTGGTTTTGTGGAGTCGTCTTTGCCGCCGTGTAGTAAAGGAAGTTGAAAATATAGTAAATACGAAATGTCGTTATTTAGAATCGAATACTTTTTAAACCGAAAGAAAGGATACATAAAACAAGGATCTTTGAATGTCTGTTCTTTATCGTCATTTCGCTGCGCATTCATCAAAAACAACCTTCTACGCTACATCATCAAAACTTTCCTTCAAACAATCGCAATTTCTTGCAGTCTTGTCATTTCTTCCATAAAATCTGGGACTTCACCGGCTCATTTTCTCGTTCAAAATCCGCCATCAATACCTGCTCTTTTCGTGGTTTATGTTTACTGCCAGCTGTTTGATGTGAAATTCGTCATTGATTGGCACAATTATGGGTATTCAATAATGGAAGTGCAGAAAGCTAATCGACTGCTTGTGAAAATCGCGGAGTTTTACGAAAAACTGATGATGCGGTTATCCGATTCAAATTTTACCGTTACGCAGGCGATGAAAAGAGAGCTAGAAACACATGGAGCGCAGTATATCTCAGTTTTGTATGACAAGCCGCATCCGAGATTCCAAAAATTAGAAGAAAACGAACGGATCGCATTTTTGCAGCGAATTTCAAAAAGTATTCCAGAGTTGAAAGCAGCGCTGACAAAACCACTCATTGTTAGCTCAACTTCTTGGACAGAAGACGAAGATTTTGGAATTTTATTGGAAGCGCTAAAAATCTGCAACAGCCAGAATATTTCTTTGATTGTCGCTATAACTGGCAAAGGGCCCCAAAAGAATTTTTACAAGAAAAAGATTGAAAAACTGGCAATGAAAAATATCGAAATTGTGACCCCTTGGCTTGAAGTAGAAGATTACCCAAAGCTTCTTGGTTCGGCCACGCTCGGTATGAAAATGAAGGGTTTTGTTTCTGAACATAACTTAGGAGTTTCTTTGCACACCTCATCGTCTGGGTGCGATCTTCCAATGAAAGTTGTCGACATGTTTGGCGCCGGCTGCCCAGCTTTTGCTCTCAACTTTCAAGCTATAACAGAGCTCGTGAAAGACGGCGAAAATGGAAAGATCTTCAACTCGTCAGACGAACTTGCAGAACTCATCCGTGAACATTTAGTCAAATCCTCTAGAATCGAGTAAGAATTACTTTATGTAGCCTTCAATATACGCTTTAAGAGTTCTCAGTCTAACAGACATCCATTCAGTGAGTACCGTTCGAATTTAGCGAAGGAGCGAATTTCATGGGAGGATCATTGGTCATCTGTTGCCGCAGCTCACTTTTCTTCGTGCACTTCTGAGTAGATCCTTATCAATTCCTTTTTCCGACTTTTATTTTCTGTATCAACTTGTTATTCTCTCATTGCGTCAGCCGGTGAGATTCTTCTCGATGAAACATAAATAGTCCCAGCGGCGCAGTATTTCGAGAAAGATAACAGCTTATTTAAAAAAAAATTTTCGTAGATTTGTTGAGGCGAGAAACGGGTCACAGAGAGAATCGGCTTACTTATCTGTTAGTATGGAACGTCAAGGCGCCAGATACTTCATAAGGATGCTCGAACTCTTCTGCGAAAAGTGTAAGTAGAAAATCTACATGCTCTCGTGAATATTCACTTATTCAGATGATCTGGTACTTCCGAATAACCGCCTCACAGAGCTGATAGACATTTCCAACGAGATCGTAAGAGCATTTGGGGATAATAGATACGACCCAGATGACGCTATCGAATCTTCCTTAGAACTGCTCGAATCCTGGTCAAGTGCGCTCTCGTCCCAGCGAAAGAAGCTCCGTCAGCGACTCGTTGGTAAGATTACCATTGAATTTCATAAAATTGATTCGGTTCCAAGATTTTCAAGACGCTGTTCTGATCAATGATTTCGACGAGTTTGTTGATAACTTCAACGTTCCGGCGAGAGTCACCGTGGATGCATTTGAAGAGCCAGAACCGTCAATCGATTTTGCATCCCGACCAAGCGATGACGAGGTCGCGCAAAACTTCCACCAAGCTCTTAACAAAGACATTTTCGACAAAGAAGAGCTCCAAGAGAAGATCTTGACCGAAGCCGAAGCCGGCCCTTGGACTGAAGTAACAAGACGCAAGAATAAGCCAGTGAAACGTGCTCCCATCAGAATAACTCCCGATGAGCAGCTGGCGAATCTCTTTCCCGAACACTCCAAGGCCGTAATTGACATGGCTCTTATCGAGTGCGGGACTGTAGATGAAGCGGCAATCTATCTCATGAGTAAGCTTACAGGGAATGTTGAATATCAGATTTACTTCTTAATTTTAGACGTGCAACCAGACAAAGCCCAGAAGAAGAAGCACTCATTCTCCCGTTCTTTGGAGAAGCTCGAGACTCAACTATCTCGATCACCTTTCGTCGAGCGAGAACTTCGATCTCACATTCCCTGAAAAATTCGTTCCCACTGTGTATCACATGTGTGTCTTTTTATAACTATTTTAACGAAATTGTAGCCAGCTTCACTCATTTACTTTCACTCGTTTATTGAAACTTATACCCTCACAAAACAAAACCTTAATACTATCTAGTAAATACCGATGAAAGCAGACTCAAATCCGGGGTTACGCCGCCACTACAAGTCTCGAAACTTGTGATTGGCTAGTGCCAAAAGATTGTCGCCAGGGGGTGGCGACAATCTTTTTATCCAGGGTAAAGGCCTGCTTTCATCGGTAGTTTCAATTTTGCTAGTATTGCAACTTTAAAGCAGCATCAAACTTCAACCACTTGTTATTTTTAATTTTCGAAAAAAATAATAAAAACGTTCAAAAAGGTTAATCAATGGTTTCTTGTAGTAATGCAAGGATGTTACGCCAGTGTGGTGTAAATAAGTACTCGAGGGTTTTGCTCTTACGAAAACTGACAGTTCCGGAATCGGCAAAATTATTGGGCGTGGGTGAAAACGCCGATAATAAAGAAATCAAAGCTGCGTTTCTAAAAAAGGCGAAGCTTTACCATCCTGATAATCAGGTGAATAGAGAAGGATGAGCATTTAATAAATGTCTAGTAGGATGGAGGAGATGCTGAGAAGTTTAAAAAGTTGACAAAAGCAAAAGACGTTTTAGAAAACTATCAAAAAGTCCGAGCTACTCGCGCGAAAACTGGAAGTTCTTACAGTACTGGAACACCGTTTTCATACAGAAATAGAACTCATTCGAAGTATAATCCTTCAGAGCGTAAACAAGAAGATGATGGATATGAAAATTATATTAGATACAAGGTTTGCTTTATCCCATAAATACTATTTTAAAAACTATCTCAGAAAATGAAATATGACATTTATGAAGCAGAAAGAAAAGCAAACTGGGAACGGGAGAAGCGTAAAAGTATCCTGCTTTTCTTTGCGTTCAGCTTTTTTCTTCTTCAAATGACGATTTCGTTGATATCGTTTACTTCTGATGACAAAATTATAAAGCGAAGAATTCTTCAAGTTGCCACAGCAAAAAGGACTAATCCAGGAATGGGTTTAACGATTTCTTCTAGAACGGTTCTTCCCTGATATTAACTAGGGCAGAAGTTGAACCCAGAATAAAGAGTTCGTGATGAGCGACTACTGTACATATTACGTGCTGCGTGCCAAGTATGGCGAAAGAGCAACGCCTCGTTTTCTCTCGCCTCACGACATCGCTTACATAGACTCTGTACAAGAAAAATGCTCGTCATTAGAGGCTTTTGATACAATTATAAGAGCTATGGCAAACAGATATATTCCCTCTGATAGAAATTACCTGAGTCATCTTCAGATAGAATCGTGACGAATTCAACAAAGCATGGTTTTCCGATTCAATCTCATCGGTAGGTCCGAATAGAATCAATAGAACTTGAAAAATTCAGCTCGACCTGTTCTCCGAGCCATTCAGGTTCGACCTCTGACCGTATCCGTCCGAAATCTCTTGGAATCAGACAAAGTTTTTGCAAAGATGGGTGAGCGAATCAACGAAGAAACAGTTGGAAAAGTCCAGGGAGTTTTCCGATTCGATATTGTCGAAGGTAAAAGGAAGATCGTCAAATCCTGGACCGCTGATCTGAAGAATGGCGAGGGATCTCTTGTTGAAGGCGAAGGTGTTCGAGTAAGATAGTTTTTATCTTGTGAAGATTTTTAAGTCTTCTCTAGCCTGACTGTACCATCGTTTTGTCTGATGAAGTTCTCTGCAAGCTGGCAGCTGGCGAGTTGAATGCGCAGAGCGCCTTTTTCGCTGGAAAGTTGAAGATCAAGGGAAATCTCATGCTTGCCCAGAAGCTCAGCGCCATTATCTAAGTTGAAAGCCACATATATCACTGTTCATGTTCTCTTCTAGTAGCATTTATACTATTTCAAATAAAGATATATTGTTCAGAAATTTCGTCTTCCTTGATTTCAAAAAAAATATTAGATAAAGATATTTTATTGTCCCTTGAAGAATGACCGAAAGATTGAGACGTCTGCATGTAATCAAGAACGCAACTCGTCAAGGAGTTGTGATACCTTTCAATCAGTCGTCTTTGACCGAACTCAAAAATGATATCGCCGATGAGCTGAGAATGAATCGAGTTAACTTTTTATTCAACCCCCATGGATGTGAGATCATTGACTTTGACCTTATTCGGGATGATGATGTTCTTATTGCTTCTGGTGAGTTTAAGCACTGTAAAAATTATTATCCTCGCTCATTTAGCTAGCCAGCACTTTGAAAAGCCAGGAAAAAAGAAACCTGCAGAGACTGCCATGTACACACTTTTGAAAGAAGTGCTCAAGATGGCTTTGAAAATGCTTATCGATACAGTCAGAGGTAGTTCTATATCAAAAAGCAACGAAACGAACAACATTTAGGACCTCTTCTCGCCCAGATTGCTTCCGCATGAAAAACTTCTTACTAAATTTGCCTGATGTTACCTTACAAATAACTGCGTGCCTTCAATAACAATTATTTATTTACAGTCATCATTCTGAAAAATTAAGAATGGGCAAAGTTACGCCTTGGTTGGCGGCAGTGGCCCCGGAGAAAGAGAATCGATTTCGCGGCAATAAAAGAAAAGGAAATTTCAACAAAAAGCCAAAGTTAAAAAAGTGGGAAAAAGAAGATCAAGTGATACAAGAAAAAGTCGACAGATACAATGAAAAATTTGATTCGGATGTTCCATTTGCTGGCTATCCTCTGTCACCACAGACTCAGAGAGGACTAAGGAGATATCTACCGGAAGATTGCAAGCCTACTCCAATTCAACAGCAAACCCTTATGCTCGCTCTCCAAGGAAATGGTTTGGCAGAATTTAATCTTCAATATCTTATGCGGATTCAGATATCCTTGCAGCAGCGAAAACAGGCAGTGGTAAAACTCTTGGCTTCCTCATCCCGCTATTAGAGATTTTATGGAGCAATAGATGGACACAAATCGACGGAGTAGGTGGACTAGTCCTCTCACCAACGCGCGAGCTTTCGATGCAGATCTACGATGTTCTGCGAAAAATTGGTCTAAAGCATGACTTTTCTGCCGGCCTTGTCACCGGCGGAAAATCAGTTGAGGAAGAAGCAAAAGTCATCTCCAAAACAAACATTATCATAGGTCTGGTTGCTCAGAATCGACGTTTCGTAAATCATTTTAGCGACGCCTGGTCGACTCTGCCAACATCTTGATCAGACCCATGGATTCACGCTTGACAATGTGAAAGCTTTTGTCATTGACGAAGCTGATAGAATGCTGGATATGGGCTTCCAAGCTCAAGTAGATCAGATTATCTCGTTTCTGCCTTCTACAAGGTAAATTACAATGAAACTCTTTGTATTTACCTGATCTCTTCGAAGACAGACGATGCTGTTCTCAGCAACCCTCAGCGCGCAGACGTCGAAGCTCTCTCGGCTGAGTTTAAAGGATCCAAAATTTGTGAACATTACCTCTGGTTCAAAGAGTGCGACACCAAAGAATCTCAACCAAACTTACTGTATCGTAAATCAAGAAGACAAGCTCAACTTTCTATTTTCTTTCATGAAAAATGTTGCGATCAAAGGAACCACAAAAACTGTCGTCTTTTTTGCTACTTGCAAGGTGTGTTCTCCGAGATTTCTTTTCAATAATGAACGCTATTAGCAAGTAATGCATGCGAAAGAAGTTTTCTTTAAAATGACCCCTGGTGTTCCACTGATGCGTCTTCATGGCAAAATGGGGCAGCATCAGAGAATGGCTACGTACGATGAGTTCTGCAAGAAAGATCGAGCTCTTCTTCTCGCCACAGACCTTGTTGCTCGAGGGATGGACTTTCCAAATGTCGACTGGGTCGTTCAACTTGACTGTCCAGAAAGCGTAGATGAATATATTCATCGAGCAGGAAGAACCGCCAGATCGGATCAAGCTGGGAACTCGGTCTTGGTTTTGAATCCGTCAGAGAAGAAGATGATCAAAGAGTTGAGGTCGAGAAAGCCGCCGGTGAATGTTACAGAGTGGATTTATAACAAAGAGATGATAGTCGATATCAGCCCGAAGCTCAGATCTTTATGCGCGGAAAGAGAAGAAATAAAGGGATACGGAAGCAGAGCATTCACAGCCTACTGCAAGAGGTAGACTTATTATTCTCGTTTTTGAGTTTAATTTTAGTGTGCATATGGCGAAGAACAAAAAACTCTTCAAGCTAGACACTCTTGATCTGGACAAAATCGCTTCTTCATTAGGTTTAGCCAAAACCCCTCGATTGAGATTTTTGAAAACGCAGAAATCCTCGATACTAGAAGAAAAAGCAAAGAAAGAGGAGATTAAAGAGGAACCAAATGCACTTGATAGTGATGATTCGGATAATGAAGATGAAGCTGAGGATATGTTCGAAAAGAAGGCGGTGACAGTTGACGAAGAACAGCTGGCGAACCTGCCGGAGAAAAAGGTTAAAGAAGGACTTTCCAAACGACAGAAAAAGAGATTGCAGAGCAAACTGTTGAGAGGGGAAGTGGAAGGTACGGTGAAGAAGATCGGCGAGTCAGATGAGGAAAGAGAAGAATCGGAAGACGAGGTCGACTTCAATCCCGCTGAGGCTCATTCGAGACTCAGGTTTTTATTGATAAAATTGAAGGAAAAACTAATACTTATTTTAGGGAGGCAGATGTGGACGATCGAGTGGCTGAGAAAGAGATGAAGAGGAGGAAGAAACTCGAGGCCAAGATGAAGAGCAAGAAGCAAATGAAGCTTGATGTACTGAACAAGAACATGGAGGAGCAGGAGGCGCACTCAGATGAAGAGAAAATGAATGAAGATACGAATAATTTCTTGAATAACCTGACATTTGGCGGAGGTGACTCGGATGGATCGATACACAGGTAACACGCCCGATTAAGAATGACGCCCTTATACCGTTTTAGTGATGATGATTTCGAAAGTTACTCTAAGCGACAAAAACTTTCAAAAGAAACAGAAGATTTCGATTATGAGGACGAATCAGATGAAGACATGGAAACGGCAGATCTTGAGGCCCTTGCTCTTAAACAACTGCAAAACTAATATATTGTTATATTAGACTTTCAAATTTACATAAAAATTTTTAGAATAATTGAATCGGGATATGGACTCATCAACTGAACAACTTGTTCCAAGGGAGAGTGTAACTAGCTCGGTAATTTGGTTTCTGTCAAGTACCTTTATAAATTCTTCTAGGAGGGAGTCTCCAAATTTGGAGCCATCTTTATTGTTTGTAATGCTGCGCTAGGAGCCGGTCTACTAAATTTCCCCTATGCTTACGCGCTCGCCGGAGGATGGCGCATCAGTCTGATCATGCAAATCATCGTCCTCGCTCTTTCTATCGTCGGGCTTCATTTCCTAGCCAAAGCCGCCAAGGAGAAGAACGTCTCAAATTACCAAGATACTGTCCGGGAAGTCGTTGGCGTCAGATTTGGCGTCATGTCAATGACCTTCATCATGTTGTATACTTTCGGGTGCTGCATTACTTTCCAAATCGTGCTGGGCGATCAGCTTGATTTGGTTTTTGAACAGATATTTTCAAACACCAACGTTTGGTATCTGGATAGGCGATTCACGATAACTGTCATTGGTTTTGTTTCTATTCTCCCTCTCTGTATTCCCAAAGGTAATTCTTCGTCATCACTCCGTTTTATAACAAACTCATAAGATATTGGTTTTCTTCGCCATGCATCTCTCCTCGGGTTTCTCAGTTGCATCTTCGTCGTATTTGTGATCGTCACTCGGTACGCCGATCCAACGCCTGATCAAGACCCGCGTCCTTCGGTAGTTCCAGAATGGCCTTATTCTATTTCTTCATTTATGTCGGCCTTGCCCAGTCTCTTTTTCGCATATCAATGCCATGTCAGTTCGGTGCCAATCTACTCCAGTATGGCCGATAAGTCTCCAAAATCCTGGTTGTTAGGTAGAGAGTTTCTGGACTAATTTGACTTACTACCGATTCTTAGTTGCTGGTCTGGCCTTGATCTCTTGTTGTTTCGTTTACACATTGGCTGGAACATTCGGCTACCTTTCCTTTGGACTTGATGTAAACCCCGATATACTGAAATCCTATCCAGCTAATGACCCACTGGTTATCGTCGCTAGAGCCCTTATCGCCGTTGTAATGATTACCAGGTGCGACTCAATAATAGCGCACCTTCATTAACATAATTCTCTAGCTATCCGATTCTGGCATTTTGTGGACGTTCCGCTTTTCTCTCAATATCCGGATTGGATACCTTCTATGATGAAATTCCTGAAGAAGAAAAAATTCGCAAGGAAAAATGGCGCAGGATCGTCCCGACAATTGTGTGGTTTACAGCGGCTCTTGCACTTGCGATTTCTGTTCCAAATATTGCTGATGTCATTTCAGTAATTGGATCTTTAGCTGCTTTCTTTATTATGATATTCCCCGGGTTGATTATGGTCGACCTAGCCGTTGACCATGTTGGATGGCATAAAAGGTAGAAAAGTCGGAAGTAATTTAAATCTGAAACTCTTCATTCTAGCTTTATGAAAATACTTCAAGTATCAATTGGTTCAATTTTGATCATCACTGGTGTTTGGATTTTCGGGGTAACGACAACTCTTGCCATCTTAAATTTTTAAAATCTCTGGATCACTGTGTATTCAGTAATTTCTACTGAACTTTTTACTGTCCTAATTTTTCAATATCATGCTTTCAGATTTCTGCTCTACCTCATTCTTCGCCCAATTCATTATTCAATAAAAATTATTTAAAAGTAGCTGAGTCGTTATTTTCATTAGCAACGAACAGATATGCATCAGCGCAATCTCATCCCTAATCTGAGATCGCTGTGTCCCATCTGTTTCCTCCCATCTGCGAGCCTCATTTTCTCAACTATTCCTTCGCGGAAGACCTTATCACTCCTCAGCGCCGTCGGAAGCGAAAGTTGCAATAAATATCTCGAAGCATGATCGTCTACTCATCAAATCAAAACTCAAAAAAAAAACAATCATGGCTACTTATCAACTTCCAGAACTCAACGGCGAAGAAGTCTTTTCCATCCTTAACGGATTTGAATTTAACAACATCACCGAGTCCGCCCACTTCTTCGACCAAATGATCTTTGAATACTCGAAGTTCATGCAACCATTCCCGGCCCAAGTAACATCCCCTGTTGCTTCCCGATCGCCAAGTCCTTCGAAGTCGTTCAAAATGAAAACTACTCGAGCTTCCCGATCTTCACCAGTGTCGCCGATTTCTCCGTATCAAGCTCCTACCTCACCAGACACGGAACTGATCACAGATGATGCCATTGACAGCATGCGGCTTGCGATTCGACGACTTCGAGTAAAACTTGGACTCACTCAAGCTCAAGCAGCAAAAGAGATGACATCAATAACTGGCCGAAAAACGTCTCAAACATCTCTCTGTCGATTCGAAAACAACCAGCTCCACAAGAACAACATGCGCACTCTTTACCCTGCTTTCAAGCTTTGGCTTGAATACCACGCTGTATCTGTCTACTGATTCTATTTCTCTCTTTCGTTAAAATATATAAATCAATAAGAACTTAAATTTAGAGAATATTGCGTCAAAAAATAAGTAAAAATGGATGAGCAACAAATGGAAATGCTCAAAATGCAGCAAGAAATGCAACAGATGCAAATTAAGGCCATGCAAGATCAGTTTGTGAGGATGCAAAATTCATGTGAACAGTAAGCTCCCTATGGAATCAAGGAAGACTGACATCTTATTTAGCAAGTGCGTCATGACAGAAAATGAAATCAGAGGATTGTCCAGAGTTGAGGCCGTTTGCATAGGTAAATTTCAGTGGGCAAAATTTTCTTTTAAATGATTCAAGATAACTGCGTAAGAAAATATCTTGACTTCCAGGTTGAAATGCAGATTCATATGCGCGAACTTCAAGAACCCGCACAACTTCAAGCGCTACAGATGCAACAAATGGAACTTGGCCGTCAAATGGGCCTCTAACTCTTTCTGTACTTATTCCCGACTCCTAGCCTATTATAAATTTTTGTTAATGAAACGCAAAAAACTGTTGTGTGTTTGTTAAAAGACTGTTGTTCATCAGATTGGAGGTCGTGTGAAAAATTGCAGCTGTAGCACAAAACTCCGTCTTGGCGGGCAATTGAAACCAGAAACATCATTTTTCGAAAAAGAGAAAATGAAGGTTTTTGCGCTCATTTTGGGCCTCACTGTGGCGCTGAAGCCACTGAAATACTCGAGTTTGGATAGTTACAGTGACTTCTGCTCGCAGATTTCTACATTCGAAGCAGAATATGACCATTTTTCTACGAGAAATACCCAGAAAATTGAGATTCGAGTGATTACTGATGATAGGTTCTATCAAGCTGGAGGACCGGTGCTCTTTTATACTGGAAATGAAGGTACTAAAAGAGATTTTGATTACCGTTAATAGTCCTTTAGGTGATATTCAACTTTTCTGCGAAAATACCGGATTTATGCGAAAGGCGGGTAAGGAACTCAACGCGAAGCTTGTCTTCATGGAACATCGCTACTACGGAAAAAGTATCCCCGATGACAAGAATTTGTACTTATCTGCTGAGCAAGCGTTGGCCGATTACGCTCAGTATCTTGTCCATCTTAAATCTTCAGGTTCGGGCCACGAAAGGACAATTTGTTTAATAATTTTAATCTTTAGGTGTGACTGGACCCGTCATCGCTATGGGCGGTAGCTACGGTGGCATGCTTGCAGCTTATTTCCGAATCAAGTACCCAAATCTCGTTACTGGTGCCATTGCTGGCTCTGCACCAGTCAAATTCCTCCCAGGTCTCTTTGACTGTCGAGGCTTCTACCAGGTCACCACGAGGACCTTTTCCAACACTCCAGCAGGCCACTTCTGCTCTGATAATATCCGAAAGTCTTGGGAAACAATCAAGCTTATCGGCAGCCACATGGTCGGAAAACGCACTCTATCGGAAACCTTCCGTACATGCAAACCGATCACGGACGTTGAACCACTTCTAGACTTTTTGGAAGATGTTTGGGGAACTCTTGCGATGATGGACTATCCTTATCCTACTAACTTTGTCGGTGATGTTCCTGGCTGGCCCGTAAACGTCGCCTGTAGCCATTTGGATCATGACATCAACCAGGAAGAACTTCTCGAGCCTTTGAGAGATGCTGCTTCCGTCTATTACAATTATACCGGGCAGCTAGAATGTCTCGATCTTGGCGATGAAGGTGGAGATCTTGGATACGACAATTGGTACTTCCAGGTAAACCTGAGTTGTTGAAAATAAACTTATCGCCATGAAGACATGCACCGAATTCGTTTTTCCTTTCTGCTCGGACGGCAAAGAAGACATGTTCCGAGTCCACACTTACGACTTCCCAACATACTCTGCAAACTGCGAATCGACCTTTGGAACAACCCCTCGTGAGCACTGGGCAGAGATGTTCTTCTCTGTTGAGACAATGAAAACCATCGGTGGCATAATCTTCTCGAATGGATTACTCGGTAGGCTTGTATGACTAAACCTGTTAAAACTCTTTAGATCCGTGGTCTTCTGGAGGAGTTCTCGCTGCAGAAGAAGCTGGCCCCAGAAATTACGTGTTTATTCTTTCCAAAGGCGCTCACCACTTGGACCTTCGAGCAGACAACCCAGCTGATCCTGAAGAAGTGACCGCTACTCGAACTGAGTACATTACAATTTTGAAAAATTGGATCGCCGATGCAAACACTGCTTCTTCTTCCTTTTCTGAAACTTCTAAAAAGCTGCTATTTTCACCCAAAAAAGTTCATGATATATAAAATATACTATTGACCTATTCTGAATTAATCGATCTAAATTTGTTCTGTCAGTAAGAAGGAATTTATTTGAGGCAAGCTCTGGAATTCTTTTCAAGAGCACAGGTTAATTTCACAGCAGGTAGTGTTAGCCGCATCGTGTATGAAAAATAGCTATTTTACAGGTTTACAGGCAGAGGAGGCTCAATTCAAAATATTTACAAAGAGCATTTCTTCTCAGAAACGGTCAGTTGAGTTGACAGTTTGTACAGTTTCAGGCGTTTAGAGTCGTTTCAGCCTCGTAATCGAGTCCTCTGACCAAGAAATCTAAGAGAAAATAGTGAAGTTCGGAAGAAATATAAGTTTTACCTTTCGAATCTGGTCAGTTTCGAGCTCTCGGCCGTGTTTATCAACCATGATCTCGTCCATGTCAGGTCTAGTTGAGTTTCCGATGCATGAAGAATCAACATCAGTTTGTGCCCAAAGGTACACTTTTGCTAAACGCCTGGTAAAAAGAGACGGATAATAGAGAACTTACGAAATCCCGCATCTTCGTTTAACCTGTCGACAATGATCTGGAATTGATTCGAATTGATCTGCAGCTCATCGCGGATCATATCCAAGTCGCTCTTAGGCCGCAGGAGCACTCCCGATCTTCCCTGCTCGTCAAATACCAAATCCCAAATCGCCAAATTAAAACTTTCAAAAGTCAGCGAGGCAGAGTCAAACATGGAGCTAGAAAAGAATATTTTTAAGCAGATAAACGAATTTTTAACGAATTTCAAATTGGGGATTAGCGTTTACGTGCTAATGAAAACGTGTACGAAAATACGAAAGTAGCGCGCGGAGATGGGATAAGCACGTATGTGATCGTGGAGCTAGATAATTTGGGTGCAGGATTAGCTTGATAGAACCCAGAAGATCCGATACTTGAGTGGTGTACAGCCGCAAATATTGCTTATAGAACTTTCTTGGCCGAATTGTATGCGGCATAGACAGCGGAAAAACGAGGAAAACGCTTGGGAACGCCAATTATCTAACCAATTATTTTGATCGGGACTAAGCTTATTCGTTGAGTACCTCACTCCGGCTGGAGATCTAGCCTTATCAAGCGGATTTTCAAGGCTCAGGGCCACGTTTAATCGTTTCTCACTAATTGAAAGTAAACACAAGAACGGCAATTTTCCTTCGAGAGCGGGTGGTTAAAGGAGCGTTCATAAAAAACCAAATAAGAGCTAAAACAACATCTAACTTAGTTGATATTTTATATCTTGTTCAAAATTCCAGCGCCCGGGCTCTATTTATCTTATCGTGTGAAGTCTCACCTATCGAAGCTGAGCAGGATCGAGAAACCGCCTTCGTGTTGGACAACCTCTTCGGGAATTGTTAGTGTCCCCGCAAAGCCAGTGAAATATTTGTACTCGCCGTGCAAATCTGCGGCGCGTTTGTTCAACCGTCGCACTTTTCAGGGTTAATTTCGCTGATTTTGAGAAAGCAACCAACAATAAGTCCGTGTTCAACCCTTTTCCTTTCGATTTCCAAGCATTTGTGATCTCTAGCGTAGCCACATCGCAGCTCGGCGGCGGGCAACCTTCTGGCCAGACTCGGTCATCATTTTCGCACCCTAATCCACTTCTCGAGGTCAAAATTAGCGGGAGAAAGTGACTCTCATTCTACAAATAATTTTGATTGAATCATCAAAAAAAGTGAAATTTCGACCATTTCCTGTTTCGCGGCGCTATAAGCTGCATTCGACGTTCCATTAGTGGGTGCCAGTCACTTGACCACATTCCAAGAGGTTGCATTATTCGCTCAAGAATCGAGAATCGCTCCTCTTCCGGTTCCGGTATTTCACAGTGCGTTCCATTGCCCGTGAAGCCGTCATTACAGATACACTCGTAGCTCCCTAAGCGGTTAGCGCACATTGCGTCTTCATGGCACTGGTGGCTATCAGTCGCGCATTCGTCGAAATCTTCGCAGAAAAATCCGTCGCCGGCAAAGCCATCTTTGACTGGTTTTTGCATAGTTTGAATTTTCATTAATTCATTTAGAAGATTCATTCAAAAATTGATTTAGAAGATTTAAGACGGCGTTGCGAATTTGTCATAGCTTGATCAAGTGTTTTTTTTTGTAAAAAAGCAAAAAGCAAGCTATTTTAATTGCATTTGAATTTTTAACTGAACTCAAAGATTCCAAGATTGAATAACGTTCACGCTATCGGTCTAACCGTGTACAACACTTGCAATTATCAATGGATTAAGGACGGGTGACACTTGAATGCGTGGAAAAGACATGTTTCCGACTTGTCCGTTGGATTCCTTTCAAAATCCTACTCGAGTAGAACAATCGAATTTGTCACTTTTGGTTACCTGCAACGTTGATTTAGTTAAAAAACGGGCGGTAATTTCGTTTTTCAAGTGAGTAAGAAATGTCTTCTCAGAAAAAGAATTACGTGTATTTTAGCGAACCTTTGCGTTTTTTGGAAAAGTATAGAAAGGAAAGTCCAGAAGATGAAAAATAGAAGCTTCTCTTTCTCAGAATCAAAGAGCAGTTATTACAGGTGAAATCGTTCAGAAATATGTTCGAAAACCCGCTAGTGATTCAAATGAGCGCCGCTCACTTGATCATCTGGCCGCGCAAAGAAGCCGCAAGTTCTCTGCGTTTCTTTTAAAACGTGAAAAAACCCTGCCTGGGCACTTGCATGTGTGTTTGCCGAGGAGATTGATGCATTCAGCGCCGCCCCAGCAGGAGTCGGTACCTTCGGCGCATTCGTCAATGTCTTGACAGCTCTTGTCAGTATACGCATCCTTCCGAAAGCCTGTCTTTTTACAAGTTCAGCAAAAATGGATTCTCAGGTTCGAAAACCGTCGAGTCAAACAGATTTTTAGAACTGGTCCTTACAAGTGCAAGTGTACGAGCCGTATGCGTTGGTACAAGTGGAGGTCTTACCATCGCAAACCTTAACGGGCTCATTAGCTCCATGGGTAAATTATACGCTGGATACTCTTTCACGTTTCTAGAGACCATTTTTGATGGACATGTTACGTGCTAGGTTTCAAGGAAGAACAGATGACCTTATCGACGGAAAAATATCATTATAATATACACCGGATATACACCGAATATTATTTTCAAGTGAATGATGTTCAATATAGTGCTAATAAATAAAATATTTATATTTCATTGTAATTCGGATATTTATGGTTTTCAAGAATCTCACCTGTGTTCCCTCAGCGCACTCGTCGATGTCCCAATGGCAGTATTCACCCGTGAGTCCAGGTGGGCATTCGCAGAAGAAGGATCCTTCTGTATTATGACACTTACTATTACCTTTACATGGCGACAAAACACTTCCACTGTTGCATTCGTCGATATCTTGGCAACTCTGCGTTCTGTCACTCCATTTGTAGCCTTTGTGGCAAAGACATCTCGGTCCCTTTTGAGTGTCGGCGCAATCAGAATTCGCGCCGCATCTTTGTCGTATAAAAGTATTTGTACATCGTTGCGCTAGAATTTGCGTTTCAAATTGTTTCGTCCAATTCAAAAAGTGTTCGAGCAAATTTGACCCAGTTTTGAATATTAAAAAAACTTACAATCTCCACGTCGATGTTGCATAAAAAGATGACTGTGGCAGTGCTCCTTGAAATGTTCGTTTTTCGTCAACCACCTAAACGCTTCTGGCGAGCAGGAATTGCTCCATAAGGATGCTTTTCGTCCGCTGAAATGAATTAATCCAGCCGCCCTTTGGTTTCGATACAGTTGATTTGTGTAAGAAACTTACGTTTGCGATTCCCAGCCGTGTTTCGGCACGAAAGAATTCTGGTCCCAGTTTTGTATCAAATCGATTCTGAAAATGAAAATGGTTAGGGTTAGGTACACGTGACTGACGCAAGATCACGGTTGAGTTCCCTAAAAGATAGACTTACCGGTAAGTTCCTTCTTGAATGGTCAGTTGCTCCAGACAGAGAATATCTCTCGATCGGTAGTGGACCTCGATTTGTGAAGCTCGCATCAGATTACCTGGATATTCGACGGTGCTTGTACCCACATCTTTTTAACGGTTTAGTCTTTCAGTTATACAGTAGAGAGCGATTCTCAAGGTTTTAAAACTGCTTGAAAACAGCACTATTGATTATTCTTAGCAGTGCTAGTTTTGCATATTCACAAAATTTCTAAATTGAAATTTCAAAGAAGCCAAATTGAACGCGATAACGGCAGTTTTTGATGAAAAAAATACTAGTTTTGAATAAAAGTAAATTTGACGATGAACGCGGCGCACGATTATTTAATTTGTCGAATAACATTAACTGATCTTGCGAAGAAAAAAACAGTCTAAGACCTTCAGTTTCAAGATTCGAAGATAAAATAAAATTTCCGCCTCATGACGCTATCGTTTATTAATGGAACGTTTCAAAATTTCAGCGGTGCAGAAAAATTAAGCGTCATTTCCTTTGGCGATGATTTGATTTTTCAGGATTTAGAAGACTGAGCTAGCTCGGATTTCCCGAGCGAGTTTTAATCGAATTTCTAATATTTTGCGCTTGTGTTTGAAAGGGATGAGCTGACTTATGTAAATCAGATTCTAGAGGAGGGGCTTTGTGAACGTAGAAATAAATATCTGTCACGGGATTAAGGTTTTGCTTCTGAGCACTTTTAAAGAACTCTAGTTTGGATAGGGGGTTTTATTAGTTTACGCATTTTCCTAAACTTTTCTTACAAATAAAGTGAGGTGTCTCCTTAAGTGCGCTGATGCAAATTTACTAGTGCGGAAATACAACTGTTCCTTCAATTCTAAGCTGTTATACAAAACCGTTCCTAGAGAGAGCGAATTTTTTAATCTGAAATATCCCTTCGGCGAAAGACGAATAAAAAGCGCCCCTTGTTCTCCGGCACCACCACTCAGGTATCCATTGTGTGTCTTCTTGATTGAGTTCCCTTTTGCGGTACACAACGACACTGTTATGTTCACCCTTGCGTGGCAAGCATGCTGCGATATTAAAACAATACCCAGCGCTAAAAGTCTTAACATGTTAAAAAACGTATTTACAAGTAATTTCGTGAGGTCTTCGCTGAGTCTTCAGTTTTCGAAATTGATTAAAGGATCTTCGTGTTCAAACTAAATATTAGGGTTACCAGTGGAAGCATATCAGCATGAATTATTTTTATTCAGAATTCTTATTGCATTAGCAAGGTCGATGAAAATCGAAAAATAATTTAGCAAAACATAATTTATGTCACATAAGTTTTATTCGGGATAACATTCATAAAAATGGTAGATAAATGTTCAGAAGAAATATTGTGCCTTTTGATTGATGACGCTACTCTAGTTCAATTTGACTCATTTCAAAATCAAAATTTTCATAATAAAAATTGCTGGTTTCGCGTTTTTATCTATGATCTCATCCAAAAGAGGGCGCAACATACACCAGCTGGTCCGAGCCCCAGTTGGATATCTTGCTATCTATCTTGAAAGACAACGATGTGTATCTCTCAACTGGAGACTCCCCACTGTGCAGATATAGTTATCAAAAGAAAATCTAAAAGGTTTCAAACCGTATGTATCGTGTTTGATGGTTATTATCCCTTGTCTAGTTTATTTTACCAACGAATGTTTACACGATTATCATACATTTTTCCAACTATCAAATGCAGCAAGTTCAAATGCATAGGCTTTTTTATCTGTTCAAAAATTTTCTTTGAAAAATTCCATCCGAACTATCGACGGATAAAACAGGAATATAACGTTCTATTCAACTGTTTCGATAAAATGACAGGCTTCCATAAAGACATGCGAGTGCTAGAATTCTCGCACTGGTTTATCTCCCCTCCTCTCATGATGAGACAACGTCATTTAGAATATTTTAGCAATTCTTGATTAAGATTCCTACGCCGCAAGAAGGAGCCACAGTTGAACCTTGTTGCGGTACCCGACGCGCATTGAACCTTTCCTTTTTGATTCCCAAGAAATAGGGTAAAAATTTGTTGACTTCGCGACCTTCGGTTGTTAAAATGATTAATTTAAGAAAGTGACGCTGTTATTTTTCGAGGAAGATGTGGACCCAACAATTTTGGTGGTTAAATCAAGTGAAGGATTCCGTGTTTTTCTACCGCTAAACATTTGCGGCTTCTCGAAAAAACGGAAGGAGCGAAACTTGTGCAAGAGAACCCAGACAGCTTCCTGATCCCAGCACGTGGCAGTCAAAATATTTGAGTGCCGGATGGGAATCCAATTCAAAGAGTCAATGCACAGATTACAAGTTCAATGCTTAGATGGCCTCATAACTGTGGAAAAAGGCTGTTAATTCTGCCAAAAAAATAACCCGATAAAGTTTATCTTCGCAGCATTTAGGCAAGTTCCTCGTTTTTCGAGTTATTTACAGTTATTATTTCTGAATTTCTGATTTCAAATTTAGCAAATATGCCAAAAGATGCTAATGTGCATAGTTGCTCTTGGTTTCGATTTTCACCAATTTATCAATTCGCGATGATTGAATTTTATTGAAAGTAGAAATCCGCGAATCAGCTTACAGATAGTTACAAATTTAATAATCTCAAGGAATAATTTAATCAACAAATTTCTTTTGGGCCAACAGGCTCGGCCGTTCAAGCCACAATACAACACACCATTGACAAAGTTTTCCTTTACAACAGACAATTTGTTTGGTTTTTACTCACCTGCAACAAAGCTAGGGTTATTAAGAATTAATGTTAGAAAAGGAGCTGCTAATCATTAGAACGTGTTACGCAGGAAATTGAGCCGTTCTGGATCCCCTAACGCAAATAATCAAGCGAATGGATTTTTGGGATCTTGGGCTGAGCTCGATTACGCGTCAGAAAACTCGCGAGATGCGCTGCTTTAAATCGGTCATCTTAAATCGGACTTCCGACTTTCACGGAAAGCGAACGTTTAAGCTTACTGCCGTTCTATACTATACGTTCTAATAATGAGCCATGAAGATCGATAACCAAGCTCGTCAGTTCAATACGAAAAAAATTCGCCTTGTCTAATTAAAACTGTCAAAGAAAGTCTCTTCTTTCTGATTGATAAAAACTAACTGCAAAATGTTTATTTTAAATCAATCTCAAAAGTAGCCCAGAAAGTCACTGACACCGTTTGTTTTATATTAACCCAAGCTGGGGAGTCTATGCTCTCCGACCACAGTTATCACAGAGGGTTCCCTAAAGTACCAGAATTTAGCTTAGGGTCTGATGATCAGACTCTGATCAGTGGCGTAGGGGTACTTAGAAAAAGTTATTGTCACATGTTCTTTGACTTATGACGTCATTAAGCCGGAAAAACCCGATTTCGCTCATTTTGACCCCTTTTGGGGAGTCTATGGACTCGGAGTACAGACATCATACAGTGTCTCAATGCAGCTAAAATAAGAGGTAAAGGTCTATTCTGTGGCGTAGGGGGGCTAAAATAATCTCAGGATGTCCTCATCCCTTTTCTAGAGGGGTTCGAAAAACGGGTGGATAATATAAAACAAACGGTGTCAGTGCATTTTTACTGGCAAGTTAGAGTTAGCTAGACCACTCGAAAATATTATATTTTATGCGGCATCCTCAAGTAGCGTTCTCCTGAAAACGCGAAAGATGAAAAGCTCTTTTTATTCTGAAAACAAAAATCAGCTTCCAAAAAAACTCCGAACAATCGATAGTTCCTAATCAGTTTTTTGTTCGGGTGAACGTACATGGTACAAAGAAGGGGCTTTTATCTGGCGTATATCGGGTGCACGATATTAATTGACTATCACTGTTTTTGTACAGTTGTTTTGTATATCGGTTCCACGTATAAAATTTTATCATGAAAAGAAAATTCGTCTTATCACCCTCCCAATCGTCAAAGTTGATTTTTGACTCGAAAAAAATGCTTGTTGAAGCAAAATTTGAAGTTTTACACTTGAACGTAGTAGTGCCATTTCAATGCTTGAGCTTAGCCGTTTGCTATTTATTTTAGCTGTCTTCAAGTCTCCAACTGATCTGGCGCTTTTCTCGGGTAACAAACGGATTGAATGACTTGGTGAAAACAATTAAAGTTCTTCTTTGGAACTGAACAGCTCAGAGCGGAAGAAAAGCCGAACGCAAAAATCTCACTGCTATTTATACACACCAATCAAAGGGAAATACTCGAACCGTTATTATTTCTTGTCTAAAGTATTCGAAAGGCAGCTACAGTAACTGTAGTTGACCAAAGTGCTCAATTTCAGGAAGAGGAAAAAAATAACTTTGCGGTAGCGCTTAAATGAAGAGTTCATGATAATCGAATTTCGGCTCTTTAAAAATTTCTAAAACCCGCTAAATTGTTTTGAATATTTTTACGGATCTCTTGGAAAACACGTGAAAAGAGGTTCTTCCATCCGTATCACGTAAGTTCAGAACATAGGTGGGTCGGAAATGGGGAATGTAAACTGACTCAAGTAGATTATTTTTGAAACATAGAACATGAACATGAATTGGGGGGTGATTTCAGTAAGATATTTCTGCATAATCCTCGTTATTTTCATTCAGAAGAAGCTTTATAAAGTAAATAATTAAAGAAAAATGCCTAAATTCTAAAATTTTTCAACTCAATTGATTAGTAGCTCACTAAATCTCCGATTCAGCAATATATTTTTAATTAAAAGAAGAAAGTTTTTATTACTTTATTATTTCTCTGCTATAAAATTCGACGTTCTGTCTGTCTCCTGATAAAAATGACTTACCGATGGAAGTATCAAAAGTTCTTCAAACTTGTTGTCTGTTCTTTCAAATAATCTCTTTCGAGGATTCTTCAAATTTCGTCCTGTATAAAAACTTTCACCATAAAAAACAATGCTCACTCAGTGGAAATTCCGATCATCACTATCAAATTTTGCTTTTCATCATTTGCGCGCATATCGCGCCGCCGCTCGCGTGCGCCATCTGAGCAGCGCAGAAAATAACGCGCGGGGTTCCGTTCTCTGCGCCGTTCTATTAAATTCAAGGGAATCAGGCCCTAATTTATATGACGATAAATATCGGCCCAAGTCGATACCTGCTTTGGACATTATATACGACCACGAAACCTCACACAAACATATAGATAAATATACATTAAATGCTAATTTAGGGACTTCTTAAAGTCCTCGAATAGAAAAACCTCTCCTCCAAATCGCTGACCTAGGAAGAGCAACAGCTCAGAAAACGTGCAGCTCTGACCTCAACAGAAGTTCAATAAGCAGATAGATTGTATTGCCGATACAGTATTATACAGTAATTTACGCATCAAAGGTTGATAGTGACTGACAGTCAGTATCAGTTACCTTTACTACTAAATACAATTTAATTAAATTTCCGCGCCGATTTTTCTTAATGAATGATAAATAAAATTAAACCAGCAAAGCATCTTCTCGTCTGATTTGGATCAGGAGATGACTTTCCAAGGCTTTCTAACTTGGAAACGCGATCGTCTGTATGAGGAGTGGTGTCATGCTGAGTCGTGCTAAGTCTTCTGATCATCTGGAACGTTTCCAGCTGCCCTTTGAGCTTTCAAACTGAAAAACTTTGCCTGTCTAATTTCTGCAGAGAATTTCAAAACCAAGAAGGCCATGACCAAAGTTATGGGTATCTCACTCTCCAATTAGCGCTATCATAAGTCTGCTAGCATATATAAGCAGTTCAAAAACTGACTTTATCGTTGTTCATTAAGAGCTTTGCTAACCAAAGCGGCTTATGTCTAATTGATGTGTTGGCTATTTTTACATTATTTTGGATGACCAACCATCTAGGGAACATGTGAACATGATGGGTAATTAAAAAATTATTAAAATTCAGTAAAACATCTAAAATTTAATTAAATTGTGATTCCCTAAAAAGGAAGATATTTGTTGGTTGTACCAGGCTCGGTTTAAGCAAAATATTATCTAAATTCTAAGCTCTTTGATCATCTAAATGGATAGAATAATAATAAATGGTGGTGTATTTGCACCCCAACTTCGAAAGAATAATGTTGAAACTGAAAACAGTTGAGCAGTTTTCTCAATTTCCTCTTGCAACTTCAGCGGATCTCGAAGGACCGTTACTTAATTGTTCTACTAAGCCGTAATTCGTCTGCTTTCGATAACTAAATTGTTTTCATTTATTTGGTTTTCTTGATATTCCGATTATTATTTATTAATTCATCTTCTAAGTAAGAGCTTGATAATTATATAAAGAGCAGTTTGAAATTGATAAAATTTGTCTAAAATACAGAGGGCTTCTAAAAAGTAATTACATTGAAGCAAAGTGTGTCAGTTTGAACCTCTTATCGGTAATTACACTTGAGATAGAACTTCTTGAATGCAAATTTAATAACGTAAAAAGAAAGCCCAGCATGGCGAGAGCAAATGGAAGAAGTTGCTGCAGCCGAAATCGAAGACGGTCTCGGTAAGGCATTTTAATTTTTTCGGAAACGCGGCGGCCAAGATTATTACGAATAATAAATAACACTTATCTAGACACGTTGTTTGGATAATATGTATCCAGCACAGCCCCATCTATTTGACTTTTTCAAATAATCGATGTGGATGAATTTATTTTAGAGCCCGACTTAGCAGCTAATTACAAAGTCTCCCCAGCCATAAGAGGTTTTGATAGACGATGCATCTTTGTGTTATCAAAATCGATAGTTTATGCAAAACTAGATTCGCGCGTTAATTTGCGTAATCATAAATTATACCGCGAAGATATTATTTCACACCGTTAATGATAATTAATGAGTCTCCAGAAAATAATGGAGCATTCAGAAAACGGAGCTAACAAGGGATTAGCGGAGAAATAAAAAATTGGGCCTTGTACCTTGAATGATTTACGTTAACATATGTTTCGCACGGGAACATTTATGTTCGCTGGAGTAAATATTGATAAGTTTCTATCAAAGTGGATTTAGACCTTCCTTTAACATTTGATTGATAATGAAGAATTAAGAGCCTTATCTCTTCTTTGGGCCTTTACTTACGTGGCTCTAGAAAATAGCAGAAGGGTTTTCATGACAGGCTAATCCATTATCTTAGCTCTCGGCGAATCGAATGACTTTGAAGTGGAAACGGACAAAGAACTTGTCGAGTTTACCAAGGTATTTCCTCAGCTATTTAAGGATATACCCGATAAAATTGAACTTTTATAGCGCCGAAATGCGACGTAGGATCATTTATATTTCAAAAGCAATTCTACGTTAAAATGCACGTAGAACTCAAATCTGGTAATTCTTTAAATTTTTTCATTTGAATTTTTCTCTTTAGAGCGATTTCAAATCTTACTCTCTCGATTACTCGAAATTTTTTGTATAAATCGGTCGAGAATTTTCGATATATAAGTTCTTTAGACCATTATGTACAATTTTGATGGTTTACTTTTCGTTAATTCCGAAGGAAACCGATTCTAGAGCCATTTCATTGAGGGCTACTCAGCGCGTAAAAGCTCTACAAAGCGGCGCGCTGGGAGCTCACTCACTCGACTCCTCTTTTCCGAGAGAAAGTGCGTGGTTGAGCGCACCGCTCTGATTGGTAGCACGCGAAAAAACGCGCAGAGAAGAAAAACAAGGGTATAAAAGAAGAGAACACTAGAATAAAAATTCGATCGAGTTTAAGAATTTGATCCCATCAATCTTGTAGCTTAGCATCATTGCAATACAGAATACGGTTCAGTTTTAGCAATTTAGTGGAAACATTTCGAGAAATCGAGAGAGTTCATTTTCAAATCGCTCTAGAGAGGAAAATTCTAATGAAAATTTCTAAAAAAGTACCATAATTTAATTTAACGCACAATTTTAGGTAGGATTGCTTTTGAAATAAAAATGATCCGACTTCGTATTTAGGCGCTATGAAAGTTCAATTTTATCGGGTATATCCTTAAAAAAGGAGAATTTTTCATGTTTTGTACGTAAAACCGTCTCATGGTTTATGCAAATTCAGGAAAATTGGACGCATAAATTGACCATCAATTTTTGGAACAGTAGAGCCTGAAATATTGACTGTACTGTTTCGTGAAAACTTTTTTGTTTTAGAAAACGCACGGTATGCAAGTTTACCACAAAATTGTCAAAGTATTGGAAGAAGAACTCGACCAACTAGGCGTTGAGCCTTTGGAATCTCAAATAATTATTGACGAAGAGCCAGAAAGCGAGCAGCAACGAAATCGAGCCGAGTCTCTCACTGCTGAGCAGTACAGTGATTTCAAAGCACTGACTCGGCAAGATACCGTGGTGCCAGACCAGGTATTCAAAAATGATAGTCCCCTGGTTGATAAGATACGCGTTCCTAGAGCGACTTTAACCACTATTACATGATATACAGTTTTTTTCCATCTTTAGAGGCCTTTTGAGATTACAAGGGCCAAGAAAAAGTCCTCTTAAGTTGGAAATTTTTGAGTCGAGCCAGGTATACATATCTTAAAATTCTCTTCTCACTAATTTTAAAGCCACACAACAACAGAGAAGTTAAAATTTGGTTTTTCCACTGAAAGATCGAATATTAACAAGGCTATGATTATTTCCAGAACAAGGCACGCGCCCATGTTTTTAATTTTTACTAATTCATTCCTCGAAACATATTTTGCTGGAAACATGTCCGAAAAGAGAATTCACATGACGATGGCAGAGAAAAAGAAGTATGCAGAGATTTTGGTGAATGGTGCGAACAAGAGGAATGCTAAAAAGGCTGTAAATGATCTGTACCGAAAGCAACATGGACACGATATCCCGAAGTGTACATTTACAAACCTTTATAACAAAAGGTTTACGATCCTGTCATCGAAATCGAAGCATAAATTTCAACTAACACAGAAGAAATCTTCATCAATGCAGAAGCTAGAAGAAAAATCAAGGAACTTTACCCTCAACGCCAACATAAAATGAAACTTCGTGGAGCTGCAAGATGGTTGCGAAAAATGATTGATGAAAACTTTCCCGAAGACAAAGAGATACAAAATCTGTGTATTTCTTCACGCTTTGTCACACGAATTATTCGTGATTATGGACGAAAAACCTCGAAAAACACTGATGTTGTATATCTCACTGAAGATGAGAAAAATTTTGAAATTCAGCGTTTACGAGCCTGTCGTTCTAAATATCCATTGAGGTGAGAAATTATCATTTATTTTTGCAATTATTATATTAAAGTGCTATTTTAAACTGTGACGAAACGGGCGTCAACCGAGAGATCGACACGCGTAATCGTATCTTGCTTGGATCTGATGATCAACTGTCAAAAATCGCTCATCAAAAAGAGCGGTTTACATTTATTCCGACTATAAATGTGTTTGGGCCGCTAAAAGATTACCGCCCTGCAATAATTACACGAAATCAAGGAAGTAAGTGGCAAAGTGCCCCAAGAAAACAGATCGAACGAGTGGCCAACCCGAACTATGACGAAACCAAGCCCTCTTCCCCTAAAAATCTCCAATATCATGAAGTAGAATTCAGAGATTTTAAAGGTAAAAATTGAAAAAAAACCAAGCTTATTTATTTTGAGATTTTCGACTTTACTGGAATCCCTCCGCCTGGTGTACAAGACCGATATTTATTCTGGAGCTGACTCGTCTTTCGACTTTTTTGAAAGAAAAAAATCCATCGCAGCGTTATTTGATGTATATCGATAACTGCCCTGCTCACAAGCTTCTTCCAAAGTTCAAAAATCTGGACTTGTGTTTTTTTCGACCAGGGACTACAGGAAAAGTTTGATCAGTGTTATTTTTATCTTTGCGCGAAAAATATAAAATTTATTTTCAAACAAAAGAAGGTGTATACCAACCCTGCGATAATCTTGTTTTTTGTAATTTTAAGAAGAAAATCCGCTGCTTCCTCGATGATTTTATTGTCGATCACGATCATCTGAATATCAAGGAGGAAGAGCTCGTGAAAAAAGCCAACGAAATCTTCATGAACATGAACCCTGGAATCTTCAAGCGAAGTTGGATCAATACGGGATTGATCAAAGAAGAAGAATACAAGGATACTGTTGAAGAAGTCGAGGGCTTGGACGTTTTGGAAAGTATCTTGGAGAAACAAGATGAAGAAGAATTGATCGAGCATTTCCTGGCGCTTCAAATCGATGAAACACAAGCTGCAACCCCGATAGATATTGAGGAAGAACCGCAAATTCAAGTTTCAGATGAAGCTGACATTGCAAAGCCATCGACTTCAAAATGGCCAGAAAAGCAGTCAAAGATTTCTAGCTTTTTTACTGCTAAAAAAAATTTCAATTGATTCACTGTTAGCAGAAAAATTTTCTAAAAATTAATAAAAATTATCGAGAAAGTCCTCTTAAGTTGGAATTTTTCAGGGTGACAAAATCGGCCAAATTGACGCAAAAGTCCTCTTAAGTTGGGGCCTCTTAAGATGGAAAAAAACTGTAAATTTATACGACGGCAAACAAGTCGAGAAACCGTTGATAATTAAAACCACATGAAGATTTCTTCCGATTTTCTTTAAAATGATAACGATATTTTCTATTAAAAAAAAAAGAAGTTCATGTAACGGGAAAATACGGTGTTCACTTTCACGCTACAACATAAGTAGCTGTTTAATTTGGTTCGCGTGGTTTCGACTGGGATGCGGATTTTTCTTGTAAAAGTGCCTTTTCTTGTAAATTTGAAGAGTTTTTTTCTAGAGGGATAAAACGTAAAGAAAGCATCTGAAACGAAAGTTTAGCATGTTTTAAGTCATTTGATACGGAAATGTATCTTTTTGACACCTCAGAGACAATTTTATAGCAAAAACAAATTTTTGAAAATTCTCAAATTTTAATTTTTTTCGAAAAAAAATATTTTAAACGCTAAAGAATGACGTTAAAAGAGTCATTCAATTCGAAAAAAATATATAAGGAGTGTTATTTTGGCGTATCTAGTGTTTTTTCAAATTTACAAGAAAAGGCCCTTTTACAACAAAAGTCCGCGTCCCGTTTCGACTGAAAGACTGTGGGAATTCTCGATTGACAAGCAAGAAGGGCTCTTTTGCAACAATCCTTCATTGACACTTGATTTTTCAGATCGAAGAGCCAGAAACTCCTCGCGTCGATGCTCCATCCGACCCCTTCAATTTTGAATCCCAATACGAAAAGCAATTTGGAAAGGGCTTCGGAAAGTACAGTGAGTCTGAAGGCGAAGAAGAAGAAGAAGAAGAAGAAAAATCAGGTTATAATTTTTTTCCCAAAGCGAAAGCCAGCGTTAGAAGTTCTCAAAGAGATCAGTCGTGGATGTTTTCATGTTCAATTTTCCGACGTGCGTTTTCTATTTCAATAACTACTTCCCCCTTTATGAGAACCCAAAATGGAATGCGTAGTTGCATAGATAATAAATATGCATTTAAGATTCAGAAAGCGCATCAGAAGAGCAAATTACAAAGAAGGAAGTTGAGCAAGTTGAACTAAGCAGCTCTATCGACGAACAAGGTCTTCTCATTTGGTCAAGGATTTTCAATAATTATTAAAATACGAAGGACAATGCCATTAAATTAAGCTTATTATCAAAAATTGATAAGATCGAAAAAAAACGTATACTGCGTTAAAATACGGGATGTGGTTGTAGTGCGACTTCCGAGTGCGCTCATTCTTAAAAATCCTATGAAAGATAAACAGATTCCTGGACGAGGGACAAACCGTTTTCGACTTTGGAGAGTCCTTCAAGAACCCAGAAATCCTTTGCTCGATTCTAAAGAACATAAAAACGTGTAAGAACAGCCGTGCCATCAGCCGAGAGAAATTTTCAAAGAAATGACTTTAGCACTCGAATTAGAGCGGGGCCGGAAGATCGTTGTCGATCAAAATGCGAGCGACCCTTTTGACATTATCAGCTCCCATTTGGACGCACTTGGAGCCCAAGGTTCCACCTAATGATCAACACAGAAGCACTCAAATTGTAAAATTTTCAGAAAGACACGAGCTGAATCTTTTAACCACCCCGGAAGCTCTTTTCGGTGGTTTTGAAACGCAGAATGTCATGATTTTACTGATGCTCAAGGTAAACTGCACCATAAAATGTATGCAAGGGAAATTCAGGAATTCTATGAAAGTGAGCCAACTCCGAGGTCCAGCTTAACTAGGTCATCATCTCTATCTCTTTCCTCCGATGAAGATACCAAAGCAGCTTATGATCAGCCAGGTATTCTATAGTTTCCTTGAGCTTCTTAAATTGAACGTGTTCAGACAGCTCCACTCCCAGCTCGAGAATGTCCAGTGAATTGGATAGCGAGGCCAGTTCGATGAAAGAGGAGGATCCAAGCCCGCGAGGGCCCAGACCGGAAGGAAAAGATGTCGATTCACCGCGAGAACGTTCACCCACGCCGGACTCGTTGAATTTTGAGGGTCAAGAGAGAGAAGCCTCTGCTACTGATTTAGGCCAGTTACAAAATTAAACAAGTCAATCTCTATTTTTGAGAATAATGACGGACTTGGCGGTTGAGATTTGCTCACCCACGGAACCGCAATTGCAACCACAGCATGAATAAGAATACGTTTTGCGCTCGATTAAGTAACTGACAGAAGTGAAAAACGAAGAAACCACGAACCAGACTGATCTTGATTCCCATAAAATAGAGGATGATAGCCTTAGAGGCCCTCGACCACAACCTCCCGTTATCGAAGAAAAAGAAAATTGCCCAGATAGCCGCTCTAAACTATTTATTTTGTCGGCAATTTTTTTCTTTGCACTTCATTCTCCTTCTGAATAAATCCAGATGTTGTATGCGAGATTATACACTTCGATTTTTATTAACACAATGCTGTAAAAATTTATTTTTTGACACCAATTCGGCCGATTCGTTTCGTCTTTTCTTTTGAAGCGGCGCCGGAGAGCATATTGACTCGGTATCGGAGGGTGGACATTTCGTACTTCTTTTCGTCGTTGTCGGTTTCAAAGTCGGCTCGTTCGTTTTCCAGGGTCTAATGAAACATGAATCGATGTTCTGGTGTATAAAAGGAAAATTCACTTCCTTGATGTTGACGTGTAAAGTCATAAATCTGTTACTTGTAGGGCTCAATCTGATGACTCTTATAGAGCAACTTATCGCCATAAGCTCCTCTTTTATTTACGAGTTCTAAGCCTGATCGTTGTTTCTAAGCGTGCCAAAAAGTTTAAACCAAAAACCGCCTTACAGTAGTCCCACGTGAAAGCCCACTGGTTATAATTTATAACTCAGGGAAGAGACTTACCGAAAGATAGTCGTAGAGTTCGGTGACCTTCTGCTTGAGCTTATCAAGATCCATATGGTCGATGTTGAGAGGCTTTCGTCGTTCGGCAAGGACCTTCTTTTTGACATCTCGGGCAGTACCCTTGCCTTTTCGCTGTCTTGGCTGACCACTGAAATCAAGGATGAGTATTATGAACAAACATAAGAGCACAAAAAGCACATAGTCTCAACGCATAGAATTTGGACCCGAGCTATAATTAGATAGCGAGCTGAAAATTGCTGAAGAGTATCAAAGCGGAAGACAAAATATGACGTCAAGGTCAAAAGAAGAGATCCAAAATTCTAGCGCGATCATTCACTGACTCGGCTTTTTTATGAGTGCGACAATTATCGCATTTGAGGTGTTGTAAAATGAGTGATGGAAGTGTAACCTGTTGAGTTTGTTGAGCTTATCCATAGCTTCTTTCTTCTTTCGTGCTTCTTCTTCCAGACGACGTGCTTCTTCCGCTTCTTTGTTTGCGGCTCAGTAAGTGTTAATTGTACCAAATAAACGAAATCTCAAATTTTTTGACATTGATAATTAAAAATTTATGAGCCCAAGCTTTGGCCTCTTTTTCGCGGAGTTCACGCTCGCGTCTTTCCTGATTCTTTCGAGCTCGTTCGGCATTTTGCTGTTCTCTCATCTAATGTCGGTTTTTTTAATATCAATTTTATGGGTTCATTTCTGTACCTCTTTTCGTTCAGCGATTTTCTTCTCAAGAGAAGCGAGTTCCTCTTCATCCTTTTGCCGCTGAACTGTGAACACACGGTGAAGTTTCGAGTTTTATAATTAATTTTCAATACAAATGATTAAAATTTTAATAAAACTTAATCCAAAGAAATAATAATTTACCGAAATGAGAGTCGATCATTTTCTTGAGTTCGGCCAAATCCTTCTCGAGGCGCTTCTTGAAAAAATCATCTCCACCTTCCATCGTGTCTGCTTTTGGGACTTGCTCTTCTTTGATTCAATTTCCTAAGTGCAAGATTTATGGTTTTTCTCAGGGAAGAAATTTGTGATTTTACTCGCTATCTCTGGACACCTTAGAGGACCGCAAACGAGGAGCAAATGGAGAGATAGAGAGACAAGCGCAAAAATCAAACCCTAGTGAGAGACACTCTATGCGCAAATGAGATGTGATAAACTGCAGTGGCAAATGTGATGAAGCTATCCCTCCACTTCGTCTCTTCGCTTTCCACGCAAAAATTCCAAACGAGCCATTTTTACGTCAATTCACGAACTTTAAAGTTTAAACTCATAGCATTTTATTGCATAACTTGTCGTTAATTTGATGCAATTCTATTTTTAAAGCCATAAAATTGACCCTCATTGAACTCGTTCCCAAAAACACCAGACCTGTTACGCGGAGTTATACCTTGGGAAAACGCAGATGGCGAGTTCAATAAAACTAACCCTTCGTTCATCAAAATCATTACAAAAAAGATGAAGACAGCAATTTTATTTTCAGCAGCTAATGCCCAGCTTATCTCCTTTGGAAAAAGCTGCTACAGTCCTCCACTCATCGCCGACTTCGACTTAGACAGAGTAAGACGTGTTTTGCAAATTTTAAATATTTCATAAATTTTCAGTACTACGGTAAATGGTGGGAAAACGCTCGAACTCCAGTTTCTTTCTCTGGAGACGACGATAAATGCGGAGGCGCCGAGTACGGCCCCGTCGATGCGTCCACCATCACCGTCAATAATTCCCACATCATTCCGTACAGCGATAACTCTGGCAGCGGCCTGGAACTCCAGAGCATTCTCGGAAACGCCAAGATTCTTGATGCCAACTTCCCAAACAAGCTTCTCGTCTATTTCGACTACGGATACCAACTCATTGAGTCAAGAGATGAGCGAGCTAACTACTGGGTCTGTTTTCACATGTTTTGTCTTGATTTAAAGTCATTTTAGATCATGGATACCAACTACGATGAATATTCGATTGTCATGAACTGCGAAGACTTCGGGTAATTATAAATAATCTGATCTCTTCTAGCAATAATTTAAGTTCCTTCTCGCTCGAGTGAGACCAGAACATCCGGGAAAACAACCCAGAGCGATGGGCTGAACTCATGGAAATCGCAAAAGGCTTTTCTGACGTTTGGGATAGACCAGAAATTCTCAACATTCCTCAAGATCCCAACGACTGCGCCTACGACAAGGAAAGCTACTGGCCAAATTAAAATGTACATTCGACAGTCTTTCTTACAAAAATGAAATAAATCAATATGACTTGTAACTTCTACTCTCAGTATTTCTCCAGCTTTTCCTAACCAATATCCGAGCTTATTTCCGACCACTTCCCCGCCGAGTTTGAGTTTTTCTAGGTAGCGATTGCAGAAATGAATGATATAAATTTCTGTGAATGACTTTATCCTTTATTAGTGAATGATCATGTTAGTGAAAGTTTGTCTTTCTGGCAGTCTACTTCCGATTCCGAGATTTTGTATTTTGATTGGTTTCGTAGAATTTTGTGCTGTTCTTGATTTTCTCTTGGAGATTTTTTTCATTCTCGGCCCATTTCTTGTCCAAATAACTGGTTTGTACGAGTGTTTCTTTATAGCTTCTAAGATACCGATTTAAAAATGATCAAAAAGTTCTTTCTTACATTTTCCCGTATAATTTATCGCCTAACTTCCTTCTCATCGGATCAGCGTTCTTTCCTCTCTTGAATTTGTCAAAAAGCTTCATGCCGATATTTTGAGGAATTGGATCAGTGTGATCGAGGTCAAGAAGCGAATTCTTTCCTTCGTGTCCAAACATCGGCAAATCAGGAATTTCGAAGTCTTTACAGAAGAGCCATTGAACAGGAATCATTCCTGGTTCGCTGTATTTAAACGGCGTCCATGTGTATTCCCACATGCCGATTCTGTCTATAACTTGTGCGACACCCTGTGCGAATTTCTTCTTATTCTTGACCCTGTAGGCAATCAGATAAATTGTGCCGCGCTCATTTAATATGGAATTGTTCGGTACCATCGCCCCTTTTCTTTGGATATTGAAAAAGTAATTTGTTAAAGAAGAATTGAGATTTTTTATCCGATCCTGGGCGCTGAGTTGCGTTGAAAGCCTCTGAAATCTTCGTCACATTTCTTTCGTAGGGATCAGTCCAGACGCCATACTTCAGCATGCAGTGAAAATTCATCTAACACCAATATTAATTTTTTTAATTTCTAAAATTAAGCCTACCATTGAATCCGAATCGCAGAGGCTAATATCAATGAAATAAAAAAATGGCTTCTGAGCTAATGGCCAGAGAGTATTGTTGAGTCCTTTGTATCTGATGAGGTAATCGGCGGAGGCTTTGAATGGTTGTTTTTTCGTTTGCGCAACCATTTTTGCATGCAAGCGAACCTTTTGTCCATCTCTATCTTTAACAGACTAAAAAAACTTTGTAAACCAAGATAGGTTAGGCTGACTCTAGCCGCTAGAGTTACCGTCAAGTGCGATGATATTTCAACTTTGCCACCATGCTTTGCAGTATCAACAGCTTGATTGAAAAGTTTCGCAAGTTGCTTGCATTCGTCTGATTTAGCTCCGGATAATTTCGCCCAGTCGATGAACAGATTATTGATCCTTCCAACTAAGTGCTCTGAAGCGGTGAATTCACGGATCAGATCTTGGACTGTGATCTCTTCCTTTTGGTTTGCACCTTTTGTTTTGTCTGGGCACGGGAAAGGCTTGTCTGTCTTTTCGGGGATCAGTCGGTCGTCCCAACTGACGAAGTATTCATCTCCATCCAAATCACTTTTGAACACTCATTAATATAAAACCGAGGAATAAAAGTACCTTTCGTGCATCTCATGAGGATGTGGCCGCTTAAAATCAGGATTGTGTCGACCTGCCACAGGGAAAACAATAACATCGCAGAGGTGCATCAGTTCCGGAATGTGCGTGTTCTCCAGAACTCTGAAATCTCCAGGATGATAGGTTGGGCATTTGTTGACAAGTACTCGAGCGCCGTTGTCCAACGGTACCATTTTTGTCACTCTCCTTGTTGTCCCCTTTGTTTCATCAAACTCTTCGACGTAGTCAGTGACTTGAACGAAACATTGCCCTTTTTTGAGTTTGCCTGAAATATCCGCGACTCCGTATACGTTTCTCGATTTCGAAATAGGGATGTAAAAAGCTGCATTTTTGATGTTCTTTTCCTCTCTTTCGTTTGGGTTGCTGGATGGCAGTTCAACAACTGGCTTGCGGAAGCGCTTCAAGGTGTTGATAACTTCTGGTGGGTACGGTGAGTTTTCATCGGTCTCTTGGAGAAGATCAGCTTCAGCCATGCGGTTTTGAGAAGAGAGAATTTCAAACGCTGCAATTCTGTCGTCCATACATCGTTTGAGCCTTTCGAAATGATCTTTTTGGATGTCCAAGAATGTATTGTCCGCGAGCCCAAGAGAATCGAGCAAAACCACGAACTGCTCATTCAGTTTTCCAAAAGAAAAAGGCCTTGATAATCCGTTAGAGCAAACACCCATTGCGCGCCCTGGATTCCCATCTTTATCTCGTTCCAAGAACTTGACCGTGTCCATGTTCCAATCGAATTTCCACTGCGAGTCCCGGATCATGACCCAGGGCTGGTTGGCAGCATCAAGTGTCGGATCATGGACGAAGATGCCTTTGCAGCCCATCATTCGGAACTGGATGACAGATGGTACTCCGTATGCTCCTTGATGTTTATACAAATGCTTGAGATTGAGCTTGTCACGAAACATTTGAGCAACACGAGTCGACATTCGTCCGCAACCATCAGTAAATTCATACTTCTTTCGATCTTTTTCTGGGCCCCAAACAATGTCTCTTTCTCTGGCCCATTTTGTATCTGGGACAAAGATGGTCGCCTGAGTTGGCGACATTAGAAGACCAATTCGAGCAGCATACTTAGACACAATTTTGATCTTATCAAAGTTCCCAAAGTAGTTCCAAACATAAGGAATCGCTCTTTTCACAAGACTGTATCTCACTTCAGCTTTGTCAACCTTCACGTGTATTTTCTCCAAATCATCAAATTCTTTCTTCAATCTTCGGTAGTCCCCAACATCAACGAGCTTATCTGAGCCCCAGAAGTCTGCATCGTAGTTGATCATGATGCACCCTCGATTTCTGACTTGTGAGGGCGTGTATGCAAAGAAGCGGTATAAACAGAGAGCATCTTTCTTGTTTTTCTGATTGTGCGGGTCGTGACAGTAGAAACCATCTTTGAGAATCTTGCCTACAACGGAGTCGGGTGTATTTCGATCGAAGCTTACTCGCAGAAAATCTTTGGCAACTCGACGATCAGAATTTGGGTCCAGAGCGAAATCGCGGAGAAGTGGCGATTCATACATGAAATCAAAGCCAGGTGTTAGTTTCACTTGATTATCTGGAATCATGGCTTGACGGGAGGAGTTTTGACCGGTGGAGACTGTAACACTGACTGTCTTTATACTGTATTTGTCTGATCCTTTTCCCAGTCGATCATCTTCTTCTTCTACTGGCAACCAATCCTTGTCATCGTAAAGATTGTCTATATCATATATCATATAGACTATATGTAAAATTTGAAGTCATGGAAGAAATTCTTTCTCCTACCGAAAGCATCCGAGTCATCTTTCTTCCCATCGCCATACCACTTCAGTCCAATCGGTTTTCCACATCGAGGCCTGTATTTGACTTTGTCGAGGTTCTTTGTTGAGCTCCAAGCTTTATCTTTTAGCTCATTTTCCTTCAGTTTTTCCTCCAGTTCTTTTTCTCGATCTGGCTCATCCGGATCGACCATTTTCTCGATCTTGTGAGCCTTCAAATCGAGACTACCAGACGTTCCAAAACTTGCCATTTCGATTCAATCTTAAAACTCTTTTTTCAGTGTTGTTTGAGGTCAACTGCTGTCACAGTCCACAACAACTAGTAATAATGATTCGAGCTTATAAATAGCCAAATTTGGGTATTGTCGAAAAAACCATCTTCGAAAAACATCCAGCTGGATAGAATTTCGTCTGCTTCAGCAATTGCGATTGCTCTATTCCGAAAAATACAATAACGCGATAGCAGGTAAGGGTCTTTTTTAATAAAATATTAAGTTATTTATGCAGATAAATGAGATTTTAACGACATTTTCTGAGAAATCAAGGACCACACACGAGAAATAGGGATAAATCGATGGGTGGCGCGCTCTAAAAATTCTTTCTCTCATCTGATTGGCCCTCTGAAATTACTGTAGTGGAACGTTTCTGAGATCTTAAATCTGCAATTTCCCTTTTTTTCTTTCTTTAGTCACGATTGGAGAAATGAGTAAGACAGGAATGACTCACGAAATGAATGAAGAGAAAATAATTTTATCTTTTCATACAATGCCAAAAATGCTCGAGGGCGTAAATTGGGCCAAACTCAAATTTTACTTTTTCAGAGAAAAGACAATGATGAATTTGAACGGATCGTAAATTCAATTCATATTATCGTTTTATTATTCTTTACCTTTTCTGACGGCGCTTTCAATCGAGAATAAATGGAGATTTAGCAAGACCGCTTACAGAAAATTCTAGCGAGAGATGAAGCATCGACCTGGTGCAAGGAACTTGATTCCGATACGATGCCATAAAGAGTAAGTTAATATTAATGAAATATTTTTATTCGAATTTCTCTAGCAAGGATGCGGCGCCAGTGGACAACGCAGGTTTCTTCAACTACGTTTTCTTCAACTGGCTGAGCCCGGTGGTGTTTGGGCTGAAGAGAAAGGACGATTCAATGATCCCGTTTCTCTCCGAGCGAGAATCCGTTACACACTGCTTCGAGCACATGAATGCCTGTACTGCGAAAGAGCCCACTCTTGGCAAGGCGTTAATCAAATCTGTCAGAGGATTGGTAGTCGCATATTTTGCTGCGTATATGTTTTGGGTTTTGTCCCTCTTTGGAATGTCTTGTGTTATACTTCCTCTCTTTGTCGCGTATTTAAAGTAAGCTCCTTTATTATTCCTTCGACAATAACACCTTTTTTCCAGAGCTGCTCAGGTTCCGATCCTGTCTGATGATGTGTCCGATAACAATACCTCTTCAAACTTTACTGACCCCTCGCCCGAGGACGACATTTTCAATTTCTCCGATCGTCCGACCTTCTATCACGGTCTCTTGCTTGCTCTTCTACTTTTTGCATTCGATTTCTTCCGCTGCATGTGCTACACGTCCATCTTCTCCGCCGCCTTCCGAATCGGCCAGCGAATGCGAGCTGGCATCAACGGATTAATCATCAACAAAGTACTTCGACTGAAAGGGGGCAAAGGTGCAAAATCTGGAGAGGTGCTCAACATCGTCTCTGCAGATGGCGATCGTCTGGTAGACAGTTCTAGAGCCATTGGCTCGGCTGTTTGTCCGCTTCTAGGAATTATTCTCTGCTACGTTATCGGCTACATCGTTATTGGGTGGCCCTCTCTTATCGGAAATGGCATTATTACATTTTCCATCCCTATGTTCCTGTTTGCTGGAAAACTCATGGTCAAATACCGCGAGGAAGGATCAGCCGCTTCAGGAAATCGAATCGAGCTTTTATCAGAAATCCTCGCTTCCATCCGATTGCTGAAGATGTTTGCCTGGGAAGATAGCTTCTTGAAAAGAGTCAAGTCTGCGCGAAAGGTCGAAGCAACTGCCTATTTCAAGATGAACGCTTCTGTCGTCATCCTCTTTGGAATCAACACGATCATCGCTTCTCTGGCTACAATTGCGACATTTAGCTCTATGTACTACCTCGAGATGGAGATGCCATCGCCTGCTCGGGTGTTTTTGATGATTTCAATGTGGAACGCTGTCGCGGCCTTGCTTCGCCTTGTTCCATTGGGCTTAGCCGCCGTTTCAAATCTCAAAGCAGCGATAACGAACTGCTCAGCCTTTTTGGAATCAGAAGAGCTCATTCCCTACGTGCAGATCAGCGGCAACAAAGAAGAAAACGTAGCTGAGTTCAGAGATGCGACTTTGGCTTGGAACTCTGAAGGATCGGACTGTCTTACTGGCATCGATTTATTCGTGAAGCGTGGTGAGGTCGTTTGTCTGACTGGATCAGTCGGCTGCGGAAAGACTTCTGTCTTTGGGGCTCTTACCAATCAGATGTTCCTTCGATGTGGAACTGTAAGAATGACAAATGACATCTCATTCGCGCCGCAAGAGCCCTGGCTCATGGCTGGCACTGTTCGCGAAAATATCCTCTTTGGCGTTGAGTTCGATCTAGATTGGTATAATAAAGTAACCGAGGCGTGTGGACTTCTTCCCGACTTTGACCAATTTGATCAGAGTGATCAAACGTCTGTTGGACAAGAAGGAATCGCATTGTCAGGCGGTCAGCGAGCTAGAATCGGACTTGCGCGTGCTATTTACAGAAAACCCGCGCTAGTTATACTTGATGATCCCCTTTCAGCTGTCGATCGGCACGTCGCAAAGCTAATCTGGCACAGTGCGATTCAAGGGCTTCTTCGAGCACAGAGCATTTCTGTTTTGATCTCTACTCATCAGTTGATCTTCATTTCTGGCGCAGATCGAATCTACCACATGGAAAATGGTCGAGTTATTGAATCAGGCACACCAGAATCAGTCCTCACCGAATCTACCGATATTGGACAAAGGTTTAAACGTTTTATTGGAGAAAGAGGCTACTCAGATTTCCAGAGCGACGTGAAAACTGGCCGGACTGAAGAACGGCGAAGGATCAAAATGTACGAAACTGCGGAAGAAAATACAGCAAGAATCCGGAAGATTATCGACCCGATTTCAGAAGAGCCCTCTACTGATGATCCAAAGGAAGGCGACGCACTCCTAAAGTCAAAAAAAGACAAGATGAAAGAGATTCGACCTTCAGCGACGCTTTCTACTTACAGCCACGTAATTATGAAAGGTTCCGGACTCTTATTATTCAGTTCTTATGTTCTGCTGCAATTTATTATCGTCGGCTTTGTTCAAGGAATCATCTTCTGGATGGGCCTTTGGATGTCTTTTCTTCGTGGAGACCTTCCATTTGAAGGAATAACAAAAGAATCTTTCTGGCACAGCAACAACTTCTACATGTACGGATTTCTGGTAGCTGGTGTAGGCGTTGTTGTCGGCACAATCGCAAAATCCGTTAACTTTTCTCTGATGGTCAAAAGAATCGTTGACGAGCTTATCATGTCGCTCGTATCAAAACTTCTTGAAACAAAACAGCGCTTCTACGATGTCACTCCAAAGGGCGAAATCATGGCGCGCCTAAGCAAAGATGCCGAAGAAGTCGAGACGTATATAATATATACGGTATATTCCCCTCCTCATCGATAATTTCTTCATCTCTGGAATAATCCTGATCTTCATTGTGTTTTTCGTCTCGATCTCATTGCCTTACTTCGTTATTTCTTTCGCAGTCGCTATTTTCTTCGGTATAATTCTCTGTCGATACGGATGGCCCGCGATGGATTATTTCAAACGGCAAGATCTTCTAACTCGCAGCCCGTGGTACAACCATACAATCTCCATCATCTCCGGCTTGCCTATCATTCGAGTTTTCAAGCGAGAAATTGATGTGGTTTTGAAGTTCTACAAATTACACGATCGTAATTCGCTCTTCTTCTATCTTTTCTACTGCTCTTGTCGCTGGTTCACAACAAGATGCGACATGATTTCCGTTTTCCTCACATCATCGGTCGGAATTTTTCTGATATACTCAGCAAGCTACCCTGATACGGACATCACTCCAGGTAAAACGCATTTATACAGAAAAACATGCTCACGCTCGTTTCAGATATTGCTGGTTCCATACTGGCGCTGACACTTCAGATTTCCGCTCTCTTCCAAATGACCTTCCGAATTCTCGTCGAGTCCCATTCGCGATTTGCTTCCGTATCTTCCATCCTCCACTATACCAAGAATCTACCTCTGGAAGAGTCGGACGCTCCTGTCAATCCCAAGTCCGACGAAATTTCTCCCTCTTCCCTCATTTTCAAGGACGTGTCCCTCCGATATCGAAAGGAACTGCCTCGAGTCCTCCGAAATCTGAACATCGTCATTAGCAAAGGAGAGCATGTTGGTGTTGTAGGAAGAACTGGGAGCGGAAAGAGCTCGCTATTTACTGTCTTGTTCCATCTTTCGGATGCAACGGAAGGAGATGTGATCATCAATGGTCGATCAACGAAAAATGCTACCTTGCAAGAGCTTCGAAAATCGCTAGCACTCATCCCTCAAGATCCCACTCTCTTTGGGTTACCTTTTCATAGTTTTTCGTATATAACAAGTCTTCTAGTGGCACTATCCGGTTTAACATGGATCCGGAGAACAAAAACACGGACGAACAATGCATTGATGCTCTGAAAACATGCGGCTTGGCCGCGAAAATCGAAAAGCTAGGAGGGCTTGAAGGCACTCTTGAACGGGGCGGAACTAATTTGTCCGTTGGCGAGCGACAACTTTTCTGGTAAAAGTCGGCTTAGATTCATCAGTTGAAAAATACTCTTAGTATGGCCCGCGCTATGGTCAGAAAAACAAATATCCTACTGTTAGATGAAGCGACCGCATCTGTTGATGGAGATTATGATGCGAACATTCAAAAAGTTCTTCGCCAAGAGGTTTCAGTTTTAACTAGAAAGTTAATTAAATTTTGTTATTAGTTTAAAAACACAACAGTCGTTACAATCGCCCATCGACTGAATACTATTGAAGATTATGATAGGATTCTAGTCCTTGACGACGGAGAGGTAAAAAGTCATTTTTCAAGTCCATGTGTTATAAGTTTTATTTTTACTTAGGTTGCCGAGTTCGATACTCCCGCTAAACTCCTCGAAAACGAAAACGGCATTTACTACTCGATGGTCAATGCGTAGATCAAAGTTCACCATTCCAAAAATTCACAAACTTGTTCATTTATTGTTATTACGTTCTGTCACTTCTGTTCATTATGTTTCTAGCTAACGTTTCCTAAATAGTAATTTCTATTCAATGCTCTTGCCAATCACTTCTCCACTTTTACCTTGAGCCATGAAAACACTAAATACATATTTATTTAAACATCAGTCATTTTATTTCTTTCATTTTTGATTGGATTTTCTTCAGTTCGTTTTCTAAGACCTCTTTGCCAAATGATTTTCTAAAGGTTTTCTGCACATCGTCTTCTGTGAAGTCCCCATAACTTCGTTCTTTCAAAAATAGTGCGTCGTTGAAATCTACTCCACGGGAAGGCATGTCGGTAAGAGATATCCCGGCTTTGTCTCGCATTATTCCGGTGAAGAAAATATGCCCGTTATGGAAAGAAAAGACCTTCTCCTCTGACAAGCTCATCGTTTTTTCGAGTTGATGAAGAGCGAGCTTGTCCATGACACCACCGTACTGGTTATCACAATATCGAGGAATCTGGTAGTCCAAGGGTAGTTGGTCAAATCGCCACCAGTTTTTAGTGAATGGTTGTTTTATCCTCAACTCGAGCGAGTCTTCTTCAACCCTGCCAAGACAGGCCATGAATGGGGTATTTCCAGTTTTCGTACTTATTTCATGGTAATTTGGGAAGAAACCATCGCTGTGAAAAATGAACGTCTGCATATTCTGGCAATTTTCTTTGGCGAAACGAATACCGGTGAGATAGCGATAATTCGGCTGTTGATCGTAATTATCTATTCCCATCATTGAGAAGTTTCCAACAAAAATGTCCTGGAGCGCTCTTGACTCGTGCCTGTACCTTCCAATTTGATCTGCATGGGAGAGAAAAAAGAAAAGCGAAACCTTCTTGCCCTCTTCATTTAGGCTATTCAAAGACCGATGAAGATTTCTCCGACGAAAGCGCTCTCCATTCGTGCTGATCATGACAACGATCTCTCCTTCACACGATTTCGGCTCAAGTAGTAGTGGGGCTTCGACTCTTCTATCTGCATCTTTTAAAAAGTATGCAGGCAGTAGCTTCAGTGGAGATTTTTTCACAAAGTTCGCCGCGAATTCGGTGAAATTGCCGAATTCTCTCAAGAAGGGAGTTTCTTTTTTGGGCTCAAAGTCGAGCATTTCTCCGTAGCATCCTTTCAAATTGGGAATATAGGTTCCAGCGGCGCCACACGTAGTAAGATTTCTACAAATTGAATGGCTTGTTTGCGAAATGAAGTCCTTTTCCCATGTGACGAACGAGTACAAATCTAAGAAATATGCAGCCATTCGATATACTTTTCTTACCTGAAATTACAACACCGAATGTTTCATCGTCGAGAAGCTTGTTAATTTGCGAAATTATTTTCTTCTCTTTTGCATTAAAAATAAGGTCTCCCCACTGACCAGCCTCTTCTTCGAGCCATTTGTTCGACTTGCCCTCCATCAAAAATTTAACCTCGATCGGGTATTTGAAATTTTTCTTCTCAAGATTGTACAAATAATACTGCCGATGAAGCATCCGCATCGAGAATTCATTATAGCTATACTGGCTTGCTACGGTTAAAATTTACCTCTAAACGAAGTAATCGTCCCTCACCTGGTCCTCCCATTAATTTCTTTGGGACCAAGACTGCCACTGTTAATTTTCGTCCCTGTTGGCTGTAGAAATGCTTATCATCCATTGATTTCACTAACATAACGACCAAGAAGATGAAAGTGCCCAATAGGATCCATTTTCTCGGCAACCATTGCCACAAACGCTTCATTTTCAGCCAATCTCTGTTTGTTTCTGTTCCGTTTTGATATGATTAAAGCGCCGAAACAGTGACCTTTCATTTAGATAGAAGGGAACGAAATTGTTATGCGATTCTTTGCAGTACGCCTTGCCGCTAGGTATGACCAGATGCTGCAGAAACGACCCTTATTAACACAGGTAAGGAAGAAAGGATAGGTAAGGAGAAAGTTATTCTAAAGCAAATTTTAGTGCATAACTGCTGGTACTCTTTGCGCCCTGGGCGATTGTCTGGCCCAGCAAGTCTTTGAAAAGCCAGAAGTGCACAATTTTGCGAGAACTTTGAAAATGGCTGGTTTCGGATTCTTCTACTACGCGCCACTTTGCTCAAAATGGATGGTTCTAGCGGAACGGCTCTTTCCCGGTACAAGTCCGGCATCAATGATAAAGAAGGTTGTGGTAGATCAGTTGATTATTTCGTCGATTTTGATGTGTTGCTTCTTGATGATAAATGAAGGTAAAGCGAAAATAGAATTCCAGCGTCGTATTGTCTCCTTTAGTGTTGGATGGAAGAGGCGTTGATAGCGGTGTGAAGAAAATCGAGCGTGATTTTACCTCGATGATTGTTGCGAATTGGCAAGTTTGGGTTCCTACTCAGTTTATCAACTTTTACTTTATGCCTCTCAATTATCGAGTTATTTATATTAATGTTGTTGCGTTTTTCTGGAATATTTACGTATCCTGGAAGGCGCACTCGCATCTGAGATAGTTCAGTCATTTGTATACTGTATGTACCTGCCAAATATAACTAACTGTATTTATCCTTCCTCACGCTTTGAAACTCTATTTAGATGGGCAGATGGGTTCTTCTACGGAAGTTTCAGCATGAATTAAAAGAAAGGCCACTACGGGTAAGTTTTTGTTTGATTTTTTCAGGAAATTGACATTTTTGTTTCAGACGCAAATGATCTTTGCGTCCGTGGTCGCCCTTGCTGGAGATACTGTCGCCCAGAATGCAGTCGAAGGGAAAACGCTTTTCAAAGACCAGGATCATGTTCGTACAGTGAGAATGGCATGTTTCAGTACTTTTGTTTGGACGCCTTTAGGCTATAAATGGTAGCCTCTTTTTGAATTGAAAAAGTTAATGTTTATTTGAAGGTTTTTGTTCGCCTCACGTGTTTGGCCGAAAGCAACCTTGGCTAATGTAGTCAAGAAAACCTCCATCGACCAGTTACTCATCATCCCCGTTACTCTAACGCTCTTCCTTTGCACCAACGAAGCCCTCCAGGGAAGTTCATTGGTGAAGATCAAGAAGCGAATCGAGTCCGATTATCAAACAATTCTGATCAAGAATTGGCAAGTGTGGGGTCCCGTCCAGTTCTTTAACTTTTATCTTATTCCCGTGGCTTATCAAGTTATTTTCGTTCGTGTGATTGGCTTCTTTTGGACAATCTTTATGTCGTTTGTTTCGCACAGAGAGATCTAAACCTCTCTACTCTCGCTCTTCGTGTACCTTATTTCCTAATAGTTCCCAAAACCAAATAGATTATTTAAATTAAATCGCTAATCATTCTTGTACATGAGCAGTTACAGTGTGTTACCTCATTCTTTTCGAAAACTTCAAATTCTTGCTCAATAGATTCTCTTAATTTCAATCTAATGATTGGTTTTATTTTAAGAGGATGGAGCTGTTCTGCGATCCAGATATATTCGAAGACGAAGAAAAAGTCGAGAAAACGAAGAAGATACATGTGCGTAAAAATGATATAGAATCATATGTCCCCAATCAGCGAGAGAAAATGTGGTTCCTCAGCAAAGTCGAACAAGAGAACCCAGAAGTTGTTGACTGCTTCAATCACCCGGACAAATACGTTCAGCAAGATATCTTCCAGGAGTTGGACAGAAAAGCGTTGAGGCTGAAGTCATCTGGAGATTACTTTTTCATCATGAAAGATGATATTGAGAAAGCGCTAGAATTGTATCTTGAAAGCTATGAAACTTGTACGAAGCAGAATTCTGTATTGAGAAGAGAGCTGAGCGAGGCGATTCCGATTTGTTTAGCTAAATTAGAACGATTCGACGACGCGTTAGCTCGGTTTAAAGGTAAACTCAAACGTAGTTTGTTCCTTCGCATGTGTTTTAGATCATTTCAAAACATGCAGCAATGACGAAATGAAAACCTCCCTCTTCAACGCTGTGCTGGACTCTTTGCCTGCTGAGATGGCTCTAGAATTTGGAATAGATGTCGTCGGTATCCACATGGACGAGCCACAACTCTGGGCGAAAGCTCTGAAGTTTCTTAAATTTGGCACCGAACAGCATCTTGTTTGTTTACTCGCGATTCTGAGGCAAACGAATTACACTCTGCGTCATTCAGAAAACGAAGTTCATGATTTTTACAAAAAGTAAATAAAAAATAACTGGTCGATTTATTAAACCTATTTTAGTTTGAATGAGAAATGTTCAAAAGAAAAGAACGATTACGGATTATCAGAAGAAAGAATAGCCGAATACAGAAAGTTTCTACATGAAAACTGGACTGACTGGCCTAAGTTAAAAAAGTGGCTGCTTTTATCGACACCTGCACAAAAATAAACGATGATAAGCTTCATCAATCAAAATTATTTCGATATAGAATGGCTTCGAATAGTTTCCAGAGGCTGTCTCTCGTTAGATCAACGAAATTCGACCAGCTAGAGAGAAACGATCCCTACTGGAGTTTTCAATTTCCCACCACAGTCAAAGAAGACAACAATATTAGCCATGTATCGTTCAACCCTCATGCGCCTCATGAGCTGCTTGTTACATCTGGATTCCACATGAGAATATTTTCAAGACAATCTGCCAAAATCGGAAAAACTTTCACTCGATTTCGGTAAATCGTTCTCTCTTTTGATTGAAAATAACTGATGATCTTTCTAGCGAGAAGTGCTACAGCGGAAACTGGAGGAACGATGGAAACTTAATTTGCGCCGGCTCTGAGGAAGGAGTCGTCCGTGTGTTCGATAAGGGTACTCTTGCCCGTGCTCCTCTTCGCGAATTCGCCGCTCACCACGATTGCTGTCAGGTGACGACATTCACTGCTGATGGAAAATGCATCGTATCTGGTGCCGATGACGGGAAAGTGAAGCTTTGGGATGTTTCGAGAGGCGATAAAGTGTCAGAGATGCTGGTTCACAATGATTACGTCCGAGCTGGAGCAGCTGCGCCAAATGATCCGAATATCTTTTGCTCTGGAGGATATGATAATACGGTCAATATGCTTGATATGCGGGCTAACGAGGTAATAGACAATTATGACGTCAATCATTACCGTATTTCCTAGATTACGATGTCCTTCAATCATGGCAGTTTTGTCGAATCAGTCGCGGTATTCCCGTCTTTATCGCTTATTGTCTCTGCTGGAGGACCTATTGGTAATATTTTTGCTTGTAACAGAGTCTAACTGAATTTCCAGTGAAAGTATGGGACACACACAGGAAGAAACTTTTAACGACTATCTCAAATCATACGAAAAACGTCAGCTCAATTTGCTTCAACGACAGTCACACAAAACTGCTCACAGCTGGTCTTGACAAGCGCGTGAACATCTTCGAGATGAATGATTACAGTCGTGCGGCTACAGTCGAGTTCGATGCTCCTGTACTCTCGATGGCGTTGAGTAACGGAGATCGAACGCTGGCGGCGGGAACTGCGGGCGGTTATCTGTTTGTCCGGCATAGAAATGAACATATTATCAAGTAAGGATCAATTTTGAAATCAAGGAAGAGAACGTATTATTAAGAAATGTCCCGGAAGGCGAAAAACATTTGTACAAGGAGCTTGAGCAAGGCGGTAGTTTTCAGAAGAAGCCTAACGCTGATCAGGCCTACACATATAAAGTCGAAAGAAAAGATGACGGCCAGGACCCTGTCAAGATCGATAATGAAACAAGTCACAAACGAAAATCGCATGAAAACAGATATAACAAGCTGTTCCGCCAGTTCGAGTACAAGAAAGTCCTTTCGATGGGTCTCGGTTATAACATCAGGTGATCAACTAATATCAGGCCGAAGATTTCAATCAAATTCTTAGACGGAAGCGACCAGAAGTGTTGGTTGCTATCTTTGAAGAGCTCCATCGACGAAATGTTCTCGAAAAAACTATGTCAAGCAGAAGCGAAGCTGAAGTAGCTTCCATTCTCAGATTTCTAGGAAGGCAAAGGTTTTGAAAGTTCAATAAAAAAGGGGGAAGAAAATATTTATAAATATTATTAAAAACCGAAAAAGATACCTCACCGACCTCAATTGGCAACCGATGTTGATAATTGTATTGGAAAAAGTGATTGATTTATACTCACAGAAAGCGGCGCGATCGGAAACGCTGTTGAAATTAATGAAGGCATTGAATCATAAGGTCAACCAGGAGCTGAGATTGATCAAAGAATGTAACAACTGTATTGGAATGATTGAAAGTTTAACGAGGTGCAATTTGAAAACATTCAATTTCATCTTTTTTTAGCCGCTCGGCAGAACTGCCAAACACCCGACTGCCCCTCGTTAGAAGAAAGAGCGAAGTGCTCGATGAAGCCACCCTTGAAACATCCATGGAAGCCTGACCATAAATTTATATCACGGCTCTGGAGCTGTTTACCCGCGTGATGGGTCGCATTACGCTTGTCGATAAAATCATATTTTGTTCAGATTGGACAGCGCCCAAACGGTCGGCTCGAAAGAGGACCACGCTTGCTGCCATCGCTGTAACTCTGCCAGTCCAGCGTTTTGGCCTCTAAAGCGTTTTAATATAGAGATATTAAAATTATGAAGAGATTATGTCTTAGACTAGTAAACTTGTCCCGCGAACATGCCTCTAATTTAGACGCTATAAAGACTCAAGGCAATCTCTAGAACTATCTTTTCTCGTAATAGCTTGTCTAAATTTCAAATTTTTATTCAGACAGCGATCCCTCAAAATGGCAGAGAACGTGATCGTCTCCGTCCGATGGCGACCGCTAGTTAAGAGAGAGCAAACTATAAAGTAAGTACGACCAGAGAAAACATTTCTATAACTTACCTTAGTGAGGAAGGCCGGGCCTACAACTGGACCTGGTCGGAGAACCAAGTCATTCTCAACGAGAATGACAAAGTTTGGGGATTCGACAACGTCTTCGACACAAAGTCCACAAACAAATGCGTCTACGATAAGGTGAGAACATGAAAAATTCTCTAAAGTAGTTATGCTTTCTTTAGGTCGTCCAGCCTATCGTAAAGAAAGCCTTGGAGGGCTACAATGGGACGGTCTTTGCCTATGGCCAGACTGGTTCTGGAAAGACGTTCACTATGCGCGGCTACCACGGCGAACTCGGCGTCATTCCACTCGCAGTGATGGAGATTTGCGACTCGATCTCTCACTGCCACGAGCGCGAGTTCATGATGCAGATGGAGTACATTGAGATTTACAATGAACAGATCCGTGACTTGCTCAGGTAAGCTAAAATATAAAACTTCCGATTGAATTATTCGCTTTTTCAGCACGAAGGAGACCGTGTCTTCGAAAAAGCCGTTTGTCGTTGAGAATCCCGACGGAACTGTTGTTGTTGATGGCATCAACAAACCTTTGGTAGCCTCAAAAGATCAGATACTCGGCTTTCTCGATCAGGGCGACAAATCAAGATCAACAGCGGCGACCAACATGAACGAGCATTCATCGCGATCGCACGCGCTTTTTCGGTTGCGAATCGAATCGCGCCTAAAAGACGCGCCCAACGACATCACGATCTCGCAACTGAATCTCGTAGATCTCGCGGGTTCAGAGCGAGCGGCGCAGACTGGTGCTAGTGGACAGACTTTGAAAGAAGGATGCCACATCAACAAGTCGCTCTTCATGCTTGGGCGAGTCATCAACGAGCTGACCACCAACTCATCTCATGTCTCCTACCGTGATTCCGTGCTCACACGAATCCTGTCTCCGGCTCTTGGTGGAAACGCACGGACAGCAATAATCTGCACCTTGACTCAAGCTTCAGGTCAAGAAACGAAGAGTTCGCTCAACTTCTCCGCTAGCGCAAAGATGATCAAGAACTCGGTTAAGATCAACCAGGTCATTAGCAAAGACACGATCATCTCGAAGCAGGAGAAGGAAATCAAGCGACTCCGCGCAGAGTGTGAACGCATGAAGGCTTACCCAACTGAAGCTGTTGAGAACGAGACGAAAGTTGACAGCGGCAACGAGGAAGAGATGCGGCGGCGAATAGAAGTCCTTCAAAAGATGATCATCAATTCCAATCTCGCACCACAAGAGCAGCCGAAGATGCCTGCACGGCGAATGACCTGGCATCCCAATCAGAAACCAGCAACAGTCTTCAAGCGGCAATCAAACGACGCTATTCAACGGCCTCCGTCTTCAATGACCATTGTCAACGACGAAAATGACTTCGTTCCCGCTTCTGATTTCCTTGATAAACTCGACGAGGAGGAAGAAATGGCGAAGATCAAACAGCTCAACCCGGGCAAGAAACGAACACTCTCTGAATTATCGCCAAATAAGCGAAATATTCAAGTTCAAAAGAAAATGAGAAGCTCAGCAGAAGGTCTGTCCGAGGAGATCCAGGTTTCGAGAGTGAGCATGGCGCAGTATGATCAGCTTGAAAAAAGCTATGCAGAGGCGTTAGAGAAGATTAAAACGTTAGAGTCTCAAAAAATGGAGCCTGTTCCAGAGGAGCCGAAAAATGAGAATGACATAGCGGAGCTGAAACATGAAAATCAAGACTTGCGGAGGAAGCTAGCTGCACTCGAAGAAGTGAAGCAGAGCACTTCTTTTGACGCGACGAAATTAATGCAAGATCTGGAAGCAGAGAATATCTTGCTGAAAGAGAAGATGGCGACGATGGAGGAGGAATTTGCAGTGAAATCGGCTAAACTCGATGAAAAACTTCAGTTGTGGGGCGATGCTCAAAGTCCTGATCAATTTATCGGTCAGATCAAGAGTCTTCATGTTCAATTGCAGGAGAAAGCGAAGTTCGTCAACACTCTGGAGGAACAACTTGATCTGAAAAGCAACGAGATCCGACTGCTAAACGAACAGATCAAAGATCTTGAGTCGCAAAGAAGCCATTCCCTCAACACTTCCACTATCGATGAGGTCGCCAATTTGAAAGAACATCTTCGAGATTTGGCAGAATCGTTGCAAAAAGAAGCTAGAGAGAGGGAGATTCTTTCTTCTCAGAATGAAGATCTGAAAACCCAGCTAAATGAACGCAAGATCAAAGATCAAGAGCTGCCGACTCCTTCGAAGTCGCCTATCAAGCCTGGGGATAGCACTCAGCTTACTCAAGCATTTGCAATCAACGAAGACATTCTCGCTGATCTTGACAAGCAAATCCAGGAGAATGAGAAGCTTCAAGAACAAATCAAAATTCTCCAAGAAGAAAATGCAAGCTTGAAAGAGATTCCAGAAGTCAAATCTACTGAGCCAGAGTCGAGCGAAATCGCGGCGAAAAAAGAAATTGAGGAGATGAAGGAATTCTTCAATTTGGAAAATGAGGCCAGAAAAAGCGTTGATGCTGAGAACGAATCTTTGCGAAAAGAAAACTCTCTCCTAAAATCGCAGCTGGAGAACTTGTCGAGTTTAACGGATATAAGCTCAATCAACGAAGCGCATCTCAAACGAACTGAGGCGGACTTCCACGAACTTGAATGCAAGATTTCGGTGCTTGAGTCAAATCTGAGCGAGTCAAATGAGAAACTCAAATCAGCGGAGACCAGTGCAAAAGAAAACCAACATTTCGCTCAAGTCAATGCTGAACTTGAATACTCACTCGAAATGGAGAAAGATAAGAACAAGCGACGTATCGAGGAGCTAACTGCTGAACTCTCTGTTTTCCGCGATACTGTGCGAGTGAAGACGACTTGTGAAAATGTAAGCCAGACCGAGAAGGCAAGCACCGACGCTACAATTCAAGCGACGGTGCAAGTTAACTCTTGTGGCACTACAATTGATCAAGATATGCCCGATTCGCCAGAAATGATCTTCCTTCAAGAGCAAGTGCGAGATCTCAACGTACAACTTTCGGAAGCGCGTGCTAACGCTGAAGGGTTCACAGCTCCACTCCAAGAGAAGATCGAATCGCTTAACCTACAAGTAGTTCGATCAGAGGAACTCGCTGCGAAAGTAATCGGGTTCGAATCTGAACTTGCGGCTGCCATCGCCGATAAAAATGCAAAAACGGAAGAGCTCCAGAAACTTCAAGCTGATTACGTCGCAATAGTTGCTGAGAAAAATGAACTTCTTTCTCGAATTGATACTCAGGAGAAGCAACTTTTCGATGTGACTGATGCGAATGCGAAGACGTTCAACGAGCTTCAGACTGAACACACTGCAGTTCTTGCCAGTAAAAATGAGTTGGCTTCAAAACTCGATGCCCTCGAGAATGAGTTAGCTTCTTCAAGAGCTGATCTTACATCGAAGGTTGAAGCTCTGAATCAACTTCAGTCTGATCACGTGCTGGCTGTTGGTGATAAGGTTCAGCTTTCTACTAAAGTTGGTGAGCTCGAGAAAGAGCTTGAATTTGCGATGGCCGACGCTAAAGCAAAGACAGAACTCTTGTCTGATGCGATTAATAACATCAAGTCGCGACATGAAGATTCTATTTCTGACATAAACATGAAGACTGAAGAGCTCAAGAAACTCCAGTCCGATCACGACTTCATCCACCAAGAACTCTCCTCGCTCACTAAAGCTAAAGAAGCACTTGAGTCAACTTACGCGGAGGAGAAAGCTTCATTCGCCGCTCAGGTTGCAGATCTGCAGGAAAAGATTCGTATGAAAGATGAGCTTATCCAAAATCTCAATTTGGAGATTATGAAGATCAAGGAGGAAAGCACTTCATCATTCAAAAAGCCACGATTATCAGACATGGGAATCTGCGATGTAATTGATGTGTCCGGATCAAGCGCGGTTGAAATCAGCATGAAAGAAGAGCCCACGCCAGCATTAAGCAGAACTGAAATGTCCATGCTCGGTATCGCCGATGCAGACTCCAATGGACCCTCCAGAAAGAACTCAATTGATTTTGGTCATCAAGCTGAACCTCAAGAAGATGACCGAGATGAAAAGATTAGAAAACTTGAGGAGAGTGCTCGCGAGTTCCAAAATGAAAGAGCCATCATCTGTGACCGAATCAGCGAACTTGAAGGCGAGATCAGCGCATCCAAAGGGCAAGTCGAGCATCTTCAAGTTGAGCTTGAAAACAGCCGAGCTCTTGTCACGAAGCTTGAGACAGAAATCCTCGCTACCAAGAAAGAACTCAATGATGCTTCGATCAACACATCATTTGCAACTGAAACTGTCGAAGGAGGCATGAATACTTCAATTTCTGAGCCTGAAAAAGTCGACGGCCAGATGAACACCTCTGTTGTCGAGAAGAGCGCGATGATGGATGCTGCAATGAACACATCAGTCCAGGAGCCAGAGTCTGCCATGGTCACCGAAACGATGACGATAACTTCCCTTCCCCGGCCAGAAGTTTTCTCATGCTCGATGAACACATCAGCGGTGGGAGAAAAATTTCAAATAAAAATCTTAATGAAAATTTTAGATTCCAGATGACTCCGCCGAGATAGACTCGCTCAAATCCGAGCTGAAAACCTTGAATGAAAAGCTCCAATCAGTTACGGCTGAACGAGACGAGCTGGCCTCAAAATTGAACGAAATTTCTTCTGCTCATCAGGCGATGCTCCAGGAAACTCAAGTAAAGATTGAGGCGCTTCAAAGTGATCTGTCTTTGACAGTTTCAAAGCTGATGGAAGCTGAAGCCAGTGGCTCACAGGCTGCAACCATAAGCAACGCAAGAGTTCAAGAGCTTGAGGCAGAACTAAAGTCCAAATCGTCGAGCCTTGCTGATCTCGATGCCCAAGTTGCTGACCTCAAAAATGAGATCGAGAAGCAGATCACTGCTTCCGGTGAAGAGTGCAAAAAATATGAGGTAAATTTAACTATTCTTTGCGGATAATTGTAAATTCATATCCCTAGGCGACTATTCAAGAATTCGCGCAAGAAAGCACGAAATTGAAGGATGAGATGGCAACGATCCGAGATCAACTTGATCAAAAAGCGAATGAGCTTCTAGCTGTCCAGAGTCAATCCAAGGCCTTCGAGAACGACCTCCTCCTGAAGGAAGAAAGGATAAATGAGCTGATGGCAAAGATCAACGAGACTTCAGAAGACGCGAAATCAAGTGCTTCGAAATTGGACATGCTCGATGTGATCCGTAAAGAACTTGGAGAGGCAAATATATCCTGCCAAGAGCTATTCGAAAAGAATAAAGAGCTCTACGAAGAAAACAAGGCCCTGAAAGAAGAGAAAGCTCATCAGGAAGAGATGCTCCTGCAGAGTGCGATGCAGTTCAAGAGCTTCCAAGAAAAGATCGAAGAATTGACTTCGGCCCGCGAAAAAGATGAGCCGCTGAAAGAAAGCCTCAACAAAGAGTTGGAAGAGAAGAATGCTCAGCTGACAGAATTCAAAATCCAAGTCTCTGAGCTGAATGAGGAACGCGCAACACTGTTCAAGACGATCGACGAACTGGAAGCAGTCAAGGTCAAGTACGAAGTTCTTCAAGAGTCCAGTACTGGAAACGAAAAGACGAAGATCGAGAATGAGCATCTCAGAAAGCGCCTCGAGCAAGCGTGCGAGTTCAACGAGCAAGGTCTAAAAAGGAATTATCGAATCAATTTTAAACCCTTTTGTAGAAGTTGAGAAGCGAAAAACGATCGAAAACAAGCTCGCTGCGACGGAAGCTTCTTTGGCCCAATCTGAAAAGGATTCTGGCGTGTTTGAAAAGCAAGTCGAAATTCTTCAACGAAAATTTGGTGAGCTCGACACGCAAATCTTTGAGAAAAATGAGAAGATCGCACTCTTGGAAAATGAGGTCAAAGAGCTTCAAAATGCCAAGCGCTCGTTGGAGGAGAAGCAGCGTGAAGTCGATCCAGAAGAGATCTTGCGCAAAGACAGACAGATAAAGAATCTGGAAGACACCTTGGTAAGATAACAGCGCCATTTTCTTCTTAATTAAATTTATCTTTAGATGGCGTTCAAGAAAGAGGTTGAGTCGGTGCGCGACGAAATTGAAGACAAAGATCTCAACTTCCGCAAGCTCAAGTGCGAGTATGAGAAAATTGAGTCCGAGCAGGTTTGTTGACTCTTCCTTGACTTCAATTGACTTCGTTTTTCAGGATGGACTCAAGAGAAAACTCGCGACGAAAGAGAACATCGCTCAAATGCTCGAGCAAGAGTTCAAAAAGAACCAGAATCTCCTATCTGAGAAGACGGACAAAGTTATTGAGCTCGAAAGCGTCGTTCGCAAGTTCGAAAACGACGTCGAAAGGCTAAATCGCGAAGTTCGACTTGCAAAGAGCTCGGAAGCGTCTGATGAAGTCATTCAACGCCTGCGAAAGGACAAGGACGAGCTCAAAAGGACGCTAGTGGAGATGGAAAAGCGAAAGAATCAGTACAAGAACATGGTATAAACAGATAATGTCCTCCCTTTTTTAGCTTTTTTTCTAGCTCGAGACTCAAAAAATGACCAAGAGTGAGGAAGAATGGAAACTGATGCGTGAAAAGCTTCAAAAATATTATAAACTTTTCAACGAAGAAAAGGTACGGCTTCCTTCATAATTTAAAATAAACTTTCTTTTCAGAAAAAAGCCGAGGAACTTCAGAAGCAAGTCGCTTCGCTCAAGTCCGCCGCTGCTCCTCCTCGGCCTCCCTTGTCGACTCAGGCATTGATTGGTGGCACTACACAAAATGCGCCAGAAGCTCCAAAGACGCAGTGCAAAGAAGAGAAGAAGGTCGTTAAAATGAAGCTTGAAGATGAGTCTCCTGCGCGCAACACACGAGCCTCACGATCTCGCGCTTCATCGAAAAAAGAAGAAGATGAGAACTGCAAGCAGCAGTGATCATCTCTGTACATATCACATTTCACATCGAACCCATTTTCACTTTCACCCATTCCAATATTTTTTCGACTGCCTTTAATTAATGAAACTTAATCACTAAACAATCCACATATTCACCCCTCAAAATTTTACACTCATTCACATTCCAAATTCTTTACGAAACTATTTTTTGGATTCACTGCCGGAAAACCGAATAAACCAAGTTCAATAACCGGACCTTTCTCTCTTGAGTAAATTTGGAAAATATGCCTGTTTACTCATCGTTGTATTGACATGATTTTTATGTTTTTCTGATGCTAATTTACAAGATTAAAACAGTTCCACCGACGCGTAGAAGTCTTTATGGCCAATTAAGATTTCAATGATTCGATTTCTGAACTCAATCCGGTTGAAATTCAGCGGTCAGCTCAAAAGTCATCCGTTACGGACAAATTTGATATTTGGAAGCGTTGTCACATTAGCAAGCGACTATTTAACCCAACATCATGTTCAAAAGAAGAGTGAACATGATTATGCCAGAACAGCGAGGATGCTACTATTCAATGCTGTGCTATGGACGCCCATTAGTTTCTACAAGTAAATATTAAGAACGAAAATGGATTGTATTTACTTTTTAGATATATTTTTCTCGACAAAATTTGGCCTGCTGTCTCCCTCAAATACGTCTCGATAAAAGTTGTACTTGATCAGTTCCTGCTAGCCCCAATCCTGATCAATATATACTTTTTCCTCAACGAGTTTCTGCAAGGAAATGGTTATGAAGGCTACGCGAGGCGATTTGAAAACGAGTACTGGAATACTGTTACTAGCTGCTGGAAGTTGTGGATCCCAGTTCAGGTAATAGTCAAATTTTGTTTTGATTTTATTACAGCTCATCTTTTATCATTTTGGGCCTTGGGAATTCCCCATCTTGGTAAAATCCGCTTTCGCATTTGAAACTCAAGCAGGAGCTAAATTGATTAATAAAGTTTCTTCTTGATTGGCAGCGGTTGCTTACTATTTGAAATTTCGTTCTTCTGGGACTCCAGCAAGTGCTCGCTTGATAAAAACAATTTCAGTGAATCGATCATTGTATAGTCCAAAGAAATCCGTTGCTTTCTGCATCATTTGAATATCTATGAAACTATGAGAGAACAAAATAACAATTCGAACAACCTCTAATTTGAACGTCGTGGCTTTTGAAGACAAGGGGCTCCTTGTCACAAATACTTGTGCTCCAGTAATTTCCATCAAGCTTCTCTTTCCATTGCTTGAGATCGTGCCTGTCTTGGAGCAAGCTCTGTAATAGAATGGTCTTTTCCCCAGTTTTTCACGAATATCTTCCACGTACTTCTGGTTATGTTCCGACCAGTGTGAATACCAAATCAAACCGACATAATTAGCATCGTTACCCATTCGGTTTTCGAGTTCTTGCTCTGCTATTTCGCGATGCCTTTTATTCTGATGAAACATTAGTTCATAACTTATAATTTATATATATATTATATATATATAATTTATATATATTTACTATTCTGAAAATAAAACTTGACTTCAATCCGAATCCTTTGAGCAAAGTTTATATATTTCCACGTGTTCCAAAAGTCATCATAACTCAGATATTCTTCCTCTCCTTCATCACTGTAAATGTCATTAATACAGTCCTCACAATTCTGGCTGCTCAGCACAACAATTCTATCATCAAGCCCGCCAAGAATTTTCACAACGGTTCCTATACTTCCAATAACATCAACACAGGTGTAGTTCTTAGCTGTTAGCCCGGGAATGTCCCAAAAGTCTTTTTTGACTCTTCCTGATTTCGACCTTTTCGGTTCCATGTAGCAATTCGCAATGGAAGCACTGTGAGTGATAAACTCGTCTTCATTCTCTTCGCTCAAAAGGATCTCTCCTGTTTTCGAGTCTTTTTGCAGCTCGATTATTTGATCAAAAACAATCGTAGGTCGATCATCTTTATGAAGTCCTCGTTCGTTGCCGATGTATTCTAAGAAACTTTCCCAAGTAAGAAAGGGAAGATTCGCTTCCATATGTTCTGTATCCAGTAGCTCCTGTAGCGGCACTGTCCCATCAGGGAGTCGATTGAGATTAACAAATTGAAGTTGAGTCCCGACGAATACCCAGTCCTATTCTTTTTAGATATCGAGTTTTTGGCTTCAAAACTTACCTGACCCGTTTCTTTTCTCAACTTTTCCACGACATTTATTACTGTGTGCATTTCTGTCAATCTTTCAGCGTAATGTCTAGGTGCAAAATCAAGGTGGAATAGGAATTTTGTCTCTGGGGATAACGCATCATTCAATTGCAGAAAAAGAAAAGCCGGAATTTTCATTTTGTCCGATTTTTATTGAAAATGATTTGTTATGGGAGCGCCGACCGGTGCTCCGGACCGGGAGCTCGGTCACTCTTTTACTCAGAGGGATTTTGTGCAACGTGTAATAAACTCTCTTTAGATCGCCAATTTCTTCATCATTCCTCTCTCCTGGCGCGTTATTTACGTCCGCATTGTTGGTTTCTTCTGGGCGATCATTGTTAATTACCTCAGTCACCGATAATTTTCTGTGAAACATTTCTTTTAATTCATGTTCATACAGTTCCGAATATGCCGTAGACTATGGCAACTTTGATTCTTCAATAAATTAATTCAAAATTAAAAAGAAAGCAACGGACAATTCAGATGGTTTTTCGTTTATTGGGTCAAGGGGTGAAATGGTATCACAAGAAATTATCTGCTAACCCCCTTAGAACCCAGCTAATTACTGGCACTTTACTGACCTCCAGTGGAGATGTAATTTGCCAGTTGGCAGTTGAAAAGAAGGATGTTTTTGGCGATTACGATTGGGTTCGATCTTGTCGGATGGGTTTGTTCTCCATGACAGTTTGGGTCCCTGTTGGTTATTACTGGTTTGGCTACGCTGCTAAGGTAAAATTTTTGAGCTGATATCTATAAATTCAAAATTGAAGGCTTTTCCTGGTGCTGGGTGGAATTTGGTGAAAAAGGTCGCGATCGACCAACTAGTTGTCATCCCTTGTCTTTTGATTAACTTCCTTACATTTAACGAGCTTCTTCAAGGGCATTCTATGGACGCGCTAAAAAAGCGCGTAAACGACGATTATTTTAACATCTTGCAAAAAAACTGGTCGATTTGGACCCAAGTTCAAATTATCAACTTCTACCTCATTCCCTTACTGTACCAAGTTATTTTTGTGAGAGTGATTTCGTTCTTTTGGAATATTTATTTGTCATGGAGAGCGCATTTATAAATCAAAGATTCAGTTAACTTTTTTAGAATGCTAGAGAATCTTTTATCGGCTTTAGAGGCAGAACGAAGCAGTCGATTTCAGATTATAGCACAAGTTGACTCGCTTATATCTCAGACAGAAGAAGTGGAGCCAGAACTCCCGCCAAGCATTCATGATAAACTTGGTCGATTACAGAGACATGCTACAGATCATATAATTGAAGTTCCTCCTGTATCAAGGTATTTCAGTAACTCGACTTTTTATTAATATAAGATAAGAGGTCGGCAGCAATTCGCATCAGAGTTCTCAGAAAAAACTGGAAGTGAAATGAATCTTACGCCGCTAGCTCTGAAACACGAGATCGACCATTGCAGAAAACTTATCGACGAAATCGCCTGCGCATTCAAAGCAGCAAAGACTCCTAGAGCAAAGAACGAAGTAAAGGCCTGGGCAGCAAAGCTTTTGGAACATATCAGAGCGAAGCTGAGCCAATGCCAAACTTCTGATAGTGGTCCAAGCTCTGGGTCAAGCGGAGGGAAAAACTTTCAACTTGAGTCGGAGAATATTTTGTTGCTTGCTGAGCGGGAACTAAAAAAAGTACTCATTAAAAGGAAGACAATAGTGACAAATGTATTTAGGTTGCGCTAGAATATTCAAACAACGCAAAGTCACATGAGGATATTCGAATTGCTTACATGCTCCTCGATGCGCCATCAAAAACTGTACCCACCTTTATCAAGGGTTAAATATTCTGTTCCATTCCAAATAAATGCTATTTTCGTAAAAATCTCAAAAGCTTGGAATTTTTAGATGATCGATGCAAAAGCGAGCTGCGGGGCTCTTTGGGCCGGCGCTTGGAATCCCCTAAATAAAAATGGTCTTGTGACAGTTCTCAGCGGGCGAACATTCCTTCACTGTTCATGGAACAGCTCGGGAAGTGAATGTCTCGTCTCGGATAGCAGGGGAGATATCCTCCATTTGAACGTCAAAACGAACCGCTGGAAGGTGATAACAACGCTGAAACCTAGCCCTTGCTCGATCGAATTCGCGCTGAAACGACGGGATGAGTTTCTAGTCGGGCTGACCGACAGTCAAGTAAAATGTATGAATACGAAGGGCGAGCTTGTCTCGATCATGGGCGGCCACGAGTCAGTTGTCAACCAGATTCGCGTCTCTCCAGATGGAACACATGCAATCACGATTTCCAGCGAGAAAGCACAAATGTGGAACTTATCGACCTTTGAGCACTTGCGAACGCTAGCTGTCAAGCCAGACTGCCCTATGGTTGACATCAGATTCCTTGACTCCGATCTTACTTCGCTTACTGCCTTTGCTGATTCATCCCTTTTTGTCTGGAAAGGCACCACATGCCAGTTTCAAATGACAACGCCCAAAGACGTCCGTTTCCGAATCAATAAGGTTGTGTACTCAAAAGAGGCTCAGAAGATCTACTCTGCTGGGAAAGGCGAGTTCATACACGTCTTCTGTCTCAAAGCTCGAAAGATCATCTCCATTATGCAAATTTCGGGCATTCGACAAGTGAAAGATCTGGCTGTTGTCCATGGAATGCCCGAGCATTTATTCGTCCTTTGCGACAATCAAGTCAAACTAATGAATGTCACAGAGTGCAATATTGAAACAACGTTGAATCCAGCAAACGAGCCATGTTTCAAGATGTCAACTGGAGGCGAATGGTTCTCTTTGTGCAAAGCAGGGCTGGATATTTTGAAATCAACAAAAATCTCAAACCCCGAAAAAAACATGAATCATCATCTCATCCATTTCAAAAATGCAATCTCAGAAAATTTTCTGTCTGAAATCTCAATTTTCGATTTTGCAAAAAAATGATATTTGAAATGCTGAGATCTCAATTATCTCAGAAAACTGCGTGAGTTGGATACGCGCGTTGCAATGAAATGAAATTTGAAATTCTGAGATCTCAAGCATTTCAGGTCCATCTGAACCAATCACAAGTCTTGCTCTAAGCCCGCGACGTTTGTCCGCGGCCCTCGCGCGGTTTGCAAAATTTTGAGATTTGAGATCTCGAGATCTCAGCAATCTCAAGAATGGAAAAAATTATGACGAGGGAGTTGCAATAATACTGAAATTTGAGATTTGTTGAGATGGTGCAAAATTTTGAGATAGAAATGAAATTTCACACAAAAATTGATTTGAAATTTTTGCTGATTTCAAAATATCCAGCCCTGGTGCAAAGACAATGGCACCTTTGAAATATTTCATTTACCAACACTCAAGGCGGAGATATGCCCATTGGAAAGCGATTTGAAGACGGAAACTATCTCAAATGCTTCTCGAAAAGGAATGAAGCATTTGCCTAAAGCACAAATCTCCACGGGCCGAATCAATACAAACCCAGAGCTTGCTGCAGAAGACCTTGACAAGGATAAACTCAGAGCTGTACTCAATGGTTTCGGAGAGTTCCCAACTGCGTACAGATTCCTCATCTGGCGAAAGCTCCTCAGAATACCAGGAAATAACTCCGCATATGAGAGCCTTCTCTCAAGAGGTCAACACCCGGCGATGAAGGACTTTGACCAGAAGTACCCGATCAAATCCAACAGAATCGCAAGAGCAATGGACAAGTGCTTGAATTGTATTGGGCACTGGAACTCGATCTTTCTTGAGCTGGATTATGTCCCAGTCCTTGTGTTTCCATTTGTCAAGGTAAATAACTTTTTGAAGGATTTTGTGAAAAATTTTAGCTCTTTCAAAACTCTGGACTTCACTGCTTCGAAATCGTAGCTACAGTACTTTTCAATTACTGCCGGGACTGGTTTTCCTTCTATCCGAATCCGCCCATCCCGATTCTAGCGGCCATTGAAAATGTTATTGCCGAAGCCGATCCGCGACTAATTCGCCATCTGACAGCTCACGAAATTACTTCTCAAGGTTAATTTGCGCTGCTTATAACCATTGATCGTTTCTTTCAGTCTATGCTTGGCCACTAATGTACACCTTGTTTTCGGAAGTGTTGCCCAAAAACGATTGGCTGGCGCTCTTCGACAACATCATCTTCAACCACCCGAGCTTCTTCCTTTACTGTGTCGCGGGATACGTCATCTCCGCCCGTGGTCCTCTTCTCTCCATGAAGTCGCTTGAAGACTTTCAATTTTTCTTCCACCACAGAAATTCTATCCAAGCGAGTCAGATTGTCGGCAACGCTAAGAAACTGATGAAAAGCACGTCAAAAAGTGAGATGAATTAAAAGGGCTTGACTTTTAATTGTTAGATTTGGATCTACGTCGGCTAGTCAAGAAACTTGAACCTCTCACTGTTGGGCACTATCCAGTGCTCAATCAATATCCGAAATTTGTTGTTGACTACCGTAAGCGCGAGACAGACAAAATACGAAAGCGAGAGATCGAAATGGCGAAAGATAGAAGCTATCATTTGGAGAGATCCGTTCTTTTAGGTACTTTTCTCTAAGGTTGCCAAATTTATAAAACACTTTCAAGGCGGTACTGCAATCGGCATCAAAGAAAACGGAGATGTTTCGCGGCTTGACTTCACCCGTAGCCGCGCAGAGTCGGCTGAACTATCCAAAGGCGTAGAAGACGCCAGTCGCGCGCGTAAAATTTTACTAGCCTCGTTTGCATCATAAAAGCAAAAACTCTTGAAAGCAACCCTTTTTACGCTCTTTTGTATTCTTCACTCACATTCCCTCCCCTCTGTGTTTTTTGCTTTTACTGATATTTGATTTTCTTATTAGGAGACTTTTTTATTTTTGAAGTTGAGTGTGTTGCTACGAGGTGCGAAAAAGGCTTTTTCAGAAGTAAGAGTATGTCCCGGGATGAGTCGAGAAATAATGCGATGTTACACGCTAAGGCGTCGGGAATTGTGAGAGATAATGTCTCAGGCTCTGCTTTTATTCCTGCTACACAGGTTTGCGAAGTTCAACGAATTAAAGAATCTATCTCGTTTTTTTTTCAGAGACCCGATGGGTCCTGGCGCCCAGCGAAAAAAGTAAAAGAGGGTTATGTTCCGCCAGAAGATATTGGCAAGTTCGTCTGTAAAGCAGAGCGAGAATATAGACAAAGAACGCAATATGTTGTTGGCTCCTCTTCCTTGAGGCGGGAGCCCTCCAGAGGTACCCAGTCTACCAGACATTTTGTATTAGATTTTCTCTTGAAGGAGCATCTGAGTCCAATTTTTCCGCGTACGATCCTAAGAATGATCCTATGAAAGCGCCTGAGTTATCAAAGTGTAAGTCCTTTTTTCTTTAGATAGTTTTCTATTTAACGTAATTTTCTTTACAGCTGCTAAGAAAAATGCGAAACGGAAGGCAGCAAAAGCGAGAAAACAGAATGATATAAACCCAGAAGATGCTGTCATTGAAGATATTTCGTGTAAGCCGAATTCTAATTTAAGACGCCTTGAATGTTATAAATTAAGCTGTTATTGCTGGCCTCAATGCGGCAAAAATCAAGAGCGAGGACAGTGGTGACAGTAAAAAGACTGTCAACGCTTCTGCACCTGATAGTTCTCTGGCCGAGCTGTCAGTCGAGGAGAAGCAAAAGCAGATTAAAAAGAGGACTAAAGTGCTGCGGCAGATTGAAGGTCTTGAAAAGCGCCGCGACGCGGTAAGGAGTAAAACAACTTTGACCCCAGGTTTTTATGTTTTCAGGGAGAAACATTGGACCCAGACCAGATCAACAAAATAGCCCGAAAAGAGGCGATTCTAGCCGAATTGGCCGAATTGGGCCACCACGAAGAAGCCTGATTACAGTGTAATCCAATTAGTCGAGTCACTTTTCACTGTCACATGAGTTCAAAAGCACATCGCAACTTGCCCAATTGCATTTAATCAACTTACAATTTAAAAAAATATTAAACAATTATAGGTGCACAGAGAAAGCTGAAGCTTAATATTCCTAAACTTTGAACCCCTTTTCAGAATTCCAAAAAAATGATATGAGTTCGAAATCGCCGTGGCAGCCACGGGTGAACGTCTCCGACGAGCAGGATGCACTTGCAAAACGATGTCAATCCTATTCGCCAATCGTCAGTCCTTGGGCGATTCAATCTCGCCTTCCTTCGCGCTCCATCTCAACCGATTTCCCTCAATCAAGCGACAAGGTCTTTTCCTTCAAATCTCCTGCCTCTTTCTGCTCCTCAAGCTCCGCCGGATCCACTACAGCTGATGAAACAGATGACCTCGATTCGCCGTTCGACGATTCCGGTTCTACATTCATGAAGGAGTTCCAAGAAGCAGCCGCGCAACTAGCTGAGCTCGCCAAATCCGCGAAAATTGACGAAGAACTGAATGATAAAGAAGATGACTGTTTGGAAAAGCTCGATTGTCATTCTCTCGGCTGGGTTCCGGTGACAAAGGCGAAGCTTCGAGAAGATGCAAAGAAAGTCCTTGAAGCTTCCCTTGATAAAGTAACTGGACAAACAGATGGATCAGTAGATGGCAAACCTGTAAGACTTGGCCTTTACGAAGAGAACCTGCGCATTTCTATGGAAGGCTTGACTTGTTTGACCATTCCGAGGAGAAATTTAAAAGTGTGGAGCGTTTTGGCGGGTAAGAATTGAAACACTCACACGGGATTAGTAAATATCCTTTTAGACCACTTGTGCATTGTCTACAAAAACTCGATTTCAAAAGATTACGAATGCCAAATTTTCAGCGACGAAGACTCTACCAGACTTCTCGATTTCTGGTGAGACGACGCCTATAAGTCTGTCCCTTTTATTTTTATTAAAGCGATCAACTGAATGCGGCAATCAACAACTTATCATTGTCGAAAGCAGTGTCGATGACGTCTTTGGTAGATGAGAAGTCGGCAGAGAATAACTTTGTCATAGAGTGTGCTTTTTGTGGGTATTCTGCGATAGATAACTCGCTTAAAAGCGATGTCAGAGAAGTCCACAAGTATGAAAATAAAATTGAATTGAAGAATAAGAAATTTTAGGATAATCTACTCGCTGCAAAACTCAGCGGATCAGGTCCGAGCGACGTGCACAATCACGCCCAGCTCGCTTGAAATCTCGCGACACAATGGCCTCGAAGTAATTCAATGCCGACTGCGATACGTCTCCTTCTTCGCTCTCGGCGTGGATCCGCGCTTTATCGGAATCGTTTCGATTTTGGGCCCGGTTGCTTCCTGTTACGTACTCAAAATTCAACCAAACGCTTGTCGAGTGTCAAGTATCCTCCAAGAAAATATAATTGTAAGCATACTAGTAGACCAGCTCTTAAATGTAAATATTTTAAGCTTCGGTACCAAAAAGCGATAGAGGCAAAGAAAATCATCGATAAGAACAGCGCACGGAAAGGTTCACCATTATCTTTGCATAATACTCAAGTACTTACCTTTTTATTTTAGATAGCGCGATGCTTTCCAAAATTGTGGACTTAACTCCGTCGCGTAAAAGTGTAAATGATATGCCAGTTTTATCGTGTCCCGAAAAGCCCATTTCAAGATGGCGCAGCCTGTTGTCGCTGATTAAAAAGAGTTGATCCTCGCCGAACTTTCTAAAAAAAGACCTTACGACCTTACTAGAGCTAGAAGTCTTCAAAACACTTAACACTTAGAAAATCCATTTGCTTTAGCTTAATATGATATAACAAAAGCTAAAGTAACAGAACGTTTACCTATCTGCATATTACCGACTGAAAACCCGCCTTACACTCCTGATTTACGAGATTGATTGTACATGACTCCTTTTTTAATTTATACTTGCTCGTTGACTACCATCTAAATTCCTGAAACTCTTCAATATCAGTTCATTTCTAACCTCGATCGATAGCTTATTCTAAATTACTGCGTTGAGAAATGATAAAATGCCTACATTGTCCGCATTTAATACCACACTTGTAAAAAACTTCACCGACGCCACTGGAGAGCTTGTGAAATTCTGCCGGTATGTGATTTTCTCATCAACGAGCGTTCTAAATCGATTTAGAAAACATGATGGCGGCCAAACTAGCTGCGGATCGAATCAGTACTGCTGTCCAAATGGTGATGGCTGTTGCCTAAATTACATTGACCTGTGGTGGTTCTGGTGCATCTGGGTGCTCATTATTGGATTCTCTTGCTTTTGCGCCTATCAGCATCATCGAGGTAGAACAATAAACAACGTTTGAACCTACAATGATTGATTTTAGACCTTGCTGTTCAATCACAACCTTCTGCAGCTGCACGTGGAACAATTTACGTAGCAACAAACGCCTATCCCGGCCCTCCAGTTGATGGCGACAAAGACCAGCTGGGCTACTGTAAGCTTCCCAAGGTACCACAAAAAGAACTTTCCCCGTTCTCGTGTTTTACCTTGCTGCTATTCATAGTATGACCCGCAGCTGAATGTTCACTCCGAGTCACCTCCTCCTCCTTACAGGTATCCTTGCAGTTAGTTTCCGGAAAGCGAAACCGAATAAACTCATCAATATGCCTCTTTTTGTTCCTCCCTGACGTTCATGAATTTAAATGATGAATTAGGTCGATCAACCAAATAAATTCATGGACTTCAATAATCACCGACTCATGGAATTCATTCTGGACGTCCACTCGAGCAAACCTCACTCGAGAAATTTCAAAACCGAGCACTTCTTCTAACACTGATTCAAATCCAGGTCCTTCTCGTAAGTAAAGAGAGCGCGGAATTAAAACAAAATCAACAAACGATTAAGGAGTAGAAGAAGAGTCCGAAGACGAGCAAGACACTTACCCAGACACCGTTCGGTACACTGTTCGATAGTTCCAAAAAGCGAAATCAACAAAAAATAACTCGTTAAAATATTCAAAAAATGTGTCTTTCAAAAAACTTTAATTCGCCATGTTCCTTTCAATAGCCGAGTTCACTGAAAAACCAATTTCAAGACAAGAGTATTTTGAGTTTTTACCTCATATCTTACTGTTTCTATTCAATTCTAAAAAACTATGAAATTAAGTTGTTTCAAAATTTGTGTTTTAGAAATCGAACTATGCAAATTTTGAATGAGCACTAAAATCAGTTGTATCTTGGCGGTAGCAGGGATCTTGTTTTGTTTCGTTCTTTGTTTGATATTCTGCATTTTCAAGCATAAAATCAGTCGGCTGCGCGAAGAACAGGATCTTCATAGTACGGAAATTGATGGGAATCAACCTTCAACTCGAAGTTACTTTCAAAAGTGGTGCAGGTAAGATTTTCTTTTCATTCGTCAAAGAAGAAATAATTTTTTCAGCTTCTGGTGCGCGGATGATCTCACCTACGATGTAGAGCTGGATAGTGGCGAGCATCACGACGATGCGACAACAACAGATGGTACAGAATTAAAAGCAGCAACGAGGACGATCTCCTCGCGCTCCTCGCATTCTGGTCGCCCTGGACAGCGTAGCAATCGCTCAAACTCGATCATTAGCTCCATCGAAATAGCCGTCACAAATATCAAAGAATCGCCAAAGCTCACTCGAAATTCAACATCAGGCACAAGCTCCATTTATTAAAAATTTTAGAAAACATTTCTAGTGGCTCGCAGACTGTCTCATGATCCATTTCTTCTCTGCCACGATCTTCAAACAATAGAAATGCGCAAATTCCAGCAAAAGCGTCGCATGTCTGAACAATTAAATCCTTCACCTTACCGTCCCGTCGATCCTCTCCGTTCAAAAACGTCGCTTCACAACTATTGAAATAAAAGAATACCTCGTTTGTCTTCTTGCTAACTCATCCACTGCCATATTTTTATAAAGAAATTATTTTTATACAACCAGCATTTTCCTTTGAACACATCATTCAGCCAGTTGGTGATCATGGGCGATGATCAGAACCGGGCGAAGCTTTTGTTAGCTCGACAGTTGGCCGACTTGCAAAAGACTGCTAATGATGGATTTAGGTGCTCATTCAATTAGAATTTTTGTATATAATTTGCATAATTAGCGCGGGGTTGATTGGCGATGATATCTTTCGTTGGGAAGTGATCATTATTGGACCTCCTGAGACAGCCTATGAAGGTTTCTTATTCAACCCTGGACCAGGGTCCCTGGCAAATATAGATTCAAAACGATTTTAGGTGGATATTTCAAAGCTCGACTCACATTCCCAAAAGACTACCCAATGAAGCCGCCGAAGCTTACCTTCATTTCAAAAATGTGGCACCCGAACGTCCACAGCAACGGGGACGTCTGCATTTCGATCCTTCACGATCCTGGAGATGATAAATACGGCTATGAAAAAGCGAGCGAGAGATGGCTACCCATCCATACTGTTGAGGTACAGTAAATACGCCTTGGTACAGTCTATGAGAATTTTTTAGACAATCCTGATCTCCGTCATTTCGATGCTTGCTGATCCCAACGACGAGTCCCCAGCCAACATCGACGCTGCCAAGATGTGGCGCGAGTCAAAGAAGGAATTCACCAAGCGGGTGGCACAAACCGTCCGCCGTAGTCAAGAAGAGCTCTGACACTCTTTCAGTCACACTCATTTGCATTCAGATACCGTTTATGTTTTAAGATATTTCTGATCTGCTAGACTACTCCAAAACCACTCACTCCCAGGCTGACTACTCCCCTGCTTGTATATTTCGTACAAACCGTTTTCGAACCTGGTGTTTGCAGAAAGGGATCAATCTAAAAATCATCCCCTCCGGAAGAGTAACTTACTCACCTACTACATGTGCTTTCACGAAACTGCTCAAATCAATCTTGGCATTACTTTAATTAATTTTATCTCTTTTTCAAGCCTGAAACTACCAACTAGAAAGTTCAACTAGAAATAAACAACTCCGGACAAGCATGTTTGAAAGGATTGAAAATATCGTGTTTATTTTCTTTCTGACAGTTTTTGAATAAATCGGACAGGGCAAATTAGCATTTAGGATCTTTTGGATCACCCTTGATGATGATTTTTTCAACTCCTTTGCTGTTGACAGAGCATCGGATAAAGGTTTTCTTTGAGACCTTGTTAGAATTATTGCATTTCATCTTGGTGAAGACTGGGTGCTTGGATGTCATGTCTTTGAAGTTTTCGGCAACGAAATCATCTCCCCATTTCTTTTGAACCTGCTCAAAGACAGCATTTCGGTCACAAAGTGGGACACAGCTGAGATTTCCACTCTTTCCTCTGACGGGAGAAAATCTATTCTTGGCTTTTGATCGGTCACAGAAAACTTCAGTATTAGTATCGCCGAATGTTCCGTCTTCCGAAAGGCACTTCAGTTTGCAGGTTTTGACAGATCGGCTAAACGAGCAATCCAATTGTGCGGCAGGGGCGGCTTCAGACGTTTTGACGGACGAAATGTCGATGTTACACCTGTCGCATCTGGCAGTTTTTCTCATTGCAGTGGTAAGTGCGGTCCATTGTTTATTGGAACATTTGGTGACAGCATCCGTGGCATGCCCGTCCTCGCAAGTCCAGGTGCACTCGGTCTCGTCGCAGACCCATTCACCGTCTCCGGTTACGCCAGGAATTTTGGCGAGGTCGTCTTTATCACACCCGTTTGACTCTTCGATCTCCTTTCTGATCCAGTCTGTGTACTTACTGACGTCGGTGTAGAGCGAGGGGAAGTTAGGGATACCACATTTGAAGCCCCAACTGACAATACCAGTTACAACGGGCTTGCCGTCCTCCACGCAAACCAAAGGTCCACCAGAGTCCCCATTGCAAGCATCAACGCCACCTTCTTTCCATCCAGCGCAGATCATGTTGTCAGTAACGTCGCCTTCAGCAGAAGCCTCCTCACTTGCGCCAAATGCAGGCTTGCATTCTTGATCGCTGTTGTAGATATTGATCTGGGCTTCCATAAGAACGTGCGAGCCGCTGGCACTCGGATCAGCGCTCTTTGCACCCCATCCAGCAACATGGCATTTCCGGCCAGAGGTAGAAGGACCCGATGGGATACAAGCGGGTTGAACTCCTTGAGACCAGTTGAAAGATTGCTGGTAGAAGATCAGGCAAATGTCATTATCCTTTGTGACTTGGTCGTAATCAGGATGAGGCACTACCTTTGTCGCCCATACATGATCGCGCCAGCTGTCGGCATTCGTCTCGAAGGAATGATGTGCTCCAACATGGATATCATATGACCACAAGCCTTGATCTTGGCAGCAATGAGCAGCAGTCAAGGCAACGTTGTGCCCAATGATAGTAGCAGAGCAACCCTTCTCAAGTCGACCCATCCAAGGCCAAGATCCGTAAGTAGCTTCTTGCCCTCCCATGATTCGAGTTTCTTCGGTTTCGAGACAGGACATGCCAGTTAATCCACCTTCAATTGCGACTTGTTCGTAAAGAATTTCGTCAGTTCCAGTTTCTGGTTCGCCTAAAACTTCGAATTGCATGGCTTGGATCCAGTCGAGCATGGCAGTGGTTCTGGTGTAGACACCGGGCAAATCAGCGAGAGCGCACTTGACTCCCCAACTGACAACACCGTGCATGACAGGATTTCCCTCCTCGAGACAGACAAGCGGTCCACCACTGTCTCCCTGGCACGCGTCGATGCCACCATCCATATTTCCGGCGCAGATCATTACGTCTTCAATGAGCGGGGTGTTTCCATTCTCTCTGTAGTTAGGGTTACACTCACCCTCTACGTCGTAGATAGTGACAGGGATCTCAAGGAGCTTGGAAGCCTGGAATCCATTCCAGCTTGTTCTGCCCCAACCAGCGACATAACAGTTCTCTTGGCGGACTTCCACGGGTGCGGATGGCAAGCAAACTGGTTGAACAGCGTCGTTGAAGTCAATGTCTTCATTGGTAAATACCAAGCAAATGTCGCTCTCAAAAGTGCTGCTAGTGTAACTTGGGTGTTTCTTCACTGCAGAAGCTCTGTATCTTCTGGTGAAAGGATCAGCATTCAAGTTATCCAGTCTGCTGTGCTTTCCGGCTACGAAGTCGTAGATACCCAAACTTGTTGTGAAACAGCAATGAGCAGCGGTGACAACTGTTCGTGGGCCGATGATGGAACCAGCACAGCCCATCATTGGGAATCGGACGATCCATGGCCAAGAAGCAGGCTGTGCTTCGGTACCTCCAACGATTCTGTGAGCTGATCGGGTGTCTTGGTTGGCTTCGCATGTAAGTCCTACATCGAGAAGTCCTCTGAGTCCGTCGTCGCTGCTTTCAGCAGCCGACATACGCGCTGCAGCGTTATGCAAAAGTAAAACATTAAAAGTCTTGAAAAGCCGCATTATTTGCGAGCGTCGTTATCAATCTCTATGCGCGGCGCGTCTGATACCTCCCGCGGCAGAACGCATGCAGAATGCTCCACCATGGACCGCATGGCGACACCTGGCTAATTTCAAGCGCACGTTTATAATTCTGCTTACTGACGTGTTTACGCAGCAGCGTATCGTAACATTTCCCTGCAGTTGCTTACAAAATAGGCATAGCTTTAAACGCCTGGACGGTTAACGGAATAGAAAAAATGAACTCTGTAATAGGATTACCATGACATTTCAGGGAACGAGTAGAATTTATTAAATACGTTTGTACAAAAACATTTGATTGAACTTTGAATTGTTGTGCTTATGCTTCAAACTAGTCGTGTTTAAAACGTTCTGCTCTGGAAAATCTTCTGCACGGATGAATTGATGGCTGGTAGGGAATATTTCTAGGGCCATGGCCAGCATGAGCTTCATGCGAGTCATTCTGATACCTCATTGGAACTCCTAAGCAGAATCGAAGAAAAAATATCAAAACTCTCATTTCTTCTAAGGATCCTAATAGAATTATTCTATATCTTATATATTTACAGCGGCTTTTATAAGCATCACGTATCAGATTTTTAATATTCATCAAGAGTTTCGTTTTGAGAGTTCTTAATTTTGAATAAATAATAAGTGTCAACTAAGGTTCAATTCCCGTTGTTTCGCTTTCTTTTATTACTGAATTTATCCATTGAAAATAATCTTATAATCAATCACTGAGTAAATTTGCATAAGTGAATCGTCACTAGTGTCAACACGCAGCTAGATGGAAGAGTAAACTTAAAAATCAGCGAATTTGCATATTGAAGCTTCTCGTTAGATTTTTAGAAGAAAATTGTTTTTTATCATGAGTCGAGCTACAGATAGTGTTCGAGACTCTGTTAGATATTCTCGCACAAGCATGAGAGAACAAGAAGAACAGCACTATGGAAACATTACAGAAGCACAAAGTTCTTCGGCCAGACAATATGGCAGCCAATACAATGTTCCCTCGCAAAACCATCAAGTACAAAACCAGCATTATCATCATCAGCCAAATGCTCCAATGCCTAAGCCACGGCAACAATTACCACAAAGAGCTAACAATCAGTATTCATCTGTGAATTACAGTCAAGGAAACTCAGCAGCGCATTACATACACTCTCCTCCTAAAAAGTCAACCTTTATGAATGAAGTGTATAAAACTGCTTCACCTGGAACTTCTTCATCTGATCGACAAGACTTAATCCAACAACACACTTGGAAGCCGAATGGAAAAGGTAGTTTTGAAGTAATTCTGTAACAACACTCAGTCTTCAGACGATTCTGGAGGTTTCCCATGGTTCACAATACTCATCACTCTTGCTCAAACGGGCTATTTTTTCTATATGTACTGGAGTGCTGTTGGAGCACCATCAAGTAAGTTCAACTCTGAACACAGCACTTGTAATGCAGGTCTCAGGTGAGTGGGCGCTTTGGCAGAGTGCGTTCAATGACAACAAACTGATCCGGGGACGGACGGTGCCGGTACCAATCCAAAATTGGTACCCGGTACCAAATTTCTGGTACCCGGTACCAAAAAAATGTCAGGATACCGAGCCAAAATTGATTTTAAAAGGTGTATTTGGTCAATAAATGAAGTTTTCTTACAATTCAGCCGCGGAGCGGACATTAGTTTTTTGATGGGTCAGAAAAAATGTTTGACTTTGGTACCGGGTACCAATTTTTTGGTACCGGGTACCAATTTTGGTACCGGGTACCAATTTGGTACCGGCACCGTCCGTCTCCCAACTGATCCTTGTTGGAGACAAGGCAACAGTGGATAAAGAAATCTGGAGGTTCTTTACGTACTCATTCGTGCATAGCGGATGGCAGCATTTATTAGGTCGTGGTCTATGATATTTATAGTGCTAACCTTGTAGTCTTTAGGTAACATGATAATGCAGCTAGTTGTGGGTTCGTTATTGGAGATTGTTCATGGAACGACTAGAATAATGATCATCTATACGATCGGTAGGCGATTCAAGAAGCCGTAATTCTATTCAAAAAGGTGTCATTGTCGGAGGAATAACAGCAGTAGTCATAACTCCGAGCATCCATCTTGTCGGTGCTTCTGGTGGTGATTTTTGTCTCGTCACAACTGTTCTTGCTGGAGTTGTGCTCAACTGCGACACAATGAACCTTGCTGGTGCGCTGATTCGCATAATTCTCTTCGGAGGATATCTCGTTGCGGAAGGATACATGTCCGTTCAGCGATACAAAGACGGAGATCATCAGATTTCCTGGGCGGCGCATCTCGGTGGGGCAGTGACTGGCCTGCTAATTGGTACTGTCGTCTTGCGAAATATGGACATCAAGGTTTCAGAAAACAACTTGACGGCTAACTCTGTCTAATTTAGAAGTGCGAAAATGTCTGCAGAATACTCTCTCTCATACTCTTCATCGGCTACTTAGGGGTTCTAACTGCGATGTGGTTCCTAATAATCGAAGAAGAAAATGAAATCAACGATGGTATTGATGTCTTCCAGAATATATTCAAGCCTGAGAAGGAAAAGTAATGCACCTGCTCTTTTTCGATTGTAAATAATTTGCTAATAAATTGATTCAAACAATTTTGTTTTTTCAATGAAGTTTATTAAATATTAGGAAAACAAAGATAATAACGATCAAGGGAAATAATTAATACAGCTGTAGGAAGGGAAACACAGATAACCTTAATTTCGACTTAGTTCGAAAGTTTTTCTAACTGGACTTCTCAGGAGGGCTTCTTGTTTACTTCTTTGAATTTCTCAGGAGCAGGACCGATGAAGAATAGACGAGTACGATGAAAATCTTGTTTCTTTTTCTTCACGGTAGGGGACAATTAAAGAGACTGTCGAAGTCGAATTGGGACTCTTCGAAGAGGTCGTCCGACCCGTTCGTCAGGATTTCGTCGAGGATATTGTCGGACATTGCCGGAGAGGCCGCTTGCTCGCCCAAAGAGTAGTCAACCTTCGTCTGTGGCGACTGGGAATCGTTGACCGGCTCAAGCTCGTAGAATAAGTTCGGATCATCAAACGCGGCAGGCTTAACTGGGTTGCAGACCTTGACTCAATCGACCGCACGCGACACGGAGCTAGATAATCTCCACTATTCTAGCGACCGCGCGCGAAACAAGCAAACATGAGTAGTCTCACCCAACTCTCTCTTCAGGAGAGGATCCAGAACAAATCGAATTTGAGCTTGAACCGATTGCAGAGTCCCCGTCTCCGAGGCGAAGTTTCAGCTCTTTGTTCTCGCGCAGAAGCTCGGCAATTTGGGCCTAAAATATCTCATTGGAAAACAGGTCTTTCGAATCCAAACGATCAATTATGTCTTATAGATTTAGAGAACCCCTTACCCTCTGTTCTTGTTGAGTCCTCCTCAACTCTTCCATCATCGCGCGCAGTTCATCATTGTCTGACTTCAAGTCTTCGTAAGCCGTTTTCTTCTTGTCGCGAGCGTTTTGAGCCGCGACACGATTCTTGAGCTTTCGTCGGAGGATCTTTTCTCCAGCGGTCAGATGAGTTAACTTGCGGCGGCGGCGGGGCTGACCAGGTGTTGTTTGGTCGAAAAGCCCTTCAGCCCAAATGGGAAGGCTGTGTTTCCCAGCGCGGAGCTAGAATTCTTGTTAGGAAAAAGAGTTTGGAAACATGAATCTTGCCTCGTCAATCGGTGTGCGTTCAGCAATACGATTATCATATTCCTGATCCCTGTGATCCAGCGACTGCAGCGTCTCCAAATCCTCCAGCTTGATTACTGGAATGCCTTGACCATTGGACAGGCATTGTGGAGAGGATTGGAAGTGCTGCTGTTGCTGCGCTGGAACACGCTGCAAATTGGAGATTTGTTTCATGTTTTCTGCTGTTAGTTTCTTCGTGCCGACTGGCAATTTTATGATAATCGGTGCAGGCACCATAACTTCTAAAAATTGGGCGTTAGTCATCTTTGATCTCAAAATTTTAAGAAGTTAGCCCCTTGCGGCTAGCCCTTTTAGACTGAAAGCTCCTAAACGGCCAGTTCTAATAGCCGTATTCGGATTAAATGTTAGGATTGCTCTAGAATTAATACCTTGCTGCTCTGATTTACTATCTTTTCCGATCACCATTTGTCTTTTAGACTTTATTGGGTCTGGAGTATCTCTAGAATCGAGGAATAGGGGACTGACCTGAGCTACTCTCGCGTGGCGTTTTCTTTCTGATGTTTCTTGAGAAGCGTGGCCTTAGACCTGTGCGACGGCCGACGTGGCGCTCGCTGATTGGCTGGCGCTGGGGGTCAGTCCGCCCGCGGAATCTGATGAAAATGAGGTCATTCTGACTCATCAGAAAAATGAATGAAATGCGAAAATGAGTACTCGATGAGTCATTTTTACTACGAGAAAGTTTCTGGCCGAGAAATTTAAAAAATGAAGTTGGGTTTTGAAAAAGAAATTTCTATTGTAAATAAGATGTTCATTAAAACTTAAAGAACCCATAATCAGGGTGATCCTGCAATGAGTCACGGGGTCAACTTCGAACCAGAACTTCAACTGCACAAATTCATTTCGGTAAAGGTATCCCGGCAGAACCAAGCCGGTTAATTTGGATTCTTCTATATAAAATCAACAATATTCAAGAATAATCTCCTTTTGAATTGATCGAATTTGGGAGACGAGAATGACTTTTAGGCGGACGATCACGAGGAACTGCTGAAAAAGGCGCTTTTATCCGGAGAATATGACATAAACGATACTGACAGTCATGGATTTTCGAGTCTACATTGGGCAGGGCTCGTTTTGATATGTTCTAGTGCGAGATGCTGTGACGTTACTGTTAAAGAAAATTCGCGAAAAACAAGCGATCATATGACTTTCTTATGTAACTAAGTAAATAATTATAGAAAGCTGAAATCAATTTTTCTCCACTAGAAACAAATTGATACTTTGACAATTTAATAAAAGGAAAAGAGGGATGAGCTAATTAAGGGGCCTGTTCGCTAAGATCTGGTTACGTAATCACTAGATCATGAGCCTGATCAAAGTCTTTTTCAGGAAAGAAAACGTCGTTGAACTTTTAACACAACTAAATGCCGATCCTACGATAAGAGATAGTGTCCATGGACTCACACCGCTGGACTATGCTATTGGCCAGGTACTGTAACTCAAATTTAAGATGGAGCTATTTTGAAAGCGTCTATAAAGGCAGACTTTCCAAAAACAGCTCATCGTCGAGCGCAGAATATAAATTTGGGAAATTTAGTATGCGAATCCGCAGATAGCGCGAATAATAGTTGGCTCCTACGCAACTGATAAGATTTTTGAAATATTACGAAGCACAGATGAAAAATTGAATACTCCACTTCATATTGCCGCCAAATTTGGTGTTTATCCTTGTTTATTGCTTCTTATTCAAAGGTTCACGAATTCATCGAAAAGGAGAATTAATTTTATCCAGCATAAAATTAATTTAATCATTCATTTTTTTCTATCCGCTAAACATGACAATATTATTCTAGAGGCGCACTAGCAAGCGTACAAAATAAAGACGGAAAGCTGCCAATAGATTTATGCCCAGAAGGAGTCGATCACAGAATTCTAGCGCAACTTGAACGAGCTGCAATGAAAGAGGATCTTTCACGCTGCTGGCAATGGTAAGACATGAAGAACAGTATTTTTGCTCTGTATTTATTAATTCGTGCAGTCCCCGTACTGAATGAATAATGATATTGCTTTTTCTTTTGATCTAAAATTTTTCATAAAGCTTTTGCTGCTCCTGAGTAGCAGCGCCTCTTTTCTGAGGGATAGATCCGTAGAGCGGGTGATCTTCGTAGTCGGCTTGGTTCATGTAATAGTCGAACAGGCTCTGCAACGGGTCTCGTTTTTCCAGCGAGATTGAGTAACCTCCTCGTTTCTGAAAAGCATCAAGGAAAATCTGTTCTCGACAACCTGTGTATAAACTTAAAAGAGTTTCAATCAAAATCCGCGATCGAGATGGCTATTTTGGCGAAGCCGCTTTGCGGCGTTGTTGGAAAGGAGCAGCTACGTGGCTCTTATTAATGCTCTTCCAGAGTCTGAGAAGTCCCAGACCTTGGCTCAGGTTTCTACACAGGCCAAGAGCGGTTTGTGTTGACTTCTTTACCTCAAAGTCAGTTTCCATCCTTCCCCTCCAATTCGAGGGGTGTCCAACGGCAATAGAAATAATAGAAAGGAAAATTCCAAAAATCATTGCTTACGTTTTTGAGTAGCTTGCGTTTCAAACACACGATTTTATAAGCTCATTTCATTTTTTCGTAAAATCTGCTGACTGATGAATTTTTAAAGCGCAAAACTCAGCCACCACGGAACAAAGCGCTGCTCACGATGCCATTATGCTCGTTACTGTGATCGCAACTGCCAGGTACTGTAGATTATGAAATACTGATATTGATTTAGAGAAGGTTTTACATTGGAAAACGCATCAGAAAAACTGCGAGCCTGTTGTGCTGGCGAAGTCTGATGGACATATTGTTTCGCAGATGTTTGAAAATAGTGAAAAAAGAATAGAAGATCACTTGGATGAGGTTATTTATTGTGAAGCTCTTATGAAAAATGGGTACGTTAGAAAAAATACAGTCAAATTCATTCAATCGATATCTTTTGTGTTCTGTCCACTCACGCATTTCCGCAAAATGACGTTCATTTTTAGAAACATAAAAGACATTTCTGTTGGAACAATAGGAGACATCAACCAGTCGTCGAAAGAGCTCTACAGAGAGTTGTCCGATGGCAAGCATGGTCTTACAAAAGCCGAGTTCACTGTCGAGGTTCAAATTCCGCACAATATGGAACGCGGGCCGCTTTTAGTTACAGATGTCAAACGGAGAATAATTGCCTTTGTCTCGCCCAAGGAACGCGGCTACGATGTGAGTAGTAGATACATAACAGTTGTTGTTGAAAGACTCTTCTCAAAAAAGCTCTTTGTTTGGTTCAAGGTTACTTTACCATGAGTCTTCTAGTCCAAATTACTGATTTAGTAAATTTGAAATTAGGGAAGGCTGTTAGAATTTATAACTTAGAAAGTTGCTTCTTGAGACCTTTTAAACAGTATGTTTTAGTTACTGTGTAATAAAATCGAGAAGCACTGTGCGCGCGGCAAGCAGTTTGCCTTTTTCACGAGCGAATTTGATTCTGCCTTTCCTGGGACACTCAAAGTCTTTGCCTCCACTTGTGCATCTAGCTACCGCTAGAAACCATGAACGATTCACTTTAGATTATTTTTACAAAACAGTCACTGCCAAAAGTTATGTTCAAAAGTGTTCTAGAACCAATTTCTGTTCTCCAAACGCCTGGATTAACAATTATTAGTTTAAAAGATTTAATCCCTTACTACCTCTTTGATAACTTTAGAGTCGTTATTGAAGCGGTGCCCGTTGCAAACGTAAAGACCTCGCGTTTGATACTTTTGTAATGAGAATTGAGAAGAGTGTTACTGTACTTGATAGACCTTGGGAAGAGCTGATTGAAGGCATCAACCAAAAATATCCGAATCCCCACTCAAAAGGTACATTTTCGTGCATCAAGTTCAAAGCGTTGATAGTATCAAATTGATACTCACGAACTTTTTAGCTGCGAAAACAAACGATGTTTTAAAACGGCGAATTGAGAACGGACTCCTTATAACCGAGAAATGGGTTGGCAACGCTTTCCCCGTTCCCTCCATCATCAGATCTACATTCCTCAAGTGCACAGGGATCAACTTCCCCGAAGTGGTAAGCCGTTCATTTCCATTCCTTTCTCCATTGATTTTCCTAGGCACATAGCTACGAGAAGACCGTCATTGACAAGGAAGAAGGTCTGCTGATGCAATATTCGAAGAACAACTCGATGGCTGCTTTCCTCAACTTCGTCGAAGTGATGCAGTACAAAAAAATCTCTGAAACAGAGACAGAACTAACTCAGACGTGGAAAGTTCAGTGCGATATCAATAGTTGGTTCAACAGCTGGTTCGAGGTTTGTCATATTTGAGGTTAACACGATGATGATTATAATTAAGAGCCAATTTGTGGCAACTTGCGTTGGCAATTCAAAGAAAGGCCTCGATGGTCTCAAGTGGGTGACCGAGAAGCTCCACTCTGGCCCAGACGGACTTCTTGACCTGCACCACTTCCGTGAAAGCTTAAAAGTCCTTGTTGAAGATATCGAAACAACCACTGTCAAAGTTACAGAGAATCTCAAAGAGGAACTTGGCGAAATCAGCCAAGCTGTCAAAGAAACCCTCGGTAAGTGGCCGCGTTAAGATCATCCGTTGAGCGCGCTTTTAGACGAAATGACAAAGTTGTAAAAGCTTTTCGCTTGTAGTTTGAAGGTATTCATTTACATTCACATCTATCGCGCCTACTCTTTTACCATCATTCCTACCATTAAAATACAAGCTCATTTTCAATTCTAGAGTCTACGGAGAACATCGTTACAGACGTAGCAGAGGAAAGTATTCAAAAAGTCGGCCGCCGTATTCGCCTAACATCCGAACATTTGCGCCAAGAACGAGAAAAATAAAGAAAAGATCTAGATTTTTTTATTTTATTCTGCTCTCTTTTTAATATTTATTTATTCATCTTTTGACTTGCCTTTCTCAAAGTACTCGTCCTGTGTCGAGGGGAAATGTTATACACTCAGTTTGTCCTATCTTCGTTTTGTTTTAGACTTTTTCAGTTTTTACTGCTTCCCGAAGTTCAATCAATTTAAGCTCTCTCTTCTCGAACTCGAATAAAATTTGTGTGAATATATTTTCCTTCTTTAGATCTTGCTGAATATGAGCGTTACAGCAGATGTTCGGACGCCGACTAAAGATGAACATGCAGAAATGATCAAGAATCAAAAGATAGTTGATGGATTCAAACTGTAATTTTAGAAACATTTCAGTTTTTTATTCATTTTTTAGGAATTGGATGAAAATGAAAGACGGCGACAAAGGCCGAGTTCTTTGGCAACAGACGACTGACTTCTCGAGGACAAATGTAACCCACGAAGCTCGTATTCCAAAGAGAATACTCAAGTGCAAATCGGTCTGCCGAGAGCTCAACTTTTCGTCAAAAGAACTCATCGAAAACTTCAGCCTTGTTCAGAGGATTTACTTCAAGTTTGGATACAGAGATTTTAGTAGTTTCTAATTGATAACACTAGAGGGCGATTAATGGAAGAATGGCCATTTCATTTCGGTTTTGTGATGCCAAACACGACGAATTCTTGGGAAAACGTTATCGAAGCTGATTCAGCTGGCGTCCTCGGTGCGTCCATTCTGAGGTGAGAGGGTGTAGCCAATTTTCGGGACTCAATTTAACTCAAAGTGGCAATATTGAAATCGAAACGCTTTTCTTCAACGAGTCCGTGGTCATTTCCAAGTCGCGAGTCCGTGTTTTCTATGTCTAATTTGCCCTGCGCATCTCATTCTTCCTTCAAATTATTCGAATATGCAAAATTCTCTCATCCTAAATATCTCCGAATACTCATCCTTCATGACAACATTCATTTAATTTCTTATCTGTCGATCCATATTTTTTGAATAAACAAAGTATTTTCATTAACTCAACAGAATTTATTGTACAGTTTTGAGACAATATTTCGTAGCTCGTTGTTCTGATTCTCTTGATCAAGACCAAGTCTGTAGATAGCGCACCTAGTTGGCAAATTTAGCTTTCCAACAGTCGGGAAAAATGGTCTCGCCAAATGACAATAGCTAAGTCCGAAAAATATCTGTATCTTCATTCTCTTCTTGAACTTTTCAAGATCTGAGTTTTATCTGCTTTAGTCGATCACTGGCAAGCAAATGTCAATTCACGCATTAACAGGTTAGAAAATCAATGATGTGGGAATAGAATGACATTCATAGAATATTAAATTTGAATTCTGAAATAAAGGGGTCTTTTTTGATTTCAGAAAAGCTCAAGAAAATTCTCTTTTAACTTATTATTAAACTTTATTCTCTCAACTACAGACAGTAATAATCTCAGACAAAAGTAAATTTGTGGCAGAATTTGAAACAGACACCAGTTTTGGTTATTAACTTGATCCACATTCAATCGTGAACAGAAAGAAAGAGGTCTACATATAAAATATGCTGGATCAGCATTGATGATGGTCAGAAATGTGAATATTTTATTTTGTAATTTTATGAAGGAGTCTTTCCTACAGAAACGGAATTTACCACTTGTCAAGAATAGCGGAGATGAGTTTGACCATGGCGTCGCCTCGAGTAGTTGCGCACTCGATGACTTCTTCGTGGTTGACTTCAGTGACGACGTCGTAGCTAGGATTGCAGATGTTCGTGATCATTGAGATTGCGAAGCACTTGATGTCACAATGTCGGGCAGCAACAACTTAGAAATGAATAAGACAAAAGTAATTGCAGACAAAATTACCTTCATAAACTGTGCTCATTCCAAGAGCATCCACGCCAGCAGCTTGAGCGAGTTTCTGCTCAGCAACTGTTTCATAACATGGCCCAACTTGGCATTGATACACTCCCTCTTGAATTTTTTCTTCTCCGATCTCCGCCGCGACTAAAAGGAAGTAATAATTTGGGCACCTATATTTTGCTTACCTTTCTTGGCAAGGTCTCGGAGCTCTTGGTCGTAGCAGTTGTGCATGTTGATGAATCGAGGTCCCCAGTAGAGATCATTGACTCCGAGTGTTGGGGAAAGACCCATAAGGGCAGGGAGGTTCAAATGATCCTTCACAAGCATGAAGTCGCCGAGTTTGTAGTTCTGGTTCAAACCGCCTGCAGCATTTGTAAGCGCCAGTTTCTCAACTCCGAGAAGTTTGAAAAGTCTTAAGGTATATTTAAAAAGGGTTGGTTGTCTTGAGCTTACCGGATCGGAAATGCACAGGCAGAAGCTTCGTATCCTTCGTAGAGATGGAATCGTCCCTGCATGCAGACGAGTTCTTTCCCGTTGAGTTTGCCAAATACGAGACATCCCTGAAGAATCTTTTAGAATCTGACCTAGATTCTCACATAATGTGAGAACAATTTGTTTATAGACTAAATAGAGGGAAATCTGATAATCAACAGCAAATAATTATTTACTGTCAATAAAATGTACATTCTCCTCCGTATCAAGTTTATTGAACAAACGTTACCATGACCATCGTCTTCAACTTTTACCTTGTGACCTTCAACGGTAGAAACTGGAAAATGAGGAATGTCTTTGTAATCGAAACTTGTGACGTCTTCGAGCGTGTCTGCAAATTTTCCCAAGCCGCTGCCGCAAACAACACCGATTTTCGGTCGGCTAGATACTCTCTCCTTGATCCAGTTGAGTGCTTCATAATATTTTGGATCAGCTGTTTTCGAGCTTGATAATTAATTCTCTAGGGATCTGCAAAAATCAGAAAATATATGAAAAGCCCATGCCTGGATGTTGTGGTCTGGCAGCCATATCGTGAGTTAAAGTTCTTAAAAAGAGATAAATGAAGATAATTGAGTCCCGAGGGAATAATTCAGGGTTCCATCAACACCGCGGAATAAATTATCTTCTAGAAAAAAATGGAGAACAACGAAAGTCTCACCAGGACACCTATGTAATCACTCTAAACCTCAATCAATGAGAGCCTCTTATAGGATGTATTGGATCAGCGGATCGATTGGCAGCTTCGGAAAAAACCTGTAAGGTTTAAAACTCTGAGCTTAAGTTACTCTGATGCATTTTCATCCCTTGCACACAGTTTTAAAGCGGCAATAACAAGCCCTCGGGCTCGGCTCCTCCACCTCTATTTTTGACATTCCTATGATTGAAAACGCCCATTTTCTCATACCCTTTCAGACGAACTTCAAAAACAAGAATGATTACTTACAACATATCTGCAGTCTCTCGTATAAAAAGTCTATGTACAGAATTGCAATCGCGCCTTAGAGTAAATTAGACTGGGGAAAATTTCATTGTTAAATATTGACCTAGTGAAGTTTCTTATTTGGATTATCATGAAAGGTAAAATAAAAGTGATGCAAAAAAGGGTAATAAAAATGCCAGACATAAGAAATAATTGTCATCCAAGGTCGATTGAAGATGGTACATTGTTTACTGTTAACACAAAGATAGATAATTAAATTTTTATCGAAGCAAAATGAAAACTTTTATAAGTTAATGTATCCGGTCAAACAGAATAGATCACGCCTCAGTCATAAAAAAGAGAATGTTCCTACTAAATGTGTTAGTCAGCGCAAATCAGAGCGAAAGCAATCAAAAATAAACTCGAGAGACTCGAAATCATGGAGAATCCCTCTAAAGAACCTGGTTAGTTTAAGAAAAATAGAAAACTCGTTAATTCTGATAAGCTGACAACCGATATGTCGAGGCATTCAACTGGATTACTGCTAGAACCTCTTTACGTCCAAAAATAGGAGTTGTCTGTGGCAGCGGACTTGGCAAATTCGCTGATACTTTAGACGAAGCCCAAGCTTTCGAATACAAAAACATTCCCCATTTCCCCCTTTCAACTGTTCCTGGACACAAGGTTTTAGAACAACAATAATTAGTTTCGAATATTTTTGAAGGGAAGACTTGTTTTTGGAAAGATCCGCGGAAAGGAAGTTGTTTGTATGCAAGGACGGTTTCATCTTTATGAAGGTTATCCTGCCAATGCTTGTGCTTTCCCTATTCGGTACAAATAGACGTGATTAAATAAACTCATCAATAGACTATTCAAACTCCTGGGAGTCGAAAAATTAGCGCTTACAAATGCAGCGGGAGGACTCAACCCTTATTACAAAATGGGCGATTTCATGATCGTGAAGGACCATATCAACCTTCCAGGTTTGGTCGGACTGCATCCTACGCTTGGGGAAACAGATCTATTTTGGGGCCCTCGTTTTACGAATATGTTTAATTGTTACGACGCCGAGTTACGAAAATCGGCAAAAGAAATAGCAACGTAAGCGTTTCCGCGACCTACTCGTTACATAATTTGTTTCATAGTGAAATCGGAGAGGATAGAATTCAAGAAGGCGTTTACCAATGCATCACAGGCCCTTCTTATGAAACAGTAGCTGAAATGAAGATGGCTCAAAGCTACGGAGTAGATGCTCTCGGGATGAGTACTGTTTACGAAGTTACTGCAGCCAGACAGTGCGGACTGAAATGCATGGCTATCTCTTTAATTACGAATGAATGTAAACCAAACTACGAGGAAGTAAATGAGGTGAGCCACGAAGAAGTTGTGGAAATCGCGGACAAGGAGGGTTCGAAAATGATAAATTAGCTTTTTTAAAATAGTTAGCATAATCTTGAACCCGAATTATAAGAGGGGAACTGCAATGGTGAAATTTATGACTGAAATTATTTCCCGCTGGTAGCTAATTAAATAAACTTACTTTTTCAAATTAATTTTCTTCTCAAGAGTCGCCGTGACATTGTTATTCTCATTCTTGATTTCAAGTAGTGGCTCCATCATTTTTGGCTTCACAGTGAAATAATTTACTTAAAAATGGGAGTTGTTTGCTTATAAAAATTGTAATCTGTCTGTTCTCCGGCAGCCGTGTGAATCAAAAGCTTTATTGTGACAAAACGAGTGACGAAAATCGCCGTCACAGCCTCGATTAGGAATGAACGACTTCCCCAGGTTCAATGCCGGCCTGGGAGCCTCTCTAATTGACGTCGCTGCTTATTGTCAATAAGATATTGAGAATTTTTAAGAGAATCGAGCTCTTTCAAAAGGTATTTTCATCGGCGTAAACAACCTCGAAGTGAATTAACTATTGATGACCCTGACTAGTCTACGGTAGACTGTCCGGTTTGTCCTCGCCTGGTCCAAATCCTCGCCTGGTCCAAATCCTTACCTGCTCCAAAATCCTTGCCTGGTCCAAAATCGAAAATGGACCAGGCGAAAATCGAGGTAAAACGCACCTTGAGTTGAGTTGAAGCCTGGAAATCCCATCTTCCTATTTTTCTCTCCGAAATATAAAAATGATGTTACAAAGTTTCAGAGCTTTCTGCGTTTATAGAGCTATTGAACAATAAAGTTCATCTGATAAACTGCCCTTTGCATGCGTTCAAGCGTAAACGCGACGGCTCCAACGTTTAACTTCAAATTTACAAGAAACTTCTGTCTAATAAAGATCCGGCGTTCGATTTTCAAAAATGTTTTCCTTTTATTTCGTTGCGAGGAATTTCCGTTTTGAAAAGGCAGGATGTTAAAGTTATGAAATCATTCTTCGTCGATGTAGCCAGCTTGGAGGTCGACATCTCGTGCTCGAATTCCAATGCCAGTGTACTGAGCGTAGCTGGTATCTATATATCCTTCCATCTTCTCCACGAATAGATCTGCTACTCGAAAAAGATCTGCGCCCACGAGACGATCGGGTTTGTGCTCATCACGTTCTGCTTCCCAGTGAGCTTTCTGAAGAGCATCGTCGTTTTCAAGCTGATGAGCGTACTCTTCCTGGATTTCCGCATAAAGTGCCGCCTTATAGTGACGGGCCTCGTGGTACAAGTCCATTCTAAGATAAAAGTTGTCTATATTTTTGTCAATATTTGCTTTGCAAACCTGAAAAAGCATCTTGGGCCGACACTAAAGAGCACTCCTGGTACTTTCTCCTCCTCCGTCTCTTCATCATCATCTTCATTCTTGTACTCTTGTTGCCCGTTCACATCCTCCATGAATGGAATTTCCTCGTCCGTAATCTCATAGTCGGCATGTTTGTTTTGCCTCAGACTTGACCTGTTGTACTCGTATCCCACAAGGCTTACCATTACGCTACACTTTCTTCTCCGATTACAAACTTTGCATTTCCACTACAAAAAAGCACTTTACTTTGAAACAACATTCAAAATCTTACGATGTTCATCGCTGGAACGGTAGACATGGTCGAATGCATATCAATCCTTCGTCTGACAATGGCATTCCAAGCTCCAGTGACGCATTTGCTCATGCTTTCGTTCAGCGAATTGTCCATCTTGTTTATCGCTCTTCGCACTTTCTGATTGAACTCGGTGAATTCTTCTGAAAACCCATCGCGCGTACCGTTTGCATTGTCCAAGCTCTTATTTAAATATATTTAGGCCTGTACAAAAAAACTTTTATTCATTACCTTCGAGTTCAAATTGTCCATAACAAACAGTTTGATAATCAACTTGAAATCAGCCTTGCTCAAGACTTGATCTCTTCTAAGATCTTGCATGAGTTCAGGCGCCAGTTCTGCTAGAATGGATCGGTTTCCCGGCCTTTCTTCTTCGGAAGACTCAGATTCGCTATCATGAATTACTTGCGTCTTTTCTTTCTGTTTTTTCTTCTGACTTTCTTCATCAGAGACGACAAAATCAGATAGATCTTTGTCCATATCCTCGTCGCTCGAGCTTTCGTCAGTATTCTGCCACGCTCGTGGAGCTCGTTTAGCTGGAATTGGCTTTTCTTCATCTGAATCAGAAGACTCCACGATCATGGGTCGTCGTATTTTTCGCTGTGCCTTCGTCTCCACATCTGATTCGTCGGAGGAGACGATAACTTTCGGCTTCGCGAAGGAGCAATTGTGAGAATCGGGTTTGAAAGGCTCAATGTCGCCGTCAGAAGATTCTGTCTCTGAAGGTCGCTTTTCGTCCGCTTCATCGTCTAGCCAGCCAGCTTTGGTTTGTAATTTAATCTCGCGCTTCGTCAGGGGGCTGAAAGTATAAAATAATCTTCCTTGATTTCAGTTAAATGAAGAAACTAACGTGATCACGATTACAAGTTCCGTGAAATCGCCACCGTACGTTTTCGAATACTGATCTTCGCACATCGGTGTCTCCACTGGAACTGTCTTTGTGTTGGTTGGCTTCTCGGGCTCTTCTCCGCTCGACGCAAGGTTCTGGGTTGATGGCTTGTCATCATCACTGTCAACGGAAACGAAGACTTTCCGAACCCTGGAAATTTATTTTTGAGTTTACCCAAGGGAGAATTACCTATTCTGTCTTGTTTTTCTTCTCGATCTTCTAAGCGGCGTAGCTTTCGTTGCATCTTCCGAAGAGTCCGCTGAATTCTGTTCATTCGCCTCTTCCTCGGAAGACGAAAGATTCCTCTTTCTCTTGCTTCTTTTTGGTGCTGGTTTCGGAGGCGCATCAACAGGCGGCGGGGCTTCCTCATCGCTGGAAGAGCTCATTACCTTCCGCTTCTTCTTGATGGTGATTTCATCCGAAGAGGAAGCACTGGTAATCTCGGATTCAATTTCTTTCTTTACCCGCCCTCTTCTTGTAACTTTTCGCGTGCTTCGCTTGTATTCCTCCCTATTCATTCTTTCCACAGCATCCGATGAATCTAAAAAGAAAAATGGAATCAATGAAGATAAAAAGAGAAAGCCTACCAGAGCCCAGTTCAGAATCAGATTGAGAATCATCATCTTTATCGTCGCTGGAATCAGCGATAAACTCTCGGTCGCTGTCATTTTCGTATCCTTCCGCGGCGGTTTTTCGCAGCGGCTTATCCCGGATGAAATTTGACATTTTCGCAGCTCAAGAAATCATTCGTCTAAAAAAAAAGTTGTTTTCAATGAAAAGTTCCTCGCATTTATGTGTTACATCATCATTGAATAATTACTTGGAGACTCTAGTGGCCAAAGCCAATCAGAAAGCAGAAAAGAATAGATTGAAGAGATTCTCTGGAGGGTTGAAAAAAAGTTCAAAAAAAAATCTCTAAAAACGCAATTAGTTGACCCGCGCGCCTACGCAATTTTTCAAGACAGAGGCTTTCACGAGGTCAGTCTCTGAGACACTGGAAAAATACACAGCGATTTTTATCAGAGAGAGTGGAAAGAAGAAGAGACGGAGAATTGCCGACTCGAGCTACTATCGAATCAGAAGATCGAAGATAGAAGTGGAGATTTTGCTTTTGTTTTATGGGATTTCAGTCTGATCTGAGCGCGTTTGGAAATGCAACAGGTTTTTATGTTTTTATTCGACTTTTTGATTGAGGATGTGAATATCTTTTTTTTTTTATGTAAATTATTGTTTATACCGTATAAATTGCTTATAAATTATACGCAGTTTTATGTCAATTTTACATTGTAAAGAAATTTTCTTTCAGATTGTGAAGATGGAGTCCAGTGGATATTTACAGTATTCGGCCAATGTGTCAGAAGTCCAGTAGAAATATGGGGATTCTATTTGGGTCTATTTTCCATCATTTGCTGGTTTTTCGTTTATCTACCGCAGCTTTATGAAAACTACAAGAGGTAACTATTTTAAATTTAGTACCCTTCCGAACTTTTGGCACTCTGAAGAAAGGATTAACTCCCTGACACCAGGGATTTCCTATTTTTCGATTACATAACGATTGTTCAGGGGGCGCTGTGACGATGCTTTGTCGATTTGGTTTTTGCTTTTTTGGCTTCTCGGCGACGCGTAAGTGCAAATTTCCGATTTCGGATTTTTTCCAATATCCGAATTTAGCGCGAACCTGACGGGCTGTTTTCTGACGCACCAATTTCCTATCCAGACGATGACAGCGATTTATTACGTAATCATGGACGTAGCCATCATCGCGCAATTCTTCTATTACACCTTCAAAAATCAACGCTCACCGGACTTTTCTTCTGTTGCTGCCGCTTCTGTCGTTACTGGCATTTACTTGACTCAAACTGAAAATAGGTAATTGAACCTTTTACTTTCTATACAATCAATATTCTCTTCCAAAGACCTTTTCGCTTTGAAACCTCCGCTCAAGAAGCCGGCTACATAATCGGCCTTCTCTCGTCCGTCTTTTACCTTGGTTCTCGACTGCCTCAAATCATCATGAACTTCAAGCGAGGAAAAACTGACGGCGTTCATCCTTTCACTTTTCTTCTCGCTGTCGTTGCTAATTTTGCTTATGCGTTTTCGGTAAAAGAAAATTCAATTTTTGACAGACAGGAATTTCAAATTGCAGGTTCTCATGAGCAAAGACGACGACGGAAGCTCCTACGAAGATTTTATCATGGACCACTTGCCCTGGCTGACGGGATCGTTGGGTACAGTCGCGCTTGACTTTACGGTAGGTTTTCGCTTTTCCCTGCTCTTTATTTCAGCAATTCTAGATTCTGCTCCAATGCCTGTGTCTCAACAAGCTCAATTACGATGAAATTGATGACGAAGAAGACGAGCCACTCCTATCAAACAGCTAGAAATTGCCCAGACGAATTTTCAGATCTTCAGCAGCCCAAAATATTTACACGCTAAATCTCTCGAAATCCGAAAGAAAAATCCAAGATGATTCCATTCTGTATTCAGTCTCTCTTCAGTTCCACATGTCGCATTTTGTACATATTTCTGTTATCATGCGACCAAACATTTTAATGATAAAAATTCAATAAAACACTCAAAAATCGTTATTCATAGATGAAAGAAAGACTTCGTAAATCGGTGTGAGAGTTACTGAAAAAATCATGTTTGCCAAGAGGTTAGATCCAAGTGCGGAAAGTCTCGCTACAGTGAAGTCTTGCTACGAGACTGGCTTCAAATTCGTCCACGCGGGACTGGCGAAAGATGAAGCAGGAAGTCCAGACATCGCGCTTTACTCCCAAGGCGTCACGGAGTTTAGGAGAGGAGTTGGCGTCGTTGTAAATGGCAATGGAGCGAACCAGGAAGAGTGCCGAAAGATGCAAGGGAAGATGAAGAAGAACATCAAGTTCATCGAGGAAAGAATGAGAGAGCTGAGAACAGCAAATGTAAAGCAAGTTCAAAAAGCATCGACTCCACCAAGTAGACCAGCTGCCCCAGCGACGAGAAAGAATGTGACGAAGAATGTCAACATCAACGTGAACAAGAACATCAACAGAAATGTCAACGTAAATTCAAACGACAAAGCCATGGTTTCAAAGTTGAAAAAAGGCGGAATCGATAATGCGATGATTGAGCGAATTCTCGACGAAGTGATGGAATCTACGTCTGGAATAAGATTCGAAGATGTCATTGGCCATCAACAGGCGAAATCGACGCTCAAGGAGATGCTGATTTTGCCAGCTATGCGTCCTGATCTATTCACCGGTAATTTTTCTACTTTCTAAATCTCCAAACTCATTCATGATTAGGTATCCGGGCGCCTCCTAAAGGCCTTCTTCTTTACGGACCACCCGGAAACGGGAAAACTCTCCTGGCGAAAGCGCTTGCTGCAGAAATGCCCGACGCAAAGTTCTTTAATATTTCTGCTTCTTCTTTAACCTCAAAATGGGTCGGTGATGGAGAGAAGATGGTCCGCGCGCTGTTTACTGTCGCCCGTGAAATGCAACCTTGTATCATTTTCATGGACGAGGTCGATTCTCTTCTGTCATCGAGATCTAGCAACGAAGGAGACGCGGTGAAACGCTTGAAGACGGAGTTTTTGGTTCAATTCGACGGAGCAGGAACGAATAAAGAAGATAAAGTTACCATCGTCGCCGCAACGAATCTTCCACAAGGTTTTTCTTTCCTCAGTTTTTATTTTCTAGCCAATTTTCAGAATTGGACGAAGCAGTTCTTCGTCGTTTCCCGAAACGCATCATGCTTCCACCGCCAGATGACCTTGCCAGGCAACAATTAATTTCCCACTCTCTCAAAGAAGTTAAACACAAACTTTCTGAAACAGAAATTGCCAGACTTGGCCAAATTACTGAAGGATATTCTGGATCAGATCTGACGCAGCTAGTGAAAGAAGCTGCTCTAGCGCCTATTCGAGAGCTAAGGTAGCTTTCGAAAGAATTTCCCTTTCTAAAGATTTCTAGTGTGGATCAAGTGAACAAAATTAAATCATTTCGTCCAATCACATTTTCCGATTTCACTCAAGCCGCGAAAATCATCCGTCCATCGACTTCAGTCGAGCTATTGAAAAACCTTGATGAGTGGACGAATAAATACGGTGCATATTCATGACTTCTTCTATATTCAAAAATATCAGATTTTCAATTACGTTGCTTTCTTCTAATTTACTGTATCTACTGAAAATTCCTTCCCGTTCAATGTATTCATCGAAGTTCTCTTTATATAAAATCCGTTCACTTACACAGATTCCTTCAAATAAATCCAAATTTTTTTCAGATTTTCACTCTGATTTCTGCTCAATCAAATCATCCTTGGAAAGCTCCAGTTCAAATTTCTCTCTTTTTCCAATTTGAATTTGAATACAATGAAAATTCACTTTCATTCTTGAATGCAGGGTAGTCGCAGGAAAATGTGCATATGTAGAATCCCCATTTTTTACGTCAGAGAATTTTTCATTTATTTCATTTTTTTATCTCCCATCAGCCATCAAGTAAGAGAAGAAAAGCCTTGGTGATCGAGAAGAATTCTGAATCAGGACACTGCCACTGAAGAAGTCTTGTCTCGCTATATATTAGTCTAAATCTGTTCTAAATAACTTCAATCTTATCAACTTTATCGTTATTCTTGTACAAACTAGAATTTTCATTTCCCACTGCTTATTCTTTAATGTTAGGTTTATAAATCTATTTAATTAATTGTTCGTAATCATCACAATTAATTTGAATGCTTAGTTTCATGGTTCGAACTCGCGCTGCAAAGCGAAGAGCCTTTCAGGACGAAAAAGATGCCAGAACGAAACGGTTGAACAACGAAATTCGGATGGGACAATTTGTTCCCGAGGTTCTTTGCAGGAAAGGCTTCGGAATTCCTGTAGTGAGCTCACGAAATCAAGGAAGAGAATTGGGTTATTCGGAGCCTCCTGTAGATTCGATGATCTTGCAACATCGGTCGTTGTTGATGCTGTGTTGAAGTTCCAGTCACACAAAATGAACCTCAATCATCAACCGCTTGACCCAGCAGACTGGAAAAGCATCCGCTCTGTTCTACGGGAATTTCGAGATCTTCTTAAATGGCTTGACCCGACGAAGGATGCGGAAAGAATAAATCAAGTCTACAAAGAAACTTTCGATAATCTTCTACATCTACGGGCGCCTTTTCGGAACACGCTATCCTTTACTGATGATAAGAAGATTAGACTACGTGAACACTTTTTCAGGTTCATGAAGTTCTGGGACCCAAACAGTGGCTTCACCATCAGAGAATGCAGCCGATACTCTAGAGAGGGAAATCGTGGGGCTGCGTTGTTTGCCACTAGGGCATTGTAAGTCTATTTTTATGAATTGTAGAGATACATGTCTTTTCAGCAAGAAAGGCGAAACAATTGAAGGCTTGAAAGGATGCCTAGCGCCGATGACCGATGCCGAGGAAAACGCGATTGTTGTTGTAGGCAAAAATGATTACAGCATCCTCGTAAGCAACCTTTGGTATATTTTTTATATGAAGGCCTTCTTAGATACGCTTCGAGCGCAGAAATGGTTGCAAATCAACTCTTTGGCTTGGACCTGCGGCATTTATTAACCATGGTAAACGAATTCCCCCGTATCACATATTTAACGTATTCTATAGATTGCAAGCCAAACTGCGATCTTATTCATCGCACGAACAAAAGTTGGATTGAAGCGACAAGAGATATTCGGCCGAATGAAGAGCTTCTTATGCACTACGGAAAAGACTGCTGGGGAATCAACTGCATCGAGTGCGAGTGTCGTACTTGTGAACTGTAAATGAGCTAAAGATGCGTTTTCTATCTGATTTCTAGTGGTGGAAACGGTGCATTTACAAATGCAGCAACCTGTGCGCCTAAACCTCAGTCAATCCCAAACTTGAGAAATTTCAAGAAGAGACGAAGCCAAGAGGAAAAATTCCCGATCTTATCGATCCTCTTCATATCGCATTTGAAGAAATCAAAGAGGAACCAACTGAACTCTCCGACGACGGCTTCGAAGAAGGAGAATCGACACCTAATCGCACAAAAACCTCAGAAAGGAGATAAATTCTTCAAAACTTTATTATAATCGCTCTTTATGTGGCAGATTTTTAAATTGTATTCATATCATAATTCAACATCGAATGCAGATCCTTCGCCACTTCCAGACCCGCTTCCTGATAATTCAGCATCTGTTAGAGAGGCAGGGCAGAGTGGACTTGGTCCAAAGTTTGCAAAGAATCCGAAAACCCCAATTCCGATGATGACTCTTGACCAAATGATTGTGAAAATATGCAGCGCAGTTTTGTTTTTGAAATGAGAGCAGTTCTCAGATCGTGTACCCTCTTAAAGCAATTTATGATTCATTAAGTCTGAGTCTTTCTTACTGATTTCCAGACAAGCAGGTAGAATGTATAGATATATCATTGCTCCAAATCCACATCCATAGCTGAGAATTTTCCCAACATCCGGAGCGTACATCGATACGAGCACGCAAGGAATAATTATGATGACGTCGAGCACGATGGTATGGATCTGTCCCGGCCATTCCTCTCCGAAGACAACATCAAACACCTCTTTGCGGACAAGATCAACCAAAATGGGAGTGGCTTTAGTCAGGCTTTTAGAAAATCGAATAAATAGTCAGTCTATTTGAGCCTGATTTACTGTTATCATTCGGATTGTTCCGATCAAATACGCAGCAATAAGTATCTTCTCATCTTGCTGCAGATGCTGAATACATGAATTAGCACAAATAGCGTCTGGTAAGTACTGTACGTCGTAAATAACATCTGGAATACTGTCCACTCGACCATCAAAAGTGAGTGCATATGCATACCCAAACACCAAGTAAACCAGAATGACACCAGTAAAAGCCAAATAAATGTCTCGTCGAGTATTTTCAATGTCTAAAATTCATGTAGAGTACATTGAATAAAAACGTACTCTTGTTGTCTTTGACGAGATTTATGATTCCATTTTGGACAAACACGCCGCCTCCCAGGAATCCTATGATTGTAGTGGGGAAGTTCCAAACTTCGCATGGTTTTCTCTCAGGAGAAGAGGCCGCTATGTCAGGATGCGCAGGTGATTATTGGGTTCGATTGGCAGTTTTTAACTCATGAAAGTATAATAAGAACCCTTATCAGAGTAAAGAATAACTGCGACCATAATGACTATGTTCAAGAGCCCAATCGGTTGGAGCATATAGAAGTACTTCATGATTTTCGGTGGGAAACAAAAAGGAATCATCATCAATAAACAATATAATGGAACTGATGTGTTGACACCCCATCCACTCCAGGGTAATTCCGTCGTGTTTCTTTCGTCTGTTAAAGATACGTAGGGTATGTATGGCGAAAACCTGGTCGTGAGTCCACCTTCGCTAACCAAAATGGATGATGAAACGAAGCCAAAAAGAAATTTCACCAGCAGACAGTAGAAAACAACGATTACTGATCCCAATAAAATTAAAAGGCCGAAAGCCCCAAACCAAGCGCCAAATGGCCCTAGATAATGACGAAAGACAGATTTCGTCGATGGAAGGTCATTGAGTCCCAGTTCTTTCTGCATATCCCGTGAATATCGAAAGATCACGTCAGACGTATAGGCACTTTTATTGTTAAAATAAAGTTAAAATGAATAATAAACCTGATGAAAGATACAAGAACGATCATAATGCCTGAAATTGCAAGACTGCTCGTCCCAATCGCCCAGGGAAGAGTGAGTAAGCTGCTTCCGACAATTGCATGCCAAATTTTGAATATTGTCCCTGCAGAGGAACTCATTTTCTCTGATTGAAAAAACGCGAGCGGAAGTGGAAAGTAACTTTATTTAGTGAAGGAAAAATATAAGGGCGACCAAAAGGGAGGGAAGAAGAACTGCTGCAGAAGATTTGTTCATTGTCACTTGATATGGCTGCGAAGTCCTATAAAATGTTAGCATAAAATTTGCGCCTTATCACTCACATTCTGGGTTGACCGGAGCTAAACTTAGAGAAAGATGTCGTGACAATCTCTACGTTACGATTCTCCTCATCATTGTCCTTGATTTCCTCTTAAAATACAGTTTGATTGAGTAAGAAAGCTAACTCTACCTTTGACAATCGAATATGGTTTCCAACTATCATCTGTGCTATTTGGATTTCGGAACATGACTGGATTGTGGTAGTAAAGATTGTTAAATGACCACGAGTTAGAATCGACTTCTTTCATTCCAGGCTTGGGTAGATCGTACCACATACCATCTTGTTCAAGCTCTCTAAGTTTGAACTGAAGAGCATATCGAAAACGAAGCCAATCAGCCTTGAATGTTGTATTTTTGAAAATATCCCAAGATGATCCAGTGGTTTCTTCCCAAGTCGTCTCCGCCCATGATCGTTGAGCCAGAGCAAATACGCGTGGGAACATCTGCTCCCAAATGTGCTTTTCTTCGACCACTTCTTCTGACCAGAGACAAGCTTCCATTCCTACGACATTTTTGCGACCTTCTTCTGTCAACGGATAGCAATCCCATGAATCGCCATTTTCAGTGGTTCCTAGGAAAATTAGTACAAAGATGGTGACATTATAAACTAACCTGGTTCGCATCCATTATCAATCTTATTTCCGTCAATATAGGTAAGACCGTTCCTATAGAAGTCAAAAGGCCGGAAGCTGAAGACTTTGGTCAAGTTTGATGATCTAGTGGCCCACATTAGACCCCTTGAGTGTGGATGTTCATATTGTGCGTGATCTAAGTACAAGTGCGTGGCGGGACTCATAATCAGTTTATAGCCGGCGTTCGCCATCATGTGTCCAGTTGTTGGACCGTCTCCCATCAGCCACATGTTGTTCCAGTGATATGCATACAGGTCGATGCCCGCTGGGACATCCCACTCTTAAAATATGTATTCACATATGCTTTTAACAGAGCTCTCTACCAGATTTATCGTAAATCTTGAAAATATCTGGGCTCTCTTCATATTCCCAGACTTCTTCCCATCCGTGTACATGAAATCCAGCCTCTCCAACCATTTTCACATATTTTAGAAAAAATTTGTGGAAATAAGCGTTCACATCATCATCATTTTTAAAGTCTAGACCGTCGTCTTTCATTTTTTGTTGGCAAATTGGGCTTCCCTTGATAAGACCAACGTTGGTCTCATCTCCTCCAATGTGAAAATGATTCTGGATGTGCTTGTACTGTTCGTGATCTTCTTTGAATTGTCCAACGATCTTTTGTAAGAATTTGAATGTGGAGTCCATGCACGGGTTCATGACGTTATCATAGAATCCTTGAACGCTAAAACCACTTTCCTCTTGATCCGGGTCAGTCAGTCGATACTGAGGGTCATTGTTATTCTTCTCATACCAGTGCATTGCCTGAATTGCAGCGGCATTGTGACCTGGCGCAACGATTTCAGGAACGATTCGAATGCCATACTCCGTCGCAATTTTCAAAATTTCTTTATATTGAGCTCTAGTGATGTAGCCTGATCCTGCTCCACCTCCTTTTTCTGGTCCGGAACCAAGTTGAGGCATTATACATTGATCGCCTTTCAGATCATGACATCTGCTTCCACCTATTTTTCCTAATTCAGGAATGTCGGTTACTTCTATTCGCCAGCCTTCATCATCAGACATTCGCATGTGAAGTTGGTTCAAATTTAGCATTGACATGTGCTTGAGCAGTTTTTTGACAGGCTCTACTCCATGGAAGTGACGTGAGTGATCCAAGAAGACAGCACGTGTTTCCATCTGTGGTTTGGGTTTGTCACCAAATATGCCTTTGAAAAGCATGGCGTCTTTGTCATAATATTCGGATCTGGAGTTGAGTTTTTGAACAAGTTTGCTGAAAAAATCCGTGGCGCCCTTGATGCTCTCACAATCTTTTATAAAAAGGGTAGCAGATGCAGTATCCATTGATGCTCTCCAAGCAAGATCTTCGACGTTTGTGCCGACAACGATAGACAAACTTGGGCAACCTCCTTCAGGACAATTTCCACCACGTTCCTGATAATCTGTTAGAAAGGGGCAGTCACAATCTTCATCTGGTTGAGTTTCTGTCCCCGGTATTTTGCAAGTACATGGCCTTTGATCATCAGAACATCGGGGAATATCCTGATGCTGAAGGTATCCAGGATCTTCGGTGTATTTAAGCTCCCAATAGTTGAGATTTATCTTAATACCAGCTGATGGTTGCGGTACTCCATCGATAAGCTGGAGATTATTGGGATTCATCTCAACAAATGAAGGCAGTGGCAAGACTGGGAGAGAGTAATAGGGTTTTGTCACCTCGTAACCGTTCTCATTCTTGAGTTTCAAGCCATCGTTGTTTTCCCACTGAGACAATGGAGTGATGGTTGCTGCTTGATCGCGCTCGTATCTGTAACGCTGATTGTCCTCCAGAAAATCATGGACGTAATCAGGTTTGTTCCAGGTAACAGATACTGTAGAGTTGATCGTAGCTGGGTCACATGAATCATCTTCACACGCAAAATACCAGTTAGGGAACAGGGTACTATCCGCAACAATCCAGCCGTCTCCCTGTAGATTCCACGTTCGTTCTTCGCCTGTCTTCAGATTATTCCAGTTATCATTTTTCACGAATTTCCAGAGATATCCATTCACGTGTTGAACGTTCAAGCCTTGGCCAATGTCAACGGGTTTGTTAATTTCTGTGTTTACCTCGTTGAAAATCACTAGGAATGAAAATATTGACTTTGTTAACAAATTTTGACAGAACTTTCTTGTTCTCATGATTCAAATACTCTCTAAATGTCACGTTTTATACAGTACGCACCCTGATCTTGATAGAAATAGATTGCCCATGGAATACTGCCGGTAATTGTTTCAGGCCCGTCATTTCTCAGCGTTAAAGAGAAATCGAATGCATCAGAATTCGGCCAAGGGTAGCTTATGTTTAGGCCTCGGACGTAAAAATTTCGATTTTCACCATCGGAGTTTCGTATGAGGACGAGAGTAGGCTCATTCGAAAGCTCTTAAAGAGAGCTTTCTTGACGGCAAATAAAAAAATTGGACCCTGTCTCCCTGTTTCAAGTTATTTCGTAAAAACGTTTTTCGACTTTATCTTTAACGGCAGATTACTCAAAACTGGGAGACAGGGTCCAATTTTTTATTTGCGCATAAGAAAGCCCTCTTCAAGAGCTTTCGAATGAGCCTATTCTCAATCCTATACGAAGCTCCGATGATGGTGATGGATTTTTACGTCCGAGGCCTACTTATGTTCGATGATTTGACGAAGTTATTGAGCACTTTGTAGTCAACCTTCAAGTTGTCTGCCCAACTTTTGATAGAGTTGTCCTGACGGACCAAGGAGGCAAGAGAGCCTAACGATCAATAGAATCAAAAAATAAAATGCCGAATCCTACCTGAAATAAAAGCTGCAAGCTTCATTTCCAGAGTTCTCTGAGAGGTCTACTGCACACTTACGCTACAGTGCTTTATGTACTACCTGCAAGCAAATAGTAACGTGCCAAATATAACAACAGGTACTGCAAATATTGTAAATTTTTTACGATTTTTAATGCAGTAAAGCGTCACAATTGTAGGATTTATTTGCTCGTGGATTATGAAAAATCTCTCAAAATTTTATTTCAATTTATGTTAAATAAATTTGTTTTGCTGAAGATTAATCGCTTTACGTACCTGGTATCTGGTCATCTCATTAGCAAATATTTCTCAGAACAATAAGTGTATTATGCGTTATTTTTTGCCTGCGTCTGCATTAAAGATTCACGAAATTTTAGTATTATATTTGAAAAATACGTTTTGAACAGATGAACTTAGAATAAGGAAGTATACTGGATAGCTTCAGCCAAAGGAAGAGAAATTCGCATCGTCTTTTGCTTTGACTATGTGTTCAGTGTGATACTCATTGCAGCCCCTAGGAAATGTTAACAGAGGTCAGCTCAAGCATAAACCACCTGTATTGATTGTACTCAGGACTTGCCCTCATAACTGGGTCGGCTGACCAGGATGCGAATGGATGCTCCGGCACCGGATGCTTTCCGATTTCGGAATAAAAGTAGAAAGAGCCAGTGAAAAAAGTGGCCGTAAATATGATCAATAAGATCCTATCAAGAACAGCGGCGAGAATATGCCACTCGGAGATTTGACTCTTCGTTGACTTTTGCTTTTCAAGGAAACGGGCGATCTTCTTAATCTCTAATCGAGAAGAAACTCTTGAACTAAAAATTTGTTTTACCTCCACAAGCGCTCCTAATCTCATGTCCAGCAGTACCATTAATGCTGTTCAAAAGTGTCGGTCGATTTGCCAAGCGAGATCGCAGTTGATTCTGACTTTAACCCGATATATAAATTTTGGACAAATATTAACTTACTCAATACTGCTGTTACTCTGGCGTTGAAATCTGGGAGTTGGAGTATGATTGTGCGCACTGTTTCGCGTTTCATGAAATACAGAATCCAAGTCTTTCGATTGTTTGCGCGATTTTCTCCGCTGTCTGCTTTCCGGTTTGATCGGACCTTGGATAAAAATCCATCTAAGAAAATTATTTCTGGTGAAAAGAAAGGTGTGTTACCGAGGGAGAATATCAAATAAAACTACATTGAGCCATTTCGGAAAATTCGTCGAAACATCCTGCTTATGATAAATGTTCAGTACAATAACCGATGAAACAATTGAGCAAGTGACAGCAACCATCGCAAACATCAGAAATCTTTCAAAAGTTCATCTTGAGTCTCGATCGAATTTGAAGCTTCAAAGGTCTAAAATCGAACTCTTCCTTGATATCAATGGAATAGCTAATGAGGTCTCTGGGGTTCTTTTGGCAAGGAGGAAAAGATAAACTGTCAATCCAAGTAGCACTGAAATTGACATCTGAATCTTTTGATTGCTAGCCGAGGGAAGGAGAAAAGTGAAGATGGACAGCGAGGAGATAAGGACGCAAGGAATGAGGATGTTGATGACATAGAAGAGCGGCTTGCGTCGGATAATAAAATAGAATGTTATGTCTTCGTAATTAGGATCGTCTGCTCTATGATTAACCATAACTGGACAGTGGACGAGTTGCCATTCACCAGAACGAGTATATGCCTCACTGTCGATGACGGTCTTCTTGTACTCGGCATGAAATTTAATCTCAGTTCGATCATATGTGTAGCTGCGGAAAACCATCGTGCAGTTTTGCCAGTCAAACGGAAACAAGTCGATGTGAATTTTACAGTCAGACTTGTAAATTGCTGGGGGAAGCCATTCACAATCACCGTCGTTTTTGAGTACGACGTTTGTCGGAAGAGTGGGATCGTATTTACCGTCATCGTTATTGTAAAGCACGATGTCTGGTCGCCAAATTCTAAGACTCGGTATACGAGACTCTTTCAGCCCTTCGTAATCGTCAGGATTCCACTGGAGTCTATAATCTTTCCAACTTGCAGTGATATAAACAGAAGTTGTAACTTCTTCTGTCTTTTCTACGACGGAGATCATTTGCTGAAGTGTCATGTAAAATTTGACTTCAATGACCTGCGAAGCATTTTGAATCGGGCGAATTTCTTTATTGTATCCATTCAAGAGTTTCTCTATGAGTTCTTGCTCCTTGTTAATTGCGGAGATAAAAGGAAGAAAATAGAAGAGAGCATGCATGGTATCTTGCGTAAATTGAAAATAAAGTAAAGCGCCGTGAACAGTAGCTGAGCGGAGTAATCCATTAAAAATTGACAATAAAATCGATAGGTCGATAGCTGGATGTAATCATACCCAGTATAATCCCTTTGTATATCTACAGGTCAGTGCAATTTGATTTGAGTAATTGAAATAATAACTGTTTTGAAGACAGCTTTAGATCTTGAAATTTATTTTTCGTCTTCATAAATTATCCGTATGTTGAACACCTTTACATAAAGTTTAAGTTTGACAATTTGAAAACAATATCTAAATATAAGAAGAATGGTTTGGAATATGGTATTTTCGTTCCCTCTTTCTTTGTCTGTCTCCGTTTCTTGAGCTAGTAGTTGGTTGAGAGTGCTGATACGAGGTAACAGGAAGCGGCAGGGCTCGATGAGATCCAAAAGGGTGTTCTCTCTTCTGAAACTGGTATGGAAAGCTTTGATATGGCTTAAATGGAGGCTGAATATACGCCATCTGGTGATTTTGATAAACGACGAGGTCTTGTGGCCGGTTTTGAGGACCATCAACTTTGATTGTTGTAGGAAGAGTCCTGTTGTACGGATCCTGGAAATTACTTTATGAGCTACTTTTTAGTTTTATAGGTACTTACGAAATGGCTATTTTGATGAGAGTTATTGGCTGTTAGCGTCGCCATATAGTCTCTGCGTAATTGATTTTCATTTCTTCTTTTACTACTCTGGAGTGCTTCTCCTAATAATGATTGATAAGATACTAATAACGTCGTAGCTGTACCTTTGCAGCAAGTGTAGTCACAACAGCGGCACATACCCCTACCGCAGAAATAAGCAATGACGAAAACAACGAGGAGAAACGCTAAGACACCGCCGATGATGATACCGATCGGGCCCCAGTCAAACGCCAGGTTAAGATCTGCGTCGACATTGACATCAGCCTAAGAAGTAGATAAGAAAACTAGCCTTACTTCAAATATATTTCTAGAGGCAAAAAATCGAGAGCATAATTTTTACAATTCATCCTTATGCAGGCAAAGTAATTCTTCAGCACTTTATGCTATCGTTTTCGGATGCTATTGCATCTGTGATTTTTGACGCCCTTAGTAGAGGGTTAGCAAAGACAAAGTACGTACCCCTTCAAGAAGTCCTCCAAGATCAGACATCTCTTTGGTTCACTTTTGAATTTTATTATTCTTCAATACATCCGTCAATTTTTCAATTTTCCATCCCAGTCACCACACGTGACTCAGTTTTGCTTCAATAAATGTACATTTCCCCTTTTGATCTTCACTGTGATTCTTCTCTCTCTCTCCGGTCCAAGAAAGCTGAGCGGCTTGGGTCCTTCTATGCGACAGATAAAATTTCGTGAATTAATTATTCTCGAGTGCTTTGTCCTATTTCCTGGAACAATTGCTCGTGGAAGGTCGCTACTGGTAGTTCGGCAAACTTGTAGTTAGTCCAACAAATACACACTAATCGATTTGCGCGCTTTACTTGTCGGAAATGCTTTTAAAGATAAAGGATAAGCTCTTTTTAGCGAACAGGTGATCAATTCGACCTGGTCTCGCGATTCTCTTTTTTCAAATACCGAAGACCTGATTGCCGTAAAAACGGAGACACGTACTTCCCGCATTTATTGCGCCGTAGTAATAATATTAATTGTTTCTGCCTTGGCTAAGACCATTTAACAACAACAAATCACGATGCCATTCTCCCATGATCTCATTGAATTCTAGCAAAGTCCTAGACATGGTGACAAAACTTAAGAGTGCCAAGAGCGAAGGGTTTTTTAATATTTGATAAGGGAGTGCAGAATTGATGATGTGTGTGATGAAGGGGTTAATTCAGTGAGCTAGAATGGACCTATCGATTTCTAGTTTGAGCACGAGCGAGAGAACGGATCTTTTATAAGAGAACCCAACTTATAAGTATACTTTGAATAACAGCTTTGAAAGGAAAACCATGCAAACGAAGCTATAGTATTCTTCTAGTATAAAGATCCACCTAAAGCAGCACACTCCACCTCCAACCTGGAGTCCTCCTAAGATGAAAGAAGCCGGATCCTTTCTTGAAAAGCTAGTAGCGACCATATTCTACCTCCTCGCAACTGTATCCTTTATTCAACTTGCTTTCTTTGCCAAAAAATACTTTGACACGATGTAACTCAATAAGGATGACACAATAAATTTCAAATAAGTTAAGTTATATTTACAAGTGGTTTCTCTATCCATCTGCTTGCACTAGATAGATAGGAAAGGCAGCGTTGTGAGTGAACAGATCTTGAAGATTGCTTTTTGAATAGAGGTCTGGAAAATATGCAAGTAGGATTTGGGCGAGTTTTATTCGATTAACAGTTTCTATCGGGCACTTGCTTTCTTTACTGATAAGAGTTTTTTTCATGCCTCGATTTCATGGTTCCGCGTGTTTTTGTGAGAAACAATAAAAACTCATTCCTTATTATATCTCTTAAATCTTCCAATAAACTTTCTTTGTCCTCCAATTCCTCATAAATATCCGAGATAAAATGAGAAATGAAAGACAGGTGATAACTATCTTCGTGATGCCTTCTCACATCTTCTACAAAAATATCCAATAATTTCTTCCTAATCGATAGTGCGAAACACATGTCTTTAATAATCCTTTCTTCTTTCGCTATAAACTTCTTTCGGACGCCACTCTTGCCGATCCACCTCCGAAAAGAGCTTTCTGGCGGTTTGTAAATAAATTTTAACGTCTTATACGAGATCTCCAGCTGACCAACGCCTTCTTCTTCAAGTGAACGTTGGTATTCTTCTATATTCTTAGAGAGCATCGCTTCATACGCCTCCTCCCCACGCGGGACCGAGTTTGAGTTGTTTACTGCCTTCGTGTCGTCATCCACAAACTTGGCGAAGGATGATCGCGTGAGACCTGCGCAGGAATCCTTAAATAATTAAGAAACATTCTAAAATCGACCGCTATTACTGTGCAAGACTGATAATAAAGAGAAGTTTGCTCGTCAATTTGATCCACGCCAGTAAAGTATTCTTCATGCTCATACAGCCCGACCATGTTTGACAAATCGACCATTTCTGCGAGCGTAAGTTCGGACAAGTCGCTTTGAAGATGAGAGCCGTATATTTTCTTTAATAAATCAGACTTTCTGGTACTGTTTCCTTCGGAATTCAGAGTCAGCATCCAAGAGATCATCTGGAAATGCCTGTGCTTGAATTTCAGCGGAACAGATGGGTTCTTGAGGAAGAGCTGGATGTTCTTATCTGCAAAGACTCCCGTATTTTGTTTCAATTTATTCATGAAGAGCGCTTTGACTGGATTTGCGTTGACTGTCTCTTCTAAGTTGAACATTCCGCATTTAGGGTTGAAGATTGGAAGAAGCTCAAAAATACTCTCTTCGAATAATGGATGAAGACTTTCCAGTAGATCATTCATGATTTCGCGTGGCACAAGCTGAGAATGGTTCATGTACATCAGCTGTAGCAGAGCACTTGGTTCGATCGCCTAGACTTTCCGTTAATAATTGATAAAAGGAATAATCTTACTTCAAAACGATCAAGAAAAGATTCAACCGGACCTATCATTTCCTTTCGCTTTACTCTCCCAGTTAGAGGGCAAAAGTTTTTTAGATTTGTCCAGCAAAGATAAAGTAATAATGATTTTTCTAAGTCTTCAACACTTGTCGATAGAAGATCTTCCCGCTGATTTACGAAGTTATTGATGGCCTGTACTGCATCATTAGTAAGTGGACCTTTTTTGGATCTCCACAAAATCGAGCTATGAAAAGGAAAGAAGCTTTGATCCGTTCCTGAAAGACATCTTCGTATCAGAAAATCAAGTCTGAAAATTTTATTCACTTTGTATCCGATCGCCTTCGCCGATTTCGAGTAACAGTTTGTCGGTGACTGAAAGATTCCATTGTAAGTCGCCCATGAATGACCGTAATGAGTAGGAATGGCGAACCCATCAGCTGATTTCCGCCTCAGATTCATCTTTAGAGCTTTCAACTCTACAAAGTTCACGGAAGTATAGAGCCGGGACATTTTCTCATCCGACTTCTTCAAAAACAAAATTGAAGTAAAGTTTTTGAATGATAAATATAACTGTATTCATGAATTATTGGAACTATGTTTTAACACTTTCATGGTTAGAGAGGGGAAAGCGAGATAATTAGATCTTATTAGCGAGAAAACGCTCACCCATTCTTTGGGTAAACAGCATAATTACAGAAGATAAAATGGCAGAAACGAAAGTAACAGTGGGAAGGATCTTGCTGAAATTGTCCATCACCGCGATACAGAGGGAAGGGAGGGTCATCCATCCGATTGCTGATCCAACGACGAATTTGGATGCCATCGCTCCGTCTAGCTCCATATACGACGCAGCAAGATTGAAGGCGGAAGGAAAGGTATTCGCTTGAAAAATGCTAAAATTGTAACTCAACAAAGACTTACCCATCGAGGCGCCATAGAAAAAGGTTAAAATCAAGCACGGTTCTATAGCTTTAACAAAAATCAATCCAGCAGAGGTTATGATACAGCCACCAAGATTCATCCAAAGCATCGTCCCAGGCTTCATAAATCGGCTCTGGACGATGGCGATGATTCGAAAGAGCGTGAATCCCATCCAGAACATAAAAGTTGCAGTTGAAGACAAATATCGAACGGGATCATCGCGCTCAGCGATTGACTGGATAAAGTTCGTTGTCGACGAGTTAAGTTGTGGGGCTTTTTGCGGTTCAAGTGATTTGATGATGAAGCTTAATGGACCTCTCTTAGAACCCGGTCCTAAATTTCTCTGAGCGTAGCTATAAATAAACTGAGCGAAGGAAATCTCTGAGCCAACGCAAAGAACGAAGAATGAAAATAAAAGCCAAGAGAATCTAGTTTGTAACTTGGAGAGAGCGGCGTTCTCTGCAACTTCTTTTGACTCTCCTTGATCCCTGGTCCATGGTCGGCGGGATGTGACAAACTCCGCTAGGAAAAGCACTGAACAAGCGATGACGCAACTCCCGACGATTTTAAAGAGAACATCTAGCCGTCCAGGTGTGACAACTTCCCATTCGAGAATATCAGTAGAAGAATCTTCACCGTCTTTGAGCACATCGGCTACGTTGTCTCCATCAACTCGATACTCACCCAAAAAAGGTCTTGCAATAACGGGGCAAAGAACGCCTCCAACTGCAAATCCCGCATGAAGTGCTTGCATAACCGACTTTTGAGTAGCTTCATGCTTGTCTGTTGGCCAGAGTCTCAAAGCCACGATATTTCCAACAGTATCCAAAATTCCCATTGCGAAACCTTCTGCAAGAATAACGACCGAAACTAGCATCAACGTCGGCAAGGTGCCCAGGAAGAACAGAAACGCACCACAGAGTAGAATCGCTAATCCAGTGACGGCCATTTCATCTTTTTTGTCAGATACTTTTCCACCAATAACAACACCAATAAGGAAGCCGAAAGCCCGGGCCATGAAGACACTCGTGTAATCCTTCGTCGAGTGATGCGTTTTGAATGCAAGATCTGGAAGAGCTGGTCCTATCATTGCCGTCGACATCCCAAGCGCGACAAACGAGAAGATTAGGATCGCTGTGGAGTAAATACGTCGGACTTTACTCTCCTCCTTTACCATTCTGAAAGAGCTCATCGTTTAGTTGAGATACGTGACCGCTAGAATTCAGAATGCTACACAATGTAGCATAAACAGGATTTTAAGTCAGGATTTTGTCCAAACAGGCGCGCTGACATCGAGATGCGCACGTTTGACAGTAATGATGTCGTAAGGAAATTTTTCTGCGTACATTGCTTTTAATTCTTCTATTGCTCGCTCTTCTATATTGATAGTTTTCAATGACTTTGATTTGACCTTCTTTCGATTTTGCTCTGCAGCTGATTGTTTTCTAAAAAGCTAAGGAAGCCCGCTTAAACTTTTCTATTACCTGATGATTTCATCGAGTCGATCTGTATTTGAAACAACCGGCGAGGAAGTTAGCTGGCTAGGAGATTTGACGGTGAATGAAGTGCTCGGAGAAGGAAAGGGATCGCCAATGCATGGGTCTTGGATCTTGACAGGCCGCGCTTTTCCCCATGGAGATTGAGGAGAAAAAGAAGCTGCTTGTTGAGCTCGCTCGCGTTCTTCACGAACCAAGTCTTGGCCCTTGGCGTGTTTTCGCCTGATAGGAGTAAAGGCTCCTTTGATTTTCACGGGCCTTGTAGGAGTCGTGGTCTTTGCATCTTCTTCGATAATGTCTCTCAGCGAAAAGCTGCCACTTGGAGTCCGTGGGGAAGTGATATCACCCCAGCTTTTCGGCGAGGTAGGAGATAAGATTCGCTGAGGAGAGGGCGAAGTCAAATCTAGTCGTGTACGCTAAGATTGTTCAACTGATGTATTTTAGAGCAGAAAAGTAGTTTACCTGTGGACGAGATTTACTTTTTGGAGTGATTGAAGTGCTTTCGAGACTTTCAGACAGCTCTTTCAGCGGCGTTAGCGGAGAATTTGCGGAGATGTCAGATTTCTCGGAGATTTTTCGACTTGGTCTCCGTGATTTCGGCGATTTCATTAGAAGCTTGCATTCTCTGACTAGTTGTTGAAGTATTTCAGGATTCGAAAGTTCCAACTCGTCGTTTTCATTCATCTTTCTCTCTACTTGCGCGAAGACTTCTTCTTGATAGAATGCGCTGAGAGCCTCTAGTTCGTCGAGGGACAAAGCATCCAGGCCGCCAGTTTCTAAGAGAACTACAAGATTTGGTACCAGGATCTTCGCACATTTAGACGCTAAATAATGAGCACCAGTTTCCAGAGCGAAACCGAACAAGCTCATCGCCAACTTCGGACAAATTTCTGTATTCAAAACGATCGCCAGAGCATTCTCACATTTTGACCTCAATGATTGCGCGAGAAAGCGATCAGAAAGCACCAATAGTTGTCCAATAGACTCTGATGCTGAGGGAAGCTCATCCGTGTAGCAAAACTCGATAAAGCTGCGCATTATCTCCAGCTGCACCTCGAGCTCAACTTCGAGCGAGCTGCTTTCTTTCCAAGAGACGCCAGCACCAAACATTGCCCGGAAGTATTCAGATCTAGCGAGGAGGATGAGATTGTTAGCCTTAATTTCTCCATCGATACATTTAATTGTCACGTTTTCTGGTAGCCTTCTTAATTCCACGGGCGGTGATTCAAGAGCTCCGGATGAGATAGGCACATTATGATAGATTTTCCAAATATCTTCCTCAGAGATATCTTCATTGCTCAAATCTTTGTCTCCAAAACGAAGAAGGAACAAATCCTTATCGACGAAGAATTGAAAGTTAAGAATCAAATCTCCACCACTACCTCCGCTTTTATAATATCCCAGTAAATCATCAACCAAATCACACGACTGAGCTTCCTCTAGATCATTTTCTGTCGGTTTTCCAACTTTTGGAAGAGCTCGGAGAAGCGCAAAAGTCCTTCCATTCTCTTCTGCAAAAACTTTTGAAACATGTGATGCCCCATGAATTCTTTCTAACTCGTAGATATCCGCTGGTTTCGGGTCTTTCATTTCAGCTTGAATGTAGAAGCAAATGGACTTTTGATTCTCTTTTACTCTTTTGTCAATATACGCGGCATCGTACTTTTCAACCTTTTCTTTTGAGTATTTTGCGATATAGCATTGACCGTCGTTTCCAGCCAGAAGGATCCTCTCGCCGCATTCAAAGATGGAGGCAGATACGATTGGAAAGATTCCTGGTGGCGGATCGTTGAAGCAAATTGATCTCGGACTGAAATAGCCAAAGCTCGGCTTCCAGATGTGTATATATCCGTATTGCCGATTCTTCGCTGCCTGAACTCTGCTCAAGACAACGATACTCGGTTCAGAGCTTCGCCAACTACAGTCAGCTGACTTTTTCGTCCTCCCTCCAGATATCGACATTTCAATGATTCCATCGACTTTTAGCACCTTCCGCGAATCCCCGTTTTCAATCAGCCAAACATCTCCCGATTTTCTTCCATCTTGAGAGGTGAATGAACGTGACGCTAGAACTGCAATAGCAGCATCGGTAGACACTACTTTCGTGATTTCTCCACAATCTTCAAGAGAGGCGATCTTAGTGAAAACATCGTACTTCTTGTTAATCAATCTTTCAAGGGTGAACTTTAATAATAATCAAAGCATCTTTTCACAGTTTATCGACCCTTTCCCATGTCCGAGCTGGCCAATATCTCGTCCACATGTGTAGACATCGTTTCCATTGATAAGAGCTGAATGAAAAACTCCCGCAGCGGCTTTTGTGAAGTTTTGAACTTTTGCTTTTCTATTCATCACATGCACCAACCGTGGAGATTCGACAAACTGAGTATCAGCGCCGAGGCCCAGCTGTCCGTGAGAATTGGATCCAAAGACATACGCTCTGCCGTTGTCGCTAATCAAGACGGAATGGTTATCGCTGGTCGCGACGTAGGAGATCTTTACTGCTTCAGGAAATATGATTCGCTTTGGATTGAGAACAGCCGGTGGAGATGGATAACCTAGGCGACCTTTTTGGTTGGATTGAACGCCCCAAGAATAGACCTTCCCTAGCGAGTCGAGGCAGATTCCATGGAACTTGGAGAAACTGGCGTGGACGACGACCGTGTTCTTTGGCAACTGGATGATGTCTGAAGCAAACCATAAGAGTTTGACCTTGAAGCTCCTTTTTCAATTTAAAAAAGAATCAACGTTGTAACCTTAAAATATCTCAGCATAAAATAGCTCCCAAGCATTAAAAACATAGCACATATTTCTGAACCCTATATTTTAGGGTCGATAAGCTCGGTTTGAATAAAGAACCCATACCTAAGGGTTGAAAATATTGGGAGTAAAAATACATGATGAAAATCGAGGGATGGATAATTTATCAATTTTTAAACATAATTACAAGTTTTTCATAATATGGTTTTTCGAGAGTATGTTTAAAATGACTCTAGTCAGACTTATGTAAATTATCAAAGCCATAACACTAAAGAATCAAACGACTATATAATATTTCTCAATGAAAACTCGGAGAACATAAAAAGTTTATTTATTTTCTCTTTAAACTTATAACAAATTTTTTCACCCCCGAAAAATGGGGCCGTAATTCGACAAGCAACATACCGGGGTACCTTCTTGCTGCTTCGGAAGAACTTCCTAGCGTATAGTTTTGATTCTGCCCCCATGTCTGTAGTTGTCTTCTGCTCGTCTCGTAATCACAGTGAGTAAGACTCTGCTCGGTCAGAAAATCGACAGCAGTGGCTCCTGTGAAATCTGTAAGATGAAAAAGCTTCTTGTCGAAAGTATATAAAGTCTTGAGAGCGCGCATGTTTCCAAAGTAAGCGGCTCTATGTGCAGGATTCCAGCCATTTTCGCGATCTGGTCCAAGATACAGTCCCGGGTGCTTGATGATTATTTCCAGGAGCCATTCAGGTCCGGAAGTACAAATCAAATGGGCGATTCCGATGTCATTTTCGTCGCTTTCTGACAATAGTTTTGGATAGAAATCGTCAGCGATAGAGGTTATTTCTTCCAGATCAGGGATAAATTCAACACATCGGGCCCAGGAAAGAAGAAATTCTTGCGCTTGTTTGAGGAATAATGATCGAGTCATGGCGATTTACATTATCTGAAAATAATAAATAACGATTAGATATAATTTTTAATAATAAATTCTTTTACAAATAGCTCGGCCAGCGAGAAACGAGTTCTAGTCACAAATTAAACAAAACGAAGTTTTCTCTTCAGTGATTTTTCTTTCAGAAAACGACTGAAAAGACAGAGGGAATGGGAAAAACGAGCGACCTACGCGCTTTTCCTTTTCACAATTTTCAATTCTGGTCATCGCGCCGCGGCTCAGAAAAAATAAAATCGCGAAAAAAAGTGAAAAATTCTAAATCCAATCTTCTCCAAATGTCAAGAGAGTAGAAAGAAGATGATCAACAGAAGGAAACGGTTCTAGATAAAGTCTTAATTTTAGAGAAATGTGATTTTTGATGATTAGTTCGTGATTTTTTCTCATTTTATTTGCATTACAGTTATTATTCATTTCCCTTTTTATTGTTAGTAGATTATTCATTTGATAAATATGAGATTGAGAAGGAGAAAATCTGGAACTGGGGGTAAAAGTGATAGCTACTCGAAAGCTGTTGGCACGGATTCCGGTGGAATAGAAAGAATTAGGAAGGATTTTGAAAGATCGTCGATTCCGAATGAAGATAATTTTGATGATTCTCAGGCTAAAATGGAATTTCTTCGATTTAATGATTCTCAAATCCGCTGAAGGCCGTCCCGCGCTCCGCCAACGCCGTCGATTTCGGAAGAATCTTCCTTCAGGTCTGAAGATCCAGATGATAGACAATTACTGGATTACTACCTTCGAAAGCGAAAGTCGGAATATTCATCCCCTTGTGACGTAAGTACTCATTTGTCTTTCCAAATTAGAATCGATCGCAGCTACATTTTCATATTCTTTAAGCGAATCTCGCTTGATTAAAGAGGTTATCTGATAACCTTGCAATATTAGGTTAATATATTGACCGGCAGCTTCAACGTGAATGGAAAGGAACCCAAAGAAGCGCTTGATCAGTGGCTACTCAGGGAGAAAACACCCGATATTATTGTTGTTGGAATTCAGGAAATCGGAAAAATACTAAAGCCCTTCGTTTTTGTATTGATGATCTGACCGCTGAACAGCTATTTTATCGTTAAAAAGGAACTCCAACTAGACGCAGACGCCTATTTCAGCGAATATGTCAACGCCAAAGAGTCCGAAAAGTACCAAAAATGTCAGGAATGGTGGAAGAGCTCCGTCAAACAATCCCTCAGAAAGTACGACATCGATTTCCAACTGATTGCAGACGAACGGCTAGTCGGAATGTACATAATGATCTTTTGCTCGAAGTCGATTAGACCCGCTATTTCAAAAGTGTACACTGCCAATGTTGGCTGTGGACTGATGGGCACTTTTGGAAACAAGGGAGCGTGTTCGGTTAGCTTGAGGGTGCACGAAACCAGCTTTTGCTTTGTTACTTCTCATCTGGCTGCGCATCAGGTAAACCTTGTCTTTCAAACAGACATCCAGACTGTCTATCATTTGATTGCCTGTCAATTGTTGAGACTTCTCAACAATTCAATAACAAGACGATAAATAATTGCTAAGCACGCAGTGAAAAAGCGCAACCAAGACTACGAGTCCGTCCGTCGTCGTACAGATTTTCCCCATCGTCTTCCCATTCTTGACCATGACCGCGTTTTCTGGCTCGGCGATCTTAATTATCGCCTCGACATGCCTAACGACGACGTGCGTTACATCTGCCAGGGCGACGATATTTCTCTTCTGCTCCCAGCTGATCAGTTAAAAGCAGAAATGGGAGCGGGAAAAATCTTCAAGGGATTCTCCGAGGCGCCGATTACATTCAAGCCGACCTATAAATTCGATACTGGAACGAATAATTATGACAGTAGTCCGAAGAATAGAATACCTGCCTACACTGATAGAATTCTATGGCTGTCGAAAGAACAAGAAGCAGTAGAATGTCTGTCTTATTCTTCACATCCTTCAATAACCATTTCTGACCACAAACCAATCTCCGCCAGTTTCATTGCCCGAACCGAAAAGATCAACAAAGAAATCTACTACTCCGTGTACAAAGAAGTTACCAGTTGGCTAGACAAGCACGAGAATGAGCTTATTCCGCAAGTGGCTGTTTCAAGCAAAGCAATCGACTTTGGAAAGCTGAAATTTTTGGAACGAGCGACGGCGAATATTCAATTGCAGAATACGGGAAAGACTCCTGCCCAGTTTCAGATCATCGATTCGAAAGTGTTCTCGCCGGACAAGGACATCTACGAAGCTTTTAATTCAAACATTGGCTTGTCGATCGATCCAAATAAGGTAAATTGCTATGAAAATCCATGATTTGAGGTTATCTTCAGGGAATCTTACCGCCAGATAGTGGAGATGCCTCAATTTGTACAATAACGTTCGATCTCAACATCAATAAAGAAGTCGTCTCAAAGTTCAACTTTGGTGTGAAGCAAGGGGACAAGTTCGTGAATCCCCTCGACGATCTCATTCTCATCCTCAAGTTGAAAAACGGCCCTGATCATTACATAACTCTTTCCGGAAACTGGACATACTCGGCGTTTGGAATGCCATTCATTGCTCTTACACATTCATTCTTCAAAGACGTTTCTATTTCATCACTAGAATATCCGGCGACTTCTCTAGTTCTCAATCAATTAGGTATTTTCGACATTAATCGTGGACCTTTATATTTTTTCTTCAGTAAAAGCAGAAAAGAACTCTTCAAACGATTCTTCAATGAGGGAGCAGAATTTCCACCCACCTGCTTTCTACGTCTTACTGAATCACATCGTTAACCACGGATTTACAGAAAAGCAGCTGTTCCAAATCAATGGAGATCCTGATGAAGTCAGGGCGATCATTGACACACTCGACGGTGAACAAGTTGTTGGCGATGTAAGCATCAATTGAATGTGACCAGTGTAAACTGCTTTCAGATCGAGGCACTTCCAGGTTCAGTTGCTTCCGTGGCAGAAGTATTGTTGCTCTTCCTCAATTCGAATCCCTTCCCAATCATCCCTTTTTCGCACTTTGAACTTTGCCTCGACATCGTGGACGACCTGAGGCTCTGTAAAAATCTCGTTGAAAAGCTCGACCTCAGGTCGCAAAACAACTTTCAATATCTAGTAAGTCTCCATATCTCATCATTCAGCGAACAACTTTCTTTAGATAATGTTCCTGAAAGAAGTTCTCAAACATGGTAGCATCAATGGATGTACTAGTGAATTCCTAGCAGGACTATTTGCTGGATGCATTTTACGCCCTGAAATTCCTCTTCATAATCGTAAGTTTCTACGAAATATGGTTTAATTGAACACTATTGAAGGCGAAAAAGCAGATTTGGAAAGAAGAAAAAGCGTCCAATTTGTGAGCCAGTTTCTAAGTGCTGACGAGTCTCCTCTTATTTGAAAGCTGCAAACTATCATTTATACGAATCATCTGATGTTACCTAATTGTGCAATACTTCCGCCTATTTCTCAAGTTTAATAATTTTCTGTTCAATGCGCCTGCGTGGTTGATTCCAATTTCCGAATAAACATTCATATTTAAATTTCATTTAAAGATATGTTTATTTTTGGCAGATACAAACGGAGAAAACAGGAGTTAGTAGAGCTTCATGATATCATCTTCGTTGAAGGGCTCGTAGCAGTGAGGACATGTCCGCTCATCAAGGGTGCAGTTAAAAGCGAGCCTTCTGAGACACTTTTTCGGAGTTTTCAAAGAATAAGCAAATGAAACGCTTTATGTTCCTTTAAAACTTTTCCTTCAAGCAACCACGATGTCCGCAGCTTTTGAGGGCGGCTTCGAATCGGTCTTCTTTGTTGTAGGTCTGCAGGCAAATTGCACACTGGGGCGCAAGCTCATCTAAAAATTGACGACTGAGATCATTTCAGTTGGATGATGTACCATTGTCATGAAAGAGACTCTTGAATTGCTCAGCAAGTAGGGCAACCCTTGCGCGCACTTGGACCCGGTACGCCTCAGCATCTTAAAAGTGATTATAAATCTTCTGTTTCGAAAGTGCTTTAGCTTACCCCTTACAGCTTGGTCTGCATATTCTAGCTGCTTTTTGGCCTCCTCAAATGTTTCGAAATTCACTTAGTCAGCTGATCGATATATTTTGAAATATATATAGAAAAATATCATAAAAAAATTTTCATCATAAATAACATGATTCGTGAGCCTTTCCTTTACGTTTCTTTTCTTCCGGACAGCAGTTACTATTGTTGAATTCCGCGAGTGTCAAAACAGAGCTGCAGGATCGAAAAGGACAGAGCAGAAATCTGGTTGTCGAAAAAACTAAAATATCCAGTCAAGGAAATTCTCTGCGGACCTAATACCTCTGCTTTCAGTTTTGATCCCTCTCAGACTTCCAACATGATTTCCGTACTCAGAGTACAAGCATTTCATGCATTTGCCGTCTGACATTTGTTCTGTAAATCCTTTGCAGAAGAGACATCCCCAAGATCCTGGTTGGACAAATTGTCGATGGATGTAAGTGTATGCCATTGTTGCCAAAAAGTGAAAAATGAAGATGTGCTTTTCTCGGGAAAACCTGTTTTGAATAAATGAAGGAAAAGAAAAAAAAAATTCTCGATAATTCCTTTTTTCCCTTTTCCAAAAATAGATATGGGGATTTCAAATCACCGATTTTTTGATGACGCAAGTCAAAGGGGATTAGAAAAATCCGCAATTCAGCAATTTGAGCAAACCTTGCTATTTTTAGCGAAAATAATTTTCCCAGAAAGCAAGATCTTTAAAATATCACTGCGGTTCTTGAGTTCTATCGAACATATATAATCTCCCCAATTTTAAGCACTCTATTTCAAAATGAAGACATTCAGTATTTTTGTCGGCGTTTCTTTTGCCCAATACGATTACGGAAGTTACACAAGTGAAAGTTATGATAGCGGAAACTATGAGAGCTACGACAGTGAAAGCTATAGTGATTCCTATTACGACAGCGTTGACTGGAAATCTGATAGCAAGGGTTAATAAAAAAGCTATTTAATATGTCGTTGATTTGAGTTTTTTAACCCCTTCAAAGTTATGAATCAAGCTATTCAGACACAGCTAGTTTTGATCCGACCTATTATGACGTCTATTCTGATGAAAAAGAAGAACCGGAGAAGACATTAGATCTAGCAAGTGTCCTTGACTTATTTGCCGCTGATGCCAGCTCTGACTCAAGCTCTGCTAGCCAAAGTTCCTCAGTGTCTAGCCTTAATGACGACGATTTTATGCAGCTCGATGTGTACGAGGACGATAACATCTATCTTGAAGAAGTCGAGGAAGTGCTTGAAGAGTATGAGGAGCCAGAGGAAAACGATCAAGGATCACTTCTTGACTCTCTTGGAGCTCGATACTTTGCGCCAATCACTGCTGCTACCTCTACAGTTGCTTCCACTGTTATTGCTACGACAACGTCAACAACTTACACTTCTGTATCATCCTTCTCTTGATAGCAAAATAACAGATATTCAGAACTGGAAATGCTGGCATTGCGACGAATCAAGCTTGACAGACTGCTTCAACAATGGAATGGAGAAGGAATGTCATACAGGGAAGGTGAAAGAAACGTTCTATTTTTCCCTCGAAAAACTTTCTCTTCACCGGATCTTAGGCGATTACGGCAGCTGTATGACGGAGGTAACCGAGGAAAATGGACAGATGAGAAATATATGTATGGGGTGTAAACAGGCGGATGCCTGCCAGCGGGCTAAAATGGAAAACTTCTGGGATTATCTGAGTAAGTCATAATTGATTAAAATTGACGGAAAATATAGCCGGCTATCAAAAACTGCCAATTGGCCTTGACGTTGCCGACTATCCTAAATCTTTACTCAGACGATCCTGTTGTCGCCGCTGCGCGTGACGCATCTCCTGTGTATGATGCTTTCACCAAATGCAAGCCAGAAACTAAATATAACAGGAACCAACGATCTTACTGTAGACAATGCTGCTACACGTCCAACTGCTTCAGCACTGCTGGGTACACGGATAAGACTGGAACTGTCACCCCTTGGGCAACTGTCATTCAATGGGGCCGTACCGAATGGAGAGCTGATCTTAACCTGTAGAAATGCGATAAAGCCTGCTTTCAATAAACGCCGTTTCATACGACTTTTGCTGGCCGTATAAAGTTTCGATTCTGAGTAGTGTTTGTTCTGTATTTGTGATCTTGTGAAACGAGAATCCACAGTAATAGTGGATAAAGAAAAAGTGTAGTGAAAAAATGCGACATAGACTTGCTCATATACAAAATAAACTTCTTTCAAGGAGGAACTAACTGAGAAACGTAGAGTTGAATAAAGTTGGCAGCTGATTGAAATTGAAAGCGTTAATTTGCAAGAGTAGCAATCTTTTCCTTGACGAGTTGTTCGAAGATAGTGACGGGAATATCGCGGCTCTTGAGCTTACAGTACTTGGTCCCCACAACTGTCTTGATCTCGAGGAACTCAGGCTTGAGTTCGAAGATCTTTTCTAGCAGTTTTCCAGCATGCTGAAGGCTAATGGAATATGTTAGCTTTGTGCCACCTCCTTTCGGTTTTACCTGATGGGCGATTTCCACGAGCGCTTGAGATGCTTACAAGCTGTATCGAATGGAAAGGCGTTTTTCTTTTCAGCAATAAAGTGTGATCGGATCGTCGAAGCAGCTTTAGGGATACTTTCCAGCAGATTAGATTCCGTCTCATTCTGCTCGGTCTTGGAGCATTCTTGTTCGGCCTAAAGTATCGATTTAGTCAATAAAAAACTCGTCTGGAAGACATAAAGGAGAATGTTTTTTTTTTAAACAAATCAACTGTTCCGGCCACAAGTAGTTCAAAACGAGTGTATTCTCTCCCGATATCAATCTGTTCTTGACCGGATTGTTCTTATAGGAAGGTTGTATCACCAGAAATTCAGGTTTCTTTAGAATTTCTAGCTTCTTGCCTTCCAAAATCAGAGAACCGAAATAACTTTCAGTTTACAGGTAATTAATTACCTTTGCTGCCTGTTTGGCTCGAATTTTGGCGAGAATATGAGGCGGGATCTCTCTCTTGCCGGATTGGGCTGACGATGTAGAAGGTTTTTCAGCTTCTTTCTCGTCGAGGATTTTCTTGAGTTCGATTTTCTCGAGTTCAGCTCTTCGTTCCTTCAGCTTTTCTGCTGCTTTCTCGGGAATTTGTTCCTTCATCATGCTCAGGAGCTAGAAATATGGTATGACTTTTTCATAGAACATAGCCAGCTAGGATATATATCTAAGATAATGTATCTCGAGTTGAGATTCTCGACAACATAAGCGTAAGATTACCTGAGCAGCAGTTGTGGGACCACCAGTGCTTCCCGGCTTTGGGGGAAGATCCGTTTTCTTAATCGCCTCACAGGACTCGAGGGGAAATGCCGGATGCCATCGCGTAATTTGCTTCATCTTGTCGACGGGCGCGCCGATCGTCTCAAGGAATTTCTTGTGGAGGTCGTAAACTATTCCGAACAGCGTTTTTCGGATTAGTTTGTATCGGCTGTTAAGATGGGCAAGGCTCATGCGCTTTCCAACGGTGTCGTTTTCGTCATTCTCAAGAAGAGGATGAAGAGTGAGTTGATAAGCGGTTGATTTGACACGGCCAGTGCCAGACTTGGCATCGTAGAGCCCTTTTCTCCACTCGTACTTGTACGCTTCCGGATAGAGTGAGCGAATCTGGCTCAGTTCATCTGTATCAAAAGCGCGGCCATGGATAGTCCGCACAGCTTGAGCGATCTAGAATATACATGTAATGAATTAATTGATAAGGAGTGATGTCTTACCGTTTCGAAAACGATTGCTTGCCCACGATTGAACATCGTCGCGCAAGTGTTATCCGCCGCCTCGAACTGCTTTGCAAGCATTTCATAAGAAGTCGGAAGAGTCATTTTTGTCATTCTTCCTGGCTCGACCAAATGTCGGAACTTCATGTAGCAAGGGGCATTCTCGGGGCTCGGAGTGGGCTTTGGTCGAACTTTAGACACCTCTCGCAGAGAATCGCGCTTTGCTTTGAGTCGTCCATCGCGAATGGCCTGGATTCTGTCATCGGCGGTCTTGATACTCTTGAGCTTTTCTTTGATCTCGTTCAGCTTGCCAGATTTTTCAATCTGTTTCTTGAGGAGTTCCTTGCTCAAGCTCTTTCCATTGATTTTAACTTCGCCAACAGCTGCTTCGAGCATAATCTGCGCACGAGATCTTCCATCGACTTTCCTCGGGCTTCCACGTGGACTTGGGTTCTTCTTTGGTGAGGACATGACTTCTTTGGCGGACATCCGGGGCGCAATCTGTTTTTTGTACATCGGAGAAGAAGTCGAGGGAGAATTTGGCTGCGAGTCTACTTCCCGGCTGCGTTTGATTTGAGCTCCAGAAAAGACTGGGCCAGGCGCTTTGGGTGCATCCGGGAGAATGCTCGATGGTAGAACCTCAGCTCCGCTTGATTCATCATCAAATGCAAGTGCTCGTCTGCTTCGAAGGATGGATGGCATTGGTTTTTTTTCGTTCTCAGGAGACATGTCGAGGTCGAACGACAACTTATCGGGTGTCAGAGTTCCAAGCTTGCTGGGAGACTTGAGCACTTCAAGCTGCTTTTGGTACGTCTGCTGGAGAGTTTCGCGGCCTTCCGTCAAAGGGTTCTTCTTTGCCATTTTTGTTGGAGAACCTTCAGAGACAGAGAGCTTCTGGTTTGGACGCTTAGGTGACGCCATGAGGACCTTCTTAGTCGGAGCGGCAATCGATCGAATGTTCTCATTTTCAGCATCTAAATTTTCAACATTATTTCTCGTATTGGATGAATTTGACTTACCGAGGCTTGCATTCTTGATTCTGGCGCTTCGTCTCGTCACTCGTTCGGTGAACACGTCAATTTTTGGCTGAGAGGCTAGAGCTGCTGTTCGTCCAGTCGCTCTTCGTGGCATCTTTGCAAAGAAATCTGCTTGACTAACCTGAAAGAAGTTTCTTTTCATTTTATCGAAATTTCTCTTAATCGAAAGAATGAAAAAATAGCCGAGGGAAGAGACTTATATAACTAGCGATAAGGACTCGGCGGGGAATCACAACTCCACGGCAGATCAACAAGATCAAAGTGGGAATCAGTTGCTGTTGCCGACGCTAAAAATATCATGCCGCTTTCCGGTCGCACTTGGCAACTCTTTCCGTCAGCTGATTGTTTCCAGGAAAACGTTCCAAGAAAGAAGGCCTCATTTAGAATTACGTGATCATTTTGCGCATCAATCTCGCAAATCAGAAAAACGCCTTTCCACTGAGAGAAAAAGAGTTGAAAATTGTACAATAGCGTTTTCTGCTCCACTAGCGGCATTTTCTAGCTTGTAAGAGCCACCTTTTAGCTATCGAGAAAACATAAGCTCGGTCTCGTGATTTACTGTCCTCAGTGTCCGAAACGCAGCGCGTGGAAGTTTCTCAAACGCGCGCTACTGACAAAAGCGTTTTCCGACTTTTGAAATATCTGCTCAGACCTTTTACTAAACATAATCATCGGCCATCAAATGATGGGCAAGTTTGTTTTTTACCTGATAAGGATTTTCTTCGTACTCCCCAAATAGTTTCTTCGAAAGCACCGATTTCTAGCTGTCTGAAAAGGTTCAAAGATAAGCAGTTGTCGGTTTGAATAGGGAATGTGTTGAGTAAAATGGAAGTGAACTTGCAGAGTATGTCAGTGTTGTTTTTCTAGTGGCAGTAATTGAGTGGAATAAAGATAGTTCCATGTGAAAATATAAAAAATTAAGCTGTGAGGGTATTGTTTTCTTTGCCCTTTTTTGGCAGCTCCGCCCTTCTTCCCTCCTGAGGAGATCCTGGCGACGGTGGATACACCATCGACAAATTTGGTGCGGAAGAGCACGGAAGCGTTTTCGTACATGCCATCCTATGTTGAAATTGAAATCAACGAGGAGAATATATTTTTACCTTGAGGGAGACGATAACGAACTGACTCTTCTGGAACTGCTGCTTCAGCATCGTTCCGATGTTCTGAGTGTGGCTCAAATCGAGAGCAGCATCGACCTCGTCCAGAATGTAAATTGGAGCCGGTTTCAGGAGCAACATCGCTAGAATTAGCGACAAGGCGACGAGGGATCTCTGTCCACCGGAAAGCTCACCGAGGTTGTCTTTCCAAACATTTCCGAAACCAACCTAAGATTCATAGTTTTTTCTCTTTTGCTTTTTTCTTATTGCAAAATCCCGGTCGCAAAAAATATGGCGCCCGCTGGTGCGCGCGCAGGCAATAAATTCGAAAAGCGCGCGTGAAATTGGACACCGCGATCGATAATAAAAGCAACATGTTTATTTTTACCTTGAACTCGAGTCCTTCCAGAACCGATTTGCCTTCTGGTGGCGCCAATTTAGCGGTCGCTCCGGGCAGCAGCGTGGAAAAGATGCGACCAAAGTCACGGTTCACCTAATTATGATAGGAAAAGTCACTTTCAAAAGATTCAATTACGCACCTGTTGGTAGGCTTCGGTGATTTCCCTTTTCTTGCTTTTGTCAAGGGCCATAATCGAACCTTCGATCTGTTTGAGTTCCTCGACAACATCGGTTCGTTTTGCGAGGACTTCTTGTTCCTGCTTTTCAGCTATAAATTGTTTTGAATGCGGACGAACCAAATTCTATACCTTGAACAAGCAGAGCCATTGATCTATGGTTGATCTGTCCATCAAGCTGATCTCGCTGTGCCTTGGCCCTTTTCAAGTCCTTCTCAGCCTTTTGCGGATTGCTGTTGGAGAAATCGTACGGTCCGCCCCGCTTATCAAACATGCTCTTGTCAGTCTCGATCCACTCGTTCTCTTCGTACAATTTATCGCTAAAACAGTCAAGAAAAGAACAGAAATAAAATCCATACCGGAGTCGAACTTCAGCAGCGTTAGTTTCATCGTATATATGAATCTGCTGCTCGCATTTTTGGATTTCCGCCGCCTGATGCTTGATCCGCTTTTCATTCTCTTTTATTTCTCTTCTGGCCTCGCTGATTTCGGTGTTTCGAGCCTTGATGAGCTCTCGCTGGTCTTTGATCATCGCGACCATCTAAAAAATTTTTACATTTTGAATTTTCTCGACATAAAATTTTCATCAATTGAAAAAGTTGTATGCAGGTTGTACTCCGAAATCTCACTGTATCCTAAGATCACGGTAGACTGGCCTGCAAGTTAGTATTTCCCACTCGTTTGTTCAATATAATAGCATGAAATAATCGCCAGAAAAGGCCAACTATTAACTGCTTTCAAGCATTGAAGGCGTACGAATACCCAGCTGAAAGGTGAATGGAGAAAGTCGTGTTTATGTTATTCTCCGAGGTTCAGTATTTTACCTGTTCAATTTCCGTCTTTAGAGCGTTACATTCGTCCATAAAGCCCTGCAGTTGACTGTCGACGCACTCCTCGGAGGCTTCCTGAAGCGCTGCTTGGGCTTCAGCGAGTTCTTCCTTCAAGCCGGCGATTTCCATGCCCATGCTCTCGTACCCTGCGTTCGCTTGTTCGATTCGACTCAGCTCATCGTCCATCTTCTTCTTTTTGACCGCACAGTCTTTTTCCATTTTTTCAATTCCTACATGGATGTCATGAACCGTTTCTAACCCCCGTCTGTTTGCGGATAAAAAGATAGCACTGGTAATTTAATTTCCGTTCTAGACACCTTCCTGTTCACGATTCTTTTCCAAATTGTGCATTCTAGTTTCAATCTCTTTGGCTTCTTTGAGCGCCCTGTCATATTCCTCCTTGGCCTCATCGTGAACCTGCTGCATGTCTTTCACTTCTGCCTCAAGCGCGTCAATGTCAGCTTGTTGCCGGCCGAACTCAGAATTTTGGAGCTTGAGATTCAGCTCCTCCAACATTGCATTCATTTGAGCTCTCTTTCCATTTAGCCGTTGGAACTTCGCCTGGAAGCTGTCCATCTCTTTCAATCGATCTTGAAGGGCGTAGTACTCTACGTTGATCGCTTCAATGTTATTTTCAATGTCTCGGAGTTTCTCCAACTCCTTCAGGATCAAGAAGTTCTTCTCACCGCCGCCGGAAATGGAGCCCGAAGGATCATAAACTCCTCCATCGTTGCTGATGGTCTTGGTTTTGATGTCTCGGTCGTAACAGATGCTACTCGCCATGTTGTTCGTGTTTGTCACGATGATGCCGTTGAAGAGAAACTGAGCGACAATGTCGAGACTTGGATCGTCCACAGAGACACAGTTTTTCGCAGCTTCGGCATTCGGTCCTCCAACGAGGGACTTCGCCTTTTGCACTTTGCGTGGGTCGACGTCTCGATGTACACTAAGCTTGTCAAGAGGCAAGAGAGTGACTCGTCGCTTGAGAAGCTTGTTCTTGAAGATGTATTGCGCAGTTTCGGAAGAATCGACGACCAGATTGTAAAGTTTTCCGCCCGCTGTCTTCTCCAGAGCTGGGAGAAATTCTTTCTTATGGACCCGGACGAGTTTGCCGGCGAATCCGATAATTTTCCTGCGGTCGAAGTTGGGCGGATATCTACGAGATCGAGTTAGATCAAAATTGCGTCACACAGAAGTCATGATGTTTTGGAAATTGAGAGTGACTTTAAAATAGAAAATTAAAGTATAAAAAAGGAGAAAAACGTAATTGATGATTGAAATCCGGCATCTACTCAATTCCCACGGATTATGACGGTGGTAAAGTCATCCAATTTAAATATTAATGGATGAGGGAAGATTTCATAAAGATTGACGTACCGTAGTGGATCTTCGATTCGACTGAAATGCTCGTAGAATTTCTCCTCCTGACTTTTCAAATTATTATCTAAATTCAATCCTTAAAAACCGAGTAAAATGAGGAAGCTTACATTCGTTCTCAAGGTGATTATGCCTTGCTGCCATGCGAGTGTATTCCTCTTCGTTGTATCCGCCTTGGTCCAACTCAGCAGTGATTTTCTCGAGTTCACTGACGACCTTGTCTTTTTGCTTCTTATCCGCATTGTACGAGGAAGACGCTTTTGTCATTTGCCGTTTCAGATTGCTGAAAAGTTGCGTAAGAAGCGATCATATTCCCGAACTTACTTGATGTCAGTGTTATTCCTCTTAATCTTCGCGGATGTTGTTTTTAGAACCGTTTCTTTGTTCGAAACTATCTGACGCTTCTCAATCGCTTCGTCGGCCATCGTCTTGCCGCTGCCATCAGCACTCACTGCCGTACCAACCCGTAGCTGTTCCAACATGTTTGTGGCCTTGTTGTACTCCTCTTCCGCCTGTTTCGCTTTTGCTGCGTTCGATTCGTGCGCATTCTGCATCTTTTCACGGGCCGTTTCTTTCGCTTCGATCGACTGCTCCGTGTTCTTGACGGTTTTCTTGAGCTTCTCCACTTTTTGCTGGTGTCGTTTCACCTTGTCTTGCTCGGCTTTCTTTTCTCCGAGCTTTTTCGCTTCTGTGTTTCTGAGGTGTTTCAGTTTAGCCTCATTTTCAGCCATTTGAGAACCTTCTTCGGCTTCGTTCTGCTCGCTCATCTTTTTAACAGACTCTAAAATGGACTAGAGACCATCTTCAAAAGGTATTTAGACATGCAGTTGGTCCCACATGATTTCTAGAGGTCTTTACGTACCTTCAGCTTGAGCATTCGCTTCTTTTAGCCGGTTGTCCTCCTCGCGAGCGTTTTGCAACTCTGCCTGAAGCTGCGCTTTTCCTTCGTCAGCACTTTGCAGCTTCTGATCAAGCGCGTGGTATTTGAAAGCAATGACGAACTTCTCGCTGAGCTCGATCTGCCGCGTCAACTGCTGGTATCTCATGTAGCTCTCTCGGTCCCCTTTGAGCTTCTGAATTTGCGGGTGAAGGTCTTCGTTGAGGATTTTCGTCAATTCGTTGTACTTGAGTTGTTTTTTCTCAATGGCACGAGTGCACGAGTCTTTTTTTGACTCGTACATTCGAGTTCCTGTTGCTTCCTCGATCATTGACAGGATTTCCATTGGCTTCATGTTCATGACTTTTGTCACGCGTCCCTAAAAGAAAAGCCCTAATGGATTTTAAATAAATAATAAGCGAAGATTCATTTATTCATGATTTCAGATGTTCTTATAATCAAATACAACTATAATATCGTTTCAAAGAATCATTTACCTGCATGATCAAAAAGTGGGGATTGTTGATGTTCATTCCAACGCTTTGGAAGAAATCGGCAACTCGGTTGTTTTGCGCGTGGACGCCATTAATCATGTATTTGTTCTTGCCGTTGACATTAATCTGTCGAGTGACAACGATTTTATCGCTGTCATGATAGCCGATCGGGGACTTGTCTTTGTCCCGGTTGTCAAATGTGATCGAAACGGTGGCGCGGGTGATTCCAGCTTGGCCATTCTGAAGACGGAAGTTTATTTAACTGTTTCATACGGTGATTCTTAAATTTTACTGGAATGACGGTTGTTCCTGAAGTTTAGTTTCTGTTGAAAAGCGAGAAGCCTCTTGCGTCTACGAGCAATATAAAAAGCCGCGCTTTTGGCGGCTAAGTCTTCTTCATACTGCTTTATTTCAGCAGTAACTCAACTTCAGCCTGAAGTTCACAAGAACCGCTTTTCCAGCAAAAGTTAGACTATCAGAAAACAAGTGTACTCATATGTATATATTATTTATGATATAAGCCTAACGATTGTTACTGTTGTTAAATACAAAAGTGTACCTTGTAAACAAGATCGTTCAACGATGTCGCGCGAACTTGATTAAGCTGCGAGATGCCAAGCAAGAAACAGATCGAGTCAAGAATATTACTCTTTCCAGATCCGTTCAGTCCAGTGATCGCGTTGAAGAGCGGATCGAAGTCTTTGATCTCCGTCCGCCGGGCGTACGATTTGAACCCGTCGAGTTCGATGCTCTTTATGTACATTTTTCTCTCGCGATGCCGACTTCTTCAAAACTCTGAAAAACACATTTTGAATAAAAAGCCAAGTTAATAGGTGGAATAAAGCTTTTGCACGTGTAGGCGGGAAATTCGAAAATTTGTCTAAAAGACTGTTTTTAAAAATAACGCTAAAAGTCCTCTTTATGCACTGTTTCTGTTAAGAATAAGTCTCTAGTAGAGTTCTCTCTGAAGAAAAAGTCGATTTTGAAGCATTTCACAAAGAATCAAGTTCAGTTCTGGAATCTGAAGCGAAAAAACGAGAAAATTCAAATGCGCGCTCCGTAGAACGCGCGCGCTCATTGGGTAGCGAGGAGGACCGCGCGGCTTTCGGTTGGAGGAAGATTCGAAAATAAGGAAGAGAAAACGTGTTCTCGAGAATTTCCGGCTCGAAGATTTAGTTTTGCAAAAATGTCTCAAGGTAATAAGGCACTGAAATAAAAACATAATTATTGTTGTGGTTATGCATTTGCTGCAATGCAGAGAAGATTGACTCTAGTTTTGCGAATTGTAAAAATTTAATATTAGCGGCATTTTTGTAGCAAGCGGTCTGGCAGAGTGAACAGAAAAGTGGCCGAGGCCAAGCGAAAGTTATTTTGAACAGGTGCGGCGAATCTCCTTTCCTTATTTGGAGATGAGCAAAGCATTAGAAATGTGACATAACAATAAACACTAATTCGAAATAATTTGAGAATATATTTTTATGATAAAATAATGCTGACTATCAATTTAATTAACAATAAGTCTTTGAAATTTACATTTTCAATTTTCAGACCACAACAATGAAGATAACGAAGAGTACCAACAATTCCTCGCTTCGAACTTAGACCAGCTCGAATCCCTCGGCATTCCTTCTTATTTCTGGAAAGCTCTTCAAAAGAAAGTCTCTACAGAAAGTTTTGATGGAGGGAGCAAGTTTATGCTCACTCATGTTGCCGAGGACGATAGTGGGATTCCCGTGGATTCGAACTACAAAGTAGTTGTTTGCGATGAAGAAGGGCTGGATCATGAAGACCCGGAGCAGATTTACTTGATTGATCATGCTTGCACCTGGAGATCCAAGGAAGAGCTCAGATATTACTTAGGTACACTATCTTCAGTAAAGTTCGTGCAAAAAGTCGAGAGCTGCCTGCGGCTTCGAGCAAAATAAGATAGAAAATCAGCGCTTTTCGCGGCTTTAGGTATTTCTCACTCGAAGCGGCAAGTGGCTCCACGATTAACAACAGTAATTTTACTGTAACAAAAATGAGTGAAAATTCGATGAGAAACGCGATATTTCATTTTTACCTTCAGACAACATGGAAGGTCTCCAAGATCGACTTGCGGGAATTCTCAACGTCTCGACTTCCGACTACGACTGCGCCACTGAAATTTGTAATAGAAGCTACACTCGTTCCGGGACGTATCCATATCCAAACGAGCCCACTTTCGATGTATGGTATCTCAATGATGAGCTTGGCGCGCGAGTTCGACACTCAAGGATTAGTTCGAAAAAGTCATAAATCGATTTATTTACTAACTTTTATTGGGGATTATTTTGGCAATACTTTTGTATTCTGGGACCTTCACTTATTTACCTTTTTATTAGAGGGCTTATTTTGCTAGCATTTGTGGTTCATTACTTAATGCTTTTTCACCGGTTAGTCTGGTAGACACGATGCAAGAGCAACCATAAGAAAGAGAAAGTCGTAGCAACAGAGGTCTTTTTCTTCTTCTTTACTAATTAGAGAAACTTTGCGCCGATGTAGCATTCCGGCGTGGGACCAAGTTCAAACGCTTTTTCCGATAACAATTGACATTACTAAGTATATTTCTTCTGCACCCTTCGTCTAGGGTCGTAAACTTTGAACACCACAAGACTATGCGGACTTGGCTACTTCTATATTTTCAGAGTCACCGTTGAATCAATGTCTTAGTGAGTTTTTTTCACCAAACTGTAGAGTTTATCGTTTCTTCCCATTCTTTGTAAGCCCCCAAAGTCGGGGCTATTTTATGAAAATTTCGACATCTCTAGTAGAGTCTCTAGTAGATGCCCTCTTATTTGTTAGCGAGAGGGCATACGTAAAGAATACCATAAAATACAAAGATTTTCCAAGTGTTTATAATAAGAGCATGTTGTAGAATCTTAATGTCTTTTAGTATCTCTAAAGTAGATAAAAACAATTTTTCCACTCTCCCGTAAGCTGGAGAGTCTTCATTGAAAATCATCGCTAGAACTCAATGGTGAGAGCCATAACTTAACAGTTTCGCTCTCAAATCAGTGTGAAATCTACAATGTAACTATACATAATCTTTTATGAAACATCTCTCAACATTATAGATACGCCAATATTTTCCACCCTCTTCATCTTAGAGGGTTTTTATCAACAGCGCCCCATAAATCTTTCAGCAAGCTGTATATCAACAGGCGGTGTTGTTCTTTCCAGGTGCTAGATAGAAAGACCATAATAGGGTGGCTTTGAAAGCCTATTTAGTATTATGTCGACGCCAGTGGTCACCGGAATTATCGGTTGCAGCTTTTTAACAACACAATCTTAATATTTGGACTCCTCTACTGGAGTATTTTCTTTGAAATGTATGAAATCAGAATGCCCGTGATAACGAGCAAGAAAGAATAATCAAAGCCTTGACTATCTTAGTAGTCTCTTAATAAAAATATGACCTTGGCACTTATGAAAAAGGGTTAAATGCCACATTCTTTCAACTGATTTATGATTCTGGAATTATTTGGAATTTTCTCCAAACTAGAGATGACTCTTTTTCGAATTTGATGAAGCTCTCCATCAGTGCAAATGGGAATCTTCATATGCGCACAAATGGGCGGTGCATGTAGCGTTATGTGGCCCTTGCGCGATATTCGATACGGCGAGGAAGTCACTCGCGATTTCGTTCGGCCAGGGACGACGCCCATCAAACGCGAAGTTATCCTTTGCGCTTACGGGCTCGAGTCATCACTGCCGGAAGAGTTACCGGTCGTCTCCAATCTTAAACCGCGCCCATGGTATCAAGAATGGGCAAGAATCATTGGCGAAACTTCTACAGAAATTGGGTTTTAGAAAGTAATGAAAATAATCAAATGGGAAAATTGAAATATTCAGTTGATTAATTAAATTTGAATACGAAAATAAGGATATTTAATGAAACTAATCCTTAAATTAGTGTACCTTCTTTGTACTTCTCTCCCGTTCCTTTGAATTCAGTAGGATCTCACATCTTCATTTTTTCTTCTTAGTTAGAAGTTCTAACGCACTTGTTGCTATTTCTGATATCTATTTTGCTTCATTTAGAAATCTATAGCTAGTTCCGATAAGACCCATTTCACAGCACCAGAAGAAAACGACGCGGATGTTCAAAGAGAATCTTCCGCTCCACTGGCAATTTACTCGGACATCAAAAGTCTGGTAGAAGCGGACTCTAATATATTTACTATCGTCTCCGAGCCTGAGGATGCTGACGTTATCTGGCAAGCGGACCACTGGAAAAATTTTGATGAGCTGAGACCAGATCAGCTAGTTTCACAATTTCCAAATGAGCATCTCCTCACGACAAAAGTTTGTCTGTCAGAAGTAGCAAAACGATTGAGGCAGAGAAATAGACAACACCCGTCCTGGTTCTCACAGAGTTTTGACCTGAAGTCTGAGGTATAGAAAAGTTAGTTTCAAGACAAACATGTAGCTTTATGGTTGACAGACTAATTGTGAATGGTTTTAGATCGAAACCTTCGTGGCCCAATACAACAAAAACGAAGCGGAAGACGCTGATAATACATGGATCCTGAAGGCATGGAATTTCGCGCACGTAAGATCTCAAGCTCTTCCATGATTTCATCATGTAAATAAGGGTACGTCAGCGCTAATTTCCCGCGATCTCCTGGAATTGGTCCGTCATCATGAATGCTCCGTCCCATACTTGGTGCAAAAATATATCGATAGACCGATTCTCCTTCCGAATAATGACGCGCTCAAGGTCAAATTTGACTTTAGGTATCATGTTGTTGTCCTGAGCTTCAAGCCGCTCAAGGCTGCTATTATCAAGTTATCGGTTTTTGATATAGCATAGTATATAGCTCTCATCGTAAAGGTGATCCGATATAAAACCGTTCAAAGCGTTTCTGGCCAAAGTTCGCGGCGAAACCATACGATGCAGATTCCTTTACGGATCTCCAGGCCCATTTGACGAACATTGCGGTTTCAGAAGAACGCGATCAGCCTTGGTTCACGGACTTCATCAAGCTTTTCGAGGATGATACAGGCTACGATTGGGAACAGGATGTTCAGAATCCAACGGCTAGAGCTATAAAAGAATGTCTTACCGCAGCTGCGTCGGGCGACTTTCCGGCAGGGAAGATAAAACAGCTCCGAAACTCAAGGTAACTTTCTCTTTCGAATTCAAGGAGAATCAGAGGAGAATTTATTGTTTTCCGTTTAACGGCTAAGCAATAGCATCACTTTTCCTTTCGAAATGTGTACAAGAATCTATTGATGAAGGATTCTAGAGCCTTGTACGGAGTGGATATTATGCTAGAAGAAGGTGATAACGGAATCGCCCCTAAAATCTTGGAATTCAACTTCAATTGCGACTGCTCACGCGTTTCCCAAATCGTGCCCGATTTTTACGACGAAATGATTGACTTTATTTATCGCGATAATTGGGATAGACTTCCGCACATCGACATTTCTGATTAAACTCTTCAGCTTATCTAAAACTAATGTCTAAGAGATAAACAGCAACTGTTACTGTTAGTTTTCCTGACTCGAATACATATTTATTATACAAATGAACTCTCGTGTTCTTTATAATGCAGCTGAAAAGTACTAAACATGAATATAAAGAAATAGGACATGTGTTTTACGACTTTTCCATGGATCTTACCGATTTGTTTTACTACTAAAACAATTAAAAATGATAGTTGCATTCTTGGAAATCGAATTTACATTCGGATACAACAAATAGAAAGAAGCTTGACTAACTGGCTCTAGCAAATCGAGCGTTGATCTCAGGCAATTCGATTTCATATGTGAACATTGATACTTCAGCTCAAGCCCTTGATACAGTTACTTCTTTTATTGGAACTGATTGAGAATTCAGTAGAAGAACCTACTCTTCAAGTTGAAGTACCGTTGCTTGATTTAAAAATTTTAAGCAATTCTGGAGGTTTGAAACGTTCTTTAGCGGAGTAGGATGAGACAGGTGCACCAACTCTGGAACTGGATTACGCCGCGGTTTGCGCCATTCCCCAAATAAATCAAACCCACCTGCACCTGCCTCTGTATTTCTTCAAGCAAAGACAATTTTTTTGTGATATTTTGGCTGTTTATTTGAATTATATATTTGGACACACAAATGCGTTTTTGAGCGTAATTTATACAAAAAATAGTCTCAGTTTTTTTTACAAAATTCCGGCCAGAATTTGCCATGTGCCCGCACTATTTTCGAAACTAACTAAGCAAAAATGAGTGTACAGTGTACAGTGGCGCCTACACGATATTGTCATATAAGAATGAACAATATTTAATATTGAAGAAGTAAGATTCGTGAATGGCTTTAGTGAGTATGAGTGTGTATGGGTTTTTAGTCTGACCGCGCCTACGCTTGGCGCGGTTCGCAGCGGTTCACGTAGGCGCACTGTTTTTTGATTGGTCGACCGTTGATTCTGGGGGACACAATAAAATGGGCATTACTGGTGTATGGTTTTTGGTGGAGGAGGCGTTGCACCATAAATTAGAAAAAAACGCAATTTAGGAAGGATGAACAATATTACAGGCAGAGTAGAAGCATACTGACTAAATAACACAGACCAGGGGCATATTATGTGACGATGCCCTGTGGTTCTAGTCGAGGTCGCTTCATGGGCGGCGCTGGTTCAGGCGAAACGCAGGGAGAGAGTTGATCGTCAGTCTTAAAGTAACAGTTAGAATCATTGCTTGGAAATCGTTTTCGATCATTGAAAGACGCAGACTTATTTTTACAATATAATTTGCTTCATCTCTCAAAATACGAGAAGATATGTTTCTTGAAACCGGCCTTGCTGAATTTGAAAGAAATTTGGTTCTACATTTTTATCAAAATCGGAAACCGCGCTACAAGTAGTAGCTCGAGTCGGTCTGGTGAGTTTGAAGCTCGACTTGCTGCGCGTGGCGAAGCTGACCGCAATAAATGTGATTCAGCCGCCGCTATTTCGAACATTTGCATTGAGCATCGAATAAGAATTTCGATCCTGCGGTCAGTCATTTGTGAATCACGAAAACTGAGAATTCGAGCGTTTTGAAAAAATAATCTCCTTCGGATAGCTAACGTGGCCTTAATTTTAGTGGATCTACGAAACAGTATGTTATTGAATATCTTACCTCTTCGAGCTTGACGTCGATGACCTGGATAGTGGGCCCGTTACCGGCGCTTCCGGAGCCTCCATCGCTTGATGGTGTTCCGCGACCGATGGGTGAGGATTTGCCTCCGAGCGGGTTGCCCACACCAAAGGGCATCCCTTGGCTGGTGCTGAAGGGTGGGCGGGCGGCGTTGAGCATTCCACTGAGCGCGGAACTGTTGAGTGCATTCATCTGTGCGGCGGCGAGCATTGCGCTGTGGTCTGGCATTCCCAGCGGCGAGTGAGACATGAAGCCACCAGGCGAGCCCTAAATATCCTGTTAGTTTTTATGAAATTATAGATAAAGAAAGGGGAGATCAAGCCTCTTCCTCGAGAAGGCACTGTAAATCAATGCTCTATTTTGTGAGCTCGCTAAACTTCGAGTTACACAAGAGTGGTCTGTGTGCCCGGAAGTAAATGAAGAGGGCTCCAGGCAAGTGTTTTCGCCGTACGAGGACTTCCGCCAAGGCTGAGCTCGATCAAACGACGCTCGGAGAAATATTTCTCTTCTTTTGTTCCGGTGTTTACGGGAAATCTCACCGGTTGGGCCCTCTCTCGAGTTGCAAACATTGACAAGTGGGGCGGGTGCATAAATTTAGCTTTGTTAGTTACCTGGTTGAAGTGGGGAGAGAGCGGCGAGCCTTGAAGCATTCCTAGTGCGAGAGGAGAGTTGGATAGCAGCGGATTTCCGTTTTGGGCTTGTTGCGAATAATCGTCGCCTTCTGGGTATCGGACACACTTCTTTTTTCTCCTAGAAGATAAGTTATGCAATGAGTCAAATCAGTTTTTTTTTCGTAAAAAGAAGAAGCTTTCAAGTTTTACGAATCTACGTGTTGAACAAATCGTTTTCTTTCCACTTTATCTTTATCTTTGCCAAGTCGACAGGCGAACATCCCGAAGGGACTTATCACAAATGTCCAAATCGGGCTTAAATCCGACTATCGCCATGACAATATGTAAACTTCTCCTTGGCAGCCAATCTGCATAACTATTGCTTACCCCCTTAGCTTGGTAGTATGAGGGCAACTCCTGTACAAGTGCTGTTATAAACCTATCTTTGTGGTGCCCAGAACTTCCCCTTTGTTTTCGCTTTTTAAAAATTTCGACTTGGAACTGCTGAGGCGGCACAATCACCACTCGCCCGGCCGGTTCCTTCTTTTTTATCAGATTCGAAAATCCCAAAACTCAAGGCGCGGAGTTCGTAAGAGGAAAGCGAGGATGACTCGCAGGGCAGGAAGGATTAGGCCACCTCACGGACGAATTAAGCGATTTAATCGACGCCGTGGTCGAAACCATAACTACACTGGCAGCCCCTTAATCCCGGTAGTATCGTTTATATTTGCGCAACAGCTAGAAAATAACCGAAAAACCGAGCTCGGGTCAATATGTATCAACTAATCAAAACGACCTTTGATCAGGACACACTCGCCGCCGGGCAAGTCACATTCGCGACACCAAGGAAATAATATTTTCATTTGGCAAATAAAAAACGAAAAGTTATTTACTTTTCACTGCGAGCCCTTCAAATGGTCTTATAAACTGACGTGCTGCAGATTGTGCCTGAATAATCAGTATTTCTACACACCGTAGCTCTTTGATTCAATCAGTTCTTTTTCAAGAGAGCGAAGTCTGTTACTTTTAATTTTTAATTTCGCATATAAACTAAATCAGGAACTGGCGCGGGCGAGTGGCTATCATCTGACCACAGACCACACGCGTAAAACTCAAGTTTCCTGTGTTTTGGTTTTTCGGTTTTTTGATAGCTGGTGCTCGACATCCTGTCAACCTCGGCTTGCTCAGCCTGCGCGGATAGCCCTATCTTACCCAAACTACAAACTAAGCTTGTGCATAAAATATTTATCCACCTAGCGAACCGGATGGCCGTAAAAGACAGCCTCGAAAAAGAAAACTCTCCAGAAGGACATAAAACAGCCCAGCTGGTACTAAAAAGGTCCACGGGTTCCCGATCATCGTCCTCCGTAAATCTCGCCGGAGCAAATTTACGACGAAATCCATAAATTATTAACACAACTACTTCCATAACTTTTTTATCGCTCACCTCAACGATCAATGTGCGATTCGTAATTTCGAAAAATTCTTTCAAAGAACTCAAATCATCAAAACAATCCTCAAAAACAATGATTCAAAAATGGTGTGAGCAAAAATTATAAATGAAAATTTCTCGAGGGAAAAAAGAATTCGAAAGAAAAAATAAGCGAAAATCAATGGAGCGCAGAATCTCTCCTCAAAGCTTCAAAGTGATAAGGCGAAATGACAAAATAAGGAATTATGTCAAAACTGCTTATCGAAAAACAACAAATAAATAATTCAATTCACAAAGACCGGGGCCGATTGATAAAATCTCAAAATGTCTCTTTATTCTGACTCTCCGGAGTGTCGGGAAAAATTGATAATTAGGAGCCCCTTCATTTCCCTTGGAAACTTGATACTAGGTCGAGATCATTTAAAATCGAATATGAATCGTTAACACCTTGAGTTCATTAATGCAAATAATCGGCGTTTAGAAGGGTTAACGTTTTCCCTCGCGCGTAGTGCATTTACGTGCGTACGTAAAAAGGGTTTACCAAAAAGGGTGGCGCTGTTTAGGGTTGTGCGACGCCACTTCAAAGCACCTCGCCGCTCCTCCTGCCAATCGAAATACTTTTTCTCCACAATGCATGGCCAAGCGTGTGGCTATTATTTGACTGTGGTCAGGCGGAAAATCTCTGCCCAACCACAAAACTAGTAATGGAACTTCTTTTTTGAACCCAGGAATTTTGAGTGTGAAATTTGGAAAATTTTGAAGAATCACTTCTTGTTTATGGCGAAGAGGGATGAGGAGCAGCAGGGCGTTTGTTGTTCTAAAGCGCGCATTTGGCGCCGAAATCGCCAACGATTTATCAACAAATCCGCGCTTAGTACTCCACCACCTCCAGTTGCTTGCTGGCAAACACAAGCGCAACCGTAAATGCCTCTTTACATTCATAAAACACACAACAGCGTATAAATATTGATATAATATCCTAGCGCTGAAGAGGCAGAAGCGAAAAACTATGAAAATTAACCCACTCTATTCAGTGTCTAAAAATTCGACACAACAGCGAAAGTACCAAGAATTACCATTACTAGCATCTTGGAAATTGAATGAGTTACTGAAATCCTTCACATAAAGGGCCTTCTCCTTCATTGTTAAAACCTTGATGATGCAAACTAGCGCACCTTCGAATTTGTTTAAGCTGACGTTATCTGCGTTCTGGGCTTTTGAGGAATTTTTCTAAATCCTCGATTAAACCAACATTCCCTTTCAACCAGTACCGATCTAGCATAATACCTTGTGAAAACAGAATAAGCGCCGAGTTGGAGAGCAAAAATGATCTTTTAAAAAACAACAAAGATAAAGAAAAAGCGATTTTATATAATAAAATAATAATTGAAAGCTTCTTACTTTTTCAAAATCAACATAAATCACAATATGATGGAGCCTACTAACATCAATTTTTAGTATGGTTAGCTGACAAATCACGTGATGAAGTTTTATTTATTCATTCGCCTCTTTTTTCTGAGGATTTATCATTCTAGTAAATATTTAGCTGCTTTACATATTACGGGGAATATATTTTTAGAAAAGGCAAATGAATAACACCATATTAGTTCGACATGGAATTTGGTAGATGGGAAATGCGTTTACCTGCACGGTGCGCACCACATGTGCTGAGCTTCAAGGCCGTAAACAGCCCTACACTTCTTAGCCGAGCCACCGTCGTTACTCGTATAATCAAAAGAAAGGTTTAGTATTTGGTAATAGTAAGTAGCTTGATTTTCGATTGGTAGGTTGTTTGGTTGGTTTGGATGTGTGTGTTTATGTGTGCGGTTAGGGTTTATGAGTGCGGGGGAGAAAGTAGATGAGAGATTCTTAAGGATATTGCTCTTGAAACAACTCGTTTTCAAGGGAGAGAGAGAGCCTTAAGAATCGCTCAAAAACACCGATACATTCGTAGCAGCATGCCCATTCTACTTTTTATGCTTTTATTTTAGTCGTAGTTGGATGTTAGAGTTTTCTTGATTACTGTTAGAAATAATAGTAGACTGTTAACGAGTACGATCATTTCATTTTTCTTGGTTTTAGTAAACTTTAAGCGTTTTTATAAAAATTACCCGTTATCGACGGAATGCTGATGGGACGAGCTGCCCGAGCTTTGGCTTTTACGCCGCTTTTCTATTATAAAAAGAGTTGAGTAACTGTATTTAGGAAATGGGCCACACAGGGTGCCGGATATATCGATCATCGCCGCTTATCGTCTCATCTCGGCAGGGAGCCGTGGAAAATTTGAAAATCGATTCTACTGTTACGGTTTTAACTGAATTGATTGGAGTTTTCTCCTGGCAATTATTAAGGATCTATCTTATGATAGCTCGATCAAAGAAAATAGCTAACTTGTATAGACAGGTCTGGGTCAGACCAGGCGGAACGGACAAAGAAATCGGCGCAATTAGGCGTGACCTCGAACAAGTACCGGCGATGCACCGGGATTTTGTCCGATTTGTATCTATCTCACTCTCTGTCCGATTTGAGGATTTAACTTATTCTATATGTGAGTCGAAACTCAAGAAGCGGGATTAGCTTTTGCTCCCACGGGCCGATCGAAAGCAGATGTCGGTATCCGGCTCCTGTGGTGCTTAGGGAGGGGTTAACTTTACGATAAATAGTAAATACTTTAGGCTTGCGCTAAGGAGGGGATAATAAGGGGGAGGGAGTGTCAGAACAAGTCCGAGGGGAAAAGTCGCTAGCAGCTTACCTTCCATATGCGCGTTGCCTGGCTGGTCCTGAATATTACAGTTAAAAAGCTGTTCCTGGTGGGTAGACCTTACCTTGTTCTTTTTACGCTTTCCATAATTGTCACGCGCCGACCAACCGGGATACATGACCATGTGCTTCTCGCGCTCCTTACGCGCCATCTCATAATACTTTTGCTGCTCTTCTTTGTTCAGCGCATGCCACTAAAATATCAGATTTAGCAAACGATACATTTTAAATCCAATGCTTTTTGATGCGCGCTCGGAAGTGCTCTCCGATTTCGCTAAGGAGGACATGATTCTGTCGGACATGATGAGCTCGTCGGACAAAACCGCAATCCGTTCTATCAACATCAAACGTGATCCCCTTAATCCCTAGAGCAAGCAAACTTGTATTGCACATACGAATATAAAGATAACTCCTAATTTTCTGGTTTGAGTCTTTCCGCTACTGTTTAGAAGGATACTTTGAGGATGTACCATTCTTGTTTTGTTTGCGCATAACTCTACAGAAATTTGAAATTCAAGAGATTCAAGCTCATTCAATTTGAATTCAAGGCGACGTAGGTACCGCTAGGAACAATGGCTCTAGCATTTTTTCAGGCGGAAATGAAATCTATAGAATGCCACTGGAGCAAATCTGGCAAAAACGGTGCGGAACAAACGATTTTCTTTTTCTTTTTACTCGAAACGACCATGATCCCGGATTATCCACTCGCTCTCATAATTCAAATTTCCGGTGCCAATCAGAACTTTCCTTTGTGTTTAATTTCTAATCTGTGTTTGCCGGTTATTACTGTAATTTATCTGTAGATAGACGCTTGTTGCAGTGTTTACCTTTCGGCCGAGGATCTGGTTGATAGCAGCTGATTCTTTCAGCGTACATTCCGAAACGACTTTGGCTCTCTGTTCTTTCATATACAGCATAAACGCGTTGAGTGGTTTTTTGATGTGAGGTTTTTTCGACTTTGGTTTTGCTTCTTGTTTGACGATTTGTTCTCTGAAAAATGAAGTAAAGCTTAAAAATAGCGAATAAATTGGCCTTTGCTACTCATACTTTACTCATCACGAATACTAGAAAGCGGTGAATACAGTCAACCCTTATTGAAAGAGAGAAATTTGCGCGAAAATACATTTCGCTACAGCAATTGCCGCGCAGTTAATTTGATTTCGGTCGGCCCTTTTCGGCGCAAGTTTTGGCAAATGGATGTGCTAATCCATGCAAATCATTCTAATAACCAGGGACCGATGCACCGTTTGGTTTGAATTAAGGTGCATTTTTGATTCTCAAAAAATCGCAGCTTCCGGATTAGCCGATGGAGGCAATTTGCATAAGAATTGGGGAGCAGTATTTTTGGAGCAGATCAAAGAAAACCGGTAGAAATAAGATTATAAAATAATTTTGGAAAGCGACTCGACCGCAACGAAAGGGCGAAAACTTATTCGAACTTTAGGGTGCGGATAGCCAGTCCCTGGGATCAAACGAGCCAGCCGAAAAGTGAAAATATTGTGCGTATCTTACCTTTCTTTGTTTAGGTTCTGAGCAGCTGGATTCTGGAAGTGACCAAAGGCGCCTTGCAGCCCGGGAGGTCGAAGGCCAGGGAATGGGTAGCGAAGACCGCCAAGACCTTGGTAGCTGGCCCAAGGGTTGATTGAAGACTGGAAAGGGTTAAGGCCGGGCATAAGTCCTAAAGAAATAGTTTGAAATCGATATGGGAGAACTCTTGATGGAGCATTGGCTTGATTCCGGCTGAAACTAGTTTCGGAATTATATTTTTTGAAAACTTGAAGGAGAAACTATTTTCGAGCCCTGGGTCAGGCTAAAATCTCCCAAAAGCGCGCGCCTGTGGATTTTACAATCGGATCCGGCCCGGAAATCCGCCCGGCTCAATCACTAGCGATTGTGCAATTACTGTTTGATCAAAACCAAACTATACAAATTGAACTGTTTTGAAAAGACGCCCTTGGAACTCTCGACGCGGGAAGGCATACTCCCCTTATCGGCTTGTGCCCAAAGCTGCCTCTAAGCCGAGAGCAAAGACACAATCGCAAACATGTTCGCATTTTTACGCCTATCGACCACTTGGGCTATCTGTTTGCTCCTAAACGCCGCCGTAAATTTGACATTTTCTTACCTTCTTTGCCGAGCTCTGGCGTGGCACCTGGAAGTCCTCCATTATATAAACTCGATAAATACGGCAGCTAAAATAAACATGTTAAAATATATTTTAAAAAGCTTGAAATTGGAACCACGTGAACCCCTTTGTTAGTAGGCTTATCTTGAGCATGGTTTTTGTTTTTGTTCGAAAGCGTTTATCGACTTGTTAATTATCTATTGGTACTATAAAGAAATAAAACAAATTGGGAGCGGCTTGAGAATGAAGCCCTAAAATCCATGCGTAATTAGAATCTAATAACACCCTTGTCGAGAGTGGGAGAAGTGCCACCCGCTCGAGGGCAGGGCTACTCTATCTGCCGGGCCCACCCATCACTGCGAAGAAAGAAGACCACCCAGCTAGCGATGGGACATTTCCCGGATACTTGACTGGTGACTTGTGAAATTACATGACGCCAGGTCGTCTTTCCGGGTGGGGCCCGTATCACTGTTGATTTGCGTCTGTAATTCTCAAGCGCAGCTTTTATCAAGTGTTAACAAATTCTTCTGGCTATCGAAATCATCCGATAAATTACAAATTTAGAGCCTCGGTTATCCTAAATTCAATCAGCTGTTAAAAATTCCCCTCTCAAAAAACTCATCCGCGGGCGCTAGAACTCGGGCCCTCGAAACGTACTCAACGTCCGAGTAGATAATCGAGTAGCAACTGTATTACTTTGGATACAAATTTGAATACAAAATGCATCACGTGCGCGGCGCTTGAAAAATTAACACTGGTTGGTTTACTTTTTTTCTTTGTGTCGATTTGCGGGGATGAATATTTGATGGTGGCAATAAGCGAGTTCCAGAACTGGGACTGCACTTTGTCTGAATTAAACTGACAGCTTGGGCGACAGCCTGGGGGCATTCAATCAGGAAAGGAGTTTTATGTTTATCGGCTCGTGAAAATGGAGAGAGTTGAATGATTTATTCGCATTAAAATGCGATCTAATGTCATTTTGGATTCGAACAACTGTAACAACTCAACAATGGAAATATTCAACGACACGAATTTTTGGGGCTGGGTAAGTAACCGGTGAAAAAATGACCGTCTGAGTCCCATAGGAAGGGTCAGAAGGTTTGAATGCAGTAGGAATGTGTGGAGCGGGCTTGGTGGGAATGCTGTGGTGAATTTTGCACCACCGTGTCAGGTGTAAATTTACTCCAAAGTGGGGAGCATTCTTCTCGTTTCGGGATTGTTTGAGTTGCCCGCCGTGCGGAATGCACCGAGCGCTTTCCCAAAAATCTTAAAAACTTCGGCCGAAAACGCGAATATTATGCGCGAATACATCATCATTCGGCAAAACCGCGGCAAGGCACTAAAACTTGTCAGACAAGGCAAAAAACAGCTTGATTCAGCTATTTCCGCGTTTTAATGCTTCCGATTGGGAATGATTCGATGTCTCTTCATAAAACTAAGGGGAGATTCGAAAATGTACGGAAATTGTCTGAATAACAACGATCCAACGGGGCTGTTGATTTTTCTCGTTTAAAAATTATCGTCGGATTTTCTTAGCATCTGAACCGGCAGTAGTTCCTTTCCGCTCGCGGTCGGCGGTGCCCGCTTTGATCTGACTAAGTCTCAAAAATTCGCCAAAAAGGAATTGCTGGACACCAGTACACTTCATTTCCGTACATTTTCCAACCAAGCTTTTTTGTCCAGCGCGTCACACCCAGTTGCTTGCTTGTTGGGTTATTGAATAGCCATGAGAATGCGTCCAGACGTTTTGAGTTTCGACTCACTGTGACAAGCAATGATGGGCGAAAATCACAACCGGAACCGCAACCCTATCTTTTTTGGACATCCTGGAGCATTTTTTGTTAATGGAGAGTAATTGGGGTCAAATTTACGGCTAAGGCCAACTTCCTGGACTCGGCGACCTGTAAAGAAAACCTGAGTCAGGGTCTTGAAAGAGCTTCAGCAAAAATTCAGGACCCTGACTCAGATTTTCTACACAGGTTGCGGAATAATGGCAACTTCTTTTTGAAAATGCTCAACGAGGGGAATTACCGGACTAAAACTTTTGCAACTTTGAAGGTGACCTTATTACAGTTGGGAGAACATTTTCGCTCCGAATTGTAAACTTTCAGAGTGCGCTGATAAAAAGCTTTCAACGTGTGCCTAGCGCAAATATTCTACATTTCCACTTGCGCAAAGGAACAAAAATTCTTGTCTCAAGCAATTTGAAATTTCCCATTTTCTGAGTAAATAATTAGCCGCGCTCTATTTAGGCTAAAATTAGGCAGGCATCAATCAGAAGTGCCATGAGTTGCGCCGCCTTTAAGTTTTATGATTTTCCGGCCTCTTCCTCATTTTGCCTTCAAAATGTGAAAAAACGGGAAATCGCCCAAAGAGGGCTCAAATTTGCGCTCACGCCAGATAATCGACGTGGGACGGGACGTTGATCGATGGCCAGAATAAAAAATAAGTTGATTTCAAATTCTGAACAAACAATTTTGAACTCAAAATGCTCGATGGAAACTTTTTTTAATTTTGAATTTCACGTCGAATAACGATTCTTTTCTGTAATAATTGATGGTAATTTTGATGCTCCTCGGGGGAAATTTATGGAATCTTTTCAAGTCAATTCTGATTCACACGTGAGAAATTCAGCTCGCGTCATAACCCCCTTCCTTAGGAGCATTATCTCACAGAATTAAGGACAGGTCAATATAGATTCAAAATGTAAAGAAATGAAAAGAATTTTTTGGAACTTGACCTGATCGCAGCTGATCCGAATCTGAGTTAATCAATTGTTTGGTTATTAACATTTTGTGCCAGACGATTTTTTCTCAACTTCTAAGGCGATTACAACTGCTCCGGGACTTTGAAAATGCATGTAAACGGGCTTGTAAGGAGCGGTTAATCCAGTTTTTCCTCTTGAAAGGTCCCCAAGCGCAAAAAGGCATTGTTGTAGGAATTGTGGGAAATGTACTTTGTAAAAGAATTATATTGAAAGAGGGGCTATAAAATGATAAAAAATGAGAATTTTTGAATAAATTTCTATACAAAACATTTAGTATCAAATCGATAAAAAGCTTTCTGTGCTTCATCTTATCAAGTTATAAAACTGTCTGATCAGGTGATTCCAGACCTATCGTTTGATAAAAAATATTGTTGAAAAATTACCGTGAAGGAAGGATTGAAGAGCGTATGCGAGAAGAGATTTGGACTGAGCCCTTCTGGGTATAAACTGAGCGGTTTTCGTTCTAAAAAGTAACGCGTTAAAAATGAAAAGAGTGATTTCTTTACTAAGGGGATGAGCGAGCCTAGAGCAGCCTTAGGGGGTCCTATCCCGCAGCTGGAGAGGCACCTGGGTTGGTATAAACAAGATATTTACTCGCGAAAAAAGTTCCTTATCGATACTTGCAAATAAGCGATGCATAGAGCTAAACAAATCTGTCCAAATTTCAAATTTTTGAAAATTACTCTTTTAGAAAGAATAATCAGCAAAAATAATGAGCGACTTTTGAAATTTTTTCTCCGCGTCCGGAGCTTGTCGGAAGTTTGTCATTCTCTCACTCGGTATTCGAACGAATTAGCGCGAATTATGTTAGACAGTTGTCATCTAAAGCGCAAGACATCGAACTCAAAATTAATTTGCGCATTTCAGCCTCTTTAGCCTGTCATCAATGCCAGGCGGTTCCAGCTGGGGAAAGGAGGGGAACGAGGATGGGCTGGAGTACTTGACTGTTTACTTACCATCTTTGTTTTCGCCGGACTCGCTGTTCTAAAAAGAAGAGTTTTAGTAAGCATCAACCGGGTCAAGTGTGCGGCACAGTGGCGTTCAAGCGGCCACATGGCCCATATGGGGAGTTTTTTCTTACCTCTCCTGGTGAATCCTTGTTGTCAACTTCATCGACTAGATCGCCTTTGATATCAGAGAGGTGGTCGCCCTGATCGTCCTCGACGTTGGCATCGTCTTCGACGTTTTGGAATACCTAGAAAGAAGCTCGATTAGTTCAATTATTTATATATTTATTTGTTAATTAATACACTACGCGGCGTAATTCGGGGAGCATGATCGATGGTGATCGTGACGGGCCCGAGACAGCGGCCATTTGTCAACTCTAATTCTCACCAAGGCTTCAGTCACTCAAACTTCGATCTCACGGCAACAGTCATCTTTTTAGGGATGAAACTTGGCCGTTTGGGAAAGATAGAAGTTTTGAAATGCCAAACTTCCCTTTTTGAATTGCGCGCGTGCTTTTAATTGGTTATTATAAAAAGATGAAAAAATAATTTTCGATAATTAGGGAAAATTTCGCGCCAATATTCCAAATGACCCGCGTGATTCTTCCGGAAGTCAAAAGAGTAAGGATGAGAGAAGAGTAGACAATAAGGTGGTACCCAGCTCAAGTGGACGACCCTTGAAAGTTTTATTCAGATTCGCTCACTTAGGGAAGCGAATTGCTTTCAATAAAGCCAACTTATTTCAGCCTCTTAAGGTCCCCTTAGCCGTTCCTTAAGGGTAGGTACCTTCAATCCTATTAGGCTAAATAAACGCAATGCAACTAGTAAAGAAAGAAAAGAGATCGTTTTCACGAGTTGTAATGACTAGGTCTTTATCCATTTCGGTTTCAGCTCTTTTTGTTTTTAGTACCCGCCATAAAACCAGGCATAATCCTAAAAGGTGATACCTAATCCAACATTCAAATCATCGCCCCCGATCGCGAAAAAAAGGGATGGTGAATTTTTGACAACCCAAGTATACATAAAACTGTTCTTGCGCGAAAAATATTTGCGGGAAAGTCACGTGGGTGAATTCTCAACAAAATACAGGCCAAGACAGGCCACAAAATAGAAAAAGAAAATATTTTTTTTTCGATTCTTCGAGTCCTAAATAGAAAATATCCAATAAGATTTGGAAATGGCTGATTTTTTATTGGCCCAAGATAACCCTTATTTTTAAAAAATCGTGACTAGGACGAAAATTGAATGCAATTTTAATTCTAAGGACTGGGCAAAATGGATATTTTTTTCGCGAGTGATTTTTACGACGGCAGCGCCTCGATCTCAGGTTATCATAATTATTCGATCAAATATTTGGCCTCAAACAGGCCGTTCAATTCATGTGGCGGCGAGAATTTGGCGTTTTCATGGGTCTCCTCGCACTTGGGCTGGATATTTTATATTGCCATTTCTTAGGGGGTTAATGGGGAGTTCTGGTGGAGGTAGGTTAAATCAGGGCTGGGTCCTTTACCGGAGAAAGAGCCGAAGTTTTCAAAGAATAAATTAAAAAAGAGAGGAATTTCTCTGTGTACCAAAGAATTGGTAAAGATATCAAACAAGTTAAATGATCGAAAATGAATACTTTTGATAAAGAAGAAACAATTTAATGGATATAAAAGTAAGCAACAGTTACCTTAGGCTCATCTGCGGCAGTATCTGTCGGTTCCTGAGGAATTTCCGCGGACATTTCTGCAGTTAGTGCAGGACTCTCTTTTGTGTAGCTTCTTTGATGTTTATTTCTTCTTTGTCTCTATGCTGGTGGGTTATGATTTATATCTGTTGAAGTGGTAGTTCCGAGATCGAAAAAGAAATCAGAAAATCTTTCTTATTTTTCGGCCAATCAACGTCAAAATTTTTCGTCTCTCTTTGCGAGATGCAGGTTGCTGACAAGAACAAACGAAGTGCGCGGCGGGCGGACTTTTTTCATCAAAAGGGGCTAGCGGCCGCAGGTGGCGCCTGCGAGCGCTCCAAAAATCCCACTCTTCGCGGCTGGATGGCGCTGTCGAGCCATCTACGCGGACGAGGAACGCGCGCAACGCCGCAAAAAAGCGCGCAAGAGTGAGATCACGTGGCCAAAGTCATTCTATAGCTCGCGAGCGCGCTCGTCGACGGTTTCTTCAACCCTCTTTCCGGAGAATTTAGGACAGCTGGCTTCTTTTACGAGCTGTTAAGGGAACACTTCTTCCATCATCAAATTTTTATCCGCATTCTTTATGCTTTTAAAACTATAGAATAAAATATATTATGAGAAGTCTTATCTTCCGGGGTACTTGTTGATAATAAACTTCCTGTATCATTTCATTAACAGATGATATTTTTCTATATCCTCAGTCAAACTGATAGCGCCTTTTTTACTATCAGTATCTCCTGTTGAACAATTGTCTCAAAGATAGATGTATCTGCTAATAAAAATACTCGATAAAAAAGATATCTCTTTGATACTTACATTAGAGTTTTCTATTATTAGATGGTCTTTACATAAGATAATGTTCCCAGGGAATTTTATGGACCAATAATTTTTATAAAAATCATTTTCTTCGGAATGAAAAATGTACAATATATTTTTTCTAAGGGCCACTCCCACAAATTCGGTTGAATCAAATCAAAATCGAAGCTATAGAAAAATAATTGAAAACGGACCTTGAAAAATATTTTTTTATGGAAGATTGCTAACTATAAAATGAACTTTTCTTTTGAAAGTTATGTTTACGGGCAAAAGGCGATATTGAATGATTTCGGTCTATTGATGATTTCTTACTAATCCGCTGAAAAGCTCGGCGTGTGAGTATTTTCTTGGCGGAGATGGAGGAAAAACAAAAGAGGCGGAAAATCGAAGAAAGGCGTGAGAAATGCTCGAATTAAGCAAAGCAGAAGGGATGCTTAACCCGCTCAGCTGGAAGCGAAAAGAAGCAGTTAGAGTGCTAAACAATTAAACGTAACTCATTCATTTTGCAAAGGAGGAATTAGCAGCGAATCAAGTGGATACTACCACTTGATTAGGCCGGGTAGATGGACAGCAGACGGATTCGTTGGATTGGGAACTCGCCAACAGAACCATTTTCATCGAAATCATTAGCAAGGAATCGTTAGTGAATATTTTGTTGACCAAAAAGATGACGATTTAAATTTATGTTTACGCCAGGATTAAAGATGGGATCGCATTGTTAGTGCAAAACTCGATCCGTCCCAGAAACTAATTATGACCCAAATATCTCGCGCCCATATAATTGCTTCCGTGAAATTTTCGAAAACATTTACATTTTTTTCTCTCTTTCGTAAAATCGTGTGAGTTCATCCAGAAATGCCGTTTCTCAGCGATAAGACCCTTTTTTGCCAAATTGGCTATTTTGAATTGCGCGCCCTACTTTTCAATTCGCGAGTAAATACCCCTTCTTGTAGCGGAAAATGTTTCGAAATTTATTTTTTGTGGAAAAACGGTAGCTAAGCGGAGGAATTATTGTTTTGATTGCTCTAGAATGATTTTATTTTGCCCGAAACAGAGTCCATCAAACATGTTCGTTTGGTGGCAAGCCAGACCGGAAGATGTCATCAAAACGAAAACCACTTTCGGATAATTGAGAATCAAAGTTTCCCTAATTAACGCACAAAATACACCTTTTATCTCAATTACAGGCCCTCCCTTTTTTGTCTTCTTCCGTATTTGTGCACCTAAATTTATATGCAATGAAGCAGCCATAAATTAGCCTGTCATGTGACCTCAGCGGGGTCGGATGTTTGCCCGTAAATGGTACGAGCAACGTCCCAGCTCATGCCCAAATTTGGCGATTAAACAAAACCCCATCCCCTCCTAAGGCCCCTTGAAAGGCTGGGCGAGCCCTCTTAGCCTCGATATGGCACCACATGAGACACTATCAGTTTTGAAAAGATATCGGCTAATGTATCATTTGCTCAAAGTTATTGGTTCTCGAGAGGGTTACCTATTTAACTGATTTTCTAGCCCCAGGCGTGTTACTTCATAACACCTCGGAAAAAACGTTAAAAAGGGTACCCTCTCGAGTTATAATAAATCCGTTAAAATGGCCCGTTTTAATGGGGACCCCATATTTTATACGATTCCCAATTCATACCATTCTATTCTCAACTCAAAATTGCGAGCTCATGGCAATTCAGCCGCTTTATTATCCCTGTAAAAATAATAAACTCGCGATAATGTGTTTGTTGGTAATAGATTCATCGCAAATTGAATAGATTCCTCCATTGTCTCAGAGCGAGAGTTTAATCCGATTAATCTTAACATGCTCACTCGGGCAGCTTCCGTTGTTCCTGGAGATCGAGCTAGTCATAACATTTCACAATTAATGAGCTCGGAAAATATACTGAGCAGAGCTACTCCCCTTAGAATTTCGCGGTCGGGAAGGGCGTGGGCGATAAGGGCCATTTTTGAATTTTTGAAATTGGAAGGGAAAATTCTCGGCGGGAGATCAAGGCCACCGCTTCGGCGCCGTCTTTCATCTCTCGAGGAATACTTTTACGAAGAATTTCAAGCCCATTCCGGCTGCTCTCTTCTAAATATTGACCTCGTTCGACTCGCAAAGAAAATAATTTATGCATTCATACTCTGGGAACAGCCTCTTTTCGATGAATTTGTAAGAAATTTCGAGTTTTTTCGCAGTTGGTAAGAAGTTAAGCGGTGCGTAATTTTCCAATTTTTCGATCAGATACTATTTGTGCCCAACAATAGGCCCCATTTTGGGCCCTATCTTTTGAGCAACAGTTAATTGCCCCAGTTGCTTATTCCGGAACAATGTAATGTGTCATTACAGTTGAGTTGCGTTCACTCTGAATTTAACTGGGCAATCCCTTCTTTCAAAAGGAATACTTTCAAAAGAAGAACTGTCCAATTTTGAATTATTGAAGAGTGACGGTTGTTGAATGCCACGAGAACGACGCAGCGAATGCAGTAGCTGCCAGCTGTGAGCCACACGCCCAGGGCCATCTCGCAAATCGCATTGTTTACCAAAACAATACTACGTTTTTTCAACCGATATATTTTGGCCGACGAATTATCACAGACTACGATTTAATATATATTACATTCCGGAAAATCCGTTCCTCACATTTGAAAAGTAAAAACGAGTCACGAAAGAAAGAATAAGATTGAATCTTGGCCCACTTGAATTTTCTCGGTGGTACTTGGCCTCCTGTGCTCGGCGCACTCGTTTGATCGTGAGCATCTTTTTGGAAAAGATTAATCGCTTTTTCCGTCGGCCTCCCTTTGCCTTTTCACACAGATTTTCACGCGCTTCTGAGCCCAAGTGGAAAATCTTCTCTCAGAAAAAACACGACGGAATCTGAAGCTTGATAATTATCTGATCAAAATCCAAATCTTCCTGTAAAAGGCTCAAGTTACTATTTCCACTCTTCTACTTGGAATAAACTCAAATAGAACTTTATTCAGGAAACACAATATCACACAAATTAAGTTGCTCACTCGCCTAGATCTTGAACAAATGTATTTCATATTTATATATCGACGATAATATCGTTTAATTTTGAGAATAAAAGATATTGCCCAATGTGATTCAAAGCGTTCGATTTTGCGCGCCCGACCCTTATTGACCCAGGTGGCGCATGGTGGTGGTGCCTTGTGGTCGAGTTCTAGAAGTTAAAATAAATTTCTGAAATAATCGCACACGCAGAATGGCCGCCAACTCGAGTGGGGACATCTGAAAGCCATTTCCGATTAACGAGAACCCTTTTTCATATCAACACTTGTTCATTTCAAATAATCAAGCAGCCAAAAACCAACTTCCTAAAAATCCATCGCTTGTAATATAAGAACACTAAGGACGTAGCCCGCTCAGTTAACTGTGGCTCTTGGGTCTTTTGCCCGGATGGTTGCGTTTAAATAAAATCGAATAAAAGCTTCACGACGAATAAAATCGGATAAAGTGAACATAAACTCTTTCTTTACAAAAATGAATCCCATCTAAACGCACTTCACTGTACGCAGATCAAAAACGGCTTTGCCGAAGAAAATCAGGGACTTCAAGCCAATAACAGTTCAAACTTTGCTAATGATAAGGCAACTCTTAAAAATCGGAAAAAACAATAAAAGCCCCCATATTTTTTAAAGCGAATGAAAAATTTTTCGTAGAAAAAATACCAGTAACGGGAGTAAACACTTATCTCCCAAAAATCCGTTAGGGTTGATATTTTTCTTATCAGTGCCTGTAAAAAAAGGAGTGATGCAAGGATTTGGTGATCGCTGCTCTGGATTTTTGTTTTTGGTGTTTTGTTTATACAACTTCGACTTTTGTCTCGCTTGAGGTACCCGACGGACCCGTTTTTCCAATGCTCGGCATCCCTTTAGATCCTTAATTCGTGAGATTTTTGATATAAATACAAAATGGATAAAGAACCAACTGCCAATCCGGCTAACTATACCCGGATCAGCGGTGAGAAAAAGGCTCTTTATAAGTCCAAAGAAAATACGATTCTAAAAGTTCTACGGCTAAATATGAAGGCTCAGGATCTTTTCAGCAAAAATGCCATGTTCTTGATTGCGGAGTAGAATCCACGACTTACGAGTAGCTGTCAAAAGACGTTAATACAAGTCATAAACGTGTCAGACTTTCGATTCCGCCTTGCTTTTTACGATAAGGGGCCCATTTTTATTAGATGCGCTACCCGCCGTTGCTTCTAATTCCTTCCCGTCGTTCCTTT